GGGGAATTTTGGCGCATTTGCAAAAAACACAAATACTTTAGACTTCAAAGTTCGGACGCTCATGATAGAATTATTCCGAGTCTTCCATGACGAGCCTGGTCGACCGGTCTGTCATGTCTTACAGGCAGAGTTCTCGCGAACCCATGATCAAAATTCTTGAACCAGAAATTCCAAATTATAAGATTCGTGGCATCGACATCGTGGAATTGGTCAGCAATGACTATTTCCTGTGATAATTAGCTCTACCGGAAACGCCTGTGCAGCTGCCAGTAAAACAGTCAGAAAGACCATTTTCACTTCTTCCCACTGCGGTAGACTGTACAAGCAGTGAACCCTGGAAGTAGCGTGGCAACAGTGAGCGAATGATGGACCAAACCATTCATGATCAGGTAGGTTGATCTTTACCACGGAATCCAGAGAAGTAAAAATCGATTGCATCTTCCACTCAACCGGCCTTGAGCTTACTGTCGGGATCCGAGTGGCATCATCGGCTCCGGGGCGTATAAATGGCTCACAGTTTCGCCGCCTTGTTTAAGCGAGCATAGAGTTCGGCGCCGACACCCTCGTGTCGAATTAAGCTTAAGCTCTAATGGCCGCGCGCACCGCCGAACACCTTTTCAAAGGATTGTTGGTTCCGGCTCCCTAAGACACTCGGTACTGTACAATACTGCTATTTCGGGGGGTTTCTTTTTCTTTTTTTTTTGACTTTAACCCTTCCAGATCGAAACAAACACAATTAACGTTTTGATATCTTCATTTATTAACGGCCCTCTCCTCTTTCTAAGTTTTTATTTTTATTTCCGATGGGAATCGTTCTTTCCAGATACATTACTTCGTTGCTTCTCCTCCACCGCACCGACTAACTAAGCTCAGCTTCGGCTTGTAAAAAGCATCAATTTTCAACGAGCTGAGTACCCGTCACACTGCCTGCTCTCGGCATTGCGCGGAGGTATGAGGGGTCACAAGCCCCTTGTTAAGAGGTGCTTTGAATCGACAAAATGCCTCGTGTCATGTTGCGACCGTGTCCTTCGGAAGCCTCGGCCTCGGCTCCGCATTGGTAATGTGCATGCTGTAACAAAGTGTGCGGTACACCTTGAGAGGTCGCTAGAATGGGACCTTGCGAAGTTTGAAGGGGTTTGAGCCAAGGGCCCGAGCTCGAGGCTTGCGACTTTACGAGTCAAGAAGGTGTCCTACCTTATAATTTGCAGCGCTACCTTTTTTTCACTTTACGTTCCCGTTGAACCGGGTCCTTTTTTTCCCCCCCTCGCCTATCTAAAGCTCCACCCTTTGCTCAGCCCCACTTCCTCCTGGCCCTGTGAAAGCCACCGTAAGCTTAGCCAAGACCTATTCAAAGACTTTCCAAGATTATGATTATTGCCGCAATTGAGGATGTGGGCAAAGTTCGGCGTCGTCTGGGATGGATGAGAAACGTGTTGCTCATTTTAAGGTCCACCGGACAAGAAAGGTTGGGGGGGGGGGGGGGGCTCTTGATTACTTTCATTTTCACGTTGAAACTAGAACCCCGGGCTACAATGTGGATCAAAGTGTTCACTCAGTCAATGATACACCTGTAGATCTGACGATCAGGGGGCCGGGGCGATCACCACGTCTTCGGCATGTGCACGGGGTGCGACTCCTAGCGAGCACACCTTTAGTGATACATCCAGGACTCGACTAAGCCGAGCGCAACGTCACCTCTCTGTGCAGTAGTTGTATGACATTAGCGCTTCAATAATATCGGTGCCTAGGTAGGCAACATTGGAAAAAAATACCTGACTTATTGAGGAGGTCTGATAAGCACAGCACAGGCGTCGTGCTACTTGGCAGGCGACAAGGTTGGCCGTTTATTTTTTTTAACCTAAAGACTAGCTGACAACTTAGAGTTGGGTCTGGGAATTGGTGGCCCCAACGGTTGTTGACATTTCAGATTCATCAATGCTCGCGCTTAGATGAATTCCCGTCATCCATCTACTTGGCTAGAGAAGCCCTCAAAAATCTCGTCATGACGCCGGTAACTTGAGCTACTGTCACTCTATTAGGCCCTTTCAAACCGGGCAGCTCGTTAAGTGCTTGAGTACAGTAGTCCATAGTCCATACAATACATTTAGAGAACAATCAACCCCACACAGTACCCCAACCTACCTGAAGCTCTCACAGTCACCTGATCCACGACACAAGAACACAGCAGACCTACATGCGACAAAGGTCCATCCGTCTATGCTTGTAGGTTTGTGGCCTCGCTGCCACACTTGCTTTGCCACAGCCACCTCATACATTGAGACAACCTCATTTGTGAATATCCCATTCGTCAAGCAACGACGGTTGTCGTACGGTGAACAGATTCTCAAGGCTGGTATTCGTAAAGAAAGCATTGAATTCGTGAATCAAACCCGCTGTCAACTCGTTGAGTGTCTGCCTGGAACTTTCTTTACCAGTGATACATCGGTGAGAGGCTCACTTCACTGGGCGTGTGATCATGGTATGTGGACTCGATCATATAAGACAGTCTGCTGATCTGCTCAAGCTCGAACTGGGGAATTAAAAGTCGATAATTACCCATCTCCTACTAGGCTACTACTACTACTGTCAAGTGTCAACTGTGTAAGTGTATATACTTTATCCTATCACTACTCGCGTCCGACCGGCTAATGTCCGAATTTGAAATTTCTTACTTTCCATTTTGATTGTCATCTGTCCCGTCTCGTTTTTCCGTTACGGTTTTTTGTTCCAATTCGGTCCCCGATTCCCAGTTTTAAGGCCAACCGTAGCCAGAACTCGACGATGATTCGTGTGGCCTTCCAAGCTTAGCTGGCTTGCTCCACCCAACCTTGTTTCCAAGAGGCTTGGTGATTAATGAAAACCCAGTGGATAAAAAGGGTTGGAAATAATAATGTAACTTTAATTGGGGAACCAAGTCTGGGATCATTCTGCGGTTTTGTGTCCTTGTTCAAATCTTGTCTCTGGTCTTTTTTTTCACGCCCAATCCTTCGTCTCCCATCTTCCAAGGAATTCCAATCATGTCCACGATCACTGCGCGGCCGCTGCCTTTCATAGTCCTCTGCTCTCCTCGATCTTGACCCTGGAAAAGAGTATTGTTTAAAGTGTGCTCTTCAGGGGCCAGATGGCTTCGATCATTGGAGTCTCGAGGTATGAACGACTTGCGTGACCAGACTGCGTCCATGCCTCGGTCTTTGAGTCTACGAGCTCAGAATCCCCCTCCTGCGAGATCTTACATCAGAGTCCGTTGTCAAATTTCAAAGAGTAAGATCAAGTCTAGCTGTCTGACTCTGCACAGATTGGGTACAATCTAAATTCCGCATCTCATACTTCAATTGGTCGACGATGTTCGCTTGCCGACTATAGTGGACACATTTCATGAGAATGCAATCAAAGGTGCCGAGTGTTCCAAGAATTGAACGCCCACCTTTTTCTCATGTGGTCGCCCATTCTTGGAATCTCGGCCTTTAGTAACCTCCGCCCGATCTTGGCTCCGGCCCTGCGCTCGCTTGGATTTAACCTTCTTTGCTTGACCCATCGGATCCTGCAAGTGGCTGATTCTCATGTCTGTACCTGTCTCACTCTTTAAACATCTCCCTGTAACGTCTGCCTACCTTCCCCATCACGTATAATTTTCCGCGTCCATCGCATTCGTCGTATTGGCTGGGTGTACCTCCTGGACACATGATCTTAAGCATTTCAAAAAATTTGAGGGACGCCTCAGCACTTCCCTTTAATTCCAGGTGGACCCTCGGGTACTCCAGGCCAAGAGTGACAGTGTGTCACTCTTGGCTGTCGGCATACTTCGAGTCTGTCGTTCTGACCGATGGGGATGCACTCACCATTGGTTGTACTCTGGAGCCTGAAAGTCAACTCGCGAGATGTCGTGGGAGATTCCAAACTCATTCGCTCTCGGCATGCCAATATACTTTACGTTTGTAGCATGGTCAATGGAGTTTGACCGAAGGAGAAATCCACCGAGCCCACAGGTGCTCCACATCCAAGCCTCCGTCCGGTCTCTGCACTTCTGCAGGCGCTCAGCCCTTTTCTAATTCCGATTCTGTGATTTCTAGTTTTTCCTTTTTTTCGCTTCTGTGTTGGGGGCCCCCAAGTTTTGGGAAACAATGGCAAAGACTCCCAGAACCAGTGCCACAGACTCGCTACGACTTCCAAGCACTCCCAACCTACTCAAGTTCTTCTCGTCCCCCACAAATTCAAAGTGCTGTGTAGAACGTCAAGTAAGCGCAGGATCTGATTGTCAAAATTACGCTTTTGATTCTCGCGTTTCAGTGACGTAAAAAGGCCCGGCCTGACCCCATCTTCTTCTGTAGGGTTAAATACTGTAATAATAATTATAATAATCATCATCATAATAATAATCATATATGTGGATCTTTTCCAGTCTCAGTTTGGCGCGTCCATAGTACAGCATTACACACGGATTATTCAGGTTATTCTTAGTTGATTTTTCCTTCTTGGGATATTCCTTTTCGGCATGTCCCTCTTCTCGAAGGAACAGCCGTGAGAAAATCACAAGATTTCTTTTTCTGGCCTGTTCCTTTCCCGATCAGCCGTATCTCGGCCCCTCTGATGCTGTAGCCTGTTTATATGCTTGGATCTCTCCACCTTATCGGATTTTACCTTTTTTTATGCTTGTTTCCCCTTCCTTTTCCCTATTCTCTCAGCTTTCCTTTCTCCCAATTACATCTGCGATTCCCTCCCTCCCCCCCCCCCCCCCCTCCTCCCAAAACCACCAACCCAGCCCCTCCCCCCTTACCACCGAAGGTCCTTCGGCAAACTCCAAGTCGCCGTTCGTCCTCGACTTGTCTCGTTTCTCTTTGTGTTCCTCGACGCCTTTGTACTGCACCGGCACTCACGAACAGCGAGAACAACAAACAAGCTTGAAACCTGCCTCTCGCGAAGCAACCTGCACTGCCGCCAGCCGAAGTTGCCACAACCAACCCGCATTCATCTGCTGAGTGACCGGGTGGGCAAACAGCAAGATGGAGACATACTACGGACACGTTCGCACACCGGCGGACGCCATCATTCTGTTCGAGGCCTGTCGCATTGGTCTTCTGCCTCGAGTTCAGCGCCGACTATCAGAAAAAGAGCGCCAGTCGATACGGTCGGGCTCTGTCTTTGTCTGGGATGAGCGAGAAGCTGGGATGCGCCGATGGACCGATGGAAAATCATGGAGTGCCAGCCGAGTCTCTGGGAGCTTTCTCACCTATCGCGAGATGGAAGGGAAACGAGGCGGTGGCACTGGTCCCCAAACATCGGTCTCGCGACCCGGTAAGACGCCAGAAAGCCGAGGTAGCGACGACGATCGAGGCGACGGCACAGACGAGGGTCCTGATGGGTATCGATACAAGCCCGACGGCCTGATGAAGCAGTCTTTCAGTATCACCACTTCAACAGGGCAGCATCTCCACTTGATCAGCTACTACTCTCGTTCTCACCCATCCGCCGCCAACCTCCAACAACCGACGACCGACCCAGCCCTCCGTCATGTTCGTCCACAAAAAGGCCTCTATCCCGAGTCCACGGTCAACGATCAACAAAACCTCCCGGTCGTGACCCGGGGCCCTATGCCTGGCGCTGCTGCGTATCCTATAACACCGCACCCCATGAGCGGGTTTCCACGGACAGTGGCGGGCCATCCCCAGCCTTACGCGCAAATTCATCATCCATGGCCGCCCACTCCTCTCGCAACTCCTCCCACCATTGCGGTCCCCTACCATGGGGCCGCTTTCTTACCCCCGGTGGCTGCGCATAACGGCCCATCTCCTTATGGCCCCCCGCCGCCACCACATCAACCTCCTCCTCATTTCCAGCAGATCTCGCATCAATTACCTCCCCCGGACACGCGATCGCCAGCCCGTACGACCGGCATATGCATCACGAGGCCACTATGCCACCAGCCGGACCCCCGACCGTTGGTGCCCCAGTCTATCCTGGACGATCACCTCGATCACTGCCTCAACAGCAGCCTCCCGCGCCCGAGCAAAGAAGTCCCCGGGTATACGGTCACCCTGCGTCTGATCCGCGAATGTCCTCGCCTAGGAATCCTCCCATGCCTGCCCTTCAGCAAGCAAACGGGGTCGCACATAGCCCCCAGGTGCCCAAGCAGACACCTCCCATCGCAACGCACCAGCTAGGCCCCATCAACAATTCTCCCAAGCCGAAGTTGGGCGCAGTCCCCGGTATTGGGTCACTCGTCAGTGGTGCCTCGCTCGCCCCGATCACAGCTGCCGCGTCTGGCGCCAGTGGACCAGGAAGTCCTCACGTCGCCCGTGCATCAATCGTTCCCGACGGACCTCGAGACATTCCCAATGATAAGATTGGGTTTGTCGGGGAGGATATGAGAGCACTGCGGCAATTAGACCGCGTCTTCATCTGAGTAAACACCACATCACGAGACACTTCTTTTTTTTTTTTTTTTGCGCCGCCACAAATCTACTTCTGAATAGATACGGCTGCAGCTCAATCCCACCTCCTCAAAAGGAGAGACATTCCTTCTTCTCTACAGATGCTTCTTGTTTCGGTCAGATCGCATTTGTGCGAGCCGGGTTGATCTTTTGTTTTCAGTTACACGCGTCCGGATGTTCGCGAGCTAGAATGGCACGGGTTATTTTTCTCAAAGGAAGCAGGAACTTCTTGTTTCATGTGATATCCATTATGTTCCCTGGGGGTTTTTTTTCTGTCTGTTGTGCTGGTCATTCTCGACACGACGTCTCCCTTGTTCGCGTCCTGTCTTATCACCGTCCTCGTCTACTGAGGACATCTTGAACACGAAGTAGTTCACTACTTTTTTTTTTCGTTTCCCCTACCTCAATCCTGGTATGCCTTCACTCGCACATCTTCCGCGGGGTTTTGGTAATATTTTCCGTTTCCCTTTCCCATTTCTACCTCAGTCGGATATTCTTTAACATTTTGGCCTTGCATCGGGATAGGATCAGAATACATGGATAAATTGGAGGGGGCTTACAACCCTTTGGATTCCCTCTATACATATCTTGCAATGCATAAAGGTTTCTTCATCATTCATTTTCCGATCACTATCCGGCTCAGATATTTTCTAGTACTCTATGATTGTACTCACACCACAAACACGCAGTGCGTATTCGGAGACGTGGGAAGTCGGATTGCTACGATCATATTCTACGCCTTGCGGAATGTCAAAATCGACGATGTTCAGAAGTCCTTCAGACTCAGATGTGGTCAGGGCCAGGTAGGTACAGGTACTACGTAGTACACAGTGACACACGAGCAGACCTACCGTATCTGTCACGCAATACGGTCTGGTCCCTACAAGTCGATGCGAGCAGCCCACGGGAAGCTGGGCAGGCCTTTTGCATCCGCCCGGCAAGGATTTGATTTGGATGCATGTCTTCTACAGACAACGTTATCTATTGTGTACTTTATGAGTTTATATCGAGTGGATGTGCCCCGGAAGGGTCTATCACCAGCTTGACTCCTCTGGATGCCCTGTCTCATAGATGTACATCCCGCACTTGAATCAGCCCGTATTGACACTTCCACCTCCAAATGGCTTGTAGGTGTCGAGGATCCATCAATAGCCCCTGCCGGGTTCGATCGATATCTGTCGCAGCAAAGTCATGCCGCTCCCGATGGTGGTCCGATGCCACGAGGTAGATTGTGTCATCATGGCGATTGTTCGTGTATGCAATTCCATCCACGGCCATGCGTGATCAGAGTCATTCCGGGTGCTCCGCCCACGCGGAACTTCCGGTGAGTGATTTCATCCTTTCGTGCAGGCCGGGGGCGTTCCAAGGGTAGAACTCGAATCTTTGCCCTGATCAGGCAAACGGTGTGTCTTTCTGTGCCGCCTCGACGATCGTCTGATGCGCGCTTAGCGAGTTGTACTCGGAGGCCTTATTTGGGCTGATAGGACTACTGTTGATTTTCTTTTTCTTGTTCCCGTCTTTTCGCTTCTCAGGATAAATTCGAAGAAGGGCAAGGGAGGGGGGGGGGGGGGGGGGCAGCAAAACAAAGAAGGAAGAAGCAAAGAACAACAGAGACCATGCCAAAGGTCGTCGCTTTGCAGGTTCCATCGAGCTGTGGCAGTGATTGGCAAGACCGGCAATAAGATGAAAACGTGCCGTCTTGAAGAACTACAATTGCCAACCCCTGAGATGCCCCTCGTCCCCTTGCCATCGCGATCCTGTCCGAAACTGCCAATTCATGAGTACTTGTCCGGGGCGCAAAGCTGTCTGTCACTCGAGAGCGCTGATTGCACCATCAAGGTATGTGTGCCTCAGGGGGAAAACCGTACTACCGGGAAAAAAAGCAATATCAACCCAAAGCACCGGGAGAGGTGTCACGAAGCAACGCATCTGATCGGCCCAAGGAGCGGGATAATCGAAAGGCGGTGCTTGCTTTTTTCTTCTTTATTTCGCCTTTGGATGAAGGATGAACAGAGTCACACTAGTGATTCAACGCCCGAGGACGGGAGGCTAGAGACATGGTTGGGATCTGTATTGTTCTGGTCAATCCAGATCGGAATCAGATCCACGTGCCCTCGAATCAGTCGCAGAGACTCGTGCTAGACATCTTATAGGATATGACGGGTACCCAAGTCCAATTCAGATGTTCCTTGACAAGGACGTTCGCCCTGTTCTCCCGAGTATCTCGAGATATTGCAAGCAGCGCGGGCTATCATCATCTGGGGAGAGGCACGCTAGTCAACCTAAAGTAGGTAGCTTCCACTTGACTTTTATCGCCTGGTAGAGTCAAATTGGCGTGGATCAGTCGCTCAGCGCACCGAAGATCTGGAACTGGGCCCGTCAGACTCTTCCTGTACGAGTAATGTCAGCCGAGGGTCTTTTCGCTTTCAAGTCAAATAAACACGTCAATTTCAAGTTGTTCGTAGCGATGCTGCCCCCATATCTGGGATCAACGTAGACACTTCCATCACGTGGCGACTGAGGGCGACTGGATCATGAATAGCCGATACATCATACCCTTGGCCGGTTCCCAACTACAGTAAGCTCTAGCGGCGGACAGCCTCAGCGAGACTTCTGCGTTCGATCGCAACGCACTTGACAAATCCCGAGACGAGGTCACGGTATATTTTCATACAGTTCAAAGAAGTAAAGTGTATGTCTTCAAGACATGATTGTACAGTAAGTTGCCTAGACGATTGGACGCTGACCTGGATCAACAAGTCATGCTCGCCTTGCCGAATATCTCCGCGGAAGTAAGTATCGTAACCTAATGAGATGATCATCTCGTTCTTGAGCACTTTGCTTATTAGGAGCGCCTGCCTGGCCATCGTTTCTTCCAAAGCATCGGAGTGCTCAGCAGTCAGCACGGCTAAATAGCATCCCGAGCCAAATGCACATCGGTTGATTCGGTCGCATGGGTGACCCCAGAACATTGATCTTCGTCGCAGCACTAGTCTCCTCCGTGAGTTTCGGCCACGAGCCAACCACGAGTGGTCTGTTTCATCCCCCAACTTCAGTAGCGGCGCGCTTCAAGCTTGCTTCAGAGCATCATTTCGGTGATCAGGGGTGCTTTTTTTTCCCCCTGTTTTCCCATTCTGGATTCAAGCGTGCTTCCATTTGATTTTGGCCAAGGAACGCACATGAGCTGGGCAGCAGACCCAACGTCGGACACCACTTCCACTGAACCAGCGCATACTCGGGAAACCTTCTTCTCGAGCGCGCACGAGATCACGCGGATGTACGGACCGGGCAATTTGAGTTTAGTCAGAGCCCCGTACCTTCAGGGTAGAGATTCGTTCAAGCACAAGGCGTGGCGAACAGACACGCGCTGGTCGATGGAGACACAGACGGCCGAGTCTCGAGACGGATGAGTGTGACTTGGGAGCACCTGTACCCTGTACCTTGGGAAAGTGACTGTCTGTCTGCTTGAAATTGGTGGTCACAGACTGTATACCCATGTCTATGTACATTGTATTTTGTACAATAGCTCCTAAAACTATACAGTCGACAGACGGGTACATAATGTTCTACTTGACGCGAACCCGAGGCAGAAGGCAAAGTTCTACTTGCTTTTCTCACGCTGTTGGATCCCTTTGTTCCTGTGTAAGCGACACCACTACTACTGTACTCGTGGTGTTTGTAGCACCCCGACTACAGTATCTGAGGAGTTATAGTAGGATACTAGAAATTTAGGAAGCTGCCAAGACGGAAAGCTGGCTTATTGATACGAGTCAAGTCTAATCACCACGCCGTGGCTTTTAGCTCCACACACCAACACGGGCTTTCTTCGGCGATCATCCTGTTGAAGTCCAAGCTTCTGTTCTGGCCTGTGTCACCTGTGCGAAACGGAGTCTTCTTACGCGGGCCACTTGATTGATGGACGTGCGCCGTTCTGGGCGTCAAATGCGCCATGCTTGACTGGATGGAAAATTTCTAGCTCGGACACCCTGCATTGGGGGCCGAAGTGTGGCTCAGATGAATTTGGTCCAATGGCCGCTATGGATGTTCATTACCTTGGATACCTTCAAAGGGGTAACTATAACCCATTGCACTCTGGTACTGTGGCTCCAGTGCGTATGATGTGTAGCTACTAGCTACTGAAGCCCCGAATGGATGGAAGTACGAGCTACGATCTGCCGCTGATCCTGGCAAATGCCTACAGTACTCTTGAATTGTGGTCTGATTTTTTCTTGAACGGTGCATGATTCAATCAACTCGAAACCATCCAGTACAGTACACATCTGGGAGCTTTGCTGCATATCGATCTCTTGCGACCCAATCATCTTTGGAGACGGGCCCGGCATCCTTCGATCTGGAACTGCGCGGATCTGCGGGCATCGGTCAATCATGATGTGGAGCGACCGGAACACAAGGCGCCGACCCACCCACTTGTGAATCGTCTTGAGATCTTGATTGTAAAGGTCTGACTGTGTAGTCAGGAGTCAGTAGTCAGTAGTCAGTAGTCAGTAGTCAGTAGTCAGTAGTCAGTAGTCAGTAGTCAGTAGTCAGTAGTCAGTAGTCAGTAGTCAGTAGTCAGTAGTCAGTAGTCAGTAGTCAGTAGTCAGTAGTCAGTAGTCAGTAGTCAGTAGTCAGTAGTCAGTAGTCAGTAGTCAGTAGTCAGTAGTCAGTAGTCAGTAGTCAGTAGTCAGTAGTTACTAGTCAGTAGTGAGTACGGTATCGGTTAAATAGACATCTCAGAAGGGAGTCATGGCTTGAGAGTGAAGATTCCCTCGACTGCTACTGTGGTCTTGACGGACCAAGAGAGTCGGGTTCGCTGTAGTATGCAGAAATCTCCATAGTTCGTTTATGGACAGCATGACGCGAGGAGAACCTTGGCTTTGGGGGAGTCTCATCCTCGGTTGGCTCCCGTGTAGTCCCGGTCAAATCCACAACCTTATGCCAAGTGCATACGGTACACTACTACACTGCAGTGCTGTACAGTGTAGTGTGTCCTACCTGTCTACCACTACCGGGTAACTACCTACAGTACAATTACAATGCCACAGTGCTCACGGTACAACCAAGTGTACCTGATCACAACGCCCAATTGTTCCCTCGAGTAGATTCAGAATATGAAATGTGTGGAAACAGCTTTCATTGCCAGTGTGAATCCATCGAGTGCTGCAGCTTACCCACACTGAAGGGTTCACGCCTTCACGGGGGTTCGCCAAAGAACCCTTTCGCCCCGACACACCAACTGGGGAAAGGTGGCACTCGCATCAGTCGTCCACTCCAGGTTTTGTAGCTGCGGGTTGACGCGAGGGTCTTTCGGCGGTGCCTGCACTTCCTTCAAGGGTGCAACTTCCCAATCACTCCTTGTGTAGTGTCAAGCGCCCGTGGTGTCGGCGACGTGTGTCTGTATGAAGGATAATTGGATGCAAGGTGACCATTAGGGCTCCCTTCCCCCAATTTCGAGTCTTACTTTTTTTTTTCGCTCCCGTCAGCTCTTCCTCCAAAATCCGAAAGTGACGTGAGTCCCGTGGCTGTCATGGGAATGCGATAACCTCGACTCTTTGTCAGCCTTTGCACCTACCAAGGAGGGAAGCTCCACCATTTGTAGGTTCTGACAGCCGATTCACCGAGGAAAGACGAAGGTGTGGAGCGTCAGATTGGCTGGAATCGTAATGGGTCTCTTTCTGGGCATCGAGATCAGATGATGGGACCGACTTGCTTCTGTTTGTATATTCATGACAGCGATCCGGGTGCATTCAATGGTCTCGACCATCATCCTCCAACGACGAAGCATAAACTAGTCGAGGCATGGCCCCCAGAAACCGCGAAAAAAAAAAAAAAAAAACCCACATGTGGTCGAGTCCCCGCAAGATCCTCAAGGCACATAGGCGAACCATTTTGCGTCACCGTCATAGCAGAAGGGTAATTCGACTCGTCCTTGAGGCGCATAGTAGTCTCTCCCAAGCTCACGGTTCTACGCCTTTCTCCGCCCGCCAAAGGCATCCAGCTGACTCACACAAATTTTTCTCAAGTGGGAGAAGAGAAGAGGTGGAAAAAGTACCTTCGTCCGTGGCCCGAGCGCGAGCCAGCTTTCCTGGATGGTCAAATCGCGATGAGTCTCGCTGTTGGCCTGGGCCCTGGGCAACTTCCTGTCCTCGAGGATGGGCAAAGTCCGCAATCGGTCGGATCAGACCTCAACCCTTTCAGGTTGACAGGGATTACTGCTGAAACTCTCTTTCTTTTCTGGGGAAGAGGCCTCCGGGATGTCCATCTATGGAGTTTCCGGTGGTCCTCTCAGCTGACGCGCGCCCATGTGTCAGAATCTGGAAACATACGGGCTGGAAAGAGGGCCGGTGGACAAAAGAGGCCGTTCGGTGCTGACCGACTAAGCCGCTACGCTCCCGCCCGGCTGGAGGGGTGTGACGACGATCTGAGCGAGCGATGATTTGGTTAGCCTCCTGGAGGTCGATTCGACCTCAACTGGAGAAGCGTGGGTCGAGAGAGTCCAAGAATCTGGTTGAGTATCAGAAACGTCTGCAGTTACGACCAGTCTAGGAAGGAACAAGTGTTGGACGTCTCTATGGTGCGCACCAGCCTACGCTGAAAGGGCTCTCGTCCCGACGAGCCGCCCTCACCTGACAAGGCAAAAGGGTGAGACCCAGTAACGAGGTACCAGCATTGGTCACCTTGTACATACTACAGCTACATACTTTCGTAGGGGTCTTGCGTTGAGCGAGCGAGCGAGAGAGAGAGAGAGAGAGAGAGAGAGAGAGAGAGGGAGAGAGGGGGGGGGGAGGGTGAAAGAAGTACCATTGAGTGTACTTGTCGAGTACCTTCGTATCGACGGTTGGGAGCACAGTCGTGCAAGGGTATCCCGTCACATCCACCCCAGTTTTCTCCTGCGTCGAAGCCACACGCCAAGATGCTCGTGATGTCCTGCCACTTACCGTCGGCTTGGGGACAACAGTAGTCTCTCCGATGGGGTGCAAGGAGAGTCTCCATGAGTTCATGAGGAACTTGCGAGTGATCGCCAAAGCGTCAATCATGTTTGGGTCTATACTCTTTGGGACCTTGGTCGAGTGACAGCCTTCTGCTCTGGGAGCATTTGAGACCGATCTTTCAAGGGTTAGTTCCAAAGAAAGTACTGCAGCTAGCAGGATCGTTCACAGGCGATTCGTACAGGAAAAATACAGGTCAGTAATCGTGTCGCTTTCCTGCAGCGGATATCCATGGGCTCAAACCCCAGCCTGCATCGAGACGATCCACTCCACCTTTCCCCAGATTGTTGGCGCACCCACACACAGGCCGAGCCGGAGAAACAAGGGAAGGTCGAGGAATGCAATGCAAAGGAAAGGTGGAGAGAGTCGAGAGGGAAAGGAAGAAGTTACCGGCCAAGCCAGGACGCCAGGACCACCGCGGTGCTGATCCTGGCTTGGAGCAGCAACGCAGCAACATCTCGGCCCCAACGGATCTTGCGGATCGTTGCTGATCTTGCGACCATGCTGGTCTTACTCTCGTTGCGGATCGAGGATTCGCCGGTCATCTCCACCGTTGGTCTGGCACTTCCCCCCCCCCCCCACCCCAGTTTCCCCGTGGGGGTTCGAGTTTCTTGCTTCACTCTCACTTTCAGTGCGTCTGCTTGGACTAGGACCGGCAAAGCTGACTATTGAGCAGTGAGTACAAGTGCCCATTCCCCCTTGGATTTTGGTCACGGTCGCCAACCCTGCAAGTCAATAAAGCAACTGTCATCCTTGGGAGGCCGTGTAAAGGTTGGCCAAGTCGTTGTTCAGCTGACTTACAAGGTCTGGGTCTCCTCGCCGTCATCCAGGTCTGTCTTGTGTCGAGGAGGCTGACTGCATCGGGTGTAGTGGCTAGTGGCTACCAGTGCCTGTGCGATCTTCGCATGCAAATCATATCGGCTTGAGATCACTGTGAAAGGGAACAAAGAGAGATGAAATCTGGGGTAAATACGCTTCTTCTTCGGCAGCCATCCGGGGAAGAGTCGTGAACCCGACCGACTAGTTTTGTGGCCCCTTGTCACCGTGTTCATTTGTCGCATTCTTCTGTGGGATTTGGGTTGACTGACCTCCCACGACGCTTGCTGGGGTCATGGAATAGCAAGGCTTCATGAGTAGTGTCTTATTGATACTTGAGCCAGTACCTATGGTATATAGTAAGTGCATTTTATATAACCACTGGGTACTCAAACCCTCCGCACGAGGTACCTTCATCTTCCATTGTCCAAGTAGCTGACTCGTCTGGCGAATACTCGCCCTCTGAAAGGAAGCGACAATGTTGGCCGACCAAGTGGAGCAGTGTCATACACTGGAGGATCCAGCTGGTGTTCATGGAGTGAAGTTCCCACTTTTCCAGTATTCCACAATCCACTGCAACGAACTCCTGGACTGTGTCAGCGTGTCACTGTGTTGCCCCCCTTTTAAAGTCACAAGAAGCGTGGGTCCCCCTTGGGTGGTGCGGCCTCGACAGGTCTGACATTCCGGTTTCACATCAATGCCACCACGCACGTAGATCCTCACGTCCGACCGACCCTCCCATGTCTAGAATCGGACATTGGTGGTACTCTGTGAAATCTACACATGGACAGTCCACCGTGCAGGAATGTCTGTTGAGGCCCTTCTCAATGTAAACAAGAAGTGGACGATGAAGATGATTCACAATGCAAGTCACTTCATTCCGAAGATGGGCAAGTGCTGAGGTATCAGTGTACTAAACCTCGCCATTGAAGTAGTCAGTACGGTACCTTTGTCGCAGACGGTGACATTCAATTTCGAGGAACGGACACACCAGGTCTGACCAACCTAGGCAGGTCACTAGACACCCGATACATTGACTATGCGCCGTGCGATCTGAGGGTCGCCTATTTCGGTCTTCCTGCGGACGATTTGGGGATTACATTGCATATTTGCTTATTTGCATATTTTTTTTTTTTGAATGGCCTTTTTCTTTCCTTTTCGCTCTTTTTGACAGTGGCTGAATCGGCTTTTTATCCCCCGGGTCCTTGCTCGCCTTCTTTTAGTTTCCACCTCAATTGTTCGTCAGAATCACTAACTCATGAAAATCACAAGGTACTATGTTGATGATGATGCCTCTCTTTTCTTCTTCTGGACCGAGATCCTCGCTGGGCTCTCGTGTCGATTGGAAGAGACATGGGCTACTTTGATGCCTCCGCTCGACGAGTAGGCGCCCAATTGTCCTCTCCCGCGTAGGTCTTGTCTTTGAACTCGCCTGTGCTGCGTGTCTTGAGAGTCTTCTCGTGGATTTATTCCCAAATAGGTCACTCGTGTGCCTTTCTCTGTTTCGTTGATCCTATTTTCCATGTTATTATTATTCTCCCCCGTCAATTGTCTTCCCGAATAGTGCATTGCTCTGGCTCCAGCCCTCGGGTCCTTCACATTCGCATTCACTGCAAATCAGAAGACTTGTTCCAACATGTTTGGCAGCCTTCCCCGCATGCAAAGTTTAAGCCCTTCTGCTGCTGGTTCAGAATGGGAAGATCCATCTCTGCTTCGCATGACCCCCGGCTTTTTCTATGACACATTTTATTCTGTGGTGGTAATTCCCTCCTCCTTCAGGTCGACATTCTTAATGAGAGCCGCCTGCCCACCGATCGCGCCCCCACCCTCACACGAGAGACTCCCCTTGACTCGTCTGGGATTGATCGCTGTGGTCATTCTTACTCGTGCACCGACTGTACTATTCTTCCCATCGGAAACGCCCGTCCTCACCTCGCTGAAGATCTGCTCCCGCTCCTCCTGCTCCTCCTCCTCCTCCTCATCCCTCCTCCTCATCGTCGGATGACCCTCGCGCTGGTGAGCCAGCCTGGCCTGTTGTCATTCTAGCCCTTGGGCGTCTTGCCCCCCTCTCCTTCTCCTTCGATTACCTCTTTCGTACACCCACGTCCACAACGGTGGCCGCCTATCACCTATCACCTACCCCCCACTGCCTACGGCCACTGCAACAACCAAGTCGATTAGGATTAGAACCACACTGGATCGCAAAGAAGACTCCTCCCACGATTCATCTCTCCCTATCTCGATTCTGAATCCGATCAAGCCCTCAAAGGACTCGATCCACTCCATCGCTGTCGCAGAGTCCTGTCCGATGACCGACTGGCACTAGGTTAACAGGTCTCGATCTATATACCTGACTCAGTCCTCCCGCGACGGCGTTCTCTTCCCCTCTCCGGCCGGTCTAGTTCCGCCTCGCCCGCTGCATCGATCTCCTCTCGTCATCGTTGACCGTGTGGAGCTCCCTCTTTCCATAGCTTCTCCCTTCAGAAGATAAATCCATCCCCCCCCCCCCCCCCCCTCTCCCGCAGATTGGGTTTATCGGCAAGAGACGCTGTGCTGGTCTTGCGCTCGATGTTGTTCATGCAGAACTCCCCATATTTGACACGCCCACATTTCGACGGGTCGGGGTCAGAGCTTGAAGCCTGCGCCGGACCCTCCTCGGAGATCTCCATCTCCACTCTGGCCGACATCACCAACGCAACCGTGTCAGCCCATCGCAATATCCCCCGAGCCAGCACCTCCAGCACCAGTACGAGCGGAAGCCCCGATGACACCTCGTCAGGATCGCCGGACTGGCCGGGCGACTCGGCCGATCGCACGATAAATGACTATGATGCGCCATATTCGAGCTATCGGCTCTCCTCCCGACCAGATCCTGCATCCGCGGCGACTCCGGGTATGTCGGCCCCTTACGACTCAGATCAACTCCCCAAGATCGAAGAGCTGGACGAGAACGAAGACGACATCCACCGGATCAAGTCGTCAGAGGTGGGGGCGCAGGGGCAGAGTACAACGGCAGCGCCCGTCGCGGTTCCACGGAAGCGTGGACGGCCGCGCAAACATCCGCTACCCACACCGGGCGGTCAAGCCAAGGTGACCAAGGGGCGATCCAAGACAGGCTGCATCACTTGCCGTCGGAGAAAGAAGAAGTGTGACGAAACCAAGCCGGCGTAAGTTCAGTGCGCCATCTGGAGCATCTCAGCATTTGCAACGATGCTTTGCGCATCCGAGCGCTGCTCTCCACCGATGCATATAGCTGAGTGCCAAACGTCTAATGATTTGTATTTGATGACAGATGCCTGAACTGCCAGAAGAACGCAGTCGTCTGCGAAGGCTATCCTCCCAAGGAAATCTGGAAGAGTGGACGACAAAGAATGGCCGATGGTAGGAGAACCCTCCTCACGAGAATCTCTCGGAGAATGCCTCATACCCCGTCCCCCTTCCCCCACCAAACGCGCTCGCGATCGATGAATCCCAATTCACTGGTCGGTCACGACAACAAAAGATAACTGACAGCGGTGACAGCAGCCCGTTCTCATTCCACGGCAATTGTACCTCGTGGTCTCCCATTACTCATTGATGGGATCGAAACCGAGATCGACCGTCGATTCCTCGATCATTTCGTATACGGATTCAGTCGGGTTCTGACTCTGATCAATGACGACTCCAACCCTTTCAAAGAAATCCTGCTGCCGATGGCGACCCAACACAGAGGACTGATGCACTCTCTGATGTGCCTCTCAGGGTCACATTTGTCCGGCATAGATCCAGAGCCGAAGCTCAAAGAGCGCAAATACCACCACTTCCATCGTGCGATTCAAGATCTCAAGGAAAACATCACCGCCAAATCATCCCAGAGCTCAATGGCTACAGAGAGTAGCACCAAAACAGGGAGCGAGACCAAGCAGGATGAGCTTCTCGTGGAGGACCCGATCATCGCTTCCACAATTGCGCTCAGTCTGAACACCATCTGCGAAGGCGAAACGAGTGGCGAGTATCGGCCCCATATGGATGCGGCGCGGTATTTGTTAACTTCCCAGCAACCGCGAAATGAAAAGTTCCGCCAATTTATCGTGGAATTCTTCCAATACCACGACATCTCCAACGCATTGACCTCCTTAGATCGTCGGCCTGCACTCTTGCAGAGTGATTTGCGCTTACCCGACTTTGTGCCGGGGGCGCAGGCGGGAAATTTTCTTGGCGTGTTTGATGGGCTATTCAATTACATCTCTCAGATCACTCAGCTGCGAGATCGGATCCGCGAACGTCACAGTCAAGGCTACGAGCCTGCGGTGGACTATCAGACCCTGAGCGAGGCTGTCCAGATCGACACGGCCATTCGCACATGGAGGACCTCACATGAGAAGGAAACGCCGAATTGGTACTTGGCACAGCTGTACCGTCAATCAACCTGGGTGTATCTCTACCGAACCATTCGACCTTCACGACCGAGCGACAAGATCTCTCAGGTGGTGGAAGATGGACTGGTCTATTTGGATCTGCTTCCCCAAGATGCCAGTGCCTATAGCATTGTGCTGATGCCTCTGTTCTTGCTCGGCTGCTCGGCTTTTGTGCCAGCGCAGCGTGAGCGGATCACACGAGGGTTTGACACCCTGCGATCTTATTCCAACCTCCGCAACATCGAGCCTGCTTTCAAGGTTGTCTCGAGAGTGTGGCAAGTGATGGATTCCCACATTGAGGAGAGTTGGGATTGGGAGAAGATTATCAAGGATATGGATATGGACTTTTTGATCACTTGATCCTGCTTGGCGATTGCTGTCCTCCGCCATCGCCGACCTTCCCTTTCCTATTTGTTTCTGTGATATCCCTTGCATGTTGACATGAATCCGCTGATGTCTCTTTTTATTGATGAATCGTTTGTTCTTTTTCGGGCCCATTTGGGTCTCTCCGTCATGGTTCAATGGGCGTCGCTGCTTCGCTACTGTAATATTGGATCCATTTGCTGGTGACTCGACGATGAAATGGTTTGATGAGTTGGTGGTACTGTACAGTGGACCTGGGCGCGCCGTGGTGGCTGTTTATCTCCTTGTTTTCTCGCATCTTTCAAGGTATTGTTTTTGATGACTTTGATCTGGTATCCTGCATTTGCATTTGATTAGCGGGAGAAAATCCGGTCTGATCTTTCTTCCTTACTTTGGTGTATGTCTCGCTTTACTGACCGCGCCTGTTCTTTGCACTGTTCTTTGCACATGGAGCTTGTGACATATAATCTGCAAGTGACGTCGCTGCAAGTGGGGCCAGATGTTGCGAGCGAATTTGTATATATAAAATAGCAGGCTTTGTGTAAGAATCAAGGTGTTCTGCATAGATGGGTAGAACTTGATTGATTCTATGATGCTTCAGTGCACGAATGCAAGTTCAATGATGTAGTCCTAAGGGCAACGTGTATTCCACTCAACAGGATTGGTACAATCCAACTTCACAGACACCCGGGTGTATCTTCTGAGGTCGTTTTGAGAATTACTCAAGTCGACTGAACGAAAGTCCGCAGGGCAAGCTGAGTAGATCTAACTCTGCGTGGTCCGGACTGGAGTCTTCGCAATTAACATACAAATATTCGACGCCTGTGCCGCGTGCGCTATGCACAACCCACGAAGTTGAAAAGGCTCGTTGCACGGACATAATGGTCGTATCGTCAAAGTCACCTTTACACTTTTCTGACTTGTCCAGTACAGTAGTTACATGCTTTGATTATCATGTAAGCACCGCCGGACATAACTATTAACTAAGCGATCTCAACTTCCACATCACATGATACCTTCAATTCTGAGCAGGGCGCTCGTACTATCGCGGAGTTACCCCGAGATGACAACCCCACCACTACTCTCCCGCGTGGACGTCGGCGGGCGTTGACCCGAGCTTGAAGCTCCCCCACGTTTCGAGGAGACAACCTCGGGTCTCCTCTCTGGATTTGAATGTCGGATACTGTACGGGCAGAGGAACCTTACAATTCACATCTTATCCTTTCTTCACTCTTTCCAATTGTATAGGTCTACAGGTCAGATACCTTTTTTCCACTGCGTGATGTCCTTCTCAACTGCCATCCGCGCCGGTCTCAAGGGCTCAACGCCCGCTTTTGGCTTCTGGCTCACGTGCGTCCTCAACTCCCGGTCCCTGGTCGGGATTCATTTCGAAATGACAACGGCAGTGTCGATGCTCTGCTTGGTCTGATCAAAGAGAGACTTGAGGAAACCTTGGACTTTGGAAACTGATGACTATTCACTATAGTCTCCCTAGTTCTGGGCTTGCCAAGACCATTCTACACGGAGCATCCGGTTCGGAAACGAGATTTAGCTGGGTTCTGGTCGATGCGGAACACGGCCTGATTTCGGATCAGCACTATTATGAGGTGAGAGCTGAGGTCTTAGTTATTCTTCCCACGATCACCGGGCCCGATCATTAATGTGCACCTTGCAGTTGAACAATGCCATTGGGCACGAGAACGCTAGCCCTATTATTCGTGTCCCATGGGCGGAAGAATGGATGATCAAACGTGCTCTCGACTCTGGAGCCCACGGAATCATGACACCCATGTGCCACTCTGAAGTGAGTGAGATACGGGCGGAAAGCGAAAAACAAAAGGAGTGTATTTCCAAGAATAGCTGACACTTGCCTTTTTCCTTCCCAGGCCGATGCAGCCAAAATCGTCCAATATACTCGCTATCCACCCCAAGGTACCCGCGGATACGGCCCCATGTTCGCAACCCATTCTCTCCCCGGCGTCAACCCGGGCCCCGAATACGACGATCAAGCAAACGCCAGCTTGACCGTATGCGTCCAGATCGAGTCTCGGCCCGGTGTGGAGAACGTCGAAAAGATCGCTGCCGTAGATGGCATTGACGTCCTCTTTATCGGACCCTTTGATCTGGCCAAACAGATGAATGTGACTCGGGGTGGCGAGGAGCATGAGGCTGCCATTCAGCGGATTCTAAGTGCTGCTCATAATGCAGGCAAGAAAGCTGCTATTTTCTGTAAGTGTGCCCAAAAAAGAAGGGAAAAAAAAAACAACAACCAAAAGACCTTCTTGATTTGGCTGTCTGTCGTGAATTTTAGTGGTAGGAGGCTAATCTGGGATGGGGGTATTAGGCACGGATGGTTCTGATGCGCGGAATCGCGCGCAGCAAGGTTTCGATATGATCTCGGTCAATACCGATGTGGGCGTTATTAGAACTGGCATGCTGAATGAGCTCAAGACTGCCAATGGGGAGAATGTGCAGGGAGGTCCTCGCCAGGGCTATTAAGGAAAAGTCGTACAGCTGAATGGTACGCGGAGGCAGCGATCACAAAAATCTATTTGATGACAATCTACCCAGACCCTTCAGTGTGGAGAGAAACCTATATTGTTGGATGTTCGTCTGCGTTTTTTTTTTCTCCCGCCTATAAACCCTACTAAGGTTTCTGGAATTACCTCCTCGGGAGTTTGGTTGTCGAGTGACTGGCCTCTGCTGGTCATTGATGAGGCCGCTGAAAGCCTCCGATTAGAACAAGTGCGGTGTTATGACCAGCACGCAAAGCTTGCCACCGCTCGAGCGGATCTCCTGTATGCGATCGATCATTACATGGATGCGTAGTCGACTCACAGACGTGACATTTAACTCATAAAATTGCAGATCGAGTTCCGATCTATGAGGCTCGTAGACTCGCCAGAAATTCAAATATGCCCCGACCGCTGGCGTCATAGTATATCTGTTAATCGATGATCGTGAATGCAATCTCCCGATTGGCCGTAGTAAATGTTCCGGCTAAGAGCGGGTATGTCATCGTCGAGTCAGTCCGAAAAAGGCCACGTGTTGCTGACTCAGCTGCTTCGGCCATTCAGACCATTTGGGTGGATACTGCCTACCTAGGTAGGTAGACGATGACCAATGAAAGTACCCTTTGGAAAGCAGAAACAGGCCAGGCCTTGCCTACCTTCTTAGGGGTCCAGGCTGGGAACGAAAACGAGAGAAGAGACGGCACCAAGAGTGCTAAACGGAGCTAGTCAAACCCCACCCCCCCCCCCAGATAAACGCTTCGGCTATGGAGTCCCTAATCTCGAACTGGAACGGCCGTAAGATAATCCTCGGCGTGTCGGTCAGGAGTTCCATCTCAGCTAATTCGCGAAAGGGGATGGATGATTTCTTCAACGTTGATCCGACTTTGTTCGAGCTCGGCATCAATCTTCGGGAGAACCTGGATCCTGGACAGAGTTTCAGAGAGTCATGTTGTCGCTTTAAGAGGGGTGAGGCGGTTTGGTTCATCTCTTGATACGATCGAGATTGCATTGAAGACGGCGAGGAGCAAGAAACCATCCCTTCGGCCATGGAAAAGGACGAGATTTTGGCTGCAGTCCAAAGGGACGGCGCCGATCTCAACGCCGTCGTCCAAGATGCAGCCTACAATCTATCGCTCCGGGCAGTGAATCCGGTCAATGTGAAAGTGACAGACTTGTCATTAGACATCAATACAGCTCCCCCGATATGGAAGTCATCACCAAGTCAGATACGTGACCGCCTACGTGGTCGTGCGACACAATTATCTTCCAAGCGTGTTTTAGATGGTGTCAACGCGCAGTTGCCGAGTGGAAGCTTGACAGCGATCATCGGAAGCAGCGGGTCGGGTAAGACATCTCTTCTCAACATGATGGCGGGTCGCATGTCTCTTTCGCGAGCAACGGTTGTGGGTGCAACGACGTTCAACGGAGATGCCGACATTGCAAGCGTTCGCAGTGCCTACGTCATGCAAGAAGATGTCCTGGTCCCCACGTTGACCGTCCGCGAGACTCTGCGCTATGCAGCGGATCTTCGTCTGCCCCCTCCCACCACCCAAGATGAGCGATATGCCATTGTGGAACAGGTCATTCTCGAGCTGGGACTGAAGGAATGTGCCGACACTCGGATTGGAACCACCGCGCACAAAGGCTGCAGTGGTGGTGAGAAGCGGCGCACGAGTATCGGCGTGCAGTTACTAGCCAATCCTTCGGTCCTGTTCTGCGATGAGCCCACAACCGGTCTTGATGCAACCAGTGCTTTCCAAATCATCCGTACGCTCAAGAGACTAGCCCAGGATGGCCGAACAGTCGTCGTGTCTATTCATGCCCCACGCTCGGAAATCTGGAGGCTCTTCGACAATATGATCCTCTTGGCTCGCGGATCTGCATTGTACAGTGGTCCCGTGAACGAGTCACTGGCGCATTTCGAAGAATGTGGCCATGTTCTACCACCTTTCGTGAACCCGGCTGAGTTCTTCATTGACTTGGCTGCGATCGATAACCGCACAGAGGAATTGGAGGCTGCGTCTCGCGCGCGAGTCGAACAGCTCCGTCTTGCGTGGCGATCGCGACAGAAGCCACCAAGGAGCGACGAGCAGACAGAAAAGGCGCCGTCATCGAGCCCAGAGAAGAAGAGAGGATCCGGTGCTTCGGGCAAAGTATCCTTTCGTCGTCAATTTCGAGTCCTCACTTCGAGAACTTTTAAAACGACCATACGTGACCCCATGGGTGTGGCAGGTAGTCTGCTTGAAGCGGTCGGGATGGCCGTGATTAACGGCTGGATATTCTTGCAGCTTGACGAAAGCCTCGCGGGCATCCGATCTCGACAAGGAAGTCTGTATACAGCCAGTAGTCTGAACGGGTATCTGATTTTGCTATACGAAACCTACCGGCTCACAATCGACATTCGTCTGTTCGATCGCGAACGCAACGAAGGCGTAGTTGGAGTTCCGGCATTCTTGTTGAGCCGACGGGTGGCTCGATTCCCACTTGAAGACTTGCCAGTGCCTCTTCTCTTTTCCCTGATCTATTACTTCATGGTAGGGTATAGGCTGGAGGCAGCACAGTTCTTCATCTTTTTTGTGCTATCCCTCCTGACACATTATGTCGCGGTGACGTTTGCAGCTGTGTCAATTGGCGTGGCTCGGAGCTTTCCGGGCGCCAGTCTCGTGGGAAACTTGTGTTTCACCCTGCAGTCCTTTGCCTGTGGATACTTTGTACAGTCTCAGCAGATCCCGGTCTATGTCCGGTGGCTGAAATGGTGCGCCTACACGTTCTACATCTTCGGGGCACAATGTGCCAATGAATTTATCGGCGTTGGCAACTCGAAACTCGGCAATTTTTACGCCTGTCCGTACTCTAATGACCCTCGGGACCCAGCATGTCGAGAATACACTGGTCGCTTTATTATGGACAGCCTCGGCCTGCCGTCGAATTGGATCTGGCGACCGATCGTGATTCTTATCGGTTTTGTTCTGGGTCAATACCTGGTTGCTGGTCTCTTGCTGCAATACAATCGATTTGGAATCGACATTGCTCAAGCCCGACCAGCTGAGAGTGCTTCATCCGCGGAGAAGGCCAAGATCTCAATTCGTCCCGCGGAAGAGGCCCGGCGAGTCGCCATCTCGTTGGACGAATACGCCCTCGAAATACGAAAGCGTAGCCTGCCCTGGCAGCGCAAGCGCAAATTGCAGATATTGCAACCAATCACGGCTGAATTTCATCCCGGACAGCTCAATGTGATCATGGGTCCCTCCGGCAGTGGCAAGACATCGCTACTGAACTCGATTGCCCGAAGGCTTCAAGGCTCAGCGAGTACCCAGTACCGGGTGACAGGACAGATGCTATACAATGGCGCTGTGCCGTCGGAAGCTGTGATCCGTTCGGTGACCTCCTTTGTTACGCAAGACGACGACGCGCTGATGCCTTCTCTCACTGTACGGGAGAGTCTGCGCTTTGCTGCGGGGCTGCGACTGCCGACATGGATGACTCGCGAGGAGAAAAATCGGCGCGCCGAAGAGATTCTATACAAGCTAGGCCTTGGGGAATGCGCAGACAATCTTGTTGGCAGTGAACTGATCAAAGGTATCAGCGGTGGCGAAAAACGTCGAGTCACGATCGCGATCCAGATTCTCACCGACCCCAAAGTGCTCTTGCTGGATGAGCCCACATCGGGGCTGGATGCATTCACGGCCATGTCGATCATTGAAGTCTTGCAGGGTCTGGCAGCTGAAGGGCGGACACTGATCATGACCATTCATCAGTCGCGGTCAGATCTGTTTGGTCATTTCTCGCAGGTCCTGCTGCTCGCGCGAGGCGGCTTTCCTGTGTATGCTGGCGGAGGACAAGAAATGCTCCCACATTTTGCGGCTCTGGGTCATGAATGTCCCCAAACGACCAATCCAGCTGACTTTGTGCTGGATCTGATCACGGTGGACCTGCAGCAAGAAGACCGGGAAGCCATTACTCGCGACCGGGTGCGCAAGCTCATCAGTTCGTGGAGCGAGCGAGCACCACAGCTCGGACGCACGGCGTCTCGCATTGCAACGCCTGCCGAGCTGGGTAGTCTGCGAAGACAGATGCTACCATTCCGAGTGACTTTCCCACTCGTTCTGTATCGGTCATTTTTGAACTTTTGGCGCCAGCCGCCCTTGGTGATGGCGCGGTCGATGCAGATTGTGGGGATATCTATCATCATGGCGTTGTTCTTTGCGCCTCTCAAGCATGACTATGCGGCTGTGCAATCTCGCATGGGATTCATTCAGGAGTTTGCCGCCTTGTACTTTGTCGGTGAGTCGTCAATATTTTCTACCCAGGAGTTGATGGGCGTGTGCATGTCGAGGACGGAGGTCAATGGCTGATTCGGTGAGACGTGAACTAGGTATGCTCCAAAACATCGCCATCTACCCCAATGAGCGGGACGTGTTCTACCGCGAAGAAGCGGATAGTTGCTACTCTGCCGAGACGTTTCTTCTTGCGTACACGACTATTGAAATACCCTTTGAGATTCTCTCGTCGCTCATTTTCGGAGTGCTGGCTGCCTTTGCGGACAACCTCAAGCGGACCGTGCAGATCTTCCTCATCAGCGCCTTCAACTGTTTCTGCATCATCAACTGCGGCGAGTCCGTGGGAATTATGTTCTGCACACTATTCTCGCACGTGGGCTTCGCAGTGAACGTGACCTCGGTGTTGCTCTCCATCTCGACCATCCTCGGCGGCGTGATGAGTCTGAATGTGAATGATGTGCTACAGGCTCTGAACCATCTGTCGCCGATCAAATATTCGATCGCTAATCTGGCACCCTTTTCTATGCATGGACAAACCTTTGACTGTACCCCCTCCCAACAACTGGCGGATGGAAGTTGCCCGATCTCCACGGGCGAACAGGTGCTGGAGCTGTACAATTTGAACAAGGACGGGGCTATGAATGTCATGGCACTGGGTGTATGCACTGCCATCTATCGGTTGGTCGCCTATGCATTTGTCAAGGCGATGCGATCGCATCGGCTGATGGAGAAATGGCGTGAATGGCGACAGTCTAGGCAGGCCTCGTGAAAGGAATGCTCGAGGAAAATGCAATTGTGGATTGCGCTGCGCTTTGCCCAATTCCGTATGATCTCACTTTTCGTTAGGACGAGTAGCCTGAAGCGGATAGTAGTATTCGGTTCATGGCCATGGATATCATGGGATTCCGTAAATGACCGAATGAGCGATTCAACTCTTTTCACCATATGCTTTCCAACCTTCGGCTTTCAGCCCAGTACCTCTGTCCAAACTGTGACCACGAGATGAATGCGTCCCTCCCCCCCCGGCGACGACTCGCTTGACGAGACCATCCACCGTGCTTCAAAGCACTCTCACCCTGCTAACTGGCCAGTTTTCTGCCCCAAAAGTCACGGGTGTTCCGAGCCGTGGCTCCTGATGAGTCAGCAGCCTTTCATGGTAGTTATTAATGTAGTATGATTGGTGGAACCCCTGGGGATTTACTGCCAAACTCAGTCCACCGGTCCGGTTAGACGAGGACTGGAACTTTGGACCCATGGAGAGTACAATCCTTACGAAGTTATGTACTACTAACTAAGTTAGTACTACGGCCTTTAGTGTCACTGACTTGTTGGACCTTGGGACTTGTGTCTGTGGAACCCACGCTTGTCACGATTACCGCATTTTGGGGCGGAGTTCTCTTCGGACAGATTGGCTGGGGAAGTACTCGTGGATAGATTTGGGTACGACTTGAACGGCGCGCGGGGACCAGCTCGACCACTGGGAGCTGAGTAAACCATCACTTAGGGACCGGCGAGAAAGCCGGGTGACGGGGTTCAACCCAGAGTCCAGTTACCGGGCTTCAGGAACCGAGGTCTTGTCGTTCGTGCGCAGAAGCAGGGTGTCCGATTGCGCGCAGGAGTTGAGAGTCTAGACGGCATTTGAAGTCGATGTCGTTTACTTCTACTACTGGGTTCTATGTGGATCAGTCAGTGTCTAAGGTGGTGTCTACCATATAGTATCACTAGTTATGTGGTATTTACTCACGTACCTCGAGCTTCCAGCTGGGTAGTGCAGTGACATGAGGGAATTGGGGATTGAGAAACGAATCTATACCGGTCCACTTTCGATCTTGATCCTCTTGTCCTCCCCACCGCAAGGCCAAGGGCCACCAGGAGAGGAGAACGCCTGCGATTGAAATCCGCTCCATGTTCGGTCCGAGTTGAGTTACACTCGGATTCTGCTTCACTCCCCCGGTTTAGCAACTGTACAAAAAAGTGGGGAAAATTGATGGACGACGACTGGATGAATTAGATGAATTAGTCCACTGTCGACTTGTTCTGAATACCTACATCAACAGTCAGAGGTGGTTTTTGAGGATCCCCAAATCAAGAGATTGTGACACAGTGCAAGCCTCTTCGAAAGGCAACTTTTCTCATGCGCTCCTCGTACTCACATCTTGTCACTTCGTAATGATGTCTGACGTCTGATGTGTGTAGATGCGACGATTTTGAACCGAAAAACTCATGCAGGGGACGTTGACTTAAAAGATGTTCAGAACCTGACCTGCATCGAAAATTGTATTTTACTGTAGCATATTCGCATTTCGCAATAATATAACCCTTCTGCTACAAGACTTCGATTGACTAAATCCAGTCTGTGGGTCGTATGTGTCCTTGCCTAGAATCTGGAGAGTTACACTATTCCTGCACCCCCGACTCTCCCTACACAAAGAGTTAGTATCCCCCAGGCTTATTCTCAGTGTCAAGACCTTTCGCTTGTAGGCGTCATTGCTCCTCTTTCGGATGTGGCTTATCTGTGGACTTCGGTGACCTTTCGTCGACATTCGAGGCTAGTAATGAGAGCTTGCTCACTGCAAGAAGGTCTTCGATGTTGGTACTTCCGCACGGGGCAAGCCCACCACAATCTTCAAAATCCCTCAACACCTGGTCAATTATCTCCGCCTGACCACTCATGTGTAGGAAGTTTCCAATGGAAGCGTGGATTTCGAGGAGTTTCGGATGTGGGAGTTCCCAACTTCCTTTGTGAACTCGAAACTTGACAAGTCGATTTCTGGGTAAACCCTCTATTGACCTGGTCGGAATTCCGGGAAAGGTCTTGATTCGATATTGGTGAGCTATTCCGGTTGCCTCAAAAATAAGGTTAAACTGTCCGAATTCAGTATGAATCAGGGCGTCGAGCATCATGACGTTCTTTTCTGAATTAATCTGTTCTGAGGTAAAGGATATTCGGCGAAGAGCTGGAAAGTAGCGCCTAAGGTTAACCCAGATCTTAGCGTGTCGATCCATAGCCTCGCCGCTCTTTATATCGAAGGATCCAAGAGCAAATGGAATAATATGCGCGACTTTAAGACGGGCCGTTTTTGCATTTTGTGGATAGGGGTGAAGATAACTATAATACCCCGATGCAAGACACTTATTGCCATCTCTTTCTAAACAGTGGGAACGGAGTTGCGACTGAACGCTTCTGGTGATTAAGTCGATGTCTTGGCTCTTAGGATCCTCGATTGAATCTTCAACACCGGGACGCGGGGAGAGAGTGATCTCAGTAGGTGTTTTTCCACCCTGTGCTTTCAGAGGAATCAACAGCCCGGTTCTGATACATTGGACTAGTTGCCGAAGCTTCTCATCGTCTGCACACCCTGAAACGTCGTCCACCAGATTCCCTTTTCCTTCAGGAGGAAGGGTCTTGAAGAAATTGCGAAGGAACATCTGAGTCTTGTCCGTGGGATTCAGTGGAGTATAACTTTGCAGCTTTTGATCCAGCTTCTATCCTGATGATGAGCATTTTGGAAAGAAAAAAGACAAGACAAACGCCGAGGCACTGACCGTCTTCGAAGATGATGACATGTTGGGCCAGTCTGGAGGGTATAATGGTTCCGGTACAAGCACGATGGCCGAATCGGCTGGGATATTCGAAACGGGGATCGATGACAGATGCGGACGATAGTTGAAGCCTTTGCGCGTGGATAGATGATGGGCGAGTGCGATTGGTTGGAGCCCGTGGAAGGGAAGTGAGGGGCGTAAAGCCGGGCTTCAAGCCGCAACTCACCGCCTTCCCTGTTAGGAGAAGGTATTGCACATTGAGGGCTGGAACGGTGGAACAGGACAGTACAAACACCTGTGTAGAATAGCGGAATGATCAATGATCGGCTCGGCCATAGATTGGGTCACTGTAGTTCCTGTGAGTAAAGTGGGAGAGCTCAACGCAGTCCGAGCACGGACAGGTCGAGACACGAGATACTGTAGCAGGCTAGCAGCAGGCAGGCAAAACAAACTCCCCACCAGCGAAAGACCAGGTTGAGGGTTCAGGCCGTAAAAACATACAACAAAAAAAAAACAAAGAAAAGTCCCCCCTACGTGCTCCCCCCCACTCCACGAACAAGGTTCCTAACGAGTTTTTCTCCTTTCGTCCTCGGTGGAGTCTGTGGAGCTTCTTCGAATTCTAGAATCTCCACCAGATACACTTTGCCTTCTTTTTCCCTTTCTCTTCCTCTCTCTCTGTGTTAGTTCCCTTCCGCCACCCGCCAAACATCTTTGGCCCAGTGATTTGGTGAGCGAATCGGAGGGGCGGGGGATGTGATGATGGATTTTGATCGTTTGAAGAAAAAGTGGACTGGGGAGGGGTAGGAGGGGTACAGTCTGTGTGAGCGCTGAATACTTACTAGTTAGTAGTACTAGTAGTGACTCGTGAGTACCGAGTCACTGAGTCACTGAGTACTGTGTAACTGGGAGTGTGCACTACTTCCAAGGTGTAGAAAGATCACCCCTTCAAGAATCCAAAGCAGAGAGGCTCAAGCACAAGCGTCAGCACATACACCAATCCTACAACATGGCCCCGACCAAAATTTGCAATTCCACCATACCCAAGCGAGCGGGAACAGTCCGCATCAAATCAACTCTTGAATAAATTGACTTTGCACGCGATAGTCTAGACTCTCGACCAGAGGTCGAGAGGCGAAAGTAGGGTTCGGTATTGTTTGAAGGACGGGCCCTTCGAGGTTCAACTTGTTGGAACTTCCAAGCAGCCGGGGGAGGAAGGACGGAGGAGGCTGATCATAGTCATCCCATCGAAGGAGACGAGGACCTGCCGAGGGGACCTGGAATCGAGGTCGAGACACGGAGACCGTGTGTGATGTTTTGACTTTGGAGAGGATTGGATGTTCTTGCTTTTCGGTGTGCCCTTTCCTGGTCCGTTTGGTGATGCTAGCCTGGTATTATTAGACTTTTCATGAGGGTGACCCCATGGATGTTCCCTCATGTGTGGAGGATCAAGACCCAGTGACATTCGAGGTAGATGGTGCGAAAGGTGTTGGATTGGTTGTGTTCTGACATACGTGTTTTTGCCATGGATGAGAGACAGAGCATACTACCTGCTGGAGGTGGAAGGAGGTAATTAGTTCGGTCCCTGCAGGTGGCAACCGAGCTGTTCTCTGCAGGAGGACAGGATGCCATTTACAAGTCGCACAGAGTACAAGTCCATTTCACCGTCTAGACCGGTGATCGAAGGAATTGACACCCTCTGATGCTGGAATCTTTTCCATGTGATAGAGGACTCAGTTACACCATCTACACAAGCAGTGGACAAGCAGTAGACAAGCAGTAGACGCTGGAAAGTGGCACAAACGTTCAACTCAAAAGTCAATGATTGAATGAGGGAACAACACCCAATCTCTATCTCTATCAAACAGGTCTATTTTCAAGAAAAAAAACAAGATCCCCCGAGATCTTCAATCCTATTCCAGGAAAGAGGGGTATATAGCACAAGCAAAGAAGAAAAGAATTTTTGTTTTCTTTTGTGGGACATGACACAAAAAGATGGAAGGGGGGTAACTTCATAGCTCGTAGACGACGTCCTGCCCCAGCGGAGAATCAACCGCTCTATTGACAAGATTGTGGGGAGGGAATCATGAAGGCATGTCGAATCAACCGAACATGTGTTGTTGTGTGAGGGGGAGAAAAAAAAAGGGTCCCAAAAAGAAACAAGGACATCAAAAAGAGGGCCACCGACTTGGGTGGAACGAAGGAAAAAAAGGGAAAAAGAGTGTCAAGAAATGGAAAAAAAAGTAAAAGGGATTGCCTCATCCAGCTAAAGAGACGCTTCAGATGGAGGCAAGGAGAAGAAGAAAAAGATATGTGAAAAAAAACAACAACACAAGGACCCTGTATATTCAAAGAGAGTGCTCGGGTCAACCGGCAGAGGAGTTGGAGGGGGCAGGGAGAAGAAGAGAAGGAGAGAGATCAGAAGATGATTGCAATCCTTCGAATGGCAAGCATTTACTGGCCGATGGTCAGAGAAAGACCGGTGTTGATGGGGCAACCGTGAGTGGCGTAGTCATCAGTAGGGATCAAGTAGGCATCCGAGCAAGCAGAGTCGCCAGCCGCACAGATGGCCGAAGGGCACGAGGAGCTGGATTCGGTGGGCAGAACAGCAAAGCCGTACTTGGTGAACTGGGAGTTAGAGCCCATGTTGATACACGACAGATCCCAGAAGATGGTGTCGACGGCCTGGGTGTACTCGAACTGCAGCACATCCTGCTGGTTGGGGTCGGTGGACAACTTGATGGAGACACCACCCCCGTTGGGGTTGGTCTGCCAGGCCTCGGTGTAGACACCCCCGTTGGCGGGCAGGGTGATCATGGGGCCGGAGACATCGGTCACAGACCAGGCATAGACGTCGACACTGAGGTTGTTGGTGATGAGAACGGAGCCCCCGGTGGCGGTGTTGTCACGACGGACCATGTTGGCCAGGTTGTTAGGGAGAGCAGAGGCCAGAGCAGCGAAGGCAGCGGCGAAACCGAAGGTCTTGGTGAACATCATCTTGGGCAGATAGATTGTTGGAATTGGTTGATTCTGGCGTGGAGAGAAAGTCGGGTGCAAAAAAGAACTGTTCGACAGATCTATAGAGAATGCAGGCGAGAGTCAATCTCGAAAGGAAAGGCAGGTCCCGAGGAGTGGGAGTGTGGATGTTGGGGTTGGAGAAGAGAGAGAGAGAGAGAAGACGTGTTGTCTTCTAGAGAATGAATGTGCTGTTGAAATAGAAGGCCAGAAATATTGTCGTGGATTGGACCGGGCCTTTTTATAACTTTGAAAGGCCGGGGGGCTTCTGAATCGCCTCGCGACGGCCAGGTACCGGACCCAAGAAACGATGTGAAAAACGTGTGCGGGCCTAGCCATGCCTCCGGATCCATGGATCACATCGAGGCACAAATGGATACCAAGTGGATGCCAAGTGGATGCCATGTGGAGCCCCTGGGCTCTCTTCTTTTATTCTTTTTGGTTGCCTTTGGACAAAATTCCATCAAAGAACCCCCGATTGGAGTCGGGTGGAGCCTGGATGGCAGAGCCGAATCATCGCGAAGCCTTCCCAGGCATCACAACGAGGATTCAAACTGAGGGCAGGGCCTGGCCCGAATGGCCCGAGGGTGGATTTTGATTATTCACGCAACCTTGCAACAGAGCCTGCCGGTGAGGTCAAAGGAACACCATGCGGTCATTTCATGGGGAGATAGGTGGAAATTGTGTAGTCTGTAGGTACCCACTACTTCACCTTACGAGCAGCGTAAGGGTAGAAGTCAGGTATTCTACTGGCCAGAATGAATTTGAGGTACAACTCTGCCCCCATCTTGCACATGCCCGTGATTCTGATTCTTCCTCAGTCTGTCTCACGGCAGTACGGGCTTTTGCTTGGAAGAGGCAGGTCGAAACCTGTTTGTCCGGATTGGTCACGATAGGCTCTGACGCTGACTCGGCATGAGAACAAGAGATTCCGGAACAATGGGAGGTGTATGATCATCTAAGCAAATGAAGAAGATGCACCCTTTCCCAGGCAGCCTGATGCGCTGTGCTGGTCGCCATGAATCTTCGTCATGATGGCCTAACCATGACAAGCGGTGTGATAGGACAACTTCCACGCCTTGACGTGTCCAGCAGTCTCTGGGCAAGCTACAACAGACCGGAAGATCAGGGAATGCTTCTGGTTGACAGTTTGACACGGCGGTGGACAGGTGACAGTTTTATCGCCTGTAGGAGGTAAGAGACCTGCCAAATTAGTTTGCACCGTAGTTGGGACAAGATGGACGACTGGGGCAGCTGATAGCAGGAGGGGACTATTACTGCACTTGGGAGTGAAGGCTCTTTGTGTGGTGGTAGAACCGTAGAACCGTAGAACCGTAGAACGACAGCATGTGACAACTCCAATCCTGCACACGACACGGACGACGCAGGTCCCGTTGGCCCGACCGGCGTTCATTCTGCTGTGGTGGGGCCAATCCGCAGAGACGAGTTGTGCGTGGAAGCAACAATCTACGAGCCCACTTGTGCGTCAGGACGTGCATACAAGCCCCCAGGCTGCTGTGGCAATAGATTGCCGACGGGCCCGTTCGACACCATTTCAGGCGGTCGCACACGTCATTTCTTTCCGAGCCCATCCGCGGGTCTCGGTCAGGAACTCCCAACTTTCGGGGGAACCCAGAACGAGAATGGAAGAGCCCCAAAATCGGGATGGCAGAGAGAAAGAGGGAAAGAGAGTTCAGCCCGCGGCAACGGAACGACCTCCCTGCCAGCATAGGAGGACCGAGCCCGCAGACAAAGTTCTTTTGAGGTGGACCATGAGTATCCTGTCTGAAGGAACATCTCAACCCCTCTTCGAGGCTTATCTCACCCATGGCCATCGTGAAGTTTGAATCATCGAGCCCAAGGATGTAGTCGCTTGTCAGTCAGTGACTCAGTGAGTCAGACTCACTCACTTAACTTACCCAAGTACTCAGTAGTAAGTAGTTGCCGCAGGTGTAGGTGACCACCCCAAACCCATCCATAAGGTACTCTCCACTGTCCAGTGCCGGGTACCAGGTAGAGTCGCCAGTTGGCCACGCTTCAACCGTTGGTACCTGTCCGCTTCTCGGGGATCATGAATGGGCCCGGGAATTGATGCCCTTTCCATCATGAACCAGGTCCACGGAGATGAAGAGTTTGGAAACGGTCTCGTGGTCGTCCAGTCGTGCAATGGCCATCACAAGACGAATCCTTTCTCCCGTGGATGTCATCGTCGTGTGTTCTGTGTACGCGACCGCCAAGGGGCAACCGAATCTCACATCTACTTTGTCTTCGTTACCACGGCGATTTCAAGGTAAGAGGGAGTAAGGCATTCAGCAACATGTGCTCTTGTCCTTGTCATTGTCAACCCTTACCATAGCTCAACATGCATGATCCCAGGTACTACTACTAACACTCTACTACTACTACTCTACTACTACTACTATACTACTACTACTACTCATCCTCCTCCTCCTCCTCCTCCTCCTCCTCCTCCTCCTCCTCCTCCTCCTCGGTCCCTCTCCTCTTCCTGGCCATCGGAGAACAGCAGCTCATTTGGCCAACACATCACCCCAGGATGGGTCGACTTGACCTGTTCCACTCAACGCTGGCGGAGGCCTTCTTCATCTTGTCTTGTATGCGTCTGGATTGGTTCGAGATACTGTCTTGCACGAGGCGCTGTTAGGCAAGTTTGGACCAGTCAATCCTCCGAGTCGGGTTCCGATGGTCTAAGCATTGCACTTCGCAAAGTTCGCCGTACCCTCGCTAGTAGTATGATGTAACAGTACATGGCATTCTATACAGTATACAGTATACACTAGATGAGTAGATGCTGAGCCCTCGAGTTCCACGCGCTCTTGTCCCGTGCGCCCTCGTTCCTGAAATCGGTACCACTTTCTTCAACTCTTGTGCCCGACCTGTTCGAGAAGACGAAAAGTCTTCTCGTTCGCCTCACGCTTCTTTGGCCAACGAGACTCCGGTGTCCCCACTCGGAAGGGGCACAGTGCCCTTTTGACGCGGCAGGGTCCATTGGGTACCTGACGATCCAGCCTGATCAGTGCGCTCGGGTGGCAAACCAAGCCTGTTCAGCTCCACGCGTGGCTTTTCTCTTCTTCTTCTCTCTTTTTTTTTTTTGTCGTTATTATTTTCCAGCTGGATTTTCCATCCTTTTTGTTCTTTTTTTTTTTTTTTGGTTTTTTTCCTTTTCGACTAAATTTCAGACTACTGGTAAGATCTGAGAAGATACCAGATGTGATGCCTTTTTGCTGAATCGACAGATCGCTGATGATAGATAGAAAGACTCCTCTTCTTGTTCTTCCTTCGTGCTCTGCCACGCCTCATACTAGATTCCCGAAGACTGAATAGGGAATGGTCCCCGGTTTACTCTGCCATGTCAGACCGCCTTGATCCACGGTTCTAGACGTTCCCCCCCCCGCGCGACGTGAAAAATGGCTTCCCGAAAATGACCCGCCAATGAGTTCTAAGTATCTGAAGATGGACTATGGCTATCCGCTATACTACTGTATCCCCAAGCAAGCGATGAGGGGTTTTTTTGGGGGGTGCACGTCAGGCACAGCCAGTCATGGTCAAAAAGGGTTGTGTTCTGAGGGCACCTCTGATGGTCCATGCTCGTACTGAATCCTACAGCACCTGAGCACAGTAAGTACTACGTGAGTACTAGTTACGGACTCTACGGAGTGAGTCTAGTAAGATATGCCATTCCCACAGTCGAAGCGTGTGGGTCATCGGGTAGAGTGTCCCGATTGTGAGCCACACGGCGGCTCACTGGCTTCTAGCAAGGCTGGCTATCACATTGACAGCAACTCCGGGCAATGAGTTGCCCGAACCCTTTCCCCAGGGCTTTTTGTCTGTCTACATCTGCGACTCCATATGGGACTTTCAGGATTTCCTTCCCTACTATTACCCAAGTCCAACCCACAACATTGAAGGGACAAACACTCACCAAAAAACCTGCCTACAGACTAAAGAGTAGTAGTACAGACAATAAACAACGTGGAACGGCAAACTCGCCTTACCCGTACGGCGTACAGTAGTCCCGATCCCATGCGCTGTGACGCCTCCCCGTCGACTCTTAGCCCGCCACATGTGATGGAGACACATGAGAAGTGGACCAAATCACCCAATGGAAAAAAAAAAAGTCTTTCGCGATAGATCCACAAACAACAACGGCAAAAGGTCCAGAGCGATGAACGATGAACGATCGATAGGCCATGGCAACGAGGAAAAAGAGACTCGTTCCAATTTTTGCAAGGTTCCCACCAGACCTGGGTCCAGGGACGGCACTTCGACCTTCGTCCACAAGGGTTTCTTTCCACTGAAAAGCCACTGCGTAGTCTTGCTGCGGACTTGGGAGGCCATTGAACCTCCGGAGTCGTGGCCCTTTCACGTGAAGGCCCTTGCGAGTCGCGACTGATGCAGCAACGAGGAGTGCTGGACTGGTCCGATGTACATGTGTAGCTGTCTCGTCCGTTGTCTACTCGGGGGCTCAGTAGTACGCCGAGATACCCTACCCATCAAATGCAGGTCCCCTGCCTATACAATAGGTCAACGACGAGGCATTTGTACTAGACCGCCTCTACCCACCTCAGCTCTGCCCAACAATGGATGATCCGAGGGGTAGAAAGCGCTGACGTGTGCTTTGCTACTTGCATGTGCCAGCGAACATCTCCGCTCGTTGGATATAATCCAGTCAACCAGATCACAAGCGACACACCTGGATGGTTGCGCCGAACTTGGTTGGCCGACTGGTAGAGCTGCGTATCGGTCTTTTTCCAGGGGGAAATTGATGGTACCGGCACGAAACGTGGAGTTGATCTCATGGTTCCATTGTTCCTCAAAGCTGGGGTATCCCCCAGTGTGTGTAGGTATAAAACACGGTATGATGACACTCAAGAACCTACCGTCGGCGAACAGGACATACTGTTTTGTTTCCTCATACCGAATCACAAACTTTGTTAATCCAGACGGTGGCGCGGGGTCTGGCGTCTGCATAGGGCGCAGACCCTGGTGCATCGAATGGGAAAAAGTAACTGCTTAACCCTACACATCGCCGAGGTGAGCCCGAGAAGCCATTACACGCAGCCAGGAATTCAACACACAGTGCGCAATTTCAGATGGAACCCACACAGTAAAAAGAGGTAGAAAATAAAAGAGGATGGTATAATAATATGTACAGAATGACTGGTCATCAGACCACTGGTACTTCCGGGGTGAGAGGCCTTTTCAGTAGTTAGAGGACAGTGACACAGATCGTGCTGGCAGTGCGTACGAAAACAAGGAAAGAGGCTAGAGATGATCCGTCATCCACCGTGCCAGACGGGTTCCTAGGGCCCACCGGCCCAAGCCCCGAACAACCACTCCCCTTGGCCGACGAAGGAGTCTCGGCACCTTCCTGCTTGGGTTCCACCCGGAGGGCTCCGGTGCATTGTCGTGGAGCGACCAGCCAGTTCAGTAGCCTAGCGTATCCGAACAAGGCTTCCAGAGCGCCCGAGAGCTTCAAGTGTGCCAGTGTGGTGACAGTGCACCAGAAGCCCTGAACAAGAAAAGGCAGCCGACGCCGTTTACCGTCACCCGGCCCAATCTGAGCCCGCCACTCTCATACACCAAAAAGAAAGCGCCTCCCAAAGGAACTACCCCGGCACACAAGTCGTTCCTCGGTGCAGGACCTAGACCGTTCCGCGTGAAAAAAAAAAAAAAAGCATGTGCACGGCCATCTTACCACATAGGCGATCGCAATGCTGAAAGATTGGCCAACGTCCCTTCACTATTGGACTCTTCCTTCTTGCGATGACCGGCCAGTTCCAGATTGATCTGCCGATGAATGTGTACCAGCCAGTCCACGTAGCTCTGCGCTTCGTTGTTCCGGTCTTCCAGCAACAGTCGTGCGAATTCATATTCGGCCCCATCAAGCCCTTGTCGGGCCAATTGGATAGTGACGGCCTTCGATCCGCGCACGGTCGAGAAATATTGCAGTAGATTTCGGACTTGGGCGTTGAGATGAGTATCCAACACGGGCAACGAAGACATGTTAGGATTCAGCCCCTGCAGGGAATTTTGACCGGGTCCGAAAAGGTCCTCCAAAAGGTTGGGAGATACCTGGGCATGCAGCCAGAGCAAAATAGCCTGGCCGTTGTCTACAAGATAGACACCACCCTCTTCCACTTTGGAGAAGCTTGCCCGTACTGCTGGCGGAACCTGGAGTTGACCATGCTCGTTGGGGAACCCGTCCTCGGGTTGCATGTTGTGGATCGGGATAAGCCGAGGGTAGAGATAGAGAGACATTTCAGTGCAGCCAATGGACCGAATCATGCGCATGTCGTGGACACGACGATCAATTGCCTCATTGCCACCTTTGAATATATCCGAATGTTAGATTCCAACTGAATGATACCCCTGAAGACAGGGAGCAGAGAAACTATCGCATCAACTTACCCTTGAATGCCCTCGACTTGACTAAGCTGAGCATGTACATGGAGAACTCCTTGAGATTCTCCGGCAACACCAATTGCCCCGGAGGATGAGAGCCAGAGAACATCTTGCGGTACCCGCTGAAGATGTCGACAGTCTTCTCTGAGATGTGGGCGCGAATATCCTTGAGGCTCTTGTCGTGAGTTTTGGAGGCGGCTGTAATCAGGAAGAGCAACATTAGCCATAGTGCCAGGGTTTGGTATGTCAGTGTTCACCTCCCAACTCACCTTCTTTGGCGATGACAGACACAATGGCGTCCTGGTCAACAAACTTCATTGTTTCCATACCACCCTCGTTAACGGCAGCCACCACGTTGATACATCTTACACGACGTTGACCATCGGCCGAAGTGTAGAGCAATGCAGCTTGGAAATGAGCGTCAAGTTTGGGATCCAGCTTGCCATCATAGCTGAACAGAACTCCAATGGCTTTTTCAGCGTCGATACTGCCAATTTCCAAGTCCGCGCCTAACGTATGCTGCACAAAGTTTCCGTGGTATGATGAAACCTGGAGCCCGTTGGAGCACCGAACCTTCATCAAACACTGATAACCCGTCTCTCTGATGATAGCGTGCGCCAGCTCTTTTCGCACCTTGAGCACATCTCGGGGTGCATGGTAATTGGAGTAGAAGAACGTCTCTCCACCGCTCACGGCGGCGACATGACCTGTACTTCAAAGTCAGAGAGTCGTGCGTCTACTTTCGATCTTCAGCATTCCTATGCACTTACCGATAGTAGCGACATCCATGTATGTACCGCCGGGGGATGCAACAAAGAAGTCGGTGCCCACACCGGCCTCGGCCATCTTGCTGGCGATCTTCTTCCAGCCTGCATCCTCGGCTGCGTACAATTTCCGTTCACCGTCAGTTCCGTGGAGGCTCCGGTCGTCTCGCTGCTCGGACAACTTTCCAGGTCCCCAAGTCGGTAGACTCGCAAGGGCACAGACGACCTTGCCTCCCGTTGGCTGAAGGGCCGCGAGAGCCGCATTCAGCGCAGGGAGCAACGCCGATTCGGGAGTTTTGACGTGAGAAAACATGGTGGGTATCTGCTCCAATAGAGATAAAACAATGGACCTGATTCCTGTCAGTAACTACTTGCAGAAGTACATTCTTCCCATGTTGAACCGAGCATTGGCTTTTGCCTCAGATACACATACTTTGACTCATATGGATCAACAAAGAGACCGTCACTTAGAGGCACGAAGGGCTCTTCAAGATCAGTCATCACCATCATTTGCGCTTGATTTAACGTTGACTACCAAACTGATTAGCACGATACTTGTCGCTTCAACTCAATGCACTTACCGAAAGATTGTAAAAGTGGACTTCCTTATCATAGGTGACAATGCCAACCTTTGCTCCCAAGGGCAACTTGCGCGCCTTCGCCTCCTCGCCTTCGGAACCGTCCGCCTCCCTGTCTTCGCCATACAGCGCATCTGCGATGCCAGCGCATACGGCCTTTAAATAACCACGTTGTATTGACTCTCGGCTCACATCCACCAAGATTAATGTACGTAGACCCACGGGCTCCTTGTTCCAGTATTCCTTGGGTACCAAGAATTCAACAGTACCCATCATCAGCTCTGGCCTTTGCATGCGATCAACTCGGGCGCCGCTGGGGTCCAAAGGTGCGTAATACTCGGTAGGAGTATCATTCGGGAATGTGCACATGTTGCAGACAAACTTGCTGCCACCTGCGCGGAACGACATGAATGGGTTGATGTATGTGCGGCATCGACGACAACGGGGAGGGCCAGCATCCCCAAAGTCCAGCACGGGAATTGGTTGCTCACCAGGGTCCAGAGGCGCGAGTGGCTGGAGGACCATCCCTAGAGGCAGACCAGTGGAAGAAAGAAAGTCCGAGGTAGATGGGATATTATTCAGGGTCAGACGAGCGTACTTGGGCGACGAGTTGCCTTGGTCGTGAGCCACAAAAGGAATTGCAGCTGGAGGCGGAAAGTGACGATCCATGGTCGGGTAGACATGATTGAAGTAATACTGAGCGGGCAGGTCTCGCGACCGGGGGATACTTGGGATCTGTTCAGGGTCAATACGGCCTTGGGTGGGCACAGTGCCCGCGCCGCCGGACATGCCAGGTTGTGAAGTCATTCTTCCCATGGAGAGTGCTGGTTGAGGTGTCCCTGCCGGTGCAAATGTCGCAGGGTTTTGATTGAGACCAGTATTCAAGAATTGCGAAGCAGCTTGCGGACCCGTCGCCGGGGGAATTGCGCCGTTGAAGCTCTGCACAGGGCCAGCAGACCCAGATCCAGTTCCGATATCGTGATGGGCATGGCGATGCTTTTTCCGATGCGTTCGAGAAGTGCCGTCCGTTGCGATTCCCAGACCACCCATCTGAGAAGCTAGTCCGTCGATGCTCGCGCTCGCGCCGGCCCCTGGCAAGACTTGTTGGGCGGGATTGTATGCGACATCAGGATTTGGACTCTGATGAGGCGTTTGCGGAGAGCCGTAAGCAGGCCATTGACTCGTAGTGGGATTTGTGTATCCGGGTCCTGGCTGAGGGGAGACAGAACCTGGGGGATAACCTGCCGGAGGATACGGCTGCGTCGAGTGAGGGGGAAATTGCTGGGCTTGAGGGTTGGAGGGGTCGTAGCCAGCCTGGCCCGTTGTATGATACAGTGGGTTGGACATGGTGAGCTCGAAGAAGATTGATTTGGTACCAAATCAAGTCAACAAAGCATAGCGATGCAAATGAGAGGGTGCTGTCCCCGCGCCTTTGATGATATCGACGATCCGCTCGGTGTATTGACCACCTAAACCTCCCGCGTCGCGGACGTGCGGAAATACTTGGCTCCGAGATCCATATGCACGTGTAGATATGACCATGACATTTCCAGACTCAGTGAAAAGCCTAGATTCACGTCGGCAATCCGAGATTGATTGTTTTTGTGCAGAATGGAGAATATTTTACGCAAGATGGATCTCAGCTTTGGGTTAAAACTAGGGGGAAGATTTCCTCGAGTTCACTGCCAAATTCGCATATCCGATCGGTGGCCGAAAAGTATACCAATGAACAAGATAAACATGTGAAACCTGTTTCGAGGTAGGCGCCTCGCCTGACCGAGCATGAGGGATCAACACATTTCAGTAGTATGTGGTGTGTACGTTAGTGGTGTTTGCTGGAATACTATATTGATGTTTTGTTGTCGATCCCGTCTTCGGTCCAAGTTATCTACCCAACTCTTCGCAGATCTGGGGAGAATGCCTGCCCTCCTAGGTGCCAGAAACCCCATTTCAACTAAGGCTATTCCAATAATCGGACTACATCTATAGCCATCGCAAATACATCAATACTCTACAATTTCGCAAGTAGGCTGCCTGACGGGGAGTCATACTCAAGTAAAAATAAATGGCCACCTCATGATGTCGCAGATTGCCTCCCGCGACGGACGGTGAATACGGTCCGTACTGATTCAGGCTAGCCGTTGACTGATCAAACGCCGTGGAAGAGTTAACATTATTAGGATGGCTTCCTTCCCACATTCATGATTTGCGGGTTTTTGACGAGCACCCACAACCGACTCAACTGATTGACCCGATTCAGAATGTCCGTCGTTGTTCCTCCTGAAGCGAGTCGAGAGTGGGTTTGTTGCATTGAGTGCCGATCCATTCATGGCCTTTCAATGGTTCACGAACACCCGTCACTGGCTGGAGGCCCCTGCACACTCAAAGCTTCAGAAGGTTAAGTACTTGACCGGACACAAAACTCCTTCCTAGCGCATCAAGCTAGCCACATCCCGCAGGCTCAGTCCAAGGACTGCGTTCTTTCGAGGTTGCTTCCCCGGCCCTACGTACCCCTCCAACTACTGTCCTGCTGGGGCCTTGATGCGGAGAACAAAGGCTAGACAGGGTTCTTTTCGTTCGCGATAGCGGCGCAGATGATCTGTTTGCCATTGAGCGAGTCAGTCAAAACCCGGTGCAATTTCCTCTGGTACGTACTTCGGGCAGTCTTATCTTTGTTTTTGCTTTTTCCCGCCCAGCCTTATCAAGGTTCCTCCCCTGCCCCTTGCTTTGCCATTCTCCAGGATGGATGTGCCGGCCAAAACTGAGATAAATCGAGCCCAAAGCACCAAGAATACAGTGAAGCTTCATGAAGTGAGAGGGTCATCCGTCCTGCCGATGGCTTCAATTCAGGACGACGACGAGCGTCTTCTTGCTCGCATTGGGTATAAGCAGGTGTGTTTCCCTTGACCCAGAGAGTACGGGGGACTGTGGTTCTCGCGGGTACAGCCGCTAACCTTAAATTGCTCCGTGTCAACTCGAAGGAGCTCCGCCGGGAGTTTTCAAAATGGTCTACCGTGTCCTACGCCATCAGCATTTTGGGCGTACTAGGCTCGGTGCCTGCGACATTGGGTCAGCCTCTGACCGTCGGTGGTCCTGGTACGGCTGTCTGGTGCTGGTTGATCGGCTCTTGCATGGCCTTGTTGATCGGAAGTTCCGTCGCCGAATTGGTTTCTGCATATCCCACGGCTGGTGGTATGTTTCGAGGACTTCAAGAGAATGGAGGTAGCCGGCTCTCGACTGACAAAAATGATCAATAGGCATGTACTATGTTACAAAACATGTAGTTCCTTCCGATCATATGCCGCTTTTTGCATGGTCACAGGGATTCTGTAACCTTTTGGGGCAAACTGCCGGAGTCTCTTCAGTCGCCTATACGATTGCACAGATGTTGCTGGCGTGCATCAGCATGAACACGGCCTTCTCTGATGGTCAATATGCATATTCGCCGTAAGTTCTCAGCCTGAAATAATCATTATGGTTCTGACAAAAGGATAGCACGGCTCTCCATACGGTGATGGTGTCAATTGGCGTTCTTTTGGGGTTGGGAGTTATCTGCTCCTTGACCACCAAATCGTTGCATCGTATTGTTATTTGGTTTGCACCTATCAACAGTATGTTCACTCAATATTTGACGAATCTGCATTACGAACAACTGACCTTGATCAGTTGTTGCGACAATCTGCATTTGCTTTTTCCTCTTATATCTCACACCGGATAAGCAACCCGCATCCTGGGTGTTCTTCCACTTCACCGATGGTTCAGGTTGGGGTTCGAAGGTGTTTTCATTTTTCCTCGGCTTTCTGGCGGTAGCGTGGACCATGACAGACTACGATGGCACCACCCAGTCAGTATCTCCAAAGCCATCAGCCAGCGTGGCTACTTTCTGACACGTCATACAGTATGTCCGAAGAGACACATGATGCGGCGGTGCGGGGTCCTATTGCCATCCAGACAGCGGTCATTGTTTCTGGGGTATTTGGCTGGCTTTTGACCGTCTGCATGTGTTTCTGCTTGACAGACTTTGAAGGCATCATGAATTCGCCCACTGGCTTACCAGCGGCCCAAATTTTCTTCAATGCCGGGGGTCGGACAGGTGGAACTGCGATGTGGGCATGCGCTATTCTGGTTCAGCTATTCACTGGCTGCTCGGCTATGTTAGCTGATACCCGGATGGCATTCGCATTTGCTCGGGACGATGCACTTCCATGCTCTTCATTTTTGTCCAGAGTCAACAGCTATACTCACACACCGGTTAACGCAGTCTGGTTTGTGGTCTTTTTCAGCATCTCACTGAATTTGATCGCGATAGGGTCTACTGAAACAGCCCTGGCAATTTTCAGCGTCACCGCTCCTTGCCTTGACCTGTCCTATGCGTCCGTGGTTCTCGCTCATCAACTTCACAAGAAGAAAGTGAAGTTCATCGAGGGGCCTTTTACACTTGGACGGTGCGGTAAAGTGGTCAATTACGTTGCTGTGATCTGGGTTCTGTTCATCAGCACAATCCTACTTTTCCCATCACAGGTGCCGATTACGCCCGCGAATATGTACGCCTAGGTCATCTCTCAACTATGTTTCGTTTGCTGACAAGGGCATTAATAGGAACTACGCTTCTTGTGTTATTACCGGACTTGCAGTGATTGGTGGAATCTGGTGGATAGTTATTGCCAAGAGGTATGGCATATATTGCTCTATCCAAGTCGATGCAAATCATGAATGCTGATGGTTTCTCAGAAAATATACGGGTCCTCAAACCAACGATACTATAAACGAAATTCCCCAAGAGCCTCAAGAGGATTCTGAACAAGATATTGCAAATCTCCCCGACAGCAGTTTACCTTGAGAGTCAGGAGCCCGTCAAATTAATTAGATCTTGTTCTAGCCGCTGGGAGATGGCCAAGAGTATATATTGAGATCCCAGCATTGACAGAAGCAAATGTGGACGCAGCAGACATGTCTCGAGCGCATTCAGTTACGAATGTCAATGGAAGCAAATGATCAGAGTGATCTGGACAAAGACAAGATGTGTCTTGAAGATACCGTATTACCAAAGTTTACTTATCAATGATGATCCATTCATTCAATGGTCCATCCCGCGCTTCCCCCGCCATTCCTCGGGCTTTGTACCTTATCGGAAGCATCCTCGTGCGTGGTGGGGGGGGGGGGGGGGGGCCTCGGAGCTTGTTTCTTGTTGAAGTGTCATGATTCGCCGTTGTCGTTACAGATGTAGGCTGTTCTTATCGAAGCGGGTCACGAGGTTGACCCCACACGCGAGACTGTACCTCCAGTCTTCTCTATCATGCCTGAAATGTCATCTTGCCTGCTTTCCGACCGCGCGATGATGGAATTGAGTCGCTGATGATCCGATGAACATGGACCAACGGACACGGGCAGTCAGAGCGCAAGTCTGAGCCAATTTCGCCTTGTGAAGCTAATTGACCACTGACATCGAGACTTTAGATGCGACGAGTGCAGACGTTTGAAGGAGAAGTGCGAGGGAGGCACTCCCTGTAAAAGGTGTATCCACAGTCGACGGCGCTGCGAAATGAGCCAGCTTTCAAGGACTCGAAACTTCCGTCCTTATATTCCTGAGTGCGTTGCGCTGAGCAAGTTGGGCCCGAAAGGGGACGTGTGCTGACTTTCGTAGAACACGAATAGCCAAATCTGACTATCAGGAATTGATTGATCGCTCGAAATGTATGGAGCGCATATTGAAACGAACTATTCGCGGCATTAGGCTGGATACCAAAAGTCTTGCCCACCTGGCTGATACGCTTGACCATGACGGAGATAATGCGGGCGATGCTGAATCAGAACCAGCAGCCGAAGTCGAAGAGTTGGAGATGAACGATGAGGCGTGCACAATGGACCCAGTAGATGAAAAGACAACCCGTGAGCTCACTTTATCTGCCCCAGTGTTGTCTCATGCTGACGGATAGCTGTTTCACATTCCTCAGACTTTTCGGGCGAATTTTCATATTGGAACTTCTCAATGCGGCTCAAACAGCAAATCGAGCAGATGGGCGGCTTGGAGTGCCAGGTGCGTATCACTTACCATACCAAGTGAAGCAACAACTATTAAATCCTTCATTGACAATCGGTAGTCTCGCAAGGCCGACCACGCCTGGAATTTTCCCCGAGCCCATCATTTACAGCCCGGAAGAAGCCATCTATCGGCAGCCATGTCATGCTGTCCTCCGCGTCCAGTTGGCGAGTTTCTGGCGAGAGTCTTCTTCAAACACGTTGAGACACATTACTACCTGGTTGAAAAGGTCTGGCTCAGTGACAAGATGAGTATACTCTACGACGACCCCAGCAAGTTCACCACCAAAGGTGGAGAGGTGGTCCTCAGTATTCTTCTCACGGTATTCGCCATTGGATCTCAATATGCACATCTCGAGTCCTCTTCGAAAGCTCCAAAGGAGCAGCATGAACAGAGTCTGTCAGAAGAGGACATTGGGGCGACCTTTTATCAACAAGCAATTCGATTGTTGCCAGAGATCATCGAGCTCTCTTCTCTCGAAAGCGTCCAAGCATGTCTTCTTTTTGGCTATTATGCATTACCGGTGGATACATCAGGACTGGGGTATATCTACGTCAATCTTGCGATTCGACTTGCAATGCAGAATGGTATGCACCGGAAATGTGCAAGCGGTGCATTCAGTGCGGCCATAGTGGAGACGCGTAACCGGGTATGGTGGACGGCATACCTTCTGGAACGGTCAGTTGTTTCATTTTATTTTGAGTCTTTCGACTAATTCGGAAATAGAAAAATATCCATTTTTCACGGACGGCCCCTCTCAATATGCAGGAAAGATGTCGACGCCTTGTTGCCAGCTTATCGTGCTGAACAGGACTCCAGTGACACACAGACATGTGTGGCTCGGGCTGAAGCCTCTATTCGACTAATCGATTACCTTGAGGAGCTATTCATCAATGTGTATGTCGGCTGAAGGTTTTTGAATCGCGGTTAGAATGCTCACATATTTACAGAAATTCTCTTCGGAGCTGCGACAAGTCGCAGATCCCGAACACCATTTCGCATCTGCTTGCCAGCAAGGACTCATTGAAGGTATGGTGGGAGTCACTGCCCAGGGATCTGACAACCACTGCTTTACAGCCACTGCACCAACTACGCTCCGTTATACACTTTCAACTAGAATACTGTCTGGTGAGAATGTTCATCGGAAGGCCGTTTCTCCTCAAACGAGAAGGTCAAGAATCAACGTATACCTCACCCGCGGAATCTGAAACCACCCCAGCAAGTGAACGTCGGTCGTCCGACAATGTACGACTGAAAAATACATTGAGCCGCAAAACCTTGGTTGAGGACTGTATCAAGGCAGCCACAGATGCGCTAAGCATTCTGCAAGATCTGCGAGACAGCACGGGCCTCGCCAGAGCGTCATACATCGAGTACAGCGCCTGTCGGGCGTCGCTTCTTGTGTTGATAGCTTACTCTATTCAACAATCTTCAGAAAGATATCGAAATTTGCTTCTCAAAGGGCTTGACATGATCCGAGAGATGTCTGCGGCAGGCGAGTCTGCTCGGTCGGAAGTCTACTTGATCGAGACTTTGGAGCGTGCGCTTGCTCGTCTGCACGCTGGTGTGCAGCATGCCCAGCAAGCTGACAACGCTACATCCTGGCTTTCCATGTCAGGATACGAAGCTTTCAAGCATTGGGGGACAAACATACGAGAAGACATTGCTCATGGAGGTACGAGCCTTGAAAGGACACCGACCTCGTCAGGGCCAGCTATTAGCGAAAGACCCTATCCAAATGCGTATCACACGCATGCTCAATCATTCGGGCAACCATCGGACATGCATTTGAATCATGCAATCCTACCAATATCAGATCAGGAAATGAGTATGATCTTTGACATTGATCCCATTATGGACATATCATTCTTTGGAGCCGAGAATGTTTCTCCCTCGTCGACATGGCCTACTTGGACCGAGGCGCAAGTTCTCGAGCAATTTCTTACGAATTCAGATTCCGGGCCAAGCACAGGAGTTGATTCGACTCAGGTACCCTGATGGCCAATCTAGCATTTTTGTACCAGAATACTGCAATGACCACTGTATTTCATCGATGGTGTTCTAATTTGATGCAGCAATGATCATATCCGCCATCGCGGGAAGAGAATCCGCAGTCACTTCCAAATTCACGTCGAAAATCTCAGCGCAAGATTCCTTTTCGTAAACCGTGCAGTAGGCACCCCGGAAGCCGACCTTCACAGCTGCTGTCACATCCCACATGTGCGCAGCAGCAAACCACTTGACGTCTCGATCACCAAATTGCGCCAAAGCAGGTCTATAAGCAGCCAGAGCCGGCTTTGCCACGCCGGCTGTATCGCAACTAATAAAGTTCTCGAGCGGCATATCGACCCCGCCGCGCTCAAAGTATCCACGCACGCGCTTAGTATCGCCGGTTGTCAGGCACCAGACCGTGAAACCCGAATCTCGCAATTTTGCAAAGCACTCCTTTGCCCCAGGGCGCAACTCTAGCTCGGAGTATCCTTGGGTACATTGATCGCGCTCCGCTTCAGTGGCGAACGAGCGGGGATCCTCCACGCCCATCATGTATAAGGTGCGGAAGAAGAGTGCCAGCATGATTTCTTTGTACGGTTTGTAGCGTTCAGATATGGAGAGGAAGGTGAATTCGAGTTCCGCGGCCGTCATCCAAGTGAAGCCGAAGGATCGGGCCGTGATGTTGTGTTTCAAGAGACGTTGACCGATGACTTTGTCGATGCCGTTGTAGAATGCATCGAAGGAGACACACGTACCCACTACATCGAAGACGACATGTTTTTCGACAGGCATGATGGGCTAGTCAAGGGCTAACAGTTCGGTTTGCGAATAAATCCACGAGAAATTCGAGATCGATATAAAGCCGGATGTTTTTCCAGAAGGTAATACTCCGCGTCGGCGAGGATAGCAAGTGGTCTCGAAGAGGGTTCCGAATAAAGAATCAAACGAAGAATCTCTGGCTAAGTACCAAAACTCACAGCTTCAACAAGGATGCCACAATTCGACCAACTTCAAAACCCGAGACAAACGGTCATTTTCCTCATCAACCGTGATATGGCATTTCTATTATCAACTGTTCCCAGATGTTGATACAAGTCTGAGGCATTGGAGTAAGTTCCATGCATACAGTACTTCCACCTTCCCCGCACCGGAATCTCTCCGATATCTTATCGACGGGTGGAGAAAGTGGAGAACCCGTCGACTATTCTCTTTTCAGAAGGTCCGGTCCGGTGGTCCGGTGCGATCGCGCTTGTGTTGCTTGAGTTCTTACCAAGTTGTCGGACTTGGAATTGAGTTTCGAGATAAGATACGCATGTCTGTTCTCCTGAAAACATGGGTTCTTGTCGGATATCTGTTCGTCTATCCCGATTTCGGTCTGTCTCACGTGAGAAGCTCAATGCAAGGCAGGTGTCTTTTACTTGGGACAAGATATCCGGCGTTCTGACCGCACTGACTCAGTCTACCTGTCTAACCGTGACGATGTTCGGGTCTAGGAGAGAGTGGTGCTTATACTCGGAACTTTGCCGTGTGTCGGCGGCAGAGGCCATTCCACAACCTTAGGTCAATCACTGAGAGCGTGTCCCCGACGAGGAGAACAGCTCCTTCATTTTAACAATGGAGTTTCACATAGACTACCTTATCAATGTTGATGCAGGGAATTGCTCGAAAAGATCAAATGTAATTAGATTGGTATATACAATGATCATGACCAGAGAATGTTCAGCCGCCGAAGTCCACGCTTAGGCTTCGGTTCGGGTTCAGGATTGTGGCGATAATGCTCAATGAAAGGCCGGATGGGAATTTCATTCAAAGGAATGATCTTGGTCTTTTTCCAGAACTTATAGCCAAAGTAAACAATGATGATGAAGGGCAAATTGAAATATGAAGAGATGAATGTTTCTGAACTCCAGTGGCCTTTCATGAAGGTGGAATACCCCCCGGTAAGGAAGAGAAGAACGAACACCACCAGGGAGATCCAGCTGCCGTAGGGCTGGAATGGGGCTGCCCACGGCAGTTCCTTGTGTCGGTCGATTCCCTGCTTCTTGCATCCGTACAGAAAACGCAGGTAAACGATTAGAATGACGATCCAGTTGACAATCGTGCTTATGGAAACGAGGTCCTGAAGCCACTGGAAGGCTAAAGCAGCACCACCGGACAGACTCATGAAGCCCAGAGCCATGAAGACTCCGTAGAAGGCGACTGCGACGTATGGAATCGAGAAGCGATTGAGTCGCTTGAAGACTGCGGGCGCGTGGCCTTGAACGGCCATACCATACAAGATCCGTGAGCCACCAAGCATGTTGGAGTTGCCCGACGACCATGCAGAAGTCAGGATCACTGCATTGATGATTGAAGGGACAACCTTGATACCGGCAGTCTGTGCAGCAATGACAAATGGAGACTGAGCCGCGGTACCGGTGGATCTGAGAAGCTCAGAGTTGGCTGAGCACACAATCAACCCAACCATAAAAATTGTGATGACGTAGAACAAAAGAATTCGAACAAAGATGCGCCTTGCGGCCATGGGAATTGATTGTCGGGGATATCTGGTTTCCGCTGCGGCAACGGTGATGTTTTCAATGCCGGAGTATGCGTAGAGAGCATTGCTGAAAGTGGTCCAGAAGCCCAGGAAGCGCCCAAGTGAGCCGGGAATATCGAGATACTGGACAAAAGGCCCATATGGAGCTTTCCAGTATTCAAATCCAATGGCCTTGTGGTCGGGGCCGCCACCGCAGGTGATGACCAAGGCCATGATATTGATGCCAATGACCAACATGATCTTGAGAATGGAGAACCCGAATTCGAGCTCCCCATAGACTCGAACAAATACCAATGCCGTGAGGACCATGACGAGACCGAAGACAACGACCCAGATGGCGCTACTGACAGTGATCCAGAATTCAACAATCACAGCGCATGCGACCAGTTCTGACGGGATTGAGGTTGCGTATGAATAGACCTGATTCCAGCCATTGGCGAATGCTAGAGACTCGTCCACAAAGACTGCAGCGTAACGAATGACACCACCGTTGAGGGGAGCTAAGGATCCCATCTCGCCGACGCCGAATACCACGCTTGACACCGTGGCGCCAATGATGGAATAGGCAAGAAAGGCGCCGAGTGGACCGGCAGAAGCAATGGCTCGACCTGAACTGAGGAACAGCCCTGTTCCGACGGTGCCAGCTAGGGCAATCATCTGGATATGGCGTTGATGGAGCCCTTGTCGAAACTCATGGACTTCCTCCAGCTGCCCGGCAGCATTCTCCACGTCTTCTTCTTTGGTCATCTGGGCGTCGTAGCTGGGAATCTTCTCTTTGAGAGAGGCGGCACGAATAGGCTGTCCATCCGCCATGTTGAAATGTGATTGAATGCCCAAGAGTTTAGGCAGTGAGGCACTGCTCAGGGAGTTGCGAGGAGATCTTGACCGTATTTAATAGACAAGCTCCACAGTCTCTTTGTATACAATTGTGTCCCGAGCGCAAGTCTATGGGGGTTGACAAAAGGTCGGGCACCAATCAAGCCAACTCAATAGTAAGAGTCTCAGCGAGCAAATGTCATCGACAATCGCTCGATAATGGTTGGTCTCAGGAAGCCGGGATCATACCTACCGGTCTGATAGTCGCAGCACCATCGAGGAATGGCCCCTCGCAACGGGATATGTTTAAACCAAGCCGACAGGACAACAGGCGATGCTTGCGCCGTGCACGTACCACAGTATGTCCAGCAATGCGAGTCACTAAGAAGGAAGATAAGCTTTCAATACATTCGCTGCCAAACGGGGCAGGGCCGGTCCGGTTGAGCAGCACAGGGCGATGATCGGCCACCTGCATAAGTCGAAGGTGGGGGAAAGGAGGGGACACAGTGGGTACCGGATCGCTAAGAGCAGTCAACAGTCAACAATATTCAAATGACAAGATGGCACATGCAACGTACGCACCAACGCTCCGGTTCCCGGACTACTCAAAACGGCAGTCTGTATCAGATGGCAGCTCTTCACTACTACACCGAAACACCGAATGGCCACGCGATAAGAGTCGACTGGATGTGAATTCCCGTGAACCTAAAATCATCTCTGGGTCGGCTACTGCGAGGCGGCGCCTCCTAATCCCGGCCGGCTTGCTTGGTCGGCACAAATCAACTCGAGATATAAACACCAGTAGATGTACGAGAATAGAAAGTGGATAAACAAAAAGCAAAGTTGATCAAATCAAATGATTAGAAGTTCAAAAACGTCTGCGGCAGAGGTTGATCAGCTACCCCTCACTTCCAATTCCATGCCGCTCCGGTTTGTCAGCTATCAGGTACTACCTTAAACAATAGGGCCTATATAACAATCCTGGGTGTACAGACCAAACAGATAAGGTTGCTGACGCGACACGACAGCCTACTTCTCAACTTCTCGATAACGCTTGATCTCAGAGATCTCAATTTGATTGCCTTCAAAGATTGAAAGGTCTCCAAGATGCCTGCCCGAACGCAAGAATTGCCCATTCGAGCTGACAACTCGTCTGCTGCGGCATCTCCCATTGCGGGGACATCAAAATGTCTTCCTTCTCATATGCCAGGAGAGACGTTTTGGCAGACATCACGACACCATCTGCACGATCACCGGTCAAGTGAAGAGCTCCCAAGCCATAGTGACATTGTCATTATTGGCGCAGGATATGCAGGTGTCGCCACTGCGTACCATTTGGTCAAAGACCATCCCAGCTTGAACAAATCAATCACTATATTGGAAGCCCGTGGAGCTTGCTCGGGGGCTACTGGACGGAACGGAGGACATGCCAGACCTGACTTTTACGGTCATATTCCCACGTATATGGATCGTGCAGGTGCAGAGGCTGGGGCTGAGATTGCCGAATTTGAGATCCGGAATCTTCGGGCCCTGAAGAAAACAATCGAGCAAGAGAAGATCGACTGTGACTTCACTTTGACTCGTTCAATTGATGTCTGGTGCAATGCGGACTCTGCATCAAAGGCCAAGGCCGTGTATGACAGAATGACCGCCGAAGGGCTGGAGTACATGGAAGATGTTGCATTCTACACAGGGAACGAGGTAGAGGGTGTAAGTTGCTCGATTTCAGCAAGAGACGGCGATTTGGGGTGTGGAGAAAGACAAATAATGGCTAATACTTTCCCCTACTAGATCTGCGGTGTCAAAGACGCCAAGGCCTGTGCCAGCTTCACGGCCGGCACAATGTGGCCCTACAAGTTCATTATGCGTCTTGTAGAGTTGATCGTTGACGCTGGCGTGAACCTTCACACTCATACACCCGCCACGTCAGTAAGCCCTGACGGTGAGGGCGGCTTCATCATCGACACGCCACGGGGGAAAATGCATGCGAACAAAGTCGTCTATGCCAACAATGCTTACGTCTCCGGTATTCTGCCACAATACAAGAAGAATATTGTTCCGTGTAAAGGCATATGCTGCCGAATCACGGTCCCGGAGGGGGTGACAGCACCTCTTCTCAACAACTCTTACATCAACCGAACAGAAGACAACGTTCTCTCATATCTCATTCCTCGAGCGGACGGCAGCATCATCGTTGGTGGTGCTGCTGCCATCTTCAAGAAGCATGAAGATCAGTGGTACGACAATGTGGATGACAGTGTTCTCATTGATTCCGCAAAGGATTATTATAACAACTACATGCAAAGAACCTATCGCGGGTGGGAAAATACTGCAGCAAAGATCGACCAAATCTGGACAGGCGTGATGGGATACTCATATGACTCGAACCCTCACATCGGCGCGGTGCCTGGCGAAAAGGACCAGTACATTCTCGCCGGCTTTAACGGCCATGGCATGCCAGTTATCTGGCTGTCAGCAAAGGAGCTGGCGCAGATGATTGTGAATGACATTCCATTTGAGAAGACAACGATGCCTCGGCTGTTCCAAACCTCTCAGTTCCGGATTGATCGAGCTTTGAATGGAAAACCTGAAGATGGGGACATCCTTGGTTCTGGGAAATTTGCTGCAACCAAACCATGAAAAAGATTCACAGAAAGCACATGTTCGAGATCAAGCCAAGAAGAATGAAATTGAACACCAAGTTTTACAGACATTCAGTATCCATGGAAGTGTGTAGTGTGGTGAGATCGATAGATCCAGGCGGAACTCATTTCATTTTCCGATTGCTCACATGCAGTTTTGATCACGTCTTGATGTGGGCCTTGTGTGATTTCCGATGTAGTTGAGCTCGTATTGTGATATAGGTACATTGCATCTTACTTCTAGTTCCCTGAGACCACAGCTAGACCTTCGTAGATCTTCTTCTTCACGGCCAGGAAGCTTCCAGCACTGCGGCCCATCGCTGCCTGATTCGTAGCTGCTTGAGCAGCCGCCTCAACTTCGATCCGGCCAGTGCCCGACTTGCGCACCGCAACGGATTTGTCGATGAGAAGGGTGCCTTCGCCTCGAAATTCTGCGGTGTGCCCGGCCGCTTGCATGAGCTTCCGAAGATCAGCAAGTCGGAGGTCGCCGACGTGGAGGGGGCGAGCCATTGATCTCGTTCCAGCTGCCATGCTGACGGGCAATGTGTCAAGCAGAGGAACAAGGTCTGATTTTTCGACAACTCTATCATCAGTGCCAGTGAAGGGGACACCAGCGGATGGGACCTCTGAAGACACCGCTGCATCATCCTCTGTCAGCTTGATCTTCTTCCCAGCAGGATCAGCATCAGTAATTTGACCATCTGCTAGACTTTCAGCTGCGCGAAGCTGGGCGGTGAGAGCCACGACGCCGAGGCTCCGAACATGCTGCCAATGTAGACGTCTCACCAGGCTGTTACTCAATTTAACAGTCCAAGCATTGGTATCAACACTAGCATCGATGCCTTCTCCGTTGGCTGGAGTGAAGATAATTGCGGCAGCGTCCTCGTGCATATCGGAAAAACCAGGGCTTGCCTTTACTGTGAGCAGCTTTTTGCACTCTTCAGCCAGAGCCAAAGTTTCACCCTTCATGCCGCCAACCAGGATCAATTTTTGCGGCTGAATCAAGGGGATCAACATCTCCAAGCTCCGCTTATCATGCAGACCCATGAAATCAACAAAGGCGAGACGAGCATGGATGATAATTGTCTCTTTGCGATAAAGAGCTTTTGCGGGCCCTTCAAACGACTGTGCATCGGTCTCGTCTTCCGACGACCCCTCCAGTTCAGCTGCTTCGCCCTCCGATGCAAGACTCAGTTCATCCTCGGCACCATTCTGGTCGCGAACGGGGTGCTGGCGCTTTCGGGAACCCGCATGATCATTCGACTGTCGAGCACCAGAGCCAGCGGCTTCATCCCATCGCCGCTTCTGTCCCGGTCGAGTATTCGCCTCGGACCGTCTTTGCTGCATGTCGATCTCCTCGCGCTCCTCCGCACGAAGATACTCTTCTGGCCGAATAAACTCTCCATACTCGTCGCCTCTTTTGCGTGAAGTGACATACGGGAACATACGCTCGCGACCCTTCTTGCCTCGCACATCGTAATCGTAAACGTTTTTGCGCCGCAACAGTATGTTAATACCGAGGTCTTCATCCGTCAAGGCTAACTTGCTGCGATTTGAGTGTGCCAGAGTGGTTGAAAAGTTCAGGACTTTACCTTGTTGCTCGGAGTCGGACTCCTCGGAGGAAGTGGAGCTGGACCGATCATCTAGTGCGTCTGCGACATTCTCCAGATTCTCCTGTCCTCGGGCTTGAGACGTATCTTGGAGTTGACGCTTGGTTGCCAGATACTGCTGATAGAGCAATTGATCTCTCGCTTCGAGAGGTACACGCTGCACCTCTGTCCACGTCAGCTCCCTCCCGCCACTGTGTACCTGCTCCAGCAATTCTCCATCTGGTCCTTGCTCGAGCGCAACTCCATCTTTCCTTTCCTCATACCACTGCCATATCATGGCCCCGAGCGAGCATGAAGTTGCGGGGTCCTTGCTCTCTCCTGACGTCTCTTTGCGGAATGACTCGGTCAAGAGGATCAAGTTGTTAGGGCCATCTGCGATTTGCCGAAGGGACTCCTTGGAGAATCCCCAGGCCAGGGAGGTGTCAGAGGCGAGGATAACCTTGGGCCCTTCCTGAGCAAGGATTTTTTCGAGACGCTTCTTGCGTTCGACTGTTCTGAGATGTTTAAATGTAAAGGGACCAACGCCTTTACCGGCTCCCTTATCCTGTCCTTGCCCGCCGGCCTTTTGGCCTGTCGCACCATCAACACCTTCTGCCGCCTCGAACTCCCGAACAATATTTTCGTCCATCCACTCAAGCATACTTCTGGCGAGTCGCATGGTTGTGTTCACCTTTTTACCCGCCAAGTAGAGGCCCGCGCCTTTGAGAACATCCCCTTTGTCATCACTCGATGCAGCGCGCCAGGCGTGCTCCAGTGCGTAAGCCAACTCGAGAACACGTGAGCTCGTGTCAGTTGGAATAAGGACGGTACCGCCCTTTGCCAAACTGCTCCGGATCATGTCAAGGAGCAGATCGTCCCTCTTCCTCCGACCACCAGACACTGCTAGCTTGCTAGCTCCCTTCGTACTGCAGATCAGAGCGGTCGGTTTCCGCAGCTGCTCTATGACTTCTGTGCCGCTTGCTCCTGAGCCACCAAACCACGCAGCTCCAGCCACGACACTTTCTCGGGCCTGATTCCAATCCACAGCATAGACAATTGACTCCATCCCATGTTGGATGTGCCATATCGTTCCTCCGACCGTGTGTCCGGCATTGTAGGCGGTAAGGGTGAGGCCGTCAAGAGGCGGCGAGAAGGGTGACGGAAGAGGTTGGTGAGGTTGCGAGTATTTCAGAGGTTGAATAAGTGAGAAGTATCTGGCGATTTCTTCGGTTGTAGGCGCTTGCAGTAGGATCCGACCTGAGCTACCTGTTGCTTCGGCGTTTTGGTGTGACTCGGCAGTCGAGCCAACCACTGAAGATGCTGATGATGCGCCCGGCTCTGAGATTGAAGAACTTGATAGAAAGGTTGCTGCCAGTGGCGATGACGCGTACAGGTCTTGCAAGCAAGTGCGACCAAATGCGATGACAGGACTTGTCGCATAGATCGGGATCTGGGTGAATTGAGGAAAGGTTCGACAGCAGTGGACTAGAGCGCCGATATGAGCTGGAGTTGCATGCGTGAGGAGAATCAGTGAAAGTGTAGGGATATGCCTGGTTACAGCATTTCAATTAGCTCGCGAAATCCAAGGGCATGTTCTGCCGAATGACGAGTGTTTACTTCTCAAGCTCTGCTAAATCCCGAGTATCAAAAGAATCATCCCAGCCAACGTCAATTAGGATCTTGATGCCACCGTCTAGCTCAAGAATAGACTGCGATGCCCTGGAGTCGGAGGATTGCGCCCCAAGCAATGGGGTGAAGGTGAACATCGCGCCTCTCTCCAGCTCAGGAATAGAAGCAAACGCAAGTGACGAAACGAAACCTCGTGGTTTGCGCGACTGAGCCGAAAAGCATGAATGTCAAATCAAAGTGAGCTCATATTCTCATGGTGCGAGCCGAATCACGTCCTGGTGAGCAGATTTAAAGTGTCTTAGACTTCAATCTTGCAATTGAAGCTATCGAAGTCGCTCTCCGAAATGCCGCTCTATCGCCTGGCATTATTGTCAATTGAACTCGCGGTGTGTTTGTTTTGTTTGTCACCCCAAAATCTGGGTCACGGGATCCAGCCCAGATCCTCATACCTAAACATCGGTACATCCATGTGCCCTCTTACATGTCGAACCAGGCATATACAGACTAGCGTTAAAGCCTAGACTTTCTACTGAGAAGCAGAAATGTTTAAAACATTGTTCAAGGGGCAATAATAAACAAATTGAACAAATACCCTCACGAACGCCCACCCATCCAGTACACCTAATTCACCTCGATAGTGATATCTCGGAGCGGTTGATTAGGAGTAGATCTGACTTGGCCATCACAAGTCTTTGCCTACAATGGAACCATAAGGCGAATGATTCTTGAAGATGCGAGCGGTTCTTCTTCGCTTCTTGTCTCTGTCATTCAGCGCTCTCATTCTCAACGCTGCGAAAGGTCTTGTCGTGGTGGGAGACTGGGAATATTTCGCACTGACAGTCGCCGATACCTCTGCTGGCATTCGAGCTCCTGCCCATGATCGAATCTGACGGAAATTCTCCGTGGAAGGGAAGTGTCTCTGACGGGTAGCATCGTCCTCCACAATCTCTGTGCACATTTGGAAGTATTCGGAAGCCTCGTCCCTCTTCCGTCCATCACCGCCCAAGATCTTGGCGAGTTCATTCACAGTGTGAGATTTAGCACTGTCATGCTTTGGCTGACGATTTGGTTCTTGTATGTTTTCCTGAATGAGGCCTTCATTGTTCCCTTGGAGAGCGACCTGCTGCTGCATATCTGGCATTTGTGGAAGTTTGTCTGCTGCGCGAAGGTGTTAGCTTAGTACTGATCGGATTTTAGGTAAGGTAGCCCATGGTCTTACCTGGTCTAACCTGCACTTTCATCTCGGGTAGTTCTGAAAAGAAACCAAAGTCAACAACAGCTTGATAACACACAGCTCTAGATATGGGCCTTATGCACAGGCGTCCTCGAAAGCTACCAGCTGCTGAAGCGACGAGACTCGGAGAAAGTAGGGTTCGGTTCTGACTTACTGGGCACTGGGTTAAAGTTTGTTGCAAGTAATGCTTGCGGTACTGGTCTTGGAACAGGATCAAGTGACTGGTCTTGGTGATCCGGATGCCCGAGGGTCCCCTTCATGTTGCGTTTCATCATGGAAAAGAGCTGCGTGTATTTAGTGTCTTCTTGCGGAAGCTCTTCCTCATGTGGTCTCCAACCGAGCTGTGGGCGATCAAATATGGTATCTTCAACTGGTGAGTGACTGAGCTCCAGAAATTGACTTGCTACAGATCGAATCTGTTCCACAAGTCGTCCTTGAGTTACAGGTCTTTCAGTATTACGTCGTGGCGCGGGGGGCAACGGGTTGGCGACGTTGGCGACAGCACTTCCGTGTTGCTCTCTGCACATGACCTGCAAGTCGTAAGAAGTCGAAGGGCATCTCAATGCCTTAGCAAGTTCGTCATTCGCCCAGCTTTCAAGCTCCTGCCTGGTGAGACCACCCCATGCAGAAGTCGGACCAGGTTCAAATACCCATTTGAGGCCTGCAAGACCGGCATTTGGATCATAGGCCCGGACAGGTATGCCTGGAGGAATGCCAGGTATAACTGTCTGACCTGGATGGGTTCGAATGAGATTTTGCTCGAGATCCCTGCCAGGTTCCTGGTTATCGATGCAGGTGATCCACCGCGGATATGCTGCAATGAGTCCAAAGGAAATCTTCGGGCCACTCAATGGCAATTCGCTGGCGGGATGGCGGTCCTCTGTAGGCTGAAGAGGTGTCGCTTTTTCTGGCGACTTGAGTGCCACCAATACCCGCGGCGAGGCTGCTTGTGGTTGACCCTTCGGTTTCTCATTGTCCTTTGGTGCATCTGCATTCTCCGCCTTTTCGTTCAATTGTGTGTTGGCAATGGCATCTGGTTTGTTTGGCTTTCCGCGCTTTGTCGGCACTTTCTTCGTCTGCAGCTTTTTCACCCGAGTCTTTTTCTGAGTGTCTTTGCCCACTTTTGCTCCTGTGTTGGCTTTCATCAGCGCAGCCGCCGTCATGGATCGCGTCTGCCGTCGAGGCATGTTGGCAAGTTGAAGGAAATGGCTTCGATGAAATATATCTGGACGAACTTGCCGACACTATCACGTCTCCAACGATGAGCAATTTGATCACAGCCGTGTATGCACACGAGATACCGCTGCTGACTTGTTGGTCTGAAAAGTTGGAGGAATGACACCGAGGGAATCATTCTGCTTAACATCATCGATGTGACGAGTTATCGAACAAAGAGCCAGAGCCGATATTGCGCGTGTTAGTTCTCGCGATGAGTTTAAAATAGATTCTTTGTTACGATCAGCGCCCCGACCAAGGTTTTGATTCACCAAGTTCTCAGCCACAGCGGAAGGAGGCTTTTTTTTTTCTTTGTACTTTGTTCTTTAACAGGCCACTTGCTTTCTCCAGTACCGGGATCAGGCGCGAGTCGAGCACAGCCGTGTTGCAGAATGTCTCAAATGGAATGTGGACATGTCGGATCAATGAGTGGGGAAGATCACTCGAGTACGAGTCTTTGTCAAGAAGGATAATCTCGGAATTCAAAAGCGAGATTGGGGTTGAACGTTGTTCGAAAGAAGCTTTAGTACAGGCTGATCTCATGAAAGGAGGAACACTACTAGGACGTTCTTAGCATTCTTGCTGGGCTACGTGGCTGCCCAGCATCATCCACTGTAGCGGGAGAGCGCCACCTCAGTACATCTTCCAAGAGGGCGATACTAGTTGTGATGCCAGGACCTGTTGGAACTAGACCACGAATTTTGTTCTCGGCCAAACATGAACAAACAATTTGGGTTTCACAGCGGGACTACCAAGCTTCTTCCCCATCGTTAGAATATTAGGATACACAGAATTTCAAGATTTCCATCGTACAAAGAAGCAAAGTTTTAGATAAGGACGAAGCTTCCGGATAGAATTCCGTGACAAACACCAAGGTAGCCCGCAATGAAGTCTTGAGAAGATCTTCACCACTCGCGAACTTTTTTTCGCTTCACATTCGTAAGTGATTAACAAAGCCTAGACTTTCCAGGCTCGGGTTAATTTGCAATCACTGCCAGTATCGGGGCTCGTCGAACACGTGGTACCTATGACCACGGACACCCTGGCCGCGGAAGAGCGCTGGGAAGCGACGACCAACGGGGACTTGATCCTCAGAAACACGAACGTCTTCTTCCGGCTCGGGCTCCCCGATAACGAATTTTCCAACCTGTCGCACGATTAGTTTTCATTTCAAGGAGACTATGCCGCGAAGGACATAAGAACACTACTTACCTGAATCTCAGTGTCGGTGATCGTGTCACGACTGATACGAGCATAACCAGTACGCTTCAACCTCTTGTAGAGGATATACTCGCACCAGCGATCCCAATCGCTGGCGTCGATATCCTTCATGCCGCTCAGTTCACTGACGTAGGTATTGTAGTTGCCCTCCAGCGGCTTGGTGACCAGGTAGCTAAGCAAAATGAGTGGACGAGGAGAAGATCCCATCAGCTTAGACAAGTACTCGGTTTGCAGACGGCGGTCCTCGGGATCTTCCTCCTGACCCGAGTGGAAAACAACAACGTCGATCATCTCGCCGTACATGTCCAAAGTCGCATGAATAGCCGGGGCCAACTCGCCAACCGGGGAGGGAAGAAGATGGTGAGTGGAATTAACAATGGGGAACTTGGACAGCAGCGCCGAGCCCCAGGTGTGCTTGTTAGGACCGGGGCCGAAGTCAACGTAGTAACCAAGATCTTCGGCAATGTATTGGGTGACATCCTTGTTACCCATGATGATGCGCTGGTTGTCAGACTCAAGGAAGCCGATCACATCTAGCTCAAGTTCACCAAGCACATCCCGCATACGGCGCTCAGCGGCCCACATGTTGTTGTCAAGTCCAAAGTGAACAGTCCAGATGCCAGCAGTGACAACCTTGTCTTCCTTATGGTGGGGAAGGTAGTCGTTGGTTGGGAAGCGCAGGTAGGCGATGGAGACAGACAACAATTGGAGAGCGGCCAGGACATAGACATAGTAGGAACGCTGACGCTTGCTGTTGGGGCTCAAGGGTTTCCTGCGGGTTTTGCGGCTCGAGTTCGAGGTAGCAGCAGAGAAAACGCCGGCTCCAATGGCGAGCATAGTTGTCATCATCAGCCAGTCAGTATGTTCACGCACAAGAGGACCACCTGGAACGAAAGCGTACGCAACCACCCAGACGTGGAAGAGCAAAAGGAAGACATAAAGCAGGAAGCCAATGCCAAAGGTGCTAGCAGGACCGTGGCGAACACAGGAGCTGATGAGGACTGGAGCCACGGCCATGATATAGAAAGCAAGGAAAAGACCGCCATAGAATCCGGTCCAATGATGATAGTAGGTCAGAAGCGCCGCACCAACAGAGCCCAGACCGTAAGCAGTCCAGGTTCCAGCGATCGCAGGGTTGAAGACGCCATAGACAAGGCCAGCGCCCATAGCAAAAATAGTGACGGCACCGTGGGGCACAGCAATCGGTCCACGGACAGGGTAACCCTCCCAGACCCAAGAGATCATGGTGCTAGAATCAGTCAAGAGAGAGACAATCATGAACATCAAACCTCCAAACCCAAAACCAGCCAAGACAGCAGAGCCCTTCTTGCCACCGGAAGGCAGGTAGTCACCACCGCTGGTAGTTCCAGGGCGCTGGGAGCGCAGAACGGCGAAGATAGCCAGGAAGAGACCAATCTTGTTCCAGCCTCCGTTATCACCATGCATAATGGGCCACAGGGGGTTGTTCGTCGCGCAGGCGAACTTGGCAATGGTAGACATGATCAATCCAATACCCCAGGCCAAAATGCGGGACTCCAACCGAGGTGCATTGGCTCGCTCCGCGAAGAAAGTAGCAGTCCATGCCGTGCAAGTCACGGCCAGCGAGAAGGTGGTCACGAACAGACGGTTGGCAGGATCTTGGAAATTGTAGGCCAAAAGCCCGGATAGCGAAATCAGGTGAAGCAGGCGCAAGTTTCGAATTGCAAGCTGCCTCAAGGAGGGAATGACCAGGAAGAATGGGGAAATAACAGCCGTGATGGCTACCTCGTAGCCGGAAATTCCCATGTGCCAAAGCGGGAAATCTGCTAAAGTTAAAAACCATCCGGTCATAGGAGTTGCGGTTGTTGAGGTCGGAAAAATCATCACTTACACCACACTAGCACCGGCAGACCAGTGACAACGGTCCAGAAAACGAACTGGTACTTGTGGTCAGAAATCGAAGAAACTTAGAATGGGTGACTAGTATACGTACCCCATTGTACACATCCGCAGCAGCGTCAACAATCTCAGTCCAGAAAAAGCCTTCGCCAAAGGTGTTGCCCACGACTTTGCCCTTCCTGTACTACTGGTTAGTCTCCATATTGGCCGAAGAATAATCCTACATTGGATCGCACGCACTCCTTTTCGAGGACACTGTCTGCAGTGGTTTTCAGTTGACTAAAGGAAATCAACAGTAAATTTAGAGACGTATTTCATTTATCATTGCCAGATGAAACTTGTGGCATTATACATTTGTGCTAGGTGTCATTTTGGAAGCCAAGGTACATACCCTCTGCTCATTCCCTTGGTATCCCGGACGACAATCTCAAATCCTTCGAAGTCGAGCACAGTAATGGCGTCAAATCCGACGTCGAATAGAATAAGGGACCACTCGAAGAAAGCGTACCGCGTGTATGCTAAAGAAAAGCGACATCAAGTTAGAATCTAACGGAGCAGAATACTTTGAACTTCGAAGGGTTCATCTGCACTTTGCACATACCTCCCGCGACCTTGTGAACCTTGTGTTGGATGAAGTAATAGATCAAGGGAACCAAGGTTCCAAAGAACAGCCCAGCCATAATCTTGCGATACTTCACGGCCCGTCGGTTGTTGGGGCTGAGCGCAAGACAGCCAAGTGTCCATGGTAGAGTTGCGACCAGATAGGAGATCATGAAGATATCGTGCCAGTCGTGGTCGTCGGTAGAGGTGACATAGGTCCATCCTCCACAAGTCAGGGTTCGAAAGATGCCAACGCCAGCGACGATCTTCGGCAAAGTCGAGTTAGGGCGTGCAGTGAGCACGTACCACAGGAAGACGAGGGCGAAACGAGGACCCGAGGTCATGGCGATGAAGACCTGGAAGAAAGATCGCTCGGGATATCGATCACCAATTGTTGCGGAAACTGAAGGGAACCATTCATCGGGGTAGCCATAGTGCTCGTTCTGAACGATCTTGTGATAGTGCAGTAGACAGCCAACAATCAATGCGCTCAGAAACGCAGCGTACGCGAGAACGGTGTGAGTCCACGATACCCATTTGCCGTTGATCTAGTGAGCCAACTCAGTCAGCATCTCGCGAACAACCCGATCGATGGGTCGAGTCACGTACGGCAACCACCGCGTCACCATCTTTGAATCTAGGTGCCATTGCGGCGGGGAGGGAGGTTCCGATCACTGCCCCCGTAATAAACCAGCCTGTGCAAGTAAATTTGAAACGAGTGTGGAGAATCGAAAGCAAAGAGAATGGCGAGGTATACAGAGTAGAGACCCCTGAAGAAATGAAAACAATCGGATGCGCTCGGTGCTCCCAAGGTGACCTTGACAGGTTGGCCTCAGTTGCTAACCGTATATGGTTTAGCGCGGTTGAGGTGGTCGGTGCTTTGGTCGATGCGGGATGCCGATAACTTTTTTTTCCTCTCCCCAAGATATCACAACGTCAACCATGTCCGCCGCTACTGATAAGGCTCGATTCTTCCTCGAGCAGTCGGTGCCCGAGCTCAGGGAATATGAGCGCAAGAAGATCTTCACCAAAGTAGGTTTTGGTCACTGATCCTGAGCGATGGGGGAGAGTTCGCGTTGTTTTTGGCCTTGGTTCCTGACATTATTCCAGGAGGAAATCACCTCCATAATCAAGAAACGTTCCGACTTTGAGCACAAGCTCAACGCGCGCGGCGCAGCTCCTATCGACTTTGTGCGCTACTTTGAATACGAACTGAACCTTGACACATTGCGAAAGAAGCGAGTGAAACGATTGGGTATCCGCGCAGTCGGACACAGCGGTCAACGGCGCATTTACTTCATTCTCGAACGAGCGACGCGCAAATTCCACGGCGATCTCAATCTGTGGATCCAATACATTGAATTTGCTCGGAAACAAAAGGCAAACAAGAAGCTTTCCATTATCTTCACGGATGCTCTCCGATTCCACCCGACTAGCGCCGAACTATGGGTCTATGCCGCCAAGTATGCGCTGGACGACCACGCCGACATGTCGCAGGCCCGCAGCTATATGCAACGTGGCCTCCGATTCTGCAAGAACTCAAGGAAACTGTGGATTCAATATGCCAAGTTGGAGCTGATCTATATTGCCAAGCTGGTTGCACGTCAACGGATTCTGGGGTTGGACGAGGAGCGGCCGGTGCCGATCGAGGCGGCCAACAACGACATGGGTGGTGACATGGTTGCACTGCCAGCCATCACGGACGAAGATGTCAATCCCACGAGGAACGATGAAGAGGTCGATCAGCAAGCCTTGTCAAACTTGAACTCCACCCCGGCGCTTACTGGTGCGATCCCCCTCGCCATCTTCGATGCTGCTATGAAACATTTCCACCACGACGATCGCTTCGGAGCTGAGTTCTTCGACATGGTCTTGGAATTCAACGAGACTCCCTGTTTCCACAAAATTGAAGAACACGTGGTCGACACTTTGAAGACTCACCAACCGACGAGCCCTCGCGCACAAGTCTGTTATATCAAGCTGCCCACTGCTGGTGTTGATGTCACCTCTGCTGCATTCCCACGGGCTTTCGGTACATCTCTTGCCCGTCTCAAAGAAACGGCAATGACCCAAGACCTGGCTCGGGAGGTGGTGGCCTGGCTGCAACCGCTTGTGACTGTTGACAACCTCGATCCTGCATTGAAGAAGGTTTTCGAGGCTACCATTCGATCTGCAGAACGCTCGTTGGTCCAGTGATTCCAAGCCCCAAAACGTGATGTCTTCATCCATCTCATGTTTTTCCAGGCGTTTGTTGGGCATTTTTCTTTTCCACACATCATGGCGTTTCGTGGTTGAAAGTGAAATCAGGGGAGGTTTGGACAAGAGAATCGTTTGCTCGAGATATATACATATTTTCTTGTTTATAATACAAGGGCCCCTGCCGTCAATTGCGGCGCAATTGACGGCCTTTTTTTTCTTGAATTATCTCCCGGAGCAAATTTCCTTTGTTGATCAGTCATCGTATTTTCCACCTCGACGATTGCTCTTTTTACTACTGTGGAACTTTTTGGTTTTCAGCCGGGATTCATTCTGAGCACGTTGCCTGTCCGGGATCCGTTAGAGTTGCGTCCACTAGAAAAGGTAAGTGCGCGGGAGGGGGACACCATTGTTCCCAAAGAGGAGATCCAGTAGAACAAGCGGGGGTTCTGGCAGTCTTGGGGTGGGCCTACAATTTAGTCACGCGGTCCTTTTGAACCTGAGAAGTCACCCCGGGAATGGTGTCCCTTGCCGAGCTGATGAGAAGCTGATTCAGTTTCGCATAACATGCGTCCACGTTGGTTGACTGCTGCCTCGACTCATCCGACTGAATGACCAGCGCCTGCGACCGCTCGGTGGCATAGCGCGAGGCACGAAGCTGGGGATGTAACAGAGGCGGCACCAGAGGGAACAATGCGGACAGCGGTACTTTGAGAGTGGCTTTTGAATTGACCCTGTTTCCCATGTTCGAGATCGCCATCCCGTCTGGTCAGCCTACGAGGTAATCATCACAGTCATATACAAACACATTCCTGATGGCACCGAGGGAGCAGTGTGATGGGAGCAAGTGCAGGTGGATCAGGGCTTGCACCGACTTATTCACGTTTTGACCGCCAGGACCGCTCGACCGGCTGAAGGAGATCTGGCCGAGCTGGCGGGGAATGGACTGCGCGCCGGACTGGAAGGCTTTCAGCCACGTTCGGGCTAGCTCGACGTCCTGAGGGTCGAGAGGGTCAGATGACCTCGCGGATGCAAATTTTGCTGCCTGTCCTCCGACTCGAGGCACACTTGGGCGTGCGAAAACGAGAGACGGTGTGTCGCGCCACCCAGCACGCGTATACCACTGTGGTCGGAGCCGCATTTGGCGGGAGTCCTGTGGAAGACACGAAAAAAAAAAAAAAAAAAAAAAGAAGGGGGGGGGGTGAACAATTGAGGTCTGCGTGTGTATTCAGTATTCACAGTCTCAAGCTACTGCTATGCCGCGCTGCCGGAGAGGAGGACAAATGGATGCCTCAGGTGGAGGTAGATCAAGTGACGGGGACAACGTGGTGGAACTGCCAGCGTCGTTGATCTGGATCGTCCAGGGCGAACTGCAAACTGCAAACTGCAAAGAGTGGCAGCAGGCTGGTAGCACGGCTTGCCAAGGATAAAACGTGGAGGGGGAGTTTGTCCGATTTTGGACGACGGCTTTTGAGAGGAAGGTCTGGGCCGAAATGGACCGCGGGGGGCTAGAACCCGTTGGGTTCGGAGGCCCATGAGGCGTGGCAGAACCGGCCGAGTCGAGTCGTACGAACTACGAACTGTATTACTGTAGTAGTAGTACTGTAGTAGTAGTACTGTAGTAGTAGTACTGTAGTAGTAGCAGTGTAGTAGTAGTAGTAGTAGTAGTAGTAGTAGTAGTAGTAGTAGTAGTAGTAGTAGTAGTAGTAGTGTTGTCGCTATGATGAAGCTGGAACTTGGGATAGGTTAATTTTCGGCGAAAAGACCGCAGAACTTCCAACAGATACTACTGTGAAATGTACATGGTGCTTCCAGTTTACACTGCTGAGTGTTTGAATTTTTATAAGATACGGTACCTATCACACTCCGACAGTACCCAGGACGCACTAGAGTAACCGGCTTGTGTTTACATTCGAGTGTGTTCAGTATTATACCTGGCTATTAGTAGAAGCGCATGGGCCAGATGAGATCTTGTACAATAGACAATTACTACCTACTAGTAGATACTAGATCCTAGATAGTAGATACTAGATACTAGATACTAGATACTAGATACTAGATACTAGATACTAGATACTAGATACTAGATACTAGATACTAGATACTAGAGACTAGAGACTAGATACTAATGGTAGATTACTATGGAGTACGGAGATACCTACATAGTGATACTACCTGGGTCGTAATGGTAGTAAGTAACTAGGTATAGTAGGAAAGACCCTAAAACATACTTGCCGACCGCAAACTCGCAGGCTCAGCGGAGCATGGAACAGATGACAGACATCTGCCAGACATTGGAAGTACCTCCACCACAGAAAATAGAACACAATTGCATCCCATGGTGGCCACGGAATTGGAACCCCAACGACAACGGCTGCGATGGATCCAGAATATCCCGAACCTCAGCGAGCCGCCATTGCATGATCGTTGAAACAAGCATTCGGCACAGAGACAAAACCTGGCTGACAGACGCCGCCTGGAGAGAACCCTTTCCAAGGTGCGGTCGTGACTCATGGACTCTCGCTGCCGGACGCTGCAGCTGGTTGCTGAATTGGAGAGCACTGGCCTGAGACTCGGTGGACTGAGACTCGAAACCCGAGCTCACGGTGCAAGTGGAGAGAGTGAAGGGAGCGCGTAGGACCCGGAACCGGGTTTCCTGGTGAGTTCCGGTCTGCCATTGGCGGGATGAGCAACGACACGGGCGCAGACCTTCATGGCAGGACAAGACCGAGACTGGGAAGTTGGCACCACACAGGCACACACTGACGGATCTGCGTGAGGGTGGACGGTTGGGCTGGAGAGGCCAACAGGTTCAAGGATGTGAGACATGCGGTTGCCTTCCATGACATGGGAATGTTGTCTATGGCAATAGGTTGATAACTGAGATCCTGGGAAAATATACTGTAGACATCACTCATGGTCATACTCCCGCCATACTCGATTCCCCTGACCGGGGGATTCGGTAAGCGTGCTTCTCATATTTTGGTCGTGATGAATGCAGTTAGTTAGTGACCTTGGTAGGTATGTCGGCGTCCTTTTGAATATCATCTCTATCGACGAGATAACTGGATCGGACAATTCCTTCCAAAAGACTTTGCCCTGGACACTTGGCTCTCTGCAGATAGACAAAGTGCATCCAAGATTGTGTCGAGGGACTGGCGATAAGGTGGGTAAGCAATTCGTCTTGATTCACTGACACGTCTATATCCAGCCACTGTTACCCCAAGGTCGACTTGATAATACAGCATCTGAGCAGTGAGCAGTGAGCACACCGACTCCTAGTCGTAGTACAATGGTTGTAACTTTAAAACTTGTCAGTGGGAAGTGGTACCCTACAAAACAAGCTACGTAATAAGCACACCTCGTGTACGAACTACGAACCGATCACACACTTAGCGTCGGAAGACAGGGTCTAGTCACGAGTCAGTCGTTCTTGATCTAGTTTGCTGGTTTACCAGTTTGCTAGTTTACTAGTTCGTAGTCACAGACGTCCATGTCCGTACTCGCCGTGCTTAAAGTACAACCCAATCCCATACAGCCTCCGCCCCTCACTGGCCCGACGGGAACGCTGGCTCCACTCTGATTTCATCCTCTTTTCTCTTCGTCTTATCTTCTTGGGAGAGTGGTATCGTCCTCCCCTCTTTCTTCACCTTTCTCTTCTTCCACCCATCTTGTTCACTCCCACTGCGACACTCTCTTGCTCGTCCTCACTCTGCGTCGAACGCTCGATATCTTCGCTCTGACGCTCCATAACCCTCCCCACCCCGGACTTTTCTACTCTCCAAATCTCGGCCCTTGTCCGGCCAACCCTGAGTTCTGATATTGCGTTCCGGGCCCCATAACAGTAGTGAAGGAAACTAGTCCAAAAATATTCTTTTTTTTCCCTTGATCGCCCCACTTGAGCTTGCGTTGACAAAATCATTCACCATTTGACCCTCTCGGCCCGTGATTTGCGATCTTTTGATCTCCGATCCTCCACGTCGTTCCTTTCTCTGTACTTTTTTTCCCACGACCTGCTCAAACCCACCCAGCCCGCTCCTACCTCTGCAGACACCACCTCGCCTCCTGTGCGCCCGGCTCCAGCCTGCTTGTAGATGAACCGTCGACTCCAACTTCTCTTCCTACATGACGCCCAGTCCCCCTGATGAAGCTCTTCACTTTCGCGGAAAGACCTTGACTCCGGAAAGCCCGCGCCCGTTGCATATTCCGGAACCTTCCAATATCCCGGTTCTGGAAAATCAAATGGACCCGGTCTTCAATGATACAGCGACATATCAACGCCCAGAAGGATCACAACGGTACGATCGCGAGGGGGCGCGCAACGGGTGGTCAGAAATTGCCCGGGATGGACAAGATCACTCCGCGGGGTCGCGCAAGAAGCACACGGATAGCTCACGGGGTGCGCAGTGGATGGCCCAGCCTACGGTGAACGACTCGTCATCCTCCTCAGCAGAGCACTTGTATCCGCCCCAGACTGCCGTCTTCTCGCAAAATGTGGCCGCTATGAGCGACAACGTCAGCAGCACCCCGCAGCCCATGGACCCAGGTCTCGCCTGCATGGGAGCCCACTATTCCTATGCACAACCCGCCGACATAGAGCCCCAGCAGGCGTACAGCTCGACTAGAAGTGATCTCCATCCTCCCCCCACAGCATCATCTTCGAACCCATCACAATCCATAGGACACGCGAACGGTAACATGGCTTCTGCCCCCAGGGAAGTGAATCTTCAGATCCTGCTTGACAACCTCTCTCAACAATCGGCCACCGCAAAAGACGGCGCCACACTTCCTGCTGCAGGTGACCGCGCCTTGGATCACCGACTCCCGTCGTACGAGTCCGTCCCCTCTAGTGTTCAATCTACGTGGAATTCTGCCTCGGGTTCAGACCCGCCTCATCCCCACGCCCATCAAGAGCATCCTCAGCCCCAAGAGGAGACCACTCTGGCCTCATCATTGGCTGGTCCGAATTCCGCCTCCAGCGCCTACGTAGGCTCGAGCAGTAATCTTTCGCATCATCCCAGTGCCCAATCTTGTGACGTGAACGCGCCAGGAGCCGACTCCGGCGAGACAGAGCTTTCTCCCTCGGCTACTATCAAGCGTCAGCAATCGCCTCTGACATCGACCAGCGACCCCAAAGTGGACCAGGACGCGAGTCGCTCCCCCAAGAGAGCACGCATTGAGAGACAGCTAGTCCGCGGCGGCAAGACAGATGATGACCAGCCATGGGGCCCGGAGGTTCAAAAGAAGTATGACGAGTTCCTCCACCAGGAACGGGTTTATGTTACTGAGGGACTTTGGGATCGGTTCCCCATGGGTTCCCGACTGTTTGTCGGTCAGTCCTCTTCCTTTTCATTCGACCATTCACAGTGGATTGCGACTGTGAGCTTACCGTTCTTCCTTACGTTTGCAGGCAATCTTCCAACCGAGCGAGTCACGAAGCGAGATATGTTCCATATATTTCACAAATATGGCAAACTAGCCCAGATTTCCATCAAGCAGGCCTACGGCTTCATTCAATTCGTCGAAGCTACTGCCTGCCATGCGGCTCTTCAGCACGAGCAAGGGGCCATCATAAGGGGGAGGAAGATCCGTGAGTATTGCCACCCTCGTTCGCTCTACACACCAACATGCTAAAGCCTGTCCAGATCTTGAAATATCCAAGCCCCAGAGATCTACCGCGAGAGCGGTCCCTGCGGCAGAGACATCTCGTGCACCTCTGCCTCGCCGCTCCCGTTCCCCCGACTACGGCCGTGCGGCACCGGCCCGGGGCGCCGTTCGTGCACCGATCGATCGGTATGAGCGACCGCACGAGTCGAGTCGAATCCCATTCAGTGACTTCCGAGACGAGGCATCTCACCGAAGGCGCGATGATTATCGTCCCCCCCGCTCTCCTTCACCGCGACCGTCCCGAGCTCGGGATGGCTATCGATCGCGAGACCGAACGCCGGAGCGATTCGAACGCCGCGAACGTAGACGGTCCCGGTCGTCTCGCTCTCCTCGATCTCCCTATGCTCGTGATCGTCGCTATCGAAGCTCGAGTCCCAGGCACCGGAACAGCTACGAAGGAGAGGCGGAACTACCTGTGCCTCGCCGCGCACCTCGGGACGTACCCGAAGTGCAGGTGCTTGTGCTCGAGGAGATCGACCGGTATGTTACCACCGCCTTACCCACTTTACCCACTGATTTTGCAATTGTGTCTGACGGGTCTCGTGCGAAAAGAAATTTTGTTCTTCAAGTGGAAAACGCGTTTCGCAACCGTGGCTTGCGCGTCGACGTACTCGTTCTTGGACCTCGAATTCCTCTCGGTGCAGCAGTCCAACGTCAATTCGTCGAAGGTGTTCTCGCTGTTGTCAGACTCTCGCGATCCAATCAGTTCTCTCGGAAGATCCCACTCCAAATTTTCGACAGAAGTGCCGGCCCTGAGCATGTCCGATTCACCGGTACGTGATTCCATATCCTCACCAAAGTTTCGTTTCAGCATGGCATATCGATAAAGCGCTCGTGCTAATGTAATTTCTGCAGACTACCCAGAGTTAGATCCCAGTATCGCCGCCGAGGTCATGTTCCACCAAGCGCAAGCGATGCAACGCGGCCCAGCGGCACCTTTTGCTCCTCATCCAGCCTTTGGAGCCGCTCCAATGTCTCTGGGATTGCCTCCGCCTTCTGTAGCCGCACTTCCTAATGCTCATATGGCTAATCTCATCAGCACGCTTGATGGACCTGCTCTTCACTCCCTTCTTTCGGCTCTTCAGCAACGGCCCGGACCACAATCCAACCCGGTTTCAGCCACTCAATCACCTTTCGCGTCCCCCAACCCCCCATCGCCAGCCGATTTGGCGACTCTTTTGAGCAACACCAATCGTGCGCCCCCCATGACCTCTCTCCATCCTCCACCAAATCTCCCTCCACAACAGGTTCCTCATCAGCCCTACGCCCTTCCGCAACCCAACCTTCCCATGGTCACCGATCCCAATCTGCTTTCACTTCTGGCAAAAGGTCTAGGAGTGCCACAGACACAAGCGCAGCCTCCACTCGGTTCCAATGTGCAGAACCTGATGCACCATTTTTCGAAGTGGAAGCAATGATCCTTATGACTTTCTCCTGTATTTTATCGTCACCCCACCCACCATTGTTTGGCGTCAGTACTCTTCAAAATGTTTGTGTGCCCTTTTCATTCCACCCATGGGAGCTTGGCGTTACGATTGCATCTAGGCTCGATGAAAGTTTGACACAGTCCCATCCTTTTGCCTTTGGACTTTTACGCGGCTTTTGATTTCCTATGACATTGAAGCCTGATGGCTATAGTAATTTCCCTCACCTCGCGGAATAGCAAGAACGGGCGTCTGTCTAATCGACCATACTTCAAACTTGAATGGCACTGTCTAGAACTTCAGCGATGGGCGTCTTCTTGTTCTTCTCGCTCGCTCTTTCCGCTTATGCGATTCTTGGCAGACATTGACTGAATTCACCATGTTCAGACCTATACGATGAAGGCCTGGTTTGATTCTGAAGACATTGAGAGTCATATCACTTGCTTTAGAATGGAGGTGGGAGATATGCGCCAGCAAAGCCATGTGGACCAAGTTCTTCCTGACATTGCTCAATACCGTCGATCATTCTCAAGGCGCGCAACCTCTTCAGGGAATAGTGTCCCAACAAATTTTAGCTTCGATCTCTGGGCGTTCGGCCATCATCTCTACACGAGATCTTCAACGTCACTGAGCCGGGCTCGGGCTGATGTGAATATCTATCACGGTATTGCAAGCAACCTCACATCTTTCAATACCGCTCAGATATCGATCTAGATCATCAAAGCAGTTCTCTTCTGTTCAGTATCAAGATGAATCGAGTCAAGAGTGGATGGATATTGTACATTCTTTTACACCAAACAAAATCAATCATTTCTTTGCCGAAAGACCCTAGTTCAGATCATTCAGGAAGGTTTCCAGCCTTGCGTCTTGAGTTCCTTGACCTTCTCCGCGTCTTCCTTCTTGATCCGCTCGATCGTCTTATCCCGATTGTATTCCATCACTCGCTTTTCCTTGAAGTATTTGACCTATAATGACCAGTTAGCCCAGCTCTGGAGGTTGACTCCACCGAGTTCTCAGATAGTGAGCACAAAAACACCACGACGATCAGTGCGAAGTGCAGGTAAAAGCCGACGTGGACATACCCAGGTGGCCGAACAGGCCGCTTCAAACTCCGCCACCTCCTTGGCGCACTTCCGGCGCGCAGCTTTATCGTCTTTGATGGAGTCGATGATTTCATTGCGATCCAAGCATGCGAAAAACATGTCTCGGCCTTCCCAGCATCTGGCGCGACTCGTGCGATCCGGGGCAATGCGCCCGCCATCCGAGGCTTTGTTGGAGTCGCCCGAAGACCAAGGAAGCCAACCCATGTTGTGGAGGACGAGAGGGCTGTGAGAAGAAAGAGGTGCGAAAACTAGGACGGGAGCTCCTTATATTGTCACTTTGAGTTTGGACCACAGGGTGCGTTCTTGGTAGACGCTGGTGAGTATCGATCCTCGAAGTGATGTCGGCGACGTACAAAGGTTGGGGTCGAGCTTGGCGGGCCTTTTGCTCCTGCGGACTGCGGCGTTGCCAAGACTGTTGATCAGTGACGCTCGAAACAGTGCGCCCGCAGGGATCTTGACAATCTACTACACACTGCACAACAACAAATCGACCAGCAACGCCAGCAACGCCAGCAATCGATCGAAGCGCCCGACACGTCGATCGTCAGCATCATAGATACCTACGGATATACCGGTCGACCTCGACTTTGGTTCGGCCGATCGACCTTTCGGCGCCATTTGTCGCATACCTTACGCTTGCGGCTTCGAACTTGGCACTCGCGCGCTGGAGTCTACAACACTACCATCTTGGATCACCGGCGTGCTAGATCTGATTATCATCCTGCCAGAGAGCTGCTGGGACAAGAGGTTCCCCGGTCTGCCAGTTGATGCCAGCGCGCAGGCGTCCTCCCGCGGGGTCGCGATCTGACCTTCCGCCTTTGAAGATCATTCGAAAGATCCTCCTACTTCAGGCAGCTTACTATGTCTGCGCCTTTGTCCTCATTTTGTTCACCACCATCATATACGGGACACCTTTCTCTCTCAACTTGGTACTGGGATGGGACTACCTCAGGGGAGATACCACGATTGGGTGGATGCTAGGACTGGTCTGGATATTAAACGGTGTCATCAAGTATGTGTCGACTCGTCGAGAGCTACTGAACTTGTTAGGGAAAAAAAAATTTTTCACTTCTTTTTTGAAAATCACAAACTAACCGATCGACTCTCTTTCTTCACGTCAATAGTGTGATATTCCTCTTGCTGCTCGTCTCGCGATCGAAACTGGTCCCTGACTTTGCTCTCACAATCCACTTTCTCCATCTGGTGGCTACAGTCGTCTACACTCGCTCAATCCCAACAAATCTCCTGTGGTGGGGACTTCAATTTGCCAGCGCAGGTATCATGACCCTCCTTGGCATGTGGGCTTGTCAGCATCGTGAGCTCCAACCGATCAGCTTCGGTGGGTTTGCCGGCCTCGGCGGTGACAACTCAGCCTCTACTTTACAGCCGTCCTCGAGTGACGCTCACTTGGAGGCGGGGTTCGGTCGCGGTCGAGGTCGTGAACGCAGCCTTCAAAGTGGATTTGATGAGTACGAGATGACTGGCTTGAAACCCGATGAGCGAACTGTTTAGGGGGAGCCTCAGATCACCACATCTTTGATCTTTCTTTTTTGTTTTTTTGGCCCCTTCAACATTACCCGTCTAATACTCTCCTTTCTTTCGTTCTTTTCTTATTTTGGGTCTCTTTTTCCTTCTTTTTTTTTTGGTCTTTGCTGGGATGAAGAACGCATTTTGGATTCTTTTGCCATTTCCGGCGCCATGTCGAAGACGTGCCTGGTCCGTTATTCGTGGGCACTTGTATACCCTGCCACACTTGCATTTGTATAGATAGCGCCGAGCTTTGATGATGAGATGAATATAGTCTGACTTTACCTCCTCCAGACACTTGATGTTCACTCTACATATAGTGCCTAGTACCTACTACCTACGGCCGTGCTGGTTTCTGGGTATTCGGATACTAGTGCGTGACTTCTCCTTGGATCAGATTACTCATCCAATTAATATGAAAGAAAATGAATCATCATTCCGATATTGCACAGCTATCCACACACCAGCCAGCTGGAAGGAATACCAATGGCAAGCGAAAAAAAATAAAACTAAAAAAAAATCTCAAGGGGTCACCGAGTTCCCCAAAAGTCTCCCAATCTCCTCGGCGATCGCCAGCGTCCGCTCCTCACTCAACTTACGTCCAATAACCTGGACAGCCACCGGGGCGCCATGGTACGCATCGGCGTCATACTCAGCCTGCACCGTGGCGTCAAACGAACTGAGTGCCTCGTAATTCTCCTTGGCAGGATCGAGCCCTTTGTCGGCAAACGTGACCGGAACCACCACGCTCGTGAAATCGAGCAAGTTGATCACCGATGCATAGCCGTAGTAGCGGAACTGGTTGTGACGAATGGCGGCGGTGGGTGTGATCGGCGCAATGATGGCGTCGAGTTCTCTGCCTTCTTTCTCTTCGAGTTCTCGCCATTTGTCGAGATATTCCATCTGGTAGTTCCATTTCTGAAGGTGGGTGTCCCATAGTTGGTTCATGTCGATCTTGGGGATATCTGGGTTGAGTAGGTCTTTGATGTTTGGGATCGCGGGCTCGCCGGATGCGTTGATGTCTTTGAAGACGTCCTGGAGAGGTTGAATTAGAGATTGAACTGATTCTGCTTGGGGAGCGTCGAACTTGGTAGGGACGCATTTCTAATATGACTTACTGTGTTTCCGTCAGAAGCGTAGATATTGTTGATCAGATTGTGACCAAAGTCATGCTTATATGGCGTCCAAGGAAGAACTTTGTGTCCATTCTTTTTCAAAGTTGAAACCACGGTCTCAATACCTCTCAAGATGGGAGGATGGGGCATGACCTAGCAAGTTTTTGTTGTCAATTCATGTCTTCCTTGCTTTGAGACGATCATCGACTGGTAGGGAAGTCTTCAAACTCACCACCCCATCGCAAGAGTAGTATGCGAGGTTCAGCCCTCCTTGGAGCTTGCGCTTGATAGTTTCTTCTTCTGCAGATCGCCATGGCATAGGAACAACCTTGGAGTCATTCTTCCATGGCTCCTGCTCCAGCACACTTGTGAGGAACAATCGGAGGTCTTTCGTCATGACATCAGTAAGTTTCAAGCACTGCATGGGGGTCCAAGAAAGGTCAATTTTGGGCTATGATCTCCTACCTCCTGCCGAGTGAGCCATCGGGCCAACCACACTATGCACTGTTTCTTGCCCTTCCATGCTGTTCGCCATCTTGGCATAGGGCATACGCCCATGGCTTGGTCGGATACCATACAGAAAGTTGAAGGCAGATGGAACTCGGATCGAGCCACCTTAGGTCGAACGATGCAAGTTAGCCTTTTGACCTACATCCACTTGCCCATCTTCACTTCACCCGATCGTGTTATCTTACCAATGTCGGTACCAATTCCGATCACGCCTCCGCGAATTCCTACCATAGCACCCTCTCCGCCTGAGCTCCCACCACATGACCAATTCTTGTTGCGGGGATTGAGGGTTCTTCCGATGACGTTATTCACCGTCTCACAGACCATCAAGGTCTGCGGGACACTCGTCTTGGTGTAGAAGATGGCTCCCGATTTTCGAAGCAGCGTTACGAGCACAGATTCATCCTCGTCATATTTGCCTAGCCACGAGACATAGCCCATGCAGGTTTCTAATCCCTATGTTTCCCAGTATAACACGGTAAGGTATCAGATTCCCGAAACGAAAAGGGGGAAAGAGTTGTAGACACACCTTTACACGCAGTTGATCCTTGAGTGAGATGGGCAGTCCATGAAGAGGTCCAACGGGCTTCTTGTATTTCTCATAGAATGCATCAAGCTCCTGCGCCTGGGCAATGGCCTTCTCGGGGAAGAACTCCAAGCAACAATTGAGCTGTGTCGATCTGTCAGTTTTGGAAACCCCATAACGATGTCTCTTTGATGAGCTATTCACTCACCAGCTGGTGTGCCAAAGCCGCTCTCTTACAGAATGCGACTGTGACCTCTACTGCCTTGAGCTTCCCTTGAGCTAGCTGTTGAACCAGATCTGAAGCAGTTGCGGCGGTAATCTCCAGTTCCCGATTAGACAGAATGCCAGACTTGGCAGGAAAATCGAAGACCGAGTCACTGGAGGGTAGTTCTGTGATTCTCCATTCTTGAGGAATGGAGTCGTTGATGCGCTTTTGCTTGTCAGCCGCCAGCTCCTGCCAAGAGGGTGCCATGACGATGATCTGGGAGTGCTCAAGATGGTACGATAGTCAAGTCTATCACAGAAGATAATGGTTCAAGAAGATGATCGATAGCAGAACGGGGAACGCTCAGCTTCCATATTTAATAGCGTGAGAAGGGTCATTCAACGTGAACGACCTCCAACCCCACTCTTTGACTCCGGGGTGAATTCCTTGGTTGCACCTCCGTTTCCCCGTGCGAACGAGTCGCCGAGGGGGCTTTTGCCACCATTCTCATGAGGGAAGCTCCTTATCTAAGCTGGTATGACATCCGTGATCGTCGGTTGGAGATGGCAAGATAGAGAGCAGTTAACTTCCTTATCTGACTTTCCGTGCGGAGATTTGGGGTCGTTGGAGAAGGCGTTCCCCTCTCGTCCGAGCAACCTGACGCGGCATTGATTTTGATGAATAAAAAGCGTAACATTCTCTTTAGTTGGCATTATTGAGGCGCTTTGACATGGATTGGAAACTTACAAATCGTTTAGCTTGCACCGCGAGATTGGGCGAATAGAGAGCAAAAGACGCTATCTGTCAAGCGACTTATTACGTGTATGTACTCCGCACGAGCTAGCTTGTCAGGAACTCGAACAAAGCTGTTCGCAAGAAACAGTTATAAATCGATATGACCTAACGATAAAATATCCCCGCATTTCATTCTTGAAAACGGCCATTCAAAGACTTCACGTTCACTGAAGCACACGTCCGTTGCTTTCCTCGACGATCAGCTCGTACTCTGGCTGGAACTCAGTGTAAAGATTGTGCTAGGTCATGTTAATTTCCAAAGTCTGCAGAGGAATCAAAGTTGTCCATATCAATTGAGACTTACAGGGTTTTGCGCAAACTCGGCAGTGTATTTGGCAATGTCGTCGTTGATCATTCGTTTGGGAATTCCATTGGCGGCCGCCGCCTCTGCCATAAGCTGAGCATGGCAAGCGTTATCCAGCATGGAGTATAGAATAGCGGCTTCGTCGACGGTTCGGCCGACAGTGAGCAGGCTAGATCGTTGATTCAGCACTCCCGAGCAAGAGCCAGGGTCACTTCTGGGGGAGCTCGTAGGTGCCAACCTACCCATGATTCTGCAAGATACACGCAATGCTGTCCTTGCCCAGCGCCTGGGCGATTTGCCTGCCTTCCTCCCGAGACAGAGCCACACCTCCGTGGTCGTCGTATACGCTCAGCCGGCCGTAGAAGTTGCAAGCATCTAGATGACTCATATCAGTATTGTGCGAGAGACGAGAGACAGCTGAGTCTTAGTCTGCGACCAGATAGTAAGATGCAACAGACCTTGAGTCAACATCTCGATTGGTTTTCCAAAAGCACTCCATGTCTTCCCATACACTCCATGAGTGTGAGCAGCCGCCACTACATCAGGACGAGCCTTGTGAATCTCGGAATGAATCATGAACCCGGCCTCGTTGATCGGCAACTGAGCTCCGCCTTCAGCCACATATCCCTCGCTATCCAGCAACACCAAATCTGAGGCTTTGATCATGGAGAAGTGTTTGGCGAAGGGATTCATCCAGAAATGGTCCTTCAAAATTGGATCTACCGGTCGAGTTAGCGTCGACACACCGAGTCTGTTTCGACTTCAAGTCCACTTGCGCGCCCCCATCTTACCGCGCATAGAGATGTGGCCTGAGACTCCCTCTGCATAGCCCATCTTGCCAAAGTAGCGGAATGCAGCGGCCATGTGCTCTTTCATCCATTGACGTTGCTGCAAAGGGTCGGAAAAGGAGGGAATGCCACGAAGCTTCAGTGTCCCTTGGCGGTTTCCACGAGCCACTGATTGAAACTGAGAATCATCAGCAGCGGGCAGAATGTGCTCCTCGCCACCGATGACAAAGGATCGCAGCGTCTGCTGGGTGTCCATTGTCTCCGTCGATGTTGACATGATGGCTTGTTGAGGGCAAAGGGTTGGTTTGCGAAGCTGGTATTTATCAAATTTGATCAGTCAATTTTTTTCTGTGAGTAATGGATGTGAGATACACTGATTGAAAACGATCCAGTTTTCAATGGCCAAATTGTGGTATTCAGCATGAAGAACTAGGCCTGCCACAAAGTTCTCATTCGGCGCTTATCTGCAGTCCAGTGAAGTACATGAGTTAGTACTGAGTAGTCTAGGTATGAACTTGAACCCCACTTATCCCTGCACGTTCCTAAACTGGAGACTCTTTCGATGGAGCACTAAGGATGATCCTCCCACTTCCCCACTTGGACGGTTTAGGAAGGAGAAGCCGGTCATTGACCACCTTGGACCGGTAGCGCCTTACTGAGGCCAGACTTAGGCTCAAAGGCCAATATCGCAACTATGACCGACGACATGTCGGCACATCATGTCACGCATGCCTGTAAGGAGCGCCTTGAGAAAATTGGTACTGTCGCTGAGTAGGTGTCCTCAATAGTCCCGTCTACTCTAGTTGAGGGGACTTCCAGGCGAAGGAAACGGATCCGTGTCCAGGTTGAGGCTGCGGAGACAGAACTTAGATAGGTCTAAGGTAAGAGGGTACTCGGTATGAACGTGGATGTACCTGCCTACCTGGACTGCAAAATGAATTACTCACCGAAAAATTCGGCTACTACCACGTACAAATTGTGCATGTTGATGAAGACTATTCTTTGCTATCTACCGACACAGCTGATGTAAGTACTTCTTCGCAGGTCCATTGGATATCCTTCCTTGGGGGATCTAGTGGTGCTCACTGCTCTCGACTGGAATTACTTTGCCAAGCCTGAGATTCTGGAGTACGTGAAACTGAAAACTAAAAGCTGACAATTGGCGGGTTCCCGGAGAGCCGGTATGTTTAGAGGCCAGAACTAGGGTTGAGCGCACAATATGCAATGGCGAACCCAAGTCCGAACGAATTTGGAGAGAGAGAGACGGGTCTGTCCTACCGCGTGGACCAGTTTCAGCATGTATAGACCTCACTTCGCTTTGAAACGGACCAAATGCCTCTCTAATCAACACCTGCAAACGGCCCGGGGATGCGTCGAGATCTTGATGGGCTAGCTATCACCACGTGATTACTTTTATCAGCACCATGTGGGATAAGCGCGGAGCTCCGTCCAGAAAGCGACAACTACTTGACCGATGAATCTTGGCAGTTGTTAACGATTCTCTTGCATCGCTCCCTGTACTCCCCACTTTTCCATCGATACAATTGACCACCTCCGCAAACACGGCCCCCGTACGAGACTGTGGTTTCGGGTCCAATAGTGGGTGCTGTACTTCCAGCAATCCTTTTCTACGAGTTATAATTTCTCCATTCGAAAAAAGAAAAGATCAACGTCTCTGGACATAACCTTGGGAACTTGATCGGAGTGCAACCAAGACCGGCTTGTCGCCTACACTCTCAAGCTCGCCGATCGATTGCAAAATGGTGGAAGGCGAACCATCTTACATCGACTACGAGGCCTTCCTGGACCCAGACTTCTCTCCAGCTAGCTTTGCAAATACTCTCGTCCTGAGTACCAACAATGCGACCGACACACCTTTGGATCTCTCCACCCCTCTCTCGAGGGTCCTTTTTGACCTGCAGGAAATCGACACCCACATTCATACGTTGACGACAAAGTCCGCCTTGCCTCTCCTATCGCACACTCGGGATCAAACGGAAGCCGCAGAACGAATCTTGAAAGAGGCTGGGTCCCAGATCGCCTCGGTCACTCAAGGATATGAGCGATTAGAAAAGGAGGTCGTGCAGAAGTGGAAAGCAGCAGACGAGGCTCGGATTGCTGCGGAGAACTCATTGGCGACGGTGCGGCTGGCACGAGCCGTTGCACGATCTTTGACTTTGGGCCGACAACTAGAGAATCAGATTGGAGAGATCACGGGAAAGGGAACAGGGCAACCGTCGCCGGCAGGTGCTGATGGAGCGACTACCGCCAGGGAAGGGATCCGAGCCCTCGAGCGAGCTGCGTATACTATACTGAGCCTGCGCCAGATGTTCTCGGCTACCGGTGAGGATGACGAAGGTTATGGGCTGCAGCGAGTCAAGGTCATGCGCACGTTGCGTAATGAGCTCCTGCTCCCTGCAGAGAATGTAGTCAAGGCCAGGGCGCAGCAGATCATCAACCGGTTCTCGTTGGCAAGCCCCATGGCAACTACCAGTCGAACACCCGCCCCTTCGAGTTACAAGCAGGTTCGCGATGCGCGAGCCCGACTAGGTCCTGCGGCCGCGACGCTGTACCTTCTTTCTCCAATTCCAAGAGATGGGGCAACTGTTGCCGAGTTTAAACCGGACCTTTTTCTCTCCACGCTACAGGGCTATATGCAGACAGCCATCATGACATCCGTCAATGGTCTAGCCAAGGGCCTTTCACAGCTTCCCACAATGGACCGAACATTGAACGACGTCGCGTCCCGATGTCAAGATATTGCTGCGCTAGAGTCATTTCTTCGCAATCTTCGTGCGCCTACCCATCCCCTTCTGGTGCATTCCGAGACCAACAGTGCTCCAACCACCGGAGTTGAAAGTGCAGCTAGAGGTTCCCAGTCGAATTTGCTGCAACCACTGCTGAATGCGCTTGACACATCCTCGTTGCCATCATACTACTGGCGTTCAGTCGCGTCGTCTCTGAGTCCCCGCGTCCAGGAGATCATGACTCGCGGTGGTGTCTCTGCTCGGACATTACGATCCAATCGCGATCGATTGAGGACCGAAATCAAACAATGTGTATTGCGAGCCTGCCAGATCTCGGCAGCTAGTCTCTCTGCTGACAAGTCCCGCTCGGAGGAGGAGGAGGTTGCCGGTGCGGGCAATTGGGAACGGGAAGCAGCTGTCATGGTCAGCTCGATTGTTGGGCCTTTGAGCCGATGAAGATCGCTCGCTCGTCCATGCACGTTGAATACGTTGCTGGTGGTCTAGTGAAGTCACCTGCTTTTGATATCAGTTCTTGGATCGACACAGGCATTATTTCAGCGTTATAATTCGAGATACCCACCAAATAGATATCCATCTTTGAGATGATCTGTGAGCAAACATTGACTCTGGCCTCCAAGATTTGAAGTGCTTTTGTACCTTTGGAAGGTACTGTGTATCAACGTTGTGTTCTTGGATGGCGCCATCGGAAGCCAGTCAGTGTCGAGTCATTGGTCACTTCAAGTACATCCATGTCTGTACGACACAGTACCGGTGTTGGAATTGCAAGCGGCTGAAAGACGGCAGCCGGAAGGATACGTTCAGATTCTTTCTACCTATGACTGCACATCTTCACAAGCAGGGCTCATATCGACTGATGATCCGGCAGAGCTTCGTCCTTCTGGACAAATGCATTCTCCCACCAAGGCCGGGGGCCGACAACAGTCTCAAGGCGCTCGCCTAGACTGTGAAAATACCTCAGCTCGATAGACATTTAATTCTAAGTATGACTCTCTGCGAGGTAGGTACCAGGTGGTCAACACTTCAGTGCCTCAAGCCCTTGAGACTTGGAATTCTGGTGGTTGGAGTCCAGTTGCACAAAAGCTGGTTGAACAAGGTCAAATGAATACTTCCAATCATCTGTGTGGCCGTGATGTTACTTGACAGCTTATACAGCAAGCCGGATCTCAATCTTTTTTTTCTCTTTTTTTGTTCAAAAACAAAACTTCGCTAATATTCACCAACCCTATCCTTGTCGATCATTTTCAAGACATTAATATATGGTTGTCTGCTGTCTTTCCACCAGAATACCCAGATCACATGAGTACAAAAACTGTTTCGACTTTTCAACAATCTGCCACAGCGGTCCAAAAGATAGGCCTCCTGAAATCAGTCACACCTCGTCGCATTTAACGCCTCGAGCCAGCCTTAGTAGGTCTATAGCACGGTACTAACAATCTAGCAGATCCTGGACCGCTAGGTAGTGCTATCAGGTAGGTAGTAGGTAGTGTCAGATGCTGGTGACATCAAGAGGCGTACAAACGCACGCGGAAGGAAGTCCAACTAGCACCAAGGGACCAAGTACAGATTCTCAGGCTCATCCCATCTCATGTTGATACTCGCCCAGCTCACGGCGCCCATCGACGTGGCTCCATTGATGAGTGCATTTGCTCTTGAATATCAGGTTGCAAAACCCCGCGGCCGGTGCTCAGCCCTCCAGCAGGACAGCCTAGGGCATGGATCTCCCCTGTTCAGTCAATGTACCTCTACCTGTGTCTATGTAATCCATGACCATATGAACACTCTGGCTGTTCATGGATATTATGGACCCCCCCCCCCCCCCCCCCCTCCACGGTGGGAGAACATGTTTTCATCGGATCGATGGCGGTGGTCTTCGATCCGTCATTCATTCGATGCGTGCCTGTGCCTTGACCGCTAGAAGGGCGAATACGCACAGTATGCGCGGGGGAAGGGGGGAGGGGGAGTATTGGTCTGACAGTCACCCCGGTCGTGAGCAGATGCCCGTATCTACCTAATTTACCTTATCGATGGGTATCAGAAGAAGGCCTACCTTACTGGTTAGGTAGATACTACCGAAATTCTATTGATCTGAAGCCAATCTTGAAGCCCCAGCACTTTCACTGATTGCATGAGCCAAGCTTAGATCCGCACTGAACTGCATACGAATGAAGGCATATATTCTTCCATCATATATTGAGATAAGCGCAGCTCGGAGACTCTCTGTTCGTCATATGTTGGAATGTAAGGTTGCTGACGTGTGAAGAAGACCAAAATCGACGATGATTTTGCTACGCTAAGGTTCTTTATTGATCACAACACCTGCCGATCTATCAAGATCCATCACGGGTAAGAATCAAAGGTTCTAATCCCCAAGCTAGCGAGTAGCTTATCATAACCGTTTTGGACGAACAAGCCTCGGTGATTCGATGACAATTACGGAGTCGGCCCTGATAAGCAAGCCACTTTCAAGTCCATCGATAAGCCCTGCAGGTACGTCCCTGGCGCTAAGATTACGATTTGAAGTTAGTAAGTACTACTACGTACCATTTTTGGGAAGTTTTGCGCCTGTGCTTTTTTTGCTCCCTGAGTTTTCCCGGGGGCCCAGGTCACGATCCGTCCACGCCAAGGGAACCCCGCGCGGGTGCCTTTTCACATTCTGGTGGCGCACGCGAGGGGTGTTGGCGAGGGGCAATTGGCAATGGGCATACTTTATGTATCAGTACTTGACCTGAAACCGAAAGGTAGGGTTGCCTGAAACTTTCCACGCTTTGATCCCCCCTCTGCACATCGCTGAATATCCTCCAGCCACTAGCTAGTGCCGGTAACGCCCTGAATGCGCTCCAGAGGGTTGCGGACAGCTACCACTAGCAGGTCTCTCCAACTAAGTTAGTTACCTGCTGGATAAATTTACGAAAAGCGGGGATAACAAACAAGGCATAGTACGTAGTACGTACCATGTAGAACTGCAGATCCCGAGTCGATCGCTCTGACAGACGCCTGCATAGTGCATACAGTTACTTTACCCAGTCATCATGATTCATGCCAAAGGAGTACGCGGGCAGAGGAACTCCTTCCTTACCCCTCCTCCTCCTCCTCCTCCTCCTCCTCCTCCGAGCTGTACACTTACAGTACTGTCAAACTGGAAATCCTCCCAGAAGGATTCAAATCTTATTCGCAGGGCCAGCGGTCTGTCCGCCACGGCGCTGTCTTCCCCGGCTCCACATAGTCATACAGTACATCCTGGCCCTTGTACAACGGGTCAGCCATGCAGGATCGTGGCCATTGCTGGGCACGGCCACGACGGTCCCGCAAATCAGATCGGCAGAGTAGAGGACAAGAAGTCAAGAGGTACGGTACTACTGCGTGCGCAAGCCCGATTAAGCGGCTCGGAGCTTTTAAGCCATCTGTTCCAGGTGTTCCAGCCTTCAGATGTTCCAGGGACTTTCCTGGTTGTTGGTGCCCCCAGGATTGCCGGATAGATCCGGCAAGAGGGGAGCCAAACGAGGCGATGCCCAAGGTGCGAGCAGCTGTTCAGTTTGCCAACACACTACTTGGAGATGACAACAGGAGATATCCATGATTCCTCCTCGGAAAAGGAACATTGACTGTTCCACCATCTCGAGGACGAGTAGCGCCAAAGGAACTTCGAATGAAGCACATCATGCGGGTCCCTGGTGGCGTTAAAACACCTCGATCAAACCCAAACAATCAACACCTGCAGATTGAAATACGCGAATGCTTGCCCTGTGTCTTTCATCAAATTTCCTGTCGAGTAAGTTCATGGAGTCACTACTGGTTGCCCATCCGATCATGCCTCTCTACGCCTGGGCCCGCTCACGTCCACATTTGTGGTTGTGTCCTGACGTAAATGATGGTGTTGGTGCTACTGTTGGAAACCCAAAGGCTTCAAATTCAATGATATGCAAGAGACTGCACCCGACTCTGGGGATATCGTCCTAGAGAAAAGAACAGGTGAGCTCCACAAACTCTGTTCAATGGGTCCCACCTTAGGAGAAGGGGTTGTGGTAATTGGTGTCGAAGACTCACCTGCAAGAGTAGGCATATTATCCTTTTTAGCGTTATATACTACGCTTGTTCGGGACGTGCCCGCGTACCATGGATCAGAGATTCACCCTGTCGTCATGCAAGCCTTTTCCTCCAGTCTTACCTCTCTCTCTCTCTCTCTCTCTCTCTCTCTCCGCCGGCACTGGATCGGTAGGCTGTACAGACCACGTACAATACGAGCTCCACTCGATGATCATCCCTCCACCCCGCCTACCTGGAAGTATCATTCAATGTCCCGGGTTCAGGTAGAGTGTTTAGTTTAGTAGGTATTTTGCAAGCTACTGCGGCGAGTCGCATGTTTTCCCCACCGATAAGACGCCCGTTTCCAAGATTGCAGCTCCCCCTCCCCCTCCCCCATTTCAAGGCAGCTAGAGCGGGGAGGGACCGATGAGATTGGTTGTCCAAGAAAGAGGTCAGTGAAAACAACATGAAGTAAGCTGTCCTACTCTCTACGCGGGTACATCTTCTTCTCGTTGAGAATGCGCATCATACTCAAGTCAGCAAGAGCAGTACCCGGGAGAATCATCGAGAGTACAATATCCAGATACTCGACAAGTGAGATGGAGGATCTCTGAAAATCGATCCTGTCTCGGGGAAATTCCTGATGAGGTGGGGTAGAATGAGTACCTCAGAACCTCTCGTTATCGACGAAACTTTCTGTGTCTCTGCAGTCTCCAGCTGCAATGGAATGATCATTGCGCCCATCTGCTGTTAGTACCTGACTAGACCACCTCGAAGGAAATGAATACAATCAGATACTGTATGGCCGATTGACCATAGCATGCCAAGCATGGATGCTGTTCCTAAATTTTATTTTTATTTTTTTCAACATCGCAACTTCTTGAATGTATCTTCATCCAGTTATGCGATGGTAAGCTGATAAGTACGGGTCGAGAGGCAGGCCCGGGATCCGTTTCGCCTGGTTCCGAAACCTGCAAGGCTGCAACCCGAGTTGCCTTTTGAAACACACCTTCTGACCACGACCATCGTTGCCGTGCAGGTGGTTCTTTCTATCGACCTGTGCGACTTGCTGGGAGACTGATGAGTGATTGATGAACAGTCTTGATCTCATGTGTGGCAGTGGGAAAAGACGAGCAGAGAAATCCACAATAGACGCGTTACCAAGGTAAAAACTCCCTTGAGGTCCAGGTCAAGGTCCAGGGGCGGATCGTTCGGAATCAGGGTCTGCTTCTGACACAGGTAATTAGGTCCCTGTGTTAGTACTGTACTGCAGAAGTACAGACTCTGCGACTACACTCTTCCAGAGTGCTGCCGCCTGCGTAACCAGGGTGACCCACTCGGGGAAGCTGAGGAAGTATGACGAAGACACTAGGATCGGGCGATGACCTCAGATCTCAACGTTCTTCCCGTGTGCACTGTGCAGCATCGTAGTCTCAGACCTTTCCTCGAGAGTCGATGAATCTGTCCGGATGCGTGGTTTCTCTCACCCGAAGATATCCCGAGGATTGATCGACAGGACGGGTTGTTTCTTGTAGAGGTGAGTGATGTTCAATCAGGTCTCCTGGTGTGACCGGGTATGGTCACATGGGCCCAGGTACGCTTGGGTGTACTGTTAAGCTTAATGTGAGCTCTGTGTTAGACCGTCTATCTTTGCCTGCCCTGATGATTGATCAGACGAGATACAAAGGAAGACGTACGCTCTGCCGTTGATGCAAGGGGTGGTGTGGGTGGGGAAGGAAGAGGGGAGGAGGGGGAGGAGGGGGAGGGGAAGGATACGCATGGCGAGGAACGAGGGTCAAGATGGAAAACCCATCTCCCAAAGAAGGAAAATGTAACGAGTCGAAAGTTCAGAGACCGTCGACAAGGAATGAATGGATTAATATTGAGTAGAACCCCTTTTGACTTAAGAGACCCGATGACGAACAGGTTGGACCTTGGACGCAGGTCTTTGTGCAATCTTGAACCATAGCTGGAGGAGAAGATGTCAGACGAACAACTTCACCAGGGCCTGGTCTCAAATTCAATCGCATTACCATGGCCGCGGTCCCGTGGCCTCTGCTGTCCAGAGTGTCCAGACTCCAGACCCCGAGAAATGCGAGGAATCAGGTCCAATGCGTCCGATGCGTCCGTTGCCTCCGTCGCGATAACCCACGAGTGGGTGGACACCCCTCGGCTTCCGCCCACAGCCAAAACGGTCTCGACCGGTCGGCTGCCACGCTTGTCTTTTCTTTTCTTTCTTTCTTTTTTTTTTTTTTCGTTTTTCCCCTCTGGGGGTTTGCTTTCCATGAATTTCGGGTTTCTCGGCTCCTCGTCCTGGAAAGTGCCCCACTCTGCTAACCAAACAATCCTCGTCTTGGCAACCCATTCCATAGAGAGAGAGCCCTGAAGGCGGCTGCAGGAGTGCCAGGACCTTGGTGGCTGATTCAAGATCGAGAGGTGTACACTGTACACTACAGGAGTAGCAGAACATGACCACATACTACATAGTACATACTACATAGTTACTATACTACATAGTTACTATGTACAATCGTCCATTAGTACTCATAGTACCTTACTACTGCGTACCAGGTAGTGCGTAACTGCGTACTCCGACTTTGGACTTGGTCCTTCCAGGGTCCACCGTAGGAGGATCGTACTGTACATATGCACCCCAAACATCCGCACTGATTCGTCCGCGACGCTAGCGGCCGGATGCTCGGAGCATGCGCCATCATCCATGAATAAGCTGGCGCCATCATGACTTCAACCGTGCTTTCTCCACCACAACCACAATCACACACGCACGCACATACTTACAGACACACACACACACTCTCTCTCTCTCTCTCCCTCCCTCCGCAAACACCTGGATCCTCGCTGAATGGTATATATCCCATGCGGCATGCAGCGCATCGACTCGATAATCTCGATCATTGTTTTTTCGGCAGACGTGCTTGTCGCTTTGCTTGACCGAGGTCAACCTTTTGCCATAGATACTGCGACTGAGTGGTCGAGCACTACTTGTGGGTCACGCTCGAAATGATGAATGGAGTCAAGTTGCGTCCATGATGGACCAACTCTCCTCGCCAGGTCTCGTTGCCGTGGGGCGCGCCCAGGTCATGACCATGAACCACCTCCCGAGCGGGGCTCCCCTGGCGGCTGGTCACTGGCTGGACCCGTCCGACTGGGGTCCCCTATGAATCATGCACTCATGCACGGTACATCATCATATCTGGTGCCTGGTGCCTTTTTCTTCTTTTCTTTCCGTTTCCTCTGGCCTGGTTGGATGGTGGATCGGAGACACCTGGCACCTGGCTTCTGGCACCTGGCACCTGGCACCTGGCACCTGGCGCCTCGAAGTCTTCCAAACCTTGGGGCCTGGAGCGAGGTAGTGGAAACGTGAACAAGGTTCGCAGTGCGAGGGTCGAGATTTGAGTCGATCCATCCCCGAACCGCCGCGCTTGGCCTAGCGTGCCCGAGGACCAGGGCCACTTCCACCAGGTTGACATCAACAGTACACGAGCGCATGATCTTCGTGACATGATTGTATGGGATGTGGCATAGAAGGCGATTGGGTGCTGGGGGAAACGCAATCGGCGCCCATGGAAACGTGCTGGGTAGGGCATGGATCCAGGCTGAGGGTTAGCGATGGTGGACAGCTGTACGACGTGCTTTCTACCCTGATCATTCCGTCAACCGAGTTGATTCATATGGTTACCAACCTGCCAGGTATAGTACTATAGTCATAGTATGTACTCATCGTATGCTGGCACTACTAGCACTGTGAGTCTAAGTATGCACTATCCAGTACGCACCCTGCGGCCACCGTGAGGTACTGTAGTTTCACGAACTATATGGGGCGCGTTACAATTGGAACGTTATCCCAGAAAATTGCGCGAGACAGTATCAGAAAAGCCAAGCTCTTTGAGGCTCGAGAGTCCACCTCCACGAGGCCTGGTCTACTGTTTTCGACCCGGGACCTAGATCAATGGTCAGCGCCGGTTGCATGGTCTGCAATCTCATTATGTAGCTCAGTGCCGGTGAGACGGACGGTCGATTCGCAATAGTCAAAAGAAGCTGTTGTCTATCCAAGTGTACCCTGTACAGCAGTGGGACCTGTGAACTCCCCCCGGCCGCTCGATTCACCTATTGTACATACATGATCCATGCTTTGGAACCATGGTATCGTCGGCCGTCGCGGTAGCCTTCCAACGTCGACCAAGTCTGTAGTCGTGACCTATCTATCCACTCCGACGTGACAACCAAATGGAACATGCCATGCAGCAGATGAAACTCTCACGGCACCAGTCCATAGTCTGTTAGTACTGCATACTCCATACCTAGCCATACTACATCAGTACATCCAACCTTTTTACGTCTCCATTCTATACACCCTCCTACTCTGCAGACCGCATAGACTGGAAGTCTGAAACTCGTTCGAGTCCATAGCCCATATTCCATACTTTCTGTACCATCTGCTACATCTGCTATGGTTACGTCCTGGGCTCCACCGTGCCTTGTACCGCCGACACCGGTTGCTGCGGCCCAGAACGACTGTCTCGAATCTCGAGTCCATCGAGTCCATCGAGTCCACCGAGTCCACCGAGTCCCATCGAAGTTCAGTACCTTAAACTCGCCCGTCGACGTGGGGATCGCTGGTGGTTGGGGTTCCAACATCCCCTCCATCCCGAACAGCCTCCTTTCTCGTCGTCACCACTGCCCCATCCGCGATCTGCTGGTTCCTGGCTCGGGGCAAACCCACTGGATCTGCTCAGTCGTGCGGTCGACCAAACACCTCTCGACTCCCCCTCGGCTCAACCTGAACTCTTGCTTCCAGTCTGCCACTGGGATCTGGTCCATTACCACCACGACTGACTCTACTACGCAGTACGCACTCCGCAATACACACCACCACATCCCATTTCCTTCCTTCGCCCGTCTGCATTAATTCCTTCTTCTTCTTCTTCTTCTTCTTCTTCTTCTTCTTCTTCATCATCATCTCCTTCTTCTCCTTCTTCTCCTTCTACCTCTCTCCCTCTTTCCCTTTCTCCCCGTGTGGCCTTGCTTCACTGAACGTGAACTGTACATGTGCCCTCTCGTACACCCTGTCCCTCTTCACCCGCTCCACCTGCCCTTCTTGACCCATCTGACCATCCTCTCTGGTGGCCATCCCGCATCGATACCGTGCCACATTCCTCGTCTACGCGCTTGCGCATACACAACCACAGAGAGACTGGCCCGTGGCCCCGAGTACTTCCCCGGTACTCCATCAAGTACATAGTACATATCCTGCACTGCTGCTATATTTAATTGGACTCCGCTCGGGTACATACAAAATCGCATCTCGACCCTGGCTGGTCGAATCGATACGATTCCCTTCTAGCTCATCCGTTCTCCTTCCGAATCGTGCCCTTCGTGGCCTGGTGATTCGATCGTCCTGTTCTGCTGTGCCGGCCATCTGCCCAGTCCAGTTCCCCCCAGTCCACTGCCGCTGACCCTCTCCCCTCCCCCGGCTGCGATCGCGATATATCAGATCCAAGACCGCGTCAATTCGTCCTTTTCCTCCCTCGGCCCTGGCGACATTCCTCGAGCATCCGTCTCGGCAGAGCCCGCCCAGACACAAACCTGAAACATCCATCCTCCGATTCTCCACCAAACCGGCCCAGTCTGTTCCTCAGCTGTCCCAGTCTTGACCTTCCGGTTGATCCCCAGTCGATTTTCGCCTCATTCGCTCCTGTGCTGGGTTTGCCTCCTCTGCCCAGAGATACACTTCACGGTCGGCTAATTGATCTGTTCCCTCTGGCGTTCTCCGACCATTCTCATCTCCATCATCGCCCTTCCCCCGTGCACTACTATACTCCTTGCGTCGTCGGGACGAAAATCAAGGTGTGCATTCCATCATCAACAACCCTCTGGCGTTGCGCGCCCTGTCTCTCCCTCTCTCTCCCTCTCTCCCTTCCTCTCTCCCTCCCTCCCTCTCTCTCTCTCTCTTTTCCTCGTCTTCTCTCTCTCGTGCTCTCTGGCTCTCCTCGCCCTTCCCCCCACTCTCCGTCACGTTTACGGCCGTCCATCTCTTCCCCTCCTCCACTCTTTTCCACCCCCCCCCCGCCCTCTCCTGCGTACCTATTTCCCCTCTTGCTGCGAGGCTCTCTCACGAGGGTGTCTGAGAGCTGGAAAGCGGTGGCAAATATCCCAAACCGCTCCGCCAAACTGTACGTGTTGCAAAATCCCCCCCCCCCCCCCTCCTCCAGTGGATCGTCTTGCCTTTCCACATCCACGGGGGTTTTTTTTCCCCTGTCCCGACCCTCGATGATCCGCTTTGATGATGTGATGACTATATACTAAATGAAAGCGATATGCGCATATTCTGGCAGCCGACAAAACCTAATCTTTCCATCATTCGTTCCTTCTTTACTGTGGTTTCTCCGTCCAGGCCCTTTCGTTCGCACACCTGGAACGGTCCAAAACAGACCCCCCCCCCCCCAAAAAGGGGAAAAAAATTAAACTTCTCCCCGCTGGATTCCGGGATCTGTAGTCCAAGTGACGTGGACCAGGTCATTGTCGGCTTCGCGACCGTGGTCTCTCGTCTGTGTGATTCCAGATCTCCGGCGCGATCATAATTTGACATCACTCGCCTCCGCCGGATTACGTCGCCTCCCATGACCTCTTTTCACCCCATCAACAACACCTTGGCCTCAACCGAAGATCACACCATGGACGGCACAAAAACTCCCCGTGCAACATCGATTGGCGTCTCGGTCACATCAGATCGATCGTCTCCTGCAGATCAACAACCAGATGTGACCAGCACCAAGTCAAATCGAGGATCCGGTTCAGCACGGCCTTCCGCCGCGGGACATGCGAGAACGAGTTCGGTAGTGTCGGAGGATGCGATGAATGTCGACTCGGACGGAGAACGAGATGGATCCGACCAAGAGACCGAACCGGGCGGCGCACCTCCGTCAAAGAAGAAAAAGGGACAACGGTTCTTTTGTACAGATTTCCCGCCTTGCAACCTAAGCTTCACTCGCAGCGAGCATCTGGCCCGCCACATCCGGAAGCACACGGGCGAGCGGCCCTTCCAATGTCATTGCTCTCGTCGATTCTCACGACTGGACAACTTGCGACAGCATGCGCAAACGGTGCACGTCAACGAGGAGATCCCCGGAGATTCATTGGCGGCAACGGGCACTCGCTTTCAACGCCAGGTGCGGACCGATCGAGTGCGTCCGACCGGCCGGGCGCGTGCCGGGACTGGAGGTAGTCAGGGTGCCCACAGTCGGGGCCACAGTCGTAACCTGTCGACGTCGAGTATCGCCTCAACTGCGTCCACCTTCAGCCAGGCGCCGGAGCTTCGGCGACGACCCCCGCCCCTTATCATGGCGAATGACCCCGCGGGTCGAGCCCGCCTAGGATTGGATACTATGGGAGAGCCCCCCAGCACGCCGCCTGGTCAAAATCGCGGGTTGCCTGGTCCCCCTGGTGGCGGGTCACCATACACCCCGTCGCATGCCTACGCTGCAGGCCCATCCGCCAGTCCGCAATATGCCCCCTCCATGTCATCCGCCGCAACACATGGGTTCTGGGAGGGGAAGACTGCGGCCCGCCGACTATCCGTTCCTTCGAGCAGCAATCCCTTCCTCGCCCAGCATAACGGTGCCTATCCTCCTCCCTATGGCTTACCCACTGTTCATCATCCCTACGCCAATGCCGCTGGGGTCTTTGCCAGCCCTACCAGTACCAATTATCCGGCGTCGAGAGACGAGAGCACTCTGAGTGCTGCCGAAGCGGAGATGCGGAGACGCACGTGGCACCCTTCCACGTATCCGGTCTTCGGACGACCCTCTACGAGTGGGTTGAGCCACTACCAAACACCGGATAGTGTCCATGGACCCCAAGCAGGACCTGCAGGACCTGGCGAGATCGGTAACGGACCCGGCAGCAATGTTGCTGATCAACCGCCCCGCCTTCCGGGAATTGAAAGCTTCGACAAAGTCGTCTCGCAGCATCGACCTCTCACTCCGCCGACCCGCAAATCGAGCCCAATGCTGGTGGATCACCAGTACCGAGCCCCTCCACCCCATCAACATACACCAAGTCATAGCTTTGGCTCTGGCTACAACTATGGGGCTCCGCTGGTGAGGCCTGCACCTCCAATCTCCGGTCCTGGCCATCGCCGCGGCCACGTATCATGGGACATGGGTCTGCATCACGGTCTCACCGGCCTCGATATCCGAGACCGCCGCGGGTCTCGAGACGCCAGTCAGTGGAGTCAGCAGACCATTGCCGAGCTCCAAAATGTCTCGTCTCGACCCTCATCTTCGTATCAACCTACATTCCCTCCCACGGCTGAGAGAAGTCCCGAGCAGCATCGTGGCCACACCTCCAACCTGTCCACCAGTAGTCGCCCGGCGCAGATGTCTCCCGAAGACTCGAGCAGCAGTGAAGGTGTTCACACCCCGTCTACCGCCTCGGTGGAGTATCATCCAGCCATTGTTCACAGCAGCGGATTCATCGAACCGCACGATGCCACCATGCCATCCGAACATCACCCCCAACCGGTAGGACCTCTTTCCTCGAGCAGACGGCCCCCACCTCGGATACTAATGTCGTCTTAGATCTGTGGGCGACAAGCATCTCATTCTGACGGCTACCCGGGTCCCACCGAACGAGAGCCTCGAACCGAGGTATATTCACACATGGCCGCACGTGGCAATGGCATGGGCCGGCTGGAAGCTTTGGTTGCCGTTGCTACCAGCGAAGATAAAAGCACAGCCCGAATGTACATGTGACGGCGCCTGTCGTTCCTCTCCTGCAATATACGAAGTATGCTTGTATCGGCCTGCGTATTGGCAGTCCGGACGTTCCCCTCAATCCCCCTTCTCTCTTGCCACGACATACTTCGCTCTCTTATTTCTTAACCTCCTCCAATCCCTATTCCTCCCTCCGAGAATGGGCGACTGCGTCTATCGGTCTTCACAGTGATCCAATCGCACCATCACCACTCTCACCGTCCATCTTCCTTTATCCAAACTGAAGACGCAAAACGCATTGTTTCCTTTCTTCGATATTCCTCCCCTGGAACAATTATTACAACTCGGGAGGCAGGCAGATCTGCCATTGACGAAGTAATGACCTTGATGACTCGATAAACGAAATTGGAATTCTTTTCCGTTCTCCTTCTTGTGTTCTGGCCTATCCAGTTTCGAACCTGACTTGCCTTCTATCTCGTGCTTGGGTTATTTGTTTCGGAGTTCCCCGTGTGTTTTTTGCTCAAATGCGCAGTTTCCGGGTATTCTGCTGCATCGTCTGGCGTTGTGGGCAGGAGTCTTTGAATGGCATCGCGCGTGCATTTAATACCCGATTTCTTCGATGACTTTGGGTCTGGTGCGGTCCATGTCTTCCATCAGCCTCCTTTTCGTATCAAGTCTCCACTTTTTTGACGGCCCAGTGTCTCTTTTTCATTTGCCTTTTTAACCTTCGGACCTTTTGGTGGCCCTGGACTGTGGTCATGCCTGGTTGCTTGTTGAATTTGAGTTTTTACTGCTCCTTTGCTTGCGATGGGGCTTTCTGTGCCTGTCTATTATTTGTGGGGATTCTTATTACTCGCTTATCGACAGGCGATTCTTGTGGCCCCCTCATTCTGTTCTGTTCTCAAGTTGAGCTTGTGAAATGTTGCCAGAGACGACATCTTTCAGTTCCTGCCTCTTGTCTTATCATACACATCGTTGAGACCACTTTCAATTTTTCCCTTCTCATGCCCTGCTTGACTATTTCTTGGTTCCTTGTGGTTATTTCCTCTAGGTATAGGTTGTCGGCCTCTCAATGGTTCAGATGATACGCTAGGTTAAATCCATGAATATGAGTTGTAGTGAGGTTCGGAAAATACAAATTGGTCTCTCAATGCAGTCACATTGATCTTGGAAATTCCACAATATCGTCACAAAAGGGGGAAATCAAGTCTAGTCACACTTCCTGCTGTCGGTATTGCTGCCATCCAGCTGTCTACTACCTTATAGGATTCACCACGGAATGACTGGATGGACTAGTAATTTCGGAAGTATGATGTGTATGTACTATGTAGTAGGTTTGAAGATTGTGGTTAAGGAGCAAAAGACCGTCTTTCACAACGTCGACTTACAAAACAGCATATAGTGAACCTATACTAAATGGAGGAGCATAGTCTGGCTGAAATCCCGGTTCAAGGCATTTTATCTAGTATCTAGTCCTTCTCCCCTACTCTTCCATCCCTATCAGCTCAATAGAGCTGCATCAACCGCATCAACTCTATAAAACCACATCGGCTGTATCAACTCTACGGAGATGGACCAACCGCGTCGACTCTGTGGAGCTATATCTATTGGTACTAATTCTTTCTAGCTATGTCAAGGACTTCGGCTACTATGAGGAGCATATGCGCGACATGGTTTCAAAGGCCATCGAGACTCTCATTTTTGACAAAGAGTAGGTCAGTGCTCGAGAAGGTCTGGTGATGGCTGGTCGGATCCTGAGTTATGCTAGCATTACACTGATGATGGTGAGTGGATGATCAAGTACACCTTGGTCAACAAGACGGGCTTCTATGATCAATTACTTCCTCAATACGGTGTGCAAGAATCATGGGTCGAGATTTCGGAAGTGGAAACCAGTGAGCGCTGGTGCATACCCAATCTGCGTTTGGGCGGACAAGCCTGTCACAATAACAACGTCAAGCATTTGGATTACCCTCATGCCAAAAAAGACCCTGACATTTCGAATCCCAAGGCTAGTGATGCAAATGCTCTATCACTATTTGAGAGACTCCAGGCTGACATTGTCTCGACTTGGGCTGATATGTCCCACTCCCTCTTGGAAAGCGACGATTCGGACGCTGTCCAAGCGTTGGCTACCCCTGTTTCCAGGCTTGCCCAAAACGTCAAGAGCGGATGGCCAGCGTCAAGGAAATTGGAGAGCAACAGAAAAAAAGGAAGAGAAACAGAAAGCCAATCTCATCATCACGGTCATCTCTGCCGTTCTGATGATCCTTCCCTTTGCGGGCGAAGTTGCGGGAAGCCTTGGAGCAGCTGCCTGGGTCGCCAATGCGATTCTGCTAGCTGACGTTGCCAGCAACATCGCCATTGCCAGCTACGATATCATACAGAATCCCAAAATTGGCGCCTATGGAGCTTGTTGAATATTCTCCTCACTGGTGCGATCCAGTCGAGTAAGACCCTCGAAAAGGCGGCCATTCAATGCCGTGCAATCCCAAGTGAGTAACTTGCTGAATTTGGTACCTTTTTCAAGAAAAACGATGACTTGTTTTAGGGTCTCCTGAAGATCTGCTGTCATCTGCAAGTGATGTGGTCGAAGAATGATCTTCATTTCATGTATTGCATATGGCTTTAAATATGGATACATATAGGCAGGCAGGAAAATGTGACCATTTGTCTGATACACTGCCTACTACCTGGTTAACCTCTAGCTGTCGATGGCGGCTATCAATATCTTGACTCATTAGAGTCACCCTTCCCTTTGCTCGTATGATCTACCCTGGAATCAAACGTCAATGACCAGATTATTTCACGATCTGATTCGTCTCGGAACTATTAGATATCTCCTTGGTAAGCTGAGTAGCTAATTTGTTTAGGTCATATTTAACCTTCTGAAATACCACTATAGTATACTGAGTATAGCTCTACACATGTGGGGTAAGAGGGCACTATGCGGAGTTGCGGATAACTACATATATTTATACACCTAGTAACTACATGGCTCCCGCCCGTGGGCTAAGATGTAGTACCTAAGTCGGGCATATAACCTAATATTAAGGTTCGATACTAGATACTACTTTAGCTACGGTCCTACAGTGCTCACTGCCTAGGTAGTAGTAAAGTAGTTTTCATATGATGGTGCCTGTGCTTTGCGACCGCCTTTATACCGCCGATCTATCTGGCAGGACATGGCTCTGGTAATGGTGCGTGGATCTTGTAAAGACCTCTGATTGCATCCGAGATTAATTGCCGGCAGAATCATTCGCTCCAATGTACTGTAGATCGTATGAAAACTAATGTCCAGGCACTGTAACTGTGTAGTGCGTACCGCTATACCTGCATTACGGCACATGACGTATTCAGAGTCCATGCTCAAAGTCTTAATGCGTCAACACTTAACAATTGTATATTACAGGCTCACTGGTACACTGGATCAGTGGGTACTGGCAGTGGACAGTGGGGTAACTGGGTACCACTACCTGTACTACTTAGTACTTACTAGTAGTAGCCCCCATCGCAGGAAACATCATGCAGGACCCAAAGTTCCCCAGTCCGCAACGGAAGAGCTCTCGAAAAGACGTCATCGTCCCCGTCCCCGTCTGGTGACTGCCACAGCCCGGTTCCGAAGCGCCCAGCCTGTTCTTCCGTCATTTAACGTTGACATCGACTGCATTGAACAGATCTTCCCCTTTATTTAAAGACTCGAGGAAACTCTACTGATCATCATCCTGAAAACCACCTCAATCTTTTCGGAACCTCCATCATCCCATCCCTTCCATCACCGCTACCTACCTCCCTCTTTCATCCATCATCATGTCCAAGCCTCGTACTGGTCTCTACCTCGGTCTCGCCGCGGCTGGTGCCGGCGGTTACTACCTGTACCGTGCGGGCGGCGATCCCCAGATCGCAAAGAATGAGATGAAGAGTACGTTTCCCGTCCGGGTGATTGGCCTTATGTGACCAATTGAGATGCTAATTGTGGCTGTTCGCGATTAGTTGACGCCAACAAGGCCCGTGAGAAGCTTCCTACTTCTGATCACACCGCCGAGAAGACCGCCAAGAACGCCGGTGCTGACGTCGGCGAGGCTGTAAGTCCTTCTAGCCCATCTTTATTCCCGGACTATTCCCCTCTCATCGCTGGAAAATCCCTGTGTGTTTGTACTCGCGATACCGTTTCGCGGATCTTCCGATTCCTGCTCGCGTTGCTGTTCTCCACCTGAAGATCTCTCCGACCTTCCAACTTTTTCGTCCCGCATTCATCCACACTCCCGATCTACGTGGCCCTGAATCTGCTCTTCAATGCTAATGATCATCTCTAGATTGACAACGCCCGCCTGAAGGCCAACCTGACCCTCGACAACAGCAAGCAGCACTTGGAGGAGGGCAAGAAGCAGCTTGAGAACTACGGCAAGGAGGCTCGTGATCAATTCAACTCCACTGTGGACAAGGTCGACCGCACTGTGGAGCAGAAGGCCGCCGAGGCCAAGGGCACCGTTTCAGGGTGGTTCAGTGGAAAGTCTTGAAATCTTGACCTTTGCGAGGAAACAGAAATCACTGCAAGGTTGGGGTGAACACCATCAAACAATGGCAATGGCGAGACCTGGAGATTGATAATTACCCAATGCCTAGCTGGACTACCTGGGTACTCGGGTTTCCCGCGATCTTATTATTATCATTATGATGATTTAATGAACTTTCGAACAATTATCAATGCGCATAGCTCTTCTTTCTCGTACTTTTACACCACTGTAGTTGACGGGGTTCATGTGTCTTGGCATAGATAATGTCGCGTCACATGCTTGTTCTTCATCGTAGCGCAATGATTTCCAGTCCTTTGTGATGCAGCCTCGATAAGTCGAGGTCTTGGTGGTTTTGCACGCAGCTCTCCCCGCGTGGAGGGTACGCGGGCTCGAATGCTCGGAGATTCAATAACACGTGCTGTAGCTTGGCTGATCTCCCGCCGCGACATTCCCATGCCGCATGATTTCCATAGTGACCAAGATGCTGAACCCCACAACCTGAAATATTCTACAGCGCTATGTGATCTCATAAATAGAGGCGTTAATATCCGGAAAATTTTGGCGATACAGCTACTAGACTTTATCATTCATCTCTGAACAACCGCTCTTTTCCAAGTCCTCAAAGTCCAGACTTATAGGTACCGTACTCCTGCAGGAAGTGGTTCTCACGTGGGTCATCTGCCCGACGCGTTCATTAAACCCGAAACGGACTAACGCGCGCGCTCGCGACGCGTCAGGCCTTTTCGCGCCCTGCTTTTTCTCCCACTCGAGCGTCAAGTGCTCCTGACATACAAGTGCAACCGCTCCTCCCTTTCCTCACTTCCTTTACTTTCTTCACCCTCCTCTTTCTTTCTAAGCATCACCTCCTGCCAAGTTGTCCGTGTGCCCAGTATCTCTTACTCTATTGATATCCTTCAGCTGTGATCCCCGGTCGCGACCACCAACGCAGCTCTCCTGCTCCCGGAAACACAGTAAATTTGCAGCCGCGATGCCGCGCACTTCCAGATCCACGGTCTCACTCCAGGCACAGCCTGCCATTCACAGCTTTGGCCGGGCAACCAAGGCCGGTGTCACGCCTGTTCTTTCTGCGAAGAAGCCGGCGACTTTGCCGGTGTCGCCCTCGAAGAAGAGGAAACTGCAGGAGCTTGAGAACTTCGACAGTGCCGGTCGTCAATCAGTCGACGTGGAGGCTGACACACCTTCCAAAACCTTGAAATTCAGTCAATTGACGGTCGCTTCTCCCCGAAGCGGACATTACGCCTCTCCAAAGCGCACCCCAAGTCGCCGTACCCGTGTTTCGACCGTTGCGGCCACTGTTCCCGAAGTCCCTGATACACCCTCCAAGAAACGTACGATCAATCTAGAGGAGGCCATTTCCGATGCACCGCTTGCGCCGCGAGCACCTTGTGTCAAAGATTTCTTGCACCTCCATTCGGCATTTGTTCAAGCACTCTCGATTCACATTGCGCACAACGGTCCCGTTTCGCCCGCCGACTTCCGAGAGTTTCTGCCTAGCGTGACGCGGATATGGAAGAAACGCAAGGTCCAGCCCAAGGACTTACAGCGTCTCTTGTGGGTTTGGGAGCGCAGCATCAGGGCGAAAGATGTCGCGTACCGTTTGGCCAACTACGGGTTGGGAAAGGTGTGCCTGGAGAGACATGTGCAAATCGATGAACAGCCGTCAGTGCTCCAGGATGCCTTTGAGCAGGCGCTTGACTTGCTCTGGGAGCAAACAGAACCCTCACTCGAGACGGCCAAGGAAGAGGACCGCCCCGCGCTTTTCTTAGAGTCGCTTGGTCTCACCCCTATTCATGAATCTCTCACGCCACTCACTGCCTTCAAGAAAGGTCAACAGCGTCTGCAAGACTTGCGATCCGGTGTCATTCGGATGAAGACCGAAAAGCTGCGTGCCGAGACCGAGGCTAGCGAGCACAAATCTCTCGCTTCCCCACTGAACCGTCGACAGAGTCTTCTTGACCGCATCAAGAATAAGGAGCTCCGCCAGTCGAAATTACCCCCAGCACCCACGAAGAAAGAAATGACTCTTCGATCGGCCGCGGACCACGTGGAAGAAGTAGCAGGAATCTTGGCTCTTTTACGTCCGCCTGCCTACACGGGTACAGGTATCAAGGCACTCTTTGCGAGTCAACGCAAGCCATTCAAGATGGACACAATGATCGATCACGTCCGTGATTCTGTTCGATCCCCGATTCCTCGCGAGGAGGTCGAGGCCTGTCTTGAGATTCTGGCCGATCCTCGCGTGGCGGGTCATTGGGTCACCATGGTCACAGTAAAGGATATTCGCTCCGTTGTCCTCAAGTCCTGCAAGGACATTGAGATCAATCAACTCGGGGCCAAAGTGGCACAGGTTAAGGCTGAATGGGAGAAGCCCTCGGCCTGCACGCCGAGCATCATCTTGAAAATCTGAAGTTCTGAGTTATTTTTACCGCGAACAGGATCATCAACTCCTCCTTTTTGCGACTGTTGAGCATCTCATCCGCGAAGCTTGCTACTGCTCGCGACCTTGCATTCCAGCGTTCTTTTTTGTCGCCTCGATACCCTCCACTATGGACTCATGTTTGTTTATCATCATACACTTGTAGTACAGATACCTTGCCTCTTATGGGCAATCTCACATCTTAGTTAATGTCACTCTCTTTGACAAATTTTCGATCTACTCTGTAGAGGCTGAAGTTGAGAGAAATGGACAAGGACGCTCCGCTCGTACCTCAATGCGAGACATTTGTGATTCGGAATTGACTGGGATTCTACGTGATTCGAAACTGGTCGCATTCTGTTCAACTATATCGTGTCATGCGTAAGATTTGTCGCATAAGCCCTAGGCTCATTTAGATGGGAAGACCCCGGCATCACAAACCTGCAGTAGTTCTGAATCAAGTATGGAGAGCCCTCAGCTTTTGACAGGAGCGTTCACATTGCTTAAAGCACTTTACGACTCACAGACACGACTCATCTGGTCGGTCCGGTCGTAATTATGAAGTAGCTTTGCCCAGGTAATCATACACACGAAGAACACGAAGAATCACTGGTGAAACCGTCGCTGAGTCGGGTGCTACCACTTAACGCGTGTTCATGCACCACGTGACCGCGTTCCTCCACAGAACGCGTCTCTAGCTGCCTCGAGGTCGTTGCTCCAAGGTGCCTCGATGAAGACTTGAGTCTCGCTTTCCAGTTTGCACCTTCCTCCACAAGATGTCTTCAAGACCAGATCTCAAGGTATACTTGCCCGCGTCATCCCTTTCGGCGTTCTGAGTCCGTCTCTAACGAATGTTCCATGTTTGCGTGCTCTGCAGGTCGACGATGAAGTCGGTTTCATCCGCTTCTACCGCTCCCTTCCGGAGGTTGACAATAATGAGACAATACGAATTTTCGACCGGGGTGACTGGTACTCATCACATGGATCAGATGCCGAGTTCATCGCACGCACCGTTTACAAAACTACATCCGTCCTGCGAAATTTAGGTCGCAGCGAGACCAGCGGACTACCCTCTGTTACCATGAGCGTGACCGTTTTCCGAAACTTCCTTCGCGAAGCACTCTTCCGGCTCAACAAGCGCGTTGAAATCTGGGTCTCGGCTGGCACGGGCAAGGGCAATTGGAAGCTGGGTAAGCAGGCGAGTCCAGGAAATCTGCAAGACGTAGAGGATGAGCTAGGCAGTGTTGGCGCATTGTCGATGGATTCTTCACCGATTATCCTTGCTGTCAAGATCTCGGCGCGCGCTTCCGAGGCGAGAAATGTTGGTGTGTGTTTTGCGGATGCGAGCGTGCGTGAACTGGGTGTAAGCGAGTTCCTCGACAACGACATTTATTCAAACTTCGAATCCTTGATCATTCAACTTGGTGTGAAAGAGTGCTTGGTTGTTATGGACTCCACCAAAAAGGATGTTGAGCTTGCCAAAATCCGAGCCATCGCTGATAGCTGTGGTGTTGCGATTTCGGAGAGACCAGCGGCAGATTTCGGAGCGCGTGACATTGAGCAGGATCTCACACGGCTGTTGCGCGATGAAAGATCTGCGGGTACTCTTCCTCAAACAGAACTCAAGCTTGCCATGGGATCTGCCTCTGCGTTGATTAAATACCTGGGCGTCATGACGGATCCCACAAACTTTGGCCAGTATCAACTCTATCAGCACGATCTGTCGCAGTATATGAAGCTCGATGCCTCTGCATTGCGAGCTTTGAATCTTATGCCTGGTCCGCGAGATGGTTCGAAGAGTATGAGTCTCTTTGGTTTGCTGAATCACTGCAAGACGCCCGTCGGAAGTCGCTTATTGGCACAGTGGCTCAAGCAGCCCTTAATGGAACTGGCGGCTATTGAGCAGCGACAACAGTTGGTGGAGGCTTTTGTCGTCAATACTGAGCTGCGTCAAACAATGCAAGAGGAGCACCTGCGCTCCATTCCTGACCTTTACCGACTGGCCAAGCGTTTCCAACGCAAGCAGGCCAATCTAGAGGACGTCGTTCGTGTTTACCAGGTCGCGATTCGATTACCTGGGTTCGTGAGAGCTTTGGAAGATGTCATGGATGAAGCCTACCAGTCACCATTGGAGACTGAGTACACCTCCAAACTACGAGGCTACTCAGACAGTCTGGCCAGACTCGAGGAAATGGTAGAAACGACAGTCGATCTCGCGGCGCTGGAGAACCACGAGTTTATTATCAAACCTGAGTTTGACGAGGGTCTTCGTGTTATCCGCAAAAAACTGGACAAAGTCCGCTACGAGATGGATGTTGAGCATCGGCGGGTCGCAAAAGACCTCAACCAGGACATGGAGAAGAAGCTCTTCATGGAGAACCATCGTGTTCACGGTTGGTGTTTTCGGTTGACACGTACCGAGGCAGGCTGCATTCGCAATAAAAAGGGCTACCAAGAGTGCTCTACGCAGAAGAACGGTGTTTACTTCACAACATCAACTATGCAATCGCTGCGTCGTGAGCATGACCAGTTGTCTTCGAACTATAACCGGACGCAGACTGGTCTCGTTGGTGAAGTCGTGAGTGTCGCTGCGTCCTATTGCCCCGTTCTCGAACAGCTCGCGAGCGTGCTTGCCCACCTGGACGTTATTGTCAGCTTCGCCCATGCCGCAGTCCACGCACCTGCAGGATATGTCAGGCCGAAGATGCACCCTCGAGGCACAGGAAATACTGTGCTTAAGGAAGCCCGCCATCCCTGCATGGAAATGCAGGATGACATTTCATTTATCACAAACGATGTCTCACTGATACGGGACGAGTCATCATTCCTCATTATCACCGGACCCAACATGGGCGGTAAATCGACATACATCCGGCAAATCGGTGTTATTGCGCTCATGGCTCAGACCGGCTGCTTCGTTCCATGCACAGAGGCCGAGCTCACTATCTTTGACTGCATCCTCGCGCGAGTTGGTGCCAGTGACTCGCAACTCAAGGGTGTCTCCACATTCATGGCGGAGATGCTTGAGACGGCCAACATTCTCAAGTCTGCCACATCAGAGTCGCTTATCATCATCGACGAGCTCGGTCGTGGAACAAGTACCTATGACGGTTTTGGCTTGGCCTGGGCAATCTCGGAGCATATCGTCACAGAAATTCGTTGTTTCGGTCTGTTCGCTACACATTTCCACGAATTGACTGCTTTGGCGGATCGCTACCCCAATGCTGTGAAAAATCTACACGTCGTCGCTTTCATCGGAGACGGATCCGAGGATGAAGCTACCGCCGGAGTCGAGAAGAAAAATCGCCAAGTCACGTTGTTGTACCGCGTTGAACCTGGAATTTGCGATCAATCGTTCGGAATTCATGTTGCGGAATTAGTTCGGTTCCCTGCAAAAGTGGTCAACATGGCTCGTCAGAAGGCTGAAGAATTGGAGGACTTTTCCACGGCCGAGTCTGCCGAAGAGAAACAGCAGCTCCCTTCGTTGGACAAGTATTCTCAGGAGGAAATGGAAGAAGGCAGTGCCCTGCTCAAGGGCATGCTGATGAAGTGGAAGACTGAGATTGAAGGAAAGGATTTGAGTTCTGAGCAAAAGCGTCAGATAATGCGCGATCTCGTCGAAGCCGATGAGAAATTGCAATCGAACAAGGTGTTTCAGGGAATCAAGACCCTCTAAGAAACATCGCAGCATCCAAAACTGCTCCGAGGGAGTTTGGCGTCCAGCACCAGGTTTATTGGTAGAGCCAGGCCATTTTTGTTAAGCCACTTTAATTGTTACTTGAATCTCAATGCATACCAATTTCAGATGGGCTGTCACCGAACACATACGCAATTCAATAAGTATTACATACCTAGCCTTACTGATTCTTGTACGGCCACAGACTGGAGTGTAGGTTAACTTAGTTAGTGGTACCTAGTTCTTTACTCCGATCCGTCCACCTATACTGTCGTTGATCCAATCACTTATTATCACGTGATTTAAGATCGCTTCGACGCCAGCGCGTGTTCTAGAGCGCCGAGAGACAAAGTTCAAAGCTTGTCTTTTATTCAAGCTGGACGTTCGCTCATTTGTCACGACTCTTCCGAAATCACACCTCAGCGTCACTGATCTGGCGCCGTGTCCATCGTCTCCCAGTGCCTCATTCTTCTGGCAACTCGTTCTTCCCCTGATCTTCCCCTGATCCACCCCTCCACAGCTATGCGCGCCAACTAAGACCGCGGAAGCTTGGACACACCCTGATTAATGCACGCCTTTTCCATACTCACCCTTGGGATATTTGTTGCGGGCTATATCACCGCGCGGTGGGACCTTGTCACTCGCTTGTACGAGTTGGCAATCTTTGCCTGGGATCACGGCGTTGTGGTATGTCTCCGTTGCCAATGTCAATGGCTGTGGAGAAGCACACCCCTCCACATCGCACATACAACTTGGATCTATCGAGCTGCCGACTCTTTCACTAATACACATCCTTTTCGCAATACCATGTAGACAAGAACACTAAAGGGATTCGGCCTTCTCTCGATATTCTTCTTCCTGCTTGTCCTCCCGATCAATTCTCTGGCAACGAAAGAGGGCTGTCTGGTATGGGGAATCCTATGATCTTTCTACCCAGTGGCTTTGCGCCGATGAAATCCGCTGCAAGAGGATGTCATTCACAGAATTCTTACTGACTCGATATGCTTTCAGCATCCGCGCCACGTCAATCTGGGCGTCTCCGCACGAGAACAGCTACGACGCCGAGGCTCGTTCTGAGAGTCCCGAGGATGAAAATATGCTAATGAGTGACGGGTTATTACGGGTATTCTGGCCGTATGATTTGCCGCGGTCTTCAAGCTCAGGGGTGATTGTAGGATGGCGCAATTCCGAGCTGGACTTTTTTGTTCTCATGGTTTTGGAAGAAGTTGAGGTGAGAAACCCCCGTCGAAAGCGCAGTGGATGCTCCTATAGTTATAGCCATGGGATGCTGATTCATCGCTTTTTGGGAGACAGCCACGAAATGTCGACAATGCACTGCGCGCTGGGATACTCTTCAGAAATGCGCCGCATCCGATTGTTCGCATATTCAGTTTGTGCGGCCGATCGCAAATGCATGTCCTTGGCTCAACAAATCCTCGCTCGCCCCCGGACACGTTCAGCTCCTCTCATCTGTATGTGAATACGCAGACCAGCACGAGGGCGCCACAAATATACTGCCCACCGGACATGAATCTCTCTGTGCAGGTAGTCATGTATGACCGCCCGCACCCAACCCGTATGGAGTACATGTCCTTAAATCCGATTTCATTGGCTTTGGGCGATAAGAAAGTCTCGGCAGAGCAACTTGGGCTCTTGTCTGACAAGATTGATTCCGAGGAGGCAAAGGAGAAGGCCCAGGCTCAAGCGCTCGTTGAGAAACTCAAGTTCCATACCGTTGTCAAGCATACGCCGTCACAGAAAGAACAAGCCCTGCCGCTCATCATAAATCAGATCAATTGTGCCTATGAAATGGCTCAACTGATGCACAGAAATTCCAATTTGATCGGAATCCGTGCTAAGCGGAGCATGAGCGTTGGAGAGCGAGTGGTCGAGTCGGCCACCACATTGTGGGGCTTCGTTGTTCTGTGTCTGGCTCATGTCTTTTGGCAGTGGATGTGGCCTGTCATCACCAGAGTGTTTGTGATAGGCCTAGTGGGACACCGATCTGTCGCTGAGATTGTTTTGCAAGTCCTTGAGTGGCGAGCTCGACCAGATGCCGCGGCTATCAAGGATATTTCCGCGACTGCACAGCAAGTTGATATAAGGTTGCAGCAGTTTTGTTACTGGCCGATTCAGTATGTCAAGCTTCGTCAACGCAAAGACAACTGGGAGAGTGTCACTACTAGTCATCCAGACTACATCCGTTTCTACAACAGTTTGTGGCTGGTGGCTAATGATGTAATCATCGGCATTGCTTTGGGGTCCTACATCATTGACAATGCGAATTGGGTGGCATCCCAGATCAATACCGTCCTTACCGGCTGGACTGTGGAGGGCTTACAGCGTACGATATCGTGGCTGATGGACTGGCCGGCCGGCTTGAAGCTCAACAATGAGCTCGCAGCATTTCTTGGTGATCTTTTCCTCTGGGTCATTGAGAACTGGGCTGCCTGTATCGCAAACCTGCAGCCGTATCTGCCTCACATCATCTACATTGTGGGATGCTCGAGCTTTGCCGGTGCCAGCATGCCAATCGCCCTCTTCTCGGACCTGTTGTCCATTCTCACCGTGCACATTTACTCCTTCTACATCGCATCTGCCAGAATTTTCAACTGGCAGCTGACCATCATAATTTCTCTTTTTCATCTGTTCCGAGGCAAGAAGCGCAATGTTTTGCGCAATCGAATAGACTCATGCGATTACGACCTCGATCAGCTTCTACTGGGCACCATTTTGTTCACTGTTCTTTTCTTCCTTCTCCCCACCGTGATTGTGTTCTACCTGACGTTTGCCTCCGCCCGAATGTTGATAATTACCATGAAAGCCGGCTTTGATACCTGCCTGGCGTTTCTGAATCACTTCCCGCTTTTTGCGCTCATGCTGAGGGTCAAAGACTCGCGACGTCTACCGGGAGGGATTCGGTTTGAGTTGCGGGAGTCGCTAGGTGGGGGCCTCAATGCCGCAGACTTATCCGCTGTATCCTACATTCATCTCGAGGTTCGTTGCTTGTCAGTCCCAGTACATGTCACATTCTCCTTGCTGACATTCAGATCTCTAGTCTATTCCACTCTCACTACGCGCCATGTTCGACCAATACTTCCAGCTTGGTCACCGTCTTCGCAAGCATTACCTGGCGCCTCGTGTGATCTTCTGTCTTATGACCGGGCGTTTTGTCCCCCCAATTCATCGCCGCAACCTTTACAGTATGCAGTATAGCATGCTTCCAGCACGGCGTGCAGGTATGAGCGAGGTTTGGGCCCTGTTGACCCAGCCTAAGAAAGGCGGAAATGGAAGTTCGAGTGTTAATACGTCTGGAGGACTTGGCGCTTTGAATAATCCCCTCCCCAAAGTTCCGCCTCATTTTGGACAAGGCGATCTTCGCCGCAGAGGGAGCTATCGCTGAAATTAGACTTCTAATAAATGATGATTGATTATGTTTGAGCCAGAGTTTGAGTAGTGTAAAATTGCCTGAGTGGAATGATGAATGAGGAGGGAGAATGCCGCGCTTAATTGGTACAGGTAGAGTTGTGTTATACATTTGATCATTCTGCAGGACACCCTCAATACTTGCGGAGGGCGAGCATGTCCATGTGCAGTAGGGAATAACCATCGAGGTTCACAGAGGAAAACGTTAATTCAATCATGATTTCCTGAGAAACTCGGCATCCGTATCGGTACTGCTCTTCCGGGCATCGTCTAGCATCGTGTCGATGCCTTTTTCTTTCAAGGATTTCTTTGATCACACATGGGACGGTCAGCCTGATCGGAAAAGTCGCGTTGTTGGGAGGAATCGTACATTCAAACACGTTTTGTACTTTTGGAAAAGCTCCTCGCAATCATTTGAGGTTGTGTTGCCACGGAGATATTCTACATTGTTATTAGCCGCAAAGGCTCTTGCAAATCTGTTCGTTCTTTTATTCGGATGACACACTCTCACTATACCATTTCAAGAAACAAGTGTCATATCTCCTGAGCGCCACTTTTGTTAGTATTGCGCGTGTGCTGGAGTCGCTTCAAGTGGTATAACCTAGAAAAAGTGGGTAGAGACATACTCTTTAATGTCATTGCACTCGGGAGCAATAGAAGCAGCCATAATATGATATGGCTGTGGCGAGATCGCAGATTATTTCTTATAATTCGTGAGGTCCTTTTGTTCCTGTAGGATCTTCAGTCAAAATGATTGAATGTCCAGAGAATCATCCAAGTTCGAAAGGCTCGGGACTCGGTGGAGGATGCGAGTTGCCGCGGAGGCTAGCGGGTTGACCAATGAGGCACCGTTGATGTATGCGCTCCATATGGTAGGCGGTGACGGCGCATCAGTCTTCTCCAGGAACTTTTTTTCCTTGAATGGCTTCGACAAAGTCGTTGGAAGACTGACAGCAGCTCTTCACCGTTGCCAGCCATGGATTCAAGCGAGCTCGGACCATTCCAGAATAATGTGTCCTCTGCATTGGTGCAACTTGTCAAGACTGTTGGTCAATTAGCTGCTGAGGACCTCAGCTTCCATCGCAACTCCAACGCAGAGTTTACGGAATCGCTCGACGAGCAGAGCGAGCGAATTCTATCCTTGACCAATGCCGTACTGAAGGCGGCTACTATTGGCACAGATGTGGAAGTGCCGGCTCTCGATACGGAAGATGCCCTCGAAGACAATTGGCGTGGCGTTGTGGACGTGATCGATGCGCTTCTCGAGAAAGCTGACGCTTGTTTGGACGAATTCACTGGCGTAATCAAGAAGTTGAGCCCGTCTCAAGAGGAACAAGCACCCGTGGTCAGGAAAGCCTCCAAGTTTCCTTCCACTTACGATTACGGCCCATCCAAAATTCTGAAACCGCAACTGTTGTTTGATCACAAGCCCGACAATTCCGACCTGGGCCCGTTCCAACCGCTCTTGAAGACCAAACCTCATGCGACGGTTTCAATCGAACAATCATTGACACAGCGCTCGCTTGGAGAGGTATCATCTTATCCTCATCCTTACGAAAACGAGATTCGCAACGCTCAATACCCCGCATTCGTTTACGAATCCGCTCCCCCGATCGATTACCTCTCATTCGAGGATACGACAGCAACCTTCGTGGACACCTTGGAAGGAGTCAAAGAAATGCTCGCAGAGTTGAAGGAGGCAAAAGAGATTGCTATAGATTTGGAACACCACGATGTACATTCTTATCACGGCCTTGTCTCGCTGATGCAGATTAGTACCCGGAACAAGGATTGGGTCGTGGACACATTGAAGCCCTGGAGAGAAGAATTGCAGATTCTGAACGAGGTCTTCGCGGATCCAAATATCCTGAAGGTTCTACACGGATCCACCATGGATATCATTTGGCTACAGCGTGACTTGGGATTATACGTCGTTGGCATGTTTGATACTTTCCATGCGGCTTGTGCTCTGGGATATCCTAAGAAGAGCCTCAAATATCTTCTCAAGAAGTTCGTCAACTTTGAAGCTGACAAGCGCTATCAAATGGCTGACTGGCGTGTTCGCCCACTCCCGAGTGGCATGTTCGACTATGCTCGGTCGGATACGCATTATCTTCTCTATATCTATGACTGCATGCGCAACGCGCTGATCGAGGCTTCCACTCCCGAAGGGAATTTGGTTGACTATGTCCAAGATCGGTCAAAGACCGAGGCTCTTCAGAGGTACGAACGTCCCGTATACGACGCTGAGAAGGGACAGGGTGCCGGTGGCTGGTACGATCTGCTTTCAAGAAATCCCAGTGGGCCGCTCTCCAAGGAGCAATTTGCTGTCTTCAAGGCCATCCATCAATGGCGCGATGAAGTAGCACGGGACGCAGATGAGGGCTGTCAGTGTGTGTTTCCCAAACATATGCTTTTCAAGCTCGCGCAGATCATGCCCACCGACATGGGCACGCTGCTGCGTACTCTTTCCCCCATGACACCCCTCGCCAAAAGCCGGGCCGATGAGCTTCTTCACGTCATCAAGGAGGCAAAAGCTGCCGGCGCGAATGGCCCAGAATGGCGCGATGTCGCCCCGCCATCTCGCGCTCCCGTAGTAGCCTTGACCATGGACCAGCAAGACGATCACTTCCCCGTCGCCGAGCGTTACCAAACCTCTCAGTTCTGGGGTGATGTTCTTGAGATGCAAGAGCCTTTGACACCGGCAGAATACTCGACTGCGGCCTCGATTGAGGCCCTACGTATGTCCCTCCCTTTGCCACCGATGCCTAAGACTGTTTCCGAGGCTCGCGAAAAGCTGGGAGTCTCCGCAGAAACCCAGACGACAACGGCCCCTAAGCCCGTCCCTGCGGCCCCACCAGCGCCGGAAGCGCCCAAGTACTTTACCGTGAAAGATCTTGGAGGCCCGCGTAAGCGCAAGGCTGCTGTTGTCGAGTCCCCGAAAGATGAGCAGCCTACGCTCGAAGTCCTCGATGAGCCGGAACACGACACAGAGCTTAGTGCAAAGGAGCGTAAGAGACAACGCAAAGAAAAGAACAAGGCCAAGAAAGCGGCCCATGTCGCTGCTCAGGCTGCTGCGGACTCCACTCCATTCGACTACACCAACGCAGAATCAATTCTGCACAAGACCCCCGCAGCCGAACCTAAGGCTCACAGTCGGAAGAAGCCATTTAATCCCTACGCCAAGGCTCTGGAAGCGCCCTCAGGCGCCCGGAAGCAAAAGCGAGACGACTCTGGCAAGTCGATGACTTTCCGCAACTAGACTGCCCGATCTATTCTCAATCATCATCACGACATTCTCGACCAAAAGCATATTTGGGGTTGGTGGATCATACTTTTTCTCTCTGTTTTTGTTCATCTGCCGCGAAAGAATCGGGGTTGTTAGCATAGCGATACCCTTGTGTCAATTTGAGACTCTAGGATGGTACTTTGTGTGTAAAAAAATTTGTTCCGGCAAATTATCCTGATTCCGGAAAGGATATAACTACAATGAATACCTCGATGGAATTGTAACTGTATTTTCGAATAAGCAATGGCCTTCGAATTTGAAATATTCCACCAGATATGGTAGATAGATGTATAGGTTCAAGGTTGCGGGGAACGCTGGAAATGCTTAAGCCATGCTAACTAGAATGTGCGCGATGCTGCTCACCTGGCTTTGCGATTCCTGCAGTCCATTCCTTTGCTCGAAGTTCTACTTGGGATGAAGTCAGAGCGATGGGTTCGAGTGAGCGAATTCATAGTTGAATCGGAAATTTGACTCAATCAAGCTCGACTTCACCAAACCTTGTGCTCGACCAGAATAGACAAAAACAGATCGTCAATCAACATGTCACGCAACTATCGACACACACGTGACTGATATAGCATCTCGTCTACCAATCATTTCAGGAGTCTCGATAACACGATGTGGGTCTGACTCAACGCCGAGGGGCAGAGCCCTTCCCCGCCAAAGTTTTGAATAGTGTCAACTTAAGCGACTCTCGATAACGCAGTGTAGGTCTTTTCCCTTCCAATTCCGATACAGCTGCCTGATTGACAAACTGGAAACTTGCAGCTCAATCATGGCGGACGAACCAGGTCAACCTCCCGCGCTTACCACGCTGAGCCTCGCTGAGAAAGCGCCTGCCCCTAAGGCTGTAGGCCAGGTCGTCACTCCTTTCGACGTGTCTGGTGGTGTTGACGAGTCTGGCAAGTTGCTGCCCGTCGACTATGACAAACTTGTTCGCGAATTTGGAGCGACCCCTCTCACTCCCGAGTTGCTCGAGCGCTTCGAGAAAGTAACGGGTCACCGTCCACACCGTTTCATGCGCCGCGGTATCGTCTTCAGCCACCGCGAGCTTGGCAAGATTCTGGACCGCCATGAGAAAGGCCAGCCCTTCTATCTCTATACTGGACGTGGTCCCAGTAGTGACAGCATGCACGTTGGGCACACTGTTCCATTTGAGTTTACCAAGTATGCGCACTTCGTCCTTTTCACCTGACGTCGCAATCGAGGCTAATCTATATTTGCGCTGTTGAAAACAGGTGGCTGCAAGATGTGTTTGACGTCCCCCTCGTTATCATGATGACCGATGACGAAAAATACATGCACTCGCAGAAGATCGAGGTGGAGGATGCTAAGCGCTTCACCAAAGCCAACGTGACGGATATCATCGCAGTCGGATTTGACATGAAAAAGACCTTCATCTTCAGCGACTTTGACTTCGTTGGCGGTGCCTTCTATGAGAACATTTGCAGAATGGCTAAGCGGATCACAATCAACCAGGTGCGAGGCACCTTTGGTTTCAATGACAGCAACAACATCGGAGAATTCCATTTTTGTGCCACCCAGTCTGCCACTGCATTTGCGACCAGTTTCCCCCACATCTTTGGCAATGACCGCAAGAAGGTCTCGTCTATTCCCTGCTTGATTCCCTGCGCTATTGACCAGGATCCTTACTTCCGCCAATGTCGTGAACACGCTGAGAAGATGAAGTACAAGAAGCCTTCTCTGATCCATGCAATCTTCTTGCCTGCTCTTCAAGGTCCTGGCTCCAAAATGTCTGCAAGTGTGGAAACTTCTGCTATCTACATGAGCGACACGCCGAATAAGATTAAGAACAAGATCAACAAGTATGCGTTCTCTGGCGGCCAAGAGACCACTGAGCTGCACCGCGAGCTTGGTGGTAACACCAAGGTCGATGTTCCCTTCCAGTATCTCACCTTCTTCCTCGAAGATGACGCTGAGTTGGAGCGCATTCGCGTTGCTTATGAGAAGGGTGAGATGCTCACGGGAGAGCTGAAGCAACTCTGCATCGCTGAGTTGCAGAAATACGTGAAGGAGTTCCAAGATCGTCGCGCTAAGGTCACGGACGAGATTTTGGCTGAGTACATGCGTCCTCGTCCCCTGGAGTGGAAGGGTAACCCCAATCCAGTAGTTGCCGAGAAAAAATAAGCGCTCCGAAACCCAAGCCAGCCGTGACCTCAATCATATCAACAGGGAATTGTCAAAATCCATATCGCAGCGTCTTGATCTTTTGGTGTTGGTCACTCATTTTGAAGCATTGTATGTAGCGACCCATTTTCTTGGGAGAGGTAACGCCTTTCGATTGCCATGCCAGCCACCAGTTGTAGACACCGCATGAGTGCATTTATCGCGGGCAGGATCAAGTCAAGATCACCACACCCTTGACGAAACCCCGTACTCCATTGCTGAGCCAACAATCCTCGCCGTCTACTAGTTCTGCGCTCATAATAAGCTGCTCCACACAGAAGCTCTGCTCAAGAGCATATCTTCTACTCGTGCCTGCATTTCCACCACACTTCAACGGCGGAGTGACCCATGTGGGCTGGCTCGTATCATGGCTCTCGGGCAGGACTCGACGTCGGAAATACGGCGTCGTGATACTTCCTTCCATAATTTGACCGTCAGGGTTGACGAGGAGGACTTCTGATGTATCTGCTGGAGATGTGATCCCAGCTCGTGCACGAGCGGCAGAGTAATCGTCTCGAGCGGTGGTCTTGTGTGTGGTAAATCCAGACGGAATTGTAGCTTGCGAGTCGACGTATACGTTCCAAATCACATCTGGCACGCTCTTGTGTAAAGGCGGGACTAAAAGGTTCCAGCAATCCATCGCGCCCACGGGATTCACCTCGACCAAGCCCTTTCCATGACGGTCCACAAGAATCCTCAACCGCCAGGATTTCACCTTATTTTCAATAGCAGAATTGAGGAAGTCCTCAAAGACTGATAAATCCTTTTGTAGAGACTCAAGCGCCTCGTCCCATTGAAAATGTTTTGCAGCGTTGATCAGTCGGTCTCGGTGATAGGAGAGGAGGTAGTACGGTGAATGCCTCGGGACAGGAAAATATTCATCGGTCGGCAAGCTACCGGTGACTCGAGGAAGCTCCGGGTCGTATCGAAGGGAAGAAATGATCTGAAAAGACGGCGTTGGCGTTCCACAGTCGTGTGAAGTCATTGTTGTCCGAGGTCATTAGGGTAGTATTGTCTTCGATGTGCGATCTCTATCTTGCCTAGGCATTAGTGGCTGTGGACTGCGTCATCAACGGATGCCCGCACTTCACCCGACCTGGGCGCGTGTTGTCCTTTGAACGGCATGAATCTGGTCGCACTTTATCGTAGTACCTTCTTAAATGTTCAATTGGCATATGCTTTCGTACAATTCAATCAACAGAGTGGCTTCGCTTTTTGGTCGAGTTGGACGCGCCAAAATGATCATGTGGAGAGAGGTCGAGGTCAAACAAATCCGGCTGCGTACTGCGTGATTGGCCCGAACAGAGCGGCCGAAACCTCGACTTTTCCTCCAAGCTTCCGTCATTCCTCCCTATCTCACTTGAACCTATTCTGTCTTCTGGCCAGGCACTGGTACGTTCATTCCATTTCGCAAGCTTAGGCGACTTGAATCCTTCAATCAGAGCTCCCTCGCTTCTGCATCGATCCGTGCTGACCAGAGCCCCAGAACAGGACTTACAGCTTTGATCGCCGCGTCCGGTTTCTCTAATACATCATGGCCAGCCAGTCTCCCTTCCCCATGCCCACCCAGAACGTGGTACTGGACACATCGAAGCTTCCCGAGTCCACTACAACGTCGGTCTGGGATCGCATCTCCAACTGGGTCTCCGAGCACAAAGCAGTTGTCTACACCATTGCCGGCGTTGCAGTCGTTGTGACCGGCGCTGGTGTCGTCTACTACCTCTCCGACTCCAACAAGTCCAGCGCATCATCAACACCTGCGGTGCCCAAGAAGAGCAAGAATCAGCGACGAAAGGAAAAGAAGAAGGCGGAGGAGGAGAAGAAAACCAAGACTGTTTCCGTCGAAGAAGGTCAGCACCGCAATACTTTGGCTTTGGACCGCACCAGTGGCATGTGCATACATCTGACACTTTCACAGAGCCCACGGCAAAGAAGGCTGAAGAGCCATCCGAGGAGATTCCCGACGTCGATGAGGCGACTGTCGGTCAGCTTTCCGAGGAGGTATGACGCGCTGTTCCCTCATGATTCTCTCGCCCTGCTAAATCGTTGCTGATCATGATCGTGCCAGACTCGGAAGGAGTACGCCGCTAAGCTGAAGGCAGCCGGTAACAAGGCTTATGGCTCCAAGGACTACAATAGCGCCATTGAGCTGTACGGCAAGGCCATTATTTGCAAGCCTGACCCTGTCTTCTATTCCAACCGCGCTGCCTGCTACAATGTCCTATCCGAGTGGGAGAAAGTCGTCGAGGACACCAGCGCCGCCCTTGCCATGGACAGCGAGTACGTGAAGGCTCTTAACCGTCGAGCCATCGCCTACGAGCATCTCGGCAAGTTCAGTGAAGCCCTTCTCGATTTCACCGCTAGCTGCATCATTGATGGGTTCTCCAACGACGTCAGCCGTAACGCTCTTGAGCGCCTTCTGAAGAAGGTTGCTGAGCAGAAGAGCAAGACCATTCTCGAGGCCCGTACCAAGAAGCTGCCTAGTGCCACCTTCGTCTCGAACTACTTGCAGAGCTTCCGTCCTCAGGAGCTCCCCGAGGGTCTCCAGGAATCCGTTGAGCTGAGCGAGGACTCTGGCAAGGGTCTCCTGCGCAAGGGTCTGATTGCTATGAGCAAGAAGACCGGCGATGGGTATGAAGAGGCCGCCGCGGCGTTCGATCAGGCTTTGGAGGCCGGTGACCTCGGCGAGTTCGAGGCTTTGGCTCTCAACATGAAGGCCACCTTCACATATCTCGGCGGTAACGCCCCGGGTGCATTGGAAGGCTTGCACAAGAGCATTGAGCTCGATCCATCCCTGGTGCAAAGTTACATCAAGCGTGCTAGTCTGCACCTTGAACTTGGTGAGTAGCTGACATGTGTCCCGCGGCAATGCTCTGTGTGCTAATGAGAACTTCCCTTTGTTTGTCAGGTAACAAGGATGCTGCCGCGGATGATTTTGAAACGGCTATTTCCCACAACAAGGACGACCCCGACATCTACTATCATCGTGCGCAGTTGCACTTCATTCTTGGCGAATTCTCTGAGGCCGCCAAGGACTACCAAAAGTCCATCGACCTCGACCGATCTTTCATCTACTCCCATATTCAGCTTGGCGTGACTCAGTATAAGATGGGCTCCGTTGCTTCAGCCATGGCCACTTTCCGTCGTACGGTGAAGAACTTTGAAGAGGTCCCCGACGTTTACAACTACTACGGCGAGCTGCTGCTCGATCAACAAAACTATTCCGAGGCCATCGAAAAGTTCGACAAGGCGGTCGAAATGGAGAAGCTGAGCAAGCCCATGGGCATCAATGTCCTGCCCCTCATCAACAAGGCCCTGGCTCTCTTCCAATGGAAGCAAGATTTCCAGGAGGCCGAGAACCTCTGCCAAAAGGCTCTCATCAGTGAGTCTCCCTCTCGAATGCTTCTCAGAACCTTGTGAACGTGCATACTTATTCCTATTTCTAGTCGATCCCGAGTGTGATATCGCCGTCGGCACAATGGCCCAGCTGCTCTTGCAGCAGGGCAAGGTTTCGCAGGCGCTCAAGTACTTTGAGCGTGCTGCCGAGCTTGCTCGTACCGAGGCTGAGATTGTCAATGCTATCTCATACGCCGAGGCCACCCGTACCCAACTGGAGGTTCAAGAGAAGTATCCTCAATTGGCCGCTCGTCTCACCGCCATGGGTGCCATGGGTGGTCCCCCCGGCATGTAAAGACCTTCGACCGAGTGAGATGGCGTGTTCTTTTTACTTTTTGGTGGCCCTTTCTAAGCTCACTGCTCTGCATCCTTACCTTTGTTCCTCCCCCACTCTTCTGCTCTCCGTTCGCGACCTGCTAGATCAGGGGTCCAGTGCACATCACCTCTTGTTCTCTTCACACTGCCCGAACCTTCCGTTCACTCGATAGCCCCATCGGGCCGGATGGTTCTGCCGGGTGCTTCTTTTCGTGCTCTTGTATTTACTACCCCTTGTGGTCCCTGTGGTATTTTATTTTCTTATTGTTCTTGGTCTTCTCCGGCTCGATTCACGGTGATCTCCAGACCTTCTGCTTTCGGTGGAGCGAGGGGTTGCGCAGCCCTGGCATGGATGAAGTTGAGGGCGCGCGGTGTCAGACCGGCACGGGGATGCGGATCACGTTCTGGTTGCATGGGGTTCAGTCTCTGTTCCGAGTAATCTGTGTACTATAGATGGTGAAATTTGATGTCTTGTTAAAGTGCCTCTTGATGTTGTTGACACCGAAATAAAAGATCGTGTATGAGGATACTCTTTTACAACTTTTACTGGTAGTATGGATCGCATGATCGTGTAGGCACTAGCTAGTAGGCGGTGAAGCACAATTTAAGGTCAGACGCGAATAGGTGTGCCCAGTGCCCACTGCCCACTGCGTAGGTGAGGATCAGACTACCAGAAGTTGGCTGTCTTTCACTTAGGTCCATCTCCAGTTGTCACCAAGACTAGAACTCTGAACCCATAGTGCCACTCAGATATCCCATTCTCCAGGCACCGAGATACTAGTCAGATGCTTTGCGACTAATAACTCCTGGAAGAACAGTAGTCGAGAAGCTTGAACGATAAGGCCCGGATGATGGATCATCAAAGAATCCGGGGCAGGCCCCACTTGGCTGATTTCAGGAGGTCCAAGCGCGATGAGCCGATAAGCCTTGGTGATAAGGAGACCAGTCTGGGATCCACCGATGAGATGAGAGTACGATGATGTTTGACATGCTGTCAGATGACGCCAGGTACCACTAGGTAGTTAGTAACTTGGTAGTAACCTATAAGTACTATAGTAGTCCTATCGGTCATTAGGTACTGTAGTAATGCAGCTTCAGGAGATACCGTCCGGCCAATATCAACTCTCAAGCTCTTGTGGTGTCAGCTCCGGAGGCCCTACTCTACATCATGGACCTACCCTCCTCGACTCACTAATTCGGGAGGTCCATTATGGGGCCCGGTTGAAGTGGGTCCTTGGGTACACTCGGCACATGATTGAAGATTATGAGGCGGACGACAAACCAAGAGACTGCCCCACTTCGAACCAAAGACTGACCGACGTTGATGTCGACCTTACTACAGCGGTGCTTGTAGTGCAGCAGCGATGTACAATCGGCCGCAGTGCTTGGTACTGTCGGTAGAGGCGCTGCTGGTGTACTGGCTCCGTGTACTCAGGACAGGGTAGTAGGTACTAGCTACGAGGTTGTACGGTACCGAGTACCTTGCCCTTTTACATATAGTACTTGGCAACCGGTGTAGTAATCAATACGAACGGAGCGAAAGGTTGCTATCGTTGTGACTAGTTCAAGATACGCTGGCTTCCCTTCCCTTCCCATCGGACACAGCTGAATCATCCTCCCCAGCCTCAGGCGTTTCGTCTCGGCGGAGCTCACTCAAAGACTTCTGACTTACCTTCGGACTATCCCCATTTTCGATCCATCCTGACCTCCCCTCCCAAAAGACCGACCGAGGTGGTTGCATGTCCGCTGGCCCAAGGATCGTCAAGCTCTCGGTACCCAACCCGTAATCTGAGAAGCCAGTGCGTCAAGCTGACACCCGCGGTTCGCTTGACTGCGCAGTCTGATGCCCGGTATCATCATCTACTTACCCCTCTTCCCTTCGGAACTATCCAGCCCACCCGTTCCTCCCCTGCCACCTTCTGCGACTCATTCACATTTCACGGTGATTGTCACTTCCTCAAATCTGAGATAACCAGGTCGCTCTCAGCTCACTCTACGTTGTTCCCCACGGTAAGTTCCTTCTGCTGAACTTGCCCGTTTCTCTGATGCTGCTGCGGCCTCACCTTCTCAGTGAATGGTTTCTTATCCCTCACCTCTCACCTTCTCCGCCGTTACTCCGTTGGGAAGTCATCTCGATTCCTAACAATTCTCTGTCTCTCCTAGACTTTCACCAGTCCTGCAGCTTGACCAGCTGGCTGCTCGTTTGGTGTCACTGAAAGTCTCCACCGGTCTCCAATCCACCATCGGTCATCATGCCCGAGGCTCAAGGTGCGAGTCGTTTGCTCTACCCGCAGAAAGCTGCCCTGGGTGCACTGAAGCTGATCGAGTCATTTGCTCACCGGCAGTGGTTCTGAGCCTCATGAGGCCTTTGTTGCCTGACACCCCACATATTCGGACGCTTAGTCTCTCTGCCTCGAACCCCAAAATCGATATCGGCCGATCCTCCCAGCGTGAGGGAAAGCAACGGACACCAACCTCTGAGAACGGATGGTTCGACTCGCGAGTGGTGTCCCGTGACCATGCAGTGGTGGCCCTAGGAGAGGTATCATCTCGTGCCCAGTTGCATCATTTGATATATATTGTGGAAGCCCAATAAGAAGAATTTGGCTGAGCCATTCTCTCCTTACAGAAGACGATCATCGTTCGCGATTGTGGATCTACCCACGGAACCTGGTTGAATGACACCAGGCTGGCTGTCGGTAAAGACACCCCGTTATCGAGTGGAGACATATTGAGATTCGGCGTTGATGTAGATCGTGGTGATGGTATGTCATAATCTTTCTTGGAGGAATGAATGCTGTCAATCAATGGCTGGCTGACAACACCTTGCAGAGCATTTTCCGGCTCTGAGTGTCCGCTGCGATGTGGCCTGGGTCCTTCCCGAGTCTGGCACTGGCACACATAACCCAAAGATTGAAGAATCGAAGGCAGACCGGACTCCTCATTCAGACAAGACCAAGTCGGAGCTAACGTCGATTTCATCGATTTCGGTATCTGCCATGACATCGACTAACACTTTCTGCGTCCCCGATGACCTGGATGACGAGAACGATGAGGAAGACGGCAGCAAAGTGGCAGGTGACAGTATGAGTGAGACCTCCCGTCTCGGTGGGAGAGACGGTGTTCCGGCCACTATTTGCACCTCAATCTTCCAGACGGATGACGAAGACGAAAAAAATGTAAAGTCTCACTCGTCATATTCCGAATCCACAAGCTCCGTCTCGGAGGATGCGCTTTCCCCATCCATTCGCTTCCCAGATTCCTTTTCTGCAGCTCAGTATGCACGAAACTGCAAGCTTAGCGCCCAACAGAAAGCGGACGCGCATACGGACGCTGACCATTTCCATCAGCTCAACGATAACCGAGACGGAGAAACTCATCGTCAACAGGAAAATGAATCACATCCGGTTGACGATTCGGTCTGGAAAGACAGTGATTCCTCTGCTGACTTTGATGGAACGGAGTCCTCCGTGAGCTCTCCTTCGAGCTCGGTAGACGGGAAATCCTTGATTGATTACTCGGAATGCGAGGATGGCGATTCGATGGACGACTACGATAGCGACCACTCTTCTTTGATTGATTACCTAAAGCGCAACCCCCTGGCGAGCCGAAACGACAACGAGTGGGGTTGTGTTGATCCAGCCGTATTGACTCGTGATGCCACATTGGCCCAGAACCCTCTGAAGGAAGCTCCTCACACTATCCCTTTCGGTGGATCGATCGCTCAGCCTGCCACGGAGTCAGACCTCTCTGGTCACATGAACACGTCCAAAATCGATTCATATGTGTTTCCAAACCCGAACTTGGTCCTCACTCCCGTGACCCCTAAGCTGGAGTACAAACGTGATGACGAGGATGGCTCGCAGCATTTCGGACGTCTGAGTATTGACGACGTACAGACTGCTTACCAAGATGGCCCATTCGCCAGCCCCCAGCGACCAGCTTCGAATCAGGATCCTGCGGACGCGGATCCGAAGACTGTTTGCTCCTGCAGAACGTCACAGAAACGGAAGGCATGCGAGATGGAGCTGAAAGCAGGCGAGGACTCCGAGCCCACGGTCTTGTCTATCGAGAAGCAAGTCCTGGCATCCACCTCTCCGTCTCAGGTGGCCGAAGCTATTACTTCTGCTTTGTCGGAGACTGCTATCAGCCCGCCTCCATCGAAAAGGGTCAAGGCTCACCACGAGCCATCAGCTCATCACGTTGGTACCTACGCCGCTACTGCTATTATAAGCGCTTTGCTTGGGGGCCTGGGTACGATTGCTCTGCTCGCCTCGCTCCCTGCGGAGTATTTTCAGTAGTGGTCTTTGCAAGCCACTGAATCTCCTCAATCTGGCACCTTATCGTTTTCCCTATTATACAATTCTCCTCTCTTTTGACTTGCCTTGGGGAACCTGGTTTGATTCGCACGCAGAGAGTTTGTGGGAATTCGTCTTCGGTCGGAGATCTCGGAGGCGGAGACCAGGGGTTTCGCCGGAGTTGGTCTGTTTTTGGAACTTCCATAGCTCTTTCTCGTTTTATATCCCTTTCTTTTCCCAATTCTTCTATCCCTCCGAGTTTGCCTGCTTGTTTTTCTGTACCCTGGTTCCCTCGTTAACGGTCGCATTTCCGGTGATGTGGTTGCTTTTGCGCTCTTTATTGGCTTATGATATCTCTTCTCGCCTTTGGCTTTCTGCTGTTTCCCATATTGATCCTCAAGAATGAATAAACCTCTTGGCTTAATTATTTATAACTCATTGCCTCATTATCTTGATGGAAATCTTCAAATGTCACATCTTGTGTAGAGTCAGGTTGCATGAGTAAGGATAACATTGGAAGAAGTCAGGCGCTTCCAGATTGTGTCTGCTTATATGGACGTATGGATGCGGGTTGCTTACCTTAACTACCGAGGAAGTGGAAATCATCAGTGGTCTAGCCGGTACGGTGGACGAAGATGGCCACACCGGCCAGCAGGGACTTCTTTGGGAAGCCTTTACCTTGTTCGTGAATGACCGTCTAATTGTGATGCCCTCTAGGGGCCCTCTAGGGAAATCTGGATGAAAGTCTTCTTTTGGAATCTTTTGATTTAAAGTCCCCAGCAGAACATGATGATTTTCGACTGTGGTTCTTCCTTGTCCTCGCTCTCTTGCTCCACTTTTTGCATTCTTCTCTCCCAGCATACCAAGTGCGACCTGAAGTCAGGTCGACACTGCACAGTAGAGAAACTCTTCCGTGGTATCACTAACTGGTGGAAAGATTCGACAAATTCTACATTTGACGTACTACCTAGCGTGGCCCACCATTGTGATGCGCACCCAGAGCAGGGCTCGGGAGTCGGTCAGAACCTCCAGCGTCTGGGGCTCGACCGCGATTCTCGCGAGCTTGATTCATCTCCATGTAAGCCTGACTGGAGTGATCGATTGAGCGGTGCTCAATATGCCAAGCATGTTCCGAAACAACAAAAAAAAAGAAATTGGAGGAGACAAGACATTTCCCATTTGATCAGACCGCACCTGCCTAAAGCAACCTGTCGACACGAGCTCGCAGCGTCGGCCCGAAAAAGTACAAGGGCAGGCCTAGAAAGATACACGCCCACTGGATGCCCGCAAACTCATAGAACATCTTATCAATGCCCTCCTTGGCCAACCATGCATATGCACCCTTCGACAAGCCAAATGCCACCACGTTCTTCGAGGCATTGACCAGAACCAGCGCCTCTCCGCTCACGCGCGGATACGCATCGACCACATACGACAACATCACCGATGGAACCAATGTGAGTCCCGCCGCGGAGATTGCCTGACCAACGGCTGCCGTGACGAAGGACTCGTGTCGAGCGAATGCCAAGCCGAAGATGACGAGGCCGATGGGACAGATCAGGAAGGGGATGATGAGGGCGGGGATACGGTGCTCGGGCTTATGCATGTTGTTGTTGCGTTTGCGCATCCAGCGGGAGAGAAGATCGGTCAAGGGGCCGGCGATGGGCCATGCGATGACGACTCCAATGAAACTGCTTAGCATGAAGAGGCCGAGCTGGGCGGATGAGAAGAGGTAGGGGGGTGGAGAGAGTACGGCGGGGATGATGGTGGACATGGTGACGATTCTGTATTGTGATGATTAGTCATTTGCTGTGAGCATCATTCATCCATCCATAGTGTAAGGGCTTTTTGCAGAAGAAGTGAGAGAGGTTTGGCTCGGGTCGTGTTGAGGTTGGATAGATAGCAGGTTTGCTCTCATGGGATCGTTCTGCATCGAAGACTCAGGACAGTGACTTACCCGCCAAGAATGACACCGTACATGATCGAAGCGATCAAAACACCTGGTACGAGCAGGAGCGGGAGTGGAAGGACCAGAAGATAGAAAAAGTGTTTCACGACGCCGTTCTTCTTCGCCTCCTCGGTGATGCCCATCGTGAAGAGGCCCTTGAAATAATCGCCGTAGTTCATCTTCGCTCGGTCTCCGGCCTGGGATCTGCTTTGAACACTTTCTAAATGGCTCTTGATGTTTTTCTCTGCGTCTTCGTGGACTTCATGGTCGTCGACTTCATCCCGCTCGTAGATCGTTTCGGGAAGCATGAAGAACGTGGTCACGAGGTTGACCGCGGCGAGTATAGCGCAGAGGATGAAGAACCAACGCCAGCCACGAGCCCCGATCAGGTAGCCTGCGATCACGGGTCCGATTTGTGACCCGCCAGACAAGAAGGCCGCGTATGCTGCCATGGCGCTGGCATAGTTGCGCTCAAAGAAAAGGTCTTTGAGAATTGGTCAGAAGTCTGTCTAATAGGGGTGCATCCCCTGTCCACCGGCGAGAAGATGCAGACTTACCCGCGAGGATGCTAGGTCCAAGAGATTCGATACCGCCATAACCTAGATACAAAGGTGTGTCAGAGTACTCCGCTCCCAGATGATTATAGAAATGCCTCGATGGGAACACTTACCAAAGCTGGCAAAGACTCGTGCCGCGAGCAGACTGTTATAAGTCTGAGCGACAGAGCTCCAGATGAGACCACACAGGAACATGACCATAGTGAACAGTACAACTGGGCGTTTTCCAAAGCACAGTGCAAGAGGCATCCACAGAAGATTGGCGAGACCCATGGCTAGCACCGAGTACGAGACCAGGGCAGACAGTTGGTCATTACTAGCATGGAAATACATCCCAAGTGATTCAAATCCGGTGGTAATGCCCGACTATGATGGCCGTGAACAATTCTTAGCATTCAGTAGATGCCCTCAGTCAGACGATAGTGCAACTTACTCCGTACATGTTCCCCATGAAGACGTACACATTGACGGTGAGGAGAGCCGCATATCGAACTCGTTGCGGCAAGAGCTGCTCAAGTCAGCCAGTGTGCACTCAAGCATTCACCACGGATGAGAGATCTCGAAAGCTGTGTAGAAGAGGTCAAAGAGTGCTCACCCTGGGATCCACCGCTGCCATGATGACTTGTAGAGATGATTATTCTACCCCAAGGAGATCGTGCTGTTTATGGCAATTTACCAGCACCAGTAGCCCCGTCACGGCACCTTTGGCTGGGGTACAGTCTGGGGAAGTGATCTGGGGAAGTGGAACTTTTCCAGGAAATCTGGGGAAATATTGGAAATATCCACCTCATATAGGCAGTCCCTCGGGTATGCTTCCCAGTCGGCTTCGGTGCATTCAGCATTGAGTCGGTCTAGTAGATACGGTTATCCAGGTCATTTGCCGACGCCCTTTGCTGTAAAGAGCCGTTTCTGAAACTGTAATCCCGCGTAATTCTTCTGCGTCGAATCAGATTGCCTGGGTCCGATGGAGCTCGCCATCATGGCGTGGTCCCTCGGGGGCTTCGAGAGGAGAGCCCTTCGGGACATCCGTGGGGGAGAATTGGAGAGTTCGGAACGCATTTCGGGTCCACATCGCTTCTCAACGCCACTTGACAGTAACGGACATCAGATAGTAGTAACTTATCTACTAACTAGTGATCGACTGGATCACTGAGTCAAGCACACTGCTGGATCTGACCTGGAATTGGCTTCTGATCGATCCAATAAGGGTTTGTAAGACCGTCGCTGGCTTCTCCACGGCTTTGCCCGTCCAGTGATCGTCTAAGCAAACAGCACTATCGAATTATCCAGGATTAGCTCCGCATGGATTAGCAATTTGGTTGGAGCTGCGTGCATGTGCCATGTCGGTATTGTCCACCATTGAAGGCGCGACCATCTGCGACATCCCCGCTTGTCCGTATTCGTGACATTCGTAAACATTGTCATCTGATTAGCATGGCCGACGCCTGCGCAGAGGTCGGACTCGTTCGATGTTGTGATCATGGCTCTCCGAATTCATGATTCGACTGTATCTTCTGATCTCACTTGCTCTGTGGAAAGAAGTGCGTGCTGTCTTTCCTCGAATTTGGATACAATGAGTGCTTGGCTCTGAGGTGTAGTTCGTATTTTGCAAAGTTCTCGCTTCACTCTGCGCCAAAATGGACTTGGTGACTATTTCGTTCGGAAGCCACCCGAGAGAATGCGGGGAAACCCTACCTCTATTTTCGTGGAATGTGAGATATTCTTGAAGGTAGTGATTTTTACCCTAGGAAGACTAATCGGATTGTTTCAGCGCATCAAATCTAGGCCAGGTCCATGAAGCGTCGAGGAAACTTGCAAGACAAAGCTTCGAAGGCAGCACGTACTGTGAGTCGGAATTTCCGACCACCGGCAATCCCGAGCGTGGAACAACAACATTTGCCCCGAGCTCTGGGGGCAGGAGTGGATCATGCAAAAGAAGATAACGGCTTAGTCCAAGTAAATTGTGCCGTGGGAATCTTGGAAACGCCTCTATTACGAGCTTGTTTCAAAAGGCACAATACGTGTCATCCGTCGAGTGCTGGTAGTGAACTGAAGTAGCCAGCATTTCGAAGTGGTTGTGAAAACTTTTGCCAGCTCAATCTATACCTCCAAGGTAAGCGACCGAAATGTCTTCTTATTCAAATTCTGTCAGCTCGAATCACTGAATCTAGCATTCAACTAGATGTCTGAAAAGGTCCGTCTGCGGGTGGTCATCGTTGGCGCAGGTCTCAGCGGTATAGCGGCGGCAATCTCAACTGCCCTCTCCGGCCACACCGTGCAAGTCATCGAACAAGCTTCGGAGCTAGCAGAAGTGGGAGCTGGCCTGCAAATCACACCCAATGCCTCTCGTCTTCTCAAACAATGGCAACTGCGCGACTCTTTGTGGGAGGCCGCCGCCGAGCCCGCAAAGTTGACGGTGCACCGATATTCCGGCGAGATTCTGGCCCACGACGATGCATTCGACAAGGGCATCCGAACCAAGTACAATGCGCCTTTCATTGACCTCCACCGAGTGGATCTGCAGCAAGCACTATTTGAGAGGGCTCAGGAGCTGGGAGTCACTTTTCACCTCGGCGAGAGAATCGCTCGGGTTGATTTCGAGACCACGACTGTTTGTTCGGAGAAAGGCCACCAATTCACAGGCGACTTGATTGTTGCCGCGGACGGCCTGTGGTCTCGGTGCCGAGAAGCTCTGGTTGGCCACAAGGATGAGCCTCTTCCCACGGGGGATTTGGCGTATCGAATTGTCCTCTCCGCGGATCAGATTCAAGATCCGGAACTCAAGGCCCTCGTCGAGAACCCCGAGGTTCACTTCTGGATTGGACCTGGAGCTCATGCGGTAGGATATTCCGTGCGTGGCGGGAAGATGTACAACATCGTCTTGCTCGTTCCAGATAATCTGCCGCCAGGTGTTTCTCGACAGGCAGGCTCGGTTGATGAGATGAAAGAGCTTTTTGTAGGCTGGGATCCAATGTACGTTGTGCCTCTGGTCTGAAGCATAGAATCATTTTACGCTGACTTCTTCCACCCTCTCAGTCTCAACAGATTCCTGGATTGTGTGAAAAGTGGAAGAATCGACAAGTGGAAACTCATGCACCGTAAGTGGAAGAGTCTCCCAGGCGAGGCACGTGCCAGTGTTGACCAACGACCTTTCCAGACGGCGAGATGGAGAATTGGGTTAATGATCGATCAAATCTGGTCTTCATGTAAGCGCCGAAATCTGCATCCGACTTTCTGTCAAACAACTTGCCTACTGACCACCGGGTTTCTCGATCAGCGGCGACGCATGCCATCCGATGCTTCCATATCTGGCTCAGGGGGCAAACTCCTCCTTGGAAGACGGTGCCGTGCTCGGTCTATTGCTGGGGCGGATGTCTAACAAAAGTCAGCTTCCGCGTATTCTACGTCTGTATGAAAGTCTTCGCAAGTCGAGAGGAGAGGCCATTGTCCGAGAAACCTTCAAGCAGGTAAGTGGAAACTCTCAATTTCTGTTCTGGGACGCTATGATACTGAACGTCCACTGGCAGAGGCATGACTTCCACATGGTTGACGGAGAGGAGCAAGTACGACGCGATCAAATATTCCGTTCGCAACTCGGACAAGAAATAAAGGGCGCGTTCCCAAGTCGATGGTGGGTCTTTTTCAATCGTTTTCAAGTCCCCTGACGTTGGATGTAGTCTCACCTAAAGCCTTCTTTGCAGGACATGTCCGGAGGTGCAGCCATGGTTGTATGGATATGATGCGAACAAAGAGGTTGAGAAAGCAGTTGCGGAACATGCCCATCTCTTTGTCAAGCCGGCGAAAAATCGGCCCTTTTCATGCGTTATATTATAAGCAACGATTCCATATCACAGACTATTGGGTTCAGAGTTTGAGGCTCATGTCAAGAATGTCCATCTTCTAGATATCACTATCTCGGAGATTTGAAGAATGTAATATTGCCACGTGGTATCGGAGCTATGCTGGTTCACAATACTCACGAATCACCTATATCCACAAGGGGAAACTGACATGATCACGAGGGGAGAAGCGAAGTCAGTAACAGGTCTCTGTCATTATATTAATGCCTCACGCTGCCCCTAAATTAAAGGGCTCGATTTTGGGGCCCACCATGGGCACGAAGTCTTTGCCTTCACAGAGCTCCATGGCCTTTTTATAGGCTGGTCTCTCGCAAATGCGTTTCAGGTAAGACAGAATGTGGGCATGCTTTGTCTGATCGAATTCCATTGGGACAAAGCCCCTCATCGTGGTTAAACTGAACACCGTCATGATATCCGCCGCGGTCAACGCGTCACCGGCCAGATACGCCCCCGTCTTTGCGAGTCTGTTCTCCACCATGGAAAGAGCATGGTCTTTTTTCTGGGCCGTCATAGCCACGATCGGCGAGCTGGGATCCGGATTCGCGTTGCTAGCGATGAACAGCCGCATGATGGCTGGTTGAAGAGTCCCGTTGGCAAAATGGTACCATTCAAGGTAGTGAGGGTACGCAGCGCCATCTTGTGGAGTCAACGCGAGGTGGCCTTGGCCATAGACAGCGATAATGTAGTCGACGATTGCACACGACTCTGCCAGCACCACGCGAGAGTGAGTGACAGGGGAGGGATCGTCTACTATGACGGGAGCGGTGCCCGCGGGGTGGAGATCTTTGATGGACTGGGGGGATAAGAGAGGATCTCTTTTATGATGGACCAATTGGTAATCGAGTCCGAGTTCTTCGGCGAGCCAGACAATACGCTCGGATTGGGAAACACCCATGTGATGGAGGGTGAGCGGCATCTTGTACAGAAAAGTCTCGAGGTTCAGGGAACAGATTGAAAGAAATCGATTAGATCTCTTGTGGGTCGTGAGTACAGGTGATAGGCAAGAATTGATACCAAGATCAGTCAAGGGTACTGAACATCTGTAGATTAGTTGCCCTTGCAAAGAATCCCACACCTGGAAGAGACCATGCACTTATACATCTAAGCCTGAGTCGATGAGGGCCAGAACTCACAGATGTTTCATCCATACCTTAAGAGAAGGGCGAGGTAAAATAGATGGGCATGATGTGTACAAGATGACTCAGGTACCACCGATCATTGATGCATTCGAAGATAAGTGACGATGGAGGTTCGAGGACAGCCACGTGACGATTCTACGAATCAACGATCACATCGACCGCACGAGATCCACAGAAATAGCGGGGAAGGCCAAGCGCCTCTGGTGAGGCTGCTGAAATGTTGTCTCACTAGTACATGTCTAGCGATCGACCACGGAAAATGCGCGAGTTCTGATGCTTGTCATTACTGCAAAGTACGAGATTGGTGTGCTGGCCACGGAAGTACGCGGGTCTGTCTGCCAATGATGCTAAATCTGACATCAGCTCAGACCGAGCGATGAATTCGCAGTCACTATCGCAAGAGCGATTGGCCCTACTATCGGAGTTCCAGATGAATCGGGGGCCTAATACGCAATTGGGGAACGATCTCAAAGCGGACTTAACCGGGCCTGATGGAAACCGGAGTCTCGAGTAGTGTCTGGTCAATCTTGAGCACTGCACAGCAGAGATGGCGGGCACTGAATGGAATTTTGTGTATAATCGCATACATCTGGTCCAAGTTTGCAAGGAGTCAAGGACCCTGAGCAACAAACTCCCAGGCCTTCGCGTTCAGGGGGGCCACAGATAGAAATACCCCACTATGGAACAGCTGCGATAAGTTCAAGGTCGGCAGAATCCATGAACCGAGACCGAGGAAGAGGGAGAGATCATTCCGACCGCAAGAGGAACACTCCTTCTAGCAATATCACATGACCATGCGGTCTGGATCTCAACGGTAAACAAAAAGTACATGAAAAACTTTTTATCTCCGTCAAGCCAGGTCACAATATTTGAAGGCTCCACGCCCTCCACCTGCGCAAGACTCTCCAGGTCAGAGACTGGTCACTGGTGGGCTTGCAGGCCGGTCAACTCTTAAAAGGTGAAGGATCTAATACCGTGCTGATGGTTCCATCAGAACCGCGGTTTGGGAGCCGAGTGACTCTTATTGACTGGCGAAGATGTGGAAGATTTGTCGGTCGCTGCTAGTGTATGATGGGATCAGATGTGACCTCGGGTATAGCACAGTTGATTGATGTGATCATCATCATGCGAACGTCCCTCTAGGGGTTTGCATACGTAAACTTCGAGTTTATCCGAACGGGAAGTTGCCAAGAAGAATCACGATCTCAGTATCAGAAGACTGAGAGGCAAGTTCAAGGGAGTGCTTTTATTTCAGAACAGTAGCTACAGAGATCCATGTGCCGTCGTTCAGATACAAACAATCATGTCTCCGTCGGTGAGTCAGAAAATGACAGGGGGAAACACTGCATTTGAACAATCATACCTTCAGCACAAAATACAAAGCCCCGATGGGCATTTAGTACTCGACTGGTTTCGAGCACCGATTAATCTCTCCACCAACAGTTCCAGGTCAAAAGTCCATATTCCGACTTTTTCTTGCATAGCTTTCAGGCAGTGGGAGCTAGTTGCACTGATTCAATCCGTATCGAGCATAGGCAGACCGCCAATGTCATCAAACAGCCGAGCTATTCCCTCAAATGAGCAATCTGGAAACCCAAACCCGTAGGCCCACTCGGGAAGTTCCAAATTTGTGGAATGTGTTCCTTCGAAAGCAGGTTCCGTAAGACCCACGAGCTCCCCGGTCAAGCCATTTGCTACGGACGTAGTAGATGGCTGCTCAGCGGAGGCGTGGAAGTCGCGCAGATAATGTCGGATAATCTCCACGGATCTGCGAGCTACGACCGATTCATCCATTGACTCAAGGATCTCAACTCCCATCTCAACAGAGCGAAGAAGTGGGCTTGTGTCCGCACACATTCCCAGTTTCGACAACGGAAGGAGGAGAGTCGACGTTGCGAACATGATGTAGGTTGTGTTGTACCACCTAGACAAGACCCAGAACCGCATTCGTTAGTTTCCAGAGTGTCTGTTCAGTGGAAAGGACCGCGTACCAGCATCGAAAGAAAGTGTGCACACGATAGATATCGTAAATAACTTCGATGGTCTTCATAGCGGCATCCAAACATTTCGAGATGGCCTCTTCCAATTCGTTCGGAGGATGCCGTAGTTTGCGAGTGAAATGACCGAGGAAAGGTCGAAACAAGAGCATTTTGACATTATAGTATCCTGCGTTTGCAATTGATTCAGTTCAGATAACAGAACATTTCCTGGGGTTGCCAGTCTCACTCACTTATACCCAGCACAAGGCGTTGCCTCCTGGCCCATTTAGGATCCCGAAGCGCTGAGCGACAGGGCTGGTTCGGTCCGATATCTGGCTTAATCCTGTCTGGCAACCTTGCGAGCCAGCGGTCCATCTCTGATTCAATTTGTAGAGATAGCCGCAGCTTCTCTTGAAGTGTGATGCGAGAATGGTATATTTGGACAGACACACGACGGATGATCTGGGCGAAATCGATCATCCAGGCAATGATCGCGTATTCAGAATCATCGCGATTGGGTATGGCTCGATTGTGATACTCGTCCATGCCGAGTGTATCCGGTCGGCCAACAGAAAAGCTCATCTCTCTATTTCAGTGTTAGCCAGGCACTTTTTCCTACATCCGTATCAAATTCCCTCGTTCCTAGTGAGCGTGGAGCTTTCATACATTTCCAGAGAAAATATTCCCCTGCAATGAATGCGAACGCGTTTAGTCAAGGTCAAAGATGTCTGTCCGAAAGCGAGAGCGACTCACCACCAAGTTTTCGAGATCCAGCTTGACCGTGGATCTTTCGGAGACTCAACTTCACGATTAAACCCTGCTGAGAGACAAGTGCGCACCGCAAGTCCTAGATACATATAGGCCACTAGGCTGTTTCAGTCACATAAAGATCTATGGACGTATCGGATTTCACTCACGGTTGGGATTCAGCTCATTTTGACAGATTTTGGCCTTTGTAAAGTCAGCTCAGTGTCCACTTTGACGGGTCTGATATCACGCACCATCATGTAAAGACACTGCACTGTCTCCAGATCATTTGAGAATCGCAAGTAGTTCAGGTGGGCTTGGGCTTCGCCAAATAACTTTCGACTCCATTCGAATCGACCCAGACCAGCTATCTTGTCTTCATCCCAAACGCGAACCAGCGCACCGAAGGACAAGACACTCAAGTAGAGGGCAATGAAGCTGGATCCTTGGGCCGGTATTGGATTCATCCATAGATCATTTGCACGCAGCAGAAAGCCCTCTTTATCAATGAATGGGTGAATGAAATGGATATTTTCAAAATACCCGCTCATAAAAATGTAAGCCACTTCAAAGTAATAATTGCGCTCGTCACTTCCAGTGAGTACGCCCGTAGAGCACGCTGGTGAAAAGCCTGGGTTGTGCAGAGTCGATATCAAAGAAAATTTCGCTGCACGAGGGGAAGGATCCTCGTAGGCATTAGGCTCCTTTGATTTCTTCAGGTGGCCAAGAATTGCAGCAGCCGAGGTGCTGCCATAAAATTCTATTCCATTTGTGTGATGATTCAGTTCTTGGATTTCAGCCGCACTTTCACCCAAGTCTTCGTGTAGCGTCTCTTTAGGAGGTCTTGCTCTTTCTTCGGGCGTTTGTCCTGGTTGAGGTAGGGAACTTGGAGTACACTCAAGGCCTGTTGAGGTTTGATCTACTCTCGGAGCTTGATCCTGTGATTGCGGAGATTCAAGTTGTCTTTGCGCTTCGGTGTTGCGCAACTTCAAAGCCAGCTCCTCTACTTTCTTCTCAAGGTTGGCGACATAGCTGTCAAAGAATTGTCAGTCAAGGCGTTGCAACACACAGGCTCTGGATTTTCTATTGCCAGAAATACTTGAATGCAGTCATTTCTATGAGAACTGCATGCAGTTGCCTTACTCACCTTGCGGACCGATTACTCTCTCGCTCTCGAAAGTTGCCTTGATAGACGCATTCCAGACGGCTTTCTGTCTGCAGGTCAGCAATACTGCATTACTGCGATCTAAACTCTTACTTCAAGGACTTACTCCTGCAATGTGAACATGGGTATTGCTCATCACACTTGTATTTTTTTGTTCTGCAGCGATCGCAAGCTTGAGCTGCACGAGGTCTCTTTGCGCGCTTAGCTGCAGGGCCGTCCGCGGCCGGCGATGACATGCTTCTTGCATTCGGCATTATGCAGACATCATGCGCACTCATTCACCCAAGCATTGATCAATCTGAGGATAGTGGCATGATCGTTTGGTAAACAGAACTTCAGATCACGCTCTTGACGATATGGAGATGAGATGGAAGCACGCCCCGGAAATCCCGAGCCATATCCCTCTTCGCAACCTGGAGATTTAGCTCAGCGCCACGTGATGGGTACCCCGCATTTTCAATGCTGGTGAGTTAATATCCGGGGGCCAATCGCAGAACCACTGCACATGGGGGAAGAATCCTTCACGTGGTGCTGTTGATTAAGTACCTTCGTGTGTTCCGGTTGAGCAGGTTTGGCGTGAAGTAGTATATGGCACAAGACGAACCTACTCACTCAGGCATGGAAATGCTCACCAACCTTAAAACTCATATTGAAAGGGTGCTTGCACTAGGATCTACGAATGTGGAAATTACCCACCTGTGTAGGTGAACATACAGTATGCACGTTGCTGCCTTGTAGTCCACACCATTTATATTATTATGGTTGAATATATACACACTCTCTCGGGCAAGACTCACCCAACGCTATATCTCTAGTTCTATTTGCATTTCTTGTGCCGCTGCCGATATTTTGGACGCGTCCCACGCTGGTGCCTGGTCAGGAAGCACGACTTGCTGAATCTGCCCACCAGCTCGGTGAATCAAAGATTCAATCCCATCGCCATCGGCAAAGGAGTGGACTTTCACATACTTGCTCTCAAAGCCCAGGGAGAAAGCTTGACCAGCCGGCACAACAACTGTCTCTCCTTCATGGAAGATACTCTCACCAGACCCTCGAAGAGCCACTTTCAACTTTCCCTCCATCACACAAAAACAGTGATCCACCGTGGGGAATGTCATTAATTGAGAGAAAACGGTGTCTCCGTAGTCTTTAGATGACTCAATGCTGGAGATGGCACAAACACCAGCACTTTGTTTGGTGGTCACGAAAGGTCGTGACATCACTCCACCCAGCATCCACCGCGGGCCCGTGTTAGCACGAAGAAAGTATCCTTGGTTCCCTTCCGGGAGCTTCTCATCTGCCTCACTCCAGTCGCTCACCTCGGGAGGGACATAGTGAGGCTGGAAGACGACGTCGAATTTGCCCTTTGCAGCCATGACCTTGGGGATCAAGAGTGACTTCAGATCACGGTTATCGGTTTCGGGTACCAGGATACCTTCAAAAGGCTCCGATACGTAGCGGAAGAAATCCACCCAGTCGCCAGGAGTGATCAGGCCCTGCAACTCAGTGTGTGGACCAATCATTTCCGGGTTATGAATGACAGTCTACAACGATCCGTCAGCAAGGGTCTCCTCGGTCATGCTGGTTCTCATGCACGATATTCAAATGGACATGAATGGCGATGATGACTGACTGGAGGAATATAGGCAAAGTCGCCTGGACCCAATATCCGACACTGGGGTCCGTTCCACAATTTCAAGTACCCTTTTGTCACCAAGAAGACATCATGGGCTTTCTCATGGTAATGGAAGCCCGGGGCGTCCGAGATTGTTGCACCGCTCTGAAAGACCGCCATCAAGCCATTGGTCTGTTTCGAAGAAGTCAGAATGCGGAAGACGCCTTTACTGCCTGGAATCGTGATGCGTTCACCCTCCAGCTGGGGGATGGCGTATGGCACCCGCTCAGCAGGGGGCTCATTGGAGAATGGCAGCGACATTGAGCTTGTCATGATATGCACATCAACGAGACACGAGACACGAGAATATTTTGACTGTATATCACAATCTTAGAGGGAGACATGCACTTTAAAGCTTCGACTTTCCCGAGCACTTCGGTGGCATGATTGGGGGAAACCGGCGCAGGACAGCCGACGCGAGGAGCGGGGGATCTGCGCTCGGGATATCCGAGTCTTTTCGTGCGCGGGCATACGGCTCAATCGCATAGCTCGAACTGCACCGTGGCCATTTTTCCGAGATAGGACTAGTGGACATAGTTATCTCCGTGCAGCGACAGCCGTGCACAATCGTCGAGTTGTTGCGCTAGGTTCTCGAGATGCTTGAGGATGCAGATAGGGCTTCAGAGCCACAGGCCGATCAGTCTCCGATTCTGCTTACCGTCGAGGAGCTCGCTCAAGGGGTTGTTGAAGGCTCGGTGCGCTCATCTTTCTGAGAACCGCCCGAACCAAGAATCCGACAGAACAGGGATATCAAGGAGTCTCATCTTTGTTTCGTTATGTTAAGGCGCTTCCGGCTTGGCCAGAACGGCAAGAAGCCCGGATAAACCCCACGGGCTTCCTTCAATCGTGAAAGTACAGATCACACCGTCGATCTGTACTATGGACTAGGGCAGAAAACCCTGAGCATTCATGCGGAGTTATATTTTGACCCTCGACGATGTATCAGCCCGCACCTTTGTCTATGCATCTATGCTTGAAAAGAGAGATGAATCGCGTTCTCACTGCAGTGTATGAATTGATCGGAAAAAACCTCACCCACATGCCCCACAAACTGTGGGGAATCTACTCGCCCATTTCCTGTGTGGGGAACTCGGGCGGGCCGACGTGACGACGAATATAATTGCATCCTATCCTCGTTTTGAGACGATTGGATAAATTCATCCTTGCAGGAACTTTGACAATTCTATTGTCACTTTAGCGCGAACACTTCTGTCAAGCCGTGGTGATACAATCACTCTATCAAACATGACAACTACAGAGCAGCCCACGGGCGAATACCGTCAGTATTTGCCGGATTTGACCCTCTACCGGTTTCAAGTGATGCGTACCCAGGATGCGCATGAGTATGCGCACGCGTTCAAGACACAGAAACAGCCGCCATGGTTGCATGCTCTGTATATGCATTGGCTTGATCTCTTGGAAGAGCCGTTCAAGGGTGTTACAACTGATGGTAAGGAACAATCAGCTTCACCGTGGACTCAATCTTGTTTTCAGTACCCGGTCTCTTTTGGAAAAGAAAGACTGGACAAACGAGAAAGAGGCAGCTCTAACTCTATCGGTGTACAGGCAAAGTCCACTCGGACCTTTACCAGTTACAGGATGAGAGTGTCCCAGTTGCGCAGATTGTAGATGCGACGGCATCGTTCTTGGCCCTGTTGGACGACAAGCAAAAAGAAGCCGTCTCCTACCACATCGACTCTCCACAGTGGCGCACATGGTCGAATCCGGAATTTCTCCTCTCGCACAAGGGGGGTTCGTCTCGACGAGGTCTCTTCGTCCGTCCGCGACGCTGTGATGAACATACTGAAAGCCACTCTTTCCCCAGAGGGTTATGACAAAGCCGTCAAAGCGATGCGTATCAACCACTTCCTCGGTGAACTCGTTCAATCCCCGCGCGTCATGAATGAGTTTTCCTACAATTTTGTCCTCTTTGGCCGTCCGTCCACGACCCGTCCCTGGGGCTGGTCATTCTACGGCCACCATCTCTGTCTAAACATCTTTCTATATAAAGGCCAGATTGTTGCCTCGCCATGGTTCACCGGGGCTGAGCCCAATGAGATCGACTCCGGTCCATACGCCGGGACTCGCATTCTGCAAGTTGAAGAAAAGCTCGGCCTCGAGCTCATGCAATCACTCTCTGCCGAACTGCAGTCTCGTGCGCGTGTCTTCGCTCAAATGAAAGACCCAGCCATGCCACCCGGCCGCTGGAACAAAGACGATCAGCGCCATGTATGCGGTGCATATCGCGACAATCGCCAAGTTCCGTACGAGGGAATTCTGGCATCCACTTTCAACGCGAAGCAGAAGGAACTAATGTACGGCATCATCGAGCAATACTTGCTTTACCTGCCTGCAAAGGCCCGTGCGATGAAAGTCGACCAGATCCGTCAGCATCAGGGCGAAACATACTTTTGCTGGATTGGGGGCTTCACAGACGATGATCCGTTTTACTACCGGATTCAGAGCCCCGTGATTTTGATCGAGTTTGATCATCACTCGGGGGTGTTCTTGAAGAACGAGGAGCCTAAGAAGTTTCACATTCATACTTTGCTACGGACGCCAAATGCGGGTGACTATGGATACGCCTTGCGGGCTCAGATTCCTGCTGTAGAGGGCCCGAATGCCAAGGAGATCGTGTGGTAGATTCCATCAGATAGTCTAGAAAGCGATGCGAGAAGGAATAGAGTTTTGATTGTATATTGATATCAAAGTTGTGTCCAGACATGGGTTACGATGTTTTGATGACTCTGATAGAGTATCTTTCTCATAAAACACGCTTTTGTCCGAATTGTCCGAGGCAACCCAGTCCTTGGGGTCGTCTTAGGTCTGCACTACCAGGAAGATGAGCATGTGAACCCGGCTGAGATCAGTTGTGCTCTACAGTAAGCTTCAAAAATTCCTGAAGAATTGTTTGATCGATCCCGCCGTAGAGCCCGTCGTATCTGGGGGATGAGTCACAAAAAAGGTTATGTGAGATCATCGTCATGTAGACGTTAGGTATATTGCATGTATTATGTGGTTATAATAAGGGGACTATTACAGTAGCCACTCCACTGCTTCAACGTCAGTCGTATCTTGAAATGTTGCGGACACGGTACCCCACGACAAGCACAAAAACAACACAAAAATTTGGGGCGATGACATGATTCAATTTCCCGCAAAACCAACAATTATAAATCACATGGGTGCCTTCCTTTGCCTGCAAACCGCACCATCATGTGAGAAAAAAAAGCACGCTTCCTTCCACATCTGACTCGTCCCTCACGCGACTCGACATGTGCTCAAAATGGTGAGACAGCCTCCGTATATGAACCTGACAGTAAGACAAGTCTAGCGACATTTTCGCCTCCATCAAGATGTCGCCCTCAGTGCATCATGATCCGGGATGAGCTCGTATCCACCTTCTGACGGTAGCACTCGAGCCGCAATCACGATCGCGCCGGCGCATACTAGGCTGAAGCACCAACTGATAGTGCAGAAGACCCAAGACTGATCCAAACGCCAGCCTACGAAGAAGCGGTCCTCGTTGTCGTAAAGATATGCCTGTCCACAAAGATTAACAAATCTCCAGCGCTATCACTCTATGCAGTCGAGACGCCACGGTCTTCATCAAGCTCGGTGGATGGCAAAAACTCACCACAAGAGACATGCCTGCGGCTTGAACGACCGCCGACAGAATGATCAACAGGCTGAGTACCCGCCATCCGTTTTCGCGCAAACGCTTGCCACCGCCGAGGACAATGATATATGCGACAATGCTCATGCCTTCGAGTACCACCGCGAAGGAGATCAAAAACCCGACTGAGCGCCACATGGAGCAAAAGTACCGGTCTTCGCCATGGCAGTCTTGGCTCACCGGGAAGGGCTCACAGGTATTCGTGAGTGAGGAACATCGCCGATGAAGACCGTAAGAGAAATGATAACTAGGCTGTTCTCGCCCGAAGTGCGAAAATGTCAGGTTTGTCGCAGATAAGGCCGGCTTGGTCCAAGGCTTTGGGTACGAGCACGATTCCTTACCTTTTCGCTGTGGTAGCTAACCCATCGAGGAATAACAATGGATGCAATAGTCAAAGCAAAAGCTGTATTACGTCGATTGATCAGTCTGAGCACTTCGATTCTTGCAAGACTGCACGTGCACTTTAGAGTAGTTGAAGGGTGGATCCGTCATGACGGCGCGGGGTGGAAAAGAAGGGCTCAGCTGGCGGAACGAGACTCACAAGCTAGGAACAGCACTAGAGTTCCTGAGTAGACGATCGTTTTCGTCAAAAAGCCCGTATAATTCGTGTCTGTGCCCCTGGGCACCAGACGGAAGTCCATCGCGTGAGCTGGGAGGTGGGAAGAAGGGTAAGAAAGAAGAGAGGATGGGGGTCGAGGAGCGAAGAATGTCCCTGCAACGGGATGCCAATGCTGCTGGTGGTGTTGGCGCTAGGCGACGGCTGGACTTGGATTTGGTCGACTCGAGCTGGGGCCGATGGCGTAGGCTCACAGGGCAGTTTGTGGTCCGTGCCACTTTGTCCGATACGAGAGACCGTGAGGCTGGAACCTACCGAATCCCCCAAAGACAGGAGAAAAAGAGAGAGAGAGAGAGAGAGAGGGAGAGATGGAACACCGCTCAGAGTGCAAGATCAGGATCCAGCGGGCCTTCTGTTCCATGGAGTCGCGCGCGAATAACACAGTTTGCGAGGCCCGCGACGTCAAGGGCCTGATGCTGTGCATGAAAGCCAAAAGGACAGGACAGCACTTCTCCACTTCACTGCGGGAGGGGATGTCGAGGAGTCTCGTGATCTCATGCTGAGGACGAAGTACGGCACCGCCACATACCACAAAGATTGGCTCATAGTATCATCCATACAAGCATCAACGCACGATGGAGTAAGTATTGATGCGTAGGTGAGGAACATTGTCCTATGCTCAATGTATGAATGGTTTCTAAGTAGTCTAGAGTTGACCGGGCTACTATGCAATTAACTATTATAGTACTAGACATTATACCACGGCTTGGCTTGCGAAAGATACCTCAGGTCCCGTCGGCGTGAAGAGCAAGCATCCCTGCCTTTCTGCAAAGAAGGAATGGAGTCGGCCTCTCTTCGACCTGCACACAACATCCTCATTGCTCTCTGTCAGCCATGCACTTCAACGGTTCATGAACGAGAATCGCTCGGTGAATTATGGTCCGTTTTGAGACGGGATAGGCCCCTCGATCGGATCAGAGGAGATCTAGCAAGTAGCAACCGATCAGGTGGATTGATCGTAATCTGCTTAGTGCGAGGAAGCAAAACAAGGCAGATCACCGTCGATGCGTCTTCAAGCTCGCAAGCGGCGTAAAGGCGGTGAGTTCAAGCTTGCATGAAGACGCCAACGGCCAGTTTTGTTGACCATCCTGGGCATACAAGTCATTGACATGATTGCAAGCCTAGTCAAATGAACTCCTCAAGTCGAAAAAGCAAATTGACCGCATTACGCTCGCGGGTACTAAAATGCATCGTTCGCGGTCGCCGAAGGAGAAAGGTCGTCGTGAGCGGGCCCGTGTAACCTGTCCGTGAGAAGGCTGCAGCCTCACTGGATTTACTGTACTAGGCTGGATGGCTCGGATCCGCTCAGTAGTAGCGGCATGAGATTTGCAGTCTCCTACCTCGACTCAGCCTGGAATCCTGGGGAAACTCTAACCCACCTTTTATGGTAGTGCGGTGGTGACGAGGATATCTACGATGATGACGCTACTACAGTATAAACGCGGTCCCAAATGGAGGTTGGGAATTGCGGGCTTGGAAACGACTAAGAAAGGCATCATCATTATAGTTGTGGCACAAGGCAAAAAGTCGCGAGCCGGCTAGATAGTCGAGGCAAAGACAAACGATACATAGGCTGAAGATACAAACCCAGCACCTTCGGCAGACGGCACCGAGCAAGACATCTGAGACGGGAATTTGTAACACAAAGACACAGCGCCAGGGAATGTAAAGGCCCCGCGCAAAAAAAGCACCTTGATCAGGCAAGGCGCATCCAGAGATCAGAAGTTTTCATCACTATTGCTTTCCCTTTTCATTGCTACATCACTTCAATCGGGACGCTTTGATTCAAGCAGCGCACGAAAGTCATCATTGCTCTTCTTGGGCGGAGCACTTTCCGTGCGGCCTTGATAGGAAGAGGTTTCCATTTCGTCCTTGTAAGAGGAGTCTTGGTTGGAAAGGGGCTGGGATGGAGCACCCGTCGTCCGTTTCAAGCCCAGCCCTCCTCGACGGCCCCCACGAGACCCAGGCTGCTGAGGTCGCTTGATGGGGCCTGCAGGCTGGAGAGAAGGTTTCGGCTTCCCCGGTTTGATCGAGGTGATACGATCCGTCTTCTTCTCTGCTTGCATTTGTTTCATCTCCTCGACGCTGCCGATGTGAAGCGGGCGTCCGGGCGCGATCTCTTGCCCTTCGAGGGCAAGGGACGCCTTACCCGCATCGTGCACGTCGACATACTCGACGATCGCGCCTTGATGATCCGGTCGAAGAACAATCTTGACTAGCCGTCCAAAGGGCTCAACCAGAGCGCGAACACGAGCATCATTGACAGTATCCGGTATATTCATCAGGGCGAGAGTGCGTTCAGATCGTCCACCGATAGTCTCTACCGGCCGAGGGCCGCCGCCGTTAGTCTCTGGGGGAGGAGAGGCTGACGATGCGGACGCGACCTGAGAGATGATCGTGCTGGCAATGCGCTTGGCTCCAGTGTTGCCACTCAAGCTCACTGTGATCTGACGCTTTCCAAGTGTCTCTTGGTCCATGACGAGTGCGGCCTCAGCCTCCTCCTGTATCCTTGATTAGCATTTACTTTTCGACAAGTTTCAGTAGTAAGGGGTAAATGCTTACCTTAGTTGAGTACGCCACGAAGAAATACCCACGGTGAGAGCCGTCGGCATTAAGTGGCAGATGAAGATTCTCAATGGACCCAAATTTAGAAAATGCGTCCCGAGCATCAGCCTCCCCTAGCTTCCAGTCAAAACCTTTGCAAAAAAGCTCACGGCCCTCATGCATCGCCCCACTCCGCTTCTCTTTCTGGTTCGGATCGGATATCTTGACCACGAGTCTGTGGCCTTTGTCGATTTCTAGCCCATTTAGCTCGGTTGCGTGGTGGGCCATGCTCGCAGTAGTGAATTGGACATAGCAGAAGCGACGTTTGGTTTGGAACTTGAGCGACGGGAAGCGAACATCAACTACAGTGCCATATTTGTGGAAGAGATTGCGTATGACATTCTCGTCTGCGGTTGGGGGAAATTGGTCACCCACAGTGTAGATCCCGACTCAATAGTGACTTCAATTGTGTTCCCATTGAAAGATTTCTGATCACGCGTCAGAGCTGCAAGAGCCTCGTCTTTTGTTTCGAACTCGATCAATGCACACTCGGTATTACCATCCGGTCCGGAAAGCATCTTCACGCTGTTGATGGTGCCGACATGGCGAAAAAATTGACGCAAGTTATGCTCACTGCTTCCCTTGGGCAGATTTTTGACCACGACCGTGGCATGCTCCCGGTCGCGAACTGGAAGCTCTGTATCGACAACACCTTGTTCCGTTGATTCAGCATCGGCGCGCACTTTCTTGAAGGTAGGCTGCCCATTAGCGTCTAACTCGTCATCACGTTTACGCTTCTCAGAAGAAGACGCAGCTTCGGCGGCAGCAGCGGCCTCCATTTGCTGTTGCTGCTCCAACTGCTGCTGTTGTTGCACAGCAGCGACTTCGAGTGCCTCGCGTTCGCGACGAGCCGTGGCAGCACGCATCGCTTTCCTGGTTTCTACCACGGCAAGCTGCAGTTCGTATGCATCTTCGTAGTCCTCGCAGTGAGCAATGTACGTCTGCGCGAGCTTCTCGGGCCAGTCGAGGTCTTCGCGCTTGATGGCCTGTTTCAGAACAGCAGTCGCAAAACTAGGATTTGGCGGGCGTCTAGTAGCGTCACTAGTAGCATCACCTTGAGCACAGATGTTGCTCCAGCAAAGAAGTTCCCAGTTGTAATAGGTAAGCCAGAATTCGTAGCTATTGCCGCGCCGGGGCACAAGATTCTTGAAGGTCTCGCGAGCATTGTCCCAGCTTCCGCTTTCGCTGAAAAAGCGAATGTAGATGCGCTCCAAGCGGAAGTGAGGGTCGCCCTGGTAGGAGCGACCATACTTCTTCTCGCCGAGTTCTTGCACACTCTCAATCGCGGACCGAATACCCACTTCCGCGACGTCTAACTCCTCATCGGTGGAGTCGGAAAGGAAGGCACGCCGTCTAAGGTAGCTACACCAGGTCGTGTGAACCTTCAAGACCTCTTCCATGCCGCCGGCGTCTAGAAGTCCAGTGCTTGTCGCCCGGTGTTTGATACCGGAGGTCTTGGAGAAAGACTGTCCCTCTCGCTCTGAGCTCAGCAAGTACTGAGACCAAAGATTGCCAGACCAAGGACAGTGACGAGTAGCTCTGTCGAGGGTAGAGATTGTCGTAGTAGAAGCATGTCCGTGCATAGATTCACCGATCAGGAACATGATGTAGTCCTCCCACAAGGACACATCGGTGGGGAAACAGAGAACAGCGCGCTGGAAGACAGCATTGACGAGGTCAAAGTGGAATTCACGACGCCTGCGATTACGACTCAGTTCCCAGTCAATGTACTCGCGGTACAGGCTCCATTCCAAAGCCTTATCGCCGGCCTCCTGCGCCTTGTTTAATCGATGCTCGAATTCTTCGCGGGCAGCATAGAAATTTTTGGAAGCAGACGCTTGGGCAACGGCTTCTGACATGATTTCTTCGTAGTTCGTCTCGAAGTAGGCCGAGACGAACGCAGAAAAGCTCTGGAAGGTCTGGTCCCAGGTCGCATGGGGTGTTTTCAATCGCAATTCAAACCATTTGCGAAGGTGATTGATCTTTTCTTGGGACGGGGATCGATTGATATCTTGACCCAGAAGATCCAGAAAGCGATCCCACACAAGATGACTATTGTTAATCCGCCACTGTGTAGCCTCTGCTGCTCGCTGCCATACATCTAGCACCGTTTGCCATGTGAAAACCTCACGTCCGACAGCTCGGTCTTCATCCGTCCACTGTCCAGCACTCTGCTCCCCATTTGCGGCACTGAACAAGTACAAGACCCATTCACCGTAGATATGCCAGAGCCTGGTACAGCCGAACTCTTCCTCAACTGAGCGCTGACACAATTCCATTACAGAAGTCCGTTCGTCGACTGTGCTGGCAAGCATACTTTCGTCTTGAATCCATTCAGCCCAAAGATCCTCTCCCATGGCGAAAAGCTTGTCCATCTCCTCCCGAGCAGTTCTCAGGTCTTTGAGGAGATCGTACTGACGTGGATCACCGTGTAGTTCAGGATTGTTGGGGGGATACACGTGGTTAACGAATCCCGCATGGAGAAGACCGATGAATTTGACATGTGCTTCGTAGGTGTGAGGATTTTCTTGAATCTTGTTGAACAATTCAGTCGCCAACACCTGTGAATCGGGGTCCAACGAGGTTTCAGCGTAATTTCTTTGCGCGGTCTCACGGGGACCATCCGCCATTGCCAAGTCGAACGAAGTGCGAGGGGTTGGAGTATTATGGTTGATCTGGTTGACATGAGGGTGAATCGTAGACGGAGAGAGTTGGCTCTGATGAAAATCTGTGGTCCTCATCATGTTTGCGGCGTTTTGACGACCAGTGCGCTGAGACTGATGGCCGTGACGTGCACGTTGGTTCTTTTTCTCTCTCTGTTGTGGCTGCCGGGGCTGATGATGCTGCATAGACGCCAGATCCGCTAGAGTGTCCATCCCGGTGGGCAATTGCCTCCCGGGCGCCATATCGGCAGCTGGTGAAGCTCCATTTCCAGCAGCGCTCGCGTTGGGACCCGAAGCAGTGACCGATTTGGAAGTCTCAGGGGGAACGTTTGGGACAAGGACTTGCTTCGCAAGTGGCGAGGATGTCTTATTCTTCCGACCAGGACCCGGGCGCGCGCGCTGGACCTGTTTGTGAGAAGGTGGCCCCGCAACAGGCGTCGGGGCACCAGATGATGAAGGACCGACACTGGGTGTTGAAGCAGAAGATTTTGAGTTTGAATCGTGGGAAAGCAAGGAGTTGATATCCATGGTTATCCTACTAGAGGCGCGGATACGCACGACACACCGTCAAGAATAGGCCTCGGGTGATATTTCTTGAGATTCAAAGAGAACGAATCTCCAATCGATGTGAAATCTGAAGGAAGCCGGTTATAGTATCCGCTTAGAGCAGCTCGAAAATCATTTCCATTCCCTCGCCGGCGACGGCTTGTACGATTCGAATCTCGACTCGAGAGGCAGAGTACCAGGTACGAGGACAGAAATTAGCAGGCGCAAGCTTCCTGCGCAAGCTTTATGAAGCTCGGCGGTTTAAAATTTGGGGTGAATATCGCCTCGAAGGTGGTCTGGTTGCAGGGCGACGAACAATAAGTGCGAGCAGCGGCTGGTGCAATGGTCGCGAGGGCGCGCTAGATCGATGACCAGAACCTGGCGGAGTAGTCGACCTGAGCGCCAAAGTGACGAGAAGCGGAAAGCGAGTATGAGAAGTTTCCCTGGAAGAACAGCTGCTCAGGGACGAAAGGAAAAGGAGGGCTTCAGACGAAGAAAGGGAAGGCTTCCGAAGAGCGTGCCAAAGGAGGGAGGAGGAAGAGGAGGAGAGTGGAAGGGCCTGAACGAGGAAGGATGAGGCTAGTGGATCTCTACTGTGGAGATGACGGTATGGGAGAAATGTTCAACAGCTCATGGGGACAGAGTGAACACGGAAAGTGTGAGAAGAGTTTACAACCTTGATGTCTTCGCCTCTCTTTCAGCTGCTATTAAATTTGTTTCTACCATTAAATGATCTCCGTGTGTGTAAAATACAAGGCAACACCGTATTATCTCGACGATCACGTTGCGACTAATCCATCGTTTTTAAGAGATGGCCTGAGGCAATTACGGTTGGCGATCTGGGCCAGCCGCGCAGTAATTACAGTTCACCTTTTTTCCGCACGCCGATGCCGAACTCGACAACCTTTCGAGATCGACGTCTTACCCCATGTCTGCAATGGGTGCTGTATCGCCCTATGGGCAGATGGTCCGGAGCGGTATGACTCTCAGCAGCTTTGTAAACTCACTACGCTCCAAAATGTCTCGTCCTAATACCATTCTCAGTAGCCCGGTCCCATCTGTTTTACGCTGCCCGACGAAACTTCGCCTCCACTACTGTTTGCGAAGCACAAAACGACAATGGCAATGCGAACTCCAACAAGAAGAAGTCAGGCTTTCTTTCATCCGTGAAGGATTGGGTTCTTGGTGAATCGAAGCCCAAAGCCGCTTTTACGCCAATGGCTCCGAAGCGCGAGGAAGGAGGTCTGGGCGCGAGCTCCATTTTCGCCGACGACGTGGGTCAAACATCTGGCCCCAAACCCAGCAAGCAGAAGAAGCAGCTCCAAGAACAGCAACCAGGACAAGAGGAAGAGGCCTTACCCTTGGAAATGCGTGACAAGAATCGCATGCAGCTCGCTCTCAACCCTAATCCACAGGCTCAGATGCGATGGGAGAAGAAGATGATCACATCACAAATCCGCAAGCGGGGCCGTGTTTCGAAAGAGGTTCAGATCAAGCGGACGGAGCGCGAATCCTTGTCCAAGTCACACTGGTTCAAGACGTCGGTGAAGAAGCTGGGTCCTTTGGCCAGACAGATTGCGGGTAAGCCTCTCGACGAGGCGATCTTACAGATGCGTTTCAGCAAGAAGAAGGCTGCCAAGGATGTCCTCGGACACCTGGAGCACGCCAAGAACGTTGCCACGGTCCGTGCCGGCATGGGCCTAGGACTTCCTACGGGCACTTCTGCCGAGCCTGTCACCGTTACGCTCAAGTCAGGCGAGCGCAAGAAGATCACCGATCCTACGTCTATCTATGTCCAGCAAGCTTGGGTCAACCGAGGACCCTATGGATTTGGTATGGATCACCGTGCTCGTGGTCAAATTAATCGTCTTCGTCCTCCTACGGCTGGTCTGTCACTCGTGCTCAAGGAGGAGAAGACTCGCATTCGAGAATGGCAGCAGCGTGAGGCGGACGCTCTCCGCAAGCGTAAGGCTCAGCTTTGGACCCAATTGCCAGACCGCAAGATCTCTGCCCAGAATCAGTACTACAGTTGGTGAATTTTCTCGTTCCTCCACAAAGTGTGGTGACGTCTGGCGTTTTGTTGTATTACTACGGACTGGACAGCATCCAGTCTTTTTTTCTTTGTTTGCAATATCTGGCAGGGGTGAAGCTTTTTGCATTTCATGCAGTGGAACTCGGGGCATCGAAGCTTCATGTACAATATCTATATACAAGTCTCAAGCATTTACTTCAAAATATGATCTCATTTTTTCCAAAGCTTCAATGCCAGCCACCCATGCTCTGTGCCTTTACAACAACTGGTATGACAGTCCCCGTCGCCAGCGGGAACTTGCGATGGCCGATAATTTCGAGAATGCTAGTGATAGCTCCTGAATGCGCCGTCAGGGAGAGAAAGATGTTTTCGTCTGTGAGGAAGACATCGTTCAGTAATTCCAGCAACCGCTTATTTCGCAGTTCATCTGACTCGCGGACTTTGGGATCCCAAAGTTCATCTTCTTCGACAAAGCCCGCCTCGAATCGGTAGCGTGGAAACTCTGCTGCGATTGCAGATTTGTTCGAACGGCGGTCACAGGTATGCTCACCCATTGTTTCGCGGAGAAGCTGTATTGTCGTCAGGCACAATCATCTTCTCAGCGTCCTGAGTTTTCAAACGCCTTGTTCAGCTCACTCACCTCCTTCACGACGGGCTGAAATGGATCCGTCAAGGGTATCCCCAATCTTTCGAACGTCACCGCCGCTGTCTGGCAGCATCGATGAAGCGGACTGGCATAGTAGGATTGGGGCGGGGGCATGCCAGTGGCGATCTGCTTTGCCCAAGTATCATGAGCAAACTGTGCTTGGGCGATTCCCACAGCTGTCAAATGGGCATCGACCCAAGTGCCATGCTCGTCTCCGTCAAGAAGAGACCAGTACTCCTATTCATGGAAATCATTAGTGTTTAGCCCTGCAGGAACATCTGTCCCTTTTCCCTCGCCTAGATGCAAGATGTTCCACGTACATCCCAGGCTTTTGTTCCATAACGGCGCTCAGCAACATTGTGAACTCCTTCGCCATGGCGTCCCAGAAAGAGAACCTTGTACGAAGTCCCCTTATCTGCGTTCGTGTTCAGATGCACAATATGCCGCGCAAATCGGTCCCATTGGGTTCTGTCTTTGGAACCAGCGGTGTCGTTCTCATAGCTTCGGGGAATCAATCCAAAGTTGGTGCTTGACTATATTTCACCCAATTTAGTCTCCAGAACCGAGGATCCAACAATGATCAACGTAGGATGTCATACATAATCAAAGGTGTCTGGATCCGTGGTAGGCTCGTCTTGAAGGAAGAAGCCCGGGACAGTGCGGAATGAAAATGTTTGCGAGACCATCTTCGGTTCAGCGCAAATAAACAACAATGTATGACCGTCTCGTCTTGGCTCCTTCTAGGTCAATGTACAGTAATGTTGAATATTGGAGCGTTGGGTCGCCATCTCCTTTGAGTGCCAGCCCTGAGCCCGTCAACACGTCCTTGGAGGACGCCCCGAAGTGGGGCAACACCTGCAGCGACTGGTCCCATTCTGCTCGCTGCGAACTGAAGGTGATTTCAGTTGCGGCATGGTAGTCGGCAGAAGCAGTTGGCAACGAACATAATTCTACGAGGATAGGTGACGGGCTAAATTTAAAGAGATTACTGCCTCCGCAGAACCGTCAGAAAGATTATGGAAAAGATCTCCCCAGAGAACCCTGAAGACTACGAAGTAGCATACTGGAGCCCAATACGATTGGGTTTTGGCGAGGAGAGAGCCCGGCACCATTGATTCCAAGGCATGAGCGGCCAGCTAGTTGAGCAAGGCCTTGGAGAAAATGAAAGTAATACGGAAATCAAGTTGACGGGCGTGAATGGATTGTCTTTGTTTTCAAATCTAGACATGTCTAATAGTAACTCATGGCTGTCTCTAGATTTCTTCGGATGGAAGACTCCAATGTATGACCAAAGATCAGCGGTACCCAGGTTGACATACATTTAGATGCGCTACACCAGAGAGACAATCTCACACACTTCGTATCGACGACTTTTGAGTTCAACAACGAAGCCTTGTGCACACAAGCTGAACCATTCTCACAGCGCCTTCTGGTCACTGAGAGTATGCAACGAAGTCCTACACTCGCGGAATGTAGAAGCTTCTTCTGATAGCCATGATGTGGCTGCCCATGAACGACATGAAGCGGCCAACAACTACTTCAGGCCAGTGAGCCGCAGATACAGTCGACGACCCAATACCAGCAACTGCGGATAAGGTGCTCGCCAAAAAGCCACCCATTTGGGTAGACACTGCTTGGGCAAGACCGCGGAGCTGTTCCGACTGAGGTCTTGCTGGCTGGCAAAGCGTGCTTGCGCCAACGGACAGGCTGATTTCTTGCAGAAACCTTCCCATCGATGACTCCACGCCGTCGAAGAAAGCTCTGCCTGATGTGCGAGCTGCATCTTTGGCTTGGTCCAGACGACGGTTTGCAGGTCTCCCACGGTTTTCCGTGCCCCGGCTGACGGCCGGCGAGCTCTGGGAGGCTTGTGGCTGAGATGACTCCAGCCGTATAGCAGACGCACTGACGCCAGCCCGAGGCGCATCCAGGGGTTCTCTTGGCAACCAGACAGCCAGACTTGGAGTAAACGTGAGGTTGTGTCGAGCAAGGTCGCTGTGGGTGCGTCCAATTGTTGAAGTTGCAAGTTCGGTCGCAGCGGAGAGCCCAGTAAGGCGCAGGCGCGGTGCCGTTTGCGTAGGTGCCCGCCGATCCACACCGTCGATGTGCTGAGATGTTGTTGGCGAAACCTTGCAAGGTTTGTTCGGGGACGCGATCCTTGCATTCGCTTGCACTGAGCCATTTGAAGCGTGGTGCATGCTCGGCTGGGCACTGCCTCCAGGAATCGAAACTGACAAAGAGTTAGTAATGGCTTCAACTGAATGTAATACGCGATGAAACGCCGTTCAAGTACTTACCACTTTGCTTGACAGGGACGAAAGCCGCAGATCCAGCTTGCTGAATGTCGTGTCTTGCCGACCGACCATTGTTCTGTTTTGTGTGAGATGCAGAGACCAACGAAAGTCCAGCCGTATTCGCAGATGGCGATAAGTCAAATACGCGGAACTGTGGTCTCTCTCCGGGAACTGCATGTACGCGCTTCTCCGCAAGGCGAGTGGGCGACATCGCAACAGCTGAGCCAACCATTCTCTCGTATGTCGTGTTGTCGCGAGGAAGATTGGGCATCGAGCTTGGTTGTACTCTGCCTAGACCTGGGATTGTGGGTCGCGCTAATTGCCTCTCATGACCAGGCTGGTCAGAGACACGTAGATCTACATGAACCAGTGATGCCTGCGATGGCTGTCGAGGCCGCTGCCTGTATGAAGTGTCCAATGGAACGTTATTGACACCCAAGTGAGCTGCGGCCTTTTCCAGACAGTTGCACTAATTCGCTGTCAGCGTTTCTGTGAGGGAGAGCAGCAAGATCTGGCGCTCTGGGTCCGGCGTATAAGTCACTTACTCGCTTGTGCTGCTTCTTGTGCTTCTCACATGCCCCGTACTTACGGGCCTTGATGTAGTTCTCCTTCTGTGCTTGAGAACGAGGCTTCTGCTTCTTGGGCAGGTTGGCAGCGGCGTTCATGTTGAGGTCGAGGACCATCTCAATGCCTCCTGCACCAGCCGCCTGGGCTGGAGCGGAGACAGAGGGAGTCTTGGGGCTAGCGCTGGCGCTGGCGGACTGGGGGGAAGTGCTTCCGCGAGCATAGTCAGACCACATTGGGGAGGAGAAACTGGTGTTGGAATCCGAGTACAACTCCAGGTCCCTAGCGGCTGCATCGCACAACCGCTGCAGGTGCAATTCGATGCCTGCTTCACGCCGCTTCTCTTTCATAGAAGCGGTGCTCTGGTCGGCAGCAGCCTGCGCCTCGATCATTTGTCGGAAGTCCCACTGCGAATCGTATGGGGAGTAACTGTAGAGAGCGCTGTTGTCTATGGGCACATTGATGTCGGTGTTCATGCTCATCTCCGGGGACAGGCTCGCAAAGAAGCTCTCTTGGGACATGTCAAGGTCGATCATCTCGGAGAATGCGGATTGACTGAAGTCCAAGGGCTCAGCAGCCCACATCTCGCTGTCCTGGGACAGGACCAAGTGTGGAGAGGTCGCATTGGTTGCAGCCAGAGCGGAGGACTCGTCGCCATAAGCTGCGGGCAGGTTCAGGAACTGATCAAAGTCGACCCACTCCTCCAGCTGGGCCGGGCCGTCAAGAAAGAAACCCTGATCCGAGATAGATGCCATCATATACCGAGGGTAGAGAGGGTTGCTTGGTTTGAGGGATCTCGGGCTGAGGGATGCAGAAGATCGGGGGAGGGGATAGGAGACTCGGATGGGAAAGAGTGTCGGAGAGTCTCAAGAGGTGATTAGGGATGTAATTGAGGGAATAGCAATCGGAGGAGCTGTGACTCGAACAAGCCGATTGATTCGACAATTATTTTCTAGTATCTCAGGGTAGAGAAGAGTTGGGGAAAATAAAGAAGGAACCTTAGGACTGAGGCAGAGGGGACGGTAAGTCGATTGTATACTAATTTTCCAGGCTGCGCTGTAGGGGAGTTGGCCTGCCAGAGGTGGCCGTCCGCGCAGGACAACCCTCGAACCCACTCACCCAGCCCCACTTCACGCAGCGGACCAGCGCGCAGTCTATTCCTCTTCGGGGTCCCCGACTTTGGCTAAACTGCTTTGGGACCCCGACACTGCCCACTCGTTCGCGCCGTGATGTCGCATGGAAAGAAATTGGATCCCACGGGCTGACCCTGTCACCCTGGTTCAGCCTCTGTTGACTCATTCTTATCCCCCGGTTCCATCAAGATGTGTTTGGAGAGTGATCCACCTGCACGTAGGCCTCATACTTCTCACACTCAGCTATGTACATTGTAGCTGTACAGTAACTACCGCATGCCCGTACGAAGTTCTTTGCAGCTGTTGCATCTCAATCAAAGGTGGTGGCTGAACCTCGGTGCAGAACTTGGTCGAGCGAGGGTATTGTGACGAGGTGCGTTTCTTGAACATAGCCATATCTACCAAATCGGTGGTCACAGCGCGGCACAGCCTTTATAGACCTGCGCCGACATGGATCCTGCATGGAAAAGTGAGGGAGATGCTCACCACTTTCAACACCCGTCCTCGGTCCATCAGCCTCAATTGTATCATCAAGGCCACGACTCAAGTTCGCGGCCCGTGACATTCATTCGTTTGTCGAAGGATCATTGCGAAGGGCCTGCCGCAAAGTCATGTTGTCCTTTCCGCGACGATGACAGCCTCTCTTCAGACCTATAGAGGTATGTGGTTTGAGTACCTAGGCGGCGGGCGCAGATCTTCTCGTGGGCCAGCTATGACCAGAGCAACACCGCAGAATGGTCGGTACTCGGTAGTCCCGTATGGATCTAAGCAGTGCAATATCATGGAAAACCTCCAGCCGCTTCCTAAGTACCAGGTACTCGCCTGGGTAGGTAAGACACCTCTTATGGAGATGGAGAAAGACATTCACGGCCCACACGTGACGGACCCTGAAAAGGACCATCAAGTTTCAACTAGCCAGGGACCACACCAGAGCAACGACCCTATCAGACAAGACATGTTGGGGGCGTTGACCCATTTTCACCAGTGCGAATTCCATTCTGCCTGATCGTCTCTCTTGTCGAATTCAACTAACTACTGTACTTCTGTCTTTCTCTTCGGTCTTGTTGGTGGACGGACTTGGGATTGGAAGATCATGATTGAGTGCTCTGGTGGGTCAACATGCCAGTATCAGAAGTTGCCATTTCGACAACCTTTCACTCTTGTGCCTGAATAGCATGAGGACACTCTGTCATGCACCAACCCACTGACTTTGAATCAGCCTTGTTATAGCCGGGTTGTAGTACTGGATGAACGCGAAATAAGGTTGTGACAGCCGCTCCGTGGTGGCTGTGTGCATATTGACCACTAAATGAGGACATTTCTCCTCCACGGGCGAGTTGCACAAGCCCATGCTTGCAAATTTGAGGATTACTGAGATAGATGATATTGGAGACTGACCCTCAATCTTTCGAACAGGAGAACAATTTCTCAATCGGGTAGGGATGGGGACTCGGAAATGGAGGGATACAAAGATATCCTTCCACTATTGCAGATTGGCACCTACAGCACCGGCATGGGGTCAGATGATCAAGGCCTAATCACATATCTCTACCAAGATTACTGCTATAGATTTCAGGTACCCGCTGAGGTAGTCGGCAACCTCCATTACCTCCATCCAGCTTACCTGGCAGCAAGTGGGTGAGCCTCCACTGAGGTCCGCAGCTGTACAGCCCTGAGTTCAGAGACTGACTGTTCAGTACCAAGTCTTGAATGACACTCGCCACCGGGGCCATTGGTGCAACTATACGGTCAGCCGAGGTTGTGGCCGGGCCGTATAGCTCTGGATGACTGTGCGATCAAGTGACGTACCGTGCGACTCTTCAACTTCAACTGGCGGCTTTGTCAATCGCTGACTTCAGATCGGGGGAATGCCGGTACCTGTTCGGCGCTCCAGGGAGGGGGGCAAAAGGCAGTGATTGGTATACGGTGACAACATGCACAGATTTGGACCAATACGCTCGCTTGCAAATGACACTCGTGCTCTGCACCCCAGAGGCAACAAATCTTGCGGATTCAGCAATTGTGGGGAGGACCAATGGAAGCTTCCCGCGATGCCGGAGCTTATAAATCGAGGTGGGGGGAAGGGATCTTGTATGAGCCGAAATGTCCTCAAGCTGAACTTAAGATCATCTTTATTTAACTAGACAGCGACGCCCGGTAGACAATCCGTGTCTAGTTCAAATTCTTCTTGAACCTTTGCTCCATTGCCCACTATGTCTCAGCCCAACATCACTCTCTATACCACTCAGACTCCTAATGGAATCAAAATCTCAATTGCTCTCGAAGAGCTAGGGTATGTCTCGCCCCAGGAATTACCTTTCTTGTTCCGTCTCATTGACACCGATGTAGATTACCCTACAAAGTTGAGAAGATCGATATTTCCAAAAACACACAGAAAGAGGAGTATGTGTCCGACCTGATGAAGTGGTTGACAACCGCCGCATATATCAAGGCAACTAAAATGCGGTGCGAGTCGTCATGACTGACACTGTTTCTAGTTGGTTCCTCGAAATCAACCCCAATGGCCGTATTCCCGCGTTGACCGACACCTTCACGGATGGTCAAACCATCCGCCTCTTCGAGTCTGGCAGCATTCTGCAATACTTGGTCGAGCGATACGATCCCGACCATAAAATCTCTTATCCCGCTGGCACTCGCGAATACTATGAGACCAACAACTGGCTCTTCTTCCAGAATGCGGGCGTGGGACCTATGCAGGGCCAAGCAAATCACTTTGGGCGCTATGCCCCTGAGCGCATCGAATATGGTGTCAACCGTTACGTGAACGAGACCCGTCGCCTGTACAGAGTCCTCGATGACCATCTGGCCAAGTCAAAGTCCGGCTATCTGGTTGGTGACCGTGCCACGATTGCCGATATTTCTCATTGGGGCTGGGTGGCCGCTGCGGGGTGGGCTGGTGTTGACATTGAGGAGTTCCCAAACTTGAAGGCGTGGGAAGAGCGCATGGCTGCACGCCCGGCTCTTGAGAAGGGCCGCCATGTTCCTAGTCCTCACACCATCAAAGAGCTGCTGAAGGATAAGGCAGCAGTGGAGAAGAGGTGCTGCGCAAGCTCGGGAGTGGGTCCAAGCGGGTATGAAGGCGGACGCGAAGAACAAAATCTAAACCCCGATTCAGTATCGATGCTCGTGGGAAAACTGATGATCAGTGAAAATTGACCTGGCGTGAGAGAATCGAAAAACACTGGACCCGGGTCCCAATGTCTATAAGGGGGCCGAACGTAAATTTAAATTATTGTAGCCGCCTGGAACCAGGGGCTGTCTTGACTCCTTGAGTCTTTTGACTGAGAGGTTTCGATCTACCTCCGCCTGACCGCCTGACCGCCTGACCGCAATCACGTGTAGATATTGCCACATTTGCAGGCGGCTCACCCTTACTATTTCTCTTGCTTCCAGCTGCGTAGGACAATTTTTATCCCTCACTTCCCCACGTTTGGACTGAGAAGATGGCGTGGCGCAACCAAGGCATCACCGGTTCCAACAACATCCCCCTAGGGCGCCGTCGCTTCGCAGGTGAGGAAGAGGAGGAGAGTCGTACTGCCTCACCTTCCTCTGTTCCTGATGGTGCGAAGCGTGGGCGCAGTCCCGTTCGAGGTGAGTATCTTTCCATGACGCGCAAGACCGTCGCATTCACTAATCAATTATTTTCACCATTAGCTGAACCTGCCGAAGATGGAGTGAAGCGTCGCAAGAAGCGCAACCGCTGGGGCGATCAGCAGGAGAACAAAGCCGCTGGTCTGATGGGCTTGCCCACGATGATCATGGCCAACTTCACTAGCGAGCAGCTCGAAGCGTACACTTTGCACTTGCGTATCGAGGAGATCAGCCAGAAGCTGCGGATCAACGATGTGGTTCCTGCTGACGGTGATCGGTAAGTTCTCTGTCCCCCTTCATCGATGAGGTTCTCTGTCCTGACCGTGCATACAGATCTCCCTCGCCGCCGCCACAGTACGACAACTTTGGTCGCCGTGTAAACACTCGCGAGTATCGCTATCGAAAGCGCCTGGAGGATGAGCGCCACAAGTTGATCGAAAAGGCCATGAAGACCATCCCCAACTACCATCCGCCATCTGACTACAGACGCCCGACTAAGACCCAAGAGAAGGTCTACGTCCCAGTGAATGACTATCCAGAGATTAACTTCAGTATGATAACTAACCCTCTAACTCCTAACCGTACCCCTTTGATGTCTGTTTTGAGTCGTTGCTCGACGCGAGCTGACGAGACCGTTCCCTGGACCTCGTCGGCCCGTTTCTTGCTAACCTCGCGTGCTTGATGATGCACATGACTTGATCTCACTCCCCACATGCAGGATTACTAACACTTAGCTCTTCGCTACTTCTTCACAGTTGGCTTACTCATAGGACCTCGTGGCAATACCCTGAAGAAGATGGAGACAGAGTCCGGAGCCAAGATTGCCATTCGTGGCAAGGGCTCCGTAAAGGAGGGCAAGGGCCGATCTGACGCCGCTCACGCTAGCAACCAGGAAGAAGATCTTCACTGCTTGATCATGGCAGATACCGAGGAAAAAGTGAACAAAGCCAAGAAGCTCGTTCATAATGTCATTGAGACTGTTAGTGCTTCACTCCTTCCCTATCCATATCCTTTTTTTTCTCGGGCAGATTCTGATGACCTTTAGGCTGCATCCATTCCTGAGGGACAAAACGAACTCAAGCGTAATCAACTTCGTGAACTTGCTGCCCTCAACGGTACACTCCGTGACGACGAGAATCAAGCTTGCCAGAACTGTGAGTTTTGGCCCGTCTTTCCTTCGATTTCGCCGAATGATCTCTAACAATTGCAGGTGGTCAAATTGGTCATCGTAAATACGACTGTCCCGAACAGCGCAACTTCACAGCCAATATCATTTGCCGAGTCTGTGGCAATGCAGGCCACATGGCTCGTGACTGTCCCGACCGACAGAGGGGAAGTGATTGGCGTAATAGCGGTGGATATGGCAGTGCTCAGCGAAATCCCCGTGCCCTTGGCACTGGCGATGCTGTGGATCGCGAAATGGAGGTAAGTTCTCGCTCACTTCCTACTACTTCCGGAGCGATAAGACTTCCAAGCTGACTTCTGCAACTAGCAACTTATGAACGAACTCTCCGGCGGCGCTCCTGGTGAACATCCACCTCGCCGCATCGAAGCTGGTCCTGATCAAGGCGCACCCGCACCTGATGATCGTGACGCCAAGCCGTGGCAGCGTGGCCCCCCTGCCAGTGATGTCGCGCCGTGGCAGCAGCGCCGTGAACACCGTCCCCGTGACGATTACGGCTCTCGCGATCACGGCTCTCGCGATCACGGCTCCCGCGATCACAGTGGTCCCGCACCCTGGGCTACCCAGAATCGCGGTGCAAACGACTATGGCTATGGCTCTCACAGTGGATATGCCGCGCCTGGCGCTTCTGCGGGCGCTGCTCCTTGGCAGCAACAGCAACAGCCTCCCGCTGGTGGACCTTCTGCTGCCGTACCTGCTGTACCTGGCTACGGCTATGGAGCTTACGCAGGCTATGCTTATCCCCCAGGCATGACAGCAGCTCCAGGAATGGGAGCACCTCCTCCTCCTCCCGGCATGCCTCCAATGGGTGGCTATGCCGCTACTGGCAACCCCCCTCCACCTCCTCCTCCCGGTGATGGCCCTCCTCCTCCACCCCCTAGTGACCTGCCTCCCCCACCTCCTCCCCCAGCGTGATCAGCTTACACTGCGACTCGAGTGTTGGGGAAATTCACTTGCAAAATTTGCGATGCCTTGGTTTCTTTCGTTCTACGCAATCCAAAATGTCTGCGGCAAAAGGAATCTGCTCATGATGTTTTGTTTCTCTTTCGACCAACCACGCAACTACTAGGTGCACCAATCGAAATGGATTGAAATACCTGTTCAAGCACGTAGGCGGCACGTTGTCGATATGATCTTCCGACGATTGTACACTTCAGAAGGTCCTTACGAGGCTGTCAATTTGAAACGATGTACCAGGCAAGCTATATAATGAATTTGCATAACATAGGCAGAGCTCTCATTCTACTCCATTTGAATACTTGACGTCAAAGGTTTCTCCAACAAATGTGACAATAGTCTACCTGATGCTCGTCGTAGTGTAGTTCGAGATGAACAAACCACCTGTGCTCGCCAGTTTTATCGCAACATTGTGTTTCCTTTCAGCGGTCCTTCCAAAGACTCGCACGGGTCCAGCATGCAGCGTGGGCAGACAGTGGGAAGTCCAGCCAGTGACGTCATGTGGCATTTCGACTGAGAACAACCGCGATACTACTGTGTTTACTGCTTACTGTTTAGCCTTCAGGCCGTTCTCCGCTCCTCGTGGGGCAGCGAATATTGTCAGTGCTTTGCCCGACCAATGCGCATACTCCCACATCCTTGTATGGACACGCCGGTAGGATAACAATCTCATCCAGATCGGACATAGAATAGGTGCCTCAGGCTTAAATGACAATTAGGCTGTTTTTAAAGCTCCCGGTCCCCCTGCGTTTTGATTCCCCCATTTTCGAGAGCTCCATGTTAAAACCCAGTGGTCTGTCCCCGCACTGATTCTGTCACCCAAGAGCCGTTTCGAGGGGAGAGGCTGTGCATTATTTTTTGGACAGCGAAGGACACTGATCTGAGGATTTATCCTTGCCTCTGGGCGCGGCCATGCATCCACCTGCGTCATCAAGCGAGGCGCGGAGACCATCTGGTCAAACACGCCGATTGTCCTCTACGCGCTCAGGGAAGTCCGGCGTCGGGCTTTCTTCGCGTCAATCTGCGTCGTCGTTGAGTGCGAGAAGTTCAACTTACAGTGCGTCTCATCAACATCAGAATGAGCAGCGAAGGCAACAGCAGCTGCTTGACCTTGAGCAGCGTCCTGCTGCCAGATCAGAATCCTCGTCTGAGCCCAAGTGGTGGCGGATTCGCTTCTTCCAGGGCATGAAGAATGATTTGAAGCGTAGGGCTCCGTTCTACTGGAGCGACTGGACTGATGCCTGGGACTATCGTATTGTGCCAGCCACAGTGTACATGTACTTTGCAAAGTATGTTTCCCGGTTGTGTCTCTTCTCAATGAAGCAGCCTCAACACTGGGCTTGGGATGACCAGCGCAGAGGTTGATGTCGCTACGCAATGCATTGACGCTCGATGATGACCGGTGAATTGGACCCTCGGAACGCTGACCTTATCAGTATCCTACCTGCTCTGGCCTTCTCACTGGACATGTTTGAGAAGACGAACCAAAGCTTTGGAGTCAATGAAGTCTTGCTCGCATCTGTTCTAGGTGCTGTAGTATTTGCTGTCTTTGCTGCTCAGCCCTTGGTTATTGTAGGCGTCACCGGTGAGTCCTCGAAAGCCAATTGCAGACAAGAAAGCGTGACTGACAAGATGCTAGGTCCGATTACTGTCTTCAATTACACGGTCTATGACATTATCACACCAAGGGGCACTCCTTATTTGGCTTTCATGTGCTGGATCGGCATGTATGTGAAGTCCTCCCTCCAGGTGCACTGAATATGCTAACTTATTCCGCAGCTGGTCATTGATAATGCACTGGATTCTTGCCGTCACCAACGCCTGCAATGGCCTGACCTACGTGACACGCTTTTCCTGTGATATTTTCGGGTTCTATGTCGCATTCATTTATTTGCAAAAGGGGATTCAGGTTTTGACTCGTCAATGGGGTCAAGCTGGCGATACTTCAGCGTATCTAGCTATCATGGTGGCGCTTCTGGTCCTGATGGTAGCGTGGATATGTGGAGAGCTTGGCAATAGCAACCTCTTTTCTCGACACGTCCGGAAGTTCCTCGAGGACTATGGCACCCCTTTGACGATCATCTTCTTTACTGGGTTTGTCCATATTGGGCACATGCAAGACGTCAATGTTGCCACCTTACCGACGAGCAAGGCCTTTTTCCCAACCATTGATCGACCTTGGCTGGTTCACTTCTGGGACATCAATGTCGGCGACATCTTCTTGGCCATCCCATTTGCCTTGCTCTTGACAATCCTCTTCTATTTCGATCATAATGGTACGTCCTGAAATCGCTTTCCCTCCCTTCATTTCAGCCACTAATTTGTGTTTGACAGTCTCGTCCCTCATTGCACAGGGCACCGAGTTTCCTTTGCGGAAGCCCGCAGGCTTTCACTGGGACATCTGGCTACTGGGACTCACTACATTTGTCGCCGGAATCCTTGGCATCCCCTTTCCTAACGGACTCATTCCTCAAGCGCCATTCCATACAGCTGCTCTCTGCGTGACTCGCCATGTCGCTGACGAAGATGACACGAATAAGGGCAAGGCAATTCGTGTAACGGACCACGTTGTCGAACAGCGTGTGAGTAATCTCGCGCAGGGTCTGCTGACGCTAGGAACAATGACTGGTCCACTTCTCATTGTGCTCCATCTCATCCCACAAGGTGTCATGGCCGGGCTTTTTTTCATCATGGGCGTACAGGCTCTTGAAGGAAATGGAATCACCCAAAAACTGATCTTTTTGGCACAAGATAAGGATTTCACGCCGGGATCGAACCCGCTGAAAAGGCTCGAACGTCGATCAGCTATCTGGGCGTTTGTTTTGGTGGAGCTTATAGGCTTTGGCGCCACCTTTGCTATCACTCAGACGATCGCTGCTATTGGGTTCCCGGTGATCATTCTTCTGCTGATCCCGGTACGGTCATTCCTGTTCCCAATGTGGTTCTCCCGAGAGGAGCTGGACGTGTTGGATGCTCCCACGGCCAGTCCGTTTACTATGGAAAGTGTCGGTGGAACCCATGGCTTGGCAGAATTGCACGGCGATCTGGCAGCTACAGGTGGAGATGCTGTCCAAGCCCCATCAGCTGGCAATGATGGGGTTCTCGGCGGTCACCGAGATTCTTCCTCTGACTCTGCGGTTGATGCCGATGATCTGGAACGAGGAGAGGCTTACGAGCTTCAGTCTCATCTCCACCGGCGTAGCAGCCACAGTCAGGTGAAATAACTGGTGGAGGTCATGACAATCAGGGCCCGAAGCCATCACGCGGGCTGCAGCAATACTTTCGGGGCATATGATCGCAGGACCGTATATACATGTAAATGGAGACTATATCTCAAGGAATTTCCCATGAGTCTACAGCTCATATTGAGTCTAGTTCCATTCATAATTTACCGCACGAATCATTGCGCATTTTTCACTAGAACAACAACTGCATATGTTGTGCTGCTCTTGCAGTCAGCACTCGGCACTCAGCAGTAGAAAATGATGGCTTGAGGCCTTAGGTTTGAGGCCGGAACATACTTACCGCTATCCGGACCGCATGGAGATAACTTTTTCTGCCACAAATTTATTTTGTGACATCGAGACCAAACGGCAGCAAGCAAGCATGGCGCGGTCTAACAGTGAGTCGCAGTCCGAGGGCGGTTATAGCTCGGATCGCTCAGATACCGAGAGACGTGAGATCGAAGACCGCGCACCCAAGCGACGTCGTCTCTCCGAACAGGACGAAGACGATGACTTTACCGCGCCGGCGCCGCTCCCCACACTTTCCCGAATCAAAAAGAAAGATGAGGTCCAGAATTCCGAACCTGCAAGGGAAGAAGAGCCTGTGACTATCCGTGAGGCTCTTGAGATAGGTCTCCGAGCAGAAGCATCGACATTTGGCGCTCTGAATGTGTCACCATGGCTCGTTGGATCTTTAACGACGATGGCAATCCGACGACCGACTGCTATTCAGAAGGCTTGTATTCCGGAAATTCTTAAGGGTCGGGATTGTATTGGTGGTAGCCGAACTGGTTCAGGAAAGACCATGGCATTTGCTGTTCCTATCATTCAGAAGTGGGCTCAAGATCCGTTTGGTGTATTTGCTGTGGTTTTGACGCCAACGAGGTATGTTTTCCAGCAGTCGCGCAGGCTTGCGTCGTTGCGATGGATCCATGTTTACTGACTGCTGTGTTTCCACGATCTGTAGAGAGTTGGCGCTTCAGATCTTTGAACAGTTCAAAGCCATTTCTGCACCCCAGAGCATGAAACCGATCCTCATCACTGGAGGTACCGATATGCGTCAGCAGGCGATCGAGCTCGCTTCGCGGCCACATGTCGTCATTGCAACCCCCGGTCGACTGGCTGATCATATCAAGTCATCTGGACAAGACACGATCGCTGGTCTGCGTCGGGTGAAGATGGTGGTACTCGATGAGGCCGACCGACTGCTCGCCAGTGGACAAGGCAGCATGCTTCCCGACGTGGAGACCTGTCTGTCAGCTGTGCCTCCTTCATCCGAACGTCAAACTCTCCTCTTTACAGCCACTTTGACAGCCGAAGTCCGCGCATTGAGATCATTGCCTCGCTCTGCGGATAAGCCTCCCGTCTTTGTGACGGAGATTTCGACCGAAAACCAAGGCAGCATTCCACCCACCCTCAAACAAACATATCTTAAAGTGCCCATGACGCATCGAGAGGCGTTCCTACATGCCTTGATATCCACCGAACAAAATATCTCCCGACCTGCCATTATCTTCTGCAACCACACCAAAACCGCGGACTTGCTCGAGCGTACCCTGCGTCGTCTCGGGCACCGCGCTACTTCTCTCCACAGTTTACTCCCCCAATCCGAGCGAACTTCGAACCTGGCTCGCTTCCGCGCGGCCGCTGCCCGTATTCTCGTTGCCACGGACGTTGCATCCCGTGGTCTGGATATTCCCATCGTCAGCTTGGTTATCAACTTTGACGTGCCTCGCAACCCCGATGACTATGTTCACCGTGTGGGTCGTACAGCTCGCGCGGGACGAACTGGTGAAGCAGTGACCTTGGTAGGACAACGTGATGTGGAGCTTGTGCTTGCTATTGAGAAGCGCGTGGGCCGAGAGATGGTCGAGTGGACCGAGGAAGATGTCAACCTCGAGAGTCGGGTAACGAGAACCACAATGCTCAAGGATGTAGGCTCGGCCAAGCGTGAAGCTGCCGGTGAAATCGAAGAGGGTCGTGACGTTCTGGGTCGCAAGCGCAACAAGTTGAAGAAGGTCCGGTGATTGTGAGATCTGCGGCGCTGGCATCATTCTGTGCATAAGTCATCATATAAGTTTTCACGTTGTTTTGTGGATACCAAATCTAGAAGTATACTCGCATTTTCTGAGCCCTTATCTGTGATGATTCTTGTATTCTATTGTTCCTCCAGTCCAGATCTTTTCGCTCTGTACTAAGCTGACACATGCCGCCAGAGCAAGGTCTTTCCTCACTATTACCTAGGTCACAATTAAGTTGTCGAACGTCTCTAGACAGATTTAGCGTTTCGCGTCGAGCGGGCCGAAGAATATATATTAAAGAGTCTACGCCCAAACACGCGACCAGTTACCTAGACTTTTCGCCCTTTCTATTTCCGGTACCTGAGTTGTACCCAACGTTGATCGACTGATATTCTTGTTTTCAGACTTCAGCGGTCAACTTCCTCGAGAGTCAAAGAACAGGCATGAATTGTTTTTCTTCAATTAAGAAATATGAAGAGGTCGGTCTGAAAGGGTGGAGACGTGGACGCGTGCTCAACACGACCAGGTGGATCATTCTCCCCTTGTCGTCCGTGCAGCTCCAGCTACAGCAACATAGTGAATATACGGAGTTAGCAATACGACTAGCCCATTTAGACCCATCCACCATGCTGAATAGAGACGGAGTGTGGATCAAAACGAGCTACAATACATAATTACATAGACACAGTGACATACACAGCAAGTGAGGGCATCAATGCAAATTGGAAGTATTTGATGTATTCCAGTCCTCCTAAACATACCACATTACCCGACTCGGGTATCGAGCTCGGACTCTATACGCGATTGACGCGACCGCTGCTAGTACTTTTGGGACAACATCTTTGCGCCTTTTTTGGATCTCATTTTGCACTTTTTCCAACAACATTCTTCTCCTCCTCCTCCGGATTACTTCCCTGTGCCACCTTCGACTTGCTATCAGTGCGTTTCTCACAAGACTCACTGGTTGTTATCATCAACAACAACAACACTGCCTGAACTCGATTGTTCCCTGGAGTATTGCGCTCCCCTCAGTTCCCTCCAGCCCGCCTCTTCCCCGCGCGGCCGGTCTTTTTCCTCCGCTCTTCTCGCGACTTTCCCCAACACGTCTCGTGTGTACACACTTTGTCTGTCTTTTCTTCCCACGCGCCCAAAGCTGACACCAATTCAGTCCTCACCGTGTCAAAGACCTCGAAGAATGCAGACTGTCACCATGCAATTCTCCCCAATCAAAGAGGGCCGCCGAATCCTCGGCGACAGGGACTCCAACGCGTGTCTGTCCCCCGCGCATCACAGCAAATCGGCCCTGGGGGGATTCAGTACACCAGTCAAACGAAATCTCTTCACAAACGTCTCGCCCAAAAAGCTTCTTCCTTCTCCAATCTTTGCGGGTCAAAAGCGAACGAGAGAGCAATTGGATGAGGAAGATGTCCACGCGCCACGTGAGCGTCGCGTGGAGGACTCTCCCTCCACACTCAAGAATGAGAGCCAACGGGTAAATCCTCCTCTGGGTCGACGCCCCAGGAAGGTCAAAATTCCATCCAAGAGTGAGATATGCTAACAGCCATTATCGCGTACCAGCCCGTCGTCGACTGCAAAGAAACAGAACACCCTACTCCAAATTCAACATCACGACCTGAACACGAGGAACCACAAGAAGACCATATAATCACATTGCACAGCGCGTCACACAAAAGACACGCCCAAACAAGTCCCATCCCCGAAAATCCCGATGCTCGAAGGATCTTCATTCAAACAGTATGCAGGGCCGTGCCATGTCGATCCACTTGTTGAAGAACGCGCCTCCAGCTAACGTCTCACTCTCTCCAATGAATAGAAAGCGGCACTCCTGCGCAAAAAACTCCAATCTGCCATGCGCAACAACGCTGATAAACACATTGACCGTCGTGTCTCGGATCTGGAAGAGCACAGACGTAAAGTTCCCCGAATCCCCATGTCTGCTCTCTCCTTCTCATCACCAGCCGTTATGGTTCGACATACATACACCCCTTCTCAATTGAAGACGCCACGCATTGGCTCAGACCCACAGGCTCATCTGGACTCCACACCGTGTCAGCAAACGCCCGATCTTCCTCAACCACCTTCGTCAATCATTCATGACGCTGTGGACCATAATCAAGGTCACCGGACACCACCCCGCGGGCTGGGGTCGCCCATGCAGCTCAGCAGTCCACCCGCGACAGTCGTTCGCCATACAAGGACGCGAGAGAAGGCAGATGGAGGAGATTCCGAGAAAGAGACAACCTCCCATGATCCTTGTTCACCGTCCCAACGGGGAGATGCGGTTGACGGACTGCTCAAATTGATGAGTACGTCAGATTGAGGATCGACAGTCCCATTCGCAGTGGAGCATGCGATCGTGAGGCGTCTTCGATGGCCCTCTTCTGCCATATCCCAAGAGCTCCTGTCCATGTACCAATACCTGACTCATGACAAAGTCCATAATCCGATGCACTTCCTGTCAAAATCTCATGTGATGGTCAAGAAGTATCACGCAACAACTAGTGAATGATCTTCCTGATGGCCCTGCTTGTCTGTCCTGGCGGCGTTCATGATATTTATTCATTCTCACCCTTTCTTCTATTGCACATATCCCTTGCTGGTCGGTTTGCATTCAATGATACCAATTGTGTCCATTGGGGAGTTGAAGTATTCAGTGCAGGGTCAATCCCGATAGCCAGATTGGTGTAACCATCTCATGCTTATACGCGGGTCTTGTCTTCTCTCACATATATTGTTGACCCGTCTGGCGAAGGTCAAGGTTGCAAGAATTTCATGGTTATGTGTACTACGGCCGATAAAGAGCCTCCAGGAAAGAGCGTTCTGTACAGGCCACTGTGTGCATATAGTACGTGTGATGGCACATGCCTTGGCGAACAGAATCAGTGTGCTTCCCATAAATAGACCCGCTTCCAGGAATTCAGAGACATTGAGCTGAATACTCTGAATATCAACTTGAACTTAATAGTACGAGGCTACAAGCAGTGACCCTACTATCTTGCAGTGTGTACCTGCGTGCCCCAAATGGATCCGCCGTTGTCCGCTCGCATACGTCGAGTTGTTTATGGACGACCGCCCAGCCTGCAAAAAATCCTCATCTCAAGCGTTCTTGACTTTTTCTGACGCCAATAAAGATTTTCGGACTGTCGGTCATGGAGTATCAAATTGCCCGCTATTCCAGGTACTAAGGCATCTTTGAGGCACGTTAATGGTCGAGACAAGGGCTCTCCCATATCGACTCGGATGACATCATACATTCCAGTCGGCTCTCAACTATGAGACACGCACTCTATGGTTGATAATGCCGAGAAGATCAGGCTGCATGGCACTTGAATCCCCAAGCTCATATATGAGTTGTGGATTTTAACAAATGGTCCGAGTGCACTAAGCGCTCTCTGAACCAGAGAGGCAGCCCATCTGCGGTTCCCCAATCACGCCCTGACTGGGGCCGATCGTTGCGCCGACTCCAGAATAAGACCGGATCGATTCGGTGCTTCATGCAGGCGAGTACCCCGGTTTCCCCGCATTTGGAGGTGCACCAGCTTCGTCTTCCTCTTACTACCCAATTTCTCATTCCTGCTATGCTACTTCCTACCTTCATAGTAGTAGTGCATCATTTTGATCTTGATTGAACCCACTGCTGTTACACATCGTTTATCCGAGGGTGACAACACGAGCTCACCGGTTGAACGTAGAATCCTCCTGTTTGTCTCCGCGTCATCATGCAGCTCTCCCTTGCTGTCGTGACTGCGGCTGTCAGCCAGGCCGTCGTGAGCACAGCTTCGACCCTGACGCCGCCCGTGCTACCGTTGATCGTGCGGAACCCGTATCTCAGCACCTGGTTGGGTGACGCACGAGAGCCACCATGGTCCAAATGGCCCATGTTCTATACAGGAGAGGAGCTTGGTCTCAGTCTGATGGCTCATGTGCCGAGCCAGAAGACGGTGTATCCGCTGGTCGGCAAACCGCAAGACTTTATGGCCTCAAATGCTGGGTATGAGACCGCATTGCCCTGTACAGAGAACGACAAGAGTCTCGAACGCTGCATTGGAAGGTCTTCGAGCTCAACTAAGACACTCGTGTTTCAAATCTAGATACAACGTTCAGTTTCCCGATTACTTGGGCCATAACTATGATGCCTCCACGACCAACTTGACCTATCGCATTGAGACGAACGCGGCCAAGCCACTGGAGGTCACCGTGTCTTTCCTTTCTCCCATCACCCCGACTTCGACTCTGCGGCAGTCAATCCCAGCGTCATACGTGAGTATTGACGTTCAGGGTGATCTCGATATCAATGTCTACATGGACGTTGATGGGAGATGGGTTAGTGGAGACGGAAACAGCCAACTGTACTGGGAATGGGACAGTCTCTCGACCGAGACAGCACCCAAGGACAAGAAGAGAGACCACGTTGAATCTCCAGGCTTACAGAGATGGCGTATTCGTCGCGATTCCGAGCTGGACTTGTCCGAGATCCGTGATCGAGCTGAGTGGGGAACCGTCCATTTCACTGGGCCTGATGTGAGTGACATCTCTTGTACTGAAAGATAGTTTTTGTTTGCCAAAGACCATCAATCATAACAATTCGCAGGATGCTCGTCACATGTCGGGCGAAGCCACAGTCGTAAGGCGGCATTTTGCAGAAACGGGGTCGTTGGGCAACTCCAATGACGAAGAATTCCGAGCCATTGGCGATCGATCACCAGTCTTTGCTTTCTCCAAGACCCTCAGACCCGGAAAAGCGAAGTCGAAATCCCAGAGTGTCACCTTCACTGTGGCGCTCATTCAGATTCCCGTCGTACAGTTCGCTGCGGCTCGCGGTCTGACGATGATGCGGCCTCTGTGGGAATCATACTTTCCAACTGCTGAGCAACTCCTTGGCTGGCATTACCACGACTACGCTGCGGCAAGCTCTCTAGCCTCCAACTATTCATCCCAACTGGCCAAGGATGCATACCTTTCGGGGGCAGACGATTACGTCGATATCGTTGCGCTGAGTGCACGACAAGTAATGGGTGCCACTCAATTCTCAGGCACCCCCGACAGCCCAATCCTATTCCTGAAGGAGATCTCCTCCAATGGTAACTTTCAGACCATTGATGTGATTTTCCCTGCTTTCCCATTCTTTTTATACACGAACCCCCGTTGGCTGGCCTACCTGCTAGAGCCGCTCATTGAACATATGCTCAGTGGCCAATACCCGAATACCTATGCCATGCACGATCTGGGAACTCACTTCCCCAATGCTACCGGCCATCCGGACGGTCACGACGAATATATGCCAGTGGAAGAGTGTGGTAATATCTTGATTATGGGCTTGGCAGTCGCCAATTCGCTCCAATACGAAGAGAGCTCCAAGGCCTCTTCTATCTGGTCTGCTCTCGGTAATCAGGGGCGCTCAAGGGCTGCGGAAGACTCGGATTTGTTCCCTCTCAACGACCTGCAGACCATGTCGGGTGTGGACTATCAAGACAGCCGATGGGGCGGAGGCGTTGAGGGAACGAAACTGGCAAAGAAATGGGTTGAGCGAAGCTACAGCTTGTGGAAACAATGGACCGGCTACCTTGTTGAATTCTCCTTGGAGCCCGCCAATCAGCGTAAGTTGTTTGCTTTACAAAACGGAAGGCATGGAAGTCTTGCAGACTGACGCTGATGCTTTCATATAGTGTCTACTGATGACTTTGCCGGATGGTTGGCGCTGCAGACCAATCTTGCGTTGAAGGGAATTGTCGGGATCAAAGCCATGAGCAAATTGTCGGAGCTCGTTGGTAATGACACCGATGCCTCCTATTACAAGGTGCGAAGAAAATCACGGATTTGAACGTTTTGGAAAACCCCCACTTGTACTGAATCTTTCCTTGCTAGAAAATTGCGGATGAGTATATCTCCAAGTGGGAAGAGTTCGGCATGTCGCGCGATGGCTCCCATGCCAAACTTGCGTACGACTGGCACGGATCATGGACAACCATCTACAATCTCTACGGCGATGCCCAATTGTGTTTCCACCTCGAAAACACTGAGATCTCCTCGTCCACGACGTCTGCCTCAAAGCCAAAATCCCCCGGCTTTGTCCCTCGCCACATCTACCAAAAGCAATCGATCTGGTACCACTACGTGCGTCAGAAGTACGGTCTCCCCCTCGACAGCCGCCATCTCTACACGAAGACAGATTGGGAATTCTTCTCCATGGCCGTAGCATCCAAACCCGTGCGCTCCGAGATCCTCGAATCAGTCGCTCGCTGGGTCAACGAGACGGTTACAGACCGACCCTTCACCGATCTGCACAACACCGAAGGGGATGGCAACTTCCCTGGGCCGAACTTTTTCGCTCGGCCTGTTATTGGCGGTCATTTTGCGTTTTTGGCGCTGGGTCGAGCGTGCGGTGGACGGGCTATGGAAGGATTGGCCTTTTTGGACGAGGTGGATCGCGAGACGATGCAGAGCTGGTCTGCTATCGCCAAGGCTGCTGCGGATGACTTGAATGATCCGTGGCGATTGCGTCATGATGAAGGTGAGCTTTAGATGTGAAACGGGGTACTTCTGGAACACAGTGCTGTGTCTAGACTGGTCGAGTCGGGAGCCCTTGTCAGTACTATGGATCTATATCATGACTCGAAAGCCAGAACAATCAATAGCACGGCATTTTGCTCAATCCAAATACAGAAAAGCACCGAGATTGGCTGATTGCATAGATCCAAGGTAGCTATACAGCCCAGATACTTCTAGAGATCGAGATTGTCTGAACTTGGAGACTCTTTGTGCAAGCTGCAACCTTAAGGCCCACGCCGGGGACCGCAACATTCAACAGGCCGATACACATTCTATATATTTGTCCTGCGACTTTCGCGTAGCATATGTAACACGTCGCTCAGACTCGCCTCTTATAGACTTGAATGCCTGGCGTAGGAGGTTTCGCCATTCGTGTCGTTTGCACCGAATCCTGACTAGATTTATCGTCGGTTTCTCGAGCATCGACGTTGAACAAGGTTGGGATCTACAATGGATCGGGTGTTCCTAGTTCCTAGTTCTTAGTCCTTCAGGCCATGGAACATTTCCGGCCGTGAGGACCGGGTGATAACCGCGCGATCTACAGATCAATCACAGAGACGTACAACGGAATAACTTGAGAAAATTTTGGATTTTTGAGCGCAATTCCCAATAGATAGAGATCCTCCGTGCCCTCTCTTTTCCCACTCACACACACACCGTTTCCACCCTCGATTGTCATCCATCATCCGATACGGAGAAGATCCAGTCGTTTCAGGATAGACGAGACATAGAAGACACGTGAGTGTCAGGAGACTCGAGCAAATAAGAAGGGGAAAGAAATAGATGATTTGTCATCAGATCAATTCGTCACACCGTTCATTTGCCATTGCACGAGACTCTTTTTGAAAAAAAAAAAAAAAACTCCCCATAGACGACTAAAAACAAACATTGAACAACAATTCCTCGGGCAAAGAATTGCGCAAGTCACGTCCGGGAAAAGGGAGGAGAGGGAGGGACACACACACACAGAGAGAGAGGGGGGGGGGGAGAAGAGGGAGGGAAATGGACCAGAGAGGAAGACAAGAGTGAACGGCGTGCGGGGGAAAACATTGATGAGAGAGACACAAAAGCAGGAAGGGGCAATCTGCGTGAAGATCGCGATGGCATTTGGCATTTAGTATTTAGTCCATCACGTGCACGGCGCTGGAGCCAACAGCTTCGATAGTCTGCTTAGTTACCGCCCAGGCTGGGGAAGTTCTTCTCATCAACGGTAGGACCAGCGGCAGCAGGAGCGCGGGCACCGCCACGGCCACCACGGGGGGCAGCGGAGGGGGCACCTCCACGGGGAGCGCCGCGGGGAGCGCGGTCACCACCACGAGCGGGACGATCACCACGAGGAGCACGGTCACCACCACGGCCACCACGACCACCGCGAGCACCGGTGGGGGCGGGGCGGGGCTGCTCAACGAAGCGCATGTCGACGTCGAGGTAGTTCTTCTCCTTGCGCTGCTTCTCACGCTTGCTCTTCTCGGAGGAACCAGCAATGTAGGCCTCCTCATCCTGGTGCTTCAGCTCCTTGGCGGAAGCCCACTTCTTGTCCTCCTTGGTGCCCTCGTTGGCGGCACGGACGGGCTTGGCGGCAAGGCTGTCACGGGCAGCCTTCTCAGCGAGGTATTCGGCGAAAGACTTGGCCTTGTCGGCCTCCTCAACCTCCTCGGCGGGGGTCTGGGGCTCGGCCTCGTCGGCCTTGGCGATGTTCTCAGCGACACGCTCGTCGTCCCAGGCCTTCTCGCCAGACTCACCACCCCAGCCCTGCTGGACCTGCTTACGGGTGTCACTGGTACGAGAAGAAGACGGTCAGTTCTTGTTTTCGATCAATTGAGCAGCCGTTGTGAGTGTGGTGTGGAGAATTCGAGCAATCACACGGGGGCCGGTTGCCAGGACTCATGAGTCCAGTTCTTGAAATCCAGATGCGAGGGAGGTCGCTTACGTCTGACCAGTGCGGGACTGGCGGTCACCACGGCCACGGTTGCCACCACGGGGGCGAGCGGGTTGCTGCTCAGCCTCATCGGTGGGCTTCTGGCGGTTGTTGCTGCGGCCGGCGTTGCGGTCACGGAAAGCTGAAGATTGGGAATGTAAGCGTTTGCGATGAAGAAACGATCGTCTCACGACGGTGGACTGCATCCACCGCCGAATGATTGCTGAAGAGCGGGCTTGCACATACCGGCATCGTTACCGGCGGTCACACGGCCACCACGGCGACCAGTGTTCTCGCGGGGCTGGGTGGCAGGAGCCTCCTTGGGAGCATCGCGCTTGCCGATACGGGGAGCGGGACGGTCGACAGCCTTCGCGGGGGGCGCAGGGGGTCTGCTGGGGTCGAGCTCAGGGTCATTGCCTGATGACAGAAGTCGGGTATCAGTATATGGGTAAATTCCATGGGATTGATCGGGATAGGGTCGCGAAATTGTAGCGGGTTTTCCATAATGAAAATCAGATCGGCTCGTCCCAACAATTGGAAAAAACCGTGAAATTCCCGAGCTAATCACGAAAGTAAGGGCAATGCAAGATGGGTGGATTTACCAAGAAGCTCGTAGAGGTTCTATCGATTCGAGCGATTGCGATATCACAGGTTAGCCACATCCTCCGCCAGCTCGAAAGTCGACTTCCATGGCGAGCTTTCACACACGATGCCCTTGCGAGCACAGGCGAGAGCTGTCTCATCGATTCTCAGCGTACCTTGGACCGGACGTCCGCCATGACGCCTGATGTTATGTGAGTCCTTCCGGGCGGGAAGGCGCTCGACTTGTGTAGAAAAGGTGAGGGGAGCTCACAAGGCAGAACCTCAACAGATCCGGCCTTTTGATTGCAAAGGGATGATGTTGAAGCGGGTGATCGTACCGAGTACCGGATGCTCGAAGCAAGAAGGTGAGGTTTGTGGTGTAGCCCAAATCCGGTTAGGCGTCATTTACTAAGCGAATCAGGCTAGGGCTTAGGGTATCATGGCGTCACTGGCGGAGCTTTCGGCATCATACATTTGATCTTTGGAAGGTCAGGTAAAGTCATGGGATTAACCTAAGATTTGAAGTAGTTGAGTTACTTTGGAAGGGGTCGGTCGTTTCTTCCACAATTGGTGTCTGCATCACCAGTCTCTACGCAAAAGTTCGTAGCAGGGTACACGACGATTTTCGCTCCCGAAAGTGTCCGAAACGGCGAAACGGGGGACCATATGAACTACGTTACGGTCTAGTCCCTAATCGGGCAAAGAACGTGTACAGCACAATGTTTCAGTCATATTCTCAACCTATCCAAACTCTAGACATGTGAGTCGGGACGGTCGTTGAATATCTCTTTGAATGGTATCAATTCGTTTCATCAAAACGCCGGGCAATGCGCAAAATGACTTTTGTTTTTTTTTGAGTCTGGCCGTGAAAGGGGGGGGGGGGGGACATGTTTTTGGAAGCGGGCGTCGTAGGTTCAGGAGGTGACAGTCATTTCCCATGGACATAAGTCGTGGCTGGCGACATGATTATTTTGAGAACAGAACGCTATATTTTTCTCGATCTCGCCCCGATGCTCGAGATTCCATCATTGCTTCTAAGAACGAGGATTGTTTTGGTCGTAATTGAAAGGCGTGGGGAAATGCATGCTGGCGCTCAGTCCGAAGGGATCAGCATCCAACATCGGCTCGTACTGAGCCATGAGCTGATTTGCATTCCCATAGTCTGCGTGTGCCCCCTCTGCCGGTGGATTGTATCCCGACATGTTATGAGAGCCAGATGGCACGGATTGAGGCGTGAAGCCCGGAACGTAAGGTGCGTGGACGGAGCCTTCATGGTCCTCGTCAACAAGATCGGCTTGGGCGTCGTACTCTTGTTCTGGCCGTGGTCAGCAGAGTTCTTTTTGGGCATTTGATTTGACGCCAATGGCAGCGACTCACCTAATTGATCGTAATGCTTTTGGAATGGAGATGGATAGTAATTGGCGGCAATGCGCGCGCCTCGAGGACCACGCGCTTTTTCATTTGGATCTGTTTGTGGCATGCTGATTCCGCCTGGCGAAGTTTGACTGGTAAAGCTCCGTGGTTGAGGGAGCAATTGGGGACGCCCAGTGGGTGGGCCAATGACTTCAACGGGGGACATGCCTCCTCCCTGGAAGCCGTAGCCAGGTGACTTGGCATGCGAGGGCGATGAGACGTGGGACGTCGGCGTGGGTTGAAACTGTGGCGATGCAACGCCATAAGTCCCCTCACGCTGAGAGATAGCATAACCTTCTGGTTTGGAGGCGATTGCTGCCGGGTGCCTTTGAGTCGGACGAGGCATTGCCGACTTGGTCGGCGCTGGGGCAGGCTTAGCCGTTGAGCCGGGCGCCCCGGTCTTCAGTCGAAGTTCAGCTTGCACGTCGATGCCTTTTGCTTGCGAGTTAGTAATTCGCCATTGGGGAAGAAAATGACCTAACCGGTCAAGAGGCCGAGCTCGTCTATAAACGCACCTTTCTCGAGCAGGATGCGCTCCAGCAGAGAATTTTTATATCGCAACATCAAGCATTCATCGGCAGCACTGCGATGGCTCTGCTGCAAACTCTGCAGTGACTCCTCATTGCGCTTGATGGTTGTCTCTAGTTGACGGATGTATTCCGTACGACGTTCTCGAAAGGCAGCCTGCGCCTGGCGATTGCGTTGCTTCCTCTCCTCCGAGGTGGCGTATATCTAGAAACCATCAGCCCCTGACCCATAGATCAATGGACAAGAGAGATATCCAGGCAAGGAGAGCCGAGACAGGGACGGGAGGGTGGAGTCATCATGACGACGAGGAGGTAAAAGACCATCACCATGTTGAAGGCGAGTTCTTTTGAGTAGGAGCGAGGGGAGGGAGAATCAGGAGGGCGGAATGAAGAGGCTTGTACAAAAAAAGGTGCAGAATGCGGGGCCCCGGATTGTCACATCAAAGATGCAGTAGTCAGGAACTCCGACGGCGTAAGAGATAAGAGACGGATTCCACAACAAACGAGGCCAGGAAGAAATGGGAAAATGAAAACAACAGAAAAAAAAAAAAAAAACGGAGACAACCAAAACACAGGTGAATATCAAACCAAGATGATTGGTCACATACAGGCTTGCGACCACCTTTTCTCTTCTGTGTCTGGGTGGTATCTTGAGTTAATGGTTCGACTTCGGCATCGGGGGTCGACATTGTCGAACTGATTGAGCCATCTGGCACCGGCTCAGATTTGGGGAGGAGCGATTCCATCGCGGCGTCATTGCGATCGGATCGGGAGGCGGTCTCGATCATAGAGACCATTGTTCGCCCCCGGTAAAGGCGCGTACACTTTCGTTATCAAAAGCCGAGGTTGGGTTTATTTAGGATGTTAATATCACCAGACAGCTCTTGGGCTTTCGCTGGACGGAACACATTCGCGATTGCAGATTGATTTTCCCTCCACCTTGCGCTGGTCTTCGAGATGGTCAACACGAGAGGTAATTTGACCGAGCCTTGAGAGTTGGTTTTTTTGGGGGGTTTTGCGCTCCTCAGTGACGGTGACGTACAGTACAAGCTCACACTGCGCTTTGCGACAACATGTGTCTCGATCCCTGTGTGTGTGTGTATGTACGTCTGGTCTGTCCCTTTCTCTCCACTCCTGTTGCAGCTCACACCCTTCACCTGCTTTTCCCCCGCTGCGCAATGGACTTTTCTCGGCCGCGCGCAACGATCGAGATAGCAGGACTTGGAAGGTCCGGACCAACAAACGCAGCAAACGCGCGGCTAGGCGGTTAGAAGGGACGTGCGAGCGGAAGGGAGGCGAGAAAGTGACATAAAAGAAACCGATGATTATGAGAAAGGAAGAGTCAGAGAATTTGAGATAAAACGTAAACGGGGTTGAAGGAAAGGCGGGGGGTGAAAGGGCCAGTGAATTAATATGAGGTAAAGCGATTGACTAAAGGAATAATAATATTGTTAGGCGGGTTTGGCGGGCTTTTCTGGCTGGAAGTGGATTTGGGAGGGGGGGGGGAAGGGTTAAGTCAGTCGTGGTCAGACGATGGGAAAAAAGCCTGGTAGGAAAAAGAAAAAAAATCTGTCGTGCTCGGCACCAGTTCATCGCAAAGGGTCCTTCGATCGCCAAGTGTATAAAATAGGCAAACACCCTCTCCTCAACGATCCAATTGCCTCCTAATCTGGCCTCCACGTCGTATAGAAATCCCTCTGGATCTCTGCCCGCCCCCTCTTCCCTCTTCTCCTGCTTCGTACTTTTCCGTCGCCTGAACAAAAAAAAATTTGACTTGTAGAGTTTTCCCTTCCCTTTCGTTCCAGTTGCCCTGCTCCTTGACCCCACTGCCATGAATGGTCGCCTTTTTCTCTCGGTGACGGCACGGGTCCACCAAAGGCGGAATGGTTGGTGGTGGCCAGGTCGCAAAGTCCTCGTGTCGCACGGGCGAGGCGATCGTGGAGACGGGCATTCAAACATTCGAGGACCGCCAGGGGAAAAAAGCAAAAAGTCTATGCACTAGTGGACTATCATGAGGTCCTCCGCGGAAAATGACAGAACGGCAGAATCTGATGATATCCAAAAAGGCGCCCTGCACCCCACAAGCACCTTCAGTCGAACATCCATAGCCCTGTTACAGCGGGGAGTCCTCCGGGCAAGAGCTATAGTTCAAGTACCTCCTTAGTCAGGTACATCGCCTTATAGAAGGGCCTTTACCCGACAGTCCGAGCTGCTCATCCGTCCTTAAGAGGAAGGTCAAAGGTGACGCACGAGGCCGGGACCAGTCCTGTAAACGAGGCCGTTCGGTGGAGACCAAAACGGCTTGCTTGGGACCGTGGATAGCCAGTGTTCATGCAAATGGAATTGCTGAACCAAAAGCATGGGTACAAGCCTGCGACATGTAAAGAGCCAGTCAGACTAGACCAAGGGAAATCATGTATGTAGTATGACTATGTAGTGTACTAACTGATGTAGTAACTTAGCATGTACGATGAGTAGGTATGTAGTCTCGCTGTACCACTGGTGACTGTTGTACAACATACAAAGTGAGGCAACCACGCCATCGAGACGCCGATGTCGGAACAGTTCTTGGGTCATATAGGGATAAGACCACCGAAGCCAGATCGTCAACTCTCGACTGGACGATGGTTATTGTCTGCAAAGGCTGTGACAGCAGGCTCAGCTCCCTAGTATGATGGAGCGTATCATGTGTCATTGTGTCCCAGAGCCAGCAGGAGCTATGGACATTGGACAGAGCACACCTGAATCGCTACTCAAGGTTCACACGATTCAGCCCCACGGTCTGAGCAGTGAGTTGAAGTCCCAGGGCTGAGTACGTAGTTACGTACATTACGCAGCTGCTTCGAGGACATGTCTAATCACGTGTCATCCCCTGGACTGGGCGTTCCAGTCTGTCTTCAACCGTGAGCGTGAAGAGGCTTTGATATGCACATGCAACGTGGTTGAAGCCAAGGCCAACGCTGATGACACATGTCAAGTGCCATGAGGCACTGTTCATTATTGTGCTGAACTATGGACTGCTGACTGCTGAATGTTCAATAAGATGTGTGACAGTCGTCCGGCGGACTCGGTTCCAACTCCCGCTCCGACGCAGGACATCATTGAGGAGTCCATTCCTCACCTCTCGGCGCCCTCCGCCTCGGCTAGTCCAGACTCAGCTCACCGTGAGAGGGGAAGAGTCCACCCCTCTCTCTGTCGCAGGGCCCCCTGAATCGTACAGGTAGTCATGGCGACTTTTGAGGCTTCCCTGGGGAAGTCATTCCCCGACAACCGAAAAGGGCTGAGCAAGGGGATCCCCCCCCTGCCATGGCCACATGACCCTCGTCACGGGGCCTGTAGTCTGGACACGGCAAGTCAGCCAGAAACCGATGCACAGTGAAAACTGAACAGTTTACTCATCGTCGACATTCTGAGATGCAGTCTTGTATTGGTTTCCAGGTTACTGTGCCCGTGAGCCGCGCACAAAGCATGTAGCAGACATATTATTGGAACACTCAATTAATTGGCCTCAGCCTCCAAGAGTGTACGTCCCTATCCAGAGGCTCCAGTGGACAATGAGGAAGACCCCTCCTATTTCAATGCCTTTTGACACTTGTCAGCCCACTAGCAAAAAGCTCAGAGCGACTGTACTTGATGCATTATTGCATTGTAGTTTCAACTTTGTACTAGCCGCATCCGTGTCCCAGATTCAAGCTAGAAGGGTTTCATCAAGGATGATGCAATCATCACGCAGGCGTCAGGTGTGCCATTCTTAGTGTGTGTTTTCCCCCAGTTTCCCCGGCCCCCGTGGATGCGGATGCGGGGATAACATCTTGCAGCTGGGACTGGAACCGACCAACTGATGTACCTCCGAGTCTGGAAGGATCGCCAGGATTATGCTGACGAGACAGATATCCCAGACCTCCCGAAGGAGACGCAGAGAGATGGAGTTGCCTGAGGCAGAGGTATAACCCAACAGACCCCGTAGAGTCAGACTGTCGGGACTCGGGTAACCTGAGTATCGAGTGGACGCTGGACGGGCCATTTGTATACTGAACGCTTTTGTGAAACAGGAACATCATGCAGTATGTGATGCTCTTCCAATCAAGTTCGGAAAGCTCCTCAATTGACCACCACATCTCACTATCACCACCTGTTCAGATGAGCATTGTGCTTCCCAAGATCGTTTTCAATTCCTGGACCCGACTCTTTGTACGTAGAAGGCCGAGGCATTGTTCCAATTGCAATTGCCATTGCAAAGCCAAATCTCTGTGGTCGGAGTGATGGATAAGATAGATATGTCGTGACCCGTCCATCCGTAACTGATGAGAGCGGACGTGGATGTTGTTAAGAATCAAGCGTGGCCTTACCGCCTCAGTACAGCCTTCTCAAGGTCTACCAACTCACGAAGGTCCTGGGTTGTGGTACTGGTAGAATGTATTTCCTGTTGCGGAGCCAGCTGCATGACTGTATGAGTTTCCATTCTTCTCTCGTAAGCCTTGCCTCCAATTATTGTCTATTTGTTCCATGCACGACTGGACCCGAGTCAAACCCTTCAAGATGCGATGACAACGCTGGCCCGACAAGTTCTCTCAAAAATGCCGACCCGCCGGGCCTTCTTCCTCGGCGATCGGCGGTCAGTTCCCCACCAAATTTCCCCTTTTGTCACATGCCAGATCGCTGAGGTCTCCCGTCTGCAGTGTTGAGGTTCAGTAACTGTCAACTGCCAACGCAAACCTCTTCCCCTACTGACTCGGTCTTCATCAACCTACCTCCCCGATCGCGAGAGTGCTCTTCGCGGCGAGACATCCTGAATACCCGGGCTGAGATCCCATCTCTCCGAACCATCCCCTCTCTACCCCGAATCGCCTTTGCTCTGAAATGGCGACACCTGCCTCTACCTCTGCCTCTGCCTCGGGTGAACAACCCCGCGAAGAGGTCCCCGCTTCCGCCACGACAGTTACCAGCGACCATGTCCAAACTGTCAATGCAGCTCCTGCGACCGTAACCTCCACAGAAAAGACGCAAGAAAAGCCACCGGCTCCGAAGGTACATGATGACGAAGAAGAAGAAGAAGATTCCGACTTTGATGAATTAGATGGTAAGCGAAACATACAACTTGAGGGGGGACGTGTTCTCGCCCGGGATACCTTGACTATACACTATATAGCATTGCTTCAAGAAACTAAATCAAGATGTTCTCTCCTTCATGAAAGATGTCCTGGACGACTTTTCCAAACCTAAACCAGCGCCCGCGCCCACGCCCGCGTCCGCAGCTGCCGCAGCTACTTCAGCTTCCGCCGGTACCAAATCCGATCCCACCACGGGGATTGCCCCGGCGGATTTCGACGAAGAGGCTTTTCTCAAGCAATTAGAGAATGACATGGCCAACATGATGGCCAACCCCGGAGCTGCTGGTCCAGGGGCTGCCGATGGCCCGGGCTTTCAAGCGGCGATGGATCAAGGTGCCGACGCATTCGCCAAACGACTCGAAGAGAGCGGCATTCCGCCTGGCGATTTTTTGAAGCAACTCCTGGCTGATGTCATGGCCGAGGAAGGGGTGGGTGCGGCCGCGGAAGGAAAAGAGGGCGCGAAATCGGGTCCTGCTGCGTCTGCTGCAGCCTCGTCGACGGGTGCAGCGGATGCAGACCAGCCTCAGCCCGAGAACTTCAACGATGCGATTCAACGGACAATTGAGCGGATGAAGGAGTCTGGGGATCGGGCGACCGAGGCTGCGACAACGGGAGATGGGTTAGAGGATGATCTGATCGCGCAACTGCTCAAGGCCGTTGAAGCGGGGGCAAACGGAGCGGGCGACGACGGTGATCTTACCAAAATGTTCATGGGCATGATGGAGCAATTGTCTAACAAGGAAATGCTGTACGAGCCGATGAAAGAGTTGGATGGGAAATTCGGCCCGTGGATCACCAAGAACAAGGCAGATGGATCGGTACCGGCCGAGGACATGGAGCGATACAGGTCCCAGGCGCGAGTTGTCCGACAGATTGTTCTCAAGTTTGAAGAACCGGGCTACTCAGATGAAGACGCCAAATGTCGCGAATATATCTGGGAACGGATGCAAGAGGTGAGTTGGACAGCAACCAGTCTTCTTTTCTCCCATATCTCCAAGCCCCGGAGATACCAGCCCTGCTTGGCCTTCTACGCAGCAGAAGATCCAATAAACTGACGCTGAGCCTCGTTTTTCATCCAGATGCAAGCCGCGGGCAGTCCACCAGAGGAACTGATTTCGAACCCATTGATGGGTGACCTCGGCGGTGCTGCTGGCAGTGCACCAGGCGGAGTTCCTGATTGTCCCCAGCAATAAGAAGAGCGAAACATCTACGATATGACGAAGAAGAGATTCAGACGGGGAAGCCTACCTGCGATGAGGTTCCATGACCAGCAGAAGACGAAGCTCTAACTTACTTTACTACCTAGAGGCTATTTGTGCTAATTGAGTCGGCGTCGGCGAGGTGCTTTTTCTCAGGTCCTGTATATACATATTTAAAACCCCCTGTCGATACCCCGTTCGCGCATGCTAAAAACAACGCAACATAAATATCCCGAATCTAGCCGCTTGAAGAAATTCGACATGAAGATGGCTCGACAAAAGAGAGCCCCCAAAACGCCGGTTCAATGCAACTTGATAGAACCAAAAACCCCCCACGCTAAATATCACATCAACCCAACACGAAAGCATCTAGTCCCACACTGGGAACGCACTTCCACTCCCCAAGCGACTCGGGATCAAGACATATCCATGTCCTGCGCATGCTCTTGTAATTGCATGAAGATGTCATCATAATCAGCATCACTAAACGGAACATCCGGCTCGGTCATTCGAGATCTGTGAGCATTGCTTATTGACTCTTGCGCGGCTCTTTCAAAAGCTTCCTCCTGAGAGAGATACTCATCGAGGGCCCGCAATTCGTCCTCATCCACTGGAAAAGCGCAAATGTCAGCAAGTGAGTATGCGAGACCCCGAACGCGAACGAGAGATGGGAGGACAACCTACCAGGAAGCATCCCATCATCCTCAATATCCCGCTCAACCCCATACAAAGCCCCATCTGCCTCCCGCGCCATGCTCTCCTCCCACCTCCTCTTATCCGCCAAATGCTCCGCCATCATCATCTGCTCCCCGCGAGCTTCGAACCGCCCCGTATCTCGCTCACTCCTGACTCGATTCAAGAACATGGCCCGGGTCTTGGAGCGTGCAAGCGACGTCGTCCCCCGCATCGGGTTCGCAATCTGCGCCGCATATCGCTCTGCAAACCGCGATTGACGCGACGGGGTCGGCGAGGTGGGCGTAGGAGACTGTGGCGCAAATTTATTGTTTGGTTGGCCGGGGTGCGTAGGAGCGTTGGCCGGTTGGTGGGTCAATGGCGCGGGTGAGGAGGCGATATTAGTGAAGCTGGGAGATTGGGAGTGTGTTTGAGACGGTGAGTTGGAGCGAGATACGCCTGTGGAGGGGGAAAAAGGGTTGTGGTATCGGGGTGGTTGTTCTGTTTGGGCCACGGCACCGGCGGCAGAGGTAAAGGTAGGGAAAGAGATGGGCGAGGCTCCGGAGCGCATGGGCGTGGGCGAGCCCATTGTCCATGGGGGAGTGGCGGTGGTGGTGGTGCTGTGCGGACCAAGAGGCGATGGCCGGACCGGTGTATAGTGGCCTGTATGACGGAAAGGCTTCGTGGGTGTTGAGGGAGCGGGTTGGGCAGCGAACATGGTGAAACGTTTTGCGTGAGGATCACGCTTGCGGCGGGTGGTGGAACGACGATGATTTCGTAAAGAGTGGAGAATTGAAGATACAGAAGAGGCCGTTCCGCGGTTTCCTGAGTCGAGAGGGCAAGGTGTCTCAGGAGCAGCTTTGAGTGGAGCGTTCAACAATCGTCTGGACTCTGGACAAGCGTGGTCCGATCGAAGAAAGTTTAGAATTGAGAGAGGGCCAGTACGTCGTGTAGAGACAAGAATCGGAGACTGGGGCAAGTGGGGGGATGGTAGATTGGCAATGTATAAACTAAGTGCTGTTGAGAATTGAGAACCCGTTGGCAGTCCCGGACTGAGAGAGCGAGAAAGCGCCAATCAATTGGCATTTCGGCGAGGCGTGAGGAGCCGTCGCGACGCGCATCGCGTGAGCCACGTGACTGTCCCCGATCCGCTCGAATGTTCTTCCAATCTGGACGAGATGCTTTTGCATAATGCAAACTTTGCATCGTCCTCGTCCTCGATTTGGCAAGGATGAGCTGGTCAATTGACGCTCTCAAGCGGGGTTGCAGTTTCCCAGCGTTGTTTACCCCAGAAATCCCGATCGATTGCTCCCATGCTGGATCTTTTGCACCATGATAGTCACCCGCCTCCAAGTCGCGCACTCTGTACGTTCGCAAGCCGACGGCTCAAGTCTCAACGTCGGACACCGTACTCGGTACTCCGTAGCCCATTGAGGGACAAGCCCGATCACCGGGCTGATAGCGTCCGCCTTCCCATTCTAGAACAGCCACGAGTGATTAACTTTGCCCCCGCCTTTTCATCCCGTCAATGTCCGCCTGGAGTGAAGCACTATCGCATATACTGAATCTGATACGATGATCGGTGAACATGATCACTTGCGCCTGGTCTATTCATACACGCGATAGAGAATGCTCACATCTTCCGAGTGAATTGTCGTCCACCAGAGACTGCTGGGTTGGCGAAGTCCTACCAGACTTGTCGGACAGATAGACCGAGCGTAGCTTCGTAGCTGCGTAGCTCCGTAGCTCCGTAGCTCCAAATGTGTGACGTGGGTCAACTCGACGAAACCCCACGTCAAGCCGAACAACCCGTCCAGGTCTCCAGATCTCTCCACGTCAAACTGGCAGTGGATTCAGATTACCACACCTGCCTCTTCTTGACTTAACGTCTGCCTCGATCCACTAGTGAGATTGCAGTAAGGTAGCATAAAGGCTCTCCATCCCCCCAAGGTAGAGACAAGGTTGGAAAAGACTTCTCTACCTAAAATCTCACTCCTCCTCGGTCTTCTTGCTTTCAAGCCAATCTCCCGCATCCACAACCCGTCCGATCAGAAGTTGTACTCCAAGGAAACAACTCCAGAACTCCCCTCCCCTCCTCAAACCAATCAACATGGCCACCAACGCCTCCTCCTTCCGCCAACTAGTCGGCATACCATCCTCCAAGGCCTCCATCCACGACTCCACCCTCATCATCATCGACGCCCAAAACGAATACGCCTCCGGCAAACTCCAAGTCGACAACATCACCCCGAGCCGCAAAGTCATCGCCGACCTCCTCACCCGCTACCGCCAGAGCAACAGCCGGGGCAAGAACATCGTGCACGTTGTCCACGAGGTCCCGGCCGGCGCACCGGTGTTCACGCCCGAGACGCCCCTCGCCGCGGAATTCGACGAGCTGAAGCCACAGTCCGGGGAGAAGGTGGTGAAGAAGTCGTTCCCGAGCTCGTTTGCGCAGACCGATCTGCACGAGTATCTGACGGGATTGGGCGAGGTCGGGAAGAAGATTGTGTTGGTGGGGTATATGGCGCATGTCTGTGTGTCGACGACGGCAAGGGCAGGGGATGAGTTGGGGTATGATGTCGTGGTTGTGGCGGATGGGATCGGCGATCGTCATATTCCGGGGGTGCAGGCGGAGAGTTTGGTGTCGGTGGTGTTGTCCGAGTTGGCCGATGCGTTTGCGACGGTCCTTCGTGCGGCGGAAATTGTCGAGTGACCGACGGTAGATGATGAGGCTGCCAAGGTGTGCAGAACGCGTGTGTCTATCTAGTAATCTACTACTATCTAGCATGAGAATGACCATACCAGGCACCTCGGATAGTTTTCAATCTTGCTATGGAGCAAACGTTCCGTCGCCCATCCACTTCTTGCACAGGTGGCGGCCTCGATGTGCTGTGGTAAGGCAACATCACGTGGGTCTAGTCTAGAGGCGAGAGAGCTTTCACATGATGGACATATATTGTTGTATTACCTACAGAAATTGCAAGGAGAGCTCAAGGGTGTTGAATGTGGTCCCCTGGACCAAAGTGATGATGAGATTGTCCAGAGTTTGGAATAGCCGAGAACATGATGGGGAAACCCTAAGGAATGATGGCCCGAAGGATTAAAAAAGATGTTGCATGACACTCGACGGCGGATGAGAGCTCGACGGAGTAAGAAATCGCCGAGAGCAGGGATCGCCCAAAAGAGAGAGAGAGAGAGAGAGAGAGAGAGAGAGAGATGAAACGCTCAAAACAAGATGATCAAACAACAGAGCACGATATGTCTATGATGCTGGCAAAGGAGTGGAGCAGGCAGTCTGACAAGAAAAAGAGGCACAAGGTACAAAAAGGTATCCGCAACTGAGACAAGGGGGCAATTCAAATGGGATCGAGCAAGAAGAGAAGCACGCGTAGTCGTGACCGTTGCCTGCCCATCTCTGGAGAAAGCTGGGGAGGCACACATGGCATGGTGTTCATACATCAGAGAGAGGAACTTTTTTTGACACTGCGACAGAAGCGGTCGCACCGAAGCTCTGCGGCCGTCAACCTGCAATACAGATTGCGTGACTTGGGCCAAAGCCTGGACGTCCGTCATCTTAGAAATTGGATGCAGCGTTCACGGGACCTGGATTGTGGTATTGATCCAGCGTGTTCTTGAAGGGAGTTCCACTCTGAGTCGGACCCGGTACTTTCTCTCGCGGTCCACTGCCGACAGCGGTACCACCCATCAGATCGTCGTCTTCGTCGTTGAACGCGTCGCGACGCTTCTTTTGAATACGCCAGTACACCACGCCCAGTACACCAAGAAGGATGGCACCCCCGACACCGACAACCACACCGATAATGATCTTCTTGTCCGAGGAAGAGAGGCCGCTGTTGGAGGAACTCTTGCTACCGTTCAAGGAGGGATAACTGGTCACGGCGGAAGTCGAGGTCGACAGCATCACGGTGGGCTTAGTAGTGCCGTCCTGGGTCACCTCAGCGGTGATGGTCTTGACCACCACCGTCGAGCTGACAGAAGGCGTCGCTGAGGTGGTAGAATCTCCAGACGACTTGGAAGTGGTGGAGTGAGCTGTAGTTTGAGAGGCACCTGCAGCGGTGGTGGTGGTTGAGGCAGCATTAGGGACCGATGTGGTTGAGGAGGCGGCCTCCGCCGGGGTCGATGTCGTGGAAGAGGTGCTTGACGTGGTGCTAGAGGTGGTGGGAGCCACTTGGGAGGTAGTGGTTGTGGTGGTGGGAGCCGCAGTAGTCGTGGCAGGAGATGGTGAAGTGGTGTCCGCGGGTGAAGGCGAAGCAGCGGTGGTAGTGGTCCCGGCAGCCGTTGTGGTGAGGTCGTTGACAATACTGGAAGCATCGATGCTTTGAGCCGCGACTGCTGTCAGAAGCAGTACCTGAGCGAGAGCGGAAGCCTTGGAGAGACGCATGATGGGCGAGAAACCGGGTGTTCCAGGATGATGAGAGGTGTGTTGTCCAAAACGAGTGAGTTGAGTGAGTTGAGGAAGAACACGGAGATGCCAAAGGAGGAATTTCTTTCTCGGAAACGAGGGAAGAAGGGCCAAAAGCCGAGAGTGGGATAAAAGAAACGAGTGCAGGCAACCGGGCGTGTGCAGAAAGTCGGGAGGGATAAAAGGGAGGAGGACCCGTGAAATCCCAGGAGTGTCAGCTGGCGGCCAACACCAGCCCGTGTTGACGCTAACCCTCGATTAGGCTACGCCCGGCCCTAATTGAGTGGAGTCGCCCGTCTCCCAGGGACTCTCGGCTTTGCTGGCGCATGCCAAAGGATCAAATTGTTCATGGAATAATAATCACAGAGAGAGAGAGAGATCCCACCGAGCTGGCTATGCAGGACTGCAGGTCGAGTTTGCATATAGAATGCGGATGTGGTTGAGATAAGACGGATTCAGACCATTGTTCGTCACTTTCTCGGATGTATACGGTCATAGCGGCCACCCCATGCATGTGTATCTTCCAAGGGCTTGAGAAAAGCTGATTTGCATTACATGTTACAATATCCATAAACATTGGACACCCTTTGCATACGCTCCTAATATGTCCAGTGAGTGTATGAGTTTAGTGTCTGAGTGTATCAGTGTACTCCAAATCCTAGGTATTACATGATCATTATTATTATTGCATCGATTTGACAAGCGTGCCGGACACGCCACGAACATCGGGAGCGAATGAGTCGCAGCTCATGAGGCCGAGGGAGGCGACTTCCTCTATACCGTTTAATTACTTGCAGATACAGTAATCATAGGGACATCTGGATCCGCCGATCTGGTATGGATGGGACCTTGTGCTGTCACCTTCAGTGGGAATCAGGGTGGTCCAGTGATTGCACAGGTACACGGAGACTGCACGCCCACGGTATCATTTCTGGGTAGGGGCCTTCGAGTCTAGTACCACTACATGGAAGTTCTGAATTGGAGATAAAATGTCAGACCCTTGTTCGTCTACATAGCACATTCCCTCGTTATATAGAAATCTCTTCAACTCGCACAAGGTCAGTACAATGCTCTATTAGTGCTCTAGTAGTAGCCCGGATGAGGACAGTCATAGATGGCAGCAACAACTGCAAAGAAGAAGAGTACCTGTACTGGATTCGTACATCCTAGTTCTACAATATCCTGGGCGTGACCCAATTTACCCAATTTCACTATTTTACACTTTGGTAGGTAGGAGAGAATTTTGTCGTACGAATCAGCCTGGAATCAGTCGTGTTGGACCTCTCGTAAGTTATCTGCTCCCTTGGCTCTTCCCATCGACTCCCTCTCTCCCAACACCCGAGTTAGATCTGCATATATGAGACTCGGTGCCTATGCGCTTCCACACCCCCTAGAGATCTTGCCCTGGCGCGATCAGGCAGTCTCCTTTCAAGTCTGGCGGTTCCCTCGAGTCTTGAACATGAGTCAGCTCAAGTCCGTCTGAAGACTTGACGAGTGAGCGGAATTCGCCCATGTGAAACAGCGTCACCCCGTCGCCATCATCTCAGCCAGTCAGCCCCAAATTCCAATGCACCTTGTCTCCACCGACGCTCCCATCGACCGAAAACTCCGTTTCCCGAGGCCAACCAAGCCATAATTAGCAACGCGTCCACGACTGCAGTGGCGTTCACTTCCAATCAGTCTGCACTTCGGCCCTTTTGCACTCCACCAGAAACCTCCCTCTGGACCGACTCGGATGGGAGATGCTGCTCCATTCCCATGCTCTTATGCCCAATCATAATGCTTCTCTCTCATCCGATCGCACCGGTCATCAGTCTGTTGATGCCCAAGCAGATCTTTCAGAAGGATGATCTCGTGCATACAAGTGAACCCACGCCATACTTTATCTAAGGGTCATATTTGTCATGCTACACTACACACATGACCTACATACAATATTGGAGCCAGACTACTGCTGTCGATCAACCCCAGTAGAGCCAAATAGCGCTGGACGGGATCCCACTTATGACTCTGATTCATATCCGAACAGACTCCACAATACCATGTCAAGCCAAAGCCGCTAAGCCGACACACCCGGCCCCTAACGCATGGTAATTTTAGCTTGTGCAAAACCGCCAACTGCAAGGTGCATGTCTGGACGGTTCAAAGGGTCATGGATGCATGTACTACCAAGCCTCGATGGGAGGTTCTCGAACTTCACCACGGTCACATGTGGGAGTTGAAGATCATGGCCCTTTGCCATACTCTGAAGACTCAAGGTATGATACTTTTTTTTTCCTTGGCCCGCCACGCTTACGATGACTCGTGGATCAGAAAACTCAAAGTACTGCATGCCCATGGAGCCATGGACTGTGAAATACCATACTTGATCATCATTGATTCTCACTTCTCCAAAATGAACAATACCATTGCCAAGCCACGTAGAGTCTGTGCCGTCCAAACGCTTTTGTGCGGCGTGACTCTATGGAGCGACTCGACACACACACACACCCACAAGCGCACATTGGCCGAATGAGACCCGCCGTGGCGATCTGTAAGATAGTCTCAAGGTTCAGACTACAGTATGTGTGTATGTAAGTTACCTTTGTGTAGACTGTAGAGGAAGGCGGGTGAGGGTAGGATCTTAACCCCAAATGATACATGAACGGATCAAAAGCACCATAACCTTACAGCATACGATGCCACCACATGAATGCAATCCCGTATAATAACTGACCTTGAGCTGTAGTAGAATTGCCGCCGCGCTCGCTAGGGTGCCTGCTCGATCGGGATCATGCTACCGTAGCACGGGCGTCCATCTCCCCGCGACATTGATAGCGTAGAGGACCCAAATCCAGGTTAAAGTGCTCGTCTCCAACATATTCAGGCATCATAGACTTACCTGGCCCCCGTCATGCATATGGCGAGACCGATAAGAAACACAGTTTATAGGTATATGAGCGCGTCTGCACGATGTCTGTGGAGAGAGACGCGCGGCTTATGAGGAAAGTTGCAGGGTCTGGATTCAAAGCTTGCGTTTGGTACAAGTGTTAGCTACCAACGGCGGTTTCGGTTACGAATAGCCGCTTGGCTCAGGTCAGACTCGACATGTCGGATACTCTCAAATAATGAATTCCAACAGTTCACTGCAGTTGGCGAGTAAGCTGAGTTGATATACACAACAAAATTCCTCGATTACCATGTCCATCTTCGTTGCAACCATCTAATTTTGGCAGAGCACAGGAGTCATGAACCCCAGGTGCGTGCAGCACCTTATGGGTTGGTAGTCGGTGCGACACGTTAATCGCCACGGGCAGTCAACCACGCAACCATGAGAAATTCAAGGCTCATTGCCGAGTTCAACATTGATGGGACAACATACGAGCGGCTGGACCCCATCACGAATTACAGAGTGAAGATTCATATGTATTCGGGTATCATGCCTATTTGTCCTAACCTAACGCCCCGATGCGCAATCAGAAGAAAAAGACCATGCGGAACGTCACCGCATTCAGAGCTTGTTGGGAGGTTTGCCCTTCATCTGGTCTTTGATCTCTTCCTTGAAGTACCTCACAAATTTGCCAAGAGAGTCTGCAAAGTGCACGAGGGTCAGCGAGTTGTTGGGCCAAACTCAGTGCAAGAACATCCAGAGTACATACCGCCGTCTTGAAGGGATGTCCGTGATGGCTCTGCAGGGATTCCGTGACGGATCTGTTCCACTCGCTGGTGCACACGGCCGACCATTTGATGGAAGAGAGGGCTTCGGATAAGCTGTAAGAACTCATTCAGCATTTTGCACAGCGTGGAAAGTGGCCCCAAAGGGCGACGGAGTTCAATGGAGCGCATTTCAACGTACTCGGCCGTACAGCCAGACCTGTAGATCGAGAATCCAGTCAGCATCAATTTCAGGGGAGTGTCCGATATCAAGCTCATAGATCACGCACCTCCAGGGCCCGGAGTCCAAATAGATGGAAGACCATCTTGCTCCGCCAACAGCTTTCTCTGTCTTACTGTCTCGAGATGGCGATGTCGAGGCTGCGGAGGCGAGGAATGAAGCGGAAAGTCGGGGACAATTGTGGCTCCCGTCAGCACGTGGAAAGCAATCGGACAGGCTGCCAAGGCCATCATGCACGGGTCTCTTGCAGGTCATGCCGATCTTAGGTAAGCCCCGCACTAACTAACTACCGTTAGGTAGTTAACTGACGGTAGCTTAGGTGATTCCACTTGGAATGATCCCGTCAATTTCCCCGGCCACGACCAGCTCTGTCTATGACTGAATCGATCTTTGCGCTCAGTCCATGCTCTTAGTATCATTGGAGACTCGCTGTGGAAACTTCAACTGATCCAAAGCGGTCCTTTGAACAGATCCCAATAGTAATGACACAATAGCACACTCGGCAATTCTGCAAAAGTTCGTCTGCCCGCGATGAGGAGGAGAAGCAAAATCCGCGAATGGCGAGCTTTCCCGACAATCAAATCCCGAGAAACCTACGTCCTCGACATCCGTGATTTTGACCATGACCAAAGGTTGTTACACTTGTCGGCGACGTCGCATAATTTGCGATAATGGCCAACCCACCTGCCGAAAGTGTCGAGATGCGGGGAAAGAATGCCTGGGTTATCAGAAGCCGCTTGTATGGGTCAAGGGTGGCGTGGCCAGTCGAGGCAAGATGATGGGTCGCAGCTTCGACGATTTCAAAAAACCAGAAGGCAATACAGAAGCAAGGAAGGTTGGGAGAGATTACACGCCCACAGCCAGCAACACTGGCGGGGGCTTTGGCTTCATCACGATTGCCGAAGCATCCTCCTCCTCTGCAAATAGCTCACCGAGCGCTGGCACCTACACAAGCCCCGAATCCGATGAATATGCACAAGAATCGACAGAAGACAATATGGGACACTCCACTACCGTGCGCTCGGGACTCTCAGAATTGGCATCATCGAAGAATACGGACAATCGGTTGGTCCAGATGCCCGGGAATGGCTCTTTCTCGAGTTACAATTCTGCGCCATGGGGGCTGATTGATCCATTGCTGAAAGACATGAGTCAAGCCTCACGATTTTATATACATCATTGTATGATACTCTAGTGTCTTTTCTTTCCTACTGGTTCGTCCTTTGTACCAAGCAATAAGATTCAACTGACCATGATTCTAGATAATCAAAACATGGCACACGACTTCGTGGTATACCGTCAATCCAAAAACCCGTGGCGCAACATCATTCCCCTGGTCGGCGAGTCTCCACTTCTTGCACATGCACTCTGTGCCATGAGTGCTGTTCATTACTCCCTCATGTTGGACTCTGACTCGTCGCAAATGCCTTGGTCATCCAACAACCCTCTGACAAGGAAAGGTACACCTTTGTCACCTCATGATTTGCAAGCACTTGTCTTTCCAGCAAGTCAACGAAGGTCATCGTCTCAGGCATTCCAGCACTTTCTGGAATTCAAACAACGGACGCTTCATCAACTGTCCAAAGACTTGAGGAACCCCGTGATGCAGAGAGACGATCGAACCCTTGCTGCGATTGTAGTTCTCGCTTTGGTGGATGTCTTCGAGTCCGGGAGTGGAGCATGGAGCTATCACATCGAAGGAGCCAAAAAGCTTCTGAGAGATCGGCCGGAGAATCATCCAGGGCAAAGGATTCTAGACGATCTTGAAACCTTTGCGATCGATGGCTGTCTGATGTAAGATTTCATCACACCAAAGAATCCGTGACCGCTCCGTTGGCAGATGTTTACTGACCTGCGCATGCGCACCCTTTCAGTATGGAGATCATGGGCTCAACCCTCGCCCGCCCTGGAGCCCTGTCGAAACCCTTCTTCTCCGCCGCCATGGGTCCCGCAATGCTAAAACGTCTCGAGGAAACATCATGGGTTGGCTGCCCAGCCTACCTCTTGGAAGTCATCTTTTTCATTCACACCCTCTGGTATTCCGACTCCGAAGCCACGCTTGCCACACCACAACCGACCGCTCTGTCAGCCCTCATGCATCCCGGCCAACCTCTCACTCTAGACTCCTATCTCGCTCTCCTCCAAGGCATCCGCGAATTTGACCCAGTGGCCTGGGCCTATCACATGCAATCCTCCCACTTTCTTCCCGACCTATCCACCCGCATCGCCCTGGGCAAATCGTACCAAAACGCAGTCTATCTGTATACTAGCCGCGTTTTGAATCGAGCTCGAGCCGGCTACACCCCTCCCTGGGCGGACGTTGGCCTCCCTGCGGACCACGCCGCCACAGCAAGCGCCCTGCTTGAACACATTTGCTCCGTGCCTCACTCTGACCCGCACTTCAAATGCCTCATCTGGCCTACTTTCATCGCCGGTGCAGAGTGCCGTCGTCCCTCGCAAAGACCTCTCATCTTGGAAAAACTGGGGGCGCTGTATCACACCGTGACGAGCGTCAATGTGCAAAACGCAGCTTGGGTCCTGCGTCTAATGTGGGAAAAGCACGATCAGCGCCGGGAGCAAAAGAGCGACATGTCTTCTTACACGGACACAACAACCGAGCCGCCAGAAACACTCGACGCACTTCCCGATCATTCTCGAGCCGAAACTTACGACGAATGCGATGATACGTTCGACTGGGTTGATGAGTTGGACGAGTCTCGTCTGGACTGGCTGTTCATCTAATCCCAATCCCGCTTCGACAACGTCAATATATCGTAATTCTGTTCTTAATGAGAAACTTGGACCCTTGTTTACTCTATTCAAACGTAGTCATGTTCAATCAAGCACCTACATCTAGACTTTTCCAACAAAGTAGCCAGACCGTCTTCCCATGGATTTCATAGACTCCGAAGATAGGAAAACGGGGAGTTTCCTTACACGATAACCAAGGACCTAGTTTCGTTCACGGCGACAAGACCGAAACCAAGAGAACCAATTAGGCACCGGCTCACCTTTGAACAATCCTTTCATTCATGAGTTGTCCAAGCAAACTAGGCTGTGCTTTCTCTCTAAGACTAGACATACAAGCGGGTGGTCCTCGCCAACCCGAGTAAAACGACAGCACAAGCGGCAGCCACTGGGTTGGTCCGGGCAAGAGTACGAATGGGGGAAAAAAGACAAAAATAAAGAACAGGGGTATATCGGGAGGTGGGATTCAGCCAAGGACATTGAAGTGGGGGCGGATTTGAAGCTAGTAGAAGCAGAGGAAACAAAAAGTGCCTCGCCGGACGGAGGCAGAGGGTAGTCAAGTTTGTGGATGAAGAGTATTTTAGCCATAAAAGCGAGGAAAAGAGAGAGAGAAGAAGAAGAAGAAGAAGAAGAAGAAGAAGAAGAAGAAGAAGAAGAAGAAGAAGAAGAAGAAGAAGAAGAAGGAATATGAGAGGAAGGGGGAAAAAAGAAAGTTACAAAGAAAGTAGTTCACCTGCAGGTGAAGAGCGATGACCGCACGGTGGTAAAGAGATGACTGATGGAAGAATGAAGAGGTATCAATCGAGGGCCACCTGGCTCATGTACGTTTCGAAGCAACTTTGAAACTGGCTACCAGAGACATGCGTCAAGGTCAAGGCATCGCCGGGCCATCAAGGAAATGCTTCGGATCAAACCAGGGATGGGTAAAAAATGATCAAGGGAAGAAGTAGACTTAAGAAAAAGAAAAGGACAATGAGAGTTGAATAAGAGACCCCACAGGAGTTTCGACTCTCACAAGGAGAGGAAAGAAGAGAGCAAAGGTGGACAGACAAGACTGTTTTCAAATCTATGGAGCATCACGAAGCAAAGGAAGCAAGAAAAAATCGCTTGTCATTCGCAAATGCAAAACGCAATGACAATGATGCAGTGGGGGAATCGCAATGGCTAAAATTTTGTCGAGAGGGAGGGACGAGAAGTGATACGTCAACACAACACTCTCACACGACGAGAAAGGAAAAGAGACAGGAGAGAACAAAGGGGCTGTTGTGCTTGCGCCAGAATCAGGGCGGCCTTGATTGCGCAAAGCCTGGAGTACAACCCGGAGGAGGAGCAGTATGGACATGAGATTGTATAGTGGACACGCTTGAGACGCGTTCAAGGGCACTGATGATTTTCGCAAATTTGAAATAGACAAATGCCGCGGAACACCTCATTTGAGCTTCCCTGGTTTAGAAGACAGCAGCGAGCCCGTTCTTGGAGTGTCGCCTGCTGAACCTCTTCTTACCCTTAGTGGAGTCCGAGTCATTCGCTTGATGTTTCGTCAAGTGATTGCGCCCGGGGGGTGGGACATTGCTCTCGTTCTGTAACTCTGTGCTCCGATCGAGGGTATTGGAGTGACTAGAGAATCCGGATGAAAGGTCTCTAAAGGCATCCTCGGCAGAATATGAACCCGTGTTTGGTTGTAGGGAGGCCATCTCCTTGGCACGGTCTAATGTATCCAGCCATTCCTGTGTTGAAACCGCTGTCGCTCCCGTATTGCTTGAAGAAGGCTTAGGGTCTTCAAAGACCAGATGTTTCTCTTTCTGAGAGAACTGTTAGTCCGGCAGGTCTCACCAATCAAGAGAGAATCTTTTATTAAACCACTTACCGTATCGACAATCCACAAGGAGTGCCCCTTGCTATCCGTGGTGCTCCGGTAGTGTGTCTCTGGCGCGAGCAGCGAAACTTCAAGCTTTGCCTTCTTCTCGTCACCTCCGGCTGGAGCAAGAATGATCCGCGCGGACGAGGTGACCATGACCAATCGCGCTCGCTTCTTGGTAGTTGATCCGGAGAAGAAGCGGGAAAACTTCTTTGGAGCCTCCGCTTCGTGAGCTCCATTCTTCGAAGACAAGCTATGAGATTGGGGAGACGAAGTCACCACTAGGTTGCCCAGCTTGAGAATGCGTTCGTTCGCTCGACTCAAGACTGGGGACCACTCGATATCCAATTGACTGGGCGGTGGTAGCTCGGTGACCACGCGCGGGAGCACACGTGAGGGGTTGTTGTTATTGTTGTTACTGTTACCGGGAGCATTCGACGGCGCCGTCGAGATCACTGGAGGAAGGCTATCACCCCCGTCAGTTCCGTTGAGTTTGATGGGCTCTCGCGCCGGGGGCACGTAGGCTTTTAGTCGGGGGGCCTTCTGCTTCCACAGCTCCGGTCCCCAGGAAACTCCTTGAAAGAACTCATGGTTCTTGATATGCTCGATCTGGAGACGTCGCGCGGGGTCTAAGACCAGAAGACGCTCGACCAAGTCGCGGGCCACTGTGGGAAACCCAATCGGAAATTCATAGTCCAAGGCAACAATCTTCTGGAAGGTCTGATACTCATTGCTAGCTTTGAATGGCGGTCGGCCGGAGAGCAATTGATAGATGATGCATCCAAAGGCCCACAGGTCGCTCGCCTTGCATGCGTTCTTCTCCGTCAACAACTCTGGGCTCACATACTCGGCTGTCCCCACAAAGGAACTCGCCCTCTCCTCCTCCGGAATTTCGCTGGCGTCCAGTGGGGGCATCGAAGCCTGGTTCTCATCGAGCCGTCGGGGCTTGAGGATCTTGGCCGTGCCGAAATCCGTGATCTTCACATACATCTGATGATCGAGCAAGACGTTCTCCGGCTTCAGATCGCGATGAATGACCCCGCACCGATGCATATAATCTATCGTGTCGAGGATCTGAGCACCGTAGAAGCGCGTGCATTCCTCGTCGAACGTGGTCATGCGTTTGAGCACGCCGAGTAACTCTCCTCCTTTGCATAGATCCAAAACGAAGTAGAGGGATCGCTCATCCTGGAAGGTGTAGTAGAGGCGGACGATGCCCGGGTGATCGGTCAATCGGTTCAGCGTGTCCTTTTCAATGTTGACGTACTTGACCTTCTTTTCCTTGATGATGTGTCGCTTGTCGAGAATTTTGATGGCATACTCCTTGAGAGTTTGCCGATCCGTTGCAAACACGACCGTGCTGTAGGAGCCTTCTCCCAGCGTGTTGCCGAACGAGAAATCCCGCACACCTTTCTTGATAAACCGCGAGACCGTCTTTCCGTGGGCGTCGACTTCCTGCCTCACCGCGACTGCGGCACCGCGATCCTGCCAATCCTCACTGCTGGGCGCCGGTCCGTTCTCCATACTATAAGGCGTCCGCGACATCTGTGCGGGGTGTGCTCCGCGGGCGTGTGCTCGTGATGATTGCCGCAGGACAGCCGGTCCGTTCACGGGAATCTGTGTGGTCCGGTAGGAGCGATCGCTGTGAGAGTTGTCGCGCGCTAGAACTCCAGCTTGCAAGGCGACCGAGCCACCGCGCGTGTCGACCCGCGATAAAGGCACCGATGTTGATGAGGCGCCGGAGTCGGTGCGCATGCGGTAGGAGTTGTCGCGGTGCAGCACAGATGAGACGGAGCCGTTGGTATAGGCGGAGGAAAGGGGCCGAGTGGCGTGAGGAGGGGTCCCAAAAGCAGATGCTGGATACTGCTGATACGAGGCTGATGAGGTTGAGGCGGGCGGGGCGGTGTCGGAGGGATGTTGCGCAGGAGGGAAACTATACTCGGACGAGGCAGCAGTCTCGAGGGGCGTTGAGGGCAGAGTCGTGGAGTGGTCTTCGAGCGGCGCGGGCACCGGTGGAGTTGTTGATACCGACCCGTCCGGTTGATCCGTTGGAACCACGCTGGCTGTCTCGGACTGGAGGGGCGAGTCATCCGGGTTCGCGATACGGAGGCCTCCCAGCGACTGGGAGAGACTGATGTCACCGTTCATGTCGAGCAACTTTCACACGACAAACGGGCAAGCCGACTGTGAGATGGCCCCAGGAAAAAGGAAAAAAAGAAGGAATCGAACGACCAAGGACCACCGAGATCTGGATTTCAACCAAGAAGGGGTGTGGGACAACACAAGAGTCGCAAAAACAAACGGTGGATGATCAGGACCGGCGGGGACAATGGTTGGTTCGGGCAGTCAATGTAATTGTAAAAGGTGGACTCGCCAGGGGTACAAACGAGTCCGACAGACGGCCGACGAACTATGACGGCGACAATTGACACCGCGAAGACATGGCCCAGCAGCAGATGGAGGGGCGGTTAGCTGTCAAGGACGGATTCAGATGATGTTTTTTTTTCTGGAGAAAACAAGTCCCCAGGTCGGTGAGGAAAGGGGAGTTTGATGTGTGCTGCGTGGGTGTGGGGGCCTGGAGACGGGAGAGGAGGACCGAGTGACAGGCAGCACCCAGCAGAATCCTTTAGAAAGCGAGACAGAGGAAGCTTATAGAGAAGAGAGGGGGAGAGGGGAGCAAGAGGGGTGAGGCGGGCCTCGCGATAGCCGATGTGAACGAAAGAGAGAGAGAGAGAGAGATAAAGAGAGAGATGTGGAGAGATGGAGAGATGGAGAGAGAGAGAGAGAGAGGGAGACAACAGAAGACAGGGAGGTTCTCGAGGGGAAATGGAAGAAGAATCAGAAAGTTCAGTAGTAGGCAAAGCCCGCGATGAGAATGGGGTTTAGCTTCTTGCCTCGAACGGGGGGCGGAGCAGCTCAATCTTGATATCGCATCCGACACTCAAAATGGGGTCGATTACGCTCGAAGGGGGAAGAATTGGTATCAGACAGGATGGCCGACACGGTGCTGACGCTTTCTGTGCGTGGCTTTCTCTTTACGGCATCGGACTCGCAGACGAGCCGCATGGCGGCAGACGTCAGAGTCCTTGGGGACATGGATGGCCTCGGCATGCGTTCAGTCAGGGTGTCCCGTCTACAGTACGGGCAGTGCTAGGTAGAGATGTTTGAAGGGTCGAAATTAACTCGAAATGATGGGCATTTGAGTAGGAAACTGGTGATTGCAGTGGATCAGTCCAGGATGGCCATGAGATGATTATAGCCGGTGTCAGAAGAGATGGTACCGTCAACCTGACGACAGGCTGGAATGATGCGATCCAGTCTGCACTGGTCCAAAGCTGCCCGAATATGCAGATGTGTGAGGCAGTGAGATTCTTAATACAAGAGGTCACAGAAATATATAATAAAGATCAAATCTTTATGAATTTGTGGAGGACAGAACTCGCTAGATGTGTGTGTGGCTTATCTGGGAGGGCAACGAGTCATGCTCGTACACTTGAGCGGTACGTTGGTGGACGGTAGTTGAGTCAGTGAGTTTGACGGTTGACTGTCCAGCATTTCCTGTTTCAGCATCTGTCGCTCAGGTTCACCGTTGGTTGATCGACAAGATCTGGACGGAGACAGAGACAGAGATAGGCCGCGTGGATGGACACCTCGTGTACTTGCCCGAGTCGAGTTCTACACGGGGCATCTCAAGGCGCCAGTGCTAGAGGTGTAGTTATTCGCGGAATGGTACGTGTGGACTACCTAAGTTAGTACCTGCAAAGCAGTATCTCGTACACGTGGTCAGATTCGTTCTGTGCTAGAACCAGTCTATGATCGTAGGTAGTCTGCACATTTGTAGAATATCTGCTGTAAGCTGTCCCCCCCTGGGAAAGTTACTCTCAACCGAACAGTCATCGCTGAACAGGGGACACTGTGCCACTGTGAACGCTGTGCTGTGGGGCAAAGTAACAAGCAACCAGGTACCTTGTGTCTATTTCCATCGGCCGACCTGTGTTTGACCCAGACAATCTTCAGGTTCCTGGATCTCTCCGATTGACAGGATGATGGCGAGAATCCGCGCCACTTCATCTTGTATCGGTGTGATGATTGCAGCTCAAGAAAAGAAAAAGAAGGATGATCGTTATCCATGCTCAGTGTTGAGGCAGGTTTCCTCCTCGTCAATTGCGAGCTAGAACGGCACCAGTGCAGTATTCGACTGAAGGTCTACCAGCACTTTGGTAGCCGTCAGAGTGTAAATCATTGGGAGAGTGAACCGTGAAAAGCTCAGAGGAGGAAGAAGTATGTAAGTATCAAGTAGCTGCACAAGTGAGATTTTGCTTCCAAAGATCAAAGATACCTTGTACTGACAATAGTAGTAGACGTCGACCCCACGATGATAGCGGGCAGCTCAGGTGCTCCTTCTGTGAGATCCAACTGATCCTTCACACGCAACAACCTCATCTTCATACCTTGCACTTCAATCCGCGACCTCGACAAACACTGCCAACTTGGAATCACACAATCAACAGGTTTAAACCCTCTTCTCCCCTTCCTTCCCCACCCTCTCAGATCCTGATCATTTCATCCACCATGATACGTCGTCCGCCCACCGTCATCTCACTGACCGAGGATGATGTAAATTTCCACATGCAGCGGATCTTCGCTCGGTCCTCCACCGCCATAGCGGCTGACATCGGCCGACTCGACCTAGAAGATCCAGATAAAAGCGCTGATGCGATGCATCAAGACCAACCCAATCAGACACCATCGCCAGAGTCGGGCACCAAGCCCCAGGGCCGTGATACTCAACCTTCTCAAGGTCCGCGCAGCGATAAACGAAACTCGACCATGACCGCATCTGCTTCGACGGGGATCAGAACACCTCTCGCATCGACAACCGTCCGCCCAGCCTCCACGATGCGTGGCGTGACCCACCGAGCCTCTGCTGCTAATTTTGTCAACTCCAGTGGGGCTTCCATGGTCGATGCCGCCGCCGCCCATTTGGTGTCCTTCTATTCCTCACAGACTAATACTCCAACTCCAACGACTCGGACTCGAGAGGCCTCTCCCGCCTCACCTCAACGGATGCGTCTGACTATTCCTCCACAGGAATTTCTAGAGCGCCGGATCACTCTATCGCCAAGTAAGAAGAAAGGTACGTCGAGACAGCACACCTCTTGTCCAGCGCGCCAACGGGTGGACAGTGGACCGTGGACACTGGACCAGTGGACAGACTAAAGCTCACAAACGAGGACTCCTTGACGCAGATAATTGTCATCGCCGATGCAACACTCGAGATATTGCAAGACTCAATCTGAACTGGGATGGTTCGGGACTATCTCCTCCTGCATCGTCTCGAGAGGCGTCCACTCCTACTCGTGCGCAGCGAGAGCTAACCAATACCCTTGACTCACTGTGGAGTCAAGCCCTAGAGTCCTCAACTACACTTTGCGACGCAGAAGCGGAAGAAATGGATACCTTGCCCGAGCCAACGGTCGGTCACTAAACTCACAGAGCGGTCCAAGTCTCGCGCGTCTCATTCTTGAGACAATTCATGCAGTGCAAGAAGATAACTCTTTCGACATCAATCGACTATTCACTATGTATGGTTCTTATTCGAGTGCGCCTACCTACGACACACGGCGCAGACATTCTTCTTACTAACCAGGCCCATGTCATTGAATCACGCCCAAGGGCCACTCGCATTCTTTTCCATCAGCCGACCTTAACGTTTGTAAGTTTAGTCCAACCTCAGCTACACTCGGAATGGAGTCGGTGCTTCGAGCTGTTGCGTCGGCAGCATGGCACAAGGTTGAAGTCTGTCAGGCGGAAACCTCACATTTGACGGTCTGCCATGCCCACCCTCTAGTCTGTTGAGTCTATCTTACGGAGTATCAATACATCTTCTCCGCCAGTCAATGATCTCTGCCTTTGCTCATTCTCCCCATACTGCTTCGACTGTAGACAAGTTCCGAGATCACCATCTCAGTATATATTTTCTGGGAAACCACGTAGAGATTAGGTTTATAAAGACCCATCATAGATACAGCGAACATTATCTGTCAACGGCAAATACGTCACACTCATTCTCAGTGTCCATGCAGCACGCCAGCCGACTCCGGTGGATCTGCATACCTGACAGGAAGCTAGAAGTAGACCAGGGCATCACCCCAGTCCTTCCAATGGAAACAGAATGTCAAACTGTGGACCACTGGACTGAGCCGGAGCGTGTCTCTTCAATGCCCTTTCTCCAGGTTCACTTAAGGTTTCCTAGGCCTCGTCACATCCTGCACATCGAGTTTTCATCAATCTACACACTACACTACAGTACTACACTGTACCAGCCAAACGTCAGAAAGAGAAATATAAACAACCTCCAAACAAAACTCAAAGCTCAGGTATCAACCTGGCTTATACTAAGAGCCATTATGGACTTGTTCTGTCCACTCTCCGTGATGGGACAATGGTTCCACCGACGATCCAGTAGTTCACGCCAACAAGCCACGCGAATTTCGCCTCGAGAACTGCAGGTGAGCGTTTCGGTCTAGACCCGCCGATTTTCGGGTAGTTCGTAGTTTGTACATGGTTAGTACCCCCATAGAGTCCATACTTCAGGCTCCATAGAGGTTACCTTAGTACTGATGGAACTTGGTAGTCTATCAGGTTAGCCAGTTCAAGGCTAGATTAAATCACCTATGTTCAGTGGCATCATGATGTTAATAGCCTTGGTTTGGAGGAATGTTTACAGAAATCTGCCACTACGGATTTGAAAATTGATCGGCGTGCGAGAGACTGATGGGAAGAGGAACCACCTGCCTAAGCAGCCCTGATCGTTATGGAAAGATGCCGCGGCCTGCTGCTACACCTATACAACGGACCAGTCCCTTGAGAACGAATTGATTGTTGATATATTTTTCTACGTCACAATCTCGTCCGGAATAGTGAAAAGAGTAGTCGAATCGTAAAAATTGCTTCGATTAGAGCAAACACTGTCGTGTCAAGCAAGTCTAAAAAAAATTGTATATCGAGAAACCAGAGCCGAAAGCGGCATCCAGTTTAGACGGCAAGAATGCCCCCGGGAAAAATAAAAATGAATAGTGACGACAGATTGTTAGACATGGGAAGAATGGGTTGAGTAGGGTATGAGGGAGAAGAAAGAAAAAGAACCACTTGAAACGCCAACAAAGGTCATCTCCCAGATGTCGCTTCAGATGTGTCCCGCCTTCGCATGTGTAATTTTTCCGTGACAATGTGGTCTTCGTGCAGTCAAATCAACGTGATAGAAAAAGCTAGGGGGGAGAGAAATAAGCCGTTTCAAAGGATGAAAAGGAGATAATGTGATGGCAAACCGGGGGGAAAAAAGAAGGGCGACGTAAACAAATCCTCTACTGCTGGGTCTTCTTGGCGAAGATCTGGGCACCGTCGACCAGACGACGCTCGGTGTTCTGACGACCGTTGACAAAGTCGGGGTAGTTGAGGGTCAGTTCAACGGCACCGTTGACAATGTTGTCAACAGCCTCCACACCCAGCATGAAGGAGTGATCCTGGTTACCGACCTCGTACCGCCAGCTACCAAAGCGACCACGGGACCAGATACCCTTCTCCTGCAGCTTGGGTAGGATCTGAGTAAGAGCACCCTCACGCTCCAGGGAAGGAGTAGGGTAACCGTGATCGAAGCGGCGGTGATAGGTGGAAACGATCTCGTCACCGGGCTTGAGCATATCGGTGTTGACCAGACCCTGAATGGACTCAGCCAGAAGGGTCTCGTGGTTCACGGGCTTCATGCCGGACTCGGAAGCCTCCAACATGATGGACCAGTAAGGGCCCTCCTTGGCCTCGGTGCTGCTGGGCTTGGAACCATCGGCCAACTGAAGGGTGGGCAGCTTCTTGGAGGCGTCGGGCTGATTGTAGGGGGAGTAGTTGGAGAAGATGGTGGCACGGTAGAAGGGGCAGTTGTCCTCGGGGAAGTACAACCAGCACTTGTCACCGATGCGCTCGGGACGGGCACCACGGATGCCGACACCAATGACGTGAGTGGAAGAGTAGTAGAGCTGCTTGGTCAAGGGCATGAGCTCCTTGTCATCCATGGCCTCGACGAGGAAGTCAACGGCCATGGTGGAAACAAGCTTGGAGTAGCCGATGACAGTGCCGTCGGCCAGAGTGACGGTCTTGTTGTTGGCGTTGACCTTGGAGACCTTGCCCTTGTCACCGAAGCGAGTCTTCTCCTTGGGGAGAGTGTTGGCAACGGCGATCCAGATACCACCGGTTCCGTCGCGAGCGGGGAAACGGAAGGTAGCGTTGGGGCCCCAGTTACCAGCGGTCTTGTTGAGGATAACGTTGGTGGTCACAGCCTTGAGATTAGGGGCGGCGACACGCTCACCAAGCCAAGCACATTGCATCTACAGCGCAGAGTCAGACGTGGATCCCGAGAAGAGTTGGGGTTCAAAAGAAAAAAAAATAGCGCCACGTACCTTGGTGGTGGGAACGGCCCAAACCTTGTAGTTGTAGGGACGCATGAAAAGGTCAGCAATACCAGTACCCATCATACGAACAATCCACTCGTCAAAGTTCTTGGGCTTGGTGTTGGCCACGCGAGCCTCCATGGCAGCGTCGATCATGCCGTCGATGCACTTGACCTGCTCCTCCTTGGGCAGCATGGAGATGTTGTTCTGGAAGGGGTAGGGAACCCATTGCTCCTTGCAGCGAACGTAGGAGATACGCTCGTGGGTATACCAGTCGTCCTCCTTGGGGAGGGCCTCGTCGATGCAGTCATCGAAGTACTTGTAGTGGGAGAAGATGACGTGGCCACCAACGTCGTAGAGCTGCCGAGACAAGGTAAAACCACGTTAGAACCACCGCCAGGAGGATGCCGCCCTGTTTCCGCTGTACTCTTCGGTACTCGCAAGAAGATCGGGGAGCAATTGGTCGAGGAGATCAGGGGGGAGGGGGGCAAACTTACGAAGCCCTCGTCAGTGGTGTCGGTGGAAGCGAGACCACCGGGGGTCTCGTTGGAGTCGATGATCAACCAAGAGGGGCCATCCTAGAAATCGCAGAAGTCAGTCCTGTCGCACAACGCAATTCAGGCCCGTAGCACCTCTTCAACGGTCGAGAGATGCTGATTGACCCCGCTGCCGCTTATTTTGATTTTTTGACAGCTCCTTCTGCTCCCACGGAGCATGGGGACGAGGGGTCAAGCTTCACAGCCCAAAACAACAAGGGAACACATCCAAGCCCAGAAGGGCTAAAAAAAAAAGAACAGTCGAGACTCACAATCTGATTGAGACGCTTGGCCGCACCCAATCCAGTCGGGCCAGCACCAATGACGAGAACGTCGACGGTACTACAATTGTGAAGGGGTCAGTCTCGGGGGAAATTTTGCAGCTAGTCGTGGGAGGGGGCACGGTGTTTCGTCGACGAGGACAGCAGCAGCTCTTACATGTCGGGGTGGGTCATCCTGCCTTGAAGGAGGTCCTGGAAGCTGGGCACGCGTTTAAAGGTTCGACGAGCGATGTTCAGCATAAGAGAAAGCAATGGCAGCAGAGAAACTGCAGAATGTCCCGGCTAGAAAGGAAGGAAGGAGAGATGGATAAAAGGAGGAGGGAGAGGGGGAGATGAGAAAAGGGAGGGGGGGGACCGCTGGGTAGATTAGAGGAAGTGGACACAACCGCATGGAGTCATGGACAAGCAGTGGTCTTGTAGGATCATCGGGGCCACCTCACCTGGGTCCGTTGGAGTGTTGGACCGCCAGTTGGTCTGTGGTTCGCACGAGGAATTGGGAATTGGAAATTGAGAATTTGTGGATTTTTTGGGTTAGTATTTGGCAACGCGGAAGCTTGCCACTGCACTGTTGCTACTAGGCTTTTTTCGCCCGGTACTTTTGTATTCTTCTTTTCTCTTTTTTTTGGTGGTGATGCTCAGATGCAGGACTCGCCCGGGAGTACTTACTCAGGTACTAGTACTAACTAACTACAATAGTAGGGTTGAGGGGGAAGAAGAGCAGTATCGAGGACTTTGGGTGCATCACCGCCGGTGCAGGTGGAGAGCCACTCTCAATGTCACCATATGGTGGTTCATACTTCATAGAGTGTTACTGTGTGTTACTGTGTTCAACGTGTTGAGTCTGTTGACTGTCAACTATTGACCACCTGAGGTACCGAGTACCCTCTGCCACTGCAGAGTGCAAGAGTGCAGCACCGCCATCACTGCCCTTTTGCCCCTGGTGGGCCGTTTCCTCTTTGGAGCAGTGGATCCGCGTGGTGGATCCCGCCAGGGCCCATGCAGGTCGAATTTCCGCAACTGGGTTAAGGGGCTACCCAATGATCGGACGCAACAGGAGCATGGAAACCGACCCGAGACCGTCCAGAGAACTCCAGAGACTCCAGACTGGGTTGCCCATGTCACCCAGCACAGCTGCACGGGTGCCATCGACTCTATCAAGTCTATCGGAGCGACGAAGAGTGGAGCAGGGGTGCCCGTTTCAGGTTGACTTGGGAGTCCAGAGCGAGCTGGCCCCTTTTTCTCATCCAGAACGACAGGCCGCTGCCGGCAATGGACGATCCTGCAGCGATTGGAGCCACGAGGAAGTTGAGAGTCTACCGTAGAGCCTTGAGTCCCGACTCCAGAGTCCACACTGCCGATGCCGAGCGGGATTCCAGAATCACGGGCGTACTGTACGAGCAAGGCTACAAAGAGCAAGGAGACATATAGCAACGGTCAAGCGAGACAAGGCCAACTCCACAGTGAAGGACTAGAACTGGACGCCGTTCTAACGTTCTCTGATCTGCCATCACATGACGGAGTGTGAACGAGGAGATGACGGACCTGATTTCCAGACGTGACAGGCTCCATTTTCAACGCGTTCATCAGAGGACGAACATGGTTCGTTGGTCGCCAAATGCAAGATCGACAGCGATGGACCTTATCAGGGGGCGATTTCTCCGGCGCGAAGGGATTGGATCCTTGAGGGCGTTGGCAACCGCAATCGGATTGACATGCACTCCGCTCCAGAACAGCATTCAATTCGCTTGGAAGTAACTACACCTCTGTAAGGGTGCCTGTACTCCAGCAATGAAGCCGTCGAGGTCTCGCCTGACTCGGCCAAAAGGGTAGTATTTCGCCAACTCTTGGTACCATTGTGTCAGAACAAGCTTTGCTCGATTGGGCCAAGTTCTCTTCCGGCTCCCCGACAAAGCCTCTTGATGAGGGGGTACCGGCATTGAGAACAAGCAGCTACTCATAGTCTCACACCGCAAATGCCATATGGGTTTTCTGCCTGATCATTGTCTCCCACTTGCGATCTCGGCGGCACCCGCGGTCACTGCTAACTGATCAAGGGGTCGTTCCTCATGAGCCGACTGCCGCGTTTGGCAAGGGTGTCAATACCTGAATCTTTCATCGACCGTCGGTCCAAATGCAAATGAAACAAAGCTTGATTTTGTTCAAAGACGCCATATAGGCATGAGGTTGCATGACTTTGAGGTCTATCGACTTTCGCCGATAGGCGCCCATATCTCAATCAGGATTCAAGGCGACTGGACCAGGAACGTTGGGTACCTGGCATACCTGCGCACTTGGACGCATGCTGCATCCGGAGGGTCCATGTCTCCGATTACCTTCGGCATCGATGGCAGATGGAGAGTGTCTCCGGGCCGAGCCAGTGTTACTACAGTACTGCTAGTCCCAAGACAGGTGCCTGGAGCCCTGTACTAGCTGAGCAGGACTCCACTGCCCTGACACACCTCCGACCTCTGACGAATGGGAGAGCAACGTGTACTGGACCTGTGCGACGATAGAGTAATTCCCTTCTGAGGTTATGACGACGATGCGGGCAACCTTTGTGAGGGGACCGAAGCGAGACAACTGTGTTTCGACCTCCGATCATGTCCTGAGGTGGTGAGGTGATTATAAGTAGCGGGTCATATAATGATTGATGATAGCCTGGTGCGTAGTACACGACTACACAGTAGAAACCATCCATACTCACCTGTATGTCTTTCAAGACAGTTACAGGCAAGTTTCAGCTTTATTACTATTCGTTTTATAGTATGCGACTACGTAGTGCGTAACTCCGTCGTTACTGTATCTAGGAACTTATGAAGAGACCTGAACAGGGCCTTCCATTCTCCCGGGATAGTCATGGACGCACTGGAGGGTGTCTACTTAGTTATGAGTGGGTATTGACATGTTGACAGGGGATACTTAAGTCACTGGTCCACCGTTGGCTCGGACGATCCACCAGTACCAAGCCTATGACTTGGAAAACGGGCATTGTGCACAAGAATGGATGAGGCCAACATCTTGGTGATCAATGTTCCTCCATATGTGCTTGAACGGGACATGCCGCTGTAGGTCACACTAAATTTCCTTCTCCGTTGACGGGCCTATGATCTGGTGACGGTCAATGACTGATCGTGCTTCATTGGATATACGAAGTCTTGAAATCAGACAAGAAAGGAGAGAAAGAGCAAGGTACATTGATGTGAGCCGACTTGCATGAGTTTCGGTCACCTTAGCGCGGCGAGTGGGATGTTGCTGTAATGTACTATGCAGATCCTGCAAAGATCGTCGGCAGAACGAGTCAGGACAGTCGGCAACCCATCCCCTCGAGATCTGAAACAGCCTTTCTACCCTCTATTTGATCACTGTGTGCCGTGCGAGGAATATTACACCTCTCTCTGGTTGTACCAATGATCGGTACTCTATCTAGGACCGCATTCCATCATCTATGGGTCAAATAGCCCAAGTATGTATCCAGCAGTGATGCACTTTGCACACGCATGTCCTTCAGGATTCAGGGCTACACCTCAGTAAGGGTCCAAGAAATGATAGCCGCACCACGCGTCCAGGGGGGATGCTAACAGTGGACCCCCAAACAAGATCCACCGTTGATCTGTCTGTCATGGCCAAAGCAAGGAAATGTTAATGAGGATCATCGCGCAGATGAAGCTTCAACCGCTCGTTGATCGACACTTTGCTTCCTTCATTGAGCACGCAGGCATTTTGCCATTGTAAGGAGGATGTTGTTTACTCGACGCAGACTGCCAGTGCCGCGTACTCGGTGTTTCGGCCAAACGCTGATACAAGCAATTTGACTAGCACTCATTTGTTCCACCTTTTAAATCTAAGAGGTGATAGGAATACATATACTGTAGGTACCTTGGCATGCGATTTGATCTGCTCTGTCTCTTCGGCTGGTTATCTTAAATAGTGGTGACAGGTGGGGTCTCGTACGGTCCTGTCGTACCTAAAGGATGAATACATTGATGCAATGGCGTTAGGCGTAGGTAGCCCTCCCTTGAAAACCCAGGCTTCGGGACGATCGCCGCATCATCCACCGGCAAAGGACGGCGGAGAAGATAGCGCAACTCATTCTTGTCGACACGTTCAGGTACCATCCATCTCACGTGTTGTTCTATGCACCAAAGATGACGGTGACTTTGGCCATGAGATGTGACGCTCCTAATTGCGGATGGTGCACGCCGTGGATCGAGGATGGGAGCTGCTAGCGTAATCCGATGTCCTCCAGTTCAAGGGCTCCTACAGCTCGGGCTGGTACTGGACATCGGAGCGGTCTGTTTTGATCAATCCAATGCATCCATGGGCCGCTGGTTGATATTCGGATGACGCTGTTACATTATGGACCTCTGGACTGGTCGTCTAAAGATAGAGGACACATGATGACGAAGGATGAGCTAGACCAATCTGTGAATACTAGGTTCTCCGAGCTACACCTCAGCACCAAGGTATATTTGTATTCTGTAGTACCGACCGTCCGCCACAAGACAAGGATGGTCGTCCTGATGTACACATGGCATATGATGCTTTGAAGGCACTCGAGAGAGGTTGAGCTTCCGCCCACCTCGCAGTCGCCATCCCCATGGAGAGGTCATATCGGGCGTTCAGAGACCTCTATCATCGACACGACAGGCCTTTGCCCGAGTCTCTCCTCGAGGCGACTTTGAATCTACAGTAGAAAAATCTGGAAAACCTTTGAGTGATGCCTCGACGTAGGAAATCTTAGCCGCCTGCAGGGCAAGAGAAAAATGTCCGCAACAAAAGCCAGGAGGGTGTGGCTGCTGGCACTGATTGGTTTGTGACATCAAAGTTGCCACGAGTTGATGCATACTGTCAAAGGTTCAGGAATCAGGATTGATTCCGGTACAACAGTACTGTTGTTTTAGCAGAACGAGGTCTCTATAATACCGTCATTAATACTCTGAAAGATCAAGCCTTGACATAGGAAACTGGGCTCTTGTAGGCGGTGTAGCAGTTTCTGAAGTGCAAAGCGGGTTCGATCGTAACGCTGTATATTACATGTGTACTGTATTTCCAGTGTAATCATGGAACCCCATGCAACGCGTAAGCCTGATCATCATGGACCCCCTTAGTTAAAGAGCAGTCACCTATCAGAGTGGAAGTGGTGCAGTGCAAACGCCGCGCACTCGAGGAGGCCAATTGCGCTGTTTGCAGCGGAGATGCAAAGCGGAGCTGGCGACGGTGTGTTCCTGGCCCACCTCAACCGTTCTCCGTGTCCGACCTCTCTGAGTCTCTCAGTCTCACTCTCTGGTGCTGGCCGCGATTCTGACTCTCAGATCTTCGGTTGACCCTCTATTCGGGCCAGGCTAGACCTGAACAGTCCCGTCTCCATCGACTGTCTGCTACCACTAGTCTCCAGTCTCGAGACTCTCTACTCTAGACTCACCTCTGATTTTCCCTGTATCCTATTTCTTTTGTGCCACCAAGATTCTACCAGACATCACCGCAAACTTGCTTGTTTCCCCCTAAACCCTCCACCATCTTATAGTACGTGCCCTATTCCGGCCTGACCCGGAGAACGTTCCATTGTCACTTCGTCGTCGCTGCCCCTACTACAACCCACTCGGGTTCCCCTTCTGAACTCTGTCTCCCAAGAGTCCAGCCGACCATCCGACGTTGGCCCATTCCTCTTCCATTTCCGGCCTGTGATCCCCCAATCGCATATTCATTAACCGTTCCTCCACCTGTCAGTGAATCTTATCGCCTTTTAATCTCCCTTCGCCTCTACCCCTCGTGGCTTCTTCCGCGTTCAGTCACGGAAGCCTGACACGGCCACGGCCCTTTGAATTTCGACAATTCCTCTCTGATCAGACTCGACTCCCTCGAGCATTCGCCATGACTGTCGACAACGAGAAAGTGCGTGCCTCGGGCGAAACTCCGCGGGAGACGCTCCCCACGGTCAACCCGGCAATTGAGAAGCAGCAGGAGGCTGCGAAGTCTACTGCCTTCCACCCGGCCGTTTACGTGAGGTAGGACATATACGCCCATTCGAAGTGTGCCCACCGATCGATGCAAGGAAACAATTGATTCTGGTCACGCTGGCGCGCAAGAAGAAGAAGAAGAATGAGCGAATCGCTGACCTGCAATGCCACAGCATCTGGATTACCCTCAGTTCCTCGGTCATTCTGTTCAACAAGTGGATTCTCGACTATGCCAATTTCCGTGAGTTGTTCCCCAGTCACTTTGCCTGACCGTGGTACACACTGATATTGACAATTCGACTTTCACGTGCGCAGGCTTCCCGGTACTCTTGACAACATGGCACTTGGCATTCGCGACCATCATGACCCAGCTGCTAGCTCGCTTCACCACTGTTCTCGATGGACGCAAGTCTGTCAAGATGACTGGTCGCGTCTATCTCCGCGCAATCGTTCCGATCGGTCTCATGTTCAGTCTGAGTCTGATCTGCGGTAATATGACATATCTATATCTGAGTGTGGCTTTCATCCAGATGCTCAAGGTATGTAGCTCTACCGCCTTTCGGTCCGCGCAAGGAACTCTGACTCTCCGAGCGAAGACTAACATGTGGGACTGCGTTTTTGGTGCGTGTAGGCTACTACTCCCGTTGCCGTTCTGCTTGCCACCTGGGGCATGGGTATGGCTCCCGTTAACTACAAGACCCTCGCCAATGTCTCCATCATTGTGGTCGGTGTTGTTATTGCGTCCTTTGGTGAGATCAAGTTTGTCTTGGTCGGTTTCCTGTTTCAGTTGGGTGGTATCGTCTTCGAGGCCACCCGCTTGGTCATGGTTCAGCGCCTTCTCAGCTCTGCCGAGTACAAGATGGACCCGATGGTGTCGCTCTACTACTTCGCCCCGGTCTGTGCCGTGATGAACGGCGTGGTGGCTCTGTTCCTCGAGGTCCCCAGCCTGACTATGGGCCACATCTACAACGTAGGCATCTGGGTCCTGCTTGCTAACGCCATGGTGGCTTTCCTCCTGAACGTTTCCGTGGTCTTCCTGATCGGCAAGACTTCATCTCTGGTGATGACTCTTTGCGGTGTCCTCAAGGATATTCTCCTGGTGGCCGCCTCCATGCTCATCTGGAATACCCCCGTCTCTGGTCTCCAGTTCTTCGGTTACTCCGTGGCGCTTGTCGGTCTTGTCTACTACAAGCTCGGCGGGGAGACGATCCGCGAGTACACTGGACAGGCAAACCGAGCGTGGGCCGAGTACGGCAGCACCAACCCCGCCAAACGCAAGTTCATTGTCTTTGGCGCCGGGGCTCTCATCTTCTTCCTCTTTGTGGGCTCGATGGCACCCAGCTACGCCCCGGAACAGGTTGATCGCGTGAAGACTTTGCTTGGCGGTGCCACTGCTGGTAACGCCTAGACGTGGGCGTGCCTGGAGGGCCTTACGACCCTGAAGCTTTTGGAACCGTCGGGTTGGGTCAGATCGGGGCGACTTTGAATAATGAGCTGGTGTGGTCGAATCCCTGACCGCCTCTTCAGAGCGGCATTGACACTCGTGCGAGGACTCCGGATGGTTCCATGCGCGGGCAGTGATCGGCTGTTGAGGTAGTCTTCCCCTGGATACCGTCACACCACCGTCATTCACAGTGTTATGGTATCTTCTTGTCTTTCCCTTCTTTCTTTGCCTGTTTTTATGCTGGCATCAGCGGCATGCTGGCCCTGCTGCTGTTGGAGTGGCCTGTAAGGACCGCCGAGGGCGACTTGGCGACCAACCCGCGGTCATTTCTCCTCCACAGCCCTCATTGCTTGCTTCCTCACCGCCGGATCTACTCTGTCTTCGGCGCAGGGGCTTTACATTAGCACTTTCTCTTCTCGTACCTTACTTGCTTCCACCTTTCTCTCCTTGGTCCTTTGGCTTCTTGGCTGCTTCGAGTGGCGCCCTCGTCTAATTTTCCCTGATGATCCTGTTTCGCGCTTGACTTGTTGTACACCTTTCGGCGTGGGTTCGCATGGCCTTCAGCCTCGAAACATTCTGGTAGTGGTCACTGGTCCCACCTTTCTCGGCATGTGACATGACTTTGCGTTATCCTCGTGTTGCCACAATAGAAGTGTACTATCTCCACCCATTCTTCCCAATTCTGCGCCTCGTGTCATATTCTCTTAAACGAGCCGTCCGGCCGGCATGGTGTAGTAATCCATGCTACGATGATTCCTTCACCCCTCTACTCGATTAGTAGTACATTTATCGGATACTCTGCCATGGGCTGGTATTGACCTAGGGCTCTGATGCCATGATCACCAAGGTGATGTCTGCGAGCCTTGGGCATCAGACAAACTGAATGTCAAGGATCTGCCGGCCACCCTGTTGTGAGTGTGGAGGAAAAAGGGCTGGCCAGCACTTTTATTCTACTTCTGTACAGTCACAATAGTGCGCCTCCTTAGTACTAACTACTCACTCATCATTCGTTACTCAGTACTCACTACTAACTACTCAGTGACTCACTACTGTTGGCGGAATCGGCCAAGGCGCACTCTGGGGTGACTTGGGTATTGCAGCCGGGAGCGGTGATGCTGCGGTGCATGACCTACCTGTCATGATGGCTGGAATCCGCCTATAGCTTAGTACTCAAGCAGCGAGGCTAAGATAGTCGGGCACTCATCCGACATCACCTCCGGCAAGACCTCGTGACCGGAGCTTACCTACGTATGTGAGTGCAGGGATAGGCCCTCGAGGGCAGTGGACCAAGGCACGAGTGACTCGAAAAGTATGGATGGGACTGGCGTTAACAACTTTACTGCAAAGGGTCAGTTGGCAGGCAAGGTGAGGTCTGTGAGTGTGACTGCGTTGCACAGGCCGTGGCAGTGGCTGGCCACCGGACCAGCGAACTCATGGACAACTGGACGGCTGGATGCGACTCGGCCGTGGGCCCAGCGAGGCTTCTGTCTCAGACTCTCTGATTCTCAGACTTTCCAGTACCCGCGTGTAAGTGAGAGAGTACTAGTAAGTTAGTACTTGCAAAGTGTACACTCGACAAAGTCAGGTAGTCTCCGGATCCAGTGATCCACTGTCCATGGCAAGCCAACAACGTGAATATGACTGGCAGACTGCAGAGGTGGGTCCCTGGGTCTCCGTCCCGAGTCTCAATTGGCAGAGCAAGCCAGGGCTGACGGAATCAGTCCTGAAGATTGGTCAATGGCGATGCATGAGAGCGCCAGCCGCCGCAAAGCCAAACGGCGCGAGCCAATCTCGGGGTCTAACCCGGGTCCACCGGTACTGTCCTGGTATGGTTACGGCCCTCCGGATGCAGAGCAAGGCGTCGCGTATTGCTGTTCTGTATCGTTTTCTCCGCACTGCGGATCCCTCCCTCCGATCACCTCAGATCATCTGTCGCGCAACTGGTCTTCTTCATCCTCTTCCGTCCTTTCTTCCTTTCTTCTTTCTTCTTCTCCTCTCCCTATCTTCTCTCGTATTCTCCATCGCATCGGGTCCTCTCCGTCGTCTGCCTTCTGCATTTGGCCTTCACATCCTCATTCCACTCTTCTTTGGTCGTCTATCTACTTCAGACAGGCTCGCCATTGAGACACATTGACCCTCATTTCGCAAAACCTCCCCCAAGCTCCTACGTTCTCAGTCCTCTATACCCACGCCGAGTCTCATCGACCCTCACTCTTCGCGCCAAAGCTCGTTCACCTGGTCACCGGTCTTCATATATATCATACATACTCTAGGTGGTTGAAGTTTCTGGTGGTAGCCTCACTTACTCTAACAGTTCAGTACCTTGGCCTTCGCGCGAGATTGCGATACTCCCCATCATGTGTCCTACGATCGTCAGTCGCCTGTCCGACGGGCCCGCGATACTTCTCTCTCCTTCCCAAGACCGCGTCTTTGGTCAGCTCCCCTCCCAGTCTCTGCTGGATGTCCACACTGACTTTCACACCTACTCGGGTACCTTCAATTCCACATTCGGAGCGAGCAAATCAACACAGCCCGCGGTGCCCGTACAACCAAAGGTATCTCGCAAGAGGTCGCGAGATGAGTCGGTGGTTGATGAGCTGCTCCTTGCAGATGGTTCCTCTCCTCAGGAGGCGTCTGGAGAGGCACAGCCTTCCCTGAACATGGCAGGCTCCATTCCCTCCGGTCTGCAAAATGGGTTGGGGCCCTCCATTGCCAATCCCGCTGGGGCCGTTGAGTCACAGCAGGGGGCTGCAGCTGTCCTGGACAGCCAAGGGATCAGTCGCAAGGCACAGAGACTCGACGCTTCTACATCGGGCTTTGGCCAGACCTCCGCGACTGGAAGTCATGAAAGCGCAAGCGGTAGCATTGTGGCAGATCTGCATCGCACAAGCCCGCCATCACCGCCCGCAGAGCCTCTTGTTGACGAAGCAACGCGGCTACTTGGCATTAGTTGGCAGCGTGTTGACACAGATCCCGACATGGCCCCTGCTGTCCGCGGCTGGACCAAGTACATCGACAATCAATACTCTGCGCACTTGCACGACTCGCAAATGCTGATGAAGAGCCGCGCCTTGAGTGCCTACCTAGTTGCTGCCACACCAAATTCCAGCTCCTGCACCAGCTTCTATTTGTTCAATGAAGACTTGACGCAAGGCCAGCTGGTGGCGTCTTCTTGGGAAGCCTGTCTGCACAACCTTCGCTATACACCTCCTGTGTTTGAGGGGAACGCAGTCATCGTGGCCGCCGGCCGTCCAGAGCCGACTTCCAATCCTTTTACCTCTACGAGCGAATCGGGCGTGCCCCTTTTGCAACAGGCCCTCTCCAGTCACACTCACGTGGCCCCGTGCGGTATGACCGCGGGAATGGGGCTGAACCAAGGCGTGGACATGGGAATGGAGATCGACTCTTAGAACTACGCACGAACCATCCGCAACACATGGAATTTCCGTTACGATTCGACGAGGCTTATTGCTTTTTGCGAACTCGAAAGGCCTCTCCTCCGACTCCGCACGGACTTGATCGATGTCGTCGATCCATCGATGTGTCTCTCCCACGCCTGCTCGATTTTCGTATTCCGTATATTGTATTTGCTTTCCATGTCTCCGCGACGGATTTATAGTACTTGATCACTCTTTTTTCTATTCTACAGCTTTTGATGGCTGCTTTTAACTGACCCAGGGCCACAATCATCACAAGTCCAGGACTGTTGAGCAGATGGATCAGCGGACAATGATTGTCGCTGAGCATTTTGCCCTCTTTCTTCGTTTCACGATACATTTTCTGTTTCTTCTTCTTCTCTTGTCCTCTGGTTCCCAAAGTTTGTTGGCTTCTTTTTTTTGCCCTCAAGGATCTGCTTTCAGTTACGTGGGTTCTGTTTTCGTTTCCTTTGGGAGCTCGCGGGAGGTAGTTGGCGGGAGTTCTCTTTGTTCATTATATACAATTTCCAGTGGGTTGCCGAAAGCCGTCTCGTCTCATCTATCGAAGTCGATGAGAGGTCTCCATCCGAGAGAAAAGAAAAAGAATCTATACTTTTGAATGAAAGAGATGACCTTCGCAAAACCTTGTCTAGTGTGTCTTGAGTGGTGATGGAACATACTACATAGTACGTACTAATGACTAAGGGACCTTGATGCTCGGCGGGGGTGCTGTACCATTGTACATATCTAGTCTTGAGATTGTACATACAAGTTACACCCGTGGCGAGATTATTTGCAAGGCACCTTTGGAGTGATCAATCAAGTTGGACCTGACTGGAGGGCTGGATAAGCTTCTCAGATGAATCTTCGGCACACACCCACACAGCCTTGGAAGTTGATCCCGATCCATCACCTCGTGACATCGGACTCAACGTCACTTTTCTAGTACCTAGCGCTTCAGTCGGCGTTAGGTGGTCGACCGTTCGCTCCCTCTTCATCTAATATGTCTGCGTAGGACCATCCCGGCCGAGCCTGTAGTGTCCACTCCCTCTGATCTTTGAACTTCGATCTCGGCACCCGGGCTCTTGTTGGCGCGGATAAATACTCTTCTGTTCTGACCGTCGTAGATCACATTCCACACAATCGGCCCGGGTCTTCCCTCCAACAGAGGAGTACAGTACTCAGTACTCACTAGGTTCGTGGGTAGTGAGTACTCAATACTAGGCCATTCCATACTCACTGGACGTAGTGGACGTCCCACCGCAGACTGCAGGGTACAGCCCAGTGGACGCTCCCCAGCATATTATATTATTATCCAGCACATCCCATAATCCCACCACGTCACAGTAGTTCGAAACGGACCTAGTCCCCAACGATTGGCTTGAGATATGTGAGGGCGAGGCCATAAATGGTGGATACTGCATACTGCATACTAAATACCGCAAAGCACGGGCAACGGCGGATCTGGAACGGGCCCATAACTGGTTCTTGTTTCTGTCCAACGGTTGAGAATGTGGGATTTTGAAGAGGGGGGGGGGGGATGGCATGTCTGCGAGCGCTGGATATTGCGGGAGAAGGACGGGATGGAAGAGTCGAGAACGATAACGGCCCGACTTTTAGCTACTGTGCAATGTACGTTGATGATTTGCGAGTGGACAGAAGTGTGTTGTTGTGGGTTGGAGCATACTACGGTAGGTCTTGTAGGGGTACAGGGTACAGAGTAGTTACAGACTAACCGAGTACAGACGACAGAGGCGATATTTGATACACCGCAAGTTGACCAGGATTTGACTACTAGCTGGGTACTTGATGTGACAGCCCTGGTAGTCGCCGACCACTGGTGAGTCTGACGGTGGACTCCAAGTCTAGATTGCGAGTCGAGATTGAGTCAGTGTCGGGCGCTTCAATTGTCAGACGCGCTGGGGGGCCAAAGTTCCCGTAGCCGGATAGGAGAGGGTCGCTTGGCAAAGACGTTGGAACGTGGAACTCGGAACTGTGACGAGTTACGGAGTGATGAGGAGGGCGTGCTTGGTTTACCGCGCATGGGTGCTTTACTGCTCCTCGTTACGAGTACAAAGTAGTCAAGGTTCACACTCTGAACCTCGAGGGGAGGTGTGAGAGAACCGGGCTGACTGATTTAGAGGTTGAAAACTTCAATATCTACACTCATTGAGGGTTGCGTGAGAGAGGGCTTCTTTTTGGTTTTTTACCATTTTTGATTGTTTTTCTTTTCGCTGATGGGTCGATCATTGTTTCTGGTATATACCATGATATGCTGAGCAATATGATTGCAAACATTTTCAAGTTCCCCATTATGGGAGTGCTGGGGTACAATCGAGAGGGTTCGTTTCTCAAGCAGCTGGGCTGAAGAAGCGGTCCCAATCAGTCGTAGTCGTAGTCGCTGCCAGCGTCGTAGTAATCATCCCCATAGTCATCTTCGTCGTTTTGTTGATATTGGCCGGCAAAGGCATCGTCGACATGATCGTCTTCAACTTCTTCATCCTCGTCATCGAGGTCATCCGGATCCGCATTTGCTTCGAGAGGCTGCTCTCGCTTGCCCACCGCATCGAGCGGTGCCGTGGCCGGGGGAGTATTGAGCACGGCGACAGGTGGCGCGGTGGGCGGTGGGGTGGGTTGCCCGTAGGCCGCCGAAATCACGGGCTTGCTGTTGATGACAGACGAAGGTACAGGGACGGGAGACGCCCGGACCTTTCGGCGGGATGGCTCAGGCTGAACACTAGCGCTGCGCCGTGAGACCACACTGCGGCTGCGACTGCGACTGCGAATTTCTGTCCGACTCAAAGACTCAACCTTTGCCACGCTATCGCTGGGGCCGTCCTGGTCGTACAGATCGTCGAGAAGCGAATAATTAATCTTCTTACTGTACCCTCGCTTCTCCAACATCCGCCGCGTGGCTTCGGCTGGAGTCGAGGCGCGGGAGCTGCGCCCATCTTCACCATCGCCTTCAAGGTAGGCAACGTCGCCGAGACGACCCTTGCGCCGTTTTCGAGGCTTGATCTTGGATGGACCGGCAGTGGCTTCCGCGAGAGCGCGCTTCAAGGCTTTGGCCTGTTGCGCACGCAGGTACTCCTTGTTCTCGTGAACCCAGATCTGCTCCTTCAATTCAATTTCCTCACTGGCGAGGAGACAGTTGACAACCTCGGGGTCGTCTGCGAACTCTGCCTCGTCAATATCGACGTTGTCCGAGACCGTGCTGACAGGTCGTAGTTTCCCACTGAGACTCTCTACCATATCGGACCCTTTGGCCAGCATGTTTTGAATTTCTTTTTCTAGGGCATTCTCAGAAGCGACTTGATCGGCTGATGGTGCCGGGTAGAGATGACCTCGAGGTCCCTTGATCTTTCCTTCGGGAGCATCCTTACTTTCTCTCACTGCATCCTCGACGGCTTCGTTGACGGCCCTCGCTACTGATGCTCGTCGCTGAGGGTTCTCCAGCAGGGCTGGATCGATTGGAATGTTCGGAATTGCGAAACCGTCAGCGTCATATCGCGGCACTTGTAATGACTCTGTATCGTTTTCCTCCGCAGCTTCGCCTTCGCCTTCAATCTCTGCTGCAGTCTCGGGGTATCTCGTCATCGCTCGTATTGACTTTTGGTCTTCTCGGCCGCGCGTGAAGGAGGGTGGGTCGTGGGCATTCTCCAGTTGAACAGAGCGGAATTGATCCACCGTCAGCTCAGCACTCTCAGTCGAGCCAAATTCCGAGAGACGCTGGCTGATGGTGACTTCGGTAACCTTGACGACGTAGACCAGCTCGCGAATCGTCCGCCGAAAGTTGTTCATCCGCGCGGCCAGGATCAAGGCTGCACCACAAAGACCCGCCGGCCGTCGACCGGTAGACATCCAGTCACGATTCATGCGTTGAATAATGCGGACTGCCTCGCCAGCCACTTGCATCGTTGCAGGGCCAAATTCAAGTTGCTTCGCAAACCGGTAAATCAAGCTTTCCGGGTCTATTGGATTCATCAAAAAGACGTTTCCTCCCAAGCGCAGTTCGTCAAGAAGCGCCTTGTATGTGCGACCAAGTTTGAAGACATTGACCATCAGAACGTCGGCAAAATCGATAAGCATCGCGGTATTGCCATCCTGACGACGACAGGCGATGTAAAGAGCCACTGCAGCAACGTGTTTAGTGCGGCGACCTTGGATAAAATTGAGACCAACTGCAAGCTTGAAGACCTGACCAGCAGCCTTGCTTGCACTTTCGGGGATATTGAGACTCCGCGCCAGTTGCAGGATGTATCGATTACCAGCTTGCTCGGTGACCTCTCGACTTTCCATGCCACCGCCACGCTGAAAGCCAGGGCCAAAACTCCGGACATGGGTCTGATCTGAACCGACAAAGGAACCCTGCACAACGGCGGCACCAGCTGAGGTCTCACCGAATGTTACCTCGGAGACAATGTTCGACTCACTGATGACAGTACCGCATCCCGAGCAGACTTTCTGGCCTTCATCCTCAACAATGTGTGGAGCAGGGCACCCCGGGTTTGGACAGCTCTGAGTCTTGGGGTGGGTGGTTGGGCGTGTTGGCTGCGGGCGGCCAGCCGGCTGAGGTCGTCGGATTGGGGTCGAGCTCGGAGGCTTCAGGCTTGCAAGGCGACCAACAGGAGGCCGTGGGCCCCGAGGGGCCACGGAGATGCTGGTGGATCGTGAGGCCGACATGACTGGATGTGAGCAATCTGCGTTGAAGAGGCAGAGTCGAAGCTCAGTAGACCTGCAATCGGCCCACAGTCTTGCAGCGATCGAAGCTCGGAGTGAGGTGAAATACGCTCCAACAGAGACGAGACAAGCTTCCAAGAGAGGCGCAATGCAGTCTGATGATAATCTCCCGGGACTTATTGCCCACGAGAGGTCCGATTGCGCTCGTTTTCGATCTGGAGGCAACAGCAGCGCTGTGTAGGTAACCGACTCAACCACTCCGCTTCCCACCACGCGCTATAGGCGCTTTGTGGGCTCACAAGAGCCTTGGAATCCTCCCCCTTTGATCGCGAGACACAAGTCTGGGTAAACGCGTCCTTGCAACCGGAGTAAAAAAAAGACCTGATAAGACGATAAGCACGGGCAGAGAGCTGCAAGACGGACGGGGCGTCGAGAGGCGGACTCTGCGGTGAAGTTTTCGCGAGAATAAAGGTCACCCGTGGCTCAGTGGGGGAATCACGTGCTGTGCATTCAGCAGTTGACGGGCACGCGTTCAATCCGTCCAGCGGACGACTTTCGAATTACTGCGACACATCCTTTCCTCGAACCAGATTTACTTTGGAAGAACGAGTTTGGGGCATCTCTCGTGCTTCAGAATTCAACCGAGTCGTCTCATCGATATCGTATATGTCGTAAATGAGTCTTCTACAATTATCCAGCCCAATTTCCATCTCTGTCGGCTCAAGCTCCACAATGTTAGACACTCGTCGAACGTCCATATCTGAAGACAGAAGTGCTCTCGACTCCTCGAGTGGGACCTGGGCGACTAGTCCTCAAAGGGTTATATTGAACTGAACTTTTCGAGCGGAAGACCTTGGGTTCGCACGTGATACACATACAGTAATACAATTACACCGTATGGCAAATGGATGACGCCATCGGCTTAACGGCGATGTATGTACTGTACCTGCTGGGGCTCTATTTTCAGGCAGCAAGGTGGCAAGGCATCCCCACCAGCTCTTTTACGAGTCTCGTGCATTGCACCTGGATGACCTGAGCGTAAGTTTACACCAAGTCACAATTAATAAATAGCAGTCAATCACTCCTTCGCAGGCCTTGCTTCTTTCCCCTCACATCGATATTCGTACATTTTGGATCAAACTCTGTTGTAGCCGACCATGCATGACCAATGCACAATGATGTTTCGGAATATCCATCAACGTGGTTCGCTGGAATCTTGGTGCTTGCTGGAGGCTCATGTTGCGGCATTTGTGCGTTCCTTGCCTGAGCGCAACGCACAAATCTCGCAACTTTGCCGCTGGCATTTCTCATACTGGTCTGGTCTCAAATATCGACCCTCTTGATCATGAATATAAAGGCAGCTGAGGATCCGATCGAACCGGACTGATCAGTGTTCACCTTCTTGCTTTCCTCTGCGCTGTGTCGTAGTTGCTTCGACTCCCGATCCCGAGGTACATTAGCCATCAACTCTACTACCTTCCTTCTTCCGCAAACCATCGTCGCTATTGTTCTTGACCTTCGACACACCACCTAGAACCTCTCTCAGTTGGTCTGGCCGACCACATCTAACTGTATACGTCATCATCATTTGTCACTATCCATTACTCCTCGGTCATTGTTATAGCAACTTTCTGATTGATTGCGTCCATTGCTGTTCGCTCCGCCCCGACGCTCGCTCTCCCGATTGATCACTACTTTACATTCAACTCTCTGGTCTGCTGGATACCATGTCTCCACGACAGAAGCCCCACTCCTCGACAAGCGACTTCAAAGTCCACGGGACAACTAAATCTGATACGAAGCCGTCTCAATCAATCAGAAAAAGCCTCTTCTGGGTGAGCAATATCCATTGCGCATCATGTGTCGCCTACATCACCAATATCCTCTCTGAGGTTCCTTCAGTTGAGAATATCGATGTCTCAATCATGACACACGAAGTACGGGTGACTCATGGGAGTTCTGTTGAATCTGCTCTACTGGTCGATACCTTGATTGACGCGGCTTTCGAAGTGCATCATGTCACAACCTACGACAGTGACGGGTCCATTTTGACCGAAATCGACACGACGTCATGGGCCCAGCGAAGAACTGGAAATCTCTCCTACGACGGATCGTATGCCAGTCTTTCCACGAATGCCAAAGAACAAATTCATGGTGCTTGGAACAGACAACACCTTGCCACGTGTGACGCCTGCCGAAAAGAATCAGAGCAAAGATATCTCGACTCGACAGAAATTGCCAATTCTGACCCTTTAGAAGGTCAGCCAACGACATCTGCTGTTCTAACACCTCAGAGTGAGAAGCCAAAGCCAGAAATTCCAAGCTCAAAGCAGTCGGCGTCGAGCGCAATCGGCCGCGCCGTACCTTCGATTGCGGATTCCGAAACAAACTCAAAAACAAACCAGCCTTCTTCACCGGCCGAACCCGAAACTTATAGCGCACGCATCAGCATTGGTGGCATGACATGCGCTTCATGCGTCAACAGTGTCACAGCTGCACTTCAAGAAATGAGTGGTGTTGAGGAAGTATCTGTCAATCTGCTTACGAACAGCGCGGCTCTCATATTCGTTGGCCCGCGTGATTATGTTGATGAAATCACTGAAAGGGTCGAGGACATTGGCTTCGAAGCCGTTCTTGATAATGTGAATCAAATATCTCAACCAACCCATCGGCAGACAGCTCATGCAGGGCATGATGCTGCTCGACGCCATGCTGATGCCGACTCTCCTTCACAAGCCGCGTCAATGGACCGAACACCAAAACGCACAATCTCAATCTTAGTCAATGGGATGTTCTGTCATCATTGTCCCGAGAAGGTGATGGACTCCTTGTCTAGGCTTCAGAATGTCAGCGTCAATCAAGCTCCAACAGAAAAGAGACCAATTGTTGAAATTACATACACGCCTGCACCTCCGACTATGACCGTCCGCTCAATAATCAAGACCATCGACGACGCCCACGCTGCTTTCCAGCCAAGTGTATACCACCCGCCGAGTATAGAGGAACGATCCCGAGCAATGCAAATACATGAGCGTCAGAGATTGCTCTCACGCCTGGTCTTCGTGCTCGCCGTCGCTATACCCACCTTTATCATCGGAATCGTGTTCATGTCGCTAGTTTCTCCACGGAACCCGACCCGGCGATATTTGGAACAAAAGATGTGGTCTGGCAGTGTCACTCGCATTGAGTGGGCTTTGTTCATAATGTCCACGCCCGTGATGGTTTTCGGCGCCGATGTATTTCACACTCGCGCATTGAAAGAAATCCGTGCTTTATGGCGCCGCGGAAGTCGAGTCCCCGTTTTGCGCCGGTTCTATCGATTTGGAAGCATGAATCTCTTGATTTCAGCGGGAACATCAGTCGCATACTTCTCGTCACTGGCCATTCTCATCGTGGACGCCTTGCGTGGTTTCAAAGCAAGCGCTCATGGAACGACGTATTTTGACTCGGTGGTCTTCTTAACGCTTTTCATTCTCGCCGGGCGCTTTTTGGAGGCATACAGCAAGGCTCGTACAGGAGACGCAGTGTCGGCCCTGGGCAACCTGCGTCCATCGTGTGCACTGCTAGTGGGAGACCGTTCCGTCGAAGACGAAGTCTCTACTGGCTTCACAGCCGAGTCCACGGTCAAGATTAGTGTCGATCTTTTGGAAGTCGGAGATCACGTTCTCATTCCTCACGGTACCTCTCCGCCTGCTGACGGTGTGGTAGTCAGCGATGGCATTTATCAGTTTGATGAGAGCTCACTGACAGGAGAGTCCCGACCAGTACCTAAAAGACAAGGGGACGAAGTCTTTTCTGGCTCGGTGAATGTTGGTAAACCGGTGAGAGTTCGCATCACCGAGCTGGGTGGGTCATCTATGCTCGATCGAATCATCGCGGTTGTGCGCGAGGGTCAAAGCAAGCGTGCGCCATTGGAGAGAGTCGCAGATATCCTGACCTCCCATTTTGTACCAGTCATCACTTTGATCGCTATTCTTACCTTTGTGGTATGGCTTGCTCTTGGTCATGCCGGTGCTCTACCTGGAGATTATCTCGACAGCTCTCGCGGAGGCTGGACATTTTGGAGCTTGGAATTTGCGATCGCTGTCTTTGTTGTTGCCTGCCCTTGTGGCCTGGCGCTGGCCGCACCGACTGCCCTGTTTGTCGGAGGTGGTCTTGCAGCCCAACACGGAATCCTGGTCAAGGGCGGCGGCGAAGCTTTTCAGGAGGCTAGTCGTTTGGAGGCCATCGTGTTCGACAAAACCGGTACTTTGACTGAAGGCGGAAGCCTGAAGGTAACTGAACACGAGTTCCTCACCAAGGATCCAGAGTTGATAAGTGTCTCCTGGACGCTTGCACGAAGCCTAGAAGAAAATAGCAATCACCCTATTGCACAGGCAATCTCTGCATTCTGCCAAAGTCAGGCTACAATCGATATTGTGTCCTCTGATGTTCAAGAGATCTCAGGCCAGGGGTTGAAAGGCTCTTTTCAAGTCGACTTAGACAAAGGCCAGTCATACGAAGCTGTGATCGGTAACGAGCGCCTGCTTCGGAGCATACACCCCCTGGAGAGCGACACCTTTTTCATCTCCAATCTCCTGTCAAGGTTTCAAACGAACGGCAAATCCACCGCTGTATTGTCGATTCGGCGCAAGTCCTCCAAATCATCCTCCTTTGTGCCCGTGGCCATCTTTGCGACATCGGACACAATACGACCTGAGGCTGTTGAGGTCATCTCCCGACTTCAGAGCAAAGATGTTCAGGTCTTCATGTGCACAGGTGACAACCAGAAGACAGCAAACGCTGTCGCTGAGATGCTAGGGATTCCACGTTCGAATGTCATGGCGGATGTGCTACCCGCACAGAAAGCTAGCTTTGTGAAGTCTATACAGGAAGGCTCAATGGACAGCGCGGCCTTGGCTAGTACTAAGAAAGTGCAACAAGGGAACAGTGCCCGTTCCATTGTAGCATTTGTCGGAGACGGTATCAATGACGCACCCGCCCTCGCGGCTGCGGATGTCAGTATTGCCATGGCGTCTGGTTCCGATGTTGCCATCAACTCTGCCAGCTTCATCTTGCTAAACTCAGATCTCCGCACTATCTTGGAACTCGTTGTTCTCAGTCGCAGAGTGTTTAACAGGGTTCGAATGAACTTTGGATGGGCTGTGCTCTACAATTTCATACTGGTCCCTGTGGCAGCTGGTGTGTTCTATCCAATTGTGAGCGGTCATCATGAGAAGGTTGTTGGTGGAGAAGTGGTCAACGTGAACGAACATTGGAGACTGAGTCCCGTGTGGGCTGCACTGGCAATGGCGTTGAGTAGCATCTCCGTCATTTCGAGCAGTCTGGCGCTGAGAATCAGCTGGGGCGGCGTGAAAAGGCTCCTTAAGAGACAATGATCTCTAGCTTGGATGATCATGTAATTAGAATGTTTAATTATTGGTTCCGTTATAAGAATTGGTGTTGATCCTTGTAACCAACAGATCGGGTTTGTTTCTTAAGTGGGACCATCACCCTGTCTCCCCCCAAATCTCGGCAACTTTCTTACTGAGTGCTTTGCCAAAGTCTTTCCTCCTCACGACAGAATGAAGCTCCTTCGCCAGGAGGGCCTCCCGTTCAGTGGGCTCCAGCGTCTTGTACGCTTCCACGAGCTGTCGCGGCGTTGGCCATCGTCGTTGAATCTCCAAAGCTCGTTCGCCCGTGATGCCTCGGATACACATCAGCATTTTGAGGAAAATATCTCTCAGAGACAAGACGTCTGATTTGGAAGTCAAAGCGGAGAACGTTGGAAAAGTGACTCCATATGTCACGGACGGGTCTTTGGCTCGCAACTCGTCGAGCAAAGGGAGGTATGCCTTGGCGGAAGACAGACAACGGCTGGGGATCAAGGCAACCGAGTTTGTTGTTGTAGTCGTGGGTCTTTGGCTTGCATGGTTTTGATCCTGTGATGAGTCGTAGGCGCCGTACATCTTCGTGAGAAGCCGAGTCATGCGGGCTAGATACCTAATGGAGTCATCGAGTTGTTTGGTTTTCTTGAGGAAGTACCCGTCAACGACCTGGGTGGAGGCCATTGCGGAGGCAGTCGACTCCTGGTATTTGAATCCATTTCCCGACGTAGCTTCGGCGTGAGCGACAGCAAACTCTTCGACAAGGTAGATGACGTTCTTGATCCCAGACCGTTTGAGACGGAACTTCTGCTCTTTGAATCGCCCGTCTTTGATTGACTGCACGAGATCGTCAAGTCGCTTTCTTTCGAGGATCCAGTCCAGCATGACTTCGTCGCCTTCTTCGCCGAACCGAGCGAGGTATGACGGATCTCGGCATTTGGCGACCCACATTGCATCGCCGAGCTCAAGGGCCCGGACCTGGGGTGTGACGCCCTTTTTCATGAGCTCGTTGGCAATGTAATCTCGGTCCTTGGAGCTACGCACTTCGCGATTGTCCAGTACTAATTCAACCGTGAAACTGCCGGGGGGAAGGAATATGGGCTCCCGGTGTCCGTCCACCAGAGCGTTTTGGAAAGTGGTGGGAGGCCTGTCTATAATCGCATCACCAAATGTATCGAGATCAGGCGTGACGTTGCCCGCGGCAGCAGGGGTTGGAAAAAGTTGAGTCTGAGAATCGCTATCGGCAGAGGCATTTGATGGACCTGTCACAGTCTTCTGAATCCGTTTGGCAACCTCCCATCCTTCTTCAGAGAGCGCATACTTCCTGACGGGGCGGCCATGCTCGTAAACCAGATCCTTTTGAATCAACGTTCTCATGGAACTCCAAGCTGTAAAGTACTTGGAAGGATCAGGGGGTGCTGTAAAAGAGCTGTCACAATAAGGTTGCGCGACTTCGATCAACTGAGCTTTGGTCATGCCTTGACTGGCATTTTCATCTTGGGTCGCGAGGCCAAGCAAAATTGCATACGGGCCTGACCGTAGCGCTGGCACATAGGGCCGCGCCTTCCGCGGTTTCTTGGCTGGCTGTTCGGCAATGCCAGTATCTGATGTTCTCTTGCTGGCGCCTACAATGATGCAAGGTTTCAGGCTGTTAGTAATGGTCCGGCGCTTTTAAATTCATTTCGTGAGCATCAGCGCACCTTGACCGGGAACTTGGGGCATCGGGAGTCCATTTTCTTCGCAGTGAGCCTTTAATTTCTCCGTCAGTCGTTCACATAACTTGGGTCCCAATCCATTCAGCTGCTGCGCTTGCGATGGATGCTCAAATGTCAATGGACATGCTTTCATTGATTCATAGGCTTTCTTGTATCTAAAGAATGTGTTAGACACAGATCTGTCAAATGGCGCCATGGCTTGCTTGTCTTGCGGAACTAACACTGTTACGCCCTTGCTGTTGCGCTCTCGCGCCTGGTCCAGCCATTCTTTGATCCATCCTAGTAGTAGAGGATTCGCGCACTCTGCACTCATGGTGACCATTCAGCCTTCCAGGCTATACGTCTGGTGTTGACCAGCTTCTTGTACACGACGCGTGTTGGTCCCTTCCCCTTCGGCCGCGGACACGGGTCATGTGACTGCCGCGTGAGGTGAAATCGTCTTTTTTAGGGTTGGGGAAGGAACTCACGCAATCTCCCCCTCGGTGGGGCTCGCGGCTCCGATGAGATCGCTCCAAGTTCCATCTCAGGACACGCGACTCATCAGTTCACGACAACTTCAGCTGGAGTGCGGACTAGTCTCCGCAATTTCAATCTTCAGTCCATTCAAATTGCTACCAGTTCGGCTTTCCTCCAAATATGGTTCTCCTATGCGCCTCGCGGAGCCACTGCCGGGCCCATACAGTGCCAAGGTAGCTAATGCTGAAGTTGCACATATCATTCCTTTCTCCTTCAGGTCGTGCAAGAGTGCAACAGTAAGAAAATTTCTTGTTACCTTGAGACCTATACTATTGAGTAATTCATACGCGATGAATAGTAGGAAGAATTGAACGCTGCAAGAATGTGGAGGGTCCTCTATACCTGCTCCCCTGATGTTCGCCGCACGGGTTCAGAATCTGGGACCATCAACTCTTACTCAAATGGTATGACACTATAATGGGCATGTGATAGGAATTCGGCCAATACAAACTGGCACTTAAAGCTATTGATGTGAGTCGCTCGTAGATAGGCTGGCCGTACATACTATCTATTCTACTGACATAGATCGATCAAGAACGAGGAGAATAGGCTTGAAGTAACTTGTTAGAACAGGCTCGCTAAATATCTCACGCAGACTCTACACCAAGATAGGGGGTTTGGATTGAACAAAGCAGATGATGCGCGAGACATCTCCCTCCCAGACAGAGCTTATATGGATTGCCATTGGCGCCTTTCGGAGGTCCTGAACGCCTCCGAACGGCAGAGGTGATCGAAAAATGCTCTTGGGAATGGGAGGACCTCAAAGAGACTTGCCACTCACCCAGTGAAGATGGTAGCATTCATGTTGAACTGCTGCTTCGTGCTAGTCTGTGTGCGCATCGAATTACTTAGTGAAAGAAGAAAATCCCTCTGGTCCAGACAGCTGATGTTTATGGCCGGGTTTGCTATGGAAGATTATCTACAAGCCTACCTTATATCAAAAGACCTTATGTCATCCAGATATGGATTTGAATATGGATGCAACTTTTGATAATAATACTGCAGTCTGGAACCATTGGAACATTTGACACAATAAAGTACTGTGTACGCCGTACTGTAGCTACAGTGATCTGAAAACCTGCCAAGTTCTAATTGATGAAGAATCTTTTTGCCTGACAGTAGGTTACTTTCCAAATTGAGACCAAGGTAGTCTCAAGGGTAATAAGTGCTACAAATCACGGGCAGTTGATCACCAGCAGAATTTGCACAGGGTCTCATACTACCTATTGTCATGGATCTGCAAGATGGAAGTCCACTACCCAATGTAGGTAGTCCCCATATGCTGGTGGATCCCGTCAAGTCCCGCTTACAACTTCCAAGCAATTCGACCTAGCAGTGCGCAAGAATGACGTCACCTGTCTGTTCCCCGTCTAGACAGCAACTACAGTCCAACGTTGACGCGTTGAGAACTGTATGCGGAGATGGCCACTGAATACTCCACCAGTTACCCGGGCGAGTAGTCTTGGTTTTCTGGGCACTTGCGTCTTTCTAATCTCAACCATCCTTCTCATACATAGTGACATCCAGCTATGGAAGACGGAGACAAGATTCCAACCTGGAACTCGGTGACTGAGCCAGGTCCCCCTATTAACGCAAAAGTACAGGCTGGCTACGACAATGCGGAGAGGAATGAGCCTGAAGGGCCGACAGACAGCCATGTCTTGTCGCAGGTTGAGCCAGAGGAGAAAGGCATTATTCAAAAGATGGGCGACACGAATGATATTAGTGATGTCGGTTGGACAAATCTCGAGCATCACCGCGAGCAACTGATCGCAGGCCTTTCGAACGAAGATGCCTTTATGCTGATTCGGCGATTCAACAAGGTTAGCGGCAAATCTGTGACACTCACCATTCTCGCCCTCAATTAGAATACTGACTATCGAATCTCAGCAAGTGTACAATGTCAAAGCTGTCTCGAAGGCCCCTTTGCAAAATCTTGATCTGACGCGCACGGATGAAGACGAGTTCTCGCCTGATAAGCTGCGTGCAACAATCGAACGCTTTTACACAACTGTCGTCGTAAAGCTAACGAGCGGCGTCAAACACATCGCGCGGCTGCGATCGTGGAGGGAACCTAGACGGACGGCCGCCTTCTGTGCAGTGAGTATCGCCTTGCACGTGGTGATGTTTTTTTTGGAGGAATTGCAGTCAACTGATTCAAACCCATTGAAAAGGTTTACGCTATTGCTTGGCTCTTGGATCTTCTGTTGCCCACATTCTTTGCTGGTCTGATACTTCTGATTGTTTACACACCGGCGCGAGCCGTGATGTTCCCACCAGCACCTATTGCTTTGGTGAACAAGGACACCGGTGGAGTACAAAAACCCAAAGCTGGGATGCTCGGCTCCAAGGACAGTATCACTGGCGCCCCACAAAGCTACAAGGGCGAGGCAGCCGAGCGAGAAGCGAGTAATTTAGTGGCCGGTATCGCCAGCGTTGCAGTGGGTAGTGCGGTCGGGAAGCACGAGCAAGGAGTTCCAGACGAGGCACCTCTGGAAGATGATGTTCCCGATGCGTCGGAAATGGTATTCCAATCCGCGGATGCTCAAAGCAAAGCACACGGACACGAACCCTCCGAGCATCATGACAAAACCCGCCAACCGATGAAACAGTCCGTGATGGAGGGAGCCAACATGATGATGTCGATCGTGACCGAACTTACGGATACGTTTGAGAAATTTGAGAAGTATGAAACGCATTGTCATTTCTTTCCGTTGTGGATAAGTGGCCATTCTGTGTGCTAATGTATTCATCGGCGAGTATAAAGTGCCTTATCACCTACGCCACCATTTCCAATTCAGACACCTCGCCTGCGACTGGCAGCGGCCTTAGTCCCTGCTTGCATTCTCTCGCTCTGTACCTCAGTCTATGTCTTTCACAAGGTAGCTGGACTAGGTGTGGGTCTGGGCTTCTTTGGTGATCCTCTCATCAACCGTGGCCTCGCCATATTGAACGAAAAGTATCCTCACTGGCAGAGACTGCTGAAGCCTCAAAAGTAAGTCCACTTCTTCGCTAGGTATCTCAGAGACCATTTGTCACTAATTGCATGGCAGCTCCATATTGAAGGGAATCCCCACAAATGCACAGCTGACTCTTACCCTCCTGCGTATTGGGGAGAAGAACGCCTCGCCTTTGCCACCTCCCCCTAGCTCACATCCCCACGACACTGCTCGACGGGCCTCGATAAAGGAAGAGGAACGTACTTTGGCCGCCACAGACGCAGAGATTGACCATGCAGCGACTCCTCAGGCGCCACAAGAGCCGGCAAACAGTGAAGACTCGTCCGAAGCACCTCGCAAGAAGTCCCTTGGATCCAAGATTGTGGGCTTTTTCCGAGGTACTACCAGAACTGGCGTTGAAAGTAAGCAAGCTGTGGATCGCGCGCGGGCAGTTGTTGGCTCTCATCATGCCAAGAATCGAATTGGTGTGCTGCACACCAAGGGAGCCCCTCCAACGCCAATTGGACCGACCAAGTTCAGTGCGCGATACAAGGGCCACCGTGGAGCTGTCATTCTCGACTCGACCATGACGCCCCCTACACTATACTTTACTACCGATGTTCCCGAAAGCGATGATATCTCGCCACTGGACCGCAAGAAGGGGTCTGTACTGTTCAGTATGCCCATCTCCGACATCCAGGAGATGAAAAAGCTTGGAGGCATGGGTTGGAAGGGTAAATTGGTAGTAGGATGGGCGATTGGTGAAAAGGAAGTGATGGATGGCATACTTCTTGGGGGCAAGTACCCGGGACAGTCTTACCGGTTGACTGCCATGAAGATGCGCAACGAGCTCTTCAACCGGCTGATTGCCATCGATGGACAGGTTTGGGAGAGCTTTTGACCGCATTTACGAAAGGACGAAAGCTAAGATCAGATTCAGGTCTGGCGATAAACACTTGCCCGTCCGCCCGACGCAACTGACATGACCAATAGGCCAGCATCACTTCTCAGTAAGGTTCCTTATGGAAAATGATGCGTGAGGGCCCGAGAGCATTTTTCACTTGTTCCAGATTATCAGTATGCATGCCCATGTGTTTAGTGACGACGATACTCTTACGAATAATACATGACACGATTCTACCTTTTGTGAAAACGCCTCTCAACGAGGCTGCTCGTCCAACGAGCATGAGAATTGAATCTAGAATATCTAGTGAACATCATGACTGCTCCAAGGAAGCCTTATAATCTCTCACAGTCTGCTCAAAGGACTCGTCACGCTTGAATCCAAGCGAGATCGCCTGAGAGTTGTCAAACCTCGTAGGCCAGGACCTCAAGATCGGCACCACTGTAGGATCCTCCTTTTCACTGAGGAGCTTCAGCTTGTCCTGTCCACCCACTGTCTTCAATGCGTCCATCATCTCCTGAACGGTCACGCAGATTCCTGGGACATTGATCTGACGAATGTGAGGTGGTACCGAGTCCCCAGGTAGTTGAAGAGTGAGCAGAAGATTCTGTACCAGTGTCTTGGGAGAGCACAGCCACGACTTGAAAGATCGATCCTCGATTGGAATGAGGCACTCTTTCCCATTCAAAGGTTCACGAATCATACCCGAGAGGAACGATGAAGCTGCAGCGGTCGGCGCACCAGGACGAACGGAAATCGTAGGGAACCGGAGTGTGAAGCCGGTAATGAATTTGCGACGCGTGTAGTCATTGATGAGAGTCTCGCACACGATTTTCTCTGCGCCGTATGACGATTCAGGCGTCGGGATGACGCTGTCCGTGACAATATCCGGGAGCGGTTGTCCGTAGACGGCTTGGCTGGAGGAGTAGATTACTCGAACACCTGGACACGTCTTGCGCAGAGCTTCGAGCAGGTTGCGCGTGGCGTCGATGTTCACACTCATGCCCAGCTCGAAATTCGCTTCGGAGCCAGAAGACATGATACCGTGGAAGGCGTAGACTGCGTCCAATGAGGGGCTGATGACATCTTGAGCGGCTTTGAGAAGATCTGCTTTGATGCATGTGGCATTTTGTGGGTGGAGGGCGCCTTTGGGAACAGGAGGTTGAACGATATCGGTCAGAGTGACTTGGTAGGCAGGGTCGTTGAGGAGCTCTTTGGCGAGCAGCTGGCCGACGAAGCCTGCGGCGCCGGTGATGAGGATTTGCATTTTGTGTTCAATGTTTATGTGAGAAATATGTTCAATGACAGAGGAATCCCCTTAAATGGAGAACAGCGAAAATATGCAAGAGTAATCTGGGAATTGATCGCCGAAGCAAGTTATTATGAGAGCACTCCGCGGTTCTCCGCATTCGCATCAAGTCCGAGGCAAAGCTGGAGTGAGCTCCTCCGCATCGGACTTCTCCCGGGTTGAGAACCACTTTGTATGAGGGTTCACATGTATGCGCTCTTGTGCAGAAGTTCAAGGTCTGACACCGGCTCGATCTGGTAGCATCCATATGTCTTACGCTACCAGGACATTCAGAATCATCGAGACTTGGATATCGTTCTATTTCTGCCTCGGCAATTGTTTTGTTCTCAACAACCTTCAATTCAGGCACCGCGCACGAGTCACGCATCTCTTTGGCTGGCCAATGCGGCAAACCTTGTAGCAGCAGACTCGGTTCAATGACCGACAACTCATTTACCTCGTGCAATTCGGCGATGGAGAGTCCAGGCGGTACAGTTGCCTCGGTCGGCCAGGATAATGGAAAAGCGCGGTCGACATCGGTGTAATCAAGCGTCGAAAGTAGCGCTTCGGCCTTCCCCGACCTTTTGCTTCCCCCGTCGGCCCCACCGCGTCTTCCCCAAACCCACACATGCGCGGAGCATCACCGAACACTTCAGTGCTTCTCCCCTCTGCATCGCCATCGCTCGCATGGATACCACCACTCCCGTGAAAAGATCCTCGACGGATGCTGGATTTGACTCCCCTCGAGGGTCTCATCGATCGACAGAGCCCCGGCCCGCTGCTCCCAGGATATCTAAGGCTCGGGCTTGTATGTTGGCTTATCTTCCCCACATATCGCTCATCCCGCAGTGTTTGCCCGCCAACTCGATCTCCGGGCTTGACTGATGTTGTTCCTGCAGGCGCTGAGTGCAAACGACACAAGATTCGCTGTGAATTCCGGTCGGGCGATAGCAGCTGTACCAAATGTATTCGGAGCGGTATCAAATGTGTGGTGAATGACTTTTCGCAAAAGTTTGTCGACGATGATGGACTGTACGTCTTCCCCCCCCCTGTGGGTCACAGGGTTTCCCGATTGAAGAGAAAATTGGCCAATTTGGTTTATCGCGATGATTGCTGATTGTGTTTGGGTGCAGATGGAAGTCACAGGCCGCAGCGAGTTTGCAACAATTACAGGCGGCCGTGACCCAGCTCTTGCGACAAGCTGGATTGCCCGACCTCTCAACCTTTGCGAGTGGTGATAGTCGCCACGGCCCCAGTCCTGCCGCTTCTCATCATACCCACCGGCTGTCAATCGATGCATCTCAGTCACATCACGGAAGTCATGAAGAGCCGGGGGTGGTGATGGACGTCACTCGGGAACCCTCCCCTGAGCCCGATCTTCAGGATCCGGAACTGGTACGCGCCCCCATGCGAAGTCTATATGAGGTGACGAAGTTGCGCAATCTACGCAACAACCCCATTGAGGCTCCCAAAAAGACCTTGCTAGAGGAGGATTTCATCACCAGGGGGCTCGTCTCCGCTCACGAGGCCGAAGAATTGTTCGCCTATTTCAGTCGCACCATGAACCAATTGCTATGGGGTGGAATTATCCTGGTCCATCGCGACCTCACCTCTGTCCGCCGGGCCTCCACATTACTGCTGGCTGCGGTCCTCACGGTAGCAGCTCTTCACATTCCTAATCGAACAGAAACCCTCAATCGCTGCTATAACGAATATGTCTCTCTCGTCTCCAGCATGGCGCTCACACGAGCACACACACTGGACGACATCCGAGCCCTTGCTGTTGGAGCGTTCTGGTTGTCGGAGCTGAGCTGGAAGCTGTCTGGACATGCTGTCCGAGTCGCCACGGAACTCGGTCTACATCAAAGCTATCATCGTTTGATCCGGGGACATAACGATCAGTATGCCCGAGCTCAATTGTGGTATTTGCTGTATGTGTGTGACCATCATTTCAGTATCGCCTATGGGCGACCGCCTGTGATTCACGAAGATGTTGCCATCCGAAACTATGAGACCTTCTTGAAGTTGCCCATGGTCGTGCCCGGCGATATTCGAGTCCTGGCGCAGGTCGTCCTGTTCACGATCCTGACGGAGGCGTATCGAATGTTTGGAAGTGATACCGAGCAAGCGCTCACGGAGGCCGACTTTGGGCAATTGAGGGTCTACAATGTCGCAGTAGATCAATGGCGATTAGTCTGGCAGCCTCGAGCGGGTAAGTCTGTGCAATTGTCCTCCAACCATCTTTCTCTCTCTCTCTCTCTCTCTCTCTCTCTCTCTCTCTCTCTCTTTTTTTTTTTTTTGGATCACGCAACTGATGGAACTCTCCCTATTTTAGCGGACAGCTCATACGTGCGCACGTATCCTTCCAAGGGCGTGGTCTTGCACTACCATTTCGCTAAATTCCAGCTGAATTCACTCTCACTCCGAGGCCTCTCCCCATCCAACACGCCGGTCTTCTCGATGGACCGGAGAGAGTCCGCGAACATTGCCATTTCATCTGCAATGGCATGCTTGAATATGGTCTTGGAGGAGCCGGATATTCGGGACGCCATCGTCGGAGTTCCCATCTTCACGCACACCATGGTGACCTTTTCGGCCGTGTTCTTGATCAAGGTGGCAATCAATTGGAACACCGCGTATCTGAGCATTGACGCGCAACAAGTGCGACGCGTGGTTGAGCGGGTGATCGAGTTGATGAATTGCGTGTCCGCCGGGGAACGACATCTGACTCGTCACATTGCTCGTGGGCTCGGCAAGATGCTCGAGCGGTTTGACTCGTGGGAGGCTGGATGGCCCGTGGGTAGCAATCATGCCCACGGTGAGATCAATAGTGATAATATGCCGGGGGGCGCCAATGCCCTCGCGCAGGGCTTCCCACCGCCCGACTTGATTTACGACATGGTAGGGACGTACGGGTTTGGGCTGGACGAGAACCTGTTGGACCCTAGCATGGCCAATTTTGAATTTTTGGCACAATGAAGCATGTCATGCATGGGATCTGCATGTCAGGTGCTTTGTGCAGGTCCTCGACGAGAGACTTGCCGAGTTCGACGCTCGTTATCAGCGGTGTAGCCGCTCAGCATATACAATCAAACATCAGAGGAGAGTGGTTGATCAACTTCAATTCCCAGCCATTTCCCGAACCCTGCCCAGAGCAGGTCAAATCCAGAGCCCCCCAACCTTCCAGAGAGAGTACCATGAGAGCAAAGGGGAGCCAGCGACTGATGAGGAAGGAAAGGAGGAGGAATCCTCAGCTCGGCCATTTCCGGGGCCGTGGAATGTAAACAGCTCTGCCAACTCCCACGCACCTAAGTCTCCTACAGCCACGCACCTCGTCCCCTCCCTGCCGTCAGAGCTTCCGGACAATCGCGGTGGATCCCCAAGATGTACCCCAGTTCACCTGCAGCTTGGTACTTCTACCTCCTCCGCCAGTAGTGAACCCGTGGTTGAAGGAAGTACTCGGGCCCAGTCCATGTCGTCACTCACGTCCGGCCCAGCAGTACCCTCCTCTCACCATGTCAACTCGTCACCTCAGCATGATGAGCTTCCCAGTTGCATGGCGCCCGTCCTTCTGTTTCTTCCCTTCCTTTTCCACTCTTGCGTTCGTTTCCATTTTAACTCCCTCTTCTCACTCCCGTCGATGGGTGTCCTTTCCCCCCCCCCCCCCCCTTGAGAGCGTTCTCGCTCCAGGCTTACTGCCACAGACGACTTGCTTCCCACCCTTCCGCTCGCTCACGACGGGCCATTGTCTACTGTATCCGGTACATGCGACTCCGCTAGGGAGTTGTACCATACCTGATGGACTGGCACCAGAAACCCAATGCTCAATTGCTCGCTATTGTACCGGTACCCTTGGCAGTGTCTTACGTAGGTACCGACTACTGGCGCTCTACTGATAGTCACCAGTAACAGTACTACCGGTACTACTCAACAGTCCGTTCCGTAGTATAAATTGCGCGTAGACTCAGTAGTACCTCCCACCAGACCCAACCTCCCCCCGGATCCTGCTTTTCTTACTCATCCCCTTCTTCAAATTCCCCCATATAATACCACTGTAGGAAGTCTCTCTTTTGAGGTTTCTTTCCTCCCTGTCACTTCACTCTCTCCAATTCCACAGGGTGAAGTTGAGCTGAACACTCTCCCAATCTCTATCTCAACTCAACTCTCCTCCCGTCTCATACCTCTCAACATGACCACCCGCAAGAGAAAGGCGGAAGCCGAGGAGGAGCTCCAGGCTCTTCCTAGTGACGAGAGCGAGGAAGAAGAAGAGTAAGTCGCTGCTTGTCTTTATCTCAGGATATATTCTCGATTCATCAGCGCACTGTTCGGCTTTTTCACCCCGCGACGCGAAACACATCATTGTCACTTGAACCCTGGCCTTGACGCGCAAGTACTGCGACCAGCCTCGGCAGCCTCGGGACTTGTAGCAGCTGTTGCGCGATTCTGTCCCATTGCGCGCGCCATGAAAAATGACCTTATCGTGCGAATCGAAAACCATGCGTTATACAATGTCGTCATGCTGGGAATCAATTGCGATGATCCTTGATCCTTATGGCTCTGGTGAAATATCATCGTCATTCCCGCGCTGATTATCTCATTGAACGATCTTGAACGATCTTGAACGATCTTTGACGGTCTTGTGCTGATTTCATCACGCGATTTCCTACAGATACGAGGACTCGGAACCTGATCGCTCGGACGTGAGCGACGAAGGCGAAGAGGGTGAAGAGGGCGAAGAGGGCGAAAGTGAGGACGAAGAAGAAGAAGAGGAAGCAGGAGAAGACGAAGGTATCTTTTTACCGTTTACCACCTTTCACTTTCTGTTTCTTCTCTCCCTCTGTCTCCCTCTCATTCAAATAATCAGCTAATTTTCGTCTCGCTCGCTAGGTCCCCCCGCCCAGAAGAAGCAAAAGACCGACAAAACCACCAATGGCAAACAGGCACCCGAGGTGGTCGATGATGACGAAGACGACGGGGCGGAAGAAGGCGCCGAAGAGCAGGGAGATGAAGACGAAGAGCCTGCCGAGGAGGAGCCTGCCGAGGAGGACGTTGAAGATGAAAATGAAACCGCCAAGTCAAGCGGTCCTGCTGCTGCTGCCAAGAAGGCCAAGGGTGGTACTGTGCCCAAGGAGGCTGATCTTTCTGAGGTTGATGCCGCTGAATAAGAGGCGCAACTGCTCGACGACTGCGCGGAGCAAGCTCATTGTACTATTGAAATAGTGCCTTTGGACCTGTCTCTCATGTACTCGTGAGACACGCCCCTTTGGTAGAATGACAAGAGAGCTTGCGTTACGGGAATAACAAAGACCCAGAATTAGCTGGGATGTGCAGAGCTGTTTCCACCTGATTGCTTTCCTTTTTTTTTTTGGTCTTCTCGCGCAATTCTAGAAAGCATCAATACTCAAATCTGGGTTGCCATGAAATACTGCATCACGGCCGTGATGCAAGGTCGAGTGTGAAGGTGTTTCCACTCCCTGGCCGAGCACGTAGACCTCGCTGGTGGAATGGAGGCTGACGAGATTTTAAGCAAACTATGAAGAACTGCTTCTACCTACCTACGTCCATGTATATTGAAGATTCCAGGTGGATGCGATCGCCAATAAAGTATCGTAGATCATTCAAAGGTCCTGATCTGTCGGGTGACTCACTGATATTGTTTACTGGAGCAGGTTTCGATTAGAGGTTATCCGCATCAAGGACTTGTCAGTCGGATAGTGGCACTGCACGCCCAGTGCCCAGTGCCCAATGACAGGTAGGAGAGAGCACGCTGAGCACGGACATACGCACCCTGTTCTTACCTTCAAGGACACTGAAAGCATAGATTGAAAAGGTAAGGGAAGCACCTGACTTGCGTATACTTACTATTGAGTGCACTGCTCGCGATTCGTCTACTTCCGAAATATATGCAAGGCGTCCGGAAAGCTTGATCGGCCTGTTCAGAGCCCGGTCTCGCGAGGCTCTTGCGTCTATGTACAACGTTGAAAACTACAGTATTTTGCGGCATCGAACGTGATGTCAGTCAGCGCCAGACAACCCAATGGAACAGGATTTCGAGGATCGAAGCAATGGTAATTTAACTTGATGTGTCTCGCTGGATTGTCCTAAGTCACTCTGTTGACCTCTCCAGCTCGAACGGACGCCACGTGGAGCGCAGGAATCCTGTCTCCCGCACGTCCTGGATCTCACGCTATGCATCACTGCCACTGCTGCGGAAGGTCGCGCATAGCTGACAGTATTGATGTGTGAGGTCAAGCACTGGCTGAGGCAAATTGGTGGCCTGCACAATGCTCCGAACTTTCACGGCACCCTCATCTTCGATCAGCTTCCGAACCAGGTACAATAGCTCCGGCGAAAACTAAACTCGTGTTAGCATTTGGGCAAGGAATCCGAACCGATGCAGACTTCGAATGAGTGTGGATCCTTACCTCGGAATACCACCGATACTGCCAGGCAATGAGACGGATCAAAGCACCGAGCATTCCCCGTGTGTCATTTTGTTTCTCATAGAGCTTGAGAAGTCCGCGCATTGCCTTGGGCGAGAACCTGATGGCCAGACAGCTTTGATACGCCTCGATACTCTCATCAAAGTGGTGCAGACGCTCTGCAAGTTCACCCAGAATTTCCCACTCGGTTGCTGACTTCTTATATTCCATGGATTGTTGGCGGAATTGAGCCATCTCTGTCCGCCAGATAGTGTAGATCCGAAGATCTTCGTAGAGGACCATGAACAAATTATCCAACCACCGCTCACAGAGACGCTTATTCGAGAATTGAGCATATGAGGTGTGTGAAGGATCAGCCTAACGAGGGCGTCATTAGCAACTGCATCAGAAGGATTTGCAATGGCAACGGATCAAGCTTACATCTTCATTTCCAGACTTGACAACTTCAGAAGCCATACTCTGCTCCGGCCTCTCGATCGGCGTTTCATCCTGGGTGCCGTTGGTCGCCGCTTCGTAGGCAGATTCAACAGGTCCAGGTCCCGAGGAAGCCGAGTCCTCGCCGCCGCTTTCATCCGTACTTTCAACGGGCACTCCATTCATCTCAGCCTCAAGGGATTGCGCGGGCTTGGGGACATGTTGTCGCTCCACGCGATATTCTTCTTCCATCACGAAGACTTCACTGCGAGTCTTCAACAATTGATCCCAGCCAATGGCAGCGGCAATCTTGGTGAGCAGATTGTAGGCCTTGAGAAATGTCCCTTGGTATCCAGCAGCATGCATCTTTCTCAAAGACGGATGCACATAGTCATGTGGATCGCCTTGCTTGGGCTGACCTTCGTCAATTTCGTCGAGAATACTTTCGGAGAGAATGGGAAGCATGATTCGTGAGGGTTGTGGCATTCTTGGCGTATCCTTGTCTTGGTATGTGAACATCGGGCATGAATTCAAGGTCAAGAGTGCCAGATCCCATTGCTCCATGCTGACGTAGACTTCAGCGAGACGAGCCCAAGTAGTGAACTCACTTGGTGCTGCAGTCACAGCACGCTTGGCACATTCGAGAGCCATTTCGCCCTCGCCTTTGCTCTGACAGAAAGCTGCTTGGCTATCGAGCAGGGCATAGTCCATTGGAACATCCTGCAGCGCGTCGTACATTAACCGCACTGCTTGGACTTCCTCATCTGCCATTATTTGCACACGCGCAAGAAGAGACGAAACTTCTACATCACGTGTGCGAAGCTTTTCGAACAAGTTGATTCCTGACGTGTATCGGCCTGTCGTATAGATGTACTTCAAAATACCAGACGTTAAATGATTGCTAACAGTATTGGGAACTTGCGTTTCGGGGTCCGAGCTGAGCTGACGCCCTGTGACAGTGTTAGAGATATCCAAACCATGTCAGTTTCGAGGGATAAGCCATACCCAAGAAGAAGAGTTTCTCAGCCGCATCCAGGAACTTGTGTTCCATTTCAGTATTTGTCACGGGGTTGAACCTTCTGACGCCGACAATCTTCTTGATGGCATCACCGCTGCCATCATCAGCGTATAGATAGGCCCTCAAAACAGCACACAGGAAAGTTTCCAGCCACAGCGCATCCGTGGCCATGCGCTTTTCCCCGTGCTCGTCAATGCAGTATGCCTCGAGACTGCCCGGGATCTTGACCTCGACGCGCATGTCCAGGTGAGAAAAAGCATTGTAGCAACTGCGCAAAGCATTAGAACAGAGCCCGAGCAATTTCAGTAGGGTTTAATCGGTATACCCACCAGTATATGCCCGAAACCACTTTATGCGTCTTGTCGAGTGGAGAAAACGTGAGGGTATTGACGTAGGCCGCTAAGCTCGCTGACGAAGAGGCATCGATTCCAGTGACATGGTGGTAGACACCGCTCTGCACATGATAAACGGAGTTGTTAGTCAAGTAACCGTAATTGAGGTTGGGACGAACAGAGTCATACCTGTCGGGTCGAGTTGGCCTTGGGCTGTTTTACCAAGTAGACCAGGTCTGGTGGACCTAGTTCTCGCAAGCTCTGTAGCGACTCTGTGCGCGCTTCGACAGCAACAAATAGCTCCTCTTCCTCGTGAATTCTGAAATCCCAAATGCGGTCAGTTTCAAGAATTGCGCAATTGCATAATTGGTTATCAATCACCAATAACTATGCGGATGCACAACCGAGGCACACGTTGCTTGGATATCAATCAGGGATACTGACTCTGGAACAGCGGGCGCAACCATGGCGGCGACCGGTGCAAGAAAATTCGGTCAATTCTCTTCGCTTCTCTGAGGAAGGGGGCTCAATGTGATGAGTGCCGCTCGGTGCCTTCACGCTGTAGAGGGGAAGGTTGTCACCAAACAAGCCGCGAGAGCTTCAGGCCACTAGGCAACAAGGCGGAGACACGCCGTCCTTTCCCCATTTGGCAGCCAACGCGTGAACCGCGATAAGCTTAGTTTGGCGTGTTTCGCAAGCTCTCGTGTGCATGACTGCGGTGCGCTCGAGTCGAACTCTGACCAACACACCAAGTCATGCATCGCGTGCATAAATAAGAGCTATTTGATTTGAAGAATCACCGTCAATCATGGCAAGCTGGGCTGCCCTAAATGTGGAACCCGACGAGGGTATCGAGGATGAGGTCGACGATACAAAAGAGCTCCAGATTGAAGAAGCTCTCAAACTTTACTACAGCGCCCTCAAACTTCACTCCCAAGGACCTGAGTATTACTCGCAAGCAGCGGAGGCTTATGAAGCTCTACTGAATTCAGAAATCTTCAAGTATCCTGAATCCCTCTCTGACTTCAAACGACCCGATCTACCAGAAGCGCAACCTGTTGCCGACGAGACTATCGCTACAACCGACACCGTTGGCGAATTCAATGTGACAGACTCTACATCAAGCCTCTTCCAAACCCTTTATCTATCCTATAAGAACCATGGAAAATTCATCCTCGATTCACTTCGCGAAACATCGAACAAGGAAGCAGGAACTACAACAGGTGCCGGACGAACGATCACGAAGGCCACGAAGGAGGCCATCCAGTCCTTCGCAGAAGCGCTCGAGCGCGATGACACAGATCTCAACCTATGGAGACAAAGCGCTCGGCTCGGCAGCGCTCTTCAAAGTTATCGGCTGAATCGCTTTTGTCTCGAGAGCGTTCTAGCTGATGATGATAATCGCCTAGAAGTACGATCAACACAGCTGGGACTTGAAGAGATATTCTCAGAGGAACGTTTACGAAACACTCTTCATTCGTTATTCGACGAGTTATCTGCGTCTCAGATACCAGTCAAAAGGCAGAAGAAAGCTCTCGTCAAGTACCTCAAGCCGCACGCCGACTCGTACTCATATCTTCCCGCGCTTCCGCCCAACCTTGAAGTTTTAGCATCTTCCAGGGGCCCGCTGGCTTTTTCGACGTCGCGCAAAGTGGTTGAACCTTCGAATGCAACCTGGGCAGCAACTGGCGCAGCTATTTTGGGCGCACTCCTGGAGGAAGAAGATGCTCCCTTTGCCGAGCGGCCTAGTAAAGCTATCGGCATTTCGTTGCCACATCGAAGCACGCCAACACCCGAACACTCCACTGTCATCAATCAAGCGAAGGACATTCCCCCGGCATTGACATCAAGTGTCAATCATGACGACGTGGATATGTTAAAGGAAGATGAGAATGGATCTGTGGCAGGTCAAGTTTCTCGAGATCAAGCAAAAGTTCCGTTACCCGAAGACCAATCCTCTATCGATCAAAGTGCAGAGAAACAGTTGATCGAATCACTAGAGCGACAATCTGTTCGGCAACCCGACACACGCGCTCCCGACGATTCTGCAAAAAACGAAGAAACAGATGTGAAGTCTCCATCTCGTGCTCGCAAACGGTCTTGCGCATCAGCTGTAGCCGAGGAGCAGGTCGAAGGTGGAAGAATAAAGAGCAGAAGGACCAGAGCGAGGGAGTCGAACGCCGACGCTCTAGTTCAACAAGAAGATGTTGCCTTCGACCAAGACAAATACTTCACAGATCGACTCGAAATTTTTGCGAATGCGGATGAGTGGATGTTCAGCACTGTCAATTCGCTATACTCAAGGGCAGATATTCCCTCTCCAGGTACCATCGAGGATCTCAAATGTAAGGTGGCCCATGTAAAGGATTCAGTAGGAGGCGTTTCAGATCCCGAAAGTGTTGGTATCATGGACCTACAGAATATTTGCCGAGCTTGGAACGATGAAAAGTCTCGCTTGTCGCAGCAAAAAGATGACGGATCCTCCCTGAAAGATGTTCGATCCAGCAAGTCTGGACTCGCAGTATTTCTGGAATATTCAAGAAGTGGCGCTCGCAAAGCTGCCGTTCATGAAGAACTGACGACAAATGAGGAACTTTACCAATTTTCGGAATCGGTGAACAATAGCTGGTTGCACCCCCAGGAAACTTCTTACCGTTGGCTCGAGCGTCTCCTCACGCCAGGCTTCACCGAAAAGGTCTCCCAGTGGCCTGTTATGACATCGGCTTACACTTCGCTTTTATGGCCTCAAGACCTCAAAGAAGTCGTTCTCGAAGTGATTCTGCATGAGGATGCGTTCATTTTCGAACGCATGGGCGACTTGTTCTCTGAAACCGAACGGCGTGCCCTAGAAAAGTCACTAGAATCCTGCTACCAATATCGGCCGAGCGATTTCTGTGAACTCGAAATCATGCAATCCATGTATGAAATCCATTTGGACATTTTTGCCTCAATGGAGATCAACAGCGAGGACAGTCAGGGTCTCTTGAAAATTCAGAAAGATCGACTCAATAGGTGGGCTTTGCTTGCTAGATCGGCTTTGGATATACTTCTTGACTTTTGCCCGTCGCAGGAGTGCCGCCAACATCTTGCGCTTCGTCACATGTGGGCCTCAGTATTCCATATCAATCTAGTTGGCGAGGCCGAGCGAGAACACATCTTGCTATGTTTCCAGGACTTGAAACTTACACTGCAAACTATTGGCGATCCGCATCTTCAGCTCCTCAACAATTCGGTCATGGGGGAGCTATCGGTCACTACTGTTGATCAAGAGATGCTCAAGCTCAAGTGCATGGACTTCTTTGCCAAAGTCTTTAACCCCGAAGATGAGGACCCAGTCTCGCTCATAGAAGCCATAGAGCCAATACTCGAGCCTGCTGCAACTGAGACTCTCGACTTTGATCATTGCATTGACGAGACAACGGCTTCCTCCACATCTAATGAGATGCGTGCATTCCTTGACCGGGGCGATGCACCCTTGCGACTGTTCCTGTGGCGCCGGCTGCAAGAAGCCTACCAAGCTATCGACTACCCACCAAAGGTAGTCTCATGTCATCTCCGGAGTGTCGAAGTGGTAATGAGCACCCTGGAAGATGAAAAACACCTTGGGGAAAATAATGGTCAGCGTCAACTAGCCTTGATTGGCTGGCTAAAGACATTGAACAACATCATGGGAAAGATCATTCAGCTTGTTTTCCAACATGGCGAGGAGGCATACGACTGCATAGACATGGATCACCTCAAATCGTCCATGTCAGCCATCACACGTCTCACCCGGCTGCTTCATTCCTTCGTTCTGTATGAGGACTCGCTTCGAGTCGGTCAGGTTTCAGGACCTGAACTACGTGGCTCACTTGCCAAATCCTTGGAAACTTTCAAGGAAAGAACTCGAGAGCTTTATGTGCGCTGCTGGATTGTACAGTACACGTTGTTCGTCGAGGCTATGGCGCAGAACAAACATTGCTTCGATGAACCACTGGAAGACCGCATTCGCATTCTTCGTTCTGTCCACAATGCCATGGGCGTTCGTTGCATGTGCCGATACTCGCAGAAACGCTTTCTAAAGCTGATGAAAGGGGAACTGCTGGATTTGCAGACAAAAGGTGACTATGAGCTCGACATTTACCAGGTCTTACTGGACCTACACGGCATCAAATTCTCGCCTTACGACGGAACAACAGACCACGGATGTACGCCAGACAAGTTGGATCGTCCTACTGCAATCAAATTGATCGACATTGTCATGAAACAAGCACAAAACATGAATATGAAAGATCTCTCCAAATCTGACTTGAAACTGACGATCGAGAAGATGCAACAAACTATGGTTCCACCAAAAGCCTCATCTTCGCCTCAGATGTCCTTCAATCGACGCGTCTATCATGGCTACGTGAAAGCACCCATAAATCCGTCCTCTCTTCTTCGCGCTGTGCAAGGTGTTCTAGAGCTCACAATGCTTGTGGTTCCGGGCGAAAATGCACAAATAGCTGCAAAAGGCTGGTACTTCCTCCTGGGTCACTTCGCCCTTTCAAGGTTCCGGTCTCAAAAACGTCTGAGTCCTGGCTCGACTGCAGAGCTTGATGATGCAATCCACTTCTTCAGACTGGACATAGACTACGGCTCAGGCCGATGGGAAACTTGGTATCGCCTAGCTCAAGCATATGACTCCAAGATTGACGAAGAGATCACATGGACCGCAGAAAAGATCAACAACAATAAAGGCGATTTAGTCACAAGCCAGCGATACGCGATACATTGTTACGCGATGGCCGTGTCTACAGCGCTGAGATGCGCTGAACCAACGAGCGAGACCCGAGGCATTCTGTCTGATTTATACACAGACTTCGGCATTCGGCTTTATGCCTCATCTCGTGAGCCGCTTTCTATGAAGGCCTTCAGTCTTTCAGATTTCTCCCGCCATTTCAGCAGCGAAGAAAACCAGCAAATGTACAAAGGGCGGCCTTTTAAGGAAATGTCCCTATACTCTGTCTGGAACTTCGCCTCCAATCTACTGAAAAGAGCCCTAGCTGACAAACCCAATCGTTGGATGTAAGTACTGCGGCTGCTGGCTTGCACACTAAACTATTGACGTGAGCTGACGGCATAAAGAACACATTATTACATAGGAAAGTGTTTCTGGAAAATGTTCACCTGTGATGAAACAATGAGAACAACCTCGAAGCGGGTCGAGTTGCAAGATGTTCTGCACGCGTTTCGTGACGCGATTTCTGCTCTGCCAAAGCGAAAGGATTCTCGCGCAGATCCTATTTTCGAGCCGCACTTCAAACTCGTATCTATCGTCCAGAAGATGGTCGATCGAGGTACAATCATTGTAAGTCAGCATTCTAAATAAGCCTCTCCACGTATTTGTGAATTTTCTAACGTTCAAGCAGCCGACGAAAGCGAGTCAAATTTTGCAAGCTACACCATGGGCTCGAAAAGTGAAGGCACCTGAAAATGATGAGGGATGGAGACCTTACATACTTGAGGTCATCAGAAAATTCAAGACCGCTGATAAATCCAACTGGCATCACCGCATGAGTGTTAAGGTAAATGCTCGCATCCCCATGACGTTTCAGAAACATATTACTCACAAATTCTAGGCCGCGCATGTCATTTATGATGACGAGAAGAATGCAACGGCCGCAGCTGCAGCCAAGCAAGAGCTCTCGCAGATCTTCACACGAACTCTAACCATACAGGTCTGGCGACCGGAGTTTGAGCGCCCTGGGCGACATTTCGTCTACACAACGCGTTACGTCTACTTCTTTATCAGTCTACTTGACCAACTGGATGACCGCGCAAATTTGGATCAGCTGCTCAGGCGTGTAAGAAAGAAGCATGGCGATTTCATCAATCACGGGAAATTATGGGAGGATGCTTGCTCCACGTACATGAAGATGATTCGAAGAGCAGCAGGAATCAAAGAAGGTCACGAAGAATCCGTCTTCAAGCCTATTGGATGGGAAGAGTTCTCAATGAAGACAGCCCGCCTGGAAGCTCTACCACAGCTGACTCCGGACAGTCTGCCACTACTTGAGCTTGTCCGTGACTCATTTGAGCTCAAGAAACTTAACAACAACTTCCTGAAGGTGACAATATTTGAAGACCTCATCGCTGATCTGTATGCGCGCATCTACGAATTGAATCTGCCTTCACTGAATGACCAGGCCAAAGAGGAGAAGAAAGAGAAAATGAAAGTTGATCACCTTCTCATGGCAGGCGATGGCAGTGCAGAGACATCTGAGCCTGCAGCTTCCACTTCAGCTGCAGATACTCCGGCTCCCCGCGGCAGAACCAAGGGAATCGCCCGCCGGGATATCCAGAAGCGTGCGGACACAATTGTCAATCTCAAACTCGGACCTCGTGCTGCGCCAAGCAAATTCGCTGCTACCGCCGATGCAGACCAAGCTGCGCCAAGTCATTCAGGCTCAGGCTCGGGCTCTGTACCAGGCCCCACGTCTGCTCCTCGTGGCCCCGACGGAGAGCCGGCTGAGGTTGGAGATCACGATGATGCACAGACGAATGATCGGAATAGTCTGAACGATACAGCCGACGAGAGTGAGTTGAGTGAACTTGACGAGAGCAAGTTGGACACAACGCTCGAGCATAAATCAGTTTTCTCAAAGCTTCTTCAAGATGAGGTTGGAGATGGAGAGACCGAGACCGAGAATGAGGGGCCCGACGAGGGTGAGATTGAAGGCGACGAAGAGGAAGAGGAAGAAGAAGATGAGGAAGAAGAAGAGGGAGTCGAGGAAGGAGAGGAGCCCGCGGAGGGAGAAATCGAGGAGGAGGAAGGCGAAGACAATGAAGTAGACGAGCAAGAGGAGATCGCTGACTCGGATACCGAAGAGGGCGGAGAAAACGACCATGTCGATGAAGGAGACGACGACGAGGTTCAGGAAGACGTGGTCGAACCTTCCAAAGGCACGAACAAGCCCGAGAACGAAGATGCAGAGGCCACTGATGAAGATGTCGGCAAGTCCGACGACAATCAGTCGGAAACCGACGAAAAAGAATTGATTGACCAAGACATGGACGACTTGACCCATGATGAGATTGCCGAGACGCCGGAGGCTATGGATGTCACACCATGAATCATCAGGGCAATCGTTGATTTTGAATCTCCTTCGGCGCCATTCTGAGAGGGAGTTAATTTACAGACGGGGTAAGGCGTTGGAGCAGTCCCTCAAGGGTGACCAGGTGCATCTAAAAGTTAACCGATGCCATACCAGGATCGTGTTCCATTTTCTCTTTTACGAATTGCTATATCAGGACAAGGAACGATTAGAACCACAGTTAATCAAATATTAATATCCAGCCAACATAATAGCTTGACAAGTAAAATACACTGCACAAATCTGGAATCTCTGACTGTATTTAAACAAAAGCAGAAAGATGTAAACGCCGCTACAGCTGCCCAGGGTGTATCACAAGAATCCAGAATACTGCTCCAAATTGAAGGAATCAGGTCGTAAAGTCATAACAAAAGCCCATCGGAGACAGGGTCCCTAGATCTCATTTTCTGGCGCGAGATCCCACTTGCGTGTGGAAATCTTTCTGAGTTTCTTGCCAGGTGAAGCCAACTTGGGCACAGGGGATGGTACGGAGAACATGCCATCCGTGATATTGAGCTGATTCACACGTTGAATAGCGTTGTCAATCTCGCTGCCTCGTCCCAGACGATTAATGGCCCCCTTGGGTGACGACGGCGCATGCTTCGCGCGCGGCTTGCGCGTAGGAGACTGCGAAGACATTTCGCGTTCCATTGCAGCCAACCGGCGGCGAAGCTGCTCATTCTCGTTTTCCAAGTCCTCAATCCTTTCATTGGCGGACGGTTCAGGATCCTCGTAGATATTGAAACCACGCGAGACCAACTCAACTTTCTTGTCCACGAGCTCATCATTTCGGCCGATCTGGAATCAAATTTAGTATATTGAGACTCTGCATTGGTCGTGTTGAAAAACAAAAGTGACTCACCTGTTCGTCCCATGCTGCTTGCCAACGCTTTCTTTCCTTTTCCATCTGCTCGTCCATATCGGCCCAGCACTCCTCGCGCACCTCCTGTTCTATCATGACGCATCGATCCTCGGCTGCCTGTAGTTTGATCTCAGCTTCCGAGCGCGCCATCTCCTCTTCCGCCAATCGAACTGCAAAGTTGTGACAGTCTTTGGTCAACCGAGCAATTTCGGCCATCGCACGTTCAAGCTCCTCGGCTAAACCATCGTCTAGCGAAACACGTCCACTGGTCGATTGGTTTCGCTCAGACGTCGCGGAAACGATGGATCCTGCTAGTGATGGAACGCGCGGAACAGTCACCTCGCGTGCTAGCGCTGAGTAGCGAAGAATCTGTGATGTAGCATTGTAATCACCCAACGGATCAGCCGTGACGATCATGATCGCCTTTTGCGGATACTGCCCCCGAGACATCTGGTTTGATGATGGGAACGAAGAGGAGAACAAAAGCTCGGTGAGCTTGCATTGTCGATATGGAACAAGGGCCGTCTAAGTTCATTAGCATGTAATCTACTCCTCTTTGGATGCAACACGACTCCGTACCTTTATGCCATCCTGGAGGTTGCTTTGCATCTGCAAACATTGTCCCAGGTACATCAAACTTTCATTGATTTTGCCAGCCTCGGCGAGTGTTGCTCCGGCTGTCTTCGCAGTCCTTGCCCGCTCAGAGCCTGGCGGGTGTTAGCGTTTGAGTAAGCATGGCGGGATGAAAAGGGCACCGGTACCTGCTAGATCCACCACAGTCAAAGTATGCCCTGTCCAGCTCGTTTCTCCGTGTCGCTTCGTCACCATCTTCTTGACCTCGAGACAGAAAAAACCATGGCTCCGCGAGCTGACACTGTTCGCACCGGTCCCTGTAACCTTCCGCTCAGTCAAACCAACGTCGAGAATGGCCAAGGCCTCTTCGTAGCTACTGCAGGCGATTTTGCGGAGACCTGCGACCAACTTTCTGTTTGGGGACCCCTCGGTTGACTTGAAAAGCAATGGTCGACGTCGGTCTTTGTGAGCATTTCCGCGAGACATGGCGTTACCTTGGCTGGCAACAATTGATGGCGACAAGAGATCGAAGATTCGGTCATTGTAGACCTCATACATGGACACAAGTACCACATATTCAGAGTTTGGGCTCAAGTCTATAGTAAGGTGGCCAACATCAGGGAGTCTTGGGCTCGTCACTGCGCGCTCACGGGGTTGACGACGGGGAAATAACAGCGCAGGGGCAGGCTCCTTAAAGACGGAAAATCGTGGTTTAGTAAAGCGATTCTCCAATGGTTTTGAACGAGTGAAAGGGGTAGGGGTGGAATATCCAGGGGAGAAAATCTTGGTGGATTGCACCCTTGATGGTGTGGCAGAGGGCTTTCCGCTCCAGTCAATGGGAGTGTAGGTTTCATCACCGCATGGGTAACCTGAATCCCCGCGAGTTGGAAAGGACACAGGGTAGCTGGATTGATGCTGGTGCTTCACCGGACTCCTCTTCTGGGGGCTCAGGGGTTCAGGGCTCCGTACCGTTGATGGGGTGTTCGCACGAGATGGACTCAAAGGTGTTGGTGCTCTGGAACTGCGACCGGCGTTAGGCTCGCCATAGACGGCATCGAGAAAGGACTGAGCGGAGAAAAGCTGGGCCTCGGAGTGGTCGGATGTGGCCAAGGACGCGAGTATCATGGGGCTTATAGTCAAGCTCTTGTTCGTCCTAGCCATGCCGATGGATTGGAAGATGACATCCAGGGCCATCTGCGTGATACCGCGTTCTGATTTGGAACCAAGGATGGTGTGACTCTTAAGCGCGGATCGTAGTCAGTACATATGGGTCTCAAATGAACAGACAGTTGGCCATACCTTGCCACTACCGGTCACTCCCAGCGTGGCGACCAGTCCATCACGACCCTCCTTCAATACCCCGCGAACGATTGACTCCATCCCGGTGTCTTGAAATACATTCAACTGAGTCGCACGCTCTTCAAACACTTTCGTGAACCCGAATTTCTCAATTGCGCGTTTTCGTGTATCATTAGGCGGTTGGAGCGTGATATGGGTTGGCGCAGGCGCATAATCTTCTTGCTCATCTTCTGAGGCCTGTGGAGCTTCGACGGCGATGAATCGTTCGTTGTCATCATTATGCGGGCTCATGGGAGGCCTCAACCGTAGATAGACCTGGAATAAAGATGATTGAGGAGGTTTTGTCGACATTATGACTCTGGTCGCTCAGTCAAGAGCATATGGCGAGCGTGCAGAAGTTGGCCGCTGTAAGTCGGGTTGCCTCTTGGCCGTTGAGCTGAGGCAAGACAGTAATCGGTGTCATTGAGCCTTGTTACCCGTTCGAGTAAGTCTCGTGTTTCCCCGGCAACGAGACTCTACCGAAGACCAGCAGACAGAGAGTTACAAGGCCGGGCGGGTCAGACCCACCCAACTCTGACCGCGCTGAGCCTCTCATTGCTGGAGTCGTTTGAAGTCTGTAGATGGAAACCCTGGCTGAACCATCAGATGGCTTTACCGAGTGAGAATTGGAGAGGATGTCAAGTGAGGTTCAGACAGAAGTGGGCCGTGACCCTTGGAGGCACGAGCTGATCCAGAGTATCGGTCCTGCCTGGCACAGCCATGATCTCCTGCAGGACGACTCGATGTACCGCCATCTGACATGCAGGTACATCACAGGTAACTACCGAACACGCACTCCAGGCCGCCTCACTTTTACATTGCCACAGAAAGATTTAAGCCGGACTGGACCACGAGTAGTACCTTGGCGGTACTGTGATGATGTGATCTGGTCACCTTATTGTCCGCAGGGTCGTTTTTCGATCATGCCCAAGACTGCTCATAGATCGACGTCAGTCAATATTCTTTGCAATTTCCGTCGAGCGCGGTTTACGAGCACCGGGCGATACACACCGTGGAACCAAAGTTTGGGATGATCAAATGTAGATCGTCGGACTTAGATTGACATCAATGGCTTCACGAGATCTTACTCGTTAGAATATACTGAGGGCTTTGCAGCGCCTTCAAATGCTATTCCCAAAACAGTAATCTCGTGTTGGCTTGAAAACCCTCCTGCGTGATGAACTTACTCACATCGACATAAATAACCGACAACAGCCCACCAGACTAGGCAGGCAGAAGCTATACCATTCAGAAACTAACATTGAACTCCACGAAAGCGACCTCACTGGAGATTGTTCCCATCCCACCCGGCTCGTTCGTGACCCATGGATAATTATATGCTTCCTTTCGGCATCCTCCAGCAGAGCTCACCAACTCAATACATGCAAATCTACCCCGAGTGAGAAATCACATCCAATGAAGCAAGATGCATCAATCTCGTTCATATCGTAAGTTGATCAAGCCTTTGGTGCTTCGTGATCCCGATGTGTTTTTGTTGACCCCCAATTATTCGCCAGAAAATGGGAGTCTATGGTACTATGCCCCTGATAAAGGAGCTCCCATAGTCTTTGCACTCCTCTTCGCAATTTCAGAGATTGTCCACCTGTATCAGACTTGGTATGTGCACCGCAAATGCCCAATGTTGACGATAATCGTGTCCCTCCACCATCAGTTGCAAGCCCCGGCTAAGAATCACTCTGTGATTAGGAAGTACAAATCGTGGAAAGTGACCGGTCTCCTGCCTTGGTCCGCTCTCCTTTTCGCCGCAGGCTTAGGTCGTGATGCGATCTATTGGAGCCTTTGGCCAGTGGGGCAATATAGGGGTATACATTGCAAGTACAGTGCCACTTCTCGCTGCACCGTAAGTAGGATTCTATCTTTTTGCCAAGTATTTGCGGTGCCAGTTCCTTACGATTTAAAGGTTTCTGTTGAAGTCCGCCATCATGATGAGCACTGGAGGTGTCTTGACCTGCTTGAAAACTTTTCCTCAATGCGCATCCGAAAATGTTACTAAATCTTCTGTCTCATAGTCCTGTCTATGAGGTCACCTACTACCTTATTCTCGGCCGGATTCTGTACTACATTCCATACCACTCGTCGATTTACCCTGGTCGTGTCTTCACCACTCCTTACAGTCAGTGCTGTGATCGAGGCAAGCACTGCGAATGGCGCTGCACAAGTTGCTGGAGCCGATTCTTCACCGACGAGTGTCAGCACAGGCAAGGCACTGTTGAAGGCGGCTTTACTGCTACATATCATCTTGATGGTAGCGTTTGTCACAATGGCAGGTCGCTTTCACTACAACTGTGTGAAGAATAGAGTCTTCAATCGGAAGATCAGACGGGCTCTTATCGTACTCTACATCAGCTCGACCCTCATCACTACGCGGACCATTTATCGCACAGTCGGGTTTTTCAGTACCGCAAGCCTGAAGACATCAGCCCTGTATTGTAGAGCGAGTGGTATTTCTGCGTGTTTGAGGCGGTGCTCATGTTTTGCAACAGAATTTTGCTGAATGCCTTCCATCCAATGCATTCCCTTCCTCTCTCTAACACGGTATACTTGGCCGAAGACGGAGTTTCAGAAATTGAGGGACCGGGATACAAGGACCCGCGCCGTTTGATTATGACTTTCATTGATCCCTTTGATATCTGCGGTTTGATTCTCCGGCGTGACAGACACGCCAAATATTGGGAATCGGGTTCAGCAGATGGGACGGTATCCCCTTGTGCCGGAGCCAAGGTCTAAATACCAGCCCTGGGTTTGATATGAGTCCGTGCCCCTCGAATTGTCTACTTCCATATGTGTCGGAGTTAATCTTGTATTGATTCTTTTCTCTCTGCAAGAATGGATTTTATTGAAAACCCTAAATCATTCGAGTTGTCTCGTTGCACATTATCCAGATTTGAGGGGAGAGGATGTCCCCATTTCTTCCAATTCCCAATTTTACATGTCACTTTCATCGTTTCCCAGCTCTTCCTGGATCTCCCAGCTGTATTTCGCAAAGCGACTTCTTTTTCTGATTTTCTCGCCATAGCACAAGAACAGCGGCGGTACGATGCAAAACACTGTAGCCACTATCGCAAGCACCGAAACGGCCATGTTTGCACCGAGCCCAGCGAACATCTGCCTGGTGAACAGCGGGAACGTGCCCGACAAAATCCCTCGCAAAAAGGCAACAGCAGCTGTCGCACTCGCTGAATAACTAAGGTAACTGTCCGAGATATAGCCATAAAGCACCGTATCAAGCTCAGTCAAAGCGTAGCCGACAAAGACAAGAGATAACGTTGGCGCAACCCATAACAGCCGGGATCCTGAAGCTTTGGGTGGAATGGTCCAGCCGAACCACCAAAGACCAATGGCTAAGAACGGGGCTCCGATTGCTAGTCCCATCAGCTTGTCCTCTGGTCGAATGGGCTTGCCTTGGGCTCTGCGTCTGTTGAAGATGTAGCAGTCGAGAATGCGGGTGAAGGCGCTCAGACAGGTGCCGATTCCGAGAGACAGAAATATGAGAGACGACTGGGATGCAGAGAGGCCCATTGTTTGATATATCGGCTGGAGGGCTTCGGTGAATATGTAGATAAGCGACATGGCGACAGAGATCATCATCGCTATAGTGAAGATGATGGGCTCTTGACAGAAAAGCTGAGCTGGACGAAACAAGGCGTCACGGACAAAAGTTTGCAGGTCCGGAGAATGGTCATGATTGAGAGCTGGGGGTAGGGCTGGAACAGTCTTTCGTAGCCGGTCAACCTCGCCGGTGAGTATATAGGAGGATCGAGATTCTCGAACGATGCAAAGAAGAGCTGTGATACAACCGATGACAATGGCGTAAACGTAAAACATCCACCTCCTGAATCGAGATTAGTGGCTTTTCTCTCATCCAGCCGCACATGAAGTAGTGAGCTTACCAATCCAGCAGCTCAATGATGTAGCTGCTAGTAATGGGACCAATTATCAAACCAATGTTTGACGCCACTGTCCAAAAGAAGATAACCCAAATACGAGCTTTCGAGTTGAACATATCTTCAATACTTCCACCCAGTATAGTACCAGGTACTGCGGATAGTAACCCAGCCATGAAGCGCATCACAATCACTGCTGTCAGTGAATGTGCTAAACCTATCACGAGACAGCAAATACTGCTCAAGGCTGCACTGAACAAGTATGTCTTCTTCCGACCAAATGCTTCGGACCACGGTGGAAAGACGATGGTGCCAATGGATTGGCCAAGAAGAAATCTTGGGATGATGAATTGTCAGCTTCTTCGCTATCACTTAGAAAGAGCGAGTGCACTGACAGCGTTACGAAACAGAATGTTGAGATCGTTTGATTCAGATGGAACTCATCTTTAGCCTGTGTAGCTGCTGCGGACTGCGCATGGTTGTGTGAGTTATTGACAACTTGAGCAAGGACCATAGTATTGATGAGATAAACTTACACCTGCTGTGCTGCTGGCTGTTCTGCGAATATGCAATTTACGTCAGATAAGATCAGTATTCTTGAAAGGCTTCGAGATACCAACGTACACGAATAGATCCAAAGCGCAGATGACACCAGTGTCGAATGTTTTCCTTATTTCAGACCAGTTCCGAGGGTGCTTAGGATTGTCTCTCCCCCATCGAATAAATTTTCTGTCGCATGTCAATTCGAGTTTGTGACCCTGCAGGTAGTCTTGCAAGGAGTTCTCAAGCTGTTCTGTCTTCTCGAGCAAATCCTTGTCATTGGAGAACAGTACAAGTTCTCCTGAAGAGCTGTCGTAATCATCGGCCATGTCAACAGCAGTGATAATGGGATCTGACCGATATTGTAACTGCTCGAGATTGAACAAGCAGAGCCCTCATGGCTACAAGAAGACTCATTCCTGCATTAAGTCTTCCAGCCATATCCGTTTGCTCTAGTTTGCATCTGACGCTAGAGGGGATCAGGATGTGAAGAATGCGACGTCCACCTATTGAGATATACTGGAGAATCGGCTTTTACTTCCAATTGGGTAAGACTACTGTGATGGATCCATTCTGCGTAAGAAAATCCCCGACACTCCCTTTCTAGTTGAGTCCCTTTGACCCTTTCCGATCACTTGATGTCCCACATCAGCTGTCAACTCACTCATACTGCCCTAGGAGGACAGCTCACTACTATCCTGTGATTGTACTTGCTAGGGATGAATTATCGTCGAGATACTTTCGGTGGAATGCAGGGGCTCACCTAACTCAAGCGCTTCTATACATAGGCGATCGGCCTTGTCGCGTCCTTGCGAAGCCGAAGACATTAATAGATTTTACGTGCACTATGATGTAATCATCATTTCATTATCTCCAATAAGCACTGTCCTCGTTTTTCCTTATTCCAGCATAATATAGCTAAGTCTCGGGCAACTAGGTAGCGTATCCTACCTTGCGCTGGAAAATTCTCTCGACGCTAGGCTCGGCACAGAGTCATCATCAGGTTGTTCGATCTACGCGAAGAACCCCTTTGAAGTCTGATTTGCAGCTTGATCGAGCTGTGGGTAATCAAGGTTAGATCATGGTCTGTCAAAGCTAATAGTATACTGTGGCAAGTACTGAGTTCACGCAAGGGTGTACGGGTTTTCGGAGCCTCGTAAAAGCAATCTCAATTCATGACGCGGCCTAGCTTATCCCTATATTGTTCATACAATTGGTGCTCAATTTTCTGGAACCTTGAGCGGTTGACAACCAGTACGGACAGGCAGACAGCAATCATTTGTGTTGGCACAATACCTTCATTAGTCTCCGACCTCATAAGCACAAGTGTGACCCACCCTTTATCGGTAACTATATTCACTCGGGTGCGCGGAATCGGTACCAAAGGGTACATCGTCGGGCCTGGCTCACCGCCAAGGATGTACCGCCGAGCCGTAGCGGCGAGGCCACCTCTCCGCAATATTCTGCCCAGTCGACCATCAACACAGCTCTGTATGAGCCAATCTCCAATTCCGGTCGCCTTCTTCACCAAACCATGCTGTCGTTTCTCTCAAACAGTCTCAACAATGCGCGCACGACAGTAGCCCAGGTGCTCAACTTTGCCCTGGTACGTCAAGTCTTCCCGTGAAGAACAGACATTTGGAGCAGCTCCTTCTTGTCTTGGCTTGTATGAATCGGACACTGACCCGGAGTCTCATCAATTATTAGGTGCTGTCGACCGCCTTCATGCTATGGAAAGGTCTATCTGTCGCGTCAGCTTCAAATTCACCGATTGTGGTTGTTCTTTCCGGGAGCATGGAGCCAGCGTTCCAACGAGGTGATCTTTTATTCTTATGGAATCGAAGCCCTCGAACAGAAGTGGGAGAAGTCGTGGTATACAATGTGAGTGGAAACGACCGGACGGAAATGCTTGCTGCTGTTGTGCTGATTTCGTGGCAGGTGCGAGGCAAAGATATTCCCATCGTTCACCGTGTCGTCCGAACCTTCCCTGAGATCGAGGGGAAGGCAAAGAAGGTCGTGAAGGAGGTCACCGCGTATGTATTAAGTTGGGCCAGATCCAAGATCTCCACACGCTGACCTCCAAATCGCTCAGTGATTCAACGTCATCTCATATGCTTCTCACCAAGGTTCGTTCATGTCGGAGGGAGGAGGCTTTGGCGGGTTTCAGCTGACAAATGATGCTTTTCCGTGGATAGGGTGACAACAATGTTGCCGACGATACGGAGCTGTGAGTTGACACGAGGCTCCCTGCACCTTGGTGAATTCCAAAAGTTTTTGATTGCTGACCCTCTTTACTCGTTTGACAGTTACGCCCAAGGTCAAGACCACCTGAACCGCGCTGAGGATATTGTAGGGAGTGTAAGAGGGTACATTCCCATGGTAGGATACGTGACGATCATGCTCTCGGAATACCCATGGCTAAAGTCAGTGCTTCTGGGGATCATGGGCTTGATGGTTGTGCTTCAGCGAGAGTAAACAGTCACCTATAGATGGGTAGACAACGATTTCTCAAGTCATACGCCATGCAGTCTTCCCTCAAAACTAGACAGCGAAGGAGCCTAGTACTATGCGGTGTTTCAAACAAAACACCACATACTCTCCAACAATGTACCAGCACCAGCAACTTTATTTCCAACAAATGTACACTGTACATCGTATAGCGTACGCGGTACAGTATGCATGGCCCACTAATTTGTGGGCTCATTACCTGAACTCTTTCAGTGGTTGAAGCTTATGATCTAGATTAGATGCTACTCGTCGGCTGGGTGAAGGCGCGTCAAAGCAACCCGACTGACGTCCGCTCACTCCACTTTACAAGCTAGAAGAGCTTCTAAGCTACCGCGGCCAACTCCGCCACAGCCCCTCGTTTGCGGTTTGCCTTGATACCGGAGTTGAATGAACATCCCGCTTAGTCCTTTTGGTGTAAACACTGCCTTACTGATTGTACCAGTTACTCGTCCATTGGATAACTCTGCCTCTCTAGTCAGTATCTCAATTCGAGCCGCCGTCCATAGATCACCCCATCAGCTGACCTACCTAGAATCCCCCCGAGCGCCGCTCCGAACCCCCCACATCCGGCATCACGTGCACAACAACTCTACCATCGAACCCCAAGTTGCTCGTTTCAAGATGGCCAGTCAGAAGCGCATTGGCAAGGTAAAGCCCCTTTATAGTCCCTTTACCCTCGATCGCGCAAACCAGTTGACTGATTGATTTGCTCGTGAACCAGGAGTTAAGTGAGCTCACTGCAAGCCCGCCAGAGGGCATCTCAGTCGAATTGGCCGATGAGGCGGATCTCTTTAAATGGAAGGTTTTCATGAATGGGCCTGAAGGGTCGCCATACGAGGTACGTGATCGACTTCATCCAAAGACGCAACTGGGAGATGTCTCCTCGCCATCGGCCCTTATAGGCCCAGATCATTGCGAAAGCATGGTGCAAGGCGGGCTTCAAGCGTCACTGCGCACCTCCAGCGTCACTTTGATGAACCTGACCGCCAGAAGGACAACGCTAACATGTAACATTCTTGCGCCTCTTATAGGGTGGAAAATTCTTGGTGAACCTCACCCTCCCCAACGAGTACCCCTTCAAGCCACCGACTGTTTCCTTTGGCACAAAGATCTACCATCCAAATGTCACCAATGACGAAAAGGGAAGCATGTGCTTGGGTATGCTCCGAGCCGACGAGTGGAAGCCAAGCTCCAAGATTGCCGCAGTTTTGGAGTTTGCGCGCCAGCTGCTTCTAGAGCCGATGCCTGATGATGCTGTTGAGGGACGGATCGCCGAACAATACAAGAGTGACCGGAAGCGCTACGATGAGATTGCGCGGGAATGGACTCGGAAATGGGCCATGTCGGGCCAGTGAGAGAAGTCAAGTCCTCGAAGTATCGGGGGTTGCTGCGAGCACCGGTGATATGCCAGACTCCTGATGAACTTTGATGCAAAACCAGGTCCCTTTACCTCTGGCTGCAGCTTAGGTTGTAGCTGGGTCGTGTGACGACTGTGTACCTCTTACTCTTACTCATCATCATACAAATATGTTTGTTAATTGCACGACATTTGCGAGACTTCCTTGTCCAGAGGCATTTCTAATTGCTGGGCTCTGTTACGTGCGCGTCCTCCTGGGGACCATATTCTACTGCTTCAGGCTTACCCGAGTACCCCTAACCCCCGGGCGGCTGATGAGCGGCAGGGAGTCATGACACAGAATCGTTGAGACATGTTTTACATGCAGATGATATACCTTGGATTAGTGGAACTCAATACCTTAGTCACTGCACTGAGTCGTGTGTGTTTTACAAGTTTCTCTAACCGAACCCACAGTCAATCAACCCATTCCAACCGTTAGGAAATAGATGACTATAGCCCTATAGTTCCCGACATGTCTGGAACAGGAGCTTCAACACAAGTCAACCAGCCACCACTTAGTCACACATTGCGTCTGGCACCCTGCAGGTGTTCCAGGCTTCCAGCTACTGGTCTGTGCGATATCATTGATGCATGGACGGCCCATTTCTCGCGTTTGTCTCGTCTCTATGTAACAGAAAACTGCATTTCAGAGGGTATGCATCATTCAATGTTGTGGTTCCGCTCTCCACAAATGATTCCATGACTTTGACCCGGCCTTCCAGGAATATCCGGGCATACGTCAGTCGCTGCTGGAGGGAGTCAAATAATGTGCGACGCTTGCTCCACCACCGCATTCTGCCACGGAGCTAGAATAGCCACGGACAGGTGACCTGGGCGGTATAGCGAGCCATAGCTTTGCGTGTAGTTGTAGCTTAGTAGTGCTACTGCTGTGTGTCAGGTCCATGTCACGTTGCGTCCTAAGAAGAAGGTGTATGTACAAGGGCAGACAGACGCTAGAACAACAAAAGTGAGGTGTACACCGATACACTCCTTTGACCCCCTCAACGGAGCGATAGATCATCACGAACGATGCGTTCGTGCGTTCGACAAATATCCCTTACAAATTAACCTGATCCGCCATGTCGCCCATTTCTCAGGGCTGTCTCGGTGGCTTTGTTAAACGACAGTGGACACATCCACTAGTCAACTGTCATCGGTTTGACCAGTGTATCTGATGGAACGATGCTTCCCCTGACTGCACAGGAGATGAAGGGGTTCACCGACACTGACCTACACTGATGCTGGCACATTGCCAATGGGGGCATCAGTCTTCCAACGAGGCCATTAATCTCTGACAGTCGAACCTTGACGCCAAGCCCCGATTCAACGAGGCGAGAAAGCGACGCACGGTGTGACAGCTGTCGACACATGACAGCATCGTATGGCCGTCCCTCAATCTCTGCGAGTAGAGCCATCACATCGATGCTGTCACGGTTGCATGAGAACCTCGTCCTCAGCCCTTGGATTCAAAGTCTCTTTGGGCCGAGTTGATCGGACGGACCCGCAAAAGTACATGGTTCCAATTGAGGTTCATCCGAGAAGTGGATGCTCAACCGCTCAACCGCTCAACCGCCGGGCGAAATTGCGACTAAGCCCCATTGGGTCCTTCACCGGCAAGGTTTGCCAGGTACCATCGCGGCAGAGAAGAGCAGCAGAGCCGGGGCCCATGGGAGCTGGTCGTTGAAGTGAACATGCCGTCGCGGCGTTGGGTAGCGGGCAGGACAGCCGAGTATGACGAGCCACATAGAGGAGGTCTCAAGGCTGCCGTAGTCTTGCGGAACAGCCGACGAGCTTTATCTTGACTTTGCTCAGTGTATACTTAGTTACTTACTGTATACACTATACACTATACTCAATACTGTATAAGGGTGTACCGGTGTAGGAACTAGGAACCATAAGCTGCCGTAGGCCAACCGGAAGATCGCCCGGATTGCTGGTCTAGGCCGCGCATGTTTCCAAAAGCCAACACCGCTATATTCTAGAAGATCGGCGAGAAATATGAGGTCTTCTCAAATAGCAGGCATCATTGCTACTGGAGACCATTGGTGAGCATTGGAACCACCCATGAGAATCGTCATTGCTTCCAAATAAAATGTCGATCGACGTTGCCCTGGAGCCCGACCCCAAAAGGCCTGCTCGAGTCCGCTTGTGATGAAACGACATCTTCTGTGCCCTGTGAGGGGCCCAGTAGTATAACTTTTTCTACAAGTGGATCACTCTTCCAAGCTAATGAAACTGCCGAACTGGGCGTTTTCACGGAGGGTTCGCGAACAGGATGGTTGTATATGAGCGGGACGGGATCTATCTTGCGCTCGAGGTTGACATGGCGACTACAAGTACGATATACCACATCCGAGCTATGGCCGAAATAACCCACATTGTTGTGAACCAAGTAGTAACTAACTTATGCATGCTGCACCTATTGAGGAGAGAGCTGCATGCCTGCAACTTGCCTGATAGACAGAGAGAGATTGATACCCCGGCAAGCGGACTTGTACTGCACCAGCATAAGAAATTACGCCGCATGAGATGTCAAGCAGCCACTAATCTGGGTTTGACGGGCCAAGTGTGACCGCGCGAAGCCTCACCCAATGACTGGTCTGGACATGCCTCTTCATCAATACGCTCCTCCTTTTTCCCGATCACCTCTATTTGGGCGCCAAGATGCATTTTTTCCGAGTTGGTCCCTGCGAATCCTGAAACCGCCGTTGAAATGAACTTTACGTCATGTGACGCTAGCCTGGATTCGGTCTGTTGATTTTTGCCCCGACTAATCGACTGATTAACACCGAGCTGGTTTCTGTCCCAGCTTGCTCATCGCACAGTCTTGTTGCTTCCTCATACCACTCCTCTGGCAGGCTTTGTGGGAACTCTTGAAATTCTTTCCTTCGCTACCTTTCTGTCCTTTCCGTGGTGCTTGATTGCTTCCAGATACCCCGTGCCCCAACTCTGTTCGGTATCCGATGGGGGACTCGCTCATGCCTGGCCATCTCTTCATTCCAATTCTCTCGACGCTTGCATCTTGCGTGAAAGTAGCAGTGTACCGCGTACACTTCTTGCCAGCATCTTCGACGACGTTCATTTCAAACAATTGATCTGTGACACGCGTGCCCGACAGAGAGGCCTCCGCCGTTCTCGTTGATTTTACCCTCGCCAGCCACGAAAACCAATGTCCAGCGGGATCTGGGTGCAAGATCGTGGCCATGGCCACAGAAAATGGAAACCATCAACATCCACCCTTCTTGGGTGATCTTGATCGTCAAGGGCGTCGAAAAGCCTACCCACCACGACCAGACCCCCTGCTGATTGATCCTCATGGGATGCACAACGCTCATCCGACTCGGATAATGTCTCCACGCTCTCCGCGCTTCCTTCCGCCCCGTTCGCATTCACCTCTTCCTCCGCCAGCAGGCTTTCCGACACAGCATCGAGCAAATGCTCCACCCGGCATATCCCAGGCCAGGGGTATGAGCCATGCACCACACTTCTCAACAACCGCCGATCGAGGGCCGCCGGGGCGGTACTATCACGAGGGCCACGATATGGACATGGATCGGCCAAACCACCGCAACGCGCCCCCCCAAAGAGGTGGCCTTCGAATCTCGATGTCGACCTCGCGGCTGCCGAACCGGCGCCCCCGGCGACGCATGTCCCCTGAGCGGGCACAAGATGCTTCCGCGCATGGCCTGCCTTTGCCGCGATTCCCGTCAAAGGGCTCCGCCGAAAGCGACGAGCTACGTACCAGCTTCAATTCCACAGTGACTTCGCGATCTAGCATTGAACAACAATCCGGTACCGAGCGCAGTAGTGTGATTACCAAAGGCAGTTCTATTACCGACCTATCCCCGGACACACCGGACGCGCCATGCGAACTAGATCAAGGTATGAGCGTAGAGGACGCGATCTCAATGTACCTTGATGGATTCAGTGATGTGGCTGAGGAACCAACGTCGCCGACCTTGGCAGCAGCGGACGAGGAAGAAGTAGCCACGTCTCATCATCCGACGCATGATACAGGACTCGAGGAATGTGTTCCTCCACCACCGACCTCAAACGACCACGAATCCATCAACTCACATCCTACACCGCCGCTGGTACAGCAACTCGATGAAGTCAGTGCCAATAAAGGCCCGCCTTCGATTATTGAGCACTCGCCAGAGCTTATCGCTTCACCGGATGTTGTACCCTCACCCCATACTCCGTCTTTTCCATCTGCTGCAGATGACTCTCTCGAGCCCGGTTTGAAACCTCCGCTCAAAACGTCCACACCCTCGTTGAAAGACCATCAGCGAAAGCCTTCCAAAATCATAATTCCTGGCAAAGTACCCCCACCACTTGCTGCAGCCAACACCACCCGTGACGAGTACGGATTCCGGAAAGCGACTCAGTACGTCACATTAGATCAGTATGAAGCTTGGAAATCTGTATATTCCCAGTACGCTTCGCATCGGCGAACGAAGTGGCATGACATGATGAAAGAGCACGGTCTTCAAACTACCAATCCTACCTCCTTTCCTGTCCAGTCGTCCAAAGTCAAAAGGTTTGTTCGAAAAGGGATTCCCTCCGAGTACCGAGGCGCGGCATGGTTCTGGTACGCCGGCGGGCACGAGCTTCTCAATCGCCACCCTGGTCGATACGACCAGCTCGTGGATGAAGTCATGTCGTCGCCTACAAATGACGATAAAGAGCACATTGAGCGAGATTTGCATCGCACTTTCCCCGACAATCTTCATTTCAAGCCCGAGCAACAATCAGACACGAGTGGGTCTTCAAACCCCAACACCACCACTGAGACGCAGATGATTCAATCCCTGCGTCGTGTACTATACGCTTTTGCGCTCCATAATCCAAAGGTCGGCTATACACAGTCGCTCAATTTCATCACGGGCATGCTTCTACTTTTTCTCCCGGAAGAGAAAGCGTTTTGGATGCTTCACATCATCACCACTGGCTATCTGCCTGGCACCCACGAGGTGAGCCTGGAGGGTGCTAATATTGACTTGTGGATCCTCATGGTCTTACTCCGAGACTCAATGCCATCCATCTACGGCAAGATCTCCAGTATGGATGGCTCGACAACCAGTCGTGGCAAGGCACCGGCCTTGAACGTGAATTCGCGACTACCCGACATCACGCTTGGCCTCACCAACTGGCTCATGTCGATTTTCATTGGGACGCTGCCTCTTGAGACGACCCTACGTGTCTGGGATATCTTCTTCTACGAGGGATCTAAAACGTTCTTTCGAGTCTCCTTGGCCATCTTCAAAGCTTGCGAGAAAGATATCATTGCCGTTTCGGATCCTATGGAAGTTTTCCAAGTAATACAGACGGTGCCCAAACGGTTGCTAGACGCAAACAGTCTTCTTGAAGACTGTTTTGTTCGTCGCCACCGCGTTGGGCAGGGGCGCATTGAAGAACTGCGAGCCTCGCGGCGAGTTGCCGTTCGGCAAGAAAAGCTTCGGCGGTCCGTTGCGTTCAGCAAAGGCCAGATTCAGTCTGCGACCGACAACTTCCCGAATGAGTCGCGAAACCGAAGCCCCGATCTTGAAAACCGGGTCGCCACGTCCTGGCGCAACCTCAGGCAGCATGCTTTTCACCGAGAACCCACTCAATAATGAAGCCCGTCTCGCATTGGAGCTATCGTAATACATGCATTTGAGTGCATCGAAGGGTGTGTTCGCCCTGTGACAGTATAACAGTGCCGGGCCTCCTCCGGTTTTTGTCTCTTTCATCTGTGTCATAAGTGTATCTGGCGTTGCTCAAATACCCCCAGTTATATTCTCTCAGTGCGTCTTCGAACTGGTAGAGCCAACTCCTTGTCTTTTGAATTCATTGGCCTCTTAGCATTTGTTCAAGACTGTTTGTCTTTCCGGTCTTGTACCTCATTCACCCTTTTCTGATACCTCAGCGTCAGCGCGGCGCCTTACCAATTTAAGAGCCGGATTTTCTTTTTGTTCGTCATAATCTTGTGCATCAACTTCATCGTGGACTAATGGTCACTGACTTGGATTGCTCGTGATTTCGGGATGGTTTATGATTTGCGGAAGAGTCTCCAGTAAATGAAGTAATTGACAATGGACCACTTCGGTCGCTGGTCGTACCTAAATGCCGAGACTAACCCGCGCCAAGGCCAGCCCGAAGTGAAAGCGTCTTTCGAACGCTGTCTTGGCATGAATTAAAGGAAGCCCGAAAACAAGAAATCCTCGCTCAGGAGCTCTGGGCGATGTCCCATCACCCCCAATTCTGGACTGGCCCGACAATCTGCGATGATCGATGGATCGGCACTCTCACTAAGGCTGATAATTGGGCGGACCAGTCGTGGATTCAATAGTCACTCGGCGCGACCCTACGTTCACACCAACATGTCGTCATACATTCTAATGCGTACAATAAAGCTTCTTGCCTACCCTCCCGACGTGCACGGGGCTGACAGAAACTATCTGACCATATTCCCCTTACCTTCAACTTCTCAACGTCTCAGCTTCGGAAGCAGGTCTGAAAGTGAGACAGATATCTTCGAGAAAGCGCCATGAGTGGGCAAGCTGCGAGCTATTACGATAGCAGTCAGAACTTTGCAGACCAAGGTCAAGCTCCTTCATATGAGAAAACAAACGCAAATCAACCGGGCAGCTACAATCAACCTCCACCGAATGGCGCTTACCAGCCCCCTATGAACTATGGAGGACCAGCCAATGGTTATGAGCAGCACGGGCCTCAGATGAAGCCTCAGCAACCTCCGTATGGAGACAACCCTCCACCGTACACAACATTTGATGATGCTTTCAAGATTCAGAAGCCCAAGTACAATGATATTTGGGCTGGTTTGCTGGTAAGTTCGATGAAACCCTCCGGCAGCAATGCCACCCGATTTGGGTCGGGCAAGACCGTTGAAAAGGGCAGCCGTCGCTTGTGGTATACCAAGTTGGGCGGAGCCAGATAGGGAGACTCATGATGTGCTGACTGGCCTCCCAGCTGATTGCTGTTTTCCTGGGCTACGTTGCTATCTCTGGACTGACGATCCACAAATATGCTACCAACAAAGGCTTCAACGGAGGTGGTATTTATGGGTCTGGGAATGACTTTTCGCTCGATACCAACACCCTCGTGCTGTTTATTTTTGTGCTGTGTGTAGCACTCGTGTTCTCTTGGGCATATTTCATGGGAGCTCGCTACTTTACCAAGACGTTCATCTGGGTCACCGGCATCCTCAACATTGTCTTCGCCTTTGCCACGAGTATCTACTACCTCGTTCGAAAGCAATACGGCGGCGGGATCGTCTTTTTGATTTTCGGGGTCTTCGCTGTCATCTGTTTCATCAGCTGGATACCCAGAATTCCGTTCACAGCCTTCATGTTACAGACGACCATGGATGTGGCTCGGAAACATGGCCACGTCTTCTTAGTCAGTGCTTTGGGTGGATTCGCGACCGTGGCCTTCTCTGCCTGGTTCTCGGTGACGTTGGTATCCATATATGTGGCCTACGAACCGAATTCTGGCGGCACCAACCCTTCCTGCGCGAATGGTGGATGCAGCACAGCAAAAGTCATTGGTCTGACCGTGTACGTGACCTTTGCCATGTACTGGCTCAGTGAGTGGCTGAAGAACACGGTGCACACGACAATTGCGGGCATCTACGGCGCCTGGTACTTCTGGAGCAATTCCGCCGGGGGTATGCCAAAAGGTTCCACTCGAGGCGCTTTCCGCCGCGCAACCACCTACTCGTTCGGGAGTATCAGTTTTGGAAGCTTGATCATTGCAATTATCAACATGCTCCGCCAGGCCTGCTCGATCGCACAGCGGCAAGAAGCCGCACAGGGTAACATTGTGGGAAGCATCTTTATCTGGATTCTCGGCTGCTTCATCTCTCTGCTCGACTGGCTCGTGACACTGTTCAACCGGTATGCATTCTGCCACATTGCTCTGTATGGCAAAGCGTATATCCCCGCTGCCAAGGATACGTGGAAGATGATGCAAGACCGTGGAATAGACGCTCTGGTCCAAGATTGTCTGATTGGCCCTGTCCTGACCATGGGCTCTGTCTTCGTCGCCTACGTCTGTGCCTTGCTTGCCTACCTGTACCTGCAATTCACCAACCCCGCCTACAACACCGGTGGGGACTTTACCGCAGTCATTATGGCGTTTTCTTTTGTGATCGGCTTGCAGATCTGCCAGGTGTTCTTGACTCCGATCGGTAGCGGCGTCGAAACAATCTTTGTTGCCATGGGCTGGGATCCTCAAGTCATGATCAACGATCATCCGGACATCTATTACAAGCTGGTCCAGCTGTACCCTCGTGTTCAGCAAGCCATTCATGCGTGAGGTGGTCCTTTACATCTTGTCGCAATGCAATGAATGGTGACTGCTCGGCACTTTTGACGGGAGCATGTAGCTTTTACTGAAGTGGAATGACATCACTTTTAGAATCTAATTTATGTTCACGCGACACGTGTATCAGTATATTAATGAACTTCTAATGCTACTCTCTCATTGAGTTTGACCTTTCTTGCTCCAAAATTCTCCCTCGCATTGTTGTTGTCTGTCCAGCGAGGTAGAGGCATCTTGTGACCGATGACATGGAAGGACTCATGGACCTCGGATCAAGGTCATTGGTGAAGTTTATTCGATCATATCATCAAGTCAATAAGTCGGTACTGGAATGTCTACCCCGTTACAATCAAGCGTCCTAGTAGGTATCTACGTAGGAAGAGCCTGGCGACCCCTGCATGTGGAAATATTTCGAAGCAGGTAGAGTCAGCTGGGGCACCACTCGTGGTCGGGGTGTTCCCGAATCCCAGAACTGCCTTACTCACGATATATTTTCCAAGTTCAGGTCAACCTTAAGTGCCGCCTCGCTCCTTGGGTTCTCCACAGACAGTCAACACTTGCTGTACCTAGCTAGTTCCATTGGCAAACGCACGACAAGATCCCATTCCGCTGAGAATAAGGTAATGTCCTGTTACCTTCATGCATCCAGTTCATGAAGATGGTCCCAACCTTCACATGTCTTTTCGGAGATCCGAATTCCAGGTATGTGATTTCAATCTGCCATCATAACCAGGTGGGATCGCATTCAGGACCAAATTGTAGAAGGCACCTACTGATTCACGAAGAGACCGGCCCCGTTCAACCCCAATCATGTATGAGCTCTATCACCAGTTCCGCTAACCTTTACTGTGGACGTGCTGGTGAGGACCAAACTAGAGGAACAGGCTCTTGAATGATCGTTGCCATCATTGGGTGCATCGATCAAGGCCGGCATGGTCTGCCACGCTCTTCCATTTGAAAAAGCTCCATTTCCGTATCTCTGAGTCTGACACTACCACAAGTTATTGCCCTGCCGCACACGTTGCCCCTGCCCGATGACTCCGACCATCATCATTCATTGATGCAGAACGGGCTAATTCAAACCCTTTCATTGTCGAGACGTACGTTGCGAGAGGTTGTTCCTCGACAATGAAGCCAGCAGCGCCCCACATCCAGGTGTTCCCTGCTGAAAAAGAATCCATGGCTATCAATAGCGGGATATCATATCGACAAACGCCCCGATCTTCTACTGAATTCTTCAAGGGTTGTAATGCGGAGAGCCAAGGCGACCTTTGATCGACACAGCCGTTTAGATCGGATTGCCGCCTCCGTATCAAGTTGAATGAGTCCTAATTGATCGGAGTCAAGCTCGACCTTCTGGGCTGCACGAGAGCTGTTGCCTCCTTTCCAGTGGGGTCCCTTAGGGAGAGCATCTTCACTTTGGACACCTCAGACAAGATTGATCCCATCCAAGCCCTCTCAGGCCGCTACTTTGAGGGACAGAATCATGTGCACTTGAATTCCTCGGAGAATTCCTGTGGTCTCTAGGGATACCACCGACAAAGATAAATTCCTGGCTAGGAGGGTGTTGATTGGTACATTCCTAGATCATTCCATTTCGATTCATACCGGCTCACCAAAAGGCGCAGCTCCAGCAAGAACGTTACATGTCAGGCGAAGATCTTGCCGATTTGCCAAAGAAAGCTTGTTTACACGACGGGCACCGGATCTCGTTGGCTCGCCCTAGATATGAGGACTCGAGTCTGAAGGCATCCACCATGCCCGCGATCAGGTTTCATGGCATCAAGGGATACGAATGGCTGCCACAATGTGGCACTCATGCTGTAAGTGAGCCTCTATTTAATCCGCAATTGATGGCCTCGAAAGGGGGCCCTTCACATGAGTCACCAATTCATTCCTATCTGCTTCTTTTGACCTTTGATCGTGCGAGTCACTATCATCACACTCCTTCCAGTCTTCTGACCAATCTATACACTCCTTCAAAATGCGCACTGTCATTGCTACCCTCTTCCTCGCCAGCACTGCTCTGGCAAGTACCAGCGTCACTGATGATTTCATTGACTGCGCCGTAAGTATATTGACCGGCAAGAGAAAGTCTGTGAATCTACGTATCTAATAGGGTGTTCATAGACCGCTGCGATTAATGGCGTCAGCGGATCCAAGACGATCGACTGCTCCAACCAGAGCTCTTCGGACTGCTTCTGCGCCAACCAAGACGCCTTGACCAAGATCTCCGACGCTCTGAAGGACGCCTGCGACGTATCTAGCTCTGGTAAGTTATCATCCGCCTCCCCGCAACGTATCACCTGAACTTAGGCTCACATGACGTATCTAGATTTGGCTGCCTGGGCGAGCTCCCTCTGTGGCACCAGTTCCACCTCCCAGGATACATCTTCTGCCCGTCACATCGGCTCGCCCATGGAGCCTGCTCGTGTGTTGAACGAGCGCGCATACAGTGCCTCTGTCGAGAACAATGTTCCCACCAGCGTTGTCTGGGTCACTGAGACTCGCACCGACTGCAGCTGCAAGAGCACCTCTCACCCCGCTGACCGAGCCCACGCCTCTCAGATCCCCGTCTACGTCCCTACTGGTAGCAGCATGTCTTCCGGTGTGGCCGCCTGGGCCACTCCTACCCCTTCCGCTTCAGCTTCATGGTCCGCCATGCACAGCTCTCACATGTCAGTTGCTACTCCGGGCCCCAGCGGTGCCAGCCCTAGCATCTACACCTTCGAGGGTGCCGCGCCCCGAGTCAATGCGCTCCAGGGCTCAGTTGCTGCTATTGGAGCTACCATTGTTATGGGTTTGATGGTCGCACTGTGAGAGCGAAGTCGTTGTGATGCGATTTTCATGAGTCGACTTGGGATCAATCTAAAGAACAATCGTCTCTTCGTCTCACCTCCATGTATGCGACACCTGAATATTCGAGATGTTTTGATTCCTCCGGTGATTTGTTAACGGTAAATGGTGCTCATTTCTTGCAGAGCCTTTTCCATGGTTGCCATTCCAATTACTACATAGTATGGAAAGTCCGAGGAAAGATAATACCTTAATTGCTACTTTCCATTTCTTCGCATGTCTCTTACCAAGAAACTGTCAAAAGTCTAGAAAGACACCACGGATCCACACATATTCGCAATTGGGTATCACTTGTATTCGTTCGAATCAATATTACTAAGTAGTAAGCCAACAAGAAGAAAGCACCACACACTTGCCGAAGCAGGTAACACCAATGGCCTCTTCCCAGCGCCCGTGCAATCACCGCTCAAATTCCTGCCTGAGACTCAAAAATCCCAATATCCTTGACCCGCTGACTCCGACAACGCAACTCAGAATTTATCACTCGTGACGCATCGCGTAGAGCGTACCAGGAGCCAAGCCAGTAGCTTCACCAGTAACGTCATCCCGTTGATAATCAAATTGAGTCCTAAAAACATCAATTTCAACACCGTCCGCACAATCCCGGGGAGCTTCTCGCCTTCCCGGGAAGACCCCTTTCCATAGCGACCGTATTTTTCAAGATCAATTTCCTCTATGACGATCTCGTTGTCCTTCTTGCCACTTCGCACATGATCGGATTTGGGGGCTCGGTGTGTTTTCCAGAGACCGAAGAAGCTTTTTCGTTCGGGATTGGATTCTGCCTGATCCTTTGCGGTTTGGATTTGCGACGCAAGTTGAAGGCTTTCGGCGTAGTCCTCGCGTTCGGCTTGCGTTGTGATTAAGGGTCCACGGTAAGGAATACCAACGCCGCCTCCGGTTCGTGGGTCTTGCGCATTGGAAGTCGGAGATTCGACTTCCATATCGGCTAGGATGGGGTTTGTAGCTTCGTCCGAGACGGCAACCGCAAGTACGGCGGCGATCACAGAGTCAATAGCGTATAACGAAGGTATCGTTGCAATGATTGCGGCCGGTGAAATTGTGAGGGTGCGAGTCGTCAAGTCGAGGCAGACAAGCGGCTCGTCCGAGTCCGCCATGGGGAGTGTCGACGTTCGTGGATTGGCAGCCTGGTGCGCCGTCGCCAGAGCAGCCGAGGATGCTGGATTTGTGACCAAAATTGTCGGGGCCTGTTGAGGTACAACGTCGCTTGAAGGTGCAGAGACGGTGATATACAAGACTCCGGAAGACGAAGACCTGACGGGTGAAAGGGGGATCCCCTCGGCCCCTACCAGTGCATGCGGTTGCCGTTTCACGACTTGTGGATGGCGCAGCTCATAGAGTCTCAAGTTGCGATTCCATGATAGACGACATGACTCTTGGGCGGAAGCCCGGTTGAGAGCGTCTCTCTGAACTCCGGCTGCTTCAACAGGGCTCAGAAGATGTATTTTGGCGATATCCCCTGCTTGTTCAATTGCAAGCATCGCTGCTAGCCTTGAAAAGAGCAGAGCGACCAAGCCATCGTGTGGATGCTCGCGTCGGCGACGATCTTCAAGATTGAGTGACATCACCGGTACATTACTGTTCGCTTTGCTCGGTGCGCCCCGAGATATTGAGAGTTCGTCATTTTGAAATGTTTCCAACGTGTAGAAGGGTTGCTGTAGATGGCCGAACTTGAAAGTCGCAGGACCAGTCCTGGATAGAGTGAGCAGGCAGTATGGCAATTGTCGAGATCGGTCTTGAAACATACCTTGCTAGATGCATGCTGAAGGCCCCAGCTAAATTTGTAGGTCTTTGCCCGTTGGCAGCTTCCCATAGTACTTCCAGCTCGTATGGAGTCGAGTACCTTATCTCCTCTGAATCGGCAATGCCATTTGGAAAATTCAAGACACTCGCCGGAACGGTTTTGGGCCCCAAGACGTGGTCAATTTCCGAGGAAGTATCCAAAGTGAGAAGCGGTTTGCGCGACCTCTTCTTCTGGGCTTCAACATTACTTGAAAATGGAGGCTGAGCAATCGATCTTGGCAAAGGATGCTTTGGGTTAAAACGAGGAAATATCGATTTCATTGGATTCGGCGACACAGATGACTGAGATGACTGTGGCGAGGCGGTAGAGATGGTGTTCTGGCGACTGATCTCACTGGTACTCCCTCTATCGTTGTCTGTACTGGCTCGTAGTGGCAGAGGGCGGTCGACAGGTCTGATATCTTGACGGCTTTGACTGCGAGGCGTATGAGAAGAAGTGGCTTTGCGAAGTACTTCCGTAGATGACGGAGAGCCAGATCTTGCGTGGTGTGTTCGAGATGGTGGACGAGGAAAAGACGAGGTATCTTCGATGATCTGCAGCAGTACTGACTCGGTTTTTGTGGATTCGTTGACCTCATGGAGGGCGACTGAGGATGGAGGCTGCTCTTCCATACCCGGTGGCTTCTTGGCTCCTCTGCGAAACGGATTTGTTCCAACCCTCGCCGCAGGTGGCGAGGGAAATAGTTGAAATTGACTCATGCCCGCGTAATGCTTCGTGCACTTCACAAGCCTTCAAATGTCTTATGGCAATACGAGGAGATGTATAGCAAGCACTCTGCAAGATCGAGCGGGATGGCGGGGAAAAGAGACACGCGGGCGCGCATGGTCCTACACGGACTTCGCGAAGACCATATAGGACATGGCCGTCGATGAGCCTCTTTCTTCGGCTTTGCATATCACACGTAAAATCGGTGAGAAACCACATGGGGGAGTTGCGTACAGGCTGTATTGTACCGAGTGTGATGACCCTATTTTTGGTGCAGGCGCTTAGTAGTCAGCGCATGTGATTGGCGGCCGTCGCGGGATTAGCGTGCATCAGTGCATAACGGCGCTACAAGTCAAGCCCGTGATTGGAATTAGCATTCCATGCGGCTCGAGTATCTTGTCAGCTCGAGCACTCTCCACCTCAGACTGGTGCTGAGTGGCGTGCAGAAGTCACACCGATACAGTTCAAGTTAGTTGCCGCTCGGCGCAGACACGCTAGGCTTTGGCGTGACCCCACCGCAAGCTGAAGAGACGAACCCTGGACATCGCTTATCCAAGAGAAGAAAGGAGGTTGTTGAAATGGTTCGTAGGGGAGGCCAGTTCTCGAAGGACCATACAATTCATATCAATTAGTATACATCTAGTCGTTCCGATGTTGACCATGTTCCATAGCCTCATCGTGGACGGAAAAAGTGAGCCCTTCGGCCATGGCAATTGCCCCATCCGGGTTGCCCTTGTTATACAAGAAGAGGCCCTGCAGAGCTGCAGCACTCGTGCTCTTCGATCGATCATGTTTGTGACCTTGCGCATCTTCGATCAGACCAAGCTGCTGTAGGCGATCGAGGAAGGCCTTGCGTTTCACTCCTTCAAGATCAATGTCTTCATAGAAGCGATCCCATAGGCGTCCGACCTGGTAGCGAGTCACCTCGCCAAGGCGCACTGTCATATCTACGCGCCCCGGTCGGACGAGAGCTTCGTCTAAACGCTCGACGTGATTGGTAGTGAGGAAGATTATACGCTCCTCCGCACTGGCAACACCATCCATGGCGTTCAGCAAGCCAGAGAAAGTCACATTGGCTCCACGATAACCGTCAGAATCAGTCTGAACTCGTCGATTCGAAAAGGCAGCATCCACGTCTTCCAGGAGGACTAGTGTGCGGTTGGGAACGATGGTCAAGAGGTGGTTGAGTCGGTCATCAGTCAACCCGCGCTCACTCAGGTTTAAGATGGCAATATCGTAGTCCAACTCTCCAGCTAGAGCTTGTATGAAGGAACTCTTACCCGTTCCAGGTGGCCCGTAGAGAAGATACCCACGGCGATAAGGAATCCCGCGATCGTGATACCAGGCAGCACTGGAGATGAAATCTTGAACATCGTCCACAACTCGCTCAGAGACGCCTTCATCCAAAACTACAGACTCCAAGGGGCGTTTGCGCCGGGGGTTGCCAAACGGTCGCCATTCGGTTCCCCAACTATTGTATATCGTGGTCTTGCCCTCATGAGATCGAGCGGCGTAGGCATGTGCCTCTGTGAATAGGTCTTCGAATATGTGGCGTTGCGAGTACAGTGTGGTGAGGGTGATTGTCTCCCATGGCTTGCCTGTCTGAAGATCCCGGGATTTTGACTCTCGCACTCGGTTGACAAAGACAAAGGCATTCTTATAGCGGAGTATATGTTTGCCGGGTCCCGGCACCAGCGAGAATTGAGTGTGAATAGCCCCATTGGAATGTTCCACCTTCGATGTTTGGATGGAGAGATGACGCATACCGGGGGTCATCTTGTGAAGGAGACGGTCGACGAAGCCAGTGGTTTGCGTGGCGGCGCGGGTGGTGTTCAGTTGCGATTGTTGATAGAGCGTCATCCAATGGAGGAACCAAGGATATGAATCATCCTTGATGCTAATCTCCACATCCACGAGCATTCGACGACGCAACAGAGCTGCGCCATGGCGGACACCTCTTTGCGCAAACGTCAAACCTGCACCTAATGCGCCAAGACCAAATCCCTGTAACCGAAATTGTCAGTGCCTGCCGCTCATATATTCCTGCCCAGATGGTCTTGGAGGACGAGAAGCAAATACCGCCGTAAATAACGGGTTGTCTGTGATCTGCGACCAAAGACCTCCGTCGCTTCTTTGCACCGCTGATGACACCGTCGTATGTGCATCCTGGGACTTCCCCGGCCGTTGCTGCAATATGAGGTCGGTCACCGTGGAGGGCGTCGCTGGCGATGCTGCCTGCGAAGCATCGTTTGACCCCATGCTGGCCATAACTCGAGCGGTTCTCTAGGGAATGTCGAATGGTTTGGCGATAAGAATCATTATCAGATCTCGGAGTTTCAACGGGCCGACCAACCTTGCGCCGCGGTTGCACGGTTGCACGGTTGCGCGGCGGAAACTCTAACTATGGAATTGATCAGATATACGTCTTTCGGATCATCAATGCAATGTTGTTATACTGGTCCTCATGGTTTAAGCCATGCGAGGTGACTCAAGGTTGGCATGCGGCTCTGCGCGACCGTGCGTGCTTCTGGCCAGCACTCTGTACCGGAAATGGAGCGACGTTAGAGCCGGACGCCTATCGGCGTGTCCGAACATCTCACACGGAGTTAACGGAAAGCTTTCTTCTCCGCCACGCCTTGTTTTCCTGAATTCGACACCAAGGGCCTGGTGGCTTACTTTTCGCGCGAGGCTGAGGCTGTGTCCGATGACCAATCTCTTTTTTCGCAAGCATTCCTTTACAAGAATTTAAATGTGGACTCGTGTCCCGCAACTCCGACCATGTCGGAGGTCAATTCTTCGGCACGCCTACACTCCTCCGACGCGCATGATGGGTTCGACTACTACAGCTGTTCTTTACACCTTGAGCGTGGCGAGCTCACCCGCTAGAGCCGCTCCGAATGATGCGTCGGCCAAGAGCCATCACGCTAAAGCCGGCTTCAGGAACCCCTGGGAGTAAGTCGGATTTCCATGATGACCGCATTTGCAAGCAAGGTCGGTCTTGTTGACTGTTGAATCTCCCGAAGCTCATGGACGGATGTCACGATGGAAATCCCCGCCGAGATTCTCATGTAAGTTTCTCAGTATTTAAATTTAGTTTTGATCTCTGCTCTTGTCTCACACAACTTGCGACTCGGACAGGCGGCGCATCACGGGCAAAGCCAACAAGCCCAAAACCACCGGTCCGACTGTCACCGTTCGGAAACCCGACTTCCTTCCGACTCGGGACACTCCCCGACTTCGCGCGACTTGGCTCGGACATGCGTGCTATTATGTCGAATTCCCCGGTGGTCTCCGTGCGCTCTTTGACCCAGTCCTAGAAGAGCGCTGTGGCCCATACAACATGCTTGGCCCAAAAAGATTCACCGAGGCACCTTGCAAGATCAATGATATTCCCGTCATTGATGCAGTCTTTATCTCTCACAATCATTACGATCACCTTTCCTACACCGGTGTCACCGAAATCGCCCAGCGACACCCAAACTGCCACTTCTTTGTTCCTCTGGGCGTGAAGGCATGGTTCCAAAGCTGTGGTATCAGCCAGGTGACCGAGCTGGACTGGTGGGATGAGCGCGACATTACGCTTTCTCCTGTCGGGAATGAAGAGGCCCAAGTCGGCGTCGTAGAAGACTCAGCTTCAGTCGCGGCGGGGATCAAAGCACGCATCGGCTTCTTGCCTAGCCAACATGCCACTGCTCGCACTCCCTTCGATAGAATGCAGACTCTCTGGGGGTCTTGGACAATCGAATCGGGAGGCAAGCATGTCTACTTTACAGGGTACGTACTATCTCATCAGCGAGTCACCTGTCCTTGCTAGTCAGTTAACGAACTCTTGTAGGGATACTGGCTACCGATCGGTTCCAAAGCTGCCCGAGGGTGAAGACGATCACGATCCCAAGTACGACAATCTCCCTACTTGCCCTGCTTTTAAACAGGTTGGTGAGTTCCGCGGCCCATTTGACTTGGGCCTGATCCCGATTGGTGCATATGCGCCGCGCCATATGTTCAGTTCTGCACACGTGGATCCGCATGAGGCTGTACAGATCTTCCAAGATACAAAATGCAAGAAGGCTTTGGGTATGCACTGGGGTACCTGGGTTCTGACGGAAGAGGATGTTCTGGAACCACCAGAGAAACTCAAGGCTGCCCTAAAGAACTTTGGCTTGCCGGTGGAAGGCGTCTTCGATGTTTGTGAGATTGGCGAGAGCCGCGAATTTTAATTTCATTCAAATTTCAGGACAAATGGTCATTGGATCTCATGTACGATATCAAAAGCACCGGAGAGCAAAATAAGGCCATGATGAACATACCGTGCACGGATCACTGGACATTGTGAATCTGGCAGCGACTAGAGAGAAATCAGAATCGTGGAATTCTCGTGTAAAGCTACGCGTTTTTGAGTGAATCCAGATGAATCAAACCTTCAAAGTGAGGAATTCCGGTGGAAATCACTAGAGCGCCGCGTTGAAATAAGTTCTGATTTTGTCGAATCTCGTTCAATCGAGACTCGAAGCCTTTGTCAAACAGATGCACTTGGCGGGGAAGATAGGCCTGATGGGACGCAATGGATGTGTTTGTTTAGTTTGTATAGCCATTTTTGGTCTAGCGTCAGGGAGCTCCCACTTTGGAAATTTAGGATGCGGGCAACCTTTAACGCGGATCTCAGTCGGCTCCTTTTCAGTGTTTAACGGGAGTGTGCTCGTCTCATCTGTCGCAAGTTCACTTATCACCTGCACCCATTCCGACATAACCACCCGGACAATATGCAGGCCCCAGTGGTTGTGATGAGTACGCTTCTTCCTTATTGCCATAAACTGCTCGACTGTCTTGAACTAACCCGCCCTCATAGACACCAATGCCGGTGACCGCCAGGTCGGTCGCCGCGCGCAGCTATCTAACATTACCGCTGCTAAAACGTACGTTTGGCTGAGGGTCATTTGAATGAATCTTCGTTATCTCCTGGGTGCTGATGAAATTTACAGGGTCGCCGATATCATTCGATCATGTCTGGGCCCCAAGGCCATGCTGAAGATGTTGCTGGATCCCATGGGTGGTATTGTGCTTACCAACGACGGCCACGCAATTCTTCGCGAGATTGAAGTTTCACACCCCGCCGCCAAGAGCATGATCGAGCTCAGTCGGACCCAGGATGAGGAAGTTGGAGACGGAACCACAACGGTCATCATCTTAGGTACGTAGTTGTCCCATTATCAATCATAGAGCCTTCTGCCTGCTTGCTAACCACTCTGTAGCTGGTGAAATGCTGGCTCAGGCCCTTCCGCAATTAGAACGCAACATTCACCCGGTCGTTATCATTTCCGCCTTCAAGCGTGCTTTGGCCGACGCCCTCCAGATTATCGAAGAAGTCTCAGTTCCTGTCGATATTCACGACGATAAGGCCATGTACACTCTCATTCAGTCTTCAATTGGTACAAAGTTCGTCTCTCGGTGGTCAGACTTGATGTGCGGGTTGGCCCTACGTGCGGTGCGAACAGTTTCTTTTGACATTGGCGGTGGCAAGCAGGAGGTGGACATCAAGCGATATGCTCGCATTGAAAAGGTTCCTGGTGGTCAGATCGAGGACTCTGAAGTCATCGATGGTGTCATGGTCAACAAGGACATCACTCACCCTAAGATGAGGAGGAGAATTGAGAACCCTCGCATCTTGCTGCTTGACTGTCCCTTGGAGTACAAGAAGGGCGAGTCTCAAACCAACATCGAGGTCACTAAGGAAGATGACTGGAACCGTATCCTACAGATTGAGGAAGAGCAAGTCAAGCAGATGTGCGAGGCTATTGTGGCCTTCAAGCCTGATGTGGTGATCACCGAGAAGGGTGTATCTGGTGAGTTTTGCCCATTCAAGCTGGTAATGATCTGCTCGTCTCTCTTGTTCTCCCATCTAACTTCATGTTCTAGACCTTGCTCAGCACTACTTTGTCAAAGCCAACATCACCGCCATTCGTCGTGTGCGAAAGACCGACAACAACCGTATCGCCCGTGCCACCGGCGCCACTATTGTCAACCGTGTTGATGACATCCAGGAGTCAGATATCGGTACCCAGTGCGGTCTCTTCGAGATTGAGAAGATTGGCGACGAGTACTTCACATTCATGCGCAAGTGCACATCTCCAAAGGCTTGCACCATTCTTCTCCGCGGTCCGTCCAAGGATATTATCAACGAGATCGAACGTAACCTCCAGGACGCTATGGCTGTGGCTCGGAATGTCATTTTCCACCCTCGCCTGTCACCCGGTGGTGGTGCTATTGAGATGGCTGTCTCCGTTAAGCTTGGACAGCTGGCTCGCTCGATTGAGGGTGTGCAACAGTGGCCTTACAAGGCTGTTGCGGATGCCATGGAGGTTATTCCGCGGACACTGGCCCAGAATGCCGGCGCCAGCCCCATCCGTGTGCTCACCCGTCTGCGTGCCAAGCACGTCGAGGGACACAACACCTGGGGTCTTGATGGCGAATCCGGCAACCTGGTCGATATGAAGGAATACGGGGTCTGGGAGCCGGAGGCTGTGAAGCTGCAAAGCATCAAGACCGCTGTTGAGGTAAGTTCTCGTTCCGGGGGGTATCTTTCAGTCAGCGTGACATATTCTAACTTGGAAATTCTCAGTCTGCCTGCTTGCTCCTTCGTGTTGACGACATTTGCAGCGGTAAGTCAGCGCAACAGGCTGGCGGTGTTGGTGGTGGCGAGGAGTAATAGACATGCCAATCTCAAAAAGAAAAACGAATGGAAGGACAAACGAAATGAATACATGGACTTGAGGTCCGTACATTTAATGCGGCACGAATGCCTCCAGAAAGTCCCGTCGCTGTACGATTATCCTAGACTAGAACAGACTGTCATATGGGTATCATTGTGCATGTCATATTATACAAATTCAAGTAGTGCCGAGTGTAGACCCAAGAGAACCGCTCAATCATCGTCATGAATAATCACACCCGGAACCTCTGCCGACATAAAGCCGTCCATGCCTTCGACATTCTGGTGCATGTCTGGATTTGGTGGCACTGGTCCCTTCATTGAAGTGCTTGCTTCATCTGTGATCTCGTTGTTCTCATCTTTTTTGTTTCCACCCCGTGCCGCCCGCTTTTTCTCGCGCCGCCGCCGATTCTTCTCGGTCTTTTCCATATCCTTGCGCTTTGCCTCCTCCCGCTGCTTTTCCCACTCTGCGTCGCCCTTTTCTTTCTCAACCTCGGATTGCATGAGCCGCAAGCGCTCATATTCCCGTCGTCGGCTTGCCTTGTAAACGTGGAATTCTCCGGAACCCGCACCCGCCGAGGAACCTTGCACGTTTGCGACAATCTCAGGAGGCGGAGCGAGAGTAGATGACGTGCGTTCCTTGGGAGCGCTGGGCAATCTGATCTCTTTGGAGGGATCTTTGAATAGGCTTTCAATTTGTGTGGCGTGCTCTGAAAGGGGCGTGATGGCGCGACGCTTTGTGGGCCGCTTACTGCGAGGATCGGCGCTGGTTGGAACTGATTCAGGGCCAGGCTCAGACATGGCGAAGAGATGAATGTAATTCAGAGTGCAATTGAAGTTTTAGTGTCGAGTGTCTTGAAAGGCGGCAAAGACGCAGAGACACAAATGCGACAACTGGTGGGAGAGACCTGGACGTCTTAATTGTCGCTATTGATATTGTGATTGTAAGTCGTGCAGTCGAAGGGAAGTGATAGCTGTAAGCTCAGGGATGAATATTGACTGCGATTGCAGTATCTCTGCAGATTGAAGGTGATGCTGAGAAGAGAACGAGGGAAACGCTGCGCAATAAAAGAGCTGTCGGGTGGGCGATTGAAGGACATCAACAGGCAAGAGTTCAAGCGGGCTCATCTGCGAGCGAAGCGACACCAAAAGCTTCGGACATTGCGACACGCTAACCACTTTTGGCGGGATGTCCGTCTAAGCTGAAAAAACCCTTATAACATACCATTGTTACGTACTCTGCTTCTAGCATTTCCCTTGATTCTCCTCTCATCTACGTGGTTTAAAAACAATTATTAAGGTAGAGAAACCGATATTCTTATTTGTCAAATCTAATACTTTTCATGGATCACGTTGCCTCGATTCGCTTGATCTGTGCGCAAGATCCTTATATACTGTAACATTCTAGTGACGTATGCGTTCGGTCGCGGGACGGAAATTGACAAAGGTGAAAGAGCTGGGATGATTGAGGCGAATATACATTGAGTAGTAACGTTTGGGTAAATGTGAGTCCCATTGTTCCTTCAAGAGGACTTGAGAATCTGGATTCTCTTCAGGACAATGAGGCTTTCAAAGCTCGTTGTTCCGCGTCTTACATTCGAAGCCTCGCTTTCAGATTAAAGAACAGAGAGTCAATGGTGCTTGGGAAGTACGCTACTGCAAAAGAACGGAATGAGATAAATACACGATGTCCCCAAATTGTCCAGATGGTCCTTCAAAGCTCTTCCAAATGAGAAGAGACCCCGGAAAGATCCATCTTCTTCTGATTGCAGGTCCAATTCGCTAATTCTTAGCCTTAAGACTTGTGTTGCGTTGTTGCCTCTCGCTCACCCTACTAGGTAACTTTCCGATTTCTTCGAGTTTACCCTCACCTCACCTTCTTTCCTTCTCCCTTCAACGATCTCTGACTTGGATTGCACCAGTTATCAAGTAAGGGAATTGAAGCTCACTGAAGAATTCTAAAGTCAAATCGCAAGAAGAATTCCGAGGATTGTCATCGACTTTCTACGCTGCACTTCTCTCCTTTTCCTCACGCGGAAGTTCCAGCCTCACTGTGGACTCCCGTCGTCATCATGCCTTATCGCATTGGTAGGTCCTGGTCTTTGATTTAATGTACAAATGCATGGAAAATCTTTCTCGGTGTCAATGCCAAATGGTAGATGATGCACTCTCGATGTGAGATTCTTCAATGCGGCGTTGATGCAGCGGGACGCGTGAGCGCATGCGGCGTTGAATCGCGTTGCTGCAACTCCCAAGTGGCCCGTGTCGCTTGTGTTTCCATCAAGGACCTACAAGACATGAAGCCAATGCTCTCTGTGCACCGAGCCCAGATAGCTAATCCGTACTGTCTCGACTTGTTGCTCGTTCTGACCATTCTTAATCTTCTCGCAGAGGCTTCACCGAACAACCGGGCTGGTTGCCAGAACAAGGAATGCAAGGACCAGAAAATCAAGATTACCAAAGGTGAAATTCGTGTCGGCACATGGGTCGAAAATGAAAGATTCCAAAGCTGGCAGTGGCGCCACTGGTAAGTCCTCTGAGGGTCCCCTTGGGAAAAGTGTAAATCTGACTCCCATTAGGGGCTGTACGACTCCGCTCATCCTCTCTAATATCATGAAGAATGTCTTCGAGAAGGAAGAATTGGAAGGTGATGAGGATTTCGACCTCATTGATGGCTGGGAGGACTTGCCTGAGGTCCACCAGGAGGCTGTTCGCAAGGCCCTCGCTGAAGGTCACGTTCCAGATGAAGATTGGAAGGGTGTAAGTGCAATTTGCTTGCTCAAGTTCGTGGAAGAGCAGATCTCTGCGCTCGTGATCTTGCCTTTACATCAACCCACTGACAGGCATTTGTAGGATGTTGAGTGCAATCGCCCAGGCATGCGAGGCTTCCGCCTTTCTAAGAAGAAGGCAGCAGCTAAGAAAGACGTTCGTCCCTCTCAGCAACCCCGTTTTTGCGTCATACTTCTGGAGCTAACACCCGACTTAGGCGGAAGAAGAAGATGACTCAAAGTCTGAAAACGCCGTCGATGATGAGACCAGCACAAAGAAGGCGCAACCTGCGAAGGCGACCAAGAGTACTCCCCGTGCCAAGGCTAAGAAGGCTACCGATGAGGAAGACGAAGTCAAGGAACCCCAAGAGACCAAGCGAGCTACCCGTGGCAAAAAGCCAGTGAAAAAACCAGTGGTCGAGGAGTCAGCCGATGAGGAGGCCCCGGCAACCCCGGCTGAGACGAAGGAAAAGGCCAAACGAGCCGCTCGTGGCAAAGCCGCCGCCAAAGCAGCTATCGAGCAGTCTGAAGCCGAGGCTGAGGCTGAGGCTGAAGAAGTAAAGCCAGCCAAAGGTCGAGGTCGCCCTGCAAAGTCGGCCACGACCACGAAGGAGGCCTCTAAGCCGGCTGCAACCAATGGTAGAAAGCGCAAGGCCACAGACGAGGATCCAGAATCCGGCAAGAAGGCTGAAAAGCCCAAACGCGGTCGCAAGGCTGTTGCTGCTGCCAAAGAGGAAATCGAGGAGCGTGAACCAGCGTCCGATGAAGCACCCGATGGACAGACTGAGCCTGACCAGACTTCCTCGGCGCAAGAGATGCCAGAGGAGAGCACTTCCGAGGACGTGGTTCCTCAGAAGACAAGACGCCGCAGTGGGAGAGTCACCAAGGCTTAAAATAAGTCCGCTCTAGTATCTCGACGCGCTGGTGTCTGTTTGAACCTGAGATTGGAATAAAGGTGACTTTGAAGTGCAGCCGCGATGTTTCTATACTGATATTATCATTTTAAGTTGAAATAAAGAAGGGATTGAACACCTCGCAGGCCAGGAACCTTCGCCATGTTAGGTAACACAGGTGATTGATTTTGTACCGGTGGGTATATTTGACTTCTCACGGGGGTCTTCGTTCAAGTATTGTTTCAATTCAGAGGACATCCGATACATTCCAGGTCACCATATTCAGAAAACAAAAATTAGAGCACCAGCTGTTATTATCATGTTTTTTTCACACGGTGCGACAGCAAGCTCTCTGACCATGGGAGTAATCCTTAAATCGAGGTCCTTGTATTCCATGTGACCACGCAAAAGTTGAAGAGACAAGCTTTAAATTGTCTGGAATATTGAATACGAGATCAGACTTCCAGATATAAATCATTGAAATGCCCCTGACAAGACTCGCTGGGCTACTGGAGTCATGCTGATACTCAGTAATCCCGGGCGTGTTTGGTTCCGCTTGCCAACACATCTGAAGCTCGATGACTCGCTAAACCCCAAAGCCTGCCGGCGCTCTGCATGGGTTCACAGTTGATTATTTCAAGAGACCGATGTATTGTAGCAGGTTGACCGTGACCGATGCATCAATGGCTTTAATGGCAGCGGCAAAATATGGAATCTCCACACCATTATAGTCACATCCATGGCCCTTGAACCCAATAACCACATTCGCGCCGTCTCCATTACCCCAAATGAACTCCCGTATTAGCATTGACTCGTCGATGTACCCGAGCACGACAGCACTTGTGTGATCCGGTTCAAGTTTGAGATTCGGTACGTCAAGATACCCTAACTTTGAGCCATTGAGGGTCAGATTGAACGTGACATGTCCCTGATTCATTTGGATAGCGTCAGTAAGACCAAGATCATTTCACGCTAGGGGAAATAGAATGCAGCACACTAGACTGCAACACGCACCATTTCCACGGTGAACCCTATGGCGGTTCTCATGGCAATTGTGGCATTTACGTTGAAGCCGTTGACCGCGGGGCTCATTAGGCTCAGCTGTATAATGTTGAGGTTTCCATTGGAGCTCAAGAAGCCTATTGAGATTTGTTAGACGCATTTATCGAAACGCAAGGTGGATAGTAGCATCGTCCATGCATACCGGTAGTGTTGAAACCTAACGAGAGAATCAATGTCAACTTGGTCTCATAATGCTCACAGATTGTGCCAATTAACAGCATCGGAGGAGGCTCTGTACCTTTCATTTGTATCAATTTGTGGATATCTAAATGCGCTGTCGGAAATGCCCCGAGCTTGAGACCTGGATGCCCAGTAACGAGCAACCCAAAGTTTTCATTGGTGACTGCCGCGACAGCCAAATCCGAAAAACACTCCACACATGATATGTCAACGTCGTGGTCGATGTTGAGAGTTGATTCATATCCAAATTCGATTCGGGGGAACGGAAAGACCGCGAACTCTTTTTCAGTTGCTGGGACCCGCAGACTGGCGTTGAAGGCCGTTAAATGCCCGCTGCTGGTCAAACCACCTCCCAAATTCAACGAACCGAATTGAGTGACTTGAAAGGAGTGGGGTCCTGGGTTGGTGATGGCGAGTCCTTCGTAGCTGAATTCGTGATTGTTGATGTAGTCGTTAGCAAAGTGAGGTATCCCGACATAGATACTGACATATTGGTGGTCAGCCAAGATGGTACGATATGATTAGAATAATGACATTATGTCAAATTGCTTGAAAAACTCACATGGGTAGAAATATGATCAAAAACAAACAACAAAAGGCTACCAAGTACAACCACCACCATCGCTTGAAATGTCGTCCGAATCGATTCCAGACGGAAGGCCTTTCCGATGATTCTTTGGCTGTTTCATGACCGTCCGAGCTGGAGCCATCTTCAATGTCAGCTTTAACCATGATGATCGTCACCGACACTTATCAACGAGGCGAATATGGTAATCTCTTGACTTTCCGCGTCGAAGAAAACTCTACGAGAGCAGATTGTCCCAAAGACGAGAAAATAGCAGGGCGTAATGTGTTCTATTCTGGTGTTGATTAAGGCCGTATCAACACACCGACAATGTGAAAGAACCCATTTTTCAAGGGCAGTCGGATAGCCTAAGACCGTGATACAACGTTGACAGAAATCTCAAGTAGGCAATATTGAAATACCCCGCGAGGATGATCGCTGCTAAGCATTAGCATGGAAGCCTCCACGGTCTCACATGTGAAGTGGATTCCCGTCGGCTCGAGCGACGGCGCGTGTCTGCGACCAGCATGACGGAGCGAGAGCCGAAGAAATGGCTGTCATTGAAATTGATCGGCGTCAGACTGACCGAAAAAGGGAATATGCTAAGCCTCAATCTCCGATGGCGTTTCTGAAGAAAAATCAAATTTGATAGAAGTTATTCATCAATGCGATCAATGCTTAATTTGCAGTACTACTGTACTGATGTTAGAATTGTGGACGGATTGTCGCATTGATTCGCAAAATGGCCAGTCCATGCTTTCGTAGCCGAGGCGGCGATCAAAGCAAACTTCTCCTCGTATAGCCTGCGTTGAGCGCCCAGGAGGATTAACCCACATGTTCAACCCAGATCAAGCGAATTAAAAGCCAGTTATAACTCAAGTGCTGGGGCACCAAATCTTGCCCACTGGTCACTAGAACCTCGCGCCACCACCAAACGCTTTGCGTCTTGTTGACGGACATTTTCAAAATCCGCGACCCCTCGTTTCTGGATTTGTTCACGGGGATTAGCAAATCGTTCGGGATATTGTCGTTGCAAATTGGCTCGTTCTTTCGTTACGGCGACATAAAGATTCGGCCGGCGTCGCATCAAATCCCAATACTTCTTTGGGCATTGGTAGTAGATCAAGTCCAAAGTGTCAGCAATGAAGACAACTAGCCAGGCTTGCAACCGATCAGTAGAAGAAGAGTCCACAGACACTGTTCCTGCAACATCCAGCAATGGTCCCAGCTGTGATAGGCCATGGTAAGAATTCCATGCGGTCTGAAGCTTGAGAGTAATCTTTTCCATGAGCTCGGTCATGTTGAGACGTTTCGCGTATACGTAGAGCTTTCCCAAGTAGATGATCTGCTCGCAAAGCCCTTTCACATCGGCCACGCCGCGTAGTTGATATTCACGACGAACTTTGAGGGTGTCGCCGATTTCAAACATTCGGGCTTCATCAGGCTCACTGACCTCAGACACAGAAACCCGTAGCAGTTGTGGCGTGAATTCTTTTGTCTTGAGGAAGGAGACCAATTCCTCGCGCTCTGATTTGTTAACTGAAGAGACGCATTGGAAAATGGACAGCAATTGCCGGGAGCTTTCTTTGCCCAAAAGGACGTGCTCAATCATGTCCGACAAAGCCCACCGTCTCTGAAACAGCACTTTCACGCACTCTTCTTCAGCCTCGGTGTTTGTCTCAACTGTCAGGGGTTCGCGGTTTCTCTCTTTAACTGCGCCTGTGTCCCGTCTGAAGGTGAGGTTGGAGCTCAGAGCATACTCACCCAAGGTCGTGTGAGTTTCCGAATCCTCAGACGTCCGTAGGGCCCTGGACCACGTTCTGGAATCTGAGAACGAACTATTCATAGCTCGGACCTTTCGCGGTGGATGTCCCTCCAGATTCTGAGAAAATTGTTCCTCCTCATCTTCCCTCTTGATGGTGAAATATTGAGATTCTCCCTCAGTGGTCGAGCCAGCAAGTCCCACCAAGAATGCGTCAAAGTTGTCGGGAAACACGAGTTTGACATCTCTACCGCGCTTGGATTTGGCAAATGTCTCTTTCTTAGCCATTACCAACAGAAACTCCATTTTAGGTCTCCGAGCAACGAGTTCTCGTAGCGTGTGGTAAGTCTTTTTCTCATCGGCATTGTCTCGTGACGGATTGTGAGGTGCGAAGATCCACGGGACTTTGGGGCCGAGAATGAACAGGTCTCTGATATGAATCCAGCGACTTAGATTCATCATTAGCTAGTGATTAATGGAGAGAACCTGACCTGCAAGACAAAGAAGTGCCCTGGGCTCACCTTAAATTTCTTCCCGGTAGATACAGGGGATAGATGCGCTGATCAGCATCCACGTCCCATTGTCCCGAGGCGGACCTGGTACCCCTCGGAGCTCTTCCCAAAGCAGGGCCGGAATCGTAATTATCAGGAAGGAGCACGCCAATCCAAATATCGATGTTGTAATTACGGGAGCTGTTCTTGAATCGGACGATGAAGGTATCACCTGCGTGCAATTCTTGAAGTGCGGGAACGTGTTGAGATCCCACTGTAAGCGGGCCATGGTGCGCCATGTCGAGATGAGTTCAGAATCCCGTCAAAACCTGTATCAAATGCCAAGTAAGCGATTAAACGAGAGTACGCAGCGTATAATGGCGGTTGGAATGAGAGTGATGTCCGGGAACAAGGACTTGAAAGTATCTCGTGGAGACTCACCTCGCAGTCAAGCAAAGGATCCGAATCGATGTGGATAAAAAGGCAGACTTAACCCAAGCTTTCTGTGTGTGTATTTGGACTTTTTGAGCGTCGAGTGAAGCTGAGGAAAAGTCGAAGCTTTGACTGTGGACACGAGAAATGAGAGGACGAGTGCCTTAATGAAGGAACCTTTCGATGGCCTTGGCTTTTTGATTAGAAGAACCGCTTTTTGTTGGTCTTCTCACTGCGTTTCCGTGGGATCTTGCGGGCGTCTTTCTAGGTGTCTTTGCGGGCGTCTTTGCGAACGTCTTTGCGAACGTCTTTCTGTGAGCTTTCCCGGCTACCCTTCGAGCTGTTTATAGTGATGTATGAGTATCAGGAGAATTCAATGTGAGAAGTGTAGAAGCAAGTGCGATAGAATGCCGAGACGAAGAAGTCGCTCAAAACTTCACACTAGCGTCAAACATGCACCGTCTGTCCATATAGATGAGCTCCAGATCGTAGTGAGAAAAATTCCTATGCGTCATTCTCAAGCTTGAGATTGGTCTTAGATAGAATGAGAAGGCGGACTAGGCGAATCCAAAGGTGTCCGGTTTGAAAATTTGAGCCTTCGGGCGTCGGCCACAGCTGAATATAGACAAAGGATGATGTCCCGGATGATGAGTATGAGAATCAGACAGAACGGTTGGAGAAAGGGCATGCGGAAAAAGGCTAAGACCGAGGTGATGATACTGTAGAAATCAGCGGGCGGTCTTCCGGAATGATAGTCACACATCTGGACACATTGATACTGTTTCCAACGTACTCAAGGCAGACGAGTCAGAACAGGGTAGATGTTGACCCAAGAGGCGTTCAGTAATAATCGAAGAGCCTCCACGAGTAGCGGACTTCTTTCATAAAACCTCCTCAACTTTGGCAAGCCTTGACAGAAAGGCTGGTGAAATCCGAAGCTTTTCCAAGACAATCAGAGAAGGCTTGTTAAGATTCACAGAGATACTATGATAAAGACCGAGTGGAAGCTTACCAATGAAGAGTAAACTTATTGTCACACTATAAACCGTGCTAGTAGCGTTGAATTGTTTCACCGAAGCCGGTGAGCAGAAGTGACAAGCACCTAAGTGCTGCGCAGACTGTTCAGTCCATTCCATGTCAAATTTTTTCCCTAACTGCAATACTTATCCACAAGCTCAATGAACCACCTGCAGAGACTTACAGGGAGACCCATGGCCCATGGCTTGAGTTTCGGCTTTTTCGCTATGCGTCATTGCTGAAGCAAATTGACGAAGTGCTATTTTGAACTTTCGGCCTTCGCGTATCGGAGTGTCCTTCAATCTGCATCGCCGTGCCAAGATCAAGGCATGCTCTGTGTCGAAGTATCACAATAGAACAATAGAAAGCATATATTCATGCCTTGCTCGAATTGTCTGCCCCGAACCCGCGAAGTCCAAGTATTAATGGATATGTGTCACATTCAGTCACGGGTGCCCCATGCAGACGAGCCTACCGACAGATGGAAGGGTGATGTCTTTCACAGCTATCCGGGTTATTCGTCGAACGTGACGGGACCAATAGCTTCAAGGACCTCTTGCACCTTAGACGGGTTTTGTCGCTTACTAGCGGGGCACGAAGGCATATTTGAGGTGGCCAAACCCTCATGCAATATTTCTCGACTATCATCCACATAAAGCATGTCGGTAGCGACGACATATCCTCAAAAGCTATTATGTGATCAATGAGTGACAGAAAGCGAGGTCTCAATATGGAGAGCACTGCTAGCAAGTGCTAGCATCGAAGAAAAAGAAGCAAGGCTGCAATGGGGTACCCCTCCAACAATGAACCTAAGACGATTACCGCGAGAACACTTAGTCAATCTTCCATGGCAGACCAGGTGGACTTAATAAGTTCAAATTACTTAGACTCAAAGAACGCATCGCCTCACTCTCAGCCTCAAAAGAAGCAGCGATGTGAAGTGATGGACCATGAAGTCTAAAGCGAAAGCGAGAGGACGAATGAAAGCGAAAGCGAGCGCAAAAGCAAAATCCAGAGCAAGAGCAAGAGCAAGCCACGAACCACATCCCCGTCACGAAACACAACCAACCCAAAGCCTCTTGGCCGAAGACCAAGGCGACGACCAAGGTGCAGAAGATGCAGACTAGCACCATCCATGGCTTCGTTGGGGGCTGCTGTTGAAAAAAAAAAAAAACGTGGTCAGCTAGGATAAAAAGCCATTCATTCAATGTTATCTACGGTATTTTTCCCGAATGCCTAAGAACGTCAACCATGCACTAAACGTACCGCGTCGACTCGAGCTCATCCATGCGCTCGCACATGGCCACGAAGAGACCGAAAAACATGCCGCCCCCCTTCTCCATCTCCCTCGACAGCATCGCACACTCCTTGAAGTCGTGGCGATGACGGACGATGTAGGAGAGGTGCCACGCAGGCAGTCCTTCGTCTGTGGTGGGAAGGTTGTTCTGCGCGTAAAGTGCGGAGCGCAGGATCACTTCGGGTTCAAGACCCAGCTGAAGGGCGTGCTTCTGAAGAGCAAGGCTTTTCAGGCGTCCCAGACCGTACTTGACAGCCGCACAGTACACCACGGTGTCTCTCATCAAGAAATTCCCAAAGCCGCGATGGAACAAGGTGGGCTCGCTGGAGCTCAAGTCATCGGTCTCAGTCGCATTCTCGAGATACCAGTGGGTGGTTCGTTTGCTGCGGAAGAGGCGCGGATAATAGTCGCCCTGATAGACGAACTGCATGATGCAGGAGAAGATCTCGGGCTCTCTGTGAGGCAGGTGAGCTTGATTCATACCAATATTCGCAAGCATTGATCGTCCGCGTACTCATCTGGCAAGCTCAGCTTCTTGTTACCGTTCTCGTCGGGGTTCTGGTCTCTCAGTTCATCATAGAACTGGGGCGAGACCGTCAAGACATCCTCATGGGCGTGGAAAATGCGCTTTTCCTTTCCAACGGTGACGACAACAATGAGACTGTTGAGAGGACTTTGAGAACACGGTCAGTAATTGGCGAATGACGAATTTGATACGTATCATTTGCATCGAGAGCTACTCCGCGCATTACCTTTCGCTTGTTCTTGCAAGATCATACTCCACGTTCCGCTCCATCTTCTCTTTGACTTCCTTGTCGTACTTTTTTTTGGTGGTTTTAACGGGTTTTCTTGTCCGGTGCTTGGAGGAGAACGAGCGTTTGAACATTTTGAAAGATAAGTCGGGCAGAATGCAATTAACGTGTCAAAGCGACACGGTCAAGCGACCAATCAAGCGTTCAAGACTCGATCCAAAAACAAGGGACAGGATTCTGCCTATACGGAACCTATGTTGACGCTGCACTTCTCCTAGGCAAACAAGAATCAGAGTCCGGAAGCTTCCATCCACGATGCCCGCCCCGTTTCATCGAGAGATGTTAACGGAAGACGCATTCGAGGGGAGACTCGGCGATCGCGAATCTGATAGAGATCCCCGACGCAGGTTTGTCGACTCTGGCAGGCGTGAGAAAAGGAAATCATAAAGAGAAGCTGCTGGCGCCTTTAAGAACCCGAGATCAGCTGATATCAGCTGCAGGTGGCCCCGTCATCTGGATGCAGCGCTAGTTTGTGCAAGTCATTCCGACGCGGTGTTGGTTGACGGCGAATGAGTGACCAATACGGCACTTGACCGGGCCTCGAACCTTCATAAGAGGATCTTGCTATTGGCAATTGGTCTGCCGACGGCGCTAAGGCATGGTGGCGTACTACCAGAGCAAGTCACGATCGGCATTGAGATCAAATGTGCGATAACTTCAAGCTTTAGCAGACTCAGGAATGGCTTTCCCTATAAGATTGGTGTATAATATCGCTCATTCCGCCACCGGATAGATCTTCCACACTTTGTAAGAGATAGAGGTAATATCCTTGTGATGCTACATAAAGTAAGGCCAAGTCCTGGTAGGTAGGGTAATGTTGCACCACGTGATTGGCGCCAGCACTGAGTACTTTGGCACATGGAAGGTTGTCCACCTGAACGAGTACCTCACCAAGGGGCCTTGGGTACTCAGCTGCGCATTGCAAAACATAAATAGGAGTGCTGAATGAGATCAGCTAAGAGGTGAATGCTTTGGACAGCATGTACAATGTACTTGTCGCTCAAAGCAGTGCTGCTGAGGTGCATGAAATTGGGAAGTTGTGATCGTATGGCAAAGGAGTGATACACTGAACTGCTTGATGATTCGAGCAACCTGCTCGGTATGAGCACATGGACAAAGTTGTGTGACCTCGTAGACGTGAGGTCCCCGCTCTACGGGCGTCTGCCTTCATGTGATGCAAGCTAGGAGAAGGATACTTATCATTGGTATGACCTGTGGTAGAACGAGGAATCCAAGATTGACTTTGGGCACAGTTGGGTCCAGATGCTGTCTAGGTAGATCTGTTGTTCATTTTCCCGATCGTCGCCGTTCCAGGAAATCGGAGTGATAGCGTCCCCTCATTGATGATGATGCTAGTGGCGGTGCAGTCCTTTTTGTGGCGGTGCATTGGGGTCTCTGTGGAGCCTGTTGTCCCGCCGTTGATATGCCAGCCGTCGCCCACGGTGATATCATCGCACTTCTCCCGTGGGATTGTAGGCGGCTAGATGATCGAATGAGCCCATGGGGGTTCGATTCTCATTCCTCTAGGTGTAAATTCAGGAACGCTTTATAACTCGTAGTCTTCAGCAGGGCGCCACACTTTGCAAAGCTTAAGCCTTCGACAGAATTGATCGTCCACCCGCGGCCACTGCAGAGACACCTGTTTTGCTGCAATATACGAGCGCCCGAAGCCCCCTGCGTCTACGACGGCTTGTTGCATTTAACCGTCTCTGGTCCTGCTTTTATTCACTCATTCCTTTCCTCTCTCGATCTCTCCCATTCTCCCACTACCTGTCCTAATTAATCTACACCATGGCGATGCAGTATTTCAATCAGATTAAAGACCGCCGACGGCCGTCCCAGATCTCCAGCTCCCATAACCCAGTCTTGACTCCCGAAGACGAGGCATTTTTGACAAAGGTGACATCGGATCCCGAGACTCAGCCAGAACCGGTCCCTCAGAATGAGTCCAGGCCACTAGAAGGTCCCGCAGGTGATTCTGGTGCCCTGGTCGCCGACAACAAACCACACGAAGCTACATCCGCGGCAGCTCCAGCGGAAGAGCTCGGAAAGCAGCTGGGTGAAGCAGAAAGGTTGAAGGAGGAGCAAAAGATTGGCGTTAAGAAAGACACTGAACCTGTCAAATCAAACGTGGCACCTACTGCCGATAAGAAGAAGAACCGATGGAGCTCTATGCTCTGGAAGAAAAGTGCAGCCTCCAAAAAGGTCAGTGACTTTGATCCTCGATTAGTTCCGCTCGGCTTTTCCGACCATATTAGTACTTAGCTTACAACCGTCTTTCACTCGCATAGGGTAAAGAAAAAAATCAACACGAAACGCTTCCGAAATCGACGCCGTCAAGCCGTCCTCGACAGCCAATGATGCCACACCGAGCGCCACCGAGGCGCGTCAGGAACAAGAAGACATGACCGACATTCTCGATCGTCTGAACCTCGCTGCAGACAACAATCGAGTATTCTCATTGAGCGATGAGACACAAGAACTCTTACGGAAGTTCAAATTTGTCTTTAAGGATCTTGTGAACGGCGTTCCAACCGCGTACAATGATCTGGAGATGCTCTTGACAAATGGCAATCGCCAGTTGCAAGAAACGTACACAAAGCTCCCTACCTTTATGCAGAAGCTGATCGAGAAGCTTCCGCAAAAGTGGACGGATGCGCTGGCTCCAGAGATGCTTGCGGTCGCCAGTGAACGTGCTGGCCGAACCGGTATCAATATGGAAAATGTCGGCAAAGCAGCTTCGATGGCGCAAAAGGCTGGCCTCAACGTGCCCAGTCTCAAGGAATTGGTGTCCAAGCCCGCCGCTATCGCCGGCATGCTACGATCGATTATGGAGTTCTTGAAGGCTCGATTCCCCGCTGTGTTGGGGATGAACGTGCTGTGGTCGCTAGCACTCTTCTGTGAGTCTATACGATAGGCTTTTGCTGTTACGAAGAAGTTCAAGCTGACAAGGCTCTTAGTGTTGCTCTTCGTCCTCTGGTACTGCCACAAGCGAGGACGAGAGGTTCGTCTCGAGAACGAGCGCCTGGTCACTGAGGAAGAGATCAGAATGCTGAACGAGGAGACCTCGGAGACTCCGATTCGCCCATCCCAGACATTGCTCACCGTGGCGCCCCAGGGCGCATCAGCGGAGGAAGTTCGAGAAGGTGTGAAGAAAGTGGAAGAAGCTAAAGCTGCAGCAGAGAAAGAGGACGCCAACGCTGCGACGGAAAAAGAGGCAGCCAGCGAAGCCCCATCCACTGCCTCTCAACCAGCAGCTGTGCCTGAACCCGGGCCCGAGCCATCGGAGTCTCGTACAGCTGCAGAGACTTCGACCAGCGCAGCTCCTCGCCCTGCAGCGGTCCCTACCCGCACCAAGTCATTCCTCTCCATGTGGTCTCGAACCAAGTCTGATTCGAGCTCAAGCAAGGTCTCGCCGTATCCAGGTACCTAGTCTGGGATGGAATGAGGAGTAATCGTGACCAACGAGAGCGAAGATCTTTCTACTTTCCATGACTTTCTCATGTTTTACTGATTGGGGAAAAATTTGATGAACTGGGAACCCTAATACACGACCTGGATGATCCTTGGCTCATGCGATACCTTCTTTGAAAGCTTGTTACGATAATGGTGATATGTTGATAGCCTGATCATGTGTGTTTACGTTTTCTTGACAATATGAAACGATGATATCTCTGGAAGAGGCTATTTGGGCTTGATTGTGATCTCAGGTATATAGGTGCTCTTGCAAGCTTTGAGTTACAACAAGACCTCCAGAATGATGAAATCCGACTCATCACCACTGAAAAGCGGACAGGTACATTCCGAAGTACCAGTAGCTTGCACGCAGAGTCGGGTCAGACGTCGTTTGCTTTTTAATAGCTCTCCTCTGGTGTCTGCCCACTCGTCAATGAATGCTGGTCACGTAGACGAGCATGATTAAAGGTGCTATTATAGTTTTAATGCATTCACCTGGTTTGAGCCTAGGTAAGCTGTCACTATTCACGGTCTATTGGAAGTTGGAGCTCATGTCATGCTTCAACGATTAGACACGGTACGTGCAAAAAAGACTTGAGTAACTCGACTCCGATCCCGCAATTTCGCCTTTTGCAACGCCACCCCTACCAAGCGTAAGGAAGCCAACCTTACGCCCGCAAGCCATGAAACGTATAGACGCTTGTATCAATTACGATTATTGCATGCCAGTGCTGCTCTCAACTGGATACCTAGTCGTCGCATATATGGCGTGCAGGATGAAATCTGAAGAGCGTTTCCACTATAGAACTGATCTTGTCCTATACCTGATTCCACTATGAATGTTGAGAGAACAAATCAGGTCAGGTCAGGTCAGAGAGTATGGAGGCAGCACCACATGTGCCATGTTGTACTGGGCCGTCAATCATCCCGCGGAAAGATATAACTTGAACGTTGTCCATCAATGTGATGAACACGGTGTGGGCCGTGGACGCAATGCTGAGAACTTTTCCTTCGGTATCAAATAATGGCCAATTCTCGGTGGGCGGGAAGTGTGGCTCGGGCAAACATTGTCCACGGCGTTTCATTGACGGGGGTCATTTGGCGGTTACGGCATCTCCGTAGTCTGTAGGCAGTCCAGTCCGTAGTCCGTACAGAGCAAACTTTCCTACTGAAATCGGGATCAAGGGCCGAACCTCGGCTGATCACCTCACCTGCCGTCTTGGAAGAAATCCCTTCTAGATGAGGTGTCAGGTGACTGAAACATGCCGTTTCCGAGATTTAGAGCAGATGGGAACCACTCGAGTAAAAAACTCGAGTGGCGTCGTTTCCCCAGTGATCTTGCAGCTCGGCTCCTAGGACGGGAGTACCTCTGAGTTCCAACACCTGCTCATCCGTCTCATCCCATTCATGGCTATAAAGGGCAATACTTGAGAGCTTCAAGAACCGAAAGCCTCTGACCCTCGACCGAGAAATCACGTCAACCAACGCTCGGCTCAGCAAACAACAATATGGATGACCCTGGGCAAGAATGCACCAATCTCGTCATGGAAGGTCCACTTTTCTTTTTTTTCCTTCACGGACTGGCATGAAGAGCGCCAAGCATCTCCTCCATAGATAACAAACAACATTAATTGACGGATCGTCATTGCGGTCGAACTCGACGCATTTTTCGACGCGCGCCAGCTCGAAAAGAGACTAGTGACATGAGGATTTTCTTCTGAAAGTGGAGCTGGAGCGGATCTCGGGCAATGGGAGAATTTTTTTTCTTCCTGTTGGAAATGTTCTTCGTCATGTCTCGTGGGCGCCGCCGGACCAACTGTAAAAGATCACTTCCATTGGGATCCACTTCAGCCACCAGAGCGCGGGGCGACGGTGATCGTGATCGTGCAAGAGGTCGCGAGAGAAGAGGAAAGTGATCTTGTCGACTTTGAAGATAGTAGGAGTATTCGGGCGGTGGTCCGCCTCGGCTGTACTGCATCAGTGCATACTGCCGAGTGCAGAATATGTGCATACCTGGGGCTACATAGCAGATAGCAGATAGTAGATCGTGAATGCAGTCGTCCACACTTAAATAGAGAGGCACCGGGCTCATGTCACTTTAGGTCCAGGATTGCTACCGACCGAACTACCTATCTGGAGGTACGGTAGTAGTCCCTTTTTTCTTGAAGTCTGGATCTCACATGATCTCAAGGGACTCCCCAATGGAGCCGGAGGACGTAGGTGCCCCTTTTTTTGGGGATACGCAAGTCTAGAAGTCTCAACCATGGATGGTGTCGGCGCCCATGCGAGTCATCGTCTTGATGTTGGTAGTGATTTCGAATGGAACCCCCGAAGATGGGCAGCGGCCACCGTCCTGGTGTTTTCGTTTCCCCCCCTCCCGCCCCCTCTGATATGCCATATCGCGGCCCGGCGGCCCAATTCAAGATGAACTTATCTGCCTAGTGCCTAGTGCCTACCAGGTGCAGACTCGTGAGGGAGAGTCGATGTATCTCATGCAGGCAGCCTGGGGCCTGGGATACAGTAGTACCTTAGTCGGTCGTAGGTGTGTTGTCCTAGTCGGCTTACCGCTTTTTTCTGGGGTGTCCATGCCTACATGGTCGTGGCCATGACTGTGCTTCTGGCACCGATATAGGGCGAGCTCACGTATTGTACGCCCAGTCTTAGATCTGCAAACCAAACACAGCATTCGTCTCGGACAAGATAACCTAGACCAACGGCCTCACTTAGGTGGCAGCGTTCACTATTAAACTGGAGTCCTCCCAAGTCCAAGCCAAAAAACAATCGAATTCAGTTCTGTACACCTGGCTAGATTGGCGCAACCCGACTCGCCACCACGGGACTGGATAATCAGACAAAAACTCAAATGCGACGGGCCAGATTGATGGGGGGGGGGTTTCGGTCATGGTGTCGATCCAATCAGACGGATAGATATGACGAGCTTCTTCTGAGGTCAGCATTTTGGGTGCTGATCAAATTCACGCGCGATGACTCTTTGGCATTGAGTCATTGACTTTTGATGGTTGTGATTCATCACTCTTTTGTACTAGTGCTGGCAGGACTGAGGAGATGGCATTATTGTTCTTTGCTTCCTACACCTAGTAGTAGGTACTAGGTAGTAGATACACTAGTACAGTAGTAGTAAGTCATTTAAGATACCTCGGACCACAGCGCTAGCGAGGCGGCTGAGAAGGGAGGTGAAGGAGAGGCCCCAGGAGACGGGGATGATGATGGTGGTGATGCCTTGGGTCTGGGTAGCGGGAACCTGCCCGTGCTGCCATTTTACCTGGTCCGGGCTGGTACCCCTCCCCAGACCCCCAGTACAACACTTACAGTAGGTCCCGAGAGCTTGGTCGGTCATATGCAAGAAGCTCGACACTGCAGCAGGAGGGTGACTGGAAGACTTGGTACTTCTCTCCGTGCTCCAGTCTTGATTTCTATCTTGATGGGTCACTGGTGGTTGACTGATCTGCCTCGATTCATGCATTCTCCAAAAAAGAAAAAAAAAAGCGTGGCCGGGAGGGTGGTGGCTGTACTGGGATTGCAATCGTCTCCACGTCTGTCTTGTCCTACTGGTGAAAGACTGAAGAGTAAAGATCATGCACTGCAGCCGTGTGGTGTTTGCCAGTTTGGAATAGTGCCACCGCCAACTGCCAAGTCCCAAATCAGCGAGGCAGACCCGAGAATCCTCGCGGTGGCACTGGATGGTCGGCCGAAGCCCAACCGGGAACATTCTTCATGGTTTCGAGGGACTTTGTATTCTACCGAGAGAAGGAAAATTTCTGTTGCAAAATACAATCATACTACTAGCTCCATTGGTCTCTCTGTTCGAGATTTTACATACATGACGAGTACATACTTAGTACTTAGTACTTAGTTTTTTGACTTGAGGCCTGGCTGTCATAAGCATTGAGTACTTGTCAAGTACTGGGCACATTTGGTTTCTAATTCTCAATTCCCAGTTTTCACAGAGGGCACGTGCAGCTTGGACTTTTGTGTTATCGAGTCCTGACTGACTGTCAGTGTCTAGTGTCTCATAGGTCTATAGACTTCAATGCTTTCCTGTCCAAGCTTCCCGTCATTGAGTTTCAGCCATGTTGAAACTCTGTGGTCTGTTACCCTGTTGTACTTTCAGGCCGATCTTGTCTCATTGCTTGTTTTCTTTGACTTTTCTTTCCTCTGCCCCTCTGAGTCATCTAAGGACAGGTCGTAGTGCTCGTAGAGTCATCAATGACTGTCAACTTGTCGAGTATTCACTAATTCACTATTCTGCCATTGACTTCGGGGGAGTCGATCGTCTCTGAGTCAGTTCCCCAGATTCCCTCTTTCCCCCCATCACGAGGTGTCCTCCTGCATTCCTCGGCCTACGCGGAATGTCCACCGGCCGATCGACTGATCGAATCGTCAAGTCCAGCATCATCATTGTCAACGCAGTGAGGGGGTGGAACAAAAAAAGAAAAAGAGAGTCATCATCCTCCGGAGGGGGATGGGATGAGCCCAAACGACCATTTGGCCGCGGGACGCAGTGATTGGCCAGGAAGAAGATTTTCTGATGCGCTCGAGGACGATTGGTTCGGGGAAGAGGCGGTGAATATGACGCCAACGAATGAGCAGACGTGGAGGGGCTGGTCGGCGGGAGTCCTCAGAGCCAATCCTCGGAGCCTCCGCCCCACTCTTGTCCGTTTTGGCAAGGAAAAATTGGGATGTCGTCGACTGCCGGGCCCGTTTGGGGGGGAGTTTCCTTGGGGAGCTGCGTACGAGAGCATCTTCGACGGGGAACAAGACAAGAGACATTGTTGTACAGTATTGGTTATGGCATGGAGGGTTGGAGAGAATGGATAGACTCTCTGGGGTGTGAATTGCTGTATGCAGTGATGGTCGCGAGCAAATGGCGAGTCATCGATTGCAGGGCTCATTTTTGCAGGTTCCAGTCATTGTATGATTGTTGTCGTAACCTGTAACTGATGGATCAAGCGCTTCGCGTATGTATTCTTGTTAGTATTGTACGGTTGAAGAAGCATCAGTGCCTAAGGACGCCCGTTACAGCGGCCCGCCCGACAAGGCCGGGATCTGTAGTGGCACGTCGCTCGAGGGCTGCGACGTCTTCTACCCGCTCTCTTCCTCCTCATCTTTTTTTCCCTTTCCTCTGCTCCTTCAACCAACACACCTTTTCACCACCTCGTCGAACCGGTCTATTCCTCGACAATCCCTACTCCAATCCCACCGGAACCACCAGAACCCCCTCCAAAATCAAAATATCGTTAAGAATTCCTGCCAGATGGCTTTCGCTGAGCTGTAAATCCCCCGCTGGAGAGCCTGTCATCGCCGGCTCTCCAGTCCTTCAGCTCCGATCCGCAATTCCTACTTGACGATACCTTTGATTCTCTCTTTCGACGCCCGCTGTCCAGCGTCGAAATTGCCCCCAAGCAACTGTTCCAGAAAAGCACTCGTGTGTCCCTCTCGGACCGCAGGTGCTCGTGATTCTCTCTGTTGAACCAGCGTCATTGCGACTCTTTTTTTCTCCCACACCACTCGACTCATCCGGGCTCTTGAAACCTTCCCTCCGACTCCCAAATCCTCGACGCTGCCCTTCTCCCTCTCCTGATCAACCCCCCTCTCCTCAATCGAAACGACTCTTTCCTCCTCTGCCTTGAATTTCTGCCCCGCATCTCTTGGGCGTACGGCGACAGACACATCTACCTCCGGCTGCAACCGCAAGTCTCTCGCGCAATCGCAGATACACCTGTCTTGAACACACCACCACCCTCTCCAACAAAAAACATTCCTCGTCAGCACAACTTCTTACACACACACACATACCAAAAATGCCACAAATGAACCCGTACGCCTCGAAGAGGGCTCCCAAGGGGTCCTCCAAAACCGTTCGTCCAACCACCCCCGAGTCCATGACCGTGCGACAATTTGACTTGGACCCCAAGGCGGGCAGTCAATCACAAAAACAAGTGCATGGTCGCATGGGGGGTTCCATCCCCTCTCAGCGGAAACGACGAGCCTCCACATCCTCCGTCTCCAGTGTTTCCTCCGTTTCCTCGATTGATGACCTGGAGCTCGAGGCGCTCAGTGACGAAGTTGATGATTCGGACGACGATGCGGACGATGAACAAGAGCGTCCGCGGGCGGCGGTCTCCACGTACGGCCGTCGTCCTTCCACGGCCCGGAAGACCGGACGTCCGGCTACCAAAGGCAAGCGCACCCAGGTCTCGGACGACGAGGGCTCCGACAGTCACTTCATCAGCGACCCAAGCGACTCGGAAGACAGCTCAGACGACGCCTATGCGGCTGTGGATGACATCTCCGACGGAGACGACGAAGAGGGTGACGTGGAGAAGATGGAGGAACAAATCATCAAAGACTCCGAGAATAAGCACCGGGTCCTCCCCTCGTCGGAATATTCCGATGCCCAATGGCTAGGCCCGGAACTGTTCGGCGACTCCTTGCTCCTCCCCGCAGCATCCTTTTTCGATGAGGAACAACTTTACACCGCCATGGACGCCTTTGGCGAGACCGACATGGCGAGCGAGGCCCAAGAAACCCCCGTGGCTCGCCGGGTCCACTTCGAGGAGCGCTCGGAGTCCTCTTCCGACAGCGACTCCCATTCCGACGACGAGATCCCCAGTGACTTCCTCCAGCAGGACTCTTTGGATCCCCAACTGCGTCGCATGATCGAAAGTGACAATAACGATCACTACCGCACCCATCGTCAAAGATCGGAGGAGATGTATGGGGATATTGATTATGGTCATGGCAACATCTACCACGTCGAGTCCGACGGAACGTCCGAGGGCAGCCTCAGCGGTTACGAGAGTACGATGCTTCTCTTTTCTTTTTTTTTTTTTTTTTCTCACGACTGCGACTTGACATACGCATCTTTTTACTAACAGTTTCTCTCTCTACAGGCGACGATGGTGACACCACGGACGAGGATCTGCCTCCTCCTGCCACCATTACGCACCCTCGCTCTCTGCTGCGTCGGGACTCCACCGACTCGTTGGTCGCTGCGAGCGAGGACAAGTCCACCTCTGTCCCCCGGCGACGGGGTCCCATCATGGGCACATTCGTGGCTGACCCTAACAAGCCGGTGGCCCTGGTCGACTGCACGGGCAAGCACCTGGTTATCATCCCCGCTTACGCCTCTTCGCGCCACGACTGGCTGGACTCCGCTGCCAATAGCATGTCAGGGACCGCCAACAACAGCCCGCGTCAAACTACGCTGCAGTTGATTGACGAAAGCGATACTGACGCCCTGGCGTCCCCCAATCATACCAACTTCAGTCCTATGCTGGCGTCCAGTGCCAACTTGATGATGACCGCTCTGGGTAATGACTTGGCCCCCGGTGGACAGGTCATGGGACCTCCCGAAGCCTTCTACCCTTCCCAAGACTTTGCCATCGATAGCTCCTTCGAGGACGATGATGAGGAGGATCCGGAAGCGGCGCTCAATGTGGATGATTTCATTGACTTTGGCGACGGTTCGTCGGATGAGGACAATGATCGGGACAACGAAACGTTCAATGGTTTCGATGATGAGGCCTTTGGGTCACCGAGGGCCAATTCCTCCCGACCGGCGACGGGAACCCCGACCCCCTCCCGGGCCTCGGAGTCCCTGCAGGCCAATAGCGCTGAGCGCTTCCTGAACCACCTCGACAAGGGCATTGTTACCGCCTTCCGCCGCAATCACAACCGCTACCAGGCCCTTCTTCGCTTGCCCCAGCATCGCGAGTTCATGCCTGCCAACTCCCCAGCGCGTCCTGCCAGTGTCTTCCGACATGCGCGCCATCAGGAAGTGCGTCCTCCCAGTCGCAAGCGCAAAGCCAATGGCTACGCAGGTGGTGAAGCCGTGCGACGCAAACTCATGGATGCCCAGCGTCGCACCCAGCTTCCATTTTGATCGGTGTCTTGCAAGTCTCTTGTTCTGACTTGTTCAACCATACTGGCTATGCGTGGTCTTTTGCTCGAAACCCCTCCCTTAACCTTTTCTACCGCTTACATATCCCCATCATCTCCCACCTATCTTCCCTCGCACCTCTTTTTTTTATGATGCTGACGAATTATCTTTGTTCGATCCACCCACACCCTCGCATGATACACAAATATTGTTCACATATGTTCTGAGTCGCTGGCAGACTATGGCACCGGGAAAGACCGTCGATGAATCCGTTGCATGCTCTGGAAGGGAAACACAAAACCGGAAGAGGTCCTTGTCTGATGAGCTTTAGAAGGCACTCACGAAAGTTCTTACACTGTTTTCATAGATAAGATTTATCTCGCCCCCGTATCAGCTGCCGTCCGGACAGTGACGGCAAGATGACGGGCATTTGGGCAGATCTACTGCGGTTGTTGCGGCATTTTTATGCTTCCTGTCTTATTCTTGCCCCTAGACATTCATCAGGACGTCGGCTGGACGCCCAGCCTCTGATTTTGTTGATTTAACTTGTTTTTTTTTCTTCTGTGAGAGTTACATGTCGATTTACCTCTTGAATATTGAAAAAATCATTCACTTCAACACAACTCACACACACACATGCACTGTATCTAGTGGAGTCACTTTTGTGGTTTTTACTACCATGAGCAGCATTCGCACACCAGCACCCAGCAACGCAACTCGCAGAATAGCACGGCTTGGGCCTAATTGGACATTCAACCACGACCTCTCGTCGCCAACGGCCTTCTCACAACAATACCTGAGAGTCATGGACAACCCCGCCCCATCCCTGGTGGATACGCGGCTCGTTGCATGAGTGGAGTAGATTAGTCGAACTAGACAGCCATCGGAACGGGATTCCTCAATGTTAGCTTTTCGCACAACGATAAGAGGTATGGACGATTGGAGTGGAGTCTCTTCTCTTCCCCCTTTCATAAGTGGCCAGTGCAAGAGTAATAGCTCCCAGCTGGTGTCAGTCATAAGACAAAGTTTCATAGCTAGATAGAAGGCCACCCAAGGTAGGTTCCTGAGACTCATTCTGCAGTCATGAGCCAGTAGGTCACGAAGTTCCAGAGCGGAAGGATGAAATACTTCATCCACGATAAGAAGATCATACCGCGCTCTCATAGTCTGCACCTGAAAGTACTACTTATACACAGGCAAGTATATGGTACTATAAGATTCGATGTAGCACGGTTGTCGAGAAACCCCGGGTACCTGCACGCGGCGGTCTTATGCCAAGATCGAGTTGTCCCGTGCATTAAGGTTGCCCACTTATCTTTGTGCCACGCGGGATAGTGGGGCTCTTCGAGCACGGGTCCATCTCGTTCATTGGACAGGGGAATCGATCTCCCCGCTTCAACCGAACTGTCAGACTCAGATGGTGCCGTGGCCCCAGCGCCCGGGATGGACGAACGGTCCACGGATGCGGATTTGCAACACTTTCGCGTTGTTGGTGTGGAGGGCCTGGTTCCATCAGGGCATGTTGCAGGACAAAGTGGCTTCGAATACAGGTGACTTATTTTGGCTGACTGTGATGAACACACGCTGTTTAGGGCCCGTTAGATGCCTTTTGTCGAACCTGGGAGCCCCCTCTCGGCCCGCTTGAACCGGTTGTTGATCCAAAGCCACGTCTTCAGCAGTCCCGGCACCAGAGCGGATGAATGATCCTTGCCGTCGAAGACATGGTGTTGGGCGAAGACTGTGGCCTTTCTTCGTGTGGCAATAAGCTTGAGTGCGTCTTTAAATGGTGAGGTGATCTCATATCCACCTCCGTTAATTGACATGGGAGATTCTTTGAACGATTTGTAAAGGTGACGTTTCGTCCCAGGACACCGACTTCTTTTGGACGGTCCTGATACTTATACAAGAAGTGATCGCTATGCTTGAACCGCGAAGAGATGTTCTCTCAGCCGGGAGTCTCGTCAGTGTCTTGGACACACTAGCGCACCAGCCCAGTGGCCAAAGGAAACGTTTACTTTGGTCATCGTCCTCTCGGAGATCCTCACATCCACTCGCTCATGATTCTCAGTATTGCAGCACCATTCAATATCGAAAGAGGGACTTTGTTGACATTGTAATAGGTGCTGGTGACATTGGGTGATGGTCCACCGATCACTGCTCCAACGATGGGCAGCTTGGGAGCATACCACGCGCGAATCTCAGTGGCCCATTCGGTAGCAAAACCACCACCCGAGTATCCAAACATGGTGACATTTGCATCAGCGCCGATATTGGTTGTCTGAATGGAGCTCAAAGCCGCTTTGATTGGGTCCAGTGTCTGGTACACAGTCTGTGGTCCGACCGTGAACGCTGCATTCGAGCCCTCGTAGTTGAGAATGTTGAGGATGACTCCACTTTGAAGATAAGGAAGCAAGAAAGCCAGATTAATCTTTTTGTTCCATGAAACACTCCAGCCAGTAGCTTGATATTGGAGCCCATGCGAGGGGGAGCAGTTGGTATCCACAGAATCGTATGCACCCGAGCAGGAGATGACTCGCTCAAAGTTGGACTTCACCGGCACGAAGATGTTTGTCACTGTGGCGTCGGGGTTTCTGTGCACATCCGGAGGTTAATAGAGCATTTGGCAGCCTTTTCTTGGCTGGGTGCAAAGAAAAACAAAGAAAAGACCACGGAATCGCGAGTTCTGAGAAATCATCCTCCGGGGAGGTCCTTTCCACAAATCACCCTCTGGTGGCTATTTGAAAGTGTCTTTGCTAGAGAGCTGTAGAATAGGCCAAATATGAGATTTTATGGAAGCGATCAGCTCGGCTACCAGTCCTAGGAAAGGAAGCACTAATGCCAAGAACCGCATGGTGCAAGGAGCATAACACTCTCTTGACTCTCTGAATCTGTGTTCTGAGTGAAGAGTTGTGACTGATTTTCGTCTCACTCCGGAATGGTATAGAGTTGAAGCCCGAAACCTTGTGTATTTCTTGTGCGCCAACGTGGCGGTCACGCAACTTTGATATGTTTCTGCGTGAATTGATCTGCATTCATGAACAGTGCTTTCTAGGCATTTGGGCTATGCGTCAGTGTTGGTGCTGTTACAGTGCAGATCTCACCTCCCTTGCGACACTAGAGCAATGACGAGAGATGTCATTGAACTTTGATCTCGTTTATGAAGTATTACTTTTCTACAACTACCAAACACACTTCTTTCTCTGCCCTGTTGCAAAATTTTCGCGAAAAACTATGATACCACTCCACCATCATCGAGAAGATAAATACACACGCGGATTTGAGCCAAGCACAGACGAATGCCTTTTTTTATCTAATCGTTGTTGACGTGAAAATCGTCACTTCAACGAGAGGGTACACGATGTGCATACTTTACTTATACAAGGAAGACGCACATTTGGCATGCTGGTCTGCCAGCCAAAAGAAATGATCATCAAACACCTTCCATCTGTTCACAATGATGCCGACACGTCCGATGCCCGTGCGCGACTCAAGACAAGATCATTCGTACAGGCTTGTTTTCCATATGAATAATTGTTTGATGAACCCTGCCTCCTTTCACACGACACAACTTGAATAGAGTTGGTTTTCTGTCACTGTGATGAAAGAGCTAATACCAAGAAATGAGTTAAATCGCGGCATGGCATGTCTCGCCCTATGCCGCCTTTCAAGGAGTCGCTGGACAAGGACAAAGAGTCCGGTCAAAACTGGGAAACAAGCAGGCCAGCGATTTGAAGTCCAATCCAGACTCTATGGATTGGCACAGACATTGACTGAGAATATTGACAATATCAACACAGCGTGCATTTCAAAGGACGGTAGATACAATGATTACAAATCTGTACTCGGGCAGACTCGCGAGTTTGAACAATGAGACTCGACCCTTTGTCTTTCGAGGTCGCTTGTTCCCTCAAGGGCATTCGCATTGTTAAATGATCCGGTCAGATATTTTGAGCGGAGTATCAGCCACCCAGTACAGAGGTTGATGAAAGAAACAGAAATAGATTGGGCTTTGGCACTACTTGTTATGCTTCGGTGTCATTGCATTTTGTGTGGATAACCTATCTTTTGTAGAGTATAAATTCCATCGGAAATCCGCTCCTTCGTGCCTCTCATCTCATCAACCACCTGCACTATCCTTTCCATCCAAACAATCTCTTCCTACCAGCTCATTAACATATATTATCAGAACCACGATCCATCAACCTTGACCAACCCAGTCAGTCAACGCGCACCATGCAACCCCCACAGACTCCACAAGCTCCATCGAGCGATTCCACCAACACCAGCGCCGTCCAGTACAGATGCTTCGTTATAATCCCCCTCGCTGACGAATCCATTCGCTTATACCAGACCAACCACCACCTTGCATTCCTGCTCAGCACAATCAGGGACACCGTGGACAACGAGTATCCCTACGTTGACATTGTCGGCGGTGAGTGTTTTCTACCCCCACAGACTATATCCATCACTGTCAGCAGTCCTGGGCGGTTGGATCCTGTTCTGGATCGCGAAGCTATATTGAATCATGCAAGCCAGGTGATCGCCGCGTGGTTGGAGCAGTACATCCGGCGTGGAGAAATCGTGCCTGCTCTGAGGCGCATTGTAGATGAAATTTTGAGAATGACTGGAAGCAGAGGTCAGCGTGGTGACTTGCACCGCTAGTATGCGTTCCTTCGATTGTTGAGGTAGTGTTTACTGATACTACAGGGCTCCTTATCATTGAGACTCAAATGTGGATTAGGTGGATCTCCACTCTTCTCAGAGTTACAAACAGAGTCGACCCGTTTCAACGTGTTCAAGTAGAATTCAGGTTACAAGTCATCTTCCAGGTTAGTTCTTACATGTATATCATGAGCTCATAAGCATGATCTCGAGTTCCTCGTGTCAATCTTTGTGAGAAGGGTTCATTGAACTATTAATTTGGGATTGCGGATTAAGGTTGAGATTGCATTCATTGTAGATGAGCCGAAACACTGATGCTTTACGTTATGGATTTCCGAGGGGGGGTTGGAATTCGGTCAAAGTTACCTTCCATCCACAAGTTGTACACCATTTCGGGCAGGGATGTTTTCAGACACCATCTGGGTATGGTTAGCAGCGGAATATCGGCAAGTCCGTTGCTTACATGTGAGGCAGTTACCTATCGTGCATTTCAAAGGAGAGAAGACGGATCTAAAATACGCATATCCCGTGTACTATCCGGAAGTCCTCCAGATATCCCGATGTTTCAGTCGTAAAACCCTCCGACGAGCTACTGCACGAGCACGTAGGTGACACATCAACGCTCACCCTGGCTTTGAATCACGAGCTCACGCTCCGTCTCACTTAGCGGGGCTCACAGTTCCATCTGTTGGCCCCAGCACTAAGGCTTCTCAACGTTCAGGGTAGATGCTCCTGATCTAACAAGACTTATCTAGACTTGACGGCATAGGTGATCGAGTCGACAATTCACGAGCACAGCCGTAGATAGATCAATTTCCATATGAGATAGCGATCCATTAGTTGCCTTCTGAAACTTGAACTTCTTCCAGCTTTAGTATCGCTGCTGATATAGTGATTGAATCCCGGCTTTCTCCAGACAAGGGGCTATACCCCTTCTAACAGACCTGCTCGGCTGCTCTCAATTCTGGACCACCAGGGAAGCACGGATGAAGTATCATAGTCAAATAGATACCCAGATGGTCGGTACAAGTGCAGGAGGACCTCGCCTCTTGATAAAAACATCACAGCCGGTGTCGGTTCCATGAAACTGTAGCCCCTCGTGAACGAATGGTTTGTTTTGTTTGCTACAGAGGAGGAAAGCTGTCTCGGCTACCGGAAGGAAACAAATCCTCAAGCAACGCTTCATTAGCAAGCTTCTTAGCCTCGCGGGACGGAAAGAGCTCCTTGGTGGCAAAAAGGCCGGGTCTCAACAGGCCATGGAGGGGTTCTTGATGAGGAGTATCCAGCTTGGAATACTACTATTGTTTCAATAGCAGTAGCGTGGAAACGCCTCCCCTATACCACATTGGGCCAAAAGACCTGGATGAACATACTAGTCAAAGCCAAAGAGCTAATGCAATAGGTGGAGAATCAACTAGCTCGAGCCAGCTACTAGTGCAAGACCCTTTCGCGAGTCACGTAGCCCAGAGTCTCAAGCTTACTTTTACATTGAAAACCTTTCAAAGATAGGAGGAGAAGAAAAGGTGTGTGCTACTACTGTGCTTCGATCCAGGTTTGTGGAGACCCCTGGCACTAGTACTTGTAGTCTACTAGTCAGTACTCACTACTACTTACTACTCAGTAGTGCCCGGTCCAAGACGATCTCCTCGTGTCAAATAGAGTGAACGGTTTCCCTGGCCTGTCCGTCATCCGGCTCCACTGTCCCCGGACGGATACGAGCCGTTTGACCAGATATGGACGCTGGACGGGGTGAAGCGGCATGGAGTATGGAGTGTGGAGTATGGACCATGTGGTATATTTAGATCTGGCGGTATGACCGAAAGAGGTTAAATCCCGTAGACGTTTCTCCGGTCGCACTCAAAAGGTGGCTGTGATCATGTGATGCCCTCTCGATCCTATGACTATGATGTAGGTATTCAACTACGGTAGTAGACGAGCCACTATTCCATTCTACCCCTGGAAAAATGGAGACTTGGTAGGTTCAAAGAAGCTGGGTTTCAACGAATGGAAGTAGTTGAAGTTGGGAACAGGTCAATGCACGAGCAGGACTGTGGAATGGTAATCATACAGTAGCGAATCTGGTGGTTGACGTGCCTGGATGTCCTCCATTCACGCAGGTCCATAACCCAGATGCCGTTATGTACTATGTAGTTATGTACCGCTCGAGCGCTCTGAGAAGAGTCGATTCGATGTTTGTCCATGAAGATTTTGAAGAGAAAACGGTGTTTGTCGTATTTCCTCCATCTGCCCAGTGCAGAGCGTGGATCAGGCGCCGAACTCCAGCAGAAGGGCTCCATTTTGAGCATGTACAGACTACGTCGGCCGGCGAAGACCCAACCTCGGAGCGGATGAATGACGATTGCGCTAGGATCCAGACTTGGTACTGTTCGACTGTGCCCCCGTTCGGTCATGAAAGAAGTTCAAAGAACTGTTCGATTTCTCGCAGAAGTGCCTGATTCGTGGCTATTCTTAGAGGGCGGCTAGGAGGTTAGGAACTGACGAACTGGGCGATCGTGCGACATCATCAGGGGTAGAATCGAACCTCGGGCCATGCTTTCCGTTAGTAATGGCTTTACACTTACAGACGGTCGCCTCTAGTTGGAGCGGTGCTGATTGCACAAGGTCATCAAGTTTTGCAAAAAAAAAAAAAGAAGAAGAAGAAAAAGAGCGCTATCACCGTCCGTATCAGTTCTCCTCTTACTACTGATGACACCTCGCTCGCTATTGTTCGGTCAGTAAGGTTGATGAAGACGGAGAAAATCTCAAAGTTAGATTCCTAAGTATTCTTACGGCTATTTCTCCGCGTATAAGCGTGCCTGGCTGTACGGGGAAAAGCTTAATAGTCAGCACCGCCAACCATCAGATCGAACATTTCTTGAGAAATTTGTGGGGTATACAAGGGAACTACTGACTTTTCCGAGACGCCTCTGAGCAGCGGCAGAAGCCCGATATTGGGATCATTTCCTGTACAGCGAAATCCGTGGCACCGTTGCGCCTAGCGCAGAGCTTCGTACTTGTATGCCGAGTCTACGATCGTCCAAGTACAGTGCAGTTAGAGGTAGTTTGCCCGAGCAGAGAGTGCCCGGTTTGCAGATCCTTGAGACTTCAGAGGTTTCACAGCATTGAAGGTTGTGGCAGCTCAAGATGATCTGGACCCCATTCAGCCACTACAGGATTCACCTACTGGCGGCCTGTATCTACGGTGTCGACTTGAGGTAACTTTCTGTGTAGTAACTCGAAGTGACGGAACCGACCCCTGACTCCAGGCTTTTGTCTGGGACTTGGGTTGATCCATGGTTCGGTTCGACCTTTGTACAACCATACGATGTATGTAGCGATGTATAGTAACTAACACCAGTCCGAATAAAATTCGTAACTGTCGAGATTTTCGACATGCTGGGTGAGATTGGTGAAGAGCAGTCGATCGCCACTGGGCGCTACAGCAGCACATAAAGACAGTACTGGACAAGTAGACAATAGGTATAGGTATGCCGGGTAATCACAATATGCAGAAGCCAAAACATGTAAATTATGGTCATCTGTGAGCCTGCAAATCGAGGACGTGCAGAAGAAAAAGCCGTTGCGGCATTCACCATTCGCCACCTTCCATTTTTCGAGTCCTCTTCAACAGAGACAAAAGATAGCGCTCGAGTTCGTCAGGGTTTTTTTCTGCAAATACCGGTCCCTGATTCCAGGGACCGGTACTCATCATGTCTGAGCGAGGATGCATATAGTTCGAGAGCGTCAGACCTACTCGGGTCCAGAGTCTTTACCCTTACTTTCACGCTCCTCTGAACCCTGGTCTGCGATGAGTTTCAGGGCGAGACGCTGGCGCCAAATTGGCTTTTCGACCCTGCAGGAGCGGAGCCCGCCGAAAGTTCATGATTTGGATCGGTCGCATCCCTCAGGAACACCCAGAGCCACAGCAATCTACGGCAAACACATCAGACAGGGTGATGCATGACCTGTTCTGTCTATCATCTCTGGGGCCTCTGACTCATCATCAATGTAATGTAGGCTTGGTGCCCTATGACCAGTTCGTCTCGGCATGGACATCTTATCCCCAAACAGTTGGGTGAGAAGATTAGTCATGGGCATGGGACGGGTGTTTCAGTAGTCAAGAGAGCGCGTTGACCTGAGCATTGACCCCGGCCGACTCGACTTAGTCAGCATCTTAAGCCGGATGGATGGATCCATGATCGGACCTGCACCCTGGTGTGACTGGAGGCACAGCCGAGTCCTACTCCAACATTTGGTCAATTTTACATCCTGCAAGAGAGGAGGACGAGCGACCGTAAGAGTGCAGACTGCAGAATACCCAGCAATCACGCAATGGGACAATGAGTTTCATCCTGACTTTTGGTCAGGATCATGGCAAACCAGCATCGGAATACCGATCACTTTGATCATTCCGTGGATCGAGTGCCTGCGCTGCTTTGCGTTGCATACGAGATCCAGAAATTGATCTGATCTGGCGCCAGCTTGCCGGCTCGTGAGTCGTCACATTTCCAGCCTAGAGCCAGGGCCCCGATGGACCGTAGCGGGTGTGTGCACAAGCACGAGAGGGAAACAACGTTTTTCCCCTTTTCACTCGAGCCACGACCAAGGGACGTGCAGCATGCTCTTCAGGGCCCCCTGGGGATCTTCTTCCGGCGAGTAATTGATGACGGACCACTATTTTTATGCTGTCTCCGATCGTGCCTATTGGTGCTTTGCACCCGGGATCAGAGGCCCAATGGGACGAATCCGCATCGTCCATCAGCCATACGGTCGCCTTCTGTAGTCGCCGAGGCATGTTGCAGCGTCACGGATCGCACTGCTGACCGACCTCATGCCGCCAGCCCTTCCATGTTCCCTCCAGAGTCTGGCTCTATTCGATAGATTGCTGCAGATGAGCGGTCGTGAGAAGCGGACGCTAGACCCGATCGACGCTTATCCGGCCAGATCCTGACGTTCCTGGGTGTGCCTGACAGCCAAGCTCTAGCTCGGTTCGCATTCAAGCCACTTCCCCGACGCCTGTCTGGCGGACGGTGTCAACATGTGGGGACCGGAGAGAACCCACCGAGCGTTTCATCAGGATGCTTCATGGCCGGCTAATTGGTGGATTCCAAACGCCCTTTGTGACGGGATGTCTTACTGCTTGTCCATGTCAAAAGAGGAAAAAAAAAAACACAACAACATGGTGCATGTCTCCATCGATCCATCATCTGTCCACTAGACCCTGCAGGTGCCTACCAGACTGGCCAAACAGGGTGGCCAGCCAGGGCTTTCTTCTTTGTTGTGATGCATGGTGGAGATCCCGGCCAAAGCTGGTGTCGCACCTCTAGCGGAACAGGGACGACCACGATGGAGCAGCATCAGAAACACCGACTCTGTGACGACTGGACCATCGGAGGCATTAAAAGGGCAGTAACCACCCACCCACGACTCGTTTCGACTTCAGACTCGTTCTCTTTCATCCAGTCGACCTTTCATTCGTCTTGTCTTTTTGTTCTTTCTTTATTTCTTCGCATTGCCGTCGCCTGGCCCTTGCGGCCCTCCTTCATCGTGATTCAGATCTCCACACTCGCTCAAGATATCGAGATCCCGCATCCTCTTTACCCTCGTTGTATACGGACGATCAGTCTTGATCTACATCACCCGTCCATCGTTCATTGAAATTGTTGCTGGTCTTCAATTTGCTCTTATTGAAACAAAAGACTCGCCGCACAAGCTTATAGTCTTGCTCTCGTCCGGCCTTTTTGCCTCACACCTATCTTTTCATCTCTGTTTCGGTCTTGGGTAGTCCCTCTTCATCATGAAGGCTACCACTTCTATCGCCTTCTTGTCCCTTCTGGCTTCGGCTCAGGCTACCTTCGGTGTGAGTGATCCAGGACGCGAGATTCTCACCCCGATGTGACTTATGTGATATCAAATTCTGACCGGGACTCCCACTGAATAGTATTGGGGCTCTGAAGATTGCTTCACCAACCCTGGCCGTGCTCCGAACAAGTGTAACGAGCACCAGCACAAGGGCTTCGACTGGTCGGGCCTCGCAGATGGCAGCTTTTCATCTTACGGTGGCTTTGACTTTTCTGGCTTCAGCTGCAGCAACAGCTTCGGAGGTGGCCGCCACGCCAAGCGCGGAGTACGTTCAAACAACATTTCGTCCCTCCCTCATAAGTGCCTCTGATACTAACGCTGGTGACCTTTAGGAAAAATGCATCACTGGTACCGCAGGCAAGCGTGGAAGCTCCTCTTCTTCAGCCAGCGGCGGCGCTGGATTTGGAGGCTCAATCGGCGGCTCCTCGGGTGGCAGCGCCGGTTCCAGTGCTGGTCACTCTGCGCCGTCATTCTCCTGCGGCTCACACGATAGTGGCTTCTCTATCAACCACTTCCACATCTCGACCGACAAGGACACCGACTTGCACATCATCTATGGCATGCCCGATGGCTCTTCTTGCCGCAACACCGCCTCGTGCACCTCTGCGGGTACCGATGTGAAGAACGACCAGTGCGGTGGTGCCACTTCCGTCTCGTTCGAACTCCCAGACCACAGTGACCATGACAGTTGTGACTTTGGGATCTGGAGTGTCGGTTTCGACTGCACTCCTGGTTCAACCATTCCCTTGCCCACTCCCACTCTGCCCCCTGCCACCTCGTCTGGTCCAGCTCAGACCGGTGGCGTCTCAACTACCCCTGCCTCAGTGCCTACTGACGCGAGCCCTGTGGGCTCGACTTCTCCTGTCGTTCCCTCTGGCTCGGTGCCCGTCGTCACTCCTACCGGTGCCACCACCGGTGCTCCCAGCGTGACCACTCCTGCCAAGTGGACTACCTCCACGGTGTACACGACCAGCATGATCACCATCACCAGCTGTGCCCCGACCGTCACCAACTGCCCTGCTCACTCGACCACCGTGATCACCTCTACAATTGCTGTATCTACCACTGTTTGCCCTGTGACCGAGACCGAGACTTCCCCGGCTGCCTCCACACCCGCTCAGACTGCTCCTGGCGGTCTTACCCCTGGCCAGACCGGTCCTAGTGGCAGCTCGCCCGTCACTGCGTCACAGCCTGCTGAGACTTCCCCTGCTGCCGGCGAATCTACCCCTGCCGGTTCTACTCCTGCCGAGACTGTCCCAGCTGGCTCAACCGAGACTGCTCCCGGTGGTCTTACTCCTGGCCACACCAGTCCCGCTGGCCCCAGTGGTAGCTCTCCCGTCACCGCATCTACCTCTGCCGGAACTTCTCCTGCTGGCTCTACCCCGGCTGAGACTGTCCCTGCTGGCTCCACTGAGACCGCTCCCGGTGGCCTCACCCCTGGTCACAACACGAGCCCCGCTGGTCCCAGTGGTAGCTCACCGGTGACGGCGTCCACTCCCGGCGCCAGCACGACCCCAGGCTCGCCTGCTGGGTCGATGACTACCGGCTCAGCTTCCGTTCCTGGAGACTCCACCGTCACCGTTATCACTTACGTGACAACCTCTGAATGTCCCGTCACCAGCACCGTCAGCTCAGGATCCTCCAGCACCGTGATCACCACCCACACCATCTCTACCGTGACTTTGACTTCCACTTCCACCGTCTGCACCAAGTGCACCGCCAGCTTCACCAGTCTCCCCAGCGGTAGCCAGTCTACTCCAGCTGGCCCCGGTGGCCCGTCTCAATCTGTGCCCAGCGGATCCAGCCCAACCGAGTCTGTTCCTGTTGCCGGTCACTCAAGCCCTGCGCCTTCAGAGACCGTCCCTGCCACCGGTGTACCCACGGGATCTAGCCCAACTCAGTCCGTTCCTGCAGGTGGCCAGTCGAGCCCTGCGCCTTCAGACACCGTCATCTCCACCGCTGGTCCTACCGGTGTGAGTGCTGGTTCAACTTCGCTCACCCCCGAGGATCTGACTACCTATGTGACGACTTATGAGACGGTCACCAAGTGCCCCGTGACCAACACCGTCACTTCTGGCGGATCGACGGTTGTTGCCACCACCATCTCCGAGTCTACCATCACCCTGACCTCGACTCGCACCGTCTGCACCAAGTGCACCGCGACTGCCACTGGAGTTGTTCCCGTTGGCTCTGGCTCTGGCTCCACTACTGTTCCCACCGGCGCTGATGCTACTGGTGTCGTCCCTGTTGCCTCTGGTTCCCACACTGTGCCCGTCGGTCCCGGTGCGGCAAGCACTCCCGGGGGTTCCAGCCCGGCGCCTAGCTCGTCCTGCCCCAAGGTGGTGCCGCAGTGTATCAACACCTGGCTCAATGTTGTCCCCAAGTGTACCTCCAACAGTGATGCTCAGTGCTTCTGTCCCGACAAGCAGTTCACCGACAAAGTCATTTCTTGTGTGCAGGCTTGGGGTGCCTCGACCCAGGAGATCCAGCAGGCTTTGTCTTACTTCACTGGTATCTGTGCTGCTTGGGTGCCCACTAACCCTGGTATCGTGACTGCCATTCCTTCGACCATTACCCTGGTGCCCACTGTTCCCGCTCCTAGCGGTGCCAGCGGTGCCACTGCCAGCGTGGGTGTTACCGTTGGTGCCAGTGCTGGAATTACCGCTCCCGCCGTTAGCGCCCAGCCAACAGCTCCTTGCACCACCATCACTTACTCGACCTACACTGTCACTGTGCCCCAGGTCAGCTTCGTGACTTCCACTGCCACTGGCTCTGCTGGTTCTTCTCCGACCGTCGGCCTTGTTCCCGCTGGACCTAGCGGTGCCTCAGCTGCCACTGGGCGCGTTCCCGTGCCAGTCCCAGCTGCTGCTTCCTCCACCATGGTTACCACTGCTGCTAGCAGCTCAAAGCCATATGCGACCGCCCAGCCTACCGCAAGCGCCATGCCCACATTCAACTCGGCCTCGACCGTCTCGGTTGCTTCGGGTCTCATTTTCGGCTCTCTGGCCGCTTTCTTCGGCTTGATGCTCTAAGCATCGCAAGCTGATGTTCTCTGGAAGATGTCAGTTTCTAACATCTCCACATGTTTATCTGACACTTCCCTTGTCAATTCTAAGCCGTCATGTCTTTGAACGGATAAATGTGCGATTACGTCCGTGATTCTTTTTTATTGTTATTGTTTTTCCACTGGACTGTTTAATGCAATTTCCTCCGAGAAAAAGGGAGTTCCCCTGTCACTGCAAATACCTGTTGAAGACTGCTCATCTCAAGTCGGGATGACTTTAATCTGTCCAGTGTCTTGAAACATTCACCCGCGGCGGAAGTTGATTCTGTATTTAATATTCACTCCTTAAACACATACCATAGACTTGTGAACGTGTTCTGCAGAAAGGGTTCCTTGAAGTCTTTTCACGCCTTCCAAAGACACTAGTCGGATCCATAGAATTGGCTTTCCGTGTCGAATCGAATCCAGCTGCACTTCTACTAGTAGGTCCCCCGCCACCTGCACACAGCCTGCTGCATCGATGGCTTCAAGATGGGAGGAAGAAGATGCGATGTGAGAGTTGGACATTCTTTGTTGCATTCTTGACCCGGACCGCCCAATTGGAACCGGTGACGAACCTCTTGACGAAGTCCTTATGTGGCAGAGTAAGTGTGCGTTCACGAAGCGCCCAAGATGGTAAATGTAGAATGTCGCCATTTATGTGATAGAAAGGAACACGAAGCGGTAAATCCAAGTTCTTGAGCTTGTACAATATTGCGTCCATCGTACCTTTCATGTTTCGGCATTCTGATACGTTGGGACATTCAAATTCCGTTAGTTGGGAATCTAGAAGGTCTTTCTAGGCTCAGTATGCCCATGGAGAAAAATTATATCTTATTACGTCACTTTGGAATGGGCTTCTTTCCGTATCGAATTGAAGCACTTCCAACGGTGATCTTACTGGAAGAGTACAGCGACCAGAGCTCCCTCTCTAAGAGACTAGATGCGGTATCATGTACGACGAGAACGAGAAGGGCATCCCCGACCACCCCCGACCCCCGATTCAATTCGAACCGGACATTTACAGAAGAGGACCTACTTCCCAGGCAGGTCATCTGGCCCCCTATTCCGTCTGGAACTAAGACCAAGGTCCTTCAGGGTTCTTGAGTAAGGTAAATACCTACGTACTCGCCAGCCATTCTACTGAAATGCGCCCATTTGTGATGGAACCGGGTCTTGGTTGAGATTGTATGCATTGCTACCGTACCTGGTTGTGTAGTGTATAAGGTAGGGTAGTGTAGTAGGTTAGTGTGTACTTGTATAGTGTGTACTTCCATTGCATGATCATGATCTACATATGGTGGGATCACGTCTCAATTATTGCAATAGACTCCTTGCGCGGTCATGTCAAGCTGTGCGGCCAGACATTGTCCATCAACACTCAACAGCTATCTTTGCCAACGATAAAGAGAAGACAAGAGGGACTCGAAAGATATCCATTCATCAGTCAAGTCTCAATATATCGCCCGCTTATCTCGGCTATCAGTCCGAGCTCAAACCTTAAACGAAAACAAAAAATGGAAAAAAAAAAAATTGAACAAGTTCCCGCCCCAAAACGAATCTACTGACTGCTGTCAAGAGGCAAATCCGATCATGTACATATCGTGCCATAACTTTGGACTTGCTACCAAGTTAGTGGTACTCGGGACTTTACATGCCTGTGAAGTTGTGAACAGATGGTTTTTTTTGGGGGGGGGGGGGGGGGCATTTATTTAGGGTCTGGATGCTCCCCGAAGGAGACTAGCGGCCGAATGAACCCGCCATGGCGGCTGCAGATTGCGCCGCAGGACTGATAAGCCCGTGAGCAACGATTGGCTTGGCGAACGGTAAATGGAAAACAATCACATTCATCCATGTCTTTGGTACTGGTCCTGGTGCAAGGCGCGCCGTTTTGGTCCCGAATGTGCGCTCGACGTTTGGTCCAAGAAGGGGATATCGATTGGTAGCGCTCTCTTGCGTCTGGATCCGGTCTGATCACGATTGTTATCTTGTCATTTTCCACGCGAGCTGTCACATTTCCGTTTTCGGATGCGTGCCGGCGAGGGTTGATGGTGGATGGGATCTCATTCGTAGGACTAGTGCTGGATTTGGAGGGGATTGCGTGTTGAGAGTCTGGAGAAGGAGGGGGGTATGGACGCAACAACTAGTGATCTCGCGGCGTGGTGAGATGCTGTATGGGTTGGGCTAGTATGGTGAGGGGGAACATGGATGTACATACGGTAGATGTGTGACGGTGTTCTATCTGCCTGTGTAAGATAGAGGTAGTTACGGCATGTTTCTCGTATGAGTACCCCGGTGCTCATGCGAGCCACTAAAACGGCAGATATCATTATGCTACGAAGCACCTTTTCTTCCGAATCTGTCCCGGGGCCCAGATAGATGACATCCATATTCAGCAAGTATCTGGCAATCGACTCATCTAATTATTTGATGGGAAGCAAGTCCCTAACTATGAGATGCAGATCAACAGATCAACAGCAGCATCTATGCAGAACCTCAAGACTCATAAATCACTCCCCATAGCCGTCGACCCTTCGATCTCAGCGACATGATGGTTCTTTCCACTCTGCAGAACTATTGAGCCTGGCAGCCCCATCAGACGGATAAACGCACTCCCCTTGCGGAAGATGAGCAATAATCAGTTCTTGTCCAGATAAGCCTTTCATCCACAGCCAGTCAGACTATCGACCGTCTGGGGGCTCCGTGCTCCAGGCTCCGTGCTTCCATAGCTCAAGGTTCGGACAGGGTAAGAGGTCTCTCACTTGATGCAAGCACAGGTACTCATTCGATCTGTATGGACAGTATGGACGGGGTCAAAGGTACCCCGGGTAAACTTCGCCCGAAACCCAAAATGAAGGTGGACTTTTTTTTTTCTCACTGGGGCCGTTGTTAAATCCCTGAGAGGTGCTTTCCTCCAGAACAGGAACGCCTCATTTTTCATGGAGGGCCGAGGGCATGGATAAATGAGGTGGAGGCGAGGGGAAGAAGATGTCATGTGAAGCCAATTCTCTCCATATCTTCATATCTCCGGGCTCCCGCGTCAGTCTTTGCTGTCATCTTTCCGATTTCCTCTTTCCTGCATGATTCCAAAGTATGACCCTCGGAGAACATTAGTGCAGTGCATATCAAAAGCCACCCAGATCTCTTCTTCTCCAGCACCCCGCGGCGCTGGAATGATAGTACCTAGGTAATCGTGCCCCCCCCCGCCCTTTTTTATTTGCATTTGCATTTGCCCCATGAAGAAGAAGAATGTCTTGGCTAGCATGGTCTCCCCGGAGAATCACGACTACACGTCAGTCTGGTGGCCCGAGGATCGCATCAAAGCCTCCCTCGACACGAAATATGTGCTCAGTCGTCTCCAGCCGGACAACGTCCCGCGCTTATTCGATCTGCCGCGGTGGGGGGAGGGTTTGACCAGTGAAACCTATATGGAATGGATCCTTCTCAAAGCGGGCCGTCTGTTCCTCATCCTCGATGCGATTGGTATCCCGGATCGCATCTTCGCTCTTGTCGATGAGTCCTGCGACGATGACGATCTCCCCATCGCAGAACAGAATGTTCATCGCCTGGGTCTCTCGGCGACGGGCCATGACGCCGCTCTCGAGACGAGTTTCTTCCACACTCAGTGGCGGTATCTCGTGCGTGGCATCGGACAAGGCGAGCATGTCGTCTTCACTCAGAATGAAGGTGTGCCCGTGGAAGTGACGCCTAGGGGCCCCAACGCCAGCATCCAAGGCCGCGAAGACACGGTCGATAAGGTGGTTCTCGCCGGGGCCGTATGTCGCGTGTACATGCGCACGCAGGTTCAAGTGGGCGGCGCACCGCACTTCTTCTCCGGCGCTGAAGTGTTGCAGGAGGTTCGGCAACTACGTCAGTTGGCGCATCCTCATCTTCTCTCGATCCATGCCTCTTACTTTGTAGACGATACGGTCTGCGTCTTATTCACCGGGGCAGAGGCCGAGCGCACCCTGCACAGTTTCATCACCGATGAGCCGGCGAGTTTTTCAAAACACCAATCCAAGGAGTTCCGTCGACAAACGTTGATCACTTGGCCCCATTGTCTTGCCTCCGCACTCGCGTGGCTTCATGCTCAAGGTCATGCGCATACGGCCCTTCGACCGTCCAATGTACTCGTGGACTCGAACTTCAATATCTGTCTAGGTCAGTTCCAGGCGCTGGATTCGCTGCTCACGCCGCCCCGAGTCAACGATCTGGAAGCATACCAGTACTCTGCGCCGGAACGTTGGGCCCGTACAGTGGCAGCATCCGCAGCAGCAATGCCCGCAATTCAACCCAGCACTCCAAGCAATACCCTCCTACCATCAGGAGGCCGCACGGGACGCAGGGTCAAGCCCTCCCAATCGGTACTCTCAACGCTCAATGAGTCTTGCTCATCGTCACCCGACAGTGCTCGCCCCGGTTCAGCGGCCTCCAAGGGGACCGTCATTCGCATCGGAATGCCCGGTTCATCTTCAAGATTCTCTGTCGGCTTCTCGTCATCATCATCATCGTCATCATCATCATCATCATCCTCCTCCTCGTCCTCGTCCTCGTCCTCGATGTGTGCAGCATCTTCGACAGGTCCCAACGCGGACACTTCCCGGTCTGTGACCCAAAAACCGTCGTCCCGGAGTGCACTCTGGAGCAGATCCAAGACCCTTCTATCTCCAGCCTCCATCTCATCATCCAACTCCTCCACATCCACAAGCTCATCAACCGCGTCCGTGCTCTCCCTCTCTTCCGCTCTCCCTCTTCCGTCTTCCCCTTCAACAAGACCAGGATCTTCACCCACAACCACGTCATCCACCATCTCTCCACCATGGCCATCTCCCCAGCCCACCAAGTCCTCAACTCCACCCCCAACGCAGAAAGACCTCCAATCCCACCCTCAATTCCAATCCGACATCTTCTCCCTCGCCGCAATCACCCTCGACATCCTCACCCATCTCTGCAAGCGCAGCCTCTCATCATTCACATCCCATCGCTCTGCCCGGAACCGCTCCGCCGGCCGCGGCGGCGGCATGGCAGACGCATCCTTCCACCTACCCCGCAACGCAGTCCAGGTTCAGAGCTGGATCGCTCTCCTCGAGGGCGACGCACTCAAACGGTGTCGACGCGATCGCACAAGCGATCAAGCATATCATGCCGTGCCACGCATGCTGATCGTGGTACGGGCCATGCTAGCTGCAGAACCCGAGAAGAGACCTTCTGCACGAAAGGTCAAGAGGAGTTTTGCTTCGGTGATCCGAGAAGCATCAGCTCACAAGGGGACGAACGGTCTTACGTTGCACTGTATCGAGACAGGCAAAGAGAACGATGGAGATAAGAAGCAGAAAGTCAACAGAAAGAAGAAGAAGAAGACGGAAGAACCCATAGATACGGATGCACAGAACAACCCACCAAGGAGAAGATTCGACGAAGAAGACACCGAGCCATCATCTGGATACCCTTCCCAATATGACGACACCTGCGAACCCGATATCACACGAGCTCCGATAGAGACGCACAGGAACGACAAGTCGATCCCAGACTCCTCGTCTGTCTCAACGGGCTTCGATTTCGGTCTCTCGGGGGAAAGCAGCGACAGCGAGACGAGCCAGAGTCCCACGTCCAGAAAGTATCCAGAAGATGAAGACGAAGATGAGCAAGTCGACCCGTCTTTGTTGGACCTTGATTGGTTTGGCTCACGTTGATGGCATCTGATTGAACAACTTTTGCTTGTTCTGCTCGGCGAGTGGCGTGTGACTGATGAGTCTGGAGTCTCGATAGTGGGTGGGAACGCTGAGGTATTCTTTGTGATGTCCTCGTTGCGCTGGTGGTCAAGCTCAGTTGTTTCCGAACTAATGTCTCTGCCTTTTTTTTTGGTTTTCTTTTTTTTTTTTTTTTTTCGTGCGGCAATCTGACTGGATGCGCGCGGAGATGGTGTTCATGATGTGATGATAGCCAGTCGCCGGTTTTTGCCTACGGCCGATGTGCCACGACAGACATGACATACTTTTAATATATTGAATTATTGTACTTTGCCGCCTCTTGCAATGCAAACCGTATCCAATTAACCAAGAAATTTCCAGAACAGATTTAATGAGCCGTAATCAGAAGTCTGGACTAAGCTTAGGTCTCGGGTTTGAAGAAAGTGACAGGAAACAAGCAATCTCTGTCCAGGAAACAACATCAGAAGACAGTATTCCTGCTGCCTTTTTTTTCCCCCTTTGTACAGGGTCTTCTTCTCTTCTTAATGGCTATGCACAATGGATGGTAATACAAGATGATGAAGAAAAGATGCATGTGGTGCCTACACACATCACAATCCACAGCCGCGGCGTGGTCTCACCTTACAGCCACAACGCGACGGCTCCAATACCCGCAGACAGCAGCACGGAGACAGTCAGCAGATGACTGGGGACCGACGACGCATGGTGTCCAGCCGGGCTGGCGGCGCTAGATGCCTGGCTGGAGCTGGCACTGGTGCTGGTGCTGGTACCTGCCGAGGTGCCCGACTGGGTGGCCGAGGTGATGGCACTACCCTCGGCCCCCTTCTTGAAGCTCTGGCCCAGGGAGGGAAGTGGTGCGCTAGGGTCGACCGCCCAGCCGCCAGAGGTGGAAGAAGGACAGGCCACGGGGGTGATAGCTCCGGTCCGCTTTTTGTAATCGGAGAGGGCCACTCCCGTGGGGTTCAGTGTGGCCCATTGAGCCTTAAGGTTGTCAAAGTCGGGCATGACGGGAGTTGGCGTACCCTGACGAGTGTAGCCGTCTTCGATGTTGGGGTCCGTAGCCGTCGCGGGGTCGACTGAAGGACCGTAGCTGATCAGACCATAATCGTTCGTCTCCTCGATCCACTCGTAGATCATGGAGCCTGACCAGGTGTCGACCATGTTCGCGCCAAAGATGGCCGCCTGGTCGTCAAAGGTTCGCGGCTTGGGGGTGTTGCAGCCCGTCTCTGAGAAGAAGATGGGGATGTTGTAGTTGGCCGCGGCCGCCTGGAGCGCGCTATAGCCCGAGGTCTGGTAGGTGTTCTGGCCGCACCACTCGTAGGCATTCAGCGAGAAGAAATCCAGACGTTCGGAGGCGTTGTGGGAGCAAGCCAGGTAATTCTGGAGCATAGGTCGAAGTTCGGCAATATCGGCAGCAGAGTATCCCACGGGAATCTGACGGTATCCCTTCTTGTCACGATATGCCTTGATGTCGCGGGTCGCCGCCAGGACGTAGGGAGCCGCGTGAGAGCCATTGGATGTAGTGAGGACCTCGTTTCCGACGAAGACACCGGCTGTGTTGTCATATTGCTGGAATTCGTCGAGAACCTTGGTGAACGCATCGTATTGCGAATGGCTCCACTGGGGAGCGTCCTGATGAAAGAGAAGGTGTTAAGGGAGAATTCCTTGAATATGAGACTGTCGACTGACCGTCCAGGGCTGACCCGGGACGGTTCCATTCGGGTTATGAGGGAACGCTTACCTGGTTGATTTGCGTATCAAAGGTATCCAGGTCGACGAACAGGTAGATACCGGCAGCAGCAAAGGCGTCCATGCAGCCCTTGTGATCGGCGCTGGGGTCCACATGGTACACTCGGATAGCATTGGTACCCAATTCGGACATGCGCACGATGTCACGCTTGCATTGGGCTGTATCGATGAGGGGATCGTGGGGTTTCAGTTGATACGCGATACCTGCCAGCGTCGATGTCAGTCACGCATATTCCTCGGTTGGGGGAGATCGAGCCGTGGCCCAATTGGGTTATCTTCAAGCGGGCAAGATGGGGATGATACCCTTGATGAAATACTGAGTGCCATTCTCGTAGAAGAATTTGGAGCCGACCGCGGAGATGGTAGGGACGGCGTTGACGGTCGCAGCTTGCAGGCCAGCCAGCAACAATGGAACCGCAGAAAGCGTGAAGGAGGACAACATGTCTAATTATACAAACAAAAAGCAAGGATGGGTATCTCGACGAGGGAAGAAAAGATGCGACGGTACTACAGAGGAAGAGAAGACAAAGGGGAAACAAACGAGAAATGACTGTTCCTTGGTAGCTCACCACCCAGGTTCAGTCTGGTCAAGTCTGGATAAACAAGAATCGTGCGCACTACGGGGAGGAGCGACCCCGAGGAGCCCAGTGGACTCGTGGGTACCAGGACAAAGCATCAGTGGTCAGTGTTCGCGATGTCTCGGGCGCAAATCACAGAGCTGCTCCAATCGCGCTACTTTCTCAGACCCGTTGAAGAAGTTGGAAGTTGGCAGTCAACCCAGCCGCCAAGTTGATTGAGACGAGATTGCTTCAGATACTGGCACCGCGAGAGACCTTGGTCTCCAGGCCCCACGGCCAAGCCAATGGCCTGCCAGGGTCTACTGAGCGTGCCAATGACCTGTTGATGCCCGCGGGGACCGAACGCTGGAACGTGCCAGGGGTAAGGGTCCGTGAGAGAAGAAACGAGCGTAGAATGGCGAGGAGCCGGAGCGACTCAAGTGACAAGAGAAGTGAAGATGTGCGATTGTAGTGTTGCGATGAAGCGTGGATAAATGAGCAGGGTGGATGGAGTAGTGGGGTGTTACTGTGTTGAGACTTGACATGGCAACAAGACGAGGAGGTCATGTGGCAAAATCACTGATCTGCGCATATCGTTATCGGGTCCTTTGATGAAACAGCACGAGCCCAGAGGCTGTGGTGGAGCCATACGGTACAGAGTGCAGACGGCAGACTGCAGAGTACCTTGAGTTCATGTGAACAGCCTTCTCGATCAGTCACGAGTCACGACTCACCAAGTCCCGCGATGACGGGCAGAACGCAAAACTTCCGTCTCATCCCCAAGCTTGTCCTTGCATGTGCTGGTGGTGGGCTGTCCCGGCGGGTGGCTTCGCCAGGCTTCACCGGTGGCTCGGGACCGGGCGTCGAGTCTGGGAACTCTTTGATAGTCACTGACTACAGGTCCAGTGAGTGAAGACTTTCTAATTTGTATCTTACCACGGATCATCGTAGCGAGAAGCAAGGGGAATGGTCATGTTTCCACATCTACATCTACCCAGAAATATCTCGGGAGAGATCTTTCCCGTCGAGCGTAGATAGCCCCAACAACCACCTCTGGGATATACGGGAGGGCTTGGCCTGGGCTTGATCCCTGCTTGACCCTGACACCGTTCCAAATAGACACGAGTCTCGGGTCGTTCCTGAAAGATTCTCAATGAACCACCTTATGGAAACAGGCGAAGCTTCCATCATCCGACTGGAGCATACCTGCGTTTCCCCCCCTCTTAACCTTAAATCACCGCGGCAGAGCACATGATGTGGACTCCTTCATTTTCAGGCGTGGTGCCTACGTTGAACACGTGATGTTGAATGCCATCTCCAGCTGACGCATCCCTCTCATTCCACCCCCCCTCGACATACTTGGACAGGATGCTCGTCAAATTCGCGCAGTCTTCTTGGATGATAGACGTATCCAGGTATCCGAGGAGAGACAAAAGCCGCAAAGCAACAATGCAGGGTGAAGAACAGTTTCCAAGAGCAAAATTCCGATCATCGGTGGAAATCCTGCGCGATTCAAAGGTTTCTGCGGGCACGTACGGTGAGCGGCCCGATAGCTCCAAATCCCACCGGTGAGGGAGGGGTTCACCGAACTGGGAGAATTCGAGACAATCGATGGAGCGACTATTATCATCGGCGAAGATGGAAACCAACCGGAGAAGAAGCCAAGATAGCGCGAGGTGAGGAAACGTTGTCTGACTTTGACCCAGATGAGATGGGGTTTACTGTTTACTCAACCCTTCCAGGACGGTACTCCAAGGAAGGACAGGTGGACGGTCACACCGGACCAACGACTACTACTGTGTTCATGTGCTGGCGTCTCCGACCGTTTCCCTTCTCTGGAGCATCTAGAACCCGTGGACGGTGGAGTAGGTACGGTCGGATCCCGCTCGTCGAAGCGAGTGAGATAGACTATCTTGCAGGTTGGGCGCCACCCTCCACATGGATGCGCGTGGGAACAACTGCCCAAATGCATGTTCGTGGAATCCTTGCGGGGACGCAAATGGCTCCTGGACCAGCGGAGAGAAGCGAAATACTGCCACTCGTTAACGATGTACATCTACTTAGTCTGCTATGAGGGCAGGTTTGGGTCTCTTGGGCTGCGACTGCAACCGCACCCGCCCCGAGCGTATATGTACAGCGGCGGTCGGGAGGGGGGGAATCTTGGACGCATCTCGGACCTGCTCAGCTGCAGGGCTCTGGATCCCATGACCGGGTCCCTGTACCCCGGTTCACGGGGCTTGGTCTTGACGAGGGCTCGGCGTCGGCCAGAAGAAGGGTCTAGAGCACGCTATCTTCGGCCACCGCCTGGACAGCGTGTCAAGGGCATGTCTTGTCTTCAAATCTTCTGTCTGGACTCACTAGGGAGTAGCGTGTGAGGTGACTAGGTATTGGTAAGAGTACCAGCTAAGGATATACTAGGTATTGGTAAGAGTACCAGCTAAGGATATCTCCCAGGCTCTCACTCTACATATGATACTGTGGCAGTGCCGAAGTGGTTCGCCAATCCCGACATTTTGGCATATGTACAGTCTGCACTCGGCAATGTCAGGAGTTTAATGTCAGGAGTTTAAAGGGGGGGGGGGGGGGGGGGGGTTTCTTTCATGCCCTAGTCACGTGATACACTAGACCGGATTAGACTCGAACAGCTTCCGTCGGATGGAAAGCGCCGCTCTGGTTCGAGGGGTGATGTACTGGCATTCTGCAATTGCCGTACTTGATCAGTTGATAGGGCTAGTAGTATGATTGACCAATTTGACATGATACAGATCACAGAACGTGTTGGTTTCGTGACAGTGGAAAGTCGGTCCCACGTGATTAGGGCTCAGTGGCACGGGGACTGTGGGCGGCTCTGTCTCCGCAAACCGACTTTCTCGGGAGGGAGTCAGAGTCAGGAGTCAGCCTGTGAATCTCAGTATGTAGTAGTATCATAGTAGGACTATAGACGATCGTCGATCGACGATAGATTGGGACTCTGGTCCCATGTATTGCACACCATGTGTGCACCTCCTCGTTGCTCGGCCATATCTTATCCATCTCCTCTCTTCTCCGTCTCTCTTTCACGATTTCCTTCCTCAAGTACTGAGTCTTCAGTCTAGTGTCTTCAGTTTAGTGTCCATCACGACCACCGTCACCATCAAATCATCGGGGCTGGCCACCGACCCATGTCCCAACTCATCTCCACTCACACGGAAAAGATCCAAGCGGTGGACGACCATATCGACCCAATCATGCCCGTCGCCGCCCGTCCAACCCGCGGTCCTCCCACTTTCCAAGGAACCGCCGCCCATCTGGTCGAGTCCAGACCCGTCCAAAATACATGAAAATCACACGATGGTCGAAATCCCTCTTCTTCCCCCCTCCCAGATGGAGTCGACTCCACCCGTCTGCGTCCATTCCGGTCCCCCCTTCCGGCCTGCCTCCGCCCTATCAGGTATCAGGCCCCGTGCCTACCAATGAGACTCGTCCGCAGCCCAGATCCTTTCAGATCAACTTCGACCGGCCTGAACGGGACTCTGGCACCCAGACCCAAGTTGGACCCCCAAATTACAGATTACGCCTCGATCGGCATCCCCCCCCCCGAGCTCGTGTCGTGTCGGTCCAGCTCGTGCGGGTTCTCATGACGTTCCCGCAAAGGGGGCCCCCCTTTCTCAATTCCAAGGCCGAGCGGGGGGCAAAGAGCACGTTGGGCATAATTGCGCACAGAGAAAGAAGGAGAGAGTGTGTGTGAGAGAGAGAGAGAGAGAGAGAGAAAGACAGGTTCGGAGGGGGGGTCAATTATAAAAATAAAGTCATGCCCGCATCCGGCGTCACGAAGCGTCATTCTCCTCCCTCCAATTCAATTTATTTTCTTTTTGGGATTCCCTGACCATTTCCGTGAGACTATCTCCCCTTCCAAGTCAAACGTCAAACGGTACTGGAACACCCTGACCACTCGACTCCCTCCAAAGGTACCACCAAGCTGTACCTATGATCGCGTCATTGTGTGAACGATATGATTCTATAAGCTCGCCCGTCTCACTCTTCAGTCCACCACCTCTCATCGATTTCGACATATAACATTGTCGGCCCAGCATCGCTCCTGTCCCCGTCTTCGCCCGACCGACCCTTTTTTTTTCCTTTTTTTTTTAAAAAAGGATTGGGTTCCTCGACAAGATACAAAAACCAACCCCCCTCCCATTCCCCAATTCAGGTGGACCCAACACAACTGGAGAGCTAGCGGTCGCCAAGCACCATGTCCAACGACGAATTTACCTCCCCCTTTCGGGTGTCGAGCCACGATCTGCTACACCTCGAACGGAATGAAACCTTTCGGGCCATGCGGGAACAGCTTCGCCGTCAGGATTGTGGCATGGAAGGGCCGAGCTTCTGCCCAGACCACCGCAACCTGTGCAGCTCGGCGGACCAGGACTCATTCCGCCTCCACCGCGACATGATTCACACGCTGCTCGTCCCGCTCTTCCTGATCAACCACCAGGCGGAACGGATGGCCGCTCGAGTCTTGTCCACCAAAAAGGGCACCGAGCCCGAGCGGGCCTTCAAGGGCGAGGCCCGCAGTGCCTTCGCCTGGTTGTCGTGCATCCTGACCGAAGAGCACGATTGGTACTTGACCGCACGGTGCCCGGCCTGTATCGTGCTGCACGTCCTCCACTCCGAGCCCACCATCCGGTTCGTCACCGTCGCCGCCTTGCTGGCCGGTCCTCGTTCCGGCTTCGACTGTTGGCTGTCCGCCCTCGAGACTGCCGTGCGCGAGGATCCCTTCTGGGGGGACGCGTTCTGGCCCGAAATCGAAGAACGTGCCACCCGTCTGGCCGAGGGCGTGCAGCAGCTCGTTCGACAATGCCATGAGCTCCGGCTTCATCTGGACAGCCCCTCCACCACGCCCTCCTTTGCCAAGACCTCGACCGTCGTCTGTGAGCGATCGACCTCGTCCACCTGCACCATCCCCTTGAAGCCGTCCAGCTTTGCTCGGAAACAATTGCGGTTGAGTCGGGAAGAGCAGCGCTATCGTGCGTCCTTGGTCTGGAATACCTGGAATTGTTCCCAGGAGCTGCAGCCGCTGGCATCGAGTGGTGCGACTCAGTCTCGCCGCCGTTCCATGACCTCATGAAGGTCTGATGCGGCGTGACTTGGTACAAGAAGGCATCGTACACCTCGATCCTGTTAGTGCCAATGATGAGAAACACACCTCCCCCAAGCAACCCTGCACGCCTGGGATCCTCTGAAGAACGTTGGCACGACACAAGAGTGCTCCGCTCGCAGGAGCACCTTGTCTGTTGATCTGCCACGGTCTCATCTGGACCCCGTCCTTACCTTGACAGCTGGGTGCCTGCATGATCCCTTTTGACCTGCGAAAAAAGATCGTCAAATAAGAATTGGCCCCATACGTTTGACAAACGACAGACCAAAGGTTGCAGCCAGCAAAGGTGACACCCAATATTTCGTCGCAGTCTAACCAAGGACTCACAATGCGACCACGGCGCCGTTGCCTACACGAACACGCATGGATGCAAGGCTCGTCGAGTAGCGGCAGCGGCAGCGGCAGCTGCAGCTGCAGCTGCACCCACTCCCAGAAACCCTTCCTCGGGCGGGACGAACCCGGGTCGAGACCTGGCAGATGGTGTGACAAACCCTCCACCAAATGCAAAGGTGCATGAAAGAGTCACACCCACGACAAAATCCACCTCGGGTACCGTTGATCTCGACGTTGGGCAAGACGTCATCGCCATCCGCACGATTGATCATGGAACAAGCTTGATCCAATTTTCTTTTTTTCTTGTCTCAAAATCGTTGGTCTTGCCGTGTATGTCATGGCCGGCCCTGTGTTATGTTATTAGAGATTCAAGATTCCCAATCCTCTCAGCAGGCCTTCTCCCTGTGAACGAGCCCAATATCCAAACATCATGAAAACATGATCGATCCCAACCCTAGCTTTGATTATTCAGTAATTTCTTTCCCACTACAACCAAACTCTATCAAGTCCATTGCTTAGTAGGCCTCGATGAAAGTCACGCGACCATCTTGTACACAGACCCATTTTCACATCCACGTGGAGGCCGGCTGGCCCAATGGCAAGGCGCTTGACTACGAATCAAGAGATTGCAGGTTCGACCCCTGCGTCGGTCAACCTACCTTTTTTTTGTTTTGGCAGTCTTTCCCCACTTGCGCGCCGATACACACATAAGTACTGGATGAGCACGAGCTTCGGAGCTACAGTGAATACTTAATCTGCATTTGTCGCAAATCCCTTTTGCCTTTGGTACCTTCTGATCGGATCGATGTCCAGATGCAGGCTTGATGTGGAGATACTGGACACAGTAGTGTCAGTAGTGGACAGAGGATAGTAGACAGTAGATACTGGACTGGATAGTGTCGGTTCGACTGAACTAATCTAGCCTCTGTCCCATCTACATAAACTCACATCCATGGATGACAAGGTTAAAGGCATACCCCCATCAACGCCAAACCCATCCACTAACTGGCGCGGCTAACCTGCTGTGCGAAGAATGCCCCCCACCCCGGGTATTAATCTAATCAAGAAGCTATCAAGCTGATACAAGTCATGCATTACAATCCGTGGCTCACTGTTCAGCAAGCCAGATGAGGTGGTGTATGACTGTACGTAGGGTGCTATATCTGCGACGTGCAAGGTTCCGGGTCCCTGCGACTCTGCGAGTTGAGCACTCAAGTCATCGGTGAGAGGTGGTTAGAGTCGCAGAGTAGGGGGTGACCGGGGTATGGGTCCGATTTCAAGCGTTGGGAAATTGGTTTGCAAGAGTTGGAGGTGAGCAAGGTAAATCCATGGATGGCTGGTGACTTGAATGTGGATGGTAGAGGAGATTGACGATTCTTGTGGGCAGTGAGTACTGAGTACGGGGTACAAGATCAGAAGTGGATCCGGGGATACGCTACCACGTGTACAGGCTACAGCACACGAGATTCCCAGATGGATTGAACAAGTACATACCAGGTGAAGGACATGGAGGGTCATGTCAACGTGCTGAGAATTGAATCAGCAACTTCTAACCTTGTCCTTGCGTCTTGCGGGGCCGATATTCTCGCGGACGAGAGCATCTAGTTTCACTGCACAAACTACATCAAAGTATGTGATAGTAACTTAGAGAGTGATACTGGTGGTTACTGGTCAGTGGTTAGTAGATAGTAAGATACTGGTAGTAGACTACCTCGGTACTGGTATAGTACGTCCACAATCCGCACGGGTCTATTGTTGATGATCTATATCCAGGTGGACGTGGCCCCGGCTTCGAGAGAGATGAAAGTGGGGGGGGAAATCTCGTTGAGCTTTGGCGGGTGTTGATTGGGGACTAGAGAGCGGAGGGATTGAAAGGGAATGCAGGGATTTCCTTTTCGTTTTTTTTTTTGAATATTTGAAAATTCTCATGTTCTCATTGACGTTTCGTCGAGAACTTGCCAGGGGAATGACGTTAGTAGTACTGTAGAAGATGGATCCAGATCGAAGCTAGCTCTATGACCCAGGGAGACTTGTAGCAATGATGGTTTTGTGCCGGTCGCTCAAGAGCCTGAACCGAGATGGATCCATGATCCATCCCGCACGAGAAAGAACTCTGCAGAATTGAGGCTACCGATCAGACCGTCAGAAAGGTACCTCGATAACTTCAAAATGATGTGGTACAGGCAAGTATGAGTATGCACGAGGTGAGATTCGAGACTCCAAATTGCAGATCAATCTTGAATCTATAAGCTAAAAAGCACTTTGTCGCTGCAACTTGAATCATGTTATCCACTTCTGTTTATTTTCCTACACGTGAGACAGGAGCCCTACAGCCTACAGGGAAGAGAGGGTCGCAAATCAGTCACGGATACTACTGTGACTCGACGAGTCGACACTCACGAGTGCGGTGCAGAGGACGCACACGCGGCAGAGGCCGTTGTGATTGTTGTTATGATTATCGTCGTCCCGCCTGCGAGGTTCATTCGAATAGAGTGGGATGAATGAGATCAAGGACAAACATCAGTAGGACTACAGTACATGTATGATGTGAAATCCGCTTTCGTATAATCCACGACTGGACCACACAGAAAATAAGTGAATAGGTCACATGATGCAGGCAGTAGTTCTTTATCTTCTTGTTCTTATTATTATTTTACTTTGGATTCTCTGCGATAGACCACGGGCCAATTTGATTTACTACGACACTGTGTGTATAGTACTGTGTAGTGTGTACTCAATTGGACTTGGCTCGGTCTACGCCCTCTCGGTACGACTTGCTTGTCATCTCTTTTCAACCCTCGATCTTCGATCCTCGACACGGGAGGGAAGATAATCAAACGCGGCGAACCCCAAACCAACTAACGTGCCTGCGGGACGCCCAAACAGGACATCAGAAATTCAGAATAGGTGTTCATTTACTACTGTACACTTTCAGTATTCGACAACTCCGATCGGATTGCCTCGGCGATAGGGTAACACTGCACCTCCCAAAAAGAGATCATTTGGCATTTGTGCAAACTACGGCAACTTCTTCTTTTTTGGCAACAATTTATCCTACGAGGTCGGAAAAATTGGCTCATCTGGTGACACGTCCCCCCTCGGTAGTTTCGTCTTAACTGGGACGAGCTGGACTCCTGTTCAGAATGTGGGCAAGGCGTATTGAATTACAGTGATTTAACCAGGTACCAGACCACTGGCCGTCGCCCTCGCAGTAATTACAAGTGAATCACGAGTCAGGTGGATTCAATGATTCACTACTACTACAGGTACAGTACAGGAGTACATCGAACTTGTAGTCTCGAAAGAACCGGATAGGTCACCTTGGATGATACGGCGTTGTACTGTGATACAGTCGATTACCAGATTGAAGAAGATAAAGGAGGGACCCAAATTCGATCGTCGGATGAAGTTTGGGAATTGTATGAGGGTGCACGCGGGGAGGGGAAGATTGTTGCGGCCAATGGAGCGGGTTGCTGTCCAGCTGGACCAGCCCAGAGCCAACCCCTCAGTGGCAAAAGTGGCCTAACGCGGCCGAAAGCGTACACATCGTGGCCCAAAGAGCCCCCCCCCCCCCGGCGAGAGCCACGAGCAGTCGAGCACGGCATGTGTCCATGTCTCGATGATGGATGACGGCGGTCACGGGACTCAGGCTGGACCATGACGGGTCGGGACTTTGAGTCTAGCCTCGTTGCTCTGGACCTCCAGCCAGCACTGACAGGACGGTAGAATACTAGAAAGGCACCTTACATTGTCAAACTCGTGCTGTGGTGGACATTTAGAATTTTTGTTTTTTGTGGTGAAGGGGGGGGAGGGTGCGACGTGACTGTACGATTGTCAGTCATCCGTATCTTCGTCAAGAGAGGACCTGATTCTAGAAGGCAGTTGAGATGGGCCATACAAGAGCAACACATGATGTCGTCGGCAAACATGACACCAGGTACACAACTACATCACTACAAGTACATACTAGTGAACGTGACCTGAAGCGGATGGTTTTCTACACTTTGCAGCTCATAAAATGTAGGCCCGAATATTCGTCGTCATCATTTCCTGACCCTTGGATTTCCTGACCCTTGGATTTCCTGACCCTTGGTGCGATCTCGTCCCAAAATTCATAAGGCTACATCGATGGTTGGCATTCTGGTCCTCTGCAGAGTCCTGATAGTACGGTACCCTATGTATACCTAGAGGTCACCAGACTCATCACTGGAAGTAGACAGCGGAAACTAAGAGGTAGACAGTAGATAGTAGATAATAGAGACTACAGTACGTAGACACTAGATAGTAGACAATAATCACAATACTATATAATAGACACTACTGAGTTACATAAGTTTGTGAGTTCGTACCCAAGTACGGACTGTGAAATGTGGTGGCCGGAGTAGAGAAAAAGGTCCCACAAGAAGACCAGAAAGTCATACTGGTGTCAACAGTCGGTCGATGAGAGTACTTGGTAAGTCAGTGCTTAGTACTGACTGGTTGGTAGTAGAACTGCTCTTTCATGTATATTCATACCTACCCCGGTAGAACAACTCAGAGAGCTTCATCTCCCCCTTCCCGAATCTCCCAAATTGCAGGGAGGATCCAGAAGGGGCCCCAAGGAGGGTCAGAGGGCGTGCCTCAAAAACCTACTCCAGGGACCAGAGCCGCGGACAGGTTGATTACATTCGATCAATTTGACGCAATGAACAGAGTCTGGAGGTACACTGGTCGAGTAACTACTAACTTCTCAGTAGATAGTGTGACTGTGGACTCATAGAGGGTGGACTCTGTGGAGTATGGACTCCACGACGCTGGTTACCCTCACGAGCCCGAGCCCGAGCCCGAGCCCGACCCTTCAGCGTGGGAACGGGTCTGGATTGTCGCAACCGCATTAAAGAATCATAATCCTATGCGTGGACATTGTACAGGCCGGCTGTATGCAGAGTGCTGGGTGCACACTGCAGTCCGGCGAGGAATCCACTTTTGGAGGGGATGATCGCCCTGAAGTGGAGTCGCGGCCAGACCTGGGATCCTTTGGAACCAGCAAGCCACCGCCCAATGGAGCCTTTGTGGATCCACCAGAGCCACCGCCAGAGCCAATGGAAATGACATCTACCGAACTCCGCCGGCCATGGACCGTCTTTGCCGTTCTAGACCGCCGATGCCCTGTCCTTTGCTTTCCCTTTTGGGCCCACTTGCGCTGCTTTTTCCAATTTTTTTTTTCCCAAAATTTTGTTTTCCTGGTTTTCTCGCTCCCATCGTCTCTGCTGGGTTGCCGCCTACTCCCGTGCTGAGGTGCTCACTGGGATGCCTAGTAACCATGCATACCGACGGTGCAGACGGCTCAGCCTACCAGCAGATGCCCAGGAGAATGTCCTCGCGCGACCAGCTCCAACCGGTCATTGATAAAGTATCTGAGCGAGGTGCACCAAGTCGACACTAGAGGGAGAACAGACAGCGCCACGAACAGGACTGGGGGGACGGGCCAACTAGGACTGTAATATTGAACATCCGGATGAAGAAATCTTTCCTGTAACTTATAACCTCATTCCCTCATGAAAAAAGTTGTGACGACTCGGCCCAAATAATGCTGGTCGAGGAAGATGCTCGTCTCTGGAGTTGCCTCTGGCCCTCATCAAGTCATGGCCCGATCGGGGCCACGACCAGACCTGGATCCGATGACTCGATGACTGAAGGTCTAGAACCTGCCCCATCGGTCCCAAGTCTGGACGGTTCCCCCGTACAGGGTACCTGCTCTCAACCCATTTTTCTCATACACACAACAGGTAGCGGATACGTAGCTTTCCCCCCCCCCCCCCCCCAAATGTCTTTCCCCATTTCGTTTCCCTTCTCCCCTTACTCGTACCGTAGTATTCGTGCCTCGCAGGCTTTCTTCAAATCCATTATTCCCACTTGCTGGAACCCGATCTTCCCCCAAAGACGTGGTCGCTATTCTCACCTCAGTAGACTCTTCATCCTTTTGCTCCGACTTCTCCATTTTTCCTTCCTTTTCCCGTTGCCGACACGTTTTCTCCCTCCCTCCCTCCCTCCCCCTCTCTCTCTCTCTCTCTCTCTCTCTCTCTCCATTCCATCTCAAACCCTCCTCCTCTCGTCTCCTCCCTCTTCGCTCAGCCAGCAAATCCTCCTCCGTCTCACACTGGGCCTCTTCCCATGCCGTCTGCTGTCCTCTCCCTCCCTCCCGACCGGACGCCCTGGACAGATTGGATCAATTCACCGCAGTGCCATGGATGGTGCGGGCCTGCGACTGCCATTCTAGATCATCAAACAATGCATCTGTCCCGCCCAGACTCGAGGATCGACACCGAACGTCGTTTTTCCCAGCACGCCGTGCTGGACGCCACGTTAGACGGCCCTAATCCCGCGAGACTTCGCCGACGGGCCTCCCAAGGATCTCTCCGCACCCGACCATCCCCCGTCTCTCGATTCCTCTCCAAGAGCAGCGTGGCTGTCCACTTCCCCTCCTGGGACCAACGCAGCTCCTCTCCCGGTCCTGCATCGCGGAATCGGTCAACGGAATCTCGATTACGCTTGTCGACCACCGTATCTCGCGGGCCGAGACCCTTGACAGCCCATTCTCGCTCTTCTTCCATCTCCACCTCGCCCTTGAACTCGCCGCCACTCGCCTACCAATCTGACTATCCAGCCACCTTGCCACCCACGCCTCCCGAGGACGATAGCCACGTCTCGTGGAACCCCAAGTCCGAAATGCTGCTCTTTGACGACCACCCGCATCAAGAGCCGGGTTCCTCCGCCATGATCGACGAGGTTCCCAGAACGGACAACTCCTCAACGGGTCGCTCAGATACCTTGAGTAGTGCGTCAGATCGATCCTCACATGGATCATCATCCAGCTCGAGCGGGAGTCCCGGGCCTCACGATGAGATGGACCTGCAACAGGACGTGGGGTCATGGCTGGACCATGGAATTAACGTAACTGGTAAGGGATTCCACAAAAAGCCCTTCCCCCCCAGCGGTGAAGCAGGGGTCCTTTTGATTGCGTCCACTTATCTCTTATTAACCCATATTTCGCCGCAGTATCATCACTGGCAAGCTCAAATCCGCGAGGCGACGCTGTCAAAATTGTCTCGCAAACCCTACCTTACCCACGACCCTCCGACCAAGCCGTCTCTCTTCCCAGAAACGATAGTATCTTCTACTCGATTGTCCGTGCCGTTCACGATCACCTTCAGCCCGGGCAATCCCCCTATATCAATGTCACTCATGCCGTTCCTGAGCAATTCTCCCTCTCCGATCTTCCCCACTCCCCTCCTAGTACTCCCCGTTCGCCCACGGCCGCCGACGAGTTCTTCAATGCCACCGTCTTCTCCAGTGCCGCCGTGGTCGGTGCCTACCATGACTACCGAGGCCCCATTCAACGACAAGTTTCTCACGCTCCGGTGCCCATCGTTCCACCCCACAGTGTCCATATCTCCGTTCTAGAAAGGTACCTGCCTCCGCCCTCAGCGCAGGAGTACCGTGATGTGTTTTGCGCCACCCGCCCATCCTTCCTCGTCGATCGTCTTTCCGAACTGTCTCCGGATGGCGGTTCGCTCTTGTTCGTGTACCCCACGAAAAAGGGCGCGTCAACCTTCAAGTCTCAATACTTGGGACCCCTCCTCGACCCACTCCTCCGGCAACTGGTGGTTGTGAACGGTCTGTCCGCCGATGTGGGACGACATCTGGGCAAGATGTCCACCGTCTCCATGATGGACGACTTTGCCACCATGAAGGCCAACTTGGCCGCACTGTGTGAAACCCTGAGCTCCCAATCTTCACAATTCCAGATTGTGGATGCTGGGAAGAGCAGTGCTCGTCTTGATCGTGAACTTTGGGTGGAATGGTACATTCACCAGGAGAAGGCGCGGATCAAAGAGGTGCTCAATCTGTACTCGCAGAACTCGCGTCGACTCCCAGTGAACAAAGCTCTCACCACCGGAGTCGCCGGCAGCCTCATGCCCGACAAGGAAGTGACTTCGTCCATGCTCCTGGGCGAGATCTTCGAGGGCATTCGCAAGCGCCGCTACGGCGAGGATAATGAACCTCGGGATGGAGTTGAATTAGGGGTCTTTGTGATTCGTCGGACTCGCTAATTTTGGCGGCCTATAATTGCACGCGACCCACGATTCTCCTAGTCATCTTCTTTCTCGATACATAATGCCCCAAGCACAGGGCTGACGCTCTCTTTGCTATCTTCTCATCCCCTCCCCCCGCCTCTCCCTCTCTCTCTCTCCCACGCCCGCTCTTGCTTTCGAGGCTGTAATGAACATTATATTAGACCTCGGTGTATGGTCTTTTGCGGAGACTTGCTCAATACTTGTCTTTCTTCATATGTTTGGCTTCTTTCTATCTTTTACTAGCTCGCACTTCGAGCGCATTGGTTCGCGCATTGCCTTTTGGCTGGACTGGAACGATTCAGAATACCCATGATGTTTTTTGTTTGTTCAACCCCCCTTTACGGCATAAAAAGGATACGATGGTGTTGTTTTTCTTCTTTCGGCTTAAGGGATTACTAGCATCCTTGGTTCAAGGACATAGAGAGGTACAATATAACTCACTCTCATTGGATACTCTAACGAACCATTGGATGACTCCCCGTATCTCAGGAATATAATAGCCTTAGGCGCCAGAGACCCCAACACGGGTGTCAAGATGCTCAGAAGTTCAACCACCTGCGGTTGCCAATTGTACTGATAAGTGCTACAACGCATTTTATCTCCGCCTCGGGCTGGTCGTCGTAGCATTCGTCTTGCACTGTACAGGGACAAAATGACGTACCATGAGTCGGCAGTGGATGATGCGCCTTGTTCTTGAGAATCTCCGACCTCCGATCTCCGCAGTTCCTGCTCAACGGGCGAGACACATACGTCAGGGTTTCTTTTCGATGGGTCTTTGCACTATTGCAGTCCGCGCTAGTTGAATCATGTCTCGATTTTTATTAATTATTATTAAAATTGAAATTGACTCGCTCGATTATTGCACATTTCATTTGGCCGGCGTTGAAATGACATGGATGGTCTCGGCCATGAAGTGGTAAGGACTCTCTGTTTTTGGCGGGGGGGGGGGGGGGGGGGGCTTCTGCCGAACTGAGCTAGGCGTGTCGCCCTGGGCCTCCAATGCCTGTGATGCGAATAACGCAAAATGAAAATTGCAATGGAACGGAACTGGATTGACTGAGGTCTTTACAGTCTACAGTCTACAGTCTGCAGCGGTGATTCCACTTCAAAGACCTTACTTAGCTAGGCAGTAATTACCACGTTATCTGGCAATCTGCTGACTACTACTGACTCGGTACGTTGACGGGCGCGACTCTGTTCCTCCTGGGACCTTATTACACTCATACACTGCGAAGAGCTTCTTGATCGAACTTTCAATGCAGCTGGTCATGCGATTGACTTAGTGAGGAGTGTACTATTGCAAGCTAATTTTGTTGATCCTAGCTTTATGAGAAGCTGGACGCTGAACTGGTCATTCGTCATGATGCTGTCCCTACCTTATCCCCTTGGATCGTGGTGACTAAGTCAGCTGATTTCATCATTTGACACCGCCTGTTGATGTGAACCGGCAATAAGCGGATACTGCCAGTGCCAGATGTGCGATTTCGTATCTTTGCAACGGAGTCGATTCGCTCGATCACAGTAAGGAAAGCATACCGTCATCGGATAGCTCAGCGAAAAGCGCGTATTTTAGCTGATATAATGAGCCTTCTCATCATGGTCTCTTCTTCTTGGTCTCTGAGCGTGTATTCTCCTCGTCAGCTTAATCCTTATCACTCATGAACCCGCCCCGAGTCGCGTAAAGTGTATTCTTCGGCCGGGTGAAACATTTATCCGGCCGTCCCGCTCTAGCGTAAGAGAGTACATGCTCCAGCGGCGTGCGCTTTTCTGGCGGCGGAGCAACCACCATTACCTTGCGCTTCTCAGCCCATGCACAACTTTCCTGTACCTTGCCTTTGTGCGCTTCGGCTACATTCTTGACATCTGCGAGCTTTGCTTGGAAAACATCCTCATCTGACTGCGCTGCTCAGAGGCTGGAAGTCTTGTTTGGCCAGGGCCTAGCACATCGCTACTCTTTCTCTCTCCATAATTCCCTCTATGGCCTACTCACCAGGCCCTCAGTCCCCTGGTGCTGGGCCTGCTTACATGGCTACTAGAAATCGGTCTGCGAGTCCCCCTGGAGCATCTGGAATGCCTTCCAAGAGGGACAAGCGCCGAACCGCGCTACAAGAGCGCCTCCACGATCTGACGGCCACGTTCTCCCAAAATCGCGATGCCCAGTTTCGCCAGCAACTTCACTCCCTACAATGCGACATGACTCTGATAAACAACGCGGACCCATATCAGACGGGTCCCTTGCCGGATTCCTCTGCAGACATTGCCCGATTGATCGAGGAGACAGTGGGGGGGGGAAGTTTGCAAAGGAAATGGCGAGTCTCTCTGGCACTTGGTATTCCAAGTTTGTGCAGGAGATCAATAATGTCAAGGAGCAGAAAGATGCAGACTTGGCGCAGATCATGGTATGATCCAGATTTCTACTTTCGTCTCATTGCGGTGCAAGAGCTTGCGAGGTCTAACCGTTTTTTCGTGTGTCTTGCGCAGAACCGACATCAAAATAGTCTGGAAAGACATCGCCGCGAGTATGATTTCCGTGTCCACTTTGCCAAGGAGGAGTTCAATCAGCTGTCCGGTACACTGCGAGAACGACTCATGCAAAGTATCTCCAGCAAGAGGTCTCGCCTCATGCGGGAAAAGGAGCAGCTCGACATTGCGGACACCAATGCGCTGCTTCTCCATCCGAATCAATTCAGCATCACCAATCCTGCAAGTCCAGGGGGATCCATGGTAATCGCAAGACTCGTCACACTCGTCATCGCGTGGACCTCGACGAACTGGGCAACGGTATCGTCTCGGAGTTGAACAAACGCAAGCGTAAAGCGCCGGAGGAAGAGCCCGGATCGCCTGCGCGAGAAGCAGGCGGTACCACCCCGGCCGAGCGATCCAAGGCCTACGTCGAGAAGCAATCGGCCCCAACATACTCGATTCAGTCCCTCTTCACCGATAAGGAACTGAGTGCTCATTCCAATCAAGCCCATGTCGCGACTGTCCATTTCTTCTCCACTTCTAAGCGCCCCGAGCAGGGCTCAGGGGCAGTGACGAATGGGAACAACACCGAGACGGAAGACACGCTTGATGGCACTGTCCACGAGGAAAATGGGACTCCCAGTGCCACTGATATGATGCGCACCGCCAGTCAAAATTTCCATATCACACGCTCCACGCGCGGTACAGCCGCCCACAGCGCTCTTAGTGCGCTGGCTGATCTCGCAGATAAAAATGCGACACGGCCAGCATTACCCTATCATGTCCTCTCCAATTATCATGCTCGTCCGAACGGCAACGCGCCGCCCTTGACATCCTTGCTGAGTGAAGAAGTCGACGATGACCTGTCGAGGGTAGACCGGCTACATAACTCCAAGGCGGGTGCATGGATCGATGCATCTCTGGTCGACCTGGTTGTGGCTCCACTGCCTTCTGAACCTGTGGACGGTCGCCCTCCGAACCCTGATCGCTTTACTTCGCTACATCCCGATTTCCCTGCTGTTGTTGGTATGCAACTTCAACCTGTACGTTCCAATCCCGGAGCCGAGGTTTTCCCTGCTATCGCAATGGAGCGTGAACGAAGTACCAAGCGATCACGTCATCACTAAGTGTCCACCCATGTGTGATACAGAGACTCGAATTATATGTGCTTTGAGGAGTTTTGGTTGTATCGGGTGGTGTGATTTTGTTCGTATAACCAGGCAGGACCGGGTGTCCTGTAAACGTGACATTGGCTGCTAACATGGCAGCATTCGTGATTTTGTGCTTTTTTCACTATCTTTTCTGCTTTTCTGCCGGAGCAAAGGCCTGGTGTTTGGACTCGGGATCTTGAGCTTGCATGTCTTGTTATGTCTTGTCAGCATTATGGTCATATCTTTGCGTTTCCCAGGAGGGTACCCTACCTCCTTAATCATGCGCTTTATGTTTCTTCTTATTCCCACTCGGCATGTCTGTTGCACACATCGTACTGCTGTCCCTTTTAGGAGACTCTTCTTGGGGACCGGACAATCTCAACGAAATTTCATTCAGTGCAAAATCTTTCAAAGTTCCTTGGTCACTCGTCGGACCATAGCCAACGCTTCACCTCTCATCGGGAGTTCTGATTCCACTGATTGGGGGGTTCGAGCCAGTGTTACCCAGGAGTGTTTACGACCCGTAGAAAACGAGACACCTTTGTACCGATTTTAGGAGTGATCTTCCTATGCTCAGGAGTAACGTGAGCACGAGACGTTTCACTCGTCTCTCATCGCTCTTGTGGATGCGATAATGAACTCGACCATCACAGGTAAGCTCATGCCTTTCCACCTCCTGGTCAACACTGTGGTGTATCACAGAAATGCACATCGCTTATACGGTCAGAGATATCAATACTTTCTCGTCTGGAGAAGCCTCAGTGTAAGCGAGTGTAGGGTGCCAAGAAAGGCGATGGGATCACAGATCTACTAGTCTCCCCTTCTCACGTGCATGGACTCCATTGCGCTTCACTGGAACCACAACATTTAAGGTAACTTAGGTAATGCATCATAAGTTAACTCAGGGGTTGATTCCTACTCTTTAGTAATACGACGATTTGATGGAACAGCGACGAACGTTGCGCTCCATTTTTAATCAGAAATCCGCTGATGATGCAATCTTTAACCTTGTCGAAGCAATCGGAACCGGTCACCTGAATAATAAGGTGGTGTCGGAGAGATTTTGGAGTAATCGGAGTGTTTGGCGGCGTTCGCCATCCCAACTTGTCATCCGAGATGACAAATGCAACGGATGACGCTATCCCAGCATCCATTCGCGCTACACGAATCAGTTGGACGGAAGCTTAACGGGAAATGAGTCTATCATCATCCAATGGCCAAGCACTGCCGAGGCCAATATCTAGAATTGCGGAGAAGACGAGACAGTCAGGCCAGATGAAGTCATCAATTATATAAAGAAGCAGCGTTTCCGGGGTCTAGTGATATCGCACAAGCACATCTATTGATCCTCTTTAGATCTGATCAATCCGAACCCGCGTTTCGACTTGATCTATACCACGATCTTCAGTCGCCACCTTCTGCGCTCTGAAAAACAAGTGACTGATCCAACACAAACAAACATTGAATTACAGTGCAAGGTCCTGCACAATCTGAACAATCGCCTCAACCATGTCGACCACAACAACCGGAACGACCACCAAAACCACCATCTCAACCTCGACCACCGACGCCAACTACGTCCCTCGCGGTCCAACAAGCGCCGAATTGACCTTCTATGCGCCTCCGCCCGACAACGCCCAACCCTTCAACTACGTGGAGTCTCCACCCCCAGGCCAACCCACCCGCAACTATGGCGAAGACACGCAACGAGTATCTCTGAACGACATTCGCGGCAACGAATCCTCCTTCCACCTTGACAAGGACTCGTTTCAAGCGCTGCAAGACGTCTCATCCGCCACGACCTACGCCACCTTTGATTCCGACGCTTCCATCCGTGAAAACTACTATCCCGAGGTAGAAGCCTTGATCAAAGAACATATACCCGGAGTCCACAAGATCACCCTCTTCGACCACACCATTCGACGCGCCAATCCAGACTCCCGCCGTCAACCGGTCAACCGCGTTCACGTCGATCAAACCCCGACTGCGGCCCTCGCCCGGGTCAACTTGCACATCACCAACCCGGACGAAGCCAAAGCGCTCGCGGAAGGGCGCTACCGCATCGTGAACGTCTGGCGTCCCCTGAGTGAGGAACCGGTTCAGTCCTCGCCGTTGGCGTTCGCCTCGGCGACCTCGGTCGACCCGGCGGATCTGGTGGCTGTGGAGCATCGATATCCCAATCGAACCGGCCAGACGATGGGGGTCAAGTACAACCCCGGACAAAAGTGGTATTACTGGTCGGGCATGACGGGTCGGGAGAGATTGTTGCTCAAGTGCTCGGATTCTAAGGGACTGAGAGATGGTGATGTCTCGCAGTGGGTTCCGCATACGGCATTTGTGGATGAGAGGACGCCGGAGGGTGCCAGACCGAGGGAGAGTATTGAGGTGCGGGCGTTGATCTTTGGATAATCATTGGAAGGGAAGCTGTTTTTTTTTTTTTTTTTTTGACTTGGTGATGATTGTTTGTGATTGAGATGGAGTATTGCTGCGAATGCATTGATGGTGTACTTGGTTCTTGGAATTCTTCTTGCTCTACTTGAGTGGTGTTTACGGCGCATACTTCTAGCATACCGTGAGCAATCGTTTTTGCCTCAATTCATGAATTGATTGTCAAGTCCTAGTAAGACGATTGCCCGACATCTCCGCACCTCCTGAAATGATAGTAAATCTCAACTCATAAAGTATTATCTAAAATCATCTCCAGGCCCTAACTGTCCTCCAGTCCGCCAGGCCAAGCTCTCAAAACACACAAGTTCAATTTGCCTGGCGCTGCAACCGTCGCAAATTCAAAAATGGGTTGGAGTTCTTTTCTGCCTTACTCTCTTCCCCACTGCTCAGCAGTGATTCCGTAGATCGGCGTCTCCTCCACGCTTTGCGAAACTGAAGACGTTCATCTTCTTGTTGTTTAGTCCGCATTAACATGAAATACTCATGGGCAGCCTTTTCTGTGCTTAGAGCTTGAACCTATCGATAGTAAGTTAGATTGATAAGACATCATTTTCCAGTGGAAAAAGAATCCAGGAAAAAATAAAACAAAAAAGCGATTAAATGACTGCAAGTGAGCTGGACCTCCCGAGCACAGTCAAGAAGGGAACTCGTTCATGTTGATGCTTCCCCCCCCCCCCCCCCCCCTCAAGCACGTGACAGCAGGCGTATCTCACGACGACAACAAGGGAGCACTGTAGAGACTAGAGACGTACATGATCAAGCCATAATTCTTGTTCCGAGCTCCAGGCCTTTTGGCAGATGGCGAGCTGCTTCTGCGCCAGACGGAGCCTTTTCTCCTGCTCATGAGTCCAGCGTGACTGGCTCTGGACAATACTCGCCCAGTGCACCACCCGAGATAGCCGAGCCCTTGCAGACGCCGTGCGAACAGACGCAGATGGATAATCCTCCCACTCGAAGTCGGAGTCATCTGCCACTGACTTTCTCGAGAATTCATCCGAGCACATATACTGATTGGGATGATCGGCGGCCGGCTTCACCGCTATATGCACGCTGTGTGAGTCGTCACCGTGCAGGGAAAATGAGCCGGAGACGTTGGCGCTCTTCATCTCAAGATGAATAGCCCCATCCTGAAAGACTTGATCCAGAGGGTAACTGGGGGAAACGGTTTGTTTTGCCTTGCCCTTGTCAGCGGATGGTCTGCGCTTCCAGGATAGGCCGAGAGGAAAGGCACGTTGTACAGCAGCGAGAACCGGCATCAGCAAGCTAGTGGCACATGGAAGCCGTGGAATGTTGCTAGAATCAGATATCGAAAGAGGCCAGCGGAATCTCAGAAAGTGAGTGTTCTTTTTTTTTGGAGTTTCTGGAAATGCCGAAAAAGGGTGTCCCCCAAGCGTCTTTATAAAGATGCTCACGATGCTCGGGTAGAAGATGCCGTGGAAGCTCTCCTCCGGCCTCTATCCCGACCATGATTATCAAACCCTCCATCTACGAGGACCTCCCCATGCACCGGCGATGCGTTTCGAGGCGGGTGGATCTTGGGAGAAAGGGCGTCTCGTACTTGGTTGACCACGCGACATGCAGAAAGCGTTCGGCGCCTATGGTTGGTTCGATCCTCCATGACAAGCTGCAGCTTTGGTCGAGACCGAAATGAACGCGGGCGTGGTAGGTACTCTGGTGTATGTCCAGATCTTTGCGAGGCGAATTGCTTGTTGATGCCCAATATCATCGTGCCTTTGTACGAGTCTGTCCGGCTATAGCAATGACAAGGGAGCAAGCGCGATATGCGAGCCAGCGACAATCAGCATGTCTTCATTGGCGTTCAGTCATTCTAGACTCTATAGAGTGCCCTAGTAGAATGTTTCTGGAGATAATCAAGAAGAACAAAAGACATTGTGCAATTGTGTCCACCAATCCATCCTATACGCCTCGCGTATTTGGTTATAAACTGTACTTCCACGCGGTAAACAAGACCGTGAAACTCCAAAAGAGAGCATGCAGAACATCGTGAGGGAATCATAAGCAGTGTCAAGGAAAGAAAGAAAAAAAAAGTAGTCACAGCGAAGGAAATGGACATTTGAAACAGTTCAACAAAAGGATCTTCAACATACTCGAGGACCATGACGACTTGCTCGCGAGTTTGGTCTGTCTGCGACGGAAAGAAGGAGGAGCCTGATTTGAACATAAAGTAAACAAGAACTCGCAGGTGTTCAACGCCACGTATCCACAGATCCCGCCCGGACGGTCTTCGCTTTTTGATTCTCTCGAATCTGTTCGCCAATGATAATGCTGATCAATCTTCGATGGAGGTCGGCTTCGGTCCACTCGACACGCCCACTGCCCCCGTATTCAACGTCTGCGCGGGACAGATCATGCACAAAGCGGTCTATGATAGCAAATTGGAGTTCTGTAATGGGTACCCCATGAAGACCGTCTGAAGTCCAGATCCAATCTCCAATGATCTCGGTGCGCCCCGCAGCCTTGTGATAGGAGAAGCGTTCCGGCGCACGTTTCGCCAACTGGTAGAGGCGCTGGAGGGCTTTGTAGTGTTCATCGGAGAAGTACCCGAAAGTTGACAGAGGCCTGGAACGCCTCTTCAACTGGTGTTGATCATTTAGATCTTGGTCTCGATCGACTTGTTCCTGGTCACCTGCAACACGTGCACCTTCTGGAGCTGCACGTGAGTCGACACCAGATGAGGTTCCCTGACCACTTTGCGATGATGCACGTGCCTCGTTGGGTTCGGCAGAAGATACATGATCACGTGGATCCTTCGGGGGTGAATTGGCAGAGTCTCGCAGAGATCGAGAGAGTGACTGGCTTGAGCGGTCCGAAACAGGCAGCTGACCAGCTGGCCCATGAAGACTCTGCCCAGTTTTGGTTTTGCTTCTTTCGGTTTGATCATCGTGGTGCTCGAATTCCGAGTCGGGATCGTCTTGAGAAGCCGCAATCGAACTAGAGCTATCCTCCTCGTCTTGTTCTGGTGCTTTCAGCCACCTGGGCGTAAGACTTGTGATTTGTTGAAACCAAGTTGATTCTTCTGCACTCTTTTGAGATCGACGCATAGACCTTGGTGTCGCAGCTGAACTATTTTCAAAAGGGTTGGTCGCCTCACAAGCAGCATCTGGACCCACTTCAGAGCCATGCGTGTCTTCATCATGTCGGGAGATATTGGGCTTGAAAGCAGGAGAATAACTGAACTCTGCATCCGATCCAATGTGTGGGCTGGACTGTGGCATAGGCTGCAAGCGAACTCTCTGTCCAACTTTGCGGGCGGAGGACGCAGACTTCATTGCGGATTGAAGCGGTGCGACAAGTCGGCGGTTGAGCATCTCTCTCGGTGTACTAGTCCCATCGTAATAGTTGGCTCGATTTGGAGTTTCTTCATGCGCGAGAAGAGCGGAAAGGTCGACGTTTTGATCGCGTAATTTTCGGATATGAGTCGGCACGGGATGGGTGCCATCATGATGCTCTATTGTCACATATACGGGCGACGAGCTTGAGCGACTTTCATGGGTGGATGCATGTTCACCAGCTTCCCGCCAGAGACCGGGCGACCTTTGAACGACGTCCGGCTGAGCCTGCTTTTCGGAATGATGGGAAATGTTGCTCTGATCTCTGGCTTCCTGTTGCCAGATATCTCCATCGTCGTCGTCGTCGTCATGGATCAAATCTGCGTCCTCCGTGACAGGACGTGGATCCTGTCTTGATTGCGAGCTTAGCGGCTTCGAAACCTTCGGACTGAAGTCGTCGACTCTCCATATGTCCTCTTCCTCGTCTTCCTCGTCTTCCTCATGCTCGGGCGATTCTATTGGTCGCTCGACTCCCTGACTGACAGGTTGTGTCAAAGGGAGTTTCGCAAATTCTTCATCGGGTCTAAATTGATCAGACAGCGGATTGTTGTTGGCAAGCTCTTCCCTCAAGGGCGTTGTAGATCGTCGTCTCTCTTCAGACCGTTCCGAATTCTTCGACCCATGAGCCGAGTACTCAGAGGGTGCTTCTTGTGGCATCGGCTCGTCACTTTCGACACTGATGAACTTCCCTGAGTTCACTGGATCTCTGGCTTGGCGACTGACTCGTTCCCGCTCTCGCTGCCACTCGCGTTCCCGTGACGCTCGTGCAGTATTTTTGTCCGGACGTGGGGAATCGACCTGGTGCAGACTATTGGGCACGGCCTGGGACTCATCGCGATCCTGAAGTTTTGTTTGTTGGGGCATATCTTCCACTGAAGCATCTTCCCACTCTTGAGAATTGTGCCTTCGTCCAATCTGATGGGGCCAATGATGACGTTCCTCATCATCATGCTGCAAGATAATATCATCTTCCTCATCTGCATCAACAGTCTCCGGTTGAGACCCATACTCCAATGTTCGTTGGACATTAATATTTTGCGCAGCTTCGCGACCGACTCGTAAGTCGTCAGATCGTGGACCTTCTGGAGATCTAGTCTGAGGAAGGTTCGGATAAGAGACCTCGGAGTCCCGCTGCCTTGTCTCTGGTCGTATTTCAGGGTACTCAATTCGAGGGCTGACTTGCATCGAGGTAATGGCCTCACTCAAAGGACTCGGCCTTTTCACAGTCTGCGCGCCACCTCTTAGGCTTTCGATCCTTCCGGATAGTTTTCGCTTCAATCGGTCTCCGATTCTGCCTGAACCCTGCGTAGTGCCTGCTTCGGACCCGGGCTTCGTACTTGAGCCGATACCATATTGCTTGGCGGAAGGTAAAGTGTCGAGTGAAACCATGGTGAATCCTTCGCTTTCCATGATAGAATCGAATTCCTCATGCTCATCCGTTGGATCCACCGAGGACGGTTGTTGGCGCTCGTGAGCTGAGTCGGTCTGATTTGGGCTGCCATTGACAAGTGCAACTGGGTCTTGAGCCTGAGTGTCTTCGTCGGCCAGCGACGAAGTTGGGGTTGGTGTCGGGTATGTACGAGGAGAGACAGTACCGCCCGCGCGGTGAGAAGATAGTGTTGAGGAGCCTAATCTTTCGCGGGTAGGAGTTGGGATTTTGGATGGGGTGGAATGTATATCATTGTCGTCGTCAAGGAAGTGATGTTCGGTGGCGCTGATGACCGGTGTATTGTAAGAACGCCTGCCGTAGTCACGCGGCCCGGCGATATCTTGCCGTGTATTCAAATTCGCCGTCGAAGAGCCAGGTACATCGATGACTGACAAGTCATTCGTTGTAAGGGGACCGCTCTCGTAGTCTCCATCTGTGGATATGTTCATAGGGCTCCACATCCGATCGGGGTTCGCGCTGGCGTCGGTTGTGATGTCCATTGGACTGTAGTTCTGCGACATTGGCTCCGCGCCAGGGGTGTTTTCAATTCTCAATTCGTCGGAAAACATCGAATTCGACGGTAATTGTGGCCTCGGCGTGTTCTTGCGCGGTCGCCCAGGTCTCCTTTTCGGTGTTACGCCTATCGATCCGGGCGCGTCGTCTCCCATTATCCTCGGCCAAGGCGACCCGTTATGCGGTTGTGTTTCTGAATCGTTCAAGCGAATTCGACGTTTCACTGGAGTCCCCCGTTTCATGGGACTCCCTTCATCTTTCAAGGGTACCATGGTTGTCACCGTTGTCGGTCTGGGTCGCTTTCGCGAAGACATCGCGCTGGCAGCATCTTCCCCGTCTTGCGTAGCTTCCAAGGTGACCCTGATGCGCCACGGACTGACATTCCCATCCTGCGCCAGCAGCTTGTCTGGCGAAAGCGACTTTTGGTAACCGTCGAGTTTCATGGCAGGTGATCCAGGGAGGAGGACATCGTCGAATCGAATCGAGTGCGCGCTCCTCGTCGGGCTCAGAGTCATGCGCCGGCGTTTCGCTGGAGTCTTGTGTCGTTTAGTAATGGCAGGCGACAGCCAGCTTTGGCGACCTGAGAAAGGTTTTATTGGCGATGAGATCAGGTACTCGGCGTCCCCAGGAGGGCCTAGAATGTCGGGGGAGGAGCTCTGGCTGCGCGACGTAATTGACATCGCGGACTCGCTTAAGGAGGTCTCGGGCACGCGTTGCGCAGCAAAGGTGGATAGAAGGTGGCCTGTGGAATGCTGTCGAGGGTCGAGTCTCGACGGGCCAGGACTTTGTACATGCACATTCAAAACACCGCGGGGCAATGGCGTAAACAAGTCTCCCAAAGCGGCACGAGTTGGTGCCCACTGTGAAGCCGTTCTCAGTGGACAGGCGGAGGTGGATATGCAGGATTATATAATCTGGTGTTGACGGTCAGGTGGAAACCTTTTGGCCCGGTTGTGGGTCCGTTGCGTTGTGGAAGCCTTTGTTGACATCCGAAGGTCAATCGAGAACGTCAGTCTTGTTTACCTGCTTATTCCGGCTTGTTTCTATCGTGTCCGCGGATTATTATGGAAGTGGCTTTGTAAATATAAACATATTGGGACTCTGATGTGTCTTGAACATATCATGAGTATAAGCTTGCCGTTTACACCTCTTCCTCCAACACTTGTACCTCGCGCACCCGATTCAATTCGGTCCCACAGAGATTGGCGACAGCATGCACACACCCGCAGAGCATCTGAACATCATCTTTGGAGATTCCTACTCTTCGACAGCCCCTCATATGCCAGTATGTCATTCGGGGAAGATCTTGACCCATAACCGCAGACAAGGCGATAAGCTCCGTGTCCACGTCATCCAAGATCTGGCGATCAGACAAGTACAATCCGTATGAAATATCACACAATGCATTCGCAAAATCTTGGTGCTTCCTGAACAACTTCAATAAACCAGGTGTATTCTGAGCGTAAATTTTCTCCAGCCATTCCATCCCCTGTGTGTGGTTCTCTGGACCGGATTGCCATGACTCCCGACTAACCGGCAGATCTATGTTGTCCTCTGGCTCCAGGGTGGAGATCGAGATGATCGCCTCGGCCGGCTTAGGTACGCCCAGTAAGGCCAGTGTCTTGAAGATCCCTTCGTGGAAGCGAAGTGTAAGGGCTCTCCGTTCTTGTTGTGTCGAATACATTGGCTGGCTGAGTAAGTACAAGTATAACTGACTGGTCATTTCGGGCTGTGAGCTTGGGATAATGGCGCCGAGTGTCGTAAGATACCATTTGTGTTGCAGTATGTTGGATTTTTGAAACTTCATTTCGATCTCCCGGAAGAGTTTGTCCCATCTTGGATCAACAGCAGCACGGTCGAAAGCAACACTCTCACTGGTAGACATGCTCGCTATGTTGAAGCGAACTATTCACGACATTGACGAAGACTCATGAGCTGTTTGTGTAGAGAGTGCCTGGAGTCATAATAACCGCTGGCGAGCGGTCCAGTCGTTGCAGCAAGATGACGCATATATCGTCTCATCTTCCAGTATTCGGAGGCAATGTGCGGAGGCCATTTCCATGGGCGGCGCCACGGGTTCGAACCAGCGATTTACGAACGATAAAGCTCGCTGGCGCACTTTTGTTGCGGATATATGGCGGAATAATCTCGGCCACCCATTTTTTAACGAGGCGCAGTCGATGATGAAGTCTTGATAAAGGTGTGTGTGACTGACTGCGTGCATCAGTAAATTCCGTCAGCAGCCACCTTTCGCCATCTCTGGCGCCTACACTACAAAAGATAAGCGCTTCGATCATTGGGAACTAAGACTTCTGGTGATGATTCAAATGAGCGTATTTGTGATTGTTTGGTAAGAAATACAAATGGTATTCGGAAAGGACAGTGTGCTTGATCGCTCTGTCGGAGACCAAGGGCATGAGTGATGATCTGCGTGCCAACATGGGAAACTGTCAGATTTGCCGTCAAGGACTGGGTCTCAAGATCTTGGTCCACTCACTTCAGTTGTGATCATCGTAGAATCTGTGGTTTGGTCATCCAAAAAATAGATCCTGTCGTGAAAGTTTCATGGTTGCATGTGTGCTTTTGACCGCAGGTAACGGAAGACGAAGCCACTAACGGCACCATTTCTGCCAAAGGCATCCTTGTCGAACAGCATAACAGTGTGGACAACCGTTATTTCCCCGACAGTTGCGAATGGTGCCACAGAACTGATAGCATCGAGAAACGCGCTTATCCAGGACATATGCCTCTTTTTCCAACACAGTGCCGCCACGGGGACAGATTGCCCTCACCTCAACGCCCGAAGTGTCTGCAGATTCTTGTGCCGACTGGTCTTGCGCAGATGTTGACTGGAGAGCTTCTTTGGCTCGCTCAGTCTCTTGGGCGAAATATTGATGGGCAACGTCGCTTGGAGTAAAGTGCTCGGAAAGGGTCAGCTCGTTAGATGGGTGAGCGTAGACATCGATTTTCACTTGACCATTTTCGAGGTACATGTCAAGGAAGTGAGAGTCGTGCAAGTTGGAGAGGAATGCATCGTAGCGATCGAGGTCATCCTCGTGGATGGCAGTTCGAGGGGAAAGAGCCTTCAAGCAACACGCTCCGAAAACCATTGTGAAAAGAATGATATGAATGAGTTTGGACAACATGTTTGGGGAAGGAAGAAAAAGGAAAAAAGAGGAGGGAAAACAGGAAATCTGGAGTAAGTGCGTTTGTGCGACAGCCTGGTCTCACGTGTCTCTGAAAGCTCGATGTTTGAGGAAGGAACCCCTCAGCCCTAATGAACGCTTTTGGCAAGTTCCAAAGGAGTTTTCGCTGTAATTGATTGACGAGATGTTCTGAAGAAACTGTGTTTTTATATTCAATTGAGCTATGTGTGTCAGCAGAGGCAACCGCCATTCCACCTGAAGTATGTTTTGGAGCAGAGGTGATTATTACTTGCCAGGGTTTGCAGAATACACCGTTGACTGTGTAACGTTCGTATTTCTCAGCTAGGGGTACTAAATATGCAGCATCATGCTAATACCAACTTCGTACCTTGTAAGGTGCATCATCACTACCTGACCGGTGGATTTGAAGTTATTGCGTTGAGCTGACTCTACCAGTGAGCATTGTACGATGGAAAGTCTCTCCAAACACTAAGAATCTCATTGTGAGGATCGAGCACTATTCGACAACAGCTGCTTAACAGAGTCTTCAATATGGTTCTTTGACCGACGGACAGGCAGAAGCTACTCCCAGTTGAAATACGAGGTCGCAGGCGGTTACCAACATCCTCTCGTTTAGGGTGAGTATTGGGCTTGACATACTAACAATCAGGCCAAATTTCTTTTTGGCGAGTGTATGACAAATATGGGCATCTCGTATTCAAGGCTAATTGCGCATAGGAAACAAAATGAGTCATCGACCGTCGAGTACCCATTTCTTTGATTGACGCTTAGGTATTTCTTCCGAATCTTGGCCGTACACATATAGAAAGCTTGAGTTCTGTAGACTACAGACCCTCGGAAAAGTCTGTGTGCTGTATCAGTAGGTACTACGAGGAAGAAACATGCCTCAAGGGCATAACAAAAGTAGATCGCAAAGGTCTCAAAGTACAGACTCTCCGCCGCAGATGACGATATATTTGTCTCATCTCATGTCTTTCAATCCCTCATTTCTCGCGAGATCGGTGTTACGGGGCTTTTGATCTCACACCCTGTCCATGGATATGGGCGTACATCAGATCATCCATTTGACTGCCCCTCGGATCATAATGGTAGCGCTCCATTGAACTCTGCGAGTAGCTCTCGTGTCTATGCGCGGAGCAAATGTGTAGGGAAATTTCTTCATGTGGCACAGAGTATGCAGATGGAGTCATATTGCCGGTCACGTAGCAAGCTGACCGTAGCTCTCGACAAAAGTCAATAATAAGGTAACATTGGAGTCATCAAACATCGCCTTGAATAGGTCTCATTCGTCCGACCTGAAACATAGTGAGTGATCGCTCCACACAGGACGATGAAGCTCATGATGACATGATGCTGTGCAACTTCCATACCAGCCTGGCTGGTGGTATGCTTGAGTCGTCGTTAGCAGTGTTGTAATTGAAAGAAAGGTACTTTCTACCTTTTGTCTTTGTGTGGATCGAGCTTCCATTACTATCCCGTGGTGATGGCTGGTGTGAGGTAGACATTAGACAGTAGGATACCCTGTGACCAGCTGTACTCCAGCAATACAAATTGCTCATTAACATCTACTTCTAGGGTAACTATTGAAAAGGTATACTCGCCTCCCGTTTGGTCGGGTACAAGAGTTACGGTAGTATGTTCCCCTGTGACTTTAATGCCCGACTCAGACTCAAAACCAGGCAGGAGAGCTGTCCAGCTTCAGCGAAATACGGCTGGACACACCCAAAATTTGACGGCAAGGCTTACAAGGGCAGAATTTATTAGAGTGTATGGGGAGTGGGTGAAATCCATTTCTCCGAACCATTCATGATGAAGCGCTATTCAACTGAAATGCTTGGCGTTGAAGAATTTGCTAGAACCGCTGAAGACGATCTGATCGTCAGGTGGGTTCCTGCAGCTCGCTATGCACAGTACCATTCTTGATCTGCATGGACACGCCGATCCCAAGGCCATGCGCTGACGCTCTATCAAAAGCGCTTGGCAACATGATGTGAGATTTGGACGTTGTATGGAGGCTTTTCCATCAAAACGACGAGAGCTGGCGCCAAGAACAAGAGTTGGAAATTTAACACACGAACCACTGAATTTTGGGGGCATAGTACCTCGGTCTCAGGACAGCAGGGATATGAAGTCGAATCCCCTATGTCAAGCAACACGTGATTAGAGAAGGCCGAGTTGATAGTTGAAACTTGAGTGGTCATTTTCCAGTATCGGTTCGTGGGGGCTGACAATATTACGCTCGTCATCCGGCTGCGTTACCCATTGAGAAGCGAATGGGTAAATCCTCGATCAGTAGATCATCATTTGGCTGTGCACAGCCGAACTTCATCAAGCTCGCGCAGAGTTCAGTGATGTCAATGTCAAATCTGGCACGGGTTTCTGCCCTTCTCAAGAAGTTCTCACATTGTTGTCACCTGGGCTTGGACTGGGGACCAGGGAGCTCACACTCGGTAAAGCAGGCAATCGCAGAGACTCATCCAATATCGGTTGCCCCAGAATCCGTCAAGGTCGATCTCCGCATGCGGCTGGGCCTTTAACCGGCCGTGTCTCTCCGGGGGCCGGGGATTTCCAGAAAGTTTGGCATCACCCAATTTCCACTTGTCCGAATCTAGACATGGAATAGAGTAGTCATGGAAGGGAGTCGCGATTGCTTGGTGAAAAATCAAGTGGAAGACAGCCAAAGTCGTGGCATCCGAGAAAGTACAAGCTCAACTGGACACTCTCCATTGTGTGATTGAATGTTAACTCGGACTTGTTGCGCAGACTGCATGGGAACGTAGCTGTCAATCGTCAACATTAGACATCAGGTTGCGACCAATGACCAGTCACATGCACAGAATGATGGCTTAGCTCTATCCCTCAAAAGTCGACCATGATCCAAAGCTCACTATGGTGGTCACCACACTCCCGCGAATTGATACTGTCCTGGATGGTGGCTGGAAGGAAGCGTGCAGCTCAACCGAGTGCCCGCCGGAGTTTTACCGCTCATGCTCACAGCCTACCGGCAGGAGCAATTCCACAGCCCAGAGAACCCCATATTAACCGTTCCATCCGTATTGCGCCTCTCAGAGCTTATTGTTGATGGTCCACCGAGTGGCGGGCCTGACCAGCCGGACCAGAACCAGGCCAGCTTTAAGCCATGCGAAAAGCCACTCCCCGCATTTGCTGAGCATCCAACAGAATCGCAACAAGAGGAACCGACAGGGACCTGAAGCCTAATCCCAAAACAGACTAGTGGACTACCGCGTCTCCGCTTTCGGTAGCCTCAAGCAGCTCGCGATACTTTGTCTTCTCCGGCGTCGAGATCAAAGATGGCAGTTGCCAGTGCTGGGATTGAACACTTCTCACTTCTCCGGGACGGTAAACAGCAGTGATTCTGTGTAGTGGTCGATACACGAGTGGTTTGTGGCTTACTGTTCTGTGTGTCCGACAATGACTGATCCACTTGGAAACTGGGGCAATCTGCCGTCCCTGCGGTCGGTTAATTGATGAGCGCACGCTAAACGTCAACCGACCCGTCAAGCTGCATTCTTACCCCGGTTTCTTGAAGCTTGCAAGCAATCCCCGCCTCTCCCCCATTGTCCCCTAGCGTCCAGTCATGCGGAGAGAGACAGTGGTGTAAGCAACGCATGACGATGATTACTCGAACCGGAAACTAGCTCTCAACACCATAAAATGCGCAGCTCTCCCCTCGGCTGCATCCGCTCATTCCTGTGTCCTCCACGAGTCACCCCTCAAATCCTCTTCTTCTACTGCTCCTTGTTCCTCACCATCCCCTTGTTTCTGGCTATCAAGATGCATTTCAAGACATACTTGACCGCAGCCCTCGGCGGACTGCCGGTGCTCGCCAGTGCGGCACCTTCCCCTGCCCCTGTCTCCACGTCGAGTGCCAGTGTGAATGATGAGCACTTCAAAAAGTACACGATCAAGTCAGAGAACATCACAGCCACGCTGATTCCCTACGGCGCCGTCTTGACCTCACTGTTGGTCCCTGACCGCCATGGCAATACTCAAGATATCCTCGTCGGTTACGACGATCCCAAGCAATATCTTCACGACAGTGAAACTAACCGCACGTTCTTCGGTGCGGTCGTGGGTCGCTATGCGAACCGTATCAAGAATGGCACCTTCTCCATTGACGGGGAAGAGTACCATATCCCAGAGAACGAGCATCACGGGCTCGACACTCTCCACGGAGGCTTCATTGGCTATGACCGTCGCAACTGGACCGTGACGGCGCACACCGAGTCGTCCATCACCTTCACTCTGCTCGACCAGGGCTTTGAGAACTTCCCAGGAGATGTCATCTCTCATGCCACCTACACTCTCTCGACCCAGAAGTCCGCGGAGAACCCCAAGGGTCTGCCTCAGATGACGACCAAGCTGGTGTCATTGGCCCTGACCAAGAAGACCCCCATTATGCTTGCCAACCACCTCTACTGGAACCTGAATGCCTTCAAGGAGCAGACTATCCTCAATGACACTACCATACAAATGCCCCTGTCTACCCGCTTCATCGAAGGCGACGGTATTCTCATCCCCACCGGAAAGATCGGTGATGTGTCCACCGCCTACGGGGGCGCCCTGAACTTCACCGAGCCCAAGCTCATTGGCAAGGACATTGACAAGACTGCTGGCCTCTGCGGCACGGACTGCACCGGCTATGACACCTGCTTGATCGTGGATCGTCCCCCCGCCTACGCTGCTCAAGACTCCGTGGTCCCCACCGTGCGTATGGCCTCCGAGCGCACCGGTATCTCCTTGGAGATTGCCACCAACCAGGCTGCCATGCAGATCTACTCCTGCAACGGCCAGAACGGCTCCATTAAAACCAAGCAGACCCAGGCCAAGCGCAACAAGGACCAGGATGGCCACGAGGGTGCCACCGTCGTCAACAAGTACGGCTGCGTGGTCTTTGAGACCGAGGACTGGATCGATGGCATTAACCAGCCTGAATGGGGTCGTCGCCGCTACCAGATTGCTGGTCCCGAGGATGGTCCTGTCGTCAACTTTGCCACTTACCAATTTGGTACCTTCTAGAAGTTGGGGGTATTGTGGACTGAAGGTGATGACTTTCCTGTTCCTGGGATGCAGCAGTGAACTCCTTTCGAAAAATTTCTTCTCAATCTTGCAATGAGGCTAGGATGCCAGTGGGTGCCGTGATTCGGCTTTCCCTTAATGTGCACAATCAGTCCTGACATCCGTACCAATGAATGATAATGCCATATTCTAAATCTTTTGTGTTTCCTAAACTGTCTTCTTGGTCTGATTTTCCAGTGAGATATTTCCCGCCTTGTAATTGCTGTGTCTAGGATTCGAGAAATTTGCTGTCTACCACACCCGGTTTACATTTACACTGGGTCTATAGGCGTATGGGCATGAAACATTCATGCCCCCGAAATATGTATACTCGAAATATGTCCCGGTGTCCACTAACACCAGTCACAAGACGCTACCCGTGGGCCCGACTATGCTCATCGACTCGCATCACTCTGTTTTTCCTGATTACAATCAATCCTCACACATAGTAGTGCCTGCGATTCATAATACATAGGAGGTTGATTCTTGAAAAGTATGATTCTTCCTCATCATTATTCACGTAAGAAAATCACAACTTGGCAAGGACATCTCGCCCTGTCACACCGGTCCCCATCAAAATCTTCTCGTCCCAGTAATTAGGATTGAAAGTGATCCGATTGAGTGGATTCAATCGATGCGCTCGATTGAACAGGTCCTCGTACACTCGTCCGCCGTAGCGTCCAAGGGCACTGATCACACCGAATTAGCTCAAAAAAATCCAAATGTGCTCTCGGTTCATGAAGGGGCCAAGTACCTGTCAAGTAAGTAGTCAGGAATCTGCCACGAGTCGACGAGCCTCACGGCATGAGGGCGAATCCACGCCATCCGGACTTGGATCTGCGAAGAAATGGCCTCGAGCTCGAATTGGGTAACAGCTTTGCAGCGAAGAAATAGACGTGGAGATCCAGGTTAGGTGAAATTGAAACAGAATACTCTTGGTAAGTTGGTTTATCCTCTTCTTTACTCACATTCAAATGCGTCGCTCTCTAGGTTCGTTAGAGCAAAAAAGCCGGAAGAGGTCCCATAGCTTCGATTTTGTCGCGTCTTCGAGAGTTGTCTCGGACGATAAAGCATGGTAGAAAGTCGAAACCAGAATTGACTGGGAGTTGGCTAGAAAGGTGAATGTCAGTCTCTAGAATGCGAAGATTTGCAGTATATCTTATGCAAACCTTTGCTTAATTTGTGTAGTTGAATGAGGAGGCTGTTCCATTTTTGTTTCTTGATGACGCGTTGCTCGTGCGCCTCATAGGTCTGTTACAGGTTAGCAATGCCAAACGTGACGCAGCTTAAAAGCCACTACATGCCTACGGCTGGCAAGACCAATGTGCGGTGCGCAACCTCCGCTCCCTCGATACCACGCAGCAGCCATATTACCTTCTTCTTACCATCCAGCGATTGCTCAACTTTACGGTGGACATGATCATCGCCATCATGGCCATTCTTCTGATTGTCCTGGTCATGCAGGCCGAATCACTAGTCAGCCCGAGATCTACACGGGCGTGGCGCTGTCAAACCTTACGTTGTTAAGTCAGGCGATGAAGACTCTCGCCATGTCGTGGACTCAGCAGGGAAACGAATATTGGATCCATACCGCGTGTCAAGGCATTTGCCGCTGCGACCGAGCGCGAGAATACAAATGAGAGTGCTTATGAACAACCGGTTGACTGGCCGTCACGCGGTGAAATTGAGATTCGCATCCCGTCTGCCTGGTATACGTACGCTTCTTCGCTTCTGTTCCTTGTTCATAGCGGTCAAATAACCAGTGAGTGATGCACAGCCGCGGCGACAGTGACAGTGACACGGAGGTCCTGGCGGTAGATCTACTGCCAAAACGAGCTCCGGCACTGCATGGTTATCTCTGTCAATCAAGGCCAAACCACAAATTACAGCTGGAGTGGATGAAGAAAAATGCCATGAGTAGAAAGTCGAGTAAGTAGCCTTCACGTGTGCTCGAACCAAATGCTCGAGGGCAGGGCCGCTACCATGTCTGATTTCATCTTGATGTTGCATTCATGGACACACTACGTATATTCGTGTCAACGTACTCGCGCTGAGCACGAATCTAGTCCAAAGTAGTTGATTCAGAGCATGGCTCGTGAGGATCATCTTTGCCCATACATTGCGCAGAAAATAGCCCCAACGTGTCAATCAGAGTGAGACGGATTCATCGACACCTCCGTAATTTTCTCCCCTCAGCAAAGACATCATCGAGATAGGCGGCTCATACTGGAATTTCGAATACACCATGAAATCAGGGCGCCGTAGGCGGCCCGGCCATTCGATTTTGTAGCAAGCAGGACCGACGAGAGGTTCGGCGCCCCCCAAGTCGTGGTTTCATCCTATGCGACAATCGCCAGGGCTTGTGGCTGCATCTTGGCCTCCTTGATGAATGTGCGATGAATCGTAACCAGAATCAAGAAGGTGGCTTTGTGGCTTCCATTCCGCTCCCCGAGCAGAGCTTAGCTACGTGACCCGACCGGGCTGAAACCCTGGACTTCAGTGGATGAACCCTCTTGAGCTGGGTCGGGATGACGGTTCTGATCGCGTCCATTCATACGGTAGGGAAATAGTCAATGACTGTCAAATTCCAGTATGTGGGAGTTACACCAGTGTGGGCGGCGGAAGATATGACATTGACTGTGAGGTCGTACTGCAAGGTGCTTATATCTTCGTTGAGTAGTAGTAATGGGGGGGGGGGGGGTACTGCAGCCGCTGAGGCTGCGGCCAGGTAACCAAGACAGATATTGTCTGTGGCGGCGGAAGTGCAAAAGGCGAGTGCCCGAATTGTATGGGAGACGTGGGTAACGGTTGTTTCGTGCATCTCGCAGGAGTGGCGGAGGTTGTAGATGATCTTCCAGTCTAGCGATATTTCCACGGACCGCAGTTGTCTCTCCTCGCTCGACGCGTCTGGCATTAGAGGAGTATTTAGGGCTGCCCGCCAGAGATATGCATGAACTGGTCCTCATCTGCCGCGTTCCGAATGCTTTACTGACGGAAAAGGAAGGAACCCTAATACCCGGTTGCTTCCGTGGACCGCTGTGAGAAATGACCAGACTGTGATTTCTCTAAGCAATGACAAGAGTTTCTGGAAAAACAAGAGCATATACCATTTTGAAGCTCCCCTCTAGACCTTGGATTTCATTCGACACGGCTGTCGCCAGATACTGTCTGCGCAAAGGGCCTGGCGGTTGACAGCCTATTCTCAGGTGTTGTGAAATTGATCGAGGTCGACGGCAGCACCTTTTAAAACGTGCAGGGCGTAGGTGAAGCTTATCGGGTAACTCGCAAGTGACTAGCTCATGCTCCGCAGGAAGGCTTCCTGCGATGAAGAGCAAGGGTCGCTATCCTCGACGAGGGGGCCGTAGGTCGTCCAGTACTCAAGTCAATCGGCTCAGCTCAAGCGATCCACTCCGCGGCAAATGAGGGAGGGCAGCATGGGAAAATCGGCAAGACTCCGCTAGACCTGCGTCGGAGGAAGCTCATTGACGACTAACCTCAACTGCATCGGCAATAAAATGCATCGCTTGGCTTTTTTAAGTCACTGAGCGGCTCAGTTTGGTGCTCATTTTGTGGTGACCCACATGTTGTCTTGAGTCTGGACTAGTTTGATGTACATTCCGTACGAGCTGAACTTCCAGCCTCGGGTTGAAGTTGTCGTTCTTTCCAGGAGGCCGGCTTTCCTTGCCCTAGGATGGCAGGAACAGCTCGAGAGTCATGGGGCATGTAGAAACCGTCAACGTCACAGGCTGTACGTCTCGCAAGACTCACTCGGTACCATAGTCGCTCTGCACCCGTAGCTGAACCTTGGTCCGGATGGGTCGATATGGTGACGAGATTTTCAGTGCTCATCCGCTACCTGGAAGGAACCTCCTGCTCATACCTGTCGGACAGCAGAATAGGTCGCTGCCTATCTTCGTCCTCTGTCAAGTTTCTTTGATCTGAATACTAAACCGATGTCTCGATTCTGAATTGATCAGCATTTGAGTTGTCTAGGTGAACTTGCAACTACTTACCGTTCATACTTCACTACGAGCGGACTGTGAAAGTCCCGGTCGAGATTGATTTTTCTTCACATCAGCCGTGCTTGCCCTATCGTGGTCGCCATTCCCGCCTACAATAATGCATCCATGGAAACGGGACAAGGCCCGTGACCTTCCGCAGTTGGACTCGGACCTGATACTATTCACAGCGTAAGCATGACATGTAGAGCCTGCCGAAACTGGACTCGGACTTGATTAGGAAAGGTAAACATGACGAATAGAGCCTTCCACTTTGAAGTATACATACCCATCATCAAGCAATATCATTCTCCTCTCTTCCACCATCCCTTCGCCGTTTTCTTGTTGGAAAAACCTGTCACAACTACCCAAGATCCATCAGAGTTCCCATCAAATTTCCCAATTCCTGTTCTTCTTTCAAAAATCGAGCTAGACACCATGTCTTCCGACTCCACGCTTGCAACGGGGTCCCTGCCAGACTCCATTGAAGAGTTGGAAAAGGAAAGAAAACTTGCCAACCAGGAGGTTACCACCGAGTTGAAAGCTCTTAAAGCGCGGGGCTCCTTCAATAGCCAATTCTGGGATCAAGCCCACCGAGTGCAGAAATGCAAACTCCGACGTTCGGTGATCGAGCGCAAGATTTCCCGCACCAAGTTCCCAGGCGACGAGGAGAATTACAACAAGTCGCCTGAGGGGAAATCAAAGCTGCAACAGGTCAACGCACAACGAAGCCTTTGCAAAATCACCAAGCGACGTGCACAGGCGAAATCCCCACGCAACAAGGCTCGTTCTGCGAAGCAAGCTGAGTCATGGTTGACACTTTTCACCACACCGAAGATGGGCTTGGGCATCACAGGCACCGGTGCCGGACAAAGAGACTCGAGCGCGCAGTCAAATTTTAGGGCGCAGCTCATTGAGAAATACGGCGCACAGCACGAGACCGAGTCCAAGTGGTTATGGTGTCCCATCCTGCACTCATGGGAGCTGTCATCAACTATGAAGGCATGCCATATCTTTCCCTGGCTACATTCTAAGGCCAATATAAGAGCAATCTTTGGTCGAAGAGCAGGAAAAGACATTTTTGGACCCTCAAATGGTCTTTTGATGCACGAAGTTATCGAAGAAAACTTCGACAAGGGCAAGCTGGTGATAGTTCCAGATGTCGACGATCTCTCGGGAAAGCTTGGCATCATGCGTTGGCTATTCTCTAAGCCACGCAACTTCAAAGTGCAAGTTCTGGACCGCTCCGAAGCGTTCTTGATACGCCAAGTCCACCCAAATCACCCGTTGAAATACTGTGACTTGGATAATCGTGTCTTGAGCTTCCGCACTGACTTCCGCCCGGCCGCACGCTACCTCTACTACCACTATTGCGTCAGCATTCTGAAGACATCCTGGAGCCACAATAACAATGGCAAAGCTAGCAAAACGGTGGAGATCCTGGCCCAGGAGACCGACAAGCCCATCTGGGCCACACCTGGGAGGTACATCGCCCGAAACATGCTCCAGGCTCTGGCCGAAGAAGTTGGCCATAGTGAGAATGCGCTGTTGGCCGGCGCCGACTCATGCCTCCCGGTCAGGGACATGGACAAGATGGCCCTGGTCGAGCTGACAGCCGCTCATGTACAGAGACGGCAGGCGCTCGACTCAGACTTGTTCCATGATCCGGCTCAAGTCGAAGGGCAGGACTTAACTCTGGAGGGATCGTCTTCGGAGAGTACCTTGGGCAGCGATGACTCCGACGGGGACAGTGAGACGGAGTAGGGATGGCTTTGAAACCTGGAGGGAATGTCTTTGCTATTCTGTAAATAGAACCAATCAATTATCATTGCTCAACGGAAAGAAGGCGGCCGGAACTACGCTTGGAACTTGTACATGGTGTATCAATTTTTGGAGCGCTGGCGGATATTATGGGGTGGATAGACATAATTATGTCGAAGAGAGGCATGCCTGACATCTCCCAGGCATGCTGAATCTGGGCCGGGGAGCGGTTCTGCTGGCCGAGCTTTATCACTAGTCGCTCTACACATCATGCACCAGCTCACGTACTCGATTAGCCGGTGCTGTAGATTACCGGCATAGCAGCATGCTGATGATCGCATCCATACCCCAGGTCGCTTGGTACAGATCGGATGTGGTGACGCTGTGCCTCTCGCCGAAGGCTCGGGCACTGCTCGACGAGGTTGGAGACACGTAGAACCGGACAGGGTGTAGCTGATGTGATGGAGGAGAGCTACCTGTGTGCGACGGTATAATGTATGGCTGTGTTGCGCCAAGGGACCTTGTCTAGTACGAGAGGGTCTCCGTCGTAGGCATCTCGTGGAAGTATCGATAGAATCGAGCATAGGGTGGGAGGGCCAGAAGGCAGCAGCCTATTATAGGCGGCGGCAAGGTCCTGCAGGTCGATCCTCGTGAAGATGGTATTCATGATGGCGTCATTGATCTCAAATTGACAGAAACCCCGGTCTCGGTCTTCATCAGCAATCAGCAGCTTATGTGCGAGGTGGAACTCTTCATGGTCAATTCTAGCGGTTGACTGTAGTATATGCATCACTTGGCTATTGCTGCATTATATAGGCTGTGTTCGCGGGATTGCCTCCTGGAGCACGAGCTGGAAAAGTGCGGCGTTTTCTACGAGGTGGTAAGAAACACGGGGCGCAGAATTGCATGCCTCTGCACGCCTTGCTTTTATACACCGAGAAGCCTCTCGACGTCTACTATGTCTTCTTGGTGCTTTCTGCCTCGAACGGTAGCTCGACCTCGTGGGAGCCCTTCATCCGAAATCGGCCGATTGAGAAACCTCGCTACATCGACGAGTAAAGATACACATCCTCGATATACGCAGCTGAGCTTAGCTCCACCCGCAGTTCAATGCGTGGACAATCTCTGAACCGTTCTCCAGAAGCGAAAAAAGTGGACAGTCACCGATCGAAGCTTTGGTGGTGAGGCGCGGGACGACATCAGCAATGCCGATGAGAATCTGGACGAGCCTTGATGCGACGTGACGAATCTGGTTATGATGTTAAACGTGTCTGTTGAAGGTGATATCTGCCGCAAATGACCCGGGACAACCACCGCGGACAATTTGAGTGCGAAGCGTGGGAAGTCCCAGTCGATATCTCAAGACGCCTCAATGACCAGGTGCAGTTCATCATTGAAGAAGGCATCGAAGGTCTCCAGCTGTTGAGTCTGGCCTCGGTAGTTGAAATTAGCTCCACCGATCAGCCTGCTGCAAAAACTTCGGTGTCTGCGGTCGTTGGCGAATCAAGAGGTGAAATAAGACCATTGGTGTCACGACAGCCAAAGGCGAGTCTTCTGCATTTGGCAAATCGAATCGATAGCTGTCACCGGCCCTCGGTTGAACATTAGAGGCGCCATGATGGTGAGCCATTGCACAGATCGGTTGAATTCTATCTCGTCAGCCCAGGGCTGACGGCCGGGCCTTTCGGGGTCGGAGTCAGGGCTATACGAGCCGGGAATCTTTACACAGAAACTTGCATAATCGCCGTCTTCGGGACATTCAAAGGCTCTAAGCAGAACTCGTTGTGTCTCATGTGTAGCAGAGTCGACGTGCGCTTGCTAACAATGAGCATATTCTGTCTCGCCATGTCCTGCACGGTGTTCGCAGTGTTTCACAGGCACTAGTGCGAGTATTTCGACACAGGAGTGATGTCTTGGCTAATTCGGTTAGCCGATAGATTACAATTAGCTATTCAGTCTGCAATTTAGGGTTGACCCAGTGCTGTACGGAGCCAGGGCGGGAACCTGCGCGCCAGCAGACCCTCTTTGTGGCCCGTCGGAATCACACGCCAGAGTAAGATATGATCAATATCAACGACAAGTTGGTGCCGACTGAGTTTCTTCTAGGGATTGAGGATTTGCAGTGTTGTCAAATTCTAGGGAGTTTGGGCGGCGCAAACAGGGCATAAGAGAGTGAATCAACGGCCACGTGCCGTTCAGCAGACAGTCCAAGCTTGAAGACAAGGACAGGCGTACTGTTGACGGCCCTATCATTGCACAGCCGGCATTCTATTTCGCCAATCTTCACGTATTGAACCAGGTCACCAGTCCGCTACAAGCTACGTGTAAAACTCGGATCGGCCTTCTTCACGGGTCAGCTACATCCGATAATGAGATTGACCGCTGTTTTGGGTTCGTCTCAGGGATAGGCTCGAGCTGGCACCGGTCCCTCAACTAGCAACTCACCTACAGTATCAACCGGACCCAGCTGGTAGCAGGTCGGGCTGATTCTCGGCCGATTTGCAGGACCGGTCGTCCAGGCTGCTGGTCAAATGTCCAGCATACGCATGCACACGTAGAGCGAAGTGGAGTGAGGACTCTCCCATGGTAGTTTCCAAGCGAAAGGCGAAGATATCAGCAAAGAGCTGAGTCCACTCGGTTATGAAAGAAAGTGGCCATTGGCCAATCTCTTCTCACAGTCAAGAACTCAAAGCACACGTCTCCAGTGACGGTATATCTTTGGAGGAAAATCGGCAGACCATCTGGGAGACGCTCAATTTGGTGAGCTCGCTCTCGCAGCAGAAGGCGTACAGATGGCCGGTGAGTGGGCTAAAATAGGTTTTTGTGGAGCGTCAATTGTCACGGTTGGCGTGTAACACCTTTTGATATTTTCTGAAGCCTGGGGAGAGGCACGCTTCCACCTCTGCAGGGCTGATCTGCCAAACGGACAGAGGTCAGATGCTCCGTAGTTGACTCATCGGGTTTAGGGCTTTATTGTATTGACCAAAACACAATTGACCAAAACACAATCCTTGCTTGAAAAGCCAATCTCAAGTCAATTTCATACACAGCGGTGAGTCTTTGCCCACATGGGAACATACCTTGTTGATCGAGCGAGCACTCCCACGTAACCTCCACATGTTCTAGGTCAAATCCAGAATTGACTTTCTTCTGTAGCCGTCTCAGCTTATCGGCCGTAGGGTTTGAAATCACAAGCAAGCAGGGAAAGGTGCGCTGCATTTGTTGCAGGTAAACCCAGGAAACCCCATGGCAATCTTGGTCAGTGTGGCCTCCAGTGCTGACCCACACTTCCCGATGCGGTTGAAGTGCTTCGAATTTTCGCTATTTCCCTTGTTGAGGTTATTTTAAGCAAGCGTCGTCCCCGTATGACTTTTTTTTCTGTATTACCGCAGTAGAAAACTTGAACAGCGTCAGACGCGGATTCTAGAGCTCAAAGTCGTACGTGAGCGTCTGGCCCAAGTCGGCCGTGCCCTCAAGCTGGAAGACTATCTCAACTCAACTTACTAAAGTTGCTGTGACTTCGATCGATGTGTGGCTGCGGAACAGCTGTCACCTAAGAGGACCAAAGAAGTGCTCGGAAGATCAGTCGCTGGGGTTGGCCAGCTTCGATCGTAATCTGCAGATATGGACGGCGATGATGTCCACGCCAGATGGTACGTCGGAGAAAAGAAGGAGGGGGGAGGCATAGTAGTGAGCCGACTCAGGATGCGAGATATACTCGAAGGTCTCGTCCCGTAGCTCGCGGTTGTGTCACTAATTGTAGGCAGCAGGCATTTATGCTTCTGGTAAGGCCTGAACAAAGGAGTGCAGTACTATAACGATAGAAATTTCCTCTGTCTGCGGTTTGAAGAGACTGCTCTAACCTTCAAACACACCTGGTCGTACCCTTGTCGCAGCCGAGGGCATTCCGGACAAAATCAGCACAGATATTGGCATTGAGCTGTAGTCCTCACAGGAATGAGCGCGCTCGGAAGAACAAGGCTTTTGGGGGTTTGATGCCCAGTGCACGTCCACTTTGTGGTTCACCAGGTCGCCCAGCAAAGGTGGAGCATTTCTTGGGCACTCCAGCCGTGCTTCGGGTCCATGTATAACAACGACTTGCCACAAGAAAATGTCGATGACAAGATGGTGAAGTATCATGGCGAGAAGGTTTGCCTTAGCGCTGACAACGAAGGTGGCCGCTGCAAAGGCTGGTCCACCGGCGATGGCAATGACATGCTGAGCGGCATCCATCATGAGAGCGATATTTTTGCGCGGTCTCGAATGCAGCTATCTGAATTTCGTGCAGCTGGCTACGTGAAGGAGGCGCAGTCAGCAAGATGGAAGAAAGAGATTATAAGATTTTAGTAGGTGAGAAAGACTAACTAAGCTGACTGGTGAAGGCAAATCACATGCCTGCCAAACACAATCGAACGATGCAGACGTCAGTGGAGTCACAGATCGTGTTAAGTCATTGCTTTTTTGACGGTAGCACGCAGCAATGTTTGTATGGCATGTGATACTGCCGACTCACCGCAGTCCATAGCCTAGATAGAATCTCTCCCCAATGGCAGTCTCACTCATCATCCCTCTCACACATCGATACTGCTGCCCCTACCGTAGCCGTATCTCATCAAGAGACCATGCCATCTCCCTCTCACAGACGAATTCGAGACGCCTAACGAAAGTACAGCGTAGAACATCGCCCTTGACTAGACCGCCTCTTCGCTCACGACTTCATGCCGTGCCAATGAAGTCCTTCCCGACAGCGTCTTTGCCTCTATGTGGGGTCGACTACTGCAGTGCCACACCAGCATAGCCTGTTTTACTTCGGCAACATCTCCAGCCGTAATGCGAATGTCGCCGGGATCGACCAGACCGTTAGTTCCAATGTCCTCTCAAAACAGGCATTGATCGTGCCAGAAGTCTGATCAATAGATCTTGTTCGTTAGAAACAGACGCGCTACATTGAAGGTCTCTCGCACAATCACATGTCTCTGTCGAGCATGCAGCGTGTACTCGGTATCTCGGTGTAGGCGTTTCTCAACACCATCATATCCATCCAGTAGTCGGCCTCTATGTCGTCTACTTCATCATCCCCGGAGAGACTGCGTGTTTGAGTGATTCTGCCTCTCCAGCAAGGGATCTGCCGACTCACCACGGAAGGACCCACAAACCCATTTAGATAGCTTCACTTCCTTCCTTTCCTCACACACCAATTCATGTTGTGTTCACCTTCCTCTTCCTTCCTGCAGATCGATATCTGCGAATACAACGTGCCTCGCACTCCAGTCCACGAACATTACTCCCGTGGCCCAGCTCTGTCTGGGCATATGCCCCAATAATTTTCCAAGACTCACTCAACGGCAGCCAGGAGGTTTGCTGCTGATCGCTCGCCTGCTCTCGAACCGTCGTCACAAACAACTCTGTCTGTAGAAAGTACGGTGAGACATCGTCTACCAGGTACTGGGCCATCTTGTAATCTTCATCGCTCCACTGATGCCGATCTGCCATGCGACGAAGCAGTTTTGCCCGCGCCAGCGCAAGCTTGAACCTTTCCACGCGTAAAGAGATGCTGCTGCGTCGCTTTTGAAGACAAGACCTCGTTCTGAAGCAGAGCAAGGATACGGGTCTGTCGCTGGAGGAAGCCATCAGTGGAAAACAAGTGCTGACTCAAGTGGTGCACGTTGACATCAGATTGCGCTCGCTCACTGGTGAGAGTGGTAGATCCATTTGGATGACTTGGTCGAAGGGCATCAGTGAAATCCGGCATGATAGCGACATTGATCGTGTCGAACAACGTTTCTGGAGCTGAGTTTCAAAGAAGGAAAGACACACGTGTCCGTTGAAACATGTCTCTACCACAATCCGTGATCGGAGCACATACATCAACTCGCTTTTCGGCGTTTTAACGGCAAGCTTGCTATTGAACATGACCAAGTGCCGAGTTGCCGTTAATCGCTTGGATGGATGCGGGGTTAACCTGGGGAAGAGCCACGGACCGAGTTGGATTTTCCTGTCATCGGCAACAAGAGTTCAACGCGGGGTATTTCTAATCGTGGGGCTTTATGCATGGATGCACTATGGAACCCGTGTTTATTGTCATTGTTGGGGAGAGAGCAGAGGAGCGTGCGGTAGATCTAGTAGGCGGGAATCGATGACCACTGCATTCCACTCTGAAGAATCGCATCCGTGCAGCTGACTCCAATAACCTCATTTTTCTCTGAATGACTGGAGCAATGGACGATCGAACTCGGTATATACCCTCCCATACTGGGAGACATGTGCTTCCCAATTTGCCCTTTTTTCACAAATTACTTCGCTTCGCCCAACGCAGACCTCCTCGTGTAGCTGTACGAGATGTGAATGCAGGCCTGGAAAAGACCTACCAGGAGGTGGTCTCGGATGCCCTTGTTTTGCGAGAAGAGTTGGCCAAGACACTGTCATTAGAGACTTTGAATAGCCTGTTCCGGGACGAAGAAGTCTTCGTCGGGCTATTAGCCCCGGGAGGATATGAGTATACCGTGGGATTCATTGCGATTTTGTCTTTAGGTGCTGCAGTCGTACCGCTTGGTGAGTCCCAATGACCCTCGTTCGTTGACTTTTCGCGTCTCTGGAGCGATAATAACAAACGCATTGTACTCAGCTTCTGGGCTTCCAGTGGTAGAAGCTTCTTATTTCCTCCACAAGGCTCAATGTGTGGCCTTGCTGGTTAGTGAGACGAACGTATCCCTCGGTCAATCTATCATACGTTCCCTAGAAGAAGAGAAGCATTTTCATCTCCCATGTCTACCATCAATTGCATCTTTCTTCTCGTCTCAACCTACTTCCGCCGACGAGATAGTCGTTTCGTCCAACCGGATGCTCGATATGAATGGCGCAAGTGCGGTCATCTTCACCTCGGGGACAACTGGTCCCCCCAAGGGCGCGGTCCAACGACGTACCTGGTTGACAGGCAACGCAGAGGCCGACGCAGACTTCTACCGCATCACCGAGCAAGATGTCGTGCTTCATGTCTTGCCAGTTCATCATGCCTCCGGCGTAGGACTGACTTTTCTTCCCTTCATCATTGCTGGCGCTTGCATTGAGTTTCGAAGCGGCAGCTTCGATGCCGCATGGACGTGGGAACGTTGGCGGCGTGGTGGGCTGTCCTTTTTCTCTGGCGTTCCTACAATATACATGCGACTGATGCGCTATTTTGAAGAGGCAATTGCCTCACGACCACCCGAGGAACGTGTTGAATATGCCGCTGGGGCGCGTAACATCCGCACGATGCTCTGCGGATCATCAGCGCTTCCTGGTCCAGTTCAAGACTTCTGGGAGAACCTGCGACAACTGCCCATTCTCACACGCTATGGAGCTACAGAATTCGGGACAGTCATTAAAACAGACTTGGATCCCTCTGGAACTCCACGCAACAGTGTGGGTCGAGTGGTTGAGTCAGCTTCTCTTCGGCTCGAGGATGATGGCCATCTCCTGGTGAAATGTCCCTATATGTTTTCAAAGTCAGTATCACCGTCTTCAAGTCATTCCTGAAGAGAAGTTAACCTAGACGTTATTTGTTTCTCAGATATCTTCACGATGAAAAGGCCACGATCGAGGCTCATGACAAAGACGGCTATTTCAAATCCGGGGACATTGCCCGTCGCGATGGTACGTATTACTTCATCCTAGGGCGCGCTTCCATCGACATTATCAAATCGGGGGGCTACAAAATCTCCGCATTGGATATCGAGCGAGAAATTCTCGGTCTTCCGTATGTCGCCGAAGTGATGGTGGTGGGAATACCAGACGAAGAATTCGGACAGAGAGTAGCGGCTACTGTCAGTCTGAAGAAGGAATCTGGCGGCAGCAGCAGCAGCAGCAGTCGCACTCGAACGGAACTTACTCTTCAGGAGTTACGACATGATCTTCGCACGAAGTTGGCTGGCTACAAGATGCCAACAATCCTGCGGCTCGTTGAAGGTGAGTTGCCTAAATCGGGCACTGCCAAGGTGCAGAAGAGAATTTTGGGTCCCGCCTATTTTCCACCCAATTTCCGCGATATTCCGGAGGTCCAGGTGTGGCAGAGTGACAGCAAGTCGAAGCTGTAGACTTGTCTGAATAGGATTGTCTTTTACACAGGATAGGTGCAGCAGTATAGATGCGCTGCATTCCCGCTAGTCTACACAGAGCATGTTGCACATCGAATAGATTACTATGAGAAAAATAAATCACCTCAGATTTTCGCCTTTGCGGGTGCACTGGTCATCCGACTATGCACATAGCTGATTTGCTGAAACTTCTTGACAGCATCTCCCCAGAGTTCCTGTCGTAGAAGAGCATAGACTCTACAAACGTTCGTCAGTACCAACCCTGATCTCCGAGAAGAACACAATAGCATGGGAATTTCAGGACCTACCCCATCTTCGCTTTGGGGGCCACTTTCTGGCCGAGTTCCAGAGCAACATCGAGCATTTTCTCTGGCTCGGCAACCGCGTCAACAATCCCATCAGCCATGGCCTCCGATCCGGTCCACCTGTGGGCCTCGAGAAGCATCTTCCGTGCAATCTGCGGCCGCAATTTGAGTCTTGGAAGAGAGCCAATGCCATCAAAGTGCAGTCCAAGGTTGACAGGCGGCATGCAGATGAATCCACGTTGCGAGTTCATCACTCGATAGTCATGAGCCAACGCAAGTGGACAAGCGCCGCCAAAGGTGTGGCCGGTCAGTAGGGCGATGGTTGGGTAAGGGAAGTCGAGTATGGTGTGGATCAACTGTACGTCTGTTTGTAAGCCACTTGAATATTATGTGGTAGAGACTGAGTTCGACGAGACGATGCCTCAATTGTGAAGCCCGTACCGGATAAAACCCGTCAGAATTAGCGAAAGGATTCGTATCTGACTCGTCAAGTTCCAAACCCTAAGTTGAAGATATCAGTATGTCTCATCATGCGGACTGGTCATTTGTCTACGAGGCAGTATACGAACAGTACACCAGAATTTAGCGTCGTTGCCTCGCGTGATCACCGCACCCTCAGAGTCAGGACCAAGAAGCCTTTCAACTGTTCGATATGCGCGGATCATCTCTTGGCAGAATTGTGAGTTCAGCCGGTTCTCTGGAGGTTTCTGCATGGTCAACACGAAGATATTTCCATGTCTTTCGACTGCGAGGTCATTGAACTTGGGGATGTCGGCCATAATGAGTGATCGATCTCGTGAAGAGCAGGTAGTTATGGTGGAAGCAACTTATGCCGAACAATTCTCGGCCAATGGGTGATAGCTTTGATATTCCAGGGACGTCGACTGATGAGGTCAAATTTTGAAATTGAAATTCCTATCACCTATGCCATGCAGTAACTGGTAGATGTACGCCAAGTACTCCAAATTGCATAAAAAGCAAGATGCAGCGTTTCCCCGCACACGCTGGTCCCTCGGATCCCCACAGGCTAGCCGAAGCCCTTGCCACATAGAAGGGTAAGGCCGATTGGCGGTATAGAGTATAGACATCTCGTTAGTCGTGTATACTCAAAAGAGACCATCACATTTGTAGAGTGTGTAGACGAAGGCAGGCAGTCCACACTCTTCGCGAGAAGCACATGAGGCCTGCCTCGCGAGTTGTCTGTTGCTTTTGTTACACCCACTAGACTGGCGAGACGGGCCATTCTCTTAGTACTGGGAGACTCGAGAAAAACCGACTTCGCATCTTGCCTAGAAGGAGTCAAGATTTGCAAGGAATCAAGTGTATGACTCAGACCCTAATTTGTGATTCAAAATTATCATGCGAAGGCGGTCATTCTGGGGACGACTAGGGGTATCTAAGCAAGCAAATCCGTCGTCTATCATATTAATCTCTCAGGCCCAGCCAGCGAGGGTCCAACTGGATCGATCACCCGCTCTTAACCCAGATCGACGATCGGGGACGACAGGCTCGGATTCACGACTTGCACCGGCGAGTCCATGTTGCAAGAACTTTTCCCGCTCAATCTCAACCATACCTCGCAATTTCAAGCTGGTCACCAGACTGGCGCCTGCCCATGCACCGAGAGATTCGACCTCCCTTACGACTCCGTGAATTGGCACATAAGATTCTTTGTTCTGTCGACGCAGCTTTTGCTCCACGAAATCCATCTCCGGTTCTTCCTCCGAAGAGTGTACTTTTGGAGGGTCAGGGGCACTTCCCTCATTTTGCCTGGCTGGTGGCGCCTGCGCTTGTGCTTGGGTGGGAGGTCGAGATGATATTCGCATGCTCTCCAGCCGCTGGCGTTGGCGCTCAAGAGCTTTGCCTCGAACTGGGCTCCATCCATACTGCTTGATGAGTAGAGACAATTCCTCAAGGACTCTCTTTCGTAAGCCCGGAATTCGGGAACCGCCACCAACGAAAACAATACGAGACATACAAATGCCGCGCGCATCAGGCGGCAAGGCCAAGAGAGTGTGGTAAACAAGTAGCGGAATCGGCTTTTCCTCGTCGTCCAAGTCTCCATCGGCCGTTCCAGATGCCAACAACACTGTGTCGACTGGGTCGGCAAAGCGTGAAAATGGCACATCAATGAATTCTTCTCCGGGATTGACAGGAGACGGAATTGAAACCTTTTGTGTTGCGGTAGGCGGGTCTTCGTGACCACCAGCGTGCGGCCGACACCAAACAATGCGCGCAAGAATCTCTTCGCAGTATGCAAATCCCACAGATATGTGCCCTTCGGGACTTGCGACGAGCTCATCTCCAGAAGCCAGGCGATCCAGACAGCGGCCCATCTCCTGCTGCAGGGATTTCATTGCCCTAGTACTTCTTTTTGAAGTGACTTCTCTGTACTCATACAAACCTGTCACTGTAGTCTCTGCCCATCCAAGATCAATGACTAGGGCAGACCTCAGCCCCGCTGCGGTTGCTGACATGGCTGCACTTGGGAGCAGGGTGATATTAGGAAACCGCCAGCGGCTGAATAATGTAGAAAGCAATGACGACAGCAGCGGATGCGGCATCAGCGAAGGGAGAGTGAGGACCAGCCGAGAGGATCCAGCGTCTGTGAGGAGATATTTGTTGAATGTCTCCCGGAAAAGTCGCTCAATCTTGTCTTCTAGCAGACCCAAGTCCATCTCCCGAACATCTGGGCGCCATATCTCATAGTCCCGCACCCAGTCCTCAGGGTCGACGGGTTGCTGTGATAGTCCATTTCCCGTACCACCTGATATCCAACCACGATAGTCTCCCACTCTTCGCGATTCCTCCGGTCCGAAAGTCACGGTACACGTAGGTGTACCGCTGCCCTCAAACCCCGCGCGAAGCCATCTTGCGCCGATCTCGATTATGATCGCATCGTCCTCATTTCGGAAGGAAGAGCCAGCCGAAGTCGTGCTAGCGAATGAAGTATTGGTCGAGCGTGAGGATGTTTGCTGGGGTGTATGGGGCGAGGTCGGACGAGCGGTTTGCGACGAGCGCACGTTTGATGATACCGACATGCTGACTTTGTCGGCTCTCAACGAAGACGCGCCTTGAGTCGTAGGCTCTGTTCGGTAACGTGGTCAGACGCTACCACTTTTTGCGTTATCGAAGAGGAACAGTTTGCTCCAGTCTCTGATTACTCGACGGCAAGTCGCCATGTGATGCTCGAGTAGCTGCCTGGCATCAAAGGGTCTAATGAGTTGGGAAAGGCCCCATGCTGAGATCGGACCACGAAAGGCACAACCGAAGAGACGTTGTGGAGCTTCTTGCGGCACGAGCTTGGTGGAGCTTACCAGGAGGTAGCAGATCCAGGAACGGATCCTCTTCGGGCCGTCACTTGTCCCGTCACTGTGCCCAGAACTATTCGTAGCGACTGATCTAAGCCATGATACAAAACATTTCCTTCAACACTCCCGACGTACAATCTCTTCATCTGGGGTTGGACTCCGTCACCACTCTCGAGCCATTACTAAGCCCTTCAGTGTGGGAGGCCGCAGTGATATCGTCGTAGTGGCTGAGTCGCCAATGAAGCTGCTGTAACGAGCGGGCGGTGAATTGTTAATCGGCAGAATCTGGATTGGATAAGCTGGTTGCTATCGTCCGTCAGCTTAGCTTTATTTACTTCCCAATTTCCAGCTCCGCACCCGCAACCGCAACAGCTTCCTTGGGCTCCGTATGGCCGGTCTATGCTTCGCAAACATTCAACGGCTTGCCCAAGCCCAATAACCAACTCATGGGCATTCCAGGGTATGTCTCTACTCCCAGCCATTCTCCTCAGAAGCTACATTATTCGATTGGCCCTGGCTCCAGCTCTTGTGGACGATGAATAGCGGAAAATCATAGGACCAAATTTTCAAAGTTTCATTGCAAACCGGCATGGCTGATTTCCCAACACAGGCTCATCAATGCCATTGGCGTAGGGGAGCGGGTCTCCTTGGCCAAACTGGCCGGGTGGCACTTGGAACGGAACGCAAGGCCGATTCGAATTGCCGTCGACATTTCCATATGGCTGTTCCAGGTCCAGGCTTCGCGTGGGGGCAGGAACCCTGAGTTGCGCACCCTTTACTTTCGCCTCCTGAAGATTCTTGCCCTACCGATTCATCCGCTCTTCGTTTACGACGGTCGTCACAAACCACCCTTCAAACGAGGAAAGGCGGTCTCGCGCAGCTCGGGCAACTTGCCAATCATTCAACGTTCGAAGGACCTTATTGAGAAATTCAAGTTTCCATGGCACGAAGCTCCTGGGGAAGCGGAAGCGGAATGCGCCCGGCTGCAGCAAGCAGGTATTGTCGATGCTGTGATTAGCAATGATGTAGATGCCTTGATGTTTGGGTCCACGTTCACCATGATGAATTTCTCAAATGAAAGTGGCAGTGGATCTTCTGGGGCTACTCATGTGACATGTTATTATGCCAACTGTCAGGGGTACGTTTCAAATGTGCCGCTCGACAGAGCCGGTATGATTCTCTTTGCCATGCTCAGCGGAGGTGACTACCTGCCCTCGGGGGTGGAAAAGTGCGGTCCGGGTACCTCCGCGGAGATCGCCAAGGCTGGTTTTGGAGAGGACCTCCTACAAATGATCGCTATACGGTCTCCCGACTTCGAGACTGAGCTCAGGGAATGGCGAGAACGACTCCAGCATGAATTAGAGTCCAACGAAAGTGGCTACTTCGCGAGGAAGCACCCAGCAGTGCGTATCCCGGACAATTTCCCTGATCCTGCAATTCTGGAGTATTATGCATGTCCCAAAGTTTCCACGGACGAAGAGATGGAGGTTTTGAGACTTCGGCTGAAGCACGCATGGGACCTTGAGATTGATCCCTTAGCCATTCGGAGCTTTGCCGCGGAGTTTCTTGATTGGAAGTATCGATCAGGCGCTCGGAAAGTCATCAAGAATTTGGCGGAGCCTCTGGTGTCCTATAGGCTTCGCCGCCAGCAACCGGTCAAGGCTCAATTGCCCTACTCACTCGCCCCTAAGTGTGATGCTGCTTGGCTTCAAAGGGTCTTCAAGAGTCGTGCCAGTTTTGGGACTGATGGAATGACTGAATTCCAAGTTGACATGCTCCCCATCGATGTTGTGGGCCTCGACTTGATGGCCGAAGAACCCAATCCTCCTCAATGTACCCCTGAAGAAGGCTCTGCTCAGGATCTCGAACAGGCTGAGGGCGAGGAGGACGAAGCAGAGCATGACCACGCTCCGCCAGCCACATTGACAAAATCCCGGGTGACCAAGCGTTATGACGTGTTCGAGTTACAAAAGATTTGGGTCCTTGAGTCTGTCGTGAGGCTCGGGCTTCCCACAATTGTCCAGAACTGGGAGGATGAGCAAGCCGAAAAGGCCCGAAAGGCTGCTGCCCCAAAGAAGTCGTCGGGTCGAAGATCGGCTCCCAAGAAAAAGGGCGCTATTGACCCGGCTATGAAACGTGGGAGTATCCTGAAATATGGAACTCTCACTAAGGAGAGGACCAAGCTTTTTTCGTCAAAGAAGCCCATGCTGCTCGAAAGTGTCTCCGCCAAGGAACACACAGCCTTACCACGCGAACCACCTTCGTCCGCTTTGATCATTGATCTTGAAGATGATCCTGTCACGCCGAGTACGTATTCCCAACACAATCACTCGGATCATGTTCTTCAATCTTCCTGCGATGTGGATGCGTTGACCAGCAACTTCTCCTCGCTAACTACTGAACCACGAACATCAAGAGTGAATCGCATTCCAAAATCCGATCCAACAAAGAAGGCATCTCGAACGCGTGGGCAGGCAAGCGCAAGCGGTGCAATCAATATCGATGATCCACACGATGCGCTATCGGAAGCTTCAAGAAGACGACAAAAACTCTCGAACACTGTAACATCACGAAGCAGTCGGTCGACGACCGCTCTGAAAGCACAAGTCACGGTGGAAGGGGCACCAGACAAGTCTGAACCACGATCGATAACATCCACAGCGAAGACTCATTCTTCTACCCTCCGAGAAATTGCGCAAAAGTCGACTGTCAAAGACGTTTCAGACGTCGATCGTCTTCAAAAGTCTATAGAAATCATGTCCCTCTTGGACGAGTCGACAGAAGATTGCGCGTCCCAGGGCTGCCCCTCGACCCGATCACGCTCTTCTAGTAAAGCCAACGGTGATGCTCCTGAGACTAAGTTGCAAAAGCGACACTTGAAAGACTCTCTACCTTCAAGACACCCATACATGGTGAAATCATCTCCTGGGGCCGCAGTGAGAGCTAGTAGTCAATCTCAGGAGGTCATTAAGCTCCTCAAAGGGTCGAATAACTCCTTCGGAAGCAAGCGGACATCTACTGCGAGTGTCTCCTTGGTTGCTGACCAGCCTCGTTCAACATCCAAAGGCTACATTGAGAATGTCATCGCATTCAATGGTTTCTGGGAAGCCAACGTCTCCTCTGAAACAGAGGGACGATGCTCACAGTCCACTTCTAGTAAAGGCAAAGAGCGCTTCGCACGCGTACCCATACTAGACATGGCTTGAGACACACGCGAAATTTTCCGTCCCTTGGTTCCTGGTACAGCTAGCATATTCATCATGGCGTGGTCTTTGAAAGCACATATCAGCGGATTGGTGAGGTTTTGAGAACGGGGCGAATTTTTGACTGCATCCAGCCGGCATCGTAAAACTAAACCAGTAAAAGACGAGACACTGACACAAACATAAGTTTTGATAAGTTCGTGATCATTTCTCGTCAATGTAAAAGCTTTCTTCATTATTTATTATACAGCTTGTATCACTTGACCAGCACGGTTCAAGGTTTCCTGCTGTTTGATCTCAGTATCATCATCATGAATGGGGTACATGATCATTTCTCGTGCCCGATTTTCCCGATTTTCCTTCAATCCACTTATTTTTTGTAATACTCAGCAACCCAGGTCTTAATCTGAGCCACTTCAGCATCAATAACCTTCTGCACGCCCGCATTCACTGCGCCATTCTTCAGAATGAGATCTGAGCAGTGGAAGCCTCCTGGGATAATGTTCAATGGGGCAGAAGGACGGGACTTGAGAGGGCCACCGGGGCGGTATTCGGAGGACATGCCCGAGGTTCTCCAGGGGTCGAATTCTCTGTAGATTCATGTAAGCTTTTGTTCCTGGTATTTGCGTCATCTCGAATGAATCGGTAGTGGAGTAATTGTCTTACCCGTTGGCCCAGATCAAGCGGGTGGTGTCGGTCAGATCCCAGCCCTTGGTCTTCTGGTTGACATCTTCGGCATCTTTACCCTTGGCGCTGGCAAATGTGAAACCGTTGACCTCGGGGAAGTAGAGGGAGCACTGCCTCTGCCAGTACTTGGCATCGACGGAGCGAGAGACCAGGCTCTGGACGTGCGACGGGGCACCACTGTACAGAGAACCATGGTGTCAGTTAACGCACAGTAGGAAGGAAGTATCGGATAAGGATGAGGGGGAATGGGATGTCATACTCTTGCCAATAGAAGAAGGGCTCATTACACAAGAACCATTGCCATTGTCGGTCTACGGTGTTCTTCAAGCTCACGTCGGTGAATATGGGGCTGGACGCGTTGTATGTGTTGAAGCAGTCGGTGCTCATAGGGTCCGACCAGTAACCGTAATTGGCGCATGCTGGCATTGGCGTTAGTGTTTGCAAAGTCCAAGATCTTTTATACATCTCCAACGTACCGCCAGGAAGATAGACACTCTTGAACCACTTGGCATAGCCTTCGAGTGCTTTCTTGGTACCGACACCGTCATGCCCAGGGATTTTGCCGTGTCCAGCATCAACGTTCTATTTCAATGACAGCGCATGGTCAGAAAGATCCCAGACGAGGCTTGCGACAAAGGATTCGCGACTTACCTCGACATAGTCACAGAATTGGAAGAATCCAGAGTAGCCCGTGTAGAAGGTGTTTGATTGCCACAGCCAGGGTCCATTCTCAAGAGCACTAGACAGGAAAGATTCAAATCAGCTTCTGAAGTCTGTGGCCGCTTTTCTTTGGGAAAAAAAAATTTTTCTTACCTGGCAAAGTCATCAAAGTGCTCGATATCACCGAGGCCAAACATGTCCTTGAGTTCTTGCATCTTCTTCTCGTTGCCAGACTTGTTGATCTTGTCGATGTGATCCACAACTCGGCTGACATCACGGCTGCAGTTCTGGGGCATACCCTGCTGAACTGGAGAGAAGTATTGCCACTTTACGGGCTGTTAGCTTAGCCCATCCTTCATGAACTGACGGTGGGGCAGGTTTGCACGGACGTAGTCATAAATTGCCTCGACAGGTGCGCTGGACGCGTGGTAGGCCCAGAAGGTTCCAGGGGCAGTAGACTCGGTCCAGGCAGCGAGAGCACCGCTGTAAGAACCACCACTCATGACCCAGGGCTATTGATTGCGAGCAGAAAGTCAGATTCTTGGCTCGTGCCTGCTTTGGGGGATGCGAAAGCTTACGGCGTTCTGGGCGTTGCTGCTGCCATTGGTATCGAAGGGAAGCTCAACATTTCGGGCAAAGTAGTTGAGGTCCGCAATCGAGTTCTCTAGGGTCAATGCTTGCAGGTTCTCGGTGGTCAACTCCGCATAAGGAGAGGATTCTCCCCAATAACGATCTTTATTCGGTGGCAAGTTAGTTGGCTTTCACTACGCTTGGTATGAGAAAGGAAAAGAAAAAAGACGATGGCTCACGTTCGATCATCACTACGGCACCCTTGACTTCCTGAGCATATCGGCCAGTGAGAGTCCGATTGGTCAAGTAACCTGTATATTCATCGGCAGCTGATTCACCAGGCGTGAATAAGATCACCTAGCAACAATCACGATGAGCAAATTAGAAAATGCAGGAGGATTGCAACGGAAGAGACATCTCATACCGGAGAACCCTCTCCAGCCCACCATTCGGAGCTCCACCAGTAGCGTTGAGAGAAAGTTCCCAAACCTGGGTTCTTGTGGTCGATCAATTGCTCGAAGGTGGCTGCACCCTGAATGGCTTGTGAAGTATCGACCGCTGGAGGAGGAATAGGCTTGGGGGCAATCGCTGCTTGAGCGGCCGAGGCACACAGCACAGGGAGCGCAAGGCGAATTGAGAAATGCATTGTGACTCGACCGCGCTAATATCGGATAGGGTCCTGCTGGATCACTTCCATGGCTTCATCCTGGTGCAGGGATGCGAGCACTTTATATACTCACCACTCCGGCTCGGACTCCGTCCTCTTGAGCGGTGCCGTGACTACATTTTTTGTTATCATTCTGGCCGTTGTCACGGCCGACGATCCACCTCACGGAGGACGCTTGGATGAATGGGGGAAGAACTTCTGGGCCGATGCGCTCTCGAAGCGGGGGTGATAGCGCAGAAGGGCCTTCAAGAAGTCTTCAGCACGAGGACGAGGAGGCTGAGCTATCACGCGATTGAGCTAGCTTCTAGTTAGCTGCATATCTCGTGCTCCACTCGGATCACGCCGTGAGAGTAACGTGTTCGGAGAGATCGATTAGATGAACGCCTTGCCACACATAGCAAGATAATATTGATGAGAATGTCTGCTACCGGAGTAGTCGTGATGAATACCAACGCTCATTCAATGTGACACTGAACCTCTCATAATGGGAATTGATGATGGCCATTGGCACCTTCCTCGTCTCCGGTAGCTATCTCTGCAGCTTCTGTGCGAGTTTGTCCAGTTCAAGGGCGAGATTAGTGCATGATACCACCGTCGGTCGTCCGTAGCGGCAATCAACCGAGGGGCACATGGATCCGCTCGACTGGGAAGGAGGAGAGACGATCTACATGCATTGGTCAGATAACAACTAGCATCACTCTATCGATGCAAGATAACTTAGCCGTAGTCGTCAGCGAGACAGAAAGAACCTCTCAACAGGAGACCCTTCTATCGCCATCGGGGAAACGTGCGAGATCACGGGGCCCGTCCAATCTCCGGGTGGAAGACTCCATGGCCAACAGTCTGAACTTCTCCGCAGTCCACACACAAATGCTCCCCGCATGTCGGGGGTTCTGGGCAAGCCCTCGGCTTCTGAAGAACAAAGCGATGGTTGAAGGACGGGCTTTACTTTCTCGTTGGCCTTTGGAAGCTGTGCTTCAGTGGAGACGATGGATATTGCAGTCAAAGTAGACTTGCTCGACGATGGTCAAGCTCCAGATTCGCCTGCTTCTGTCAGTCTAGAGAAAGGTTCCCGTGACTGGCATCCCGTGGCAGAAGCTTAGCCTTCCCTTCCGATAGCATCAAGCCCCCGTGCCCTGGAATGGCTGACCATGGGCTTGAACGTGCTCGCAGCGAGAGGGCCCAAGGAAGCTTTCTGCCAGCTGCATACCATTTGATCGATGTGCGCGAATTGTACTAAGTTCCGCGGATGCTCGCTCAAATTAGGTTCAGGTGGTTCGGTTCAATCAAAGTTACATTTGAGTCGTGCCGAACTAGAGACTTTCCCGATCGAGGCGGTACCTGAATAATTCCGCGGTCGGCAGTCGTAGAGTCAACCTTCGACACAGTCTGAATCTCCGTCGTGACAACGTCGACTCCTCGAAACCTTGGATGATCCATTGGCTGGTTCGACAAGCGATCTCTTCTTCTACACATCGATCACGGAACATCAATGCGGCAGTATACGAATCTAATCCTGAAACTGTGGGGTATCTTCGAATCGAGCACGTGCGAGGGTAGAAACTTGTCTATTGTCGGCGCTATGGCCGTATGGGGTATCGTATGTCTCATTGAGCGACAAGTTCGAGAAAGTAGATAGAACAGAGAGCTTTGTGACTTGGAATTTGCTCGAGGAATAACCTTGCATCATGGCACTGCTATACTCGCAATAAGCTGGCCGGACCGACTCTCGGAATCTAGTCGAACCCTTCAAACTCATCATCGTTCTGGCTGGCCGTTGTGGTTTTGGGGGCCGGTGCCTTTTCTGCTTGCCGAGCCTGGTACTCCCGTTCATGCTTCTGGCGCAATTCCTCAACCATGCGTTTGGTCTCAAGGGCCTTCTGCTTCTCCTCCTCAGGGAGCTGCTCCCACCGCTCCTGCTCCTTGCGAGCTCTCTTGAGCTCTCTGCGCTGCAATCGCTTTTCGCGATTCTCCGCATTGTGACTCCACGATGCATTTTCAGTAGCTCGCCGTTTGCGAGTATCGTCCTTCTCCTGTGAGTCGCCCTGTGCGGCTTCTTCCATGGCCTCTTTGCGTCGCTTCTCTCTTTGCTTGTCCTTGTAGGCATAGTTGTCCCAATCGATTTTCATTCCCAGCGTTTTATCGCCAGTGAAAGTACGCAGCTCGGGCATTTTAGGAAGCTTGAGGAGCCCCCACGCTTTTCCAAGCGCCTCCCAATCAAGGTCGGCCACACGGAAAATACTGGCCGCTTGATGCTTGCTGTAGCTACGAAGCCAGCTAACAAAGGCCTTTTGACCTTTGTCGTGGAGGGCGCGGTCCTTCAACATAACGTTCCGCACCTTGCGTGTGGCAGCAGCAGCCGCTTCGTCACCATCCGACTCTGGGAGACTGTAGGGCGCAACAGGCGTCTTACGCACCTCCAGGAAGGAGACGTAGTCTTCTTCGCGACCGGGATGAAGGAGGACAATACTGAGTCCTCGTCGTCCAGCCCGTCCCGCCCGTCCACAACGATGGATGAATGTCTTGGGATCGGAAGGAGGGTCGATTTGCACAACGAGATCTACGGACGGAATATCGAGTCCGCGGGAAGCAACATCGGTCGTGAGGAGGATTGCGGGTGTGGTAGAGGTGGTGAATCGGGTGAAGTTCTTTTGGCGGGCGTTCGCAGGATGCTTTCCATGAAGCGGGACAAGGGTGTATTTTGGGCCCAGGATGATAGGCAGGATGAGCGCGAGGTAATCCACGCTAGAACACGTGGAGACGAAGAAGATCGTTTTCAGCGGGGTAGGCTGAACTGTGGAGAGAATCTGTCTTAAGACGGAGAACTTGTGTGCTGGAGGGGCCGTCAAATAGGTCATTTGGAGACTTGGAGCGATCTTTTAGCATGCGCAATCAAAAGGCATAAAGGACTTGGGTATTGGAGAGCTTCATACCTCGCAGGTGTCCGTTTATCCTCACCACCGGCACCGCCCTTGACCTTGACAGCGACCTTGACAGGGTTGCGCAGGCCCACACGGACAATCTGATCGACAGCTTCACTGATACTGGCACTGAAGAGACCGGTTCTCCGTTGTTTAGGTAGGTGGCGCAAAATTCTTTGCAAGTCCTCTTTGAATCCCAAATCTAACAGGCGATCAGCTTCATCTAATACAAGCATTTCGAAGGAAGACTGCGAGCAGTGGACGTGGGGCGAAGAGAGTAATTCCAGCAATCTCCCCGGTGTAGACACGAGCACATTCGGGGACTTTTTAAGAAAGGAACTCAAGTCTTCGGCCGGAGAGGTAGATCCGCCAAGCAGGAGTTGAGGAACGACTTTGAGGATCGAAGAGGACGATTTGGGTCGCGACGCATCACCCTCTGGCGGATGGATGGCAGCCGCTGATGCCGGGTGGAACTCAAGTAACGATAAGAGCACTTGGTAAATTTGCGTCGCTAGTTCTCTGTACAGTATCCGATCAGCACAAGCCGGCGACCAAAGCTTCTTAGACAAGTGACGAACCTCGTCGGCGAAATGATAATGGCCCCAATGTGGTGCTTTTTGATCGGTTCTTCAACGCGCAAAAGCTTCTCCACAACAGGAATCAAAAATGACAACGTTTTACCACTGCCAGTGACTGCCTCAACAACGACATCTTTGTGCGCCATAAATAGAGGAATGGCCGAGGCCTGGACTGGGGTCATGCGAGTGAAGCCCATCGAGGCCACGGCATCAACTGTCCATTGCGAGAGTGATGGAGTGAGCGCATCCCATGCTCGCGACGACGGCGCAGGCTTTGGAGCCATGTTGGATCACACTCAGACAGATATAACAATGACAATCGGTGTTCGCTGTCGCCGATCACAAGGTTATCGACAGACTGAACAGAAAAAAAATCCCGTTATCGATAAGATATGGATCACGTGGAAGCGGCTCTGAGCGGAAACGGAGATGATCTATCATCTCGTCTTCTTTTTGCGCCAGGGTGGACGAACGCTGAACGGTCTGTCTTTATGATGATCTAAAGATCTAGAACAAGGTTCTATGAATTTGGGTTGATTTTGATACCATATATTCATTCTCTATCGATTTATCCACCCTGTTGCCCATCATTTTGTTGCTAAAAAGATCGTTGATCTCTTGCAGCGGCGCTGACACCGAAAGCGCCAAGTGCCTGACACGACCTTGCTTGGGCACAATTTGGACATCCACCCTGCCTGAATTTCGAATCCAATCATCCGCCATGGCGAGCTCTCATATATCTGTCCCCGAAACACCGCGAGTGATATCGCCGTCTCCCTCTTTGTCCGAGAGTTCTGAGGCACGTGACGGGTATCTTGCTCCGACCACACGATCAGCATCCCGCCGACAACGCCTGTCAGGGCTTCCAGAAGCCGATTCAGGATCAGAACGATCCCGCAGCCCCCCAAGCTTGAATCCTTCGTCCACGCGCGACCGTCGACCACCACGTCGATCGAATACGAACATCCCTGCCTCACCTCCAACCACCAACGATAGCCCTTCCTCCGATGGTTTCCTATCCCCGAAGCTTGCAGATGCGCTGCGCGACATCTCTCGCTCTCCTTCACCTCTTGGCCTGATCCCTCTTCACACGCGATATCGCAGTTTCATTCATCGACATGAAATTCCTCGAAAACTTCTGCATGTCTCTATCGGCTTTGTGACACTTCATCTATATAGAAGCGGCGTCCAGACATCCCAGATTACCCCAGTGCTCTTCACGGCATTGGTGCCAATTGCTGCCACGGATTTCTTGCGCCATCGCTCGGAGAAAATCAATCAGCTCTACATCCGGTGCGTTGGTGCGCTCATGCGCGAAACCGAGGTCTCGGGATACAATGGTGTGATCTGGTATCTTCTCGGTGCATATGTCGTCCTACGCTTCTTCCCTAAAGACGTCGGAGTGATGGGTGTTCTTCTTCTCAGCTGGTGCGATACTGCTGCGTCCACATTCGGTCGTCTATGGGGACGACACACGCCGCAATTGCGACGAGGGAAGAGTCTAGCGGGGACATTAGCCGCTTGGCTTGTCGGCGTTGTCACAGCAGCCGGTTTCTGGGGATGGTTCGTCCCCTCTGTGGGTAGCTTCCCCGATGACCCTCCAGATGCGTTCATGTTTACCGGGCGTCTGAATTTGCTCCCTGATTGCGTTCGAGGGCTTCTTGGGTGGGAGGCGGGTTCCGCCGCCACTACAATCACCGGCACTCTTGCTCTGGGTGTCATGAGCGCTGTGTCTGGTGTAGTTGCAGCTGGCAGCGAGCTCATTGACCTCTGGGGCTGGGATGACAACCTCACAATCCCTGTGCTTAGTGGCGTCGGACTCTGGGGTTTCTTGAAAGTTTTCGGTTGAGTTTTCAATCACTCCATCGCTGTACCCTTCCCCTTTATCTTCTTGTTTCTTCCACTTCTTCCGCTTCTTCTACCAGCGACTATAATGTCTTTAGTATTGGACGAATATCTTGCTTTCCCTCACAGTGGATTTCATCTCTGTCTAGCGAAATGACATGAGCGCACTACATGTGAAATACCTATGACCCCGTCATTGTGAAGCCCTCCCCTCTTTCCGTCCCTTCTCAACAGCGCTGAAAAACCGCCTGAAGTCCCATCCGACGAGGAACTGACGTGTCATTTGTTGATATATACATATAATCGAGAAATATAGATCTTCTCTATTTTGCATCAAATCACAGAATTCTCACTGAAGGAATTCCCTCAACCTAGGCTCGTTGAAAGTCATCATTCCAAGCTCGTTCTAGTGTCACTATGAAACTTAGGACCGCAACATTACTTGTGAACACGAGGAGTTGTGGAGACAATCGCGCTTGATCTCATGCATAGATGAAGTGACTTTCCGGGCATGAGACCAGAGCGGACAGGTCATTCCATGATTGCAGTCGAATGCGAAACTACAAGATTTGTCTTGTCACCGGGCTGGAGCTGCACATTCAGTGCTGATCTAGGCGGTGGAGCCACAAACGTTTTCAGAAGGCCTACAAATGAATTTCATCAAGATCAAGAGCGAGCCAAGAAGAAGGCGTTTGATGAAAAAAGATGCAGCCGAAACCTTCCGTAAGACTAAGGTCATTATGGAATCTGTAACTCAAAACCCACGACAAAAAGAAAGCCGACTCAGTCAGAAGTGCGAGGGCAGAACTGCCCAAACAAATTTTCAAAATGACTAAGGACGTCGGCTCCTTTCCTCTGCCATTCCCCAGCATCTACCACCTCATTCTGGTCGATGACCAACTGTTTCGTGAGGCTTTGTGGTTCTGGCCACGGCAGGCCATGGAAGTCTCCGTCGGGCAGTACTCCCGCAAGCCAGGCCACATCCTCGAAAATACTGGGCATCCCAAGTTCTGCTGCCTCTATTGGCTCAGCAGCCGGTCTCGTGTCTTGAAAAACACCAGCCGACGATGAAGCCCGAGCATTCGAGTCAAGGGTCGTGGTGCTAGCAACCTCTGGCGTCCGCTCGGTGTTTGCCAAGAATGATGAGCTATTCAATGACTTGATGTCACTCTGATCAGGAGTACCGTTAAGAGATACGCCATTGAATGATGGTGTCGACGCGCCAAACAAAGATGGTGTTGAGTTGTTGCTGCCTGGGAAGCGAGCAGATTCCCGAAGGCGACTAGGAGTCTTCGGTTTGAACTGCTCGGCCTTGTTTCGAGCACGAGTCAGAGGAGAGTACTTCTTACCGTCACCAACGTCAACGCCGGGGTCGGTATCGTTATCGGGGGCTAGATTAGGATGAGATCGGTCAGTCGGTATTCCTTGAGATGGGCCGCCTCTCGAAGACGCAAGGTGCGACGCCGGAACTGGGGGAGATGAGGGCAGTGATTCTTCAACGGTTCGATCGCTATCCAGGGAGAGAAAATGGGGAGAAGGGCTGGAGGGGAAACGTCTGGGACCAATAAACTGGGATAAGGCGCGTGTCTTGCGTGCCAAGGGGGAACCTGAAGACGAGCTATTCAAGGCCGGGACTTGGGGCCTCCGTCTCTGTTTGGTCTTATGAGACGGAGAAGGAGGCGCCGATTTCCCATTAAGTGGCCCATGGGACAGGGAAATAGAGAGTGAAGTGGGACTGAAGGGGGAACATTCGAGACCAGTGGACGGAGATTCCGCGTGTGTGTTTTGTGCCAATGGAGAGCTTGGAGACGCGACACACGGATCTGGGGCTTTCACTCCCTTGGCCTGCTTCGTCTTCTTTGACCGGGACGAGGACACCGAGGGACTGGAAGATGAGGCGTACGGATCCGGGGCATAAAACCCCCGCCGACGCTTTGTCATATGTGGAGTGGGCAGGTCTGGGGAGGACTCCAGGCTATCATGGGGAATTTTCAGGGTCTCGCGTTTACGCTTGAGACATGATCGAAGTGGGATGCGCGCATTCGAAGACGAAGTTGCAGCTGCGTTGAATGCTTGAAGCTTGGGGGAGGGGTCCGGGAAAAAGGAGAATTCAGGGATTTTGAATTTGACAACAGAACCTGAGGAGCTCGCAATATCCTGGCGCGCAAGCCATTGCTCATTAATTCTCCTATTGCATGCAGCCTCAAGGCGTTGTTGCATCTCAGCTCGTTGGTGGGCCTCTTGCATTGTCGCATTCACTGTCCCAGCCAGCTGACGGCGAAGTCGTCCCAGGGCTTCACCAAATGAAGTGAGAAACGTAAAGTAAGAAGGGCGCCGGCTGCGCTCCACCTGTCTTATCTGGGGGCTTGGGCGGATTCGCCGCCACGGTCCAGCGGCATCCAAGTTGCAGTAGGGAAGAAGACGTTCTGGAACGAATACACCATTGATCATCATACCTTTTTGAGAGCTTGAAGGAGCTCGATCTGTACTTGTTGACACGTTGGAAGCATCGAAAGTTTGAACCGCGGTGTTTGCTGAGGTGTCGGAAGTTGATTGAAGCTCTTGGGGTGCGGGAGAGAAATCGGATTCACACATCAGTTGACTTGAATCGATGGGCGAAAGATCGGGAGGCGCGTATGTTCCTCGTCTATTAGGAACGAAGCCCGGAGTTCGGATTGGAGGCTGGGCCTGACGAGATGGCCCTGGTGCGGAACGGTAATCGGATTGCTGGGTTCGCTTTTGCTGCTGGGAAGTTGAATCAACGCGACGCTTTTTAGTGGGAGGTGAGATTCCATGGGCAGCCTTGGCCGCCTCTTGCTCTGCTTCCTCCACTTGGCGCTTGACTCTGTTCCATTCTTCAGGGGTAAAGTCCTCCTCGTGAACGGCCAAATCATCTTCATCTAGTCCAAATCCACGGTTGCGCTTGCGCGGATTCGGTTCCGACGAAGTCTTGCCATTTGTGCTCTGACTGGGTCGCTCGATATGCCTGCGGTAAGGAATTGCAGGGCGTGATGCGACTTCAGCCTCAACCATTGCCTTCTGTCTGGCAATCTCTCGGGCAGCAGCCTCAGCGAGCTGCGCTTTTTTGATCTCACGGTTCCGAACGTCCCGCTGTTCCTTCTCCATGGCCAAACGAGCCGCTTGTCGACGTTTAACGAATGTGTGCTGGTCCTCATAGCCCTTGCCAGATGTTGGCGCGTCAGGATTGAGGAGTGTCCGGGCATCAATAAAAGATGAGGCGCGACGACGTCGTCGAGGCAGGTCTGAGCCGGGGGAGGAAGGACGCGACTGAATACGACGCGGGGACAGGATGTTGGAGATTTTTTCAACGGCTCTAGATGCTATTGATACCGTGGGCGCAGGGAATGAAGCGGAGACAGCAGGCATTGTATCCACCACACCTGTGGTAGTTTCCGGACTTTTAGCCTCGTCGTATCGGCTAGTAGCTACCTGAGAGCCAGCCGAAAATGGATTGGCAGACTCTTCGGAGGCGACCACGTCATTATCATGGAAGACTGTTTCAAAGATAATTAAAACTGAGCTATAGAAGAATGCGAGTGAAAAAACTTACTGGCCTGAGAGTCGTCGTCGTTCTCACCGTGGTGAAGACGGCCTCGAAGTACCGTCCACCTTCGCGACACACCGTTGAAAATCCATCGGCTCCACCCAGACGAGCCATTGACTGCCGCAGCGGGTGCGGTCTGAGGCGTCTCGAGGGAGGCCAGCGTGCCTCGCTCTGGGGTCGTCGGAGGAGGAAAATCAATAGCTGCAGTCACTGAAGCGGGAGCGTCCACATGATCCCGCTCTTTGGCAGGGTTCACATCGTCATCCGGCTTACTGTCTGCATCACCTTCATGACGGGAAGACAAGAGTGCGGGTAGCCGGAACAGGGTGCGGCCAAAGCCGTCTCTGTCCTCCATGCGCTGCGCACTCAATCTCCGCAAATGAGGGGTGCGTGTTCGACGAATTGGCGAGGCACGTTGAGCGCGGAGTACGCGCGACTGCGAGGGAGAAGGCAGCCGCGCGGTCTCAGAAGCCCGGCGAGAACGAGGTCTCGACGCCCATTCAATGGACCGTGCTGCACAAAGGAGGTTGATCAGTTCTAAATCCTCTAGCGCAGAATGTGCTGGGGCTATGTTGAAATTCAACATAGGGGTGTGTTGAGGCCGTCGAGGAGAATAAGCAGCCACGGAAGCAGCGGAATCAGGACCAGGCGCTGCGACATCATTGAGTGCACCACGGCCAATGGTGAAGAGGCGGTATACCTTCTGCAGCTTGGTCATTAACCAGCTACGTCGGGAACGACCAGTCTCCATGGCCGCGGCCGGCGACGATCCAGAGCTGGGACCAGGAGGCGGAACGGGACCAGGGGATAGAACGGGACCAGGGGATAGAACGGGACCAGGGGATAGAACGGGACCAGGGGACGAGATGGAAGGTTTGGGGGGGGGCGGCGACTCACACACTCCGGTAGCGGGAGCAGTCGCCTCAGTCTCACTGTTCTCTATTGACGGGAGAACGGTGGCTGGAACCTCGGACGATGGCGGCGTAGGGCCGGCATCCTGCGTTTCGTTACTTTGACGGTCCTGCTCGTGACGATAGTGGTTAGCCTGGGGGGTTTCTGACGATTAAACCATCATCGAAAGATATGTCCAAGGAGCAAAGGTAGGCAACCACAAGCTTGTGATATCTTCAGCTGGCATATCGCGCAACATCAAATGTTCTCACCGTCTCGTTCTGTGTCTGGGCCACAGCACCGGAGCTTAGAGCGGCATCATCAAGCTGGTCCTGCTGGGAATCGGAGGGAGAGGCGCGTCGCGCCACCTTCTTAAAGATGATATCCACGATTAGCGAGCATTATATGAAACTATCAGGTAGGACGCATACCTTTCTACCGCGTGAGGAGGCCTTGCCACGGGTCTTGCGAGTCTTGGGTTCGCGGACAGGCTGGGCAGGCTGGGCGTCCTGTGGTTGAGCAGACACGGAGCGTGTCGCTCGGCGACGACGAGGAGCAGGGTCAGGCAGCCCCTGAACTGCGTTTGGGGAGCCTGGCCCAAAGGGCTTTGAGCGAGTGCGTGGTGGCATTTTTGTGACCACCCTTGGCACTCGCGAGAAACAGAAGATTCAATCCTCAGTGGACAAATCAGTGCCGTTGGAGAGTAGGACGAGAAGAGAGAGGGCCAAGGTTGGGAGGGAGTGTTATTCCTGTCTTATTTCTGGATGTTTGTGGAGGCGCGTTGGCAGGCGGAGTAATCGGGATTTTCGTCTGTGGGTTCAGATAAATCGCGCCGTCCTGGTTTGAAAGCTCGCTTTCGAAGGCCGCCTATCTTGAGATATGATTGCGACATGCCAAAAATCATCTCCGCTCGGCGGGCAGAAAGTGCCTAGCTCGAGAGCGGTGTGACATTCAATGGCCCTTATGCCTCAGGCTTCCTACATAGTACAATACCACATTTAACATTAATATTATCCCTGAGTTCTACTGAATTTCTAAGTCCAGCAACTAATTCTATTCCATCAGCACCGATAGTTACCAGTTAGAACTACTCTCTTACTTAGTACTCTCTTAATCAGCTTGCATCGATAAGTCAACCTCTGCAGTATTATATATTCATATTTCTCAGGAAGAACTTCAGCCTCATTGGAAGTTGCCTCTGTCCTCAGCTTTGTTTACCAAACCCTAATACCGGCCGGGGCAGGTAAGAAGAGAGAGACTGCAGTCTGTAGTCTGTACCTCTACCTATAGTATAGGTCGTGCTGTAGCAATAGGATGAGGATATTGAAATCCAGAAGAAGAACAACACTACCCACTTGAATTTTGTTAATGGCGATTGCCGCTTGCTATTTGCTAGAGGTGTCACATGCGTGTGATAGGAGATATTTCAATCCCTGCTATCGCTGATAGGTTTTCCTCTTTCAATTCTTCTTCTATGCACTTGTCTTTAAGACCTCGAAAATCGACCGCGAGACATAATCCTCTCTGTTTAAATACTTTGCGAGTGGGTCTTGGTCTTCGTTAAACATTCAACTTGGCGCAACTTGCCTCCCAATGGCTATAGGACAGTGAGGTATCTAGTCACAAAACATAGACATTCACTTCAAATAAAAGGAGCCGGGTAAACAGGATGGAGCTTGGACCTAAGGAAAATTTGTTCGAAAGACCAACGACAGCAAACATCCAGTCATCTACGGAATCTTAGTCATAAATTTCCCGTGGTATTTGATTAAAACAACAATCAATTTCCGACGCCCATCGTCATGCGCTTCGAGCTATAGTATCATTCATTCAGTTCGGGGCTTATCGTGCGTTGATGAAGGACCTCATCCAAGACATTCGGGAATCATCTTGTGTTTTGTATGGCGGTACCGATCTCGCTTCAGTAAAACTTGCGCTGGTTCCCATGATCAAGTCCCGTGCCGATATTTGCTATCAGCATGACATTTCCGAGTTCGAACTCGATTTCCTCAAGCAAGTATATCATGATAGCGAAGTTCAATGCACATATTTGGTTTTTTGAGATCGATGAGTTGGTCACAATGCTCAGAAGAGCTCGTGCATTCGCCATTAAATCAACCGTCGCCTTGGTTTCTAGTAATCTCCGGCGAATATGTGTCTTGGAGCTCGCATGAGGCCGAAGTAGCGGCCTTTCGGAAAGTAAAAGCGCTTCGTGAAATGAGTGACACTTGGCGAGGCTGGCGCGAAAATATTGGATAAGCTCAAATCGACGATGAACTCATTAAAGCCTAGCATTGCCCGTTCTCAGATTGAAGTTTAATGCAACGCTAATGGTATGCAGCATGACCCGGAACGCAATAAGGAGTCTAGCACGACGGCCTAGACGTGCTGCATGTGATACAGAAGACACAGATGAATGATGTATAAAGCTTGCTATTTGTACAGTGGCAACCGATGCCAGTAGATGGATGTTCCCTGCCCGGCGGGCTGGTGATCCCCAATAAGTCATGTCTACCTCAAAGAGCGATCTCGCCCTTCCATGCGGCATCCGACAATCCCAAAGTCTCCATCAAGTTCTGCCATCGAGGTCCTCCTCTCTCCTTCTCCCGAATGTATCGTAGAAGCTTCTGTCGTTTATGGACCAGAATCTGAAGGTTGCGCTTGTTGTGCTTGTCTTTGTTGGCGGTCTGGAGGTGTCGGTAGAGGTTCATGATCTTAACGGTCAAGATTGCGGCCTGCACTTCAGGAGAGCCTGTGTCCACACCAATTCGGGGTACCTTTTGAGGCTGGCCGGGCATGGATCCCTGCAGCGCACTCGACGGTTTTGGCGGTAGATGCTGGTCTGTGTTATGTCGTCCGAACTGATAGATGCATTTCTGCACGTTCAGACGCAAGCGGTCCTTAGTGTTGCCGTTGCTGAGATTGACAATGCGCTGGATTGCATCTTGCGCATTTTGATGCTCTTTCTGATGGAGTTCCGCGGCCTCCTTCTCTAGTTGAGGGTCGGCGGTATCCCGATCTGGGTTTTGTAGGGGTTCCACAAGGTCCTTAGAAAATTGCAGCGCCCCATTGAGCTCCTCCGCCTGAAGATAGTAGTTGAGACCCGAAGACAACGTAGAGTTTTGTGAGCCGGCTTGGATGGCTTCAATCTCTTGGATGAAAGATGTGGGCTTGCTCTTGACGGGATCACCCAGAGAGGCTTCCCGCTCCGCTTGGAGAACTTTTTGTCGGGAGAGGTTCGCAGCCTTACGCTGCCGTGCTTGCGCAAGCTTGAAAAAATCGGACCGTTTTTGCGGAGATGCCTTCGCCTTCGTAGAAGCCGTTCGTATGGAGGCGTGTGTCGTCGCTTGTGATGTGCGGGCAGTTAAGTGGCCCTGCCCGAGGAGGGTGGCTAAGTTGTCTCAGTCAGATACAGCCATACTGAATTGGAATACTTTAAAGGAAGCAATACCTGTGAAGGCCCTGAATTGTGGCTGCATTGAGACACGCAGAGGCATGACGATCGAGTGCTTACTTCCTCCTGATAGTGATTGCGCCGTAGCAACCGTGAAGTTCTTCTGGGCAACCTTTTGTCGGGGAAACTGTACCGCCGAAAGGCCGAAAAGGACGCTAGGCTGATCTGGGTTAGAGAGAACAATTTGCCTCAGGCAAGCAGTGTCTGATAGTCTGCCTGACGGCTAAGGCTGTGAGACGATTTCCAAAGTCCGCTGCCCTAGCCCTAATTCTCACAACCCGCAAGCGAATTTCTCCCGGAGCGCGGCGTGAAACCTTTCGCGATTCGATTGCGTGCCATTCCTCCATCCCTACGACAAGAGCCAGACGATTGATCTTTCCAACCTCATCAATCAATCAATCGCCCAAAATGGCCCCCTCTCAGCTCCCCCCGGTGTTCAACCCTACCTCGCAGGACATTGAGATGCTCCTTGCTGCTCAGTGCCACCTTGGTTCCAAGAACCTCCAGGTGCACATGGAGCCTTACCTCTGGAAGACCCGTCCCGATGGTGTCAACGTTATCAACATCGGCAAGACCTGGTATGTAAAGACCACCGAATGCGCGAATGTGTGCGCTGCAAGTAACGGGATCTAATGCGCTTCTCTGTCTCGTCTAGGGAGAAGATCGTCCTGGCTGCCCGTATCATTGCCGCCATCGACAACCCCGCCGATGTCTGCGTTATCTCCGCTCGTCCCTACGGCCAGCGCGCTGTCCTGAAGTTCGCCAACCACACCGGTGCCACTGCCATTGCCGGTCGTTTCACCCCCGGTAACTTCACCAACTACATCACCCGCTCTTTCAAGGAGCCCCGTCTCATCATCGTGACCGACCCCCGCACCGATGCTCAGGCCATCAAGGAGGCCAGCTACGTCAACATCCCCGTCATTGCCCTTTGCGACTCTGACTCCCCCACCGACTTCGTTGATGTTGCCATCCCCACCAACAACAAGGGTCGCCACGCCATCGGTCTCGTCTGGTGGATGCTTGCCCGTGAGGTCCTCCGCCTCCGCGGCACCCTCGCTACCCGCGAGACTGAGTGGGACGCCGTCGTCGATCTCTACTTCTACCGCGACCCTGAGGCTGAGGAGAACAAGGAGATCGCTGATGAGTCCAAGGTTGCCAGTGCTGAGGAGGTTGGCGCCGGTGCCATCGAGTCCGGCTTCGCTGGTGAGAACTGGGACGCTTCTGCCCCCGGTGCTGGTAACCCCGGCACTGCCTTCGCTGCTGCCTCCGCTGCTGTCGGTGCCACCTCTTGGGAGGCCGATGGTGCTGACTGGGCTGCCAGCTCTGCCCCCCAGGGTGAGTGGGCCGCTGAGTCTCAGCCCGCTGCTGCCTCCGGCGAGACTAAGTGGTAAATCCACTGAGGTGGGGACTAGGGGAGACATCGATGGGGGGAGACTCCTGGCGAAAGCTCTCAGTTCAGTTGGGTTGTTTCAATGATTACCCAAAGTTTTTCACTGTTGACATTCGCAAAAGAGGGGGAGGGCTCTTGTCTGGTTCATCAAATCTAGTCCCACGGGTCACATTGGGACACAGTTCACCTCCTTGCGATACAAAAAGCCCCCCTGACCTGTCTATCCTAGTTTCTGTCAAAAATGATCAAAAAGCGTGAAACTGAAAAAAAGCAGAAGAAAATCGAGCTTTCACCAGGAATTCCTCAGTCCTTTTGCATCAGTGGCCTCAACCTTTCTACCCGGCACAACCATTTTTCTGATCTTTGCGGTTTATCGCATCGGGGAGGAATAGCGATGACAACCATTGACCTGGCGCTTATGAGGGAAAGAGATCCAGTTACTCCTTGTAACTGGGGGAAAGCCCTGTGCTGTCAATCAAACAAGGTGGACTTGATCGTTACCTTGGTTTCTCCCTGTATGTATATTCAAGTATTTGAAACGAAGGTTGTGCTCGGCTCTACAATGGTCTCGTAAAGTCGCGTAAATATTATATGTGTAGTCAAAAGGAGTCCTCGAGCAAAAAGGTTTGTAAGGCACACAGGCAGATTGCGTCGACGAGGGCGGTTCGGCATACATGGACACATCCTGTTATGGTATGTAAGGTGCTTTGCCAGCATGTACATTAGCACTTGGGCTAGACGCTGATATGGGAAGGTAATACAGTAGTACCCTTAACATCAAGATAATAATGTGTGAGATTCTATTGAAGCCAAGGTTATGCTCAAGTGTTACAAATATTATCCAATTCCACTTCAACTGTCCCATTCATTCGGACCTACCCAGCATACATGGTGAATCACTTCGCGGTGTAACGACAGTCAAGCAGGATATATTCTTGCCTCTGAGGACTCCACTGTAGTATACAGTTAGGACATCTGGATTGCTTTGACCCACATCCACTTGGGAATACGTGAAACGAAGCCACTTTACTGACACACTAAGAATTCCCAAGCTCGTTGGTCAACGACGAAGAGTTTTCAGGAACGCTAGGATGAAATATAATACTTTACAATGCCGTGGACACTCAAGGAAGAATTTAGGGGTCTCAAATCTTCGCCCAATTTCCGGTACCTTTCAAACATCAGCCTGCGCCTCGGAATGTTAAATGCTGCGAGTGACTACAAGGAAACAACTGTTCGGCATAGCCTCTCGATGCCTTAGCATCGAACGCTCTTCATGACTGGAGTATTTGGTGTAGATTGATGAGTTTGTCATTTCTCAGAGAATTGTGCAGCCCCCTGCAGTTTGAGCACCCTTGTCAGTTGTCGTCATACCAGCAAGCCTCGCCAAATCCTCAAATGTCTCCGCGAGTAGTTCGCCCGTCACGGCTGAACACTCCGCGTATCTGTCGCAGCGAAGCTCTTGGGCGATGCGGTATGTCTGATACAATCAGTCAACAGCTCGTACAGTGTACAGTTTATAACAGCTCGTTTGGTCAAAGTGTGCTTCCTTACTTCTTGAGGGTATATTATCCCTTCCCCCTCCTTTCGAAGGTCTCGTTTCAATCCAAGCATCATCACAGGAATCCGCTCACCTACACCGCGCTGAAAGTAGCGAATAATATCGTGGCGCCACTGGTCCAACTTGTCAATACGGATAGACACGATTGGAGAAGGTTTAGGAACCGGCGACGGCGCCTACTCACTGCTTTGAGACCATTCAGTGTTTCACGATTTGAAATGTCAAAAGCGAGTACGACCACATCTGGTCGAAGACTGGACCAATGTTGATTAGGACTAGATGTATCATACGCCTCTAGTGTGAATGTCTTCTTCGAAAATCGTATATCGAAGATGAATGGCTGATCACTGTCACGCAGGATCTCAAATTCCGTGTCTGGGGTAAACCCAGATGAAGATGGCATCGATCTCTTGCCATTTTTCAGGCGCCTGTCTTGCAAAGCTTAGTTTATCATTTCGATACTTTATTTGCATTTGAATACCATGCCAGCCGGCCGTGCGATGGCCTAGAAGGTGGAAATCAAGGAGCACGATTGCGCAACTCACGACAAGAATGTAGATTTGCCGCATCCAGAGTCGCCAAGGATTAAAATTGTGACTGTTGTCTCGGTCTCTGTTTCCAATTCCGCAGACATCTCATGTAATCAAGAACTATTCAGCTGCGACTCTCAGTGCTGGCCGATGAGTGTCATGGTCAGGTTTCCAAGATCGCAGTGACTGTGGTCATGCCGAGATAAGAAATGAGGAACGACGGACGGGATGCGGAGAACACTCGAAAAGTCGAAAGTCTACTCGATAGATTACTATGTACACTTTGCACAACAGTGGACACCGTCGAAGAACCTTCAAGACAATTGAAAAGCTCGATCGGGGAGAACTTATTACTGGTTGGATTGGATTTAGAGCAACGAGTGTCTGGCATACAACTGTGAATGGACCATTTTCTGATAGCGCCCCTCTGATGACAAGCTGCACAAGGTTGCCTTGACAATACTCGAGTCGTCGTCTTTACCATGGGCTCCTGTGTACAAACTACAATGTACATATGCAATCTCCTCGAGATTACAGATGGACAGTATTTTTCACTGTGCCACCGGCGGCCTCACACCAAAGAGATGGCAATTATACGAGCGGAGGATAATACAATACAGGGTATCTTACAAGGAATACGGAGTCTGCCCGCGGGCTCTATTTTTTGGTCCGCGTGAGAAACTTCCGCCCGCAACTCTCACAAGTACGGTGGCCGGGCTTGCCATACTTCACCTGTGGCATGCTGAGGATCTCACTCGGTCCTAGGCTACTCAATTTGCTTCGAATTCCTCCTCAAAAACACCAAGCACGCTTTCTTAGCTCGAAGGCTTCTTCGCTTCAATATACAATGGCAGCCATCGGGAACGAGTTACGTCCCGACTACAGCACCTGGAGCAATTCTAGCCTGATTGAGCGCATTACTGAGCTCGAGCGCCAACTTCACTCGCAGACTACTCAGTATACGGGGTCAACTACTTCCACAGCGGTCGAACCGACCCGCTCAGCACCAATCGCCACAGATGTCAGCGAGCCCGCGATCCCACTTGCTGATCAGTACACCACCAAGTCGAAGAAACGATTGCGTTCTCCAGACGGCGAGACCTCCCACACACCCGGCCATGCGCCCTCTCAGAAGGGAGAGCGAGGCTTTGATCCGTCAAAGTATCAAACGCGCTTCATCGCTCTCAAGTTCGCCTACCTCGGTCAGCGCTACAATGGTTTAGAACATACCAATGGGAACAGCACGCCTTTGCCTACAATTGAGGAAACTCTGTGGAAAGCGCTGCGTAGAACGCGTCTCATTCTTCCACACACGTCCTCCGCAGACGAGCCTGGTGATACTCAACCTCGAGAGCAACGGCCCTATTCTATCCACTGGGATGGTTGTGATTACTCCAAGGCGGGAAGAACAGACCGCGGAGTTAGTGCATTTGGTCAGGTCATCGGTTTGAGGGTTCGGTCTGCCAGGCCTCAGCCTAAGATCAGGCCTCCTACTGAGATGGGAAACGCAAAAGACGGCGACCCGATGGAGGTGGAAGAAACCGCGGCCGACCAGGACTGGGATGACATTGCGGATGAGATTTCCTATATACAAGTTTTGAATCGAGTCTTGCCCGACGACATTCGCGTCCTCGCGTGGTGTCCTCACCCTCCAGAGGGCTTCGATGCCCGGTTCTCTTGCCGTGAGCGTCGCTATCGATACTTCTTCACCCAGCCAGCATTTTCCCCTACGCCCGGTCCGCTTGGCTTCGAGAACCGCGGTGGAACTAGCCAAGGCGAGCGCACAAAATATCGCGAGGGCTGGCTGGACATCGACGCTATGCGAGAAGCTGCCAAGCACTTCGAAGGCACTCATGACTTCCGAAATTTCTGCAAATTGGATACCAGCAAGCAAATTGAAAACTTCGAGCGGATCATTTTCCATTCCGATATCCACCTCGTCGATCCGCGGACGAACCCCTTGGGCTTTGTCGGCCAGACTGGGTTCCAGATCACCGAAGACTTCAAGGCAGACGTGGACATACTTTCGAAGCAACGGCCTGACCCGACAACTCCTCAGGTGTACTCATTTGATCTGTATGGCTCGGCGTTCCTGTGGCACCAGGTCCGCCACATGGTAGCTATTCTCTTCCTGGTCGGCCAGGGACTAGAGTCTCCCTCCATCGTCCGAGATCTACTGGACATTGCGAAGAATCCACGTAAGCCGGCCTATGAGATGGCTTCTGACGCGCCTCTTGTGCTTTGGGACACCATTTTCCCAGATGAGACCAGTGGCAGTAGAGATGATGCGCTTGATTGGGTCTATGCCGGCGACGCACGCCTCAACAAAAGTCGCAGCGCTAAGGGTGATAGCAAGTTTGGCATGAAGGGAGCCGTTGAGAGCCTTTGGACCGTTTGGAGGCAACGTAAGATGGACGAAATCTTGGCTGGGGCACTGCTGGACTTGGTCGTGAGTCAGGGCGATCGCAGCATCATGTCCCAAATGGATGCCATGCAAGGCGCTCGGAAAAAGCAGAGTCGGGGCGCCAAAATCTGGCTCGGGGGCGATGATGCACGTACTGGGGGCAAATATGTCCCTGTTTTGCAAAAGTCCAAGACAGAGGCCGTGGATGTCCGCAATGCAAAATGGCTCGCAGCTAAGCAGCGGAAAGATGCTGTCAAGACTGCAGGCGGACAAGGTGACAGCGCTTGAGGATTGAGATAGTGAGGAGTGATGGTGCAATTCAAGCTTCCAAAGCTCCCTGGTTTGTCTGTAGTTGTACCAAAACCGGTATTGCGCGACTGGCGCCAGGAAGTTTCATTAGATCAAAGTCATTATTCTGTACGTCAAGATTTGGTGTCGTATAAACAACGTCGAGATCCTCTCCAAACCTCCTCCAAGACTTCCCTGCCCGGTAGCAATTGCTATTTCGTTGGACGTTGCGTTAGTTGAATGTTGTATCTCGACAGGGAAACATCACGTACAGGAAACACCACCAAGACGCCCGGCTCCCCTTCGACAATGACAGCCAAATAGAATCGAACCTCGAACCCTTTGAACGCTTCATGGATCACGATATCCTGAATCTGGGTTGTGGGAATGAATCTGGTTGCAGCTGTCGAAAGATAGGTGGAGGACGACGTGGAAGTCTGGATGCCGAAGCCCCGAATAACCAACAGCGATTCCTCTGGCGGCATGTTAAAATAAAGCCACGATGTAAGATTGAAGGCTGAGATTACCTGTATGCCCCCTTCGAAACACCCCATATAGGATCAATGTGCCGGCTATCGCGAGCACCGACGGATTGTACGAGTCCACCAGTTGACAGGCATACCTGCCGGCGGCACTCGACCATACATCTTCCCACGCAATGGTCAAGAAGCTGCCCTCTTCGAAGAAATGATGTCTGGCACGTGTGATAGCTACAGCTATGACACAGAGGAATGAGAGGACGCGCAGCAAGATACCAAAAGCGAACAGAACTTTCGCTGTGGGATCTGATCGCCGAGGCGCATTGGAAACCGTGAAACTTGCGGTGGTTGGCGTGGGCCGATGAACGGTGAGGCGGCCCGGCATTGTCAATCTAGATGGGCTCTCGATAGCAATAAGGCGTTGATCAAAGGAGTCGGCCTTGTGCCGAGGGGCATTGACTTGGGTGAGAATCAGCGATCCCAAAGTCCCCGTTTCGCCTGCGAACGCTAGCCTTTCGGCAGCAGACGCAACCCCCGAAAGCTTATCGAGGTCGGTGCACGCTCCCCTGGGAGGGTGTGGAGACTGGACTCACCCCCGTGCGAGTGTGCATGTCACGTGATCAAACCGAATCGACGATAGCTTCCGTTGCCATTGGGACTAGACGGGTGTGTCTCAAACAATTCCCTCTTCACCTCCCTCCCCGATATTGGTATTCGTCAAGATGGCGGATCGGGAGAGAAGTCGATCACCGCGTCGACGGGATCACGGTGACCGAGACCGCCCTAAGAAAACGGGTGGACTTCGCTGGAAGGAAAAGCGCCGCGATGATGAATCCCGCGGAGATGATCGACGCCTAGACCGAGGATACAGGGACCGAAGCGACCGTCCACGATCACCACGCAGAGATCGCGATGGTGAACGCTCGGGAGATCGATACAGAGATGGCCCCCGTGAGCATGAGTCGAGGAGGTGCGATGCCCCGCGAGACGACCGCGAGAAGAAAGTCGAGAAGAAGGAGAAGAAAGAGAAGAAGCCCGCAATGCCGCAGTCATCGGAGCCTATGATCGTGGTTCATGTCAACGATCGGCTGGGTACTAAAGCGGCCATTCCTTGCTTGGCCTCAGATCCCATTAGTGAGTCTGAGCAACGTCCCAATGTCATCGTGTTTGACATGATTCGCGGTACCTTTCTGACTTAGCCCTGCTCTAGAACTCTTTAAAGCTCAAGTTGCCGCTCGAATTGGTCGAGAGCCTCACGAGATTCTTCTCAAGCGCCAGGGAGAAAGGCCATTCAAGGATCAATTGACATTAGAGGACTATGGCGTGAGCAATGGAGTTCAGCTTGACTTGTGAGCCTTCTCGCCCCTCTACGAATCCTCGCTCTGAAATTAGTTGACACTAACTGCTTTTTAGGGAAGTGGGAACAGGCGATTAAGCCAAACCCCAAGCCAAACCCCGGGCCACAATCACAGCATCTTGTTTTGCGATATTCATCGGGCGTTAAGAAGACAATACCATGGATTGGGTCAATGGAGCATCATTTCCTGTCGTTCTGTGTTGTTTACACTATTTGTCTCTGCATATTCTATCCACATCATTGCCATGCTTCCTGTTGTGTCGCACTAGACCGTGGGATCTCAGACGGCGAGTTCTGACAGGGCAATGTGGACCTGGACCTTTACGATTTCTCCTTCTACCACTTCTAGGCTTCTTGATAGCGAGGCGTAAGTGGTCATTGGAAGAGCCTTGTCGCTTGTCACCTTCCTTGCATATCGATTCGTTTCGCAAGACATCCATTCTCGAGAACCGTTGCAAATCACTGCGTCGTGAATGCGGGGTGAGCGCCGTTTGCTCCGGTGCCGCAGCCGGAAAGCCTTGAAGGGCCTGAGGCACGCATTCGGTAACCAACCCGAGTCCGAGTTGGTGGTCCACTCCCCAAAAGAGGCTTTTTTCGGACGCGGGACCTCACATGTCCGGTTCTTTTCTTTGCTTCATTGTCTATCTCGCCCAAGAAAGACTTCTCTAACATCTGCGAGCTTTGCGCGATGAAGTGATCGTATATCTCTCCACCCTTCCTTTTGTTGTCCCTTCGTCCCTGTGTCTATCAGCCGATAGTCGTGCTCTAAGTCTTACCCTGCCGGCCCCGGTTTTTCCGACCCTCCGCAAGTTTCCTCGCTCTCCTCCACCGAAATCATCGATTTTCCCCGCGGTCGCAATTATACAGCGTGTGACCGACTCTCAGCTTCCTTTTCGTCTCGAATCCTGAAATCGAAAAAAATGGTCCGAAACCTGGTTGTCATTGGGGGCACATCCCACCCGCAACTGACTCAGAGCATCTGTGACGTGCTTGGCATCCCTCCCGCAGAAGTCCTGCTGTCCAAGTTTGCAGTCGGTGAGACTCGAGTGGAAATACAAGAGTCTGTTCGAGGGAAGGATGTCTATATCATTCAGTCCGGCGGTGGTAAGGTTAATGATCATCTTCTTGAGCTTTTGATCACAATCTCGGCCTGCAAGACAGCCTCGGCCCGCCGCGTCACCGCCGTTCTTCCTCTCTTCCCATATTCTCGGCAAAGCGACATTCCTTATGACAAGGCCGGAGCTCCCTTGGTCAAGTCTTCCGTCCGGGACCGCCCAAACAATGGCTACACTTTTGAGAGCACCCCTCCCACCCCTGGGCCTGGCATGAAGAGCGAGGGTCTCGGCCTGCAGGGTGGAATTGACAACTTGCAGAAGAGCTTGGCCAAAGCTCAGATTGAAGAGAGTACTGGCAGTCCGGTGAAGCGGCGCACCGCGAACGGACTCGCCAGAAGCGAGACTACAGACTCTGTCAAGTCCCTGGCCGGTGACGACTCCTCATGCAACTCTTCCAAGATCAATGCGTTCCAGCCCCGGCCCGGATATAAGCAGTGGGTCGCGCAAGCAGGTACCCTAGTGGCAGACCTGCTCACCTGTGCCGGTGCGGACCACATCATCACCATGGATCTGCACGACCCGCAGTACCAGGGCTTCTTCGATATCCCGGTGGACAATCTGTACGGTCGTCCTTTGCTCAAAAGCTATATCCAGCGCCAGTTCCCGGGTGACAAGAGTCACATCGTGGTGGTCAGTCCTGATGCTGGTGGTGCCAAGCGCGCCACAGCTATTGCTGACTCTATGGGAATCCCCTTTGCTCTCATTCACAAGGTACGGGCTGGATCCTGAAACCTCCCGTCAATTAGAAGTCCCGCCTTAACCTATCTCTCTGCAGGAGCGCCGCCCAACCAAGATCACAGACCGCCAGAATGCTACTATGATGCTGGTCGGTGACGTTCGCGGTAAGACAGCGATCCTGATTGATGACCTTGCCGACACCTCCAATACCATCACGCGGGCAGCGAAACTGCTCAAGAAAGAAGGTGCCATGAAGGTGTACGCCTTGGTCACTCACGGGATCTTGAGCGGCGATGCCATTGATCGCATCAACGCGAGTGCCCTCGACAAAGTTGTCGTTACAAACAGCGTGGATCAAACTGATCACTTGCGTCGCTGCCCCAAGTTGGAGGTTCTCGAGGTCGGCCACGTTTTCGCAGAGGTGAGCTTAGTCTATCTAAATTATATATTTCCGCCGTCTTTCGATTTGCACTTGCTAAGTTTCCGTGCCATTAGGCTATCCGCCGAGTTCATCACGGTGAATCGATCAGCGTCTTGTTCCAGTACGACTGAAACTACCCGTCCGCGCTCTGCCGACACAGGCCATACCCTTGCTTGCAAATAAAATGAATATACTGGAGCGATACTCGGCAAAGCCGCAATGCTTTACATGAATTTCTTTGGATCTACGGGCGTTGCTTCTGACTACTTGTCAACCTTTGCCCACCCCCTGTCCCTCGCGAGTGCGTCAATTTTGTTTTGTCACAAACATAGAAACTTTTGATCCAATCAGACCTGGTGCTGGAAAAGCTTGTCCTGTACTCTTATGCTTCCATTTTGTTTGTACTGGTCAGTTGTTGAAACCTGATCCACTGTCCTTGCTTTTCCCCTCAACCCTTTCACGAGTTTTCGATCCCAACTAGCCTGTTGCTAGATTGGCATACTGTACATATATCTGCTATTTCGGGTGCATCAACACCTCTTGCTATTCCAAATGCCAAGCTGTCCATATTCCCTACATTTTGGTGTCATGCCGCGCCTCTCTAATTAACCCGTGAGGGCATCAAATACGCTTTTTGCCAGGTCTCATTCCATCAAGGTCTCACGACCCCATCCATTCACGCGTTAGCTACACCTGAGGTGCTCCATAATCTGACTGAGCCGCAATGGAAGGACTGCGCGGAGCTACATTAGAATACTCCTATGAGTTGAGGTGTCAATTCCCAACAACCAGATGCCAACCTTCCGATACTACCCAGTCAATGCACATTGTCTTACATCGATGGACGCAGTAGATATCTGTTGAGTCGAAGAAGTCGGAAGGCGAACATGCAGCGCTCAAATAGTGCTATAAACCGCGGGTTTGATACATTCCCATGACAATAGTCCGAGGCCCCTCTCTGCTTCCCGCCTAACCTGTGGTTGCGAAGGCATTCACCCAACTTTCATTCTATAGAAATAGACCTACAAAAACGTGATGATGCCTAGAGTAGGTCTTCTATTAATGAAAGCCAGCTCTTTATAGAGACCCTCGCAACGGCAACATCTCCGGTAAAGATCTTCTCAAAGATCCATGAAAAAATTCTCGGAAAGATCCTCAGAAGGCACCTCCGCGAAAGCTATCTACCAATGGATAGTAAGGTAAACTTTGATCCGATACCAAATTATAGCATACGCGGTACTGGGCTTATATACATCTCAAAGGCCGCCGAGTTCCAATTGATAAATGGTCTTTTTGCCGAGCAGTATGCTACTCACATGATAAATGCCGAGGTGGCCGCTAACAACCGCTATCAATCATGGGCGATTGAAAACCGGCAGGTGTCAGAATGGGTCTCGAACTGTTGTCATGGGACTATAGCTATATTTAGCCGCTGGTTCGATCCAACTCCATACGCTGACCTAAATGAGCTGCCAGAGAAAATAATCACGGCAGATAAAGAAGCGAACCGGGTACTCGATACAAAAGCTGGACTGCTTCCGAGATGAAAGAGACAATGGACAAATACAGAAAGTCATCAGCATGGTAAGTAACAAAAGACGCAGTGTTCGTATCAATTCGAGTCCTAGAACACGGAGATGAAGTTCCCAATCCTCTCCTTCTGGTTCTGAGCAATGCATTCAGAGATCCACGTTACATTGCGAATTTCCTGGTCCTCGATTAGCTTTCGGTCAATCCACGCCCTGGATAGTCAAATACTGCTCACCTGCTCCTTCAGCTTCATCCAAGCATAGACCACCGCCGGAGTGAACTGGCGTGTGAAGACCATTTTTGACATCTCCATCTCTTTCTGATAGAAGAGGTCTTCTAGACTTTTGCCGTCCGCGGGTCCTCCGCCCATGCCGCCCATGCCTCCACCACCTTGGCTCAACCCTACGGCATCGAAGAAGCTCTTATAATCAGATACAGCGCTAACAGCCAGAGCGACACCCTCAATATCGTCTGCACGGGATAGCATTAGGCTCCCCTCTGGATAAAGATTTCCGAATTCAGGGTATAGCTTCCTTCGCTCCTGCTTGGAGAGCTCGGTGCCGAAAGAATTGAGGGTAATGTTAATGGCGCGGCGATCGGCCTCGAATTGTAGGATCTCAGACATGATCTCTCGTGTCGGACCAGAAAAGTCTGGGTGGGTTTGTACAAAATTGTGGAAGTCCTCGAGGTAGTTCTTGTAAAGCGTGTTGCGGACAATCTCAATATTCAGCTCGTCGAGATCTTGGTGACTGAGACTGCCTTTGAAGTATGGCGCAAGGGGTGTCTCAATCAGCACGGAGTTGTAGAGTTCCTCGATATTGGATGCAACGCAAAGAACGGGCAGGGTCTCGAACCAGCCCAGAGGGTGACAACGCTCGAGGAGCTCTCGTGTGTCTCGCTCGTGCAGGGTACCGGTAATAAGAAGAGCGATATTGTCAATCATGTAGCCGTACGTGAGGTATTCCAAGAACTTGGCTGTCGATCCTACGGACTGAGCGACAAGGTAACGGAATTCGGAGACCAGCTTGTCCGTCATCTTGCCTGCCAGAGCGGAGGTAGAGGGGTTCGGGGGAAGAGCGGCAAGGAAATCGCCATATGCAGGCCCAAGCTGCAATTTCACATCTATCGGAGAAAACTTTAGCGTTGTGCTCAAGCGGTCGGAGCTGGATAGGGAGTATTTACCGTCAATCGTCTCGCATTGTACCAGGTTGGAGTAGTTCTGGCCAGTCAAGAGGGTGTTTCGATAACCTCGGACGACGCCCTCCACGAAACTAGAAGTGTCTTAGCAGATTGTAGATATCATGAGCTTGTAAATCGGTCCTACCCGCCGTTTGTATTAAAGAAGAGGCCCTCCATGGTACTCGTAGTTCGTTGATGAATGCGAGGTCGGAATACCTGTAGCTCCCCTCGACGCCGCCCCGATTGACCGCAGGCGGGTCTTACATAAGCCACAGCCACAGCCACCGTCTGTGGCTGGTCATTTTGCACTTTTTTCTTCCGTGCAAAATTTCTAGATTTCTTCTCAACGAGCGATTGCGTCCACGGTCCCATCAACCCCCGCCTTCTGTCTTTCTTTTCAGTGTCGACCTGGACCCCTTTCTCTTTTGAATCGATAAACATCTCTAATTAGATAGAGCCCACACGCCGTGGTCGCCCACCATGTCGCTTTTCATCTTGACCGAAACCAGCGCCGGTTACGCCCTGCTGAAGTCCAAGGACAAGAAGCTTTTTAAGCGCGAAGCTCTTCCCGAGGATGCCAACACCCCTGAGGGCATCTCCAACCTGTACGTTCAATTGACTCTTTTGCATAAATTTTTTCCCTCATACTAGCGGCGCTGGCTCGTTCCGAGTGCGCCAGAGCAGGCGCTATGAGGGAAGAAAAACTGCGTGCCGCTCAGAACCACAAGAGCGCTAACTCTTTCCTTACAGCTTCAAGTTGAAGAACTTCAAGAAGTTCGACAGCGCTGCTTCCGCAGTTGAGGAGGCTGCGTCTATCATTGAGGGCAAGGTCACCCCCCTTCTGACGGAAGTTCTTAAGGACCTCAAGGACGAGAAGAAGGCATCTCTGGCCGTTGCTGATGTCAAGCTCGGTATGTCCAGCGAACGAAGTTCCCGCTGCACTGGGGCTGTTAATTGATCCAATCGGTCATTAGGAAATGCCATCACCAAGGTTCCCGGCCTCTCTCTCGAGCTGATCGCCGATTCTTCCACCGCCGATGCCTTCCGTGCCATTCGTGAGAACCTGATCACTCTCATTCCCGGCCTTGCCCCCAGTGACATGTCTGCCATGTCCCTGGGTCTTTCTCACTCCCTCGCTCGCCACAAGCTCAAGTTTTCTCCCGATAAGATTGATACCATGATCGTTCAGGCCATTGGTCTGTTGGATGACCTCGACAAGGAGCTCAACACATACGCCATGCGCGTGAAGGAGTGGTACGGCTGGCACTTCCCCGAACTTGCCAAGATCTTGAACGACAACATTGCCTACGCCAAGCTCGTTCTCAAGATGGGCATGCGTACCAACTGGGAAACCACAGATCTTGCCGAGATCCTTCCCGAGGAGATTGAGAACGCCGTCAAGACTGCTGCCGATCGGTCCATGGGTACTGAGATCAGCGAGCTTGATCTCGAGAACATTCAGGCTCTTGCCACCCAGGTTGTGGAATTTGCCGAGTACCGCCAGCGCCTTGCTAGCTACCTTTCTTCCCGTATGAACGCCATTGCTCCCAACTTGACTGCTCTCGTTGGTGATCTCGTCGGTGCCCGTCTCATTGCCCACGCTGGTAGCCTTACCAGCCTGTCTAAGAGCCCCGCCAGTACCATCCAAATTCTCGGTGCCGAGAAGGCTCTCTTCCGCGCTCTGAAGACCAAGCACGATACCCCTAAGTATGGTCTGATATACCACGCTTCTCTGATTGGCCAGGCCACTGGTCGCAACAAGGGCAAAATGGCCCGCATTCTCGCCGCCAAGGCGTCTCTTGGTATCCGTGTGGATGCCCTTGCTGAATGGGATGAGGATGTTAACGAGGAGGAGAAGGCGGCTCTCGGTACCGAGGCCCGCTTCAACCTGGAGCGCAAGCTTGCTGCCATGGAGGGCAAGCCCATCAAGCCCCGTGGTGTTAACATTGCTCCCAACGGTGCTGCCCAGGCTCAGAAGTTCGACCTGAAGGAGGCTCGCAAGTACAACCCCGATGCCGATGCCATGGACACCGAGGAGGTTGAGGCACCCACACCCGCCAAGAAGTCCAAGAAGGACAAGAAGAAGTTGGTTGAGGATGTTGAGGAAGACGATGAGATGGCTGATGCCGAATCTGACGAAGAGTCTCAAGACGGTGCTGGTGATTCCGAACTTGAGAAGCTCGCCGCGAAAGCTGGTCTCAGTGTGAAGCGATACCAGCGCAAGCTTGAGCGTGGCGAGATCACCTTCGATGCGGCAGGCAACCCAACGGCTGTCAGCAAGAAAGACTTGAAGAAGGCCAAGAAGGAAGCCAAGAAGGCTGACAAGGAGGACGGCAAGAAGCGCAAGCGCGACGATGGCGACGACAGTGAAAAGAAGAAGAAGAAGAAGAGCAAAGGCGAGTAGATGTCGCTTCTGCAAGGTTTTACGTTCAAAAAGTTTCGTGCAAGGTGACAAGGATGGCTCTCGCGAATCTGTATGATATCACTTTCTTTTCTTTCTTCTTTTCGCGAACTCGCTTGCTACGCGCATGTCTGGGGGCATTTCGAGGTTGATCGACTCTTTATTTTCTGGTTCAATTTTTTTTATCCTGGCGCATAGGGTGCTTTATGGTACAAGGCAGTACAGTGCTTGACGATTGAATAATCTGTTTATATTCATATCTTGTTCTTTGTAAATTTCCTGAATCACGGAAGCATAGGGATTCAGACCGGCTGGAATGAACTCATCTGCGCAGAACAACCGTATACTGTCCAACAAGGTACTGTAGCATGAGTACGTCTCTCTACAAACAGATATTTTGGTGTCGCACCGAGCCATTTTCAGGCCTGTCACATTTGGGTCGTCCGCCATAACAGAAAAAGCACTGCGAGAAACACCAACCTGCCTTGGGCATTGCAGTCTTTAACCCGCAGAGTAGAAACGTGCACTCAACGCATGTGAAATGTACCGAGTTAGTTACTGCAGGTGCCTCAGGTACCCAAGTCTGGGTTTGGACCCTCGTGTTAAGTGCTGACCACCTCACTGACCGGCCTTTGTAGGACCGCAACTCCGAGTGGATTCTGCCGGCACAATCAGCTCTTTTTTCCCCTCATCGTCCGGCCGCATTTCTACAAACATTTTTGCTGGGTTATATCGCCAATTGTCAAGACTGGACCATGAAGGTGAGAAGACAAACTCTTCCTGGTGCCCCCAGTATTGAGTGTTCAGCTACGGAGCTAACTTCTCTGTCTAGATTCTTGATCCTCAAGCAGCCGTCCTCACTAATGTTGAGGTTCTGGCCTACCTCACGGATAATCCTCCCCGCCGTCCGCCCAGTCGCCCTCCCAATGCGCGGCAATGGGTTCCCAGCCCTGATCTTCGAGATCACAATACTGTTGTTAAAGAGGTCCGTTTCATCTCTTCAGCAGGAAGCCCATGCTGCGTCTATAGGTGCGACCCTCGATAACTGAGCAGGCGGTGCTCAGTGTCGCAGTTGGAGTCGTATATGCTCTGCGAGAAAATGCTTTGCCATGCGCAATGCCTCCGAGACCTTTAATGTCCAGATGTCCTTTCCCATCAGTCACCTTTCTTTAGTCCCTGGATCGGTCTTGGTCAATGCGAGGAAAATCGAGACCTCGAGACTTCACTCGTCGTTCAAAGAAATTGACTGACACCATTTTCCAATTTAATCCAGTTCCACAACTACGTCTCTCGCATCTCCCCTCATCTCCTGAAATATCCCCGCTCCACCGACCGACCCAGCTCCTCTCAATCTCAAACCCAAGCAGCAATGACACGGACTATGCATCCCGGCACAACATCCACTGAACACGAGCCCACACCTCTTTCAAGACCCAACCCCACACTCTCCTCCCCCAACGACCCCACGCCTCTCGATCGCGCACTGCGCGACCTCGTCCTTAAACTCCGTCCCTACGGCCTGACCAAAGCCGAGGTTCTTACCATCGTCAACTTGGGCATTGGCCTTTCCGCGGGTGAATCCGAAGATATGGCCGGTGGAGAGACGAATGGACATGATGAGATGATGCTCGATGAGACTCCTGTGGTGGAGGAGGGTCAGGACGGTGGCGAGCAAGGATATGGAGAGGAGGGTGGCGAGGAGGCGGGCGGTGCTGGCGAGGCAGATTATGGTGCGTTGGCGCTGTTTGATGCTGTCATTGAGGAGCGCGAGGAGCGCATTTCGGATGATGATCTAGTTGCCATTTTGGGGATTATTCGGGAAACCTTGAACGAAAATTATACGGGGTGAGAATGAGCAGTGGCTCTGGGATCAACTTCATAGGTACGCCGTTAATATCCTCACACCCAGGAGGATTTTTTGATTTACTTTTTCCATGTTCTGTTTCCTTTTGATCAAGAAGATATCCCGAGGTTATACGTTAGATAAGAATTGCAGTCATCTGTGCTACTTGTGACAATCGGGCAAAGTGCCTCAGTCCCATCCCGGTTCTCTCTTGATAGGAGTCTACAATCCCTGAGTAGGCAGCATGAATGTGCTCATCAGTCAGCAAAGATGGTTGACGTGAATGAGTTGGTCAATTTACGTACCACTAATGACCCCAGCCCTGGCGGATTTCAAAACTTTAGATAATGAATGATATTCAAGACAATATTCATGTCAAGTCTCATTGAACTACTCCTTTTTTTTGTTATTTTTCTCTCTCTCCTCTTCTTTCTCCTTCTTCTTCTTTGCAGCCTCTTCTTCTGTCGCTTTACCTTTGATCAGGTTCCCAAACTGATTATATACAGGCGCGTCTGGGTCCCCGTTTTCTTTACCCCATGGGCCGAGATCGTCATCAAACAAGTCACGCTCCTGGCCCTGACACACCTCGGATATGGTGACCCAATTCTCATCGTCGGTCCACAGGCCACCTCGCCCACCGCGCATGTCCCACCAATCCTGGCCGCCCAGGAGCGCGGACTGAGCCGCGTCAAAGTCATGAGCAGAGCGGACATATCGCCGCAGAAGAGCCCGTGCCGAAGGAAAGAACCACATTTTCTCCCACCATCCATTGCGCAGCTTGGGGTCTCCGTTGAGATGCAGGAGAACTGGTACAGATGCCGAGTGGGGGTTCGTGGCCAGAGAGACATTGCTCCACGAGTGCTGTTCAGGGTGTGGAAGATTGTCCAGCGTCGAATTGAAAGATGGGGCCGCGCTTCGTTCGGTTGAAGGGCTAGTCTGGTCAAACGGACTGGGCAGTGCAGCAATGTCCTCTGGAAGGAGAAGACGATGTTCCCGCGGAACTCCGAATTGTCCCTGTAAGTGAGACGTAGTGGTTATGTTGCTGAATTCAATCCACTCAAGGTCGTTCCGTGACAAAATCTGATTGAAGAAAAGTTGCGATTCATAATCCACGCCGATGCCGTACTCGTAGCGATGCCCGGCCTCGAGCCGAACGCTGATCCCCTCGATCTCCACGGCATCGGAGATTCCCAGCAGTTTATAGACCCATTCCTTGACCTTGTTGACAGTCCGCAGCCGCTCCAGCTCGCGGATCACTTCCTGGCGACCAAACATCTGGGTCAACGCCTGGTAGTCGCTATGGGATGTATGTCGTTGAGCCATCAGGCGAAGTACCTCATCGTAGATAATGCGCAAATCTGCAGCCTGGCCAATCACGGCACCGGGGTTCAACCACCGTGGCCGGTTCAAATGACCATCGGGATGCGCATCTGTCTTCCACCCATACACATCAGGCGGCAGAGTCGACTCTGGAACGGTGACGCATCCGGGTTCGTCTTTGAGAGCGTGGTAGCATAGTTTGCTGGCCCCAAAAACAACTCGCTGGCTGTACTTTTGTATCAATTCGGGACGGGACCCGTCGGGCTTTTCCACCGCCGCGTAGCCGTACTTCCTCTTGAATCTTTCATTGTTTCCGCGCACGATGTTTTGGAACCTTTCCACAAGGACCCGTGGCGGCAATTGAAAGAATGTATCCTGCGCATCCACAATTAAGACAAAGTCATGGTCTTTGACAATCCGCTTATTCTTTAAATAATCACGTATGCGGGTAATCCGGTCAACAGTGAGCTCTAATTCCGTCGCTCCGGGCTTTCGGTGACCATAGCCGATCAATGTCGGCGGTGGATAACCCAATATCATTGCAGATGTCACGGTACGACAAGCGCCTCGAGTTCCCGCGGTGGTAGGGACGAGGAGATGGAGATGTGGGTGAACATGTTCGGGATCGTGGGGAAGGCTTTCGTTCGCGGCAGTGCCTAACTTTGGCGGAAGTGCGACCTGCGCATCTTCTGGGCGTATTGAAAAGGGGTGGTCAGATGGAAATTTTTTCCAGTAGTCGGGCTCGGATGCTTTCTGAGTATCGGGTCTTCTGTCAGTCAATGGTGAAGTGATGCTGCTATGGCCGTCCCGTCGACGATACCAGGCAATGCGCCCATCGACGTCGCAATGGAGTGATCACTCACCGAGGACGGAGCAAGGTACCATAGAGCAGAGAAGAATACTATAGCAGAAAAGATCACAGCTCTCGTGCGGTACGTGCGCGGGCGATATTGCGAGGCCTGTCGCATGAAGCTTGCGGTATATGGGGGGCTTGGCCCCCTCAAACTGCGAGAATGACGTGCTGGCTAACGACATTCTACTGGATCACTCGGGTTGGAGTGGGAGCGGACAGTATGATCATTGCGTTATACCAATACCGAAAAGACCAGTGTTGATGGGCAGATGAGGTCACATTGAACGAGCTCGTAGAGACGGCCACGGGGTTCAACACGAGGTTGATATCCACAGACGGACCGTTTGGAAGCTGGCCAGGGGAAGAAGGTAACACCCGCGGCGATCGACGTGGCGCTCCCGTTTCCGGCCCGAGTCGGCGTCTGGCGCGCAAAATAGTACGGGCGCAATGCATAAGCTGCAAGCAAACCTACTTCAATCTTGATGAGGCACTTTCGTCAACTGGAATAGTAACTTCAATTATATCGATCATAAGTTCATACCCAAGAAAACGCAGCAGTAGCGCCCAGCCGTAGCGTATCTGCCCAGATCTATATTGATGCCTGAGCTTTATTTTCTATGCCCATCTCTGTATAGGCTTGATCTAATCCAGATAGATCTCTTCTCGGAGGCGCTGTAGGTTACGGAACAGGCCACCGCCAGTCGCTCCACTGTCATTGTCTCGCGGTGGCTCCATGCGTGATCGAGGCGCACGCTGGCTCTGCTCGGCCATGGCTTGCTTATGGTCCAAGTTGCGCCTTCGCTCATCCACGATTCGACCAAGGGCATCCACAAAGCGCTGTCGCGCCTTTTCCTCTGCAGAGCCCTTCCAGACGACGGCCAGCTGGCGTAAGGCCTCAAGTCGCCGACTGGCCGCCTCCAGACCCTCGCGTCCGCCTTCGTCGCGGTCCAGCAACCCCGTAATCTCCGCCCGGATCTTCCTCATCACTTCTTGTCCTTTCTCCTCCTGGTCGCTGCCTTCTGCACCAAGCTCTGGCCCTGACACGGAGATGAAGGAGGAGGAGAAAGAGATCTCAGAGGGGGGAAGGGGCCACTCCATCGCATCTCCAAATGTCTGGACGACATCTTCGAGGCGCGCGCGTACGGAGTTCAGGGTGCGAAGGTTGGCAATGTACTCGGGTTCGTGGATGGTAGGCAGGACTGCACGCTCTGCGGCACCTTCGCCCTCGTCTCCTTCTACGGCGCTCGGTGCCTCTTCGGTCGGTTCTTTCGGGGTTTCCTGGTGGACGGTGCCAGTCACGCGGGACTGGGTATCTGCTGTGGACTCGGGTACAAATTTGGCAATGTCCTGGTCCAGCGTTTCTGATAGAGTCTCCGATAGTCCTATCGTCTCTCCTCGCAGGAGTTCCACCTCGTAGGCGAGCCGCCCTCCCCCGCGAAGAATCTCATCGCTCAGCTGCGAGAGGGTACTCGACAGGCGCACATTTTGGGCGCTGATCTGCGACAGCAGTGCTTGTAATTGCACGGACAGCTCCGTCAGTGGCACGGAGCCTTGTGGTCTGACTGCGCTGCCCTGTGGAGATGTGACCGCTAGTGGTGACAGTGTTTCGTTGAGGAATTCGGCAGGGTCGAAGTTCGGGTCTTCGAAATTGGGGGTTGTCTCGGTGGCAGGCTTGCCTCCGGCTCGGGCTGCGGAACTGTAGCTCGGAGCGACCATACTCGACTGCCGTGGGAGGGTTTTGGTCGATTAGAAAGAATCTTCCAACGATGAATACTGAAGCATCTAATTTGCCGTCAATGGCGGAGCTCTCAATGGGTTGTAACGAGGTCAAAGTGTTCAAGGCCTGATGAGCTGGCCCGCATTCTCTCCGCATTCCTAGCATGTGGGAGCACGCCAGACCGCTTTGATTGGGCAGTGGGCATGACACCTTAAATCCATTGAAGTATACAACAGTCGTCTTGAACCGGTGATGCTTTGATGATGTACCTCCATGATTGTAGAGCAGGGGGGTAAGTCGTTAGCAAAAGAGGCCTCGACATACTTGGGATCGTCACCTAGTTGTACTGGGTTGAATCAACACTACATTCCACGGGCTGCCGTGGTAATCACTCCATCAGCCGAGATTTCATAAGTTTCCATCATGCTGCGGGAGTAGGTATTGCCCTAAATATATTTTGGCACCATAAGTTTGCTTCCTATACCTATGTCTGCGCCCCCTCCACCATTCACCGATTCAATAGATACCTACATACCAGGTAGCTACGTGATTCAATCCGTGCGGTACCTCTTGTCAATAGACCAGGGACGTGGACACTCGTAATTATACCTGCCGGACTTATCCATATGTAGTTATGTACTGCAGCAATGACTTGTACAAAGATCGTGAGAGAACCGGTCAAAAGGTACAGCGTGTGAGGCCGAACTGTGGGACCGCAGTCTTGTGATGGGTTGACCGAAATAAAAAGAAATGCATCATCCGTGAATCGAACACGGGCCTCGTCGATGGCAACGACGAATTCTACCACTAGACCAATGATGCTAGTTGATGTTAAGTATCGTCAATCTTGGCTATATATATTGTTTAAATCAACCCTCCTGACCTTTCTCGTTAAGCATCCAGACCACCACGCTCAGCCAGTGACTTCGTTCAATTTATACGCGCCGCTGCCATGGACCCAACACTAACAGTCAGCTCCCAGGGCAAATGCTTTCTGGTCCCCAAATGACGAGAAGCGGAGTGCACAGTTCAGATGTGAAGTGGTCAAGGATGTTAGTGAATAGACCTCGATATATGCTGCGACAAATCCTTGTCTCGCCGTCATGTCTTGAAACTGGCGACCGAGAGTAGCGAGCTACTGTATATTGTCATCCTAACAGCCGCAGCATTGACGTCATCTCCATATTTCGCTGCAAGTACCCAATTCTGCCGGCCGAGTCGACACGATGGAAAACCTACGCAGATGCCCCATAATTCTGCATACTGTGCATAATACATACTACATAGTGAATAGTGCAGTAGTAATATACAAGACTACTCGTATACTCTGCGATAGCCCAGGTGTACAGTTGGACACCACCAGTAGTCCCCCCTTCGCGATGGCACGGATCGTTTTCGTATCGGGTGGCCGCTCACGAGGTCTGCGCCCGATCGAGGGCAGTACTGGGTCCGATCTGAGATCGTCCGCATTCGGCAGTAGCTCTGCGCTCTTGGCCCAACGGGACGGCGACAGCTTCCGACCGACTTGTGAAGATTGGAGGTAGTAGTGGTGTAGTGTAAGCATGTAGCTTTACCGACTCAAAAAGCAGTCACGTTTGAGGAGGATAATCATTGCCCGCGCCAGCAAGGGCACTTCTCCAACGTTACAGTGGTAGCAAGGTTGGAGCCGAGATCTATATCACCATTTCACTGTCCCTGTAGCACATTATTCTCTGAGTGTCTCGGCTGTGTTCTGCTGATATGGTCTCCCATGACTTCCTTGCCCCTTCCCAGCCATCTGAGCCTCGCTGGTCGCCTTACGGGAGGGGCGAACAGGGCTCCACACTGACGCTGCCCCAGATGCAGTGCGGCTTGACGTTGTCGGGCTTGATATCCTCCTTCGTAGATGGGGACTGTAGCTTCATCGAAGAAATAAAGAAAGATCTCACCGTCTCACCAGCCAATGCTCGGTCTGCAGCTCTCACATGAGGACGGCGGCTGGAGTGCACATGCTTATCGTTGAGGCTATTCCCCGTAGGCCAAGAAGATGCAGAGCACCGAGCGTGGTCGGCCTCGAAATGAGCAGGCTGTGCATGATGCAGAACATCGTGAAGGGTCTTCCGCACCCAGTACCGAGTACCGGACCCCAGTAGCAACCAAGCAAGCCCCACGCGACAGGAGGTAAACTCGCTCCCCCCAGACCAGAAGCAGAGACACCACAACCAGTCCAACTTCTTTCAAACTTCACAGCCCACAATCAGGGCTGTGCCTCACTGCCTAGTACTACAGTACTAGTGCGCCCGGCCTTAGTCAGAGCCTGAAGAACACGGTCATTTGACGCCTCGGATAGTCGGCAGGCAAAAGAAACGCGCCAAGGCCACCACGGCTGAATGTTGTGAACCTGCCAGTAGTTAGTCGATGAGTCGATGGCTTTGTGAATAAGAAGAAACAACACAAACCGAAATTGGATCTGAGTCCTTCCCCACCACCGACACGACCATTATCCCTCGGGAGGCAATGACAGCATGCATGCATCAACGAGGCTTGGCTGATGCACATCCCCGGACGGAGAGCCCCAAAGGACCCCGTCTCGGTCAAGTTTAGAAAATGCACGCGTGAATTACAGTAGAGGGATCATTGCTCAAGGAGCAAAGGGAGAACAAAGATCACCACAGCCAATAGATTGAAGCACGCAGGAATCTGGAGGCCACGCATGAACAAACCGAATACACGACCAACGCCCTCGTCGGCCACCGTGCAGATGCCAGGTTGCCCCCTCTCTCTCCACTGCGGAGCATGGCGAGGTACGGATGGTCCACTCTGGAGCTGCCAGGAAAGTCTATTGTCGATCGTCCCTTCAATCCATCCTTTTCGGTCGACATCTGCTCCATGGATCGGGCGATGGAGAACGAGGAGAGCGCGGAAGAGAGGTCCAAGTGCCCCGGGAGACAAAAGGTTCACAACCCACCGGGGCTCCCAAGGCGGCTCGTGTCAGCTGTGTATTTAAGCCTTGTGCGACCGGCCCCTCTACTCGGGTCCAAAGATTCTTTTTGTATTGCATAGAATCCTTCCTTCTCGGACGCTTCTTCCATTCCCAACAAGACATCGCCATCTTCCCGCATTCAAATCAGAGTCACATCATATCTTAGCTCGGTCAGAACACCATGTCCCTCAACGGCCTGAACAACGTCGACGGTGCCGACGGCCACGCCGGCGACATCAACGGCAAAGCGCCTGCACGTGAGCCTCCATCGGTGGTCCCCGGCAACAGCTTGGTAAATGTGCAGCCAGCTCGACTGTCCGATCTTCAGCCACGTTATGCGGCCGTGATCAAGCATGACGATGACAACCCCGATGCCCACGGATGGTATGCGAAGCTAAGTGAGTAGCACACCCCTGTGCCACCTCCTTGAACCTCGGAGCTGCCCTTATTGACTGGATTGTTTTCGACTGTAGTTCACAGCCTCGGAGAGTGCATCGGTTTCTGCGGTGCCATTCCTTGCTGCATCTGTTGCCCGAACCCGTTCAAGCCCGTCGACCAGGGCCAGGTTGGCTTGGTCTCCAAGTTCGGACGGTAAGTAGTGCTGCTGCTCTATCTGGTCGTCACGGCCATGGACAAGGATGTCCTCTTGTGGTGTCTCCGCATCTCCTAACGCATCGAGTTCCCCAGATTTGAGCGATCTGTCGACCCCGGTTTGGTCAAGGTCAACCCGCTGAGCGAGCATTTGACCACTGTGGACGTCAAGATTCAGATCGTTGAAGTTCCTCGCCAGGTCTGCATGACCAAGGACAACGTCACCCTCAATCTGACCTCCGTCATCTACTACCAAGTGACCTCCCCTCACAAGACCGCGTTCGGTATCTCCAATGTGAAGCAGGCTCTGGTGGAGCGCACCCAGACCACGCTGCGCCATGTCATCGGTGCTCGCGTGCTGCAGGACGTGATTGAACGCCGCGAAGAGATTGCCCAGTCGACTGCCGAGATCATCGAGGAGGTAGCCGCGGGCTGGGGTGTTCAGGTTGAGTCGATGTTGATCAAGGATATCATCTTCAGCAATGACCTGCAGGACTCCCTCTCCATGGCCGCTCAGTCCAAGCGTATCGGTGAGAGTAAGGTCATTGCGGCTCGCGCCGAAGTCGAATCCGCCAAGTTGATGCGACAGGCTGCCGATATCCTGTCCTCCGCCCCGGCCATGCAGATTCGATACCTGGAAGCAATGCAGGCCATGGCCAAGACGGCCAACAGCAAGGTCATCTTCTTGCCTGCCACCAACCAGACCGTTCAGCAGCAGCTCGCCACGGCCGACGCTGCCGGTGAAGGTCCCAGCAATTATGGCTCCATGGATAACCGTGAGGATGTTGGATTTCAACGTGCGATGAATGCTTCCGTCATCGAGGACATTTGAGGAATTCAAACGTGATGAACATCCGGGGTGTTCGAACCTCCCTTAAACGGACGACTACTTGACGATGATATGCCTCATCCCATACCCTTTAATACGCAACGTTTTATTCGACCACCTGCCGGTAGCGATGAGAGCTATGCTCGCCATGAGAGTGCTCTCCCCACTACTCACCACCCACCCACCTCTCCCTGTTTGTGGATCATAATCTACTCTATCTTGACTTTTATGCGACTCACGAATCAGACCTTCGACGATACCCGCTTTCTTTCGATATGCTCCTGTTTCCACGTTCTGCAGGTTCTTGATTTGTTCGATGTACTTGACCACCTCTAGCTCAATATAATGACCATTCTTTTGCATTTGATTGTGTAAACCCCTTGTGTGAACGGAGTCTGACTGTCCCCAGGTCAAGGCTCAAAAGCTTTCAGCACCCTGTCCCGAGTTATCACCGAGAGCTTGCTTACGCCCACTACGGCGCCGATGTGTGTCGCCGCATGTTGAATGACTCTCGTAAACTGCGAGCCCTTGGAATGTGACAGTGTTACAAGGCTAGGTGGATAGCTCTTAGGAGCAGCAAAGTTAAAATCTCCCATTGAGCCAATTCATCATAACAGATCCACGCAACCCCATGACATTAACCTCGGGCGGCTTCAACCTCCGACGTCCTGCTATTCCCGAATGAGGCTAACGAGGCACCGGAACCAACGAGCAGCCAGATACCTAAGTAGGAAGCATGTGTCAGATCTGCCCAGCCCCATTGCCGGACCTAAAGCTGACAAGCCATACTACCATTTCAACTTGGAGAGCTTACCCGCGGTGGAGCTGTGATCCACGTCTCGGCGGGTCGGCGTTTTTGTCCATTATTTTAGTGATGCAAGTGGTTGACCGCGGCCTTTACTTTCCTTACTTGTATGAGTCACGATCAACATTCTTCCTCCGAAGCTCTGATCATCGTCTGTCTCACAAACACGGTATTGCTCGAGTATCACGGATTTCAATCAGAAACCGCGGAATTCCGGTACGGTCGTGAAGCTTTTCTCTAAAATCGCGACTGTTATTTTTGGGCCAGATTCTCAGATCTCCCCGCCGTCATGTCCTCCGACCCACCAAAAGCACCCTACGCTCCACGAACGTGGGTTCGAGTTGAGAGCGACATCTTCGTTTCCAATGACCCATCACTACTCTCAATCAAAGCCGTCAACGAAGCCTTTGCCCAAGACTGGCTTTACTGGGGTAAACCCTTCCCCGAAGAAGTCATGTACCACATGCTCCACGATTCTATGAGTTTCGGCGTATACAAGTACACCCAGTCCCTCTCCGATGGTGGAGAGCGAGTCGCCCCATCCACAGAAAACACCCGCCAGATTGGTCTCGCTCGCATGGTCACCGACAACGTCACATTCGGCTATCTGTCTGATGTCTATGTGCTTCCGGAGTTTCAGGGCCTTGGGCTCGGACGATGGCTCATGGACTGCATTTCGGAGATTTTCTCGATTGAGAATATGCCGAATCTACGTCGGATTATGCTGTTGACGGGGGATAAGAGGATGCAGGACTGGTATGCCAAGATCTTTGGGATGGAGGTTATTGCGCACGAGCGACGGCCTGATATTGGGCAAGATTTGGTGTTTATGTGTGTGAGGCCCAATGCAAGATCTGAGCATTGATCGATGTATCAAGTTTCACTGGAAGTCTTGCTTATATAGTGGCCCGTGAGTAGAGGTAGCCGGGCACTTTTCATGAATCAATAAGTAGCAAATGGAGCAGGTGTTGGTTCTTTCTTCTCCATTTTGCTCCAGCTGGGGCTCGCAAATTTGATCTCATCTGGTATCTCCGAATCGTTTTGTCCATTCCAGCAATGACATCCGTGCGTCTTGGCCCTGTATCTCACGTAGATGACGATGAGGGGAAGCACAGTTCTCATGTTTTCCAAATGTCTAGACTCGCGTGCCAGCAGGTAAATGGTTAATGACGAGTGATCTTTACTCTTATGAGCGTAAGTCAAGTAATGTTTACTAGGAGCAAGTGTTGGTTCTTCCGTCTTCAATTCTAAGACAGTATGGCTCATAACTTCGATCTCATTTGGTCCTGATGTCTCGTCTCTGTGATTCTTTGTAGCAGGAATCTTCATACAACTTTGGCCTGCGTCTCATATTGCTTAGAATCAGGAAGAGCTTGATTCCCATGTCAATGATGGCCTTTTTCCGTATGCCAAATCTCTGCTGCTACACTTTACTTTCAGTCTGACCTTGTTCAAGGGCCGCAAACCCAGGAGCCTCTGATCCCTTCCAGTCACTGGAGGGATTCTGCCATGTTTACTTGCCCAACACACGTCCAGCACACGTCCAGCACACGTCCCTAATGTTTGTGTCGCTTAAGCATGTGAAGAATTGTTTGCTTGATCTCAAGCGCCGTGGAAAAAACTATAAATACCAGGCTTCCCCCCCCCAAGAATCTTTTTTCATCTTTCCTTCTTACATCTCTCACTTTCCTCTCACCTCACTTTCATCTCACCTCACTTTCCCCTCATGGTGCCTCACCATGACGCCTCCCACAAACCACCCTACCGAGACATCCAACCTAAGGATGCCTCCCTTCTCATGATGCCTCATCATGATACCTCCCTCATCATCACACCATGTCATCAACACATCCAACAATAGGATGCGTCCACCATCAAACATCACATGAAGGATGACAGGTAACCCCACCCTACCCTCACGACTCCCATCACACAACATCATATTAACAATACAGTCAGCACCAGCCACTCCTTCTTTGGGTTTCTTCAATCGAAGAACCCCCCCATACAAACACTTGCGGTGTGGAGGCACAAGCCGCTGGGTAGGAGTCCAGGATGAAGAAGCATCGGACAAACATGGGTTTATCATAAGAGACGAAGAAGCGTCTATCATCATACATCTTTACATCCTTTCTCCGAGATCACGTCTCGATGTAAGTATCTATCACAGTATTTGTTGTTTCTAACTTGGTGCTCACAGTTGCTAACTATCTTGTGTCACAGGTCTTCCACGTTGGCCACGAGCCTCATACATCTTCTGTTCTTTTTTTTCTCAAGATGATTTCTTGATGTGAGTGCCCTTCCAGTCCTGCTTAACCCTGTTTTGATACTCAGAGTACTTACTATCCTTCACTACAGGCTTCTACAACTTGACTACTGCTAGCCTTTTGAAAAAAAAAACAAGAAACAAGAAACAAAAGAACGAAACACAAAAGAAAAAAATAGAAAAAAAAACTACAACTTCCTCACAAGAGCAATCGATATCAAGACAACAAGTCGAAGTACGCACTTCAAGTATCTTCGATCATTGATTGCAGTCAGCACTAGAAAGCGAAAAACCCCTCCATGAAATCGCTCAACACCGCTCAAAGCACACACGAACCGAACAACGACACAAGCTTCAACAAACATTTGCGGTGTGGAGGCACAAGCCGCTGGGATGGAGTCAAGGGTGAAGAAGCACCAGACAAACATGGGCTACAGAGGGACGAAGAAGCGTCTTGGAAATCAAATACATTTGCATCCATCTTTCGAGATCATGCCTCGATGTGGGCATCTATTCTCGTCTCATTTATCCCTGTTTCTGTGTTCACAGTGTCTGGACATGGCTTTCTCACAAGTCTCCCTATGCTGGCTACTGGACTTGTCAACTTTACTGTGTGTTGTGCACCAATCCGAAACCAAAGGGACCTCCACATCGCAAAATAAAACAAAATGATACAAAAGATTGCCAATGCTTTGACTACAATCGAATCCGATTTGCGTCGACAGACACGTCATTTGGTCATTTCTATGACATCGGTCCCTACAACCCAACACACACAGGCAGTTCAAGAAGAGAAAGCAACAACTATGGCCACAATCCTCCTCAAAGCGCAGCCGCTACTTCAACAGCCTCCTTCCAGTCCGTTCTCAGTTCCACCAACAAGATCAACTCATCTCACATCATCAAATGAGCAAGATGCTACACCTGGCGCTTATTTTCACCCAACTTTCTGTGAGAACCTTGGCAAGCTGTGCTTTACATCAATATAGTCATAGTCCACACAAATATGAATCCCGTGTCAATCTACTATCCTTACTTTTAGCCTATGAGAAGAACTTCTATAGTGTAAAAATCACTTGACCTTGATGAGCAAGGTTCCTGGAATTCATTGATATTACTGTCTTTCCGTCACTGCTGACCTTCATGAATTTCACCCGCTCATGATGCCTTTACATTCTTACCAGGGCAGCTGTAGAGGAGTGGGCAGGTTCTCCCCAAGAACAGCCTCCGCAGTACCAATATCACTGAAACCACTTGATTAGCATATCCGCAATTCTGCGTCGTTTCGGGGCTCCTTGTACGTACCGCGGTCCACGGGGAGCCCAGTACTCGCCCGTTTTGCTGATATCAAAGGTTTCTATGAACGAAGCCAACGACTGAGCCGCCTCGTCGGGTGTCACGGCTATTGCACGTTATGGTCAAATCCAAATGCTTCTACTTCGGAGAAGGAGAGGACACAATTATGGAAACAGAAGGCTGAAGGATGGTCTGTTGTCAGCAAGACTTACCTCCACCGTCATCCCAAAATTTGTCAAAGCCAACACTCTTGGTCATCTCCGTTCGCATGAACCCCGGATGAACGAGTCCGACTGCGATACCCTGAGGCTTGAGATCCAAGCTTAACAGCTTTCCAACCATATTGGACGCGGCTTTACTAGCATGATGGCCGTAGTTGCCTCCTCCTTCCTTTTCGTGTCGAAGAGTGATACTGCCGCTCTCGCTGCTCACGATCATCACTTTGCTTCCCTTTCTTAAAAGACCCGCCTTGACCAGATGATGGACCACAAAGACAGGGCTGATTGCTGAGGTGGTGTACATTTTGACTTCTTTCTCCCAGTCGGGGGAGTCGAAGGACTCGGAGCCAAAGTACCCTGCTGTGAGGATCACTGAGGATAGGTGGGTGGAGGCGGGAATCTGGGAGACCAGTTTCTGGCCTACATCCGACTCGGAAACATCAATGCCTGGCAACCAGGTGATGTTTGGTGTTGATGGTGATTCTGGGGATCTTGCTGTGCCGAACACCTGGTTGGCTGGGTCCCTGGCGTAAAAGGTAGCCAGGGAGGCTCCCAGTCCCCGAGTTGCACCTACGATGAGAATGTTGTTGACCATTGTGAATGAGCTCGTTGATATTTGCACTGTCGAAATGGACGTACTGCCGTTCACACAGCAGATATACTGTTACTCAATGCATCTGTGTAACCGGATGCGCTATTCTGCAGTTGATTGACGCCAGCGGGATGACGTCATGTTCGATGCCCTACAGTCCGCCTCTTCCTTCTCCTTAAAGTCTAAACAAGTCAGTTAAACAGTGCGTCCGGGTAGGTTCAAGGGTGTCTTGGTTTCACTGATACCGGTGTATCAGTGATCGCAGTGGCAGTCAGAGACGCAGGACTGCCGGAAATGGCATGTTTTCCGCACTTCTCACCTCGTCGATTTGGGATTGACCGCCGATTGACCCTTAGGGCAGGATAGTGATCCAGTCTGAAGTAGAGCACCCAGAAAAGTGGTGCACGGCATGCAGATCGATCGAGAAGCACTCGATGATCGATATAGATCAGCCGTAATCAGCAGTCTTCGGAGAAGCTTTACACGTCTGTTTTCGTGCAGTCATAGTGGTCTATTCCTAAGTAATCGACATCTTCTTCAGACATCGATGGTTCTGGCCCATAATTGAGGGCCCAAGGCTCATCATGACATGGGGTGTAACTACCACTACCCTACTAAGTACCCGCTACTCACAACGGGGACGGTGCAAATCCCCAGACGAAGAGAACGAGAGTGATGGATCCAGGCAACAGATTCCGAAGGCTTTCTGGCTGCACAAGCGGAAGTTGACTTTCTCCCTCGGCAGTCACAAGTCTCTCGGAAAGTCAAGTTGACTTTCATTCGGACCAGTCTTCTTTCTTGGGGTCATATTCGAGTACATTCCTCCTTTTGCAATGGTACAGCTCTCGAGGTAGAGATCTCTCACCAGTCCCAATCAGGCCTGCGGTATTGGATTGACCCATCTGACCATGACTGGTGATTCTCCTCAAAATTAATCTCCACCCAGCCTGGAGCTCTCCTGGCATATCCGAAAAGCCGACAAGCGTGCAACCGATGTAAGCAAGGTGGCCGAGGACGGCCCATTTGCGAGGCCGAGATGAGAGGCGCCCGCTGAAGAAAACGGGCGAACCAACAATGAGGCTTCATGACGCGCAGGATCCACAGTCTCTCATTGTCCCGAATCAGGCTGGGCTAGCACAATACGAAATTGCTATTTTTGATTGAGGTTACTTACTCAACAAAGGCAGCATTCCCTCTGTCTGTCGAGAACGGTCCATGCCTCCTGATGGATGAGGGCGGTGCGCTTAGTCAGATTTTGATGCGCGCAACAGTACCAAAAGGAGATAGTTGGAAGTGTGGCTCCTCTTCTTGCAAGCTTTCTGAACGTGGAACTTGCGTAAGCCCGTCCTCGCTCCCTCTGCGCGGTCTTGTCAGAGCTGGTCATTCTTTGTGATAGCCTTATCCCAAGCATGACCAGCTTCCCCAAGATACGACCAGCTGTGGAAAAGTTTCGAGCTGCGCTTGCCCGGAGGAAAGAAGCCAAAGATCGATCTCATCGCCGCGGTGTTTCAGAGTCTACCTCGTCGTCATTAGGGTAAGTTGTTTCGTTGCTCTGGGATCATGAGCGTCATCCGCTACCGTCAAGACACGATCTTTTTATGTGGCCTTTTTTTATCTTCGGTTTCCTGGTCTAGTCTGACTGTCTGACTGATCATCCGTCCTGCCGCCAATAGCGTCAAAAATGTTAATGCTCCGATCCCTCCGTCGCCGTGGGGCTTGCCGGTCGAGATTCAAATCAAAATCTTTGGCTACTGCGACACAACTGATTTCTACCGCCTCAAACTGGTCTGCAAGTCCTTCAATGCGCTGCTGCTCTTGAATGAACACGAAATTGTCCGCCAATACCTCCGTCAACGTCGGCATGGAACCCTACCCTCTCCACTTGATGAGAAGCGAACATATACCCGCAATCCAGAGGATGACATGGTACTCCTGTCTGACCTATTTCCGCCCTCGAAGAGTGCCAAAGGTGGCCATCTGTACACCTTTCGCTACCTTCATGAGCTCCGATCCCGGCAGAAGCAATGCTCGAAGCTGTGCTATTACCTGGCGGATCGGGTGATGGATCGATTCATGCAAACCGAGCAAGTCTTTCTTCGATCATCATTTCCCGTCAAGAAGACCGAGCGGTCCGCAATGATCAAGAGAGGCAAGACCAGTATTTGGTTTCGCCTCGCCCCTCTCATGTATGTTGCCAATGACCGGACACGAACAGGGAACTCGGAGTGCCTCTGTGCGACAACCAACACGCGCTCAAACTGATACTGACTGGCACCCTAGGTACTACGTCATGTACTTTTTGCAAAGCTTCGCCTCCGCCAGGCGCGAGCATACCAATCTGTTGCTCCGAGCACACGAGTCCGGACAGCTTTCAGTTCCGGTGCCCGCCGAGACACGGCGAAAGATGTACCGCAAGCTGCAAACTCAGATCCTACGAGAACCTCCGTTTCATAACACCGCCGCGCTGGTTGCGACACATCATTGCATGCACCTACTGGTCTCTTTGATTCGATACACCATGGCGGCCGACACTGAGATTGACGATTCCTGGATCCTGTCCCTCTTGATGTGGTCCCCCTTCACTCGCATCATGGAATATTTCTCTGCCGAGATAGGCGACGGAGGCAACCAGCGCATGCAACGGAAGGATTTTATGTACAATTTCCACCGTGACATGACGGCCCATGAGAAGGATCATATGAACTCATTAATATTTGGCCCGGCGAATGGAGATACAGACCGCTCTGTGCGGGACTTGTGGTTTGACGCTGCATCCGTCGAGATGGAATTGCGAAAAGCGTCACCCCATCATGTAGAGACTGTGTGGACATGGAATGGCATGCCCATTGTATTAGGATGCCCGGACTGCCGGCCAGCTCCGGGCTGGAGGGCTTAATGATCAGCGATGCATTTTGTTTTCCATGTGAGCGTTTACTCCGAGCTCGAAATGAAATATAACGTCATTTGAACAGGGGAAACCCTGAATTTTAGTCCTCACTCAATATTGTGCTGTGTACAAGAATGGCGAGCGCATTCTCATAGACGACAAATATACACATGAAATAAGGAACTGCCTACATACTATTCGCGTCTGTTTAGCATGGCAGTGGCCTTGTAGGTCTTGAGATGTGCTTTGTGTTGTTTGTTCTGTTTGCAATCGAGGCGCGTCGCCGCAATCATACAACCACGCGACAAAAGACCAGACTGGGAGGAATATCATGCAATAATAAAGACAATCCCCGAGTCGGATAACGATGGAGAGTGCGTCGCAAGGACAACTATTCAACACCTCGTGGACTCTTCACCGTCTGTCCCCACTCTATCACGGCGAAGACTCAGTAAGTCTTCTCAGCAACGCCGCCGCACTGAAAGCATATGCAACGCGATTACGCGATCAACTCACCGGCGACGTCCTAGCTGGTCTGCACATCCCCACGAGTGCGACCGCAGACGAGACCTTGTCCCGGACGGGCGCATTACTCGATTGCCGCTGGGAGACTCTCGAGCCGAGCTCGACTCGACCCAACGCCTCGTTCTCGGGACTCCTGGTCACGCTTGAATATGAGAACATCTCGTGCAAGGCAGCTTTATTGGCCAGCCCTGACGACAATGATGCCACGAATTCCACGTCACGGGCCAAGCGTAGTGGCGTGACAATGCTGCCTTTGCTGTTGACGAGGTTCCCTACTGCTCTACGACAAACTTTCATCTCTTTCTTGCAGTCCAATTTCGATGCATACTGCTCGAATCTCCGACTTTCGTCGGCCTTCCTGTGTACAGGACTGGAGACTTTCATCACCGAATTGCGCGGGTCGAGAGATCACTCCAATGCAGATAATGCCGTCGAAGAGACGGTCAGGGATCTACAATTGTCACTGGCATTCTCATCGTCCATCACGCCGGCTTTACGAAATCTCAATGTCAACATTGCTCGAGATTCGCTCGTTGGATTTCTCAATTCTGACTCTACCTCGGAGACATCGCGAAGGAAATCGCCTACGCAGCGTCAACCAAAGAGCAAGTTAATCGCGAATATCAGCGCTTATCTCGATACACATCTCGCCATGCAAGTCGATCTTGACGGGTCACTACAGAACACGGTCTCCCGGCAGCATGTGCGACTGTCGAAAGTCGCATGTGCCGCGTTCGTGTTGGGCAGCGAGGGACGGATGAAGCTTGTTGTGAACGCGACGCAGACCAGTGGGAACGAAGATGATGCGGAGCAGCGAGTACCTCCATCTTTGAGGGCAAGTGAGATGCTGCTGCGTTCGATTATCGAAAAGGCTGCCATGGCCGATTTGAGTACGACTTGAAAGTTGTAGTTGACTTGGAATTCGCAGTTCCATTCCGGTCTTATGGTGGACCACGGTCACCACCATCACCCATGGATCGACTCTCGGATGCGTTTTGGAACGGCATCGATTGTTCCCGGGCAACTCAGGATATTCTGATCCCGGTTCTTGAATATTCCGCAGGATGGCATTGGCCTCAGGAGCAATGGTGCGGTCATGCATCATGCAGCGGCAGTCATCGGGAAGATCTAGGCCAAGATTTCACTACCCACAAGTCGCGAGCTATGCGAGCAGGAAGATCTACCATGTCCCACATGAACACGACGCTCTTGCCGGTGCGCTTGCTCACAGTCTCTAGTGGACCAAGCTTTGCAAACCACGTGTTGGTTTCTTCCATCATTCAAGTGGTCCGCTTTGGTGGCTAGCTTTGAGAGTGAAATTCAATCGCTTGGTGTTTCAGCCTAAAAGCGAATGGAATCTGTAGTTCAGTGGTATCAAACTTTTCTGCATGTCAAGATATATATGTCAGACTCGCAAGAACGAAAAAGTGTACACACGCTGCATTTATCATTCACATAATTTGACATTGAGCACCTCTCCCTCTGTGCTGGACGAAGAAATTGGAAACATAGTCGCCTGACGATACATGGTCCTCGTAGAATTGGACACTGTGTATGATTCAAGTGAAATCTCACATATCACTTTGCTCCTCAACCTCCGCCAACCGCAACGCTTCATCGACGCGAGGCACAAAATGTGTGATACCGCCACACTGCTCGACGATGCCACTCCTTTCAAACATCTGAAACACGCTGGATGCAGGAACACGGCAGAAAAACACTCGAACGCCCTGCTCTGTATACGCTCTCACAATCTCATAGAGCACTTGTGTACCAGAACCATCGATACTGGTGACTCCATGTACGTCAAAGATGATGTTCTTGTTGTTCTCTTCGCGGCGCATGCGAGGACGAGATGGATGCGTTCGGCTAGATCCATACAGTTCCAATCGTCGAAGACGATTCTTCAGATCGCCTGTATTGGCAAACGTGAGTGGCTCGGGGATTTTGACGATCAGTGCACCCTCAATGAGTTCCACGTTTTCCCGGTGAAGCTCGGCGTTGTCAAAGCGGGTGTGCGTGCCGGAAACTTTGCCGAGAATTTGGATGCGTGGCTGCGTAGCGTGACGGATGAGAATGATCACGGATAGTCCGATCCCCAGGGCCATTCCAAGCTCTAGGGAATAGAAAATGGTAGCGGTAAAGATCAGGAACATCAGTGTGAGCTCTGTCCATCCCCGCAGGCGGAGGAAGAAGATAATATCATGCGGACATTCCTCAACCAGACTGTAGGCGACGACAGAGATCATAGACGACAAAACGGCTTTCTAGGGGGATGGGGTTAGCAGTGGCTTCTGGATGCGATGCTGGTACGCGATATAGAGGGAGACCGCCTACCGGAAGATATGAAAGATAAGGCAAGAGCACGAGAATGGCGAAGAGTGTGATCAGACTCAGAAAGATACTACTCATTGGCGTACGAGCACCTGTCTGAGCATTGACCTTGCTACGACCGTATCCGCCAAAAGCCGGAAGAGACATGAAGCAACCACCCAGCAGATTTGCCACGCCGAGTGCTACCATTTCTCGATTTGCGCTCATATGCATCCCCTGAATACCATCGGGCTTCTCATCGCCCAGGCCCTTTGCAGCGACTGAGGACTCGAAGAAGCCTAGCAACGTGATGATGAAAGCTTTACTCATCGCGGTTCGAACGTGCGTCATATGGCTGAAGCGGAATGGCCAATGGAAGGTGAACAATTCGCTGGAACTGATTTCGGTATGACCGAGAAGCTGAAGGCCCTTGTCCTCCAATTTCAGGCCGTAGGCCAGTACCGCTGATAAAACAACGACAATGAAGCGATCTGGGAAATAGATGACCTGGGGAAAGCGAGGCATCATCCACTTCTTCAAAGTTCTGTATATCGCTTGATCAGACTCACGATTCCCTGTGGACCCTTTCAAGCCATGAATTGATGATCGGCTTACCTGAAGAACATAATGATGGAAAAGCTGATGAGTGAGACTGCTGCTGTCAGTCCATGACTTTTACCGACGTTCCGGAAGATGAATGTCAACTTCTCGACAGTCGCACCATGGCTGACACCAGCCTCCTTAGCAAGGTCCGCAAGGCCCAACTCCGGAATGAGTTGATCGGCAAAGATAACAAAGCCAATGGCGGTGATAAAGCCACGAAGGAATGGCCGACTCAAGACATTGTCCAGAAATCCCAGACGGGTGATTCCAGCAATGAGGATCATAGATCCTGCCATAGCGGTGGAGACCCCGACAATGATGGCGCTTTCCATAAGGTCATCTTCTTTAGGGCCGTTGCTTGGCATACTGGCCTTCACAATAGCTCCCGTCAAAAGTGATCCTGCCGCTTCTGGTCCAATCACCAAGAGGGGACAGCTACCCAGGATAGCGTATACGAAGGGATGAATCACAAAAGAGTAGAGGCCATTGACGGGAGGGGCGTGAGCGAGATTAGATGCTAGTGACAGCGCCATAGGAATATAGATCGACGACACTGTCAATGCAGCAATCAGATCTCCACGCAAGAACGACCATTGGTACTGGCTGATCCAGTTGAAGAATGGGATGTAGTACGAGATGTATCTGTGCTCGATGGTTAGCTGTTTGCTCTCGGTTGGACGCATCCCACGGTCGCAATGGCACCCTAGCCTCATCAACGTTAGATGCTTCTGAACATACTGTTTCCTATCGTCGTTCATAGACAATGCCGACAGCGACGATTTCATTTGCGGTGTAAAGTCGGAATCTGGACGTGACTCTGGCTCACCAGCACTGGCCCGGCTTTGGCCTGGAGTCGCCCCTCGATCACCATTCTCATTAACACCAAAGAGCAGGCCAGCATCCAGGCCATGATTCTGGCCCTCTGTTGGCTCCTCGGGTCGAGGAGAAAAGGTGCCGTGGCTACAGCGCCTTTCACCACATACTGGGTCAGACTGGTGATAAGACTCTAGCAGGCGGGTTCTTGCATCGGGTTCGTTCATGCCATTGATTCCAAGACCTGACGCACTCCGTCCCTCGTCCCCGGAATCTGGGCCTGGAGAAGCTCTTCTGCTGGAGTCATTGCGGAAAATGTCCATAATGCGATGTTGGAGGGACCTTGTTCCCCCCGAATCCTGGCGGAGGAGAGAGCTTGACTCGGACATGATGTAATGAGCCGAGGTGATACTTTATCTCAGGCTGGTCACTCGAAGGTTTTTGATGAACTGAACCCTAGCACCATTGCTCTGCCATTCAGAGCAGAAAGAATTACTGGAAAGCGGAAAGAAGTCACACAGCCTCGGGCCGAAATAAAGGATCAAGATCGTGTTGTATTTATGCTTTTCTGCCTTGTATGAAATTGAATTTCACCAGTCTTGAGAATGGGCGGTGTCACTGTTCGGAGGACTGACTAGTCGTAGTTCTAAATCTGGATATGCACTACTAAGGATTCCGATAAGCGATAAGAGGGGCCAACGGCCCTCCCACTGAAGCTGTCTCTTGACGTTGAGGAACTCGAAAGGCCACCAGAGTCAGAATTTTCCTGTTGACAACCGATCAACGGGAAGGATAAAGACCAAAATGGATGACGCCCTCAGTCGCGGCTCATTCTCTGGCCCTGCAGCATCTCTTTCATCCCCCCTTCCCCCCCCCCCCCCCCCCCCCCCCCCAACTCAATGCCTCTGACACGAGGCGGTACTGTAGGTCAGAGGAAGAGAATGAACGGCATAGTAAATTGACCAACGAACACCAGCTGCACATAAGAACCAGCATGCTGTACTCTGTGTAGTTAGTGATAGTATTCACACTATACTGAATGTAGTGCTACGCTAATAGAGAACCGACCCATACACATATCATCCAGGTGGCAGCCTCGAGCACTCTGTCGATTAGTTGTAATTTCACACTCATATGGCGAGCAGAAGCCTTAATTTCAAGTACACTCGGAAGATAGTCAAGATACTGAGTCAGACAGCACCACCTCTAAGTTAGTCTGGTCTTTGGAAGCAAGACATGCCGGTCTATTCAACCTACTTACCATTGCGTTGTATCTGCTTAAGACGTGCATATCACTCGATACCAAAATACTTTCAATGGTCAAGAGAATGACCTAATATGGAGCCAAATTTGACATGAACTGCAACACCATGTAACTAATCGATAGTAAAGCAATACTGATGGTACCTGCCAACCTGGCAGTGCACTGTTGCACTGTTGTACCATTGTAGAGCCCCTCCGTCGGTCAACATCACGTGAGTAGAATACTCCAAGCGCTGAAAGGCAGATCCCGTGACCCCAGTCAATGTGGGTTTTGAGCCCGCCACAAAGACCGATTTCAGACGAGCTTCTCACTGCAAGTCCCTCGCTCACGTTGCTACTCACTGCCTCGCTTGTCTCTGATCTTGTCACTCGAGACTTGATCTCATATTATCCGGATTTCTGTTCTTCGAATCCCTTTCTTTCGCCTGAAATTTTCACGTCAAGCCGCGCAGCGCAACCCCGCCAAAATGTCTTTAACAAATTGCCGATTCTACGAGGAGAAGTACCCTGAGGTGGACAGCTATGTCATGGTCAATGTCAAGCAGGTACAGTCATTGCTATCGTTCATGATGGTCTAGGCTTTGCGGACGTTCAGCTAATGGATTTCGGTCTGGATGTAACAGATTGCCGAGATGGGCGCATACGTGAAGTTGTTGGAATACGACAACATCGACGGCATGATTCTGCTCTCCGAATTGTCGCGCAGACGTATTCGTAGTATTCAGAAGTTGATTCGCATTGGCCGCAATGAAGTTGTCATTGTTCTGCGTGTTGACAAGGAGAAGGGTACGACCATTTTGACTTCGAGCGCTCGGGCTCATGCTCAGGGTATCTTTCAACTGATCTTTAATCGTTTGCGCAGGTTACATCGATCTTTCTAAGCGTCGAGTCTCACCTGAGGACGTTGTGAAGTGTGAGGAGCGCTACAACAAGAGCAAGGCTGTGCACTCCATTATGCGTCACGTCGCCGAGGCCACCCAGACTCCCTTGGAGACCCTCTACCAGCAGATCGCTTGGCCTTTGAATCGGAAATACGGACACTCTCACGACGCCTTCAAGATCTCAATCACGTGAGTCACTGCGGAGATTTCCACCCATATGAGGATCTTAGGAACAGACCTCTCATCCAATCCATCTACAATCAAGAGAGACTTGTTACTAATCCCACCCGTTGTTCACCAGTAACCCCGATGTTTGGAACGAGATCGAATTCCCCAACGACGTTGTGAAGAAGGAGCTGCAGCAGTACATCAGCAAGAAGCTGACTCCTCACCCTACCAAAGTCCGTGCCGACATTGAGGTGACCTGCTTCGGCTACGAAGGAATCGACGCTGTGAAGGAGGCCCTGCGCACCGCTGAGGCCAACAACACCCCTGAGAACCAGATCAAGGTCAAGCTGGTCGCGCCTCCTCTCTACGTCCTGACCAACCAGTCCTTGGACAAGAACCAGGGTATTCAGATGCTGGAGGTCGCGATTGAGAACATTGCCGCCAAGATCAAGGAAGCTGGTGGTAATTGCACCGTGAAGATGGCGCCCAAGGCTGTCACCGAGCAGGATGATGCCATGCTGCAGGAGCTTATGGACAAGCGCGAGCGGGAGAACATGGAGGTCAGCGGCGACGAGAGCGCGTCTGAGAGCGACGAGGGTGTTCCCGCGGCGTAAAGGCAGCTCGTTTGGAATTTCTGGTCTCAGGGGGATAGTGGGATACCCATCGCTGCACTGCCACTCGTGCTCTGCAGGAAAAGCTGTGTGTGAGACAACAACGGAAAAAGCTGGACGCACAGGATAGAGAAAAGCCATGCATATTTTACGCGATCAATGAGATGACAGATAAAAACGGACTCGACGATACGTGCATGGTCCCTTGTGAGATGATAGGCAGAGACCGCTTGCGACTCGGGATTGTTTGCGGGCCTTCCATGCAATCGATCTAGATTGTATGACAAATATGTACATTTCACCAGTCTGGCAGTTACTTGTAATACCCAGGATCTCGACGCCTCCTGGGTTTCCTTTCCAAAGCAGCTTGGGAGGCTCAGACCTGGAGACCTGTAGTCCTCAGGTGTGGTACAAACTACGATTAAAACGGGACGGTCAATGTCATTGATACCTCACAAACGATCCCAATGGACATCTTGCGCTCTTCTCAACTCAACAGGTGAATGGGAACATTCTGAACTTCAAAGCCATTTAGTCAGAAAAGGCTTAAAAGCGACATCTGCACGAAAAGAAAATTGTACCGTAGACTGTCGTCCCTATTAAAGCACCAGTATGAAGCAGAGTCATCGACGCTTCGGTGCTTCGCGTTAATTACTGGTAGGTGGTAGGCTCAGAGGCTGTCACCCAGTTGTCCCAGAATGGTCTAGCGAGTGCAGATAAGTACCGACTTTCGGGAATGTTTTGGGCGCGCTTTCTGGATTGTTGTTGGAATCTGACTATCAACTCAACTAACAGCGGGTGTGACCTTGAGCATAACTCCAAATTTGATACTTCAAGTCGATACTTATTATATCACTCGGAATGGGGTTCTGGGATTCTGTAGCGGGCATTGGTCGTGATGTCCATCACCGCACGGAGGCAGAACGGCAACGACGTACGTCATTATCAACTTCAGGCCCGACGTTTGGCTAACCGCGTCACAGTTCTTCCAACACATGGCCGTGACGAAATTCAGGGCTTAGAGACTGCCAAGGAGATTGCCAAAGTTGCTCTTCGATTGAGGTACCAGATTGAACAGGTTGTGTCATGTGAGGTCGATGAAGGCGCCTTGACAGACTCAAACAGCCGTATCATATCCCACGATGTGGTTCAAACAGCCAAACGGGCCGGCGGTGAAGACTACAGCGCCTGTGTTGTTTTCTGCTTGATTGTATGTCTGCGGTGGTTTAAGAAGCAAGCTGATATCGAGCTCTGGGACGCGGATCTCCACGCTGCGAGAGCAATTGCATGTGAAGCCATTGCGAAGCGCATGTATGCATGCCGCCTTTCCAATGCTGGCTAGTGACCACGAGAAGCATCTCTTGTGACGAGCTGACATTCCGTTTTAGTATCGAATCTGAGATTGATCAGGACCATCTCCTCAAAAACATCCTTTTGAAGCGCTATTCTATCTTCATTGATGGAGAAGAAAGTACACCTGCCAACGTGATCGAGCGTGCAGTTGACCTTCACGCTCTTCTGATCATTGGTTCTGCTGGATATCAAAGATGCATCCAGTACATTTGGCGCGGGTGGATCTGTCAGGAAGAGGGCAATCCAACGAACTTCGTGGAGTACAAGGACAAATCAAACACTGACTATTGGGTTCACTTTCATCCCGACCGCATGAGAACGCCTTTGTACCAGAATATGTGCCAGATCATATTCTCCTTGGTCTATCTGTGTCTCTACACAGCAGTCATCAACACCGTCAATCCTACTGGTGATCTTGACTTAGCGGAATGGATTCTCTATCTGATGACCCTTGGTTACATCTGCGACGAGGTTTCAAAGTTCTGGAAAGTCGGCAGGAACTACTTCAGCTTCTGGAATGCCTTCAACTCGACCCTTTACGCCTTGCTAGCAATCTCCTTCATCATGCGATGCGTGGCCTTGGCACACCATCCCTCCACACATCATGCAGAGCGAGAACGCTTCAACGGGCTCAGCTACAATTTTCTCGCATTCTCAGGGCCTATGTTTTGGATGCGTATGATGCTTTATCTTGACACCTTCCGATTCTTCGGGGCCATGTTTGTGGTCCTGAGAGTCATGATGAAGGAGAGTATCATCTTCTTTGCTTTGCTCTTTGTGGTGCTTGCGGGCTTCTTCCAGGCATTCATCGGCATGTCCCAAGTTGACAGCGACGTCGATATGACTGGTCCTATCATTCAGGGAATGGCCAACAGTGTCATGCAAAGCCCCGACTTTGAGATTTTCCAAGACTTTGCGTTCCCATTCGGCATCATTCTCTACTACCTGTTCAACTTTGTAGTCATGATCGGTACGTGTCCGGAATGGTGATGATGGGTGTATGCCCTTGACTAATAATCGATTCCTAGTCCTTCTGAATATTTTGATTGCACTCTACAACAGTGCCTACGAGGACATTTCAGGCAATGCGAATGATGAGTTTATGGCTATCTTCTCTGCCAAAACCATGCAATTTGTGCGTGCGCCTGATGAAAATGTGTTCATTGCACGTAAGTCCCTGTTTCCGACCTTTTCCTTACTGAACCACCGGCTCATGCATCGCTAGCCTTTAATTTAATTGAGATTGTCTTCCTTGTGCTTCCCTTCGAATGGTGGCTCTCGACCAAACGCTACGCCAGGGTCAATGATATCATAATGGCTATCTTATACTCACCCCTACTCATTTTCACCGCCTGGATTGAGACTCGCCAGGCCGCCCAAATCATTTGGAACAGACGGCACGGGGAGGAGGATGATGACTGCATAGAGGAATGGGAAGATGTTGCCAACGAGGTCAACTTTGATCTGGATGACAGCTGGAAGGAAGAGGTCAAACAAAGCACACCTAATATCAAAGTCGATGCTTGCACGCTAGAGGTTCGCCAATTACAGGAGCAAGTCGCAGCACTGACAAACTTGGTGAAGAAACTTTCTGAAAAGACTGGGTCTGCAGATGGGGGAAACTAGCCGCAGACAGGTGCAGCAGCCAGTATAAACGTTCGGTGAGGCATGTCGCTCACGAACATACAAAGTCCCTACTGGGGCGTGAAACTTGATTGTCAGGTTGTTTGGTGACTTAGACAGTCTAGTATGTACGGCCTCGTGTAGGAACGCGATCCTGCGAAGTGTGCGCATGATGGAGCGATTATCCAGGTACAATGGCAAGCTGGTTCTTATCACATGCAACCATATCGATTGAAAGAGTGAAGTGATTCGACCGGATTATTTGATGTTTTTGGCACGCACTCGTGTGTCAAGCCTGGCCTACATGATAGACCATATAAGGCAGACTCTAGGACATCCGATTGGAGCTATCGAATGCAAAAAGCGCTTCTTATTCTATTGAAGTATCTCCTGAATCCTGATGCCTCGTACCTGGACACCTGAGAGGTTTTTGTAATTTTTTTCACGGTGTTTTTCCAGGCAAAAATCTAGGTAGATGATTACCCACGATCATCCGCAGTGCACCGTAAGCGAAGTTCAAGAAAGAGCAGTAAGAGATAACTAATGTTGCTCTGAAACGTATGGTGCACAACCCTGACCATAGAGGTGGGTACTGAAGTGTTCACTTTATCAAAGAGAAAACTATATTGATTCTTTCTGCTTATCTTTCTTCCACGTGTCTACACCACAGCTAACAATCGAAGACTGTTGAGGCTATTTGATAGAAAGAGCGACAGTCAGTCGATGGTGTCAGGTGGCGGAACAGGCTGATGTTATAAGTTGCTGTCTATCCAACCTCCAAATATTGACGAACGCTCCAGATTCAACCAGCGTCTAAGTGCCGGATACCTACAGTCCAGGCAAAGCCCCAGTGTTTCCAGTCGACGGCCGAAGAACGCGTTGAGTAAGGGAGTTCGTCCATGCCCGCGGGCCCGTCTAAATTACATAAGCCACTGGCGCGAACGGCCCGAGGGGCGAACCTCAAATTATACCGAAGGTGGCTTCTTCGACTCCGGAGTGTTTTCTCTTCATCGCGTCTCCCCTCGATCCATTTCTGCGTGTGGTCTGTGCATGTCTTTCTGAGTCGCTCATTTCAGGATCTCGGCAGTGGTCATCCTGGTTGCCAAAATGTGTGTAATAAGCTCATATCAAATTCACTTCCACCAAGAAACCGTGAGGAATGCTATCGGGCACATGCTAATGCTGACCACAGGACAAGGCTCGCAGATGATCCTCAGATCCAATATGCATCACTGCACAACCCACTCCCACTTCAGCTTCACACCTACGTTTGGCCATTCTTGATCGTCTGGCCAGTCTTTTTCGCCTTTTACCTCTCCCCCGATCGCTATGATACGTACATCCAAGGACAAGAATGGACTTTTGTCTTCGCGGGTACCATCGTCACGGCGCAGTCGCTCTTCTGGTTGATGACAAAGTGGAACATCAACCTTAATACGTTGTTCACTACTACCCGGGCCAAGTCTGTTGAAACAGCGAGTTTGATCAAGATCATTCCCGTCACAAACGCAGGCACCGCTGAAATTTGCCCCCTCGTTCGTGAGAATTTTGGCGGCAAGAAGAACATTTCATTCCTGTTCCAGAAACGCCGTTTCCTGTTCTATCCGGAAACCGGTACTTTCGCGCCACTGTCGTACGCCCTCGACGCCGAACCAAAGCCAGCTCTCAAGCTGTTCCAGCAGACTAAGGGATTGACTACCCAGGCTGAGCTCGACCGGGTGCAACACCACTATGGCGACAACACCTTCGACATTCCTGTCCCGACCTTTGTGGAGCTTTTCCAAGAGCATGCTGTTGCCCCGTTTTTCGTCTTCCAGGTGTTCTGCGTGGGGCTCTGGATGCTGGATGAATATTGGTATTACTCGTTGTTCACCCTCTTCATGCTTGTTGCCTTTGAGAGCACCGTCGTCTGGCAGCGTCAGAGAACCCTCAACGAGTTCCGCTCAATGAACATCAAGCCATACGATGTTTGGGTGCACCGTCAGAACAAGTGGCAGGAAATTACCAGCGATAAGCTCCTCCCCGGTGATCTCATGTCCGTGAACCGTACCAAAGAAGATGGCGGCGTTGCTTGTGACATTCTCCTCATCGAGGGAAGCGTAATCGTCAACGAGGCAATGCTTTCTGGAGAGAGTACTCCTCTCCTCAAAGAATCCATCCAGCTGCGACCCGGGGACGACCTGATTGAACCTGAGGGACTAGACAAAAACTCTTTTGTGCACGGAGGTACCAAGGTCCTTCAGATCACTCACCCCAACTCCAATGGCGATGATATTGCGAAGAGTCTGCCCGTTGGCGTCCGTCCTCCTCCCGACAACGGTGCGGTGGGTGTCGTGGTGAAGACAGGCTTTGAGACCAGCCAGGGCAGCCTGGTACGAACCATGATCTACTCTACGGAACGTGTGTCTGCGAACAACGCTGAGGCTCTGCTGTTCATTCTCTTCCTTCTGATCTTCGCCATTGCTGCATCTTGGTATGTCTGGCAGGAGGGCGTGCAGAAAGACCGCAAGCGCTCTAAGCTTCTTTTGGACTGTGTTCTCATTGTCACGAGTGTTGTGCCCCCCGAGCTTCCCATGGAACTCAGTCTGGCTGTCAATACGAGTCTCGCAGCTCTCAGCAAGTTTGCAATCTTCTGTACCGAGCCTTTCCGTATTCCCTTTGCCGGACGCGTGGACATTGCGTGCTTTGACAAGACCGGCACTCTGACTGGTGAAGATTTGGTTGTCGATGGTATTGCTGGATTGACTCTGGGCCAGTCTGGTGCCACTGTTGAAGCTGATGGTGCTCACACCGACCTGTCAAAGGTGTCCGCTATTGGACCTGATACCACACTGGTGCTGGCCAGTGCCCACGCCCTAGTGAAACTGGACGAGGGTGAAGTTGTGGGTGATCCTATGGAAAAGGCAACATTGCAATGGCTTGGCTGGACTCTGTGCAAAAACGATGTCTTGACCACTAAGAAATCTGCCCCCGTGATCCAAGGCCGTCCGGTTGAATCTGTGCAGGTGAAGAGACGATTCCAATTCTCGTCAGCACTCAAGCGCTCCAGTACAATTTCCACAGTCACCGCTGTCGACCCGAAGACGTCCAAGAAGAGCAAGTCCACCCTCGTCGCCGTGAAGGGTGCTCCCGAGACCATTCAATCTATGCTCGTCCAGGCACCTCCCAACTACGAAGAGACTTTCAAGCATTTCACTCGCAATGGAGCGCGCGTGCTTGCTCTTGCCTACAAGTATATCTCCACTGAGTCGGAACTCTCCCAAGGTCGCGTGAACAACTTCGTTCGTGAAGAAGTCGAGTCAGAGCTGGTGTTTGCTGGGTTTTTGGTCTTACAATGCCCTCTCAAGGACGACGCCATCAAGGCTGTCCGCATGCTGAACGAAAGCAGCCACCGTGTTGTCATGATCACGGGTGATAATCCACTTACTGCTGTTCACGTGGCTCGTCAGGTAGAGATTGTCGATCGCGAGGTTGTCATTCTGGACGCGCCCGAGCATGATACTTCTGGAACTAGACTTGTGTGGCGCACCATTGATGACAAGTTGAACACTGATGTCGACCCAACCAAGCCTCTCGATCCCGAGATCATCAAGTCGAAGGACATTTGTATCACTGGTTATGCTCTTGCCAAATTCAAGGGCCAAAAGGCTCTCCCCGACCTGCTCCGCCATACATGGGTTTACGCTCGTGTTTCTCCTAAGCAGAAGGAGGAGATTCTGCTCGGTCTCAAGGATGCTGGCTACACTACTCTCATGTGCGGTGATGGAACCAACGACGTCGGTGCTCTGAAGCAGGCTCATGTCGGCGTCGCACTTTTGAACGGTTCTCCTGAAGACTTGACCAAGATCGCTGACCACTACCGTATCACCAAGATGAAAGAGTTGTATGAGAAGCAGGTCGGCATGATGCAACGCTTCAACCAGCCGGCCCCGCCAGTTCCTCTTCCCATTGCTCATCTTTATCCTCCTGGTCCTGGGAATCCGCACTATGAGAAGGCTATGGAGCGAGAATTGCAGAAGAAGGGCGCGGCCGCGATTGCTGAGGGCGAGAAGTCCGGCGAGCAGATCCAGACGATCACCACTCCTGGAGCGCAAGCACTTCAGCAGGCGAATGCCAACCAGACCGGGGCTCAGCAACGCCAGCAGCAGGCCCAAGTAGCAGCTGCTGGACTGGCTGACAAGCTCACCTCGTCCATGTTGGAGGCCGAGTTGGACGAGAGCGAGCCGCCCACCATCAAGTTGGGAGACGCTTCCTGTGCCGCTCCTTTCACCAGCAAGCTTGCCAATGTCATTGCTATTCCGAACATCATTCGCCAGGGTCGCTGTACTTTGGTTGCTACTATTCAAATGTACAAGATTCTCGCTCTGAACTGCCTGATCAGTGCCTACAGTCTGAGTGTCATCTATCTCGATGGCATCAAGTTTGGTGATGGTCAGGTGACCATCAGTGGCATGATGATGAGTGTCTGCTTCTTGTCCATCTCCCGTGCCAAGGTATGTCTCAAATGGCTCGCTTGCAACCTCGCTTCCACATGGCCGATATACTGATTTTCACCCTCTTTGCCACAGTCTGTCGAGGGTCTTTCCAAGGAGCGCCCCCAACCGAACATCTTCAACGTGTACATCATTGGATCAGTCCTTGGACAGTTCGCGATTCATATTGCGACGCTGATCTACCTGACTCAATACGTGTACAAGATTGAGCCGTAAGTCTCTATGAGAATCCTCCAAGTGAAAAAAAAAAAACAACCGATGCTAACCTTTGGCACAGAAGAGGAGACAACATCGATCTCGAGGGCGAATTTGAGCCGTCTCTCTTAAACAGCGCCATTTACCTGCTCCAGTTGATCCAGCAAATTTCGACCTTTTCTATCAACTACCAGGGTCGTCCTTTCCGCGAGTCCATTCGTGAGAATCGTGCCATGTACTGGGGTCTGGTCGGCGCGACTGCCATTGCTTTCTCCTGCGCCACCGAGTTCGTGCCGGAGATTAACGACAAGCTGCGTTTGGTTCCTTTCAGCACCGAGTTCAAGGTCACCTTGACCGTTCTCATGATCTTTGACTACGCTGGTTGCTGGCTCATCGAGAACGTCCTCAAGACCTTGTTTAGTGACTTCCGACCCAAGGATATCGCCGTCCGTCGTCCTGACCAGCTAAAGCGTGAGATTGAGCGCAAGGCCAAAGAAGCAGCTGAGGCTGAGGCACAGAAGGAGGAGCAGCGCAAGGTTTAGAAAGGAAATTGGAGGCTATTATGACCGAGCACCTGTTCATTTGTAATCTATATATATAGAAGGTGGTGGACTGAGTCCGTAGGGAATGGGCATTGCTTGTTCTTTCGTTCTTGAGGGCAATGTCGAGCGACATGAGATTTCTATCAACCTTCAATTTTTCAGCCGCTGGTTTTAGAACACTATCTCCATGATCCGCGGTGGTGCAAGAATAGAATCCCGGACCATGGTGAAAATTCATATATGCAGAGGCGTGACGAGGCGGAAGTATATCTATTTGAGGAAATGCTTTACCTAATTACCCGTGAGTTCAGAGTCACAGAAGCGGCTCATAGGTAACGGGCGTAGATTTCTATCAACCGGCAGTTTTGGCCCAATTCATTCTCATGTACCCAATCTCAGACTGGAGGTTCCATAACCTCACCTGCACAACCTCGACGGAGTCCGTAGGAGAAGCAGGAGCAGGATGTACTGCGACTCTGCACAGTGCACACTACGACCCCACGTCGGCTGATCTCCGCAATGATCTCATAGATGCGGCGATTTTCTCCCCTCCACCCATTTGCCCGTTTTTCTTTTCTTGTATTGCTTGTCCAGTCTAAAGTTCACATCATTCGGAAATCGGTCGAGTCAAGAACTCTAGCATGGCTTCCACACAGACTCTCCAGTCGAAATACAAACTCCGCTCAGGTCATGAGATTCCGATATTGGGGTTCGGGGTAAGAGAGAACAGAGTTGAATTCGGAGATCATTCTTGGGCTAGAAACATCCGTATCGATGCATCGCTGATGCCTAACATCATTTGGCTTCCAATATAGGTGTATATGATGTAAGTCGAGGGCGAGCTGAATCATACCAGTAGAGTCAGGAAGAATGGGTATTCGGACGTCCAGCTAACAAACACAGCCCTCCTTCTTCGACAGAAAAGGTGGTCTCGGAAGCGTTGAAGAATGGATTTCGTCATGTACATCGCATCTACTTGCCCAATGTTTCGTCACGGCGTGCTGAATATGCGTCCAGATCGACTCTGCTATAATGTACGGCAATGAAAAGGCTTGTGGCCGTGCTATCCGAAGCTCCGGCATTGATCGCTCCGAGATCTTCTTTACCACCAAGATCCCTCCCGAGTCGATGGGATACGGCGACACCAAGCGCGCTGTGGAATCGAGCTTGCGCGAGGCTGGACTCGACTACTTTGATCTGTGAGTTCTATACCGGATCATATAGAGTCCGTCGTAGGTCTCTTGACGAATCCACATGTCTTATACACACGACGGCAGCATCCTTATTCACGCACCTTACGGCGGCAAAGAAGCCCGTCTTGGATCCTGGCGGGCGTTAGTCGAGGCGCAACAGGCCGGCAAAGTCCGATCAATCGGAGTGTCCAACTACGGCATCCATCACCTAGAAGAACTGGAAGACTACATCCAGAACGGCGGCGGCGGCGAGATCTCCGTTGGCCAGTACGAGCTTCATCCCTGGCTGGATCACTCCGACATCGCCGAGTGGTGCCAAAGTCGAGGGATTGTCGTTGAAGCCTATTCTCCTTTGGCGCATGGTACACGATTCCGCGAGCCAGTCCTGTCCCAAATCGGCGAGAAGTACGGCAAATCACCTGCACAGGTCTTGATCCGATGGAGCTTGCAAATGGTTCGTAAATTCTCGATCTTACTCTTATCATTTGCGTTTCCTCGCTGCGGAGTTGTGCTGATGTCCTCTTTTCGGTTTTGATGGCAGGGATTCGTGCCACTGCCCAAGTCTGCCAAGACACAGCGCATTCCACAGAATGCGAATGTCTTTGACTTTGAACTATCGCAGGAGGATATGGGACTGCTGGATACTGGCGAGTATAGTCCTACTGATTGGGACCCGACAGTGGACGAGGACTAAAGAGATTTGAAGGATAGATGAATTGGGATTGATGTTGAATGAGTACTCAGCGCAAAATAGATATTTCTGTTCCTCTTACTTGCTCCATTTGCGGGTTTTCCCCTCCCAGATAATGAGCAAAGGCACAAATAATCCATCTGTACTGCTCAAATATCCCTAATGAATAGAACCATCAACCCAGCAACCCCGGAGTCTGAATCCACAGAGAAAAAGTGGCCGCGGGCCATCGAGTCGATAATCGCCGAACGTGGATTTGTCAGGAACTCCCCGCCGACCCGCGGGGTTTTGCGCTTTCGGGATGATCGTGCGGACAAAGATTCTCATCAGTCACAGGTGTCATCAGTCACCACTGTTCTCGCCTCTCGCCGTTGTCCCTCTTACTCTTTGGCAGAAATCCCACTTCTCGAGCTCGTCGACGAAGTCAAGTACCGTATGAGAAGTGCAGTATTGGCTTCACTCTGAACTCACTTTCCTGATTGCGCAGTGTCCTGCCAAGACTCCGCGGCCATGAAGTTGATACTCTCCACATCGTAAGTTGCCCGCTCTGTCTCTGCCTTTGCCTTGAGCGACACTTGGCTCTTTGCGTCGCTGGCTTCGAATGTTCTCCATTCTCGCAATGGAAGAGTGAGAAACCCGACAAGCTAATCTCATGCGTCTCGCACCGGTATAGTAATATTATGAACAGCGGCCCGCCGTCGGTGATTCGACACCCGATGATGCAAAAGTCGAACATCGAACTGATCACCTCGCTGCGGTCAAACTTTGTCGCATCGCAGACCCTTGACAACACTGGCGTGGATGGCGCGAATTGTGCCGCGAATGGCCAGCACGGCAATGTCGCGTCCTGGACGGAGAATTGCGAGGACGGACTTTACATTCCGGCCGTGGACTTCTCACAACACGGGCTGGCCGAGGAGAGGGACCAATACGATATTACAGTGAAGTTGTTCTACCTGCCGGGTATTCCAGCCTCAAGACGCTGTGCGCACACCAGAGAGGCGATTGATTTGGTACTAAGAGAGTTACATGTCAAGTCGATCGATCTTCTGATCGTCTCGTTCCCTGGAATCCTGTTCGACGCGGACGATGACAGTGACGAGGAAGGCTCCGACGCCAGTGGCGAAGATGATTTTGACAGCATGGTACAAACATGGCGAGTCTTGGAATCTTTGCACGAACAGGGCGTCATTGCGCAAATGGGTGTGGCCGAGTTTGGCAGCGAGCGATTGGCGCGATTCCTTCCTCACACCCAAGTCAAGCCCACCGTGGACCAGATCAATCTGAAGGACTGTTGCGTGGTGCCCAAGTCTCTCATTCTTTATGCCAAGCAGGAGAAGATTCAACTGCTGACCCATAACGACTGCAATGACATCCTGCCTGTCGGGATGACTCGAGAACTCCTGGGCCCCAAGGATCAGGGCGGCGCGGGTATCCTGGCATCGGCCCCGGACGCCAACGACGGAATTCAAGGAGATGTCGAGCCGCAGTGGGTGGTCAAATACACGGCTGTGGTCAAAGACCGTGGCGTTGTCGAGAACAAGGGCTACTTTGCTCTGGCGGATGTAGGTACATGTGTCCAGTCCCGTTCATGAGATCAAGGCGCGCCGGGAAGAAATAACGATATTCAAATATAATCTTCGATCATGAGATCAGTCGTGGTCTCTTCAATTCATGGCTGAGCGTTGGCGTTTTCCTTTCATCTGTTCTTGTGTTTCCCCCTCTTTTGTCTCGCATGCTTTCCCTCCATCCTTCTCTGTGGCTCCGTTGGTGTGTCTGTGGCGGAGTGGCCCAAGGTCTTTTTCATTGCAAAGCATCTGCCGCTCGATCTCTCGACGTTGTATAGAAGACACAAGACTGGATTTCTCCTCTATCCGATCATGCTGCGTTTGCGACCTCGCATCCGCACATCTTCCAGTCTCTTCAAGGTAGAACCGGCTCCCTTGTGGCTCTCCCGATACCCAACCAGCACGGAATCAAAGAACTGCTCCGACCGGGGATGTGTGCTGCCAATAGCACGCTCCAGCACGTAGAGATCGACTGCACGGTCCTCGTCTTGCGTACTTTGCGCCGCCAGACCAAAATCAATCAACACGACCTCGCCCTCCATAGACACAGCCGAGGCAGCGAGACCCGTCTCCTGGCGCTGCGCCTGCGCAGGCGACCGCAGCATCAAATTACTCGTTGTGAGATCGCCATGCACCACACCCGCTTTATGCAGACCACCAAGCGTAAATCCGATGCGCTTCATCAACCCGCGCACACGATCCTCTTCCACTTGCATCTGACTCGCATCCAGCGGCGTCGCATGCTTCTTCATCCACGCTTCCCACTGCTCAAGAACCACCCGAACCACAGGTCCCTCAATCCACTCCATCATCAGCCACGCGCCTCCCCATGCGCTCTCCTCGCCGCCCTGGCCCTCCCAATCCATCGCCAGCACCGCAGGCACGCTGACCCCCTCACGAACCAATTTCACCAGGCATCGCGCCTCCTGAATGATACGCTGACGCGTCAATCGACGGTCGAGAATGGGGTGGCGGTAGGGTTTGGAGGGGCGAACTTTGAGCGCGGCGGGAATGGAGGGGTCCAGCGAGACGGTTTTGTAGAGGTGAGCTTCGGCGCCCTGGACGAGGAGTGTGGGGGCGGGTGTGGTGTTGGTGAATGGGGAGGGGAGCGCGGGAGGTTGGTATTCTTCGGTCATTTTTGTCTATTGTATGTTTGGGGGTTTGGGGGTGTACTTGAAAGGAGATCTGTCCTACTGATGGACAGAGAACTGGGTTGTTCGAGGGCAGCAGGTGGTGGTTTCGAGCGGAAAGATCGCGGAGAAATTGAGTATTGGGTTCAGCCCGAAAAATTGTTTCCGCTCGAGGAATGGTGTGGGGCATACCGTGAGACCTGCAGTGTGCGCGAACAATGTCAACGCTCTCAAGTTGAGTTAACCAAAAGGTCGTACTCCAGAGCATCCTTTCGAGGAGATTGAAATATTGAACGTCGGCTTCTCAGTTATATGAGCTGTGTGGTAGAGTCGAGATACGTGCTGGATTGTCAGGTAATGACAGGCCTAGCAGTACATTCACCATCCATCACTCAGGCTTACAAAGGCAGGAGAGCGAGTGAAACGAGCCCCGATCGAAAGTGAAAGTGTCCATTCACTCTATTCAGGTGAGAATGGACAGGAAAGTTTGTATATATATATATATATGTAGTTGATCTTGTCCTCCAAGAGAACCAAATATAAGACGGGGAGAAAAGAAAGAAAACATGCAAAGAGAAAAGACATGAACGAATCAAAAAGAGACATCACCAGCCCGCTTGAAGGGCAATCACTCCCCGAAAATTTTGCATGAACCGGACAATATCCAGGGGAAGATAATCGCAGATATGTAAGTTGACTACCACGAGAAACTTTCCTCGATGTAATCCAGGTTGGAGCTAGGTTGCCTCCGACGGCACACCCGGCGCACATCATCACTCAAACCACCATTTCCACACACCATCACACCCATGGCACCAACTTGACTCTCGGCTTCCATCCCAATGAGCGTGTCGATGTTGGGTCGACCGGGGAACATCTGGACGGTTGCAGAGGGGCTTTGAATCTCCTTGGTGTTACGGGGACGCGTCACAAAGAGCATGATCCGGAGCACTTCACGGCGGCGGTCCATCGCCAGGATGGTGGTCATCCAGGGTCTGATCCATTCGAGGTGCTCGGGAGACTGGATGATCCAGACCAAAGTGAGACGGCGAGTGGCCACGGTACCGTCGGCGAAGCCAGCGACGAGGTGACGGACAAATTGAACGTGGTGGGTGATTCCAACACCTCCAGCGAAGAGCATCACGGTACCGTATGAGTCCAAGGAGTGGATGTTGCCGTAGGGACCTTCGGCAAATGCACGGAGGACCACCCGCGAGCCGACCGCATTGGAAGCACGCTTGAACAGCTTGTCCGTCATACCGGTGCGGCGACGAACCAGCAAGGAGATGGTATTTTCCTTCGACCGGCTGAGCAGATCCTGTCGTGCCATGGGGAGGGACTTTTCATCAGTCAAGGTCGACTCGGTCTCGGTCCAGGCCACCGAGAAAGGGTGGGAAGTCCACCAACCAACGGATGGAATGTAGAGGTAGATATATTGACCCGGCTTGAAGGTCCAGGCCCGAGCCATGCGGATCGTAATGCGCATGCAGTCACCGGGCATAGCTTCAACCGTTGCCGTGGTGGAATTACGGCCGATGTTTCGATAGAAGATGATAATCAGACGGCTAGTACGCTCAAGCGCCCACAGAACAAGTGTTGCCAGCAGGTATGTCTGAGCCGCAAGACCGTTGAGATGCACCCACAAGAAGCCGAAACATACGGCAGCAAGAGCAATGTGGAGATGGAGGAAAGTCTCATAGAAGGCATGACGAATCGGGGACGGTGAATGAAGCATCAGCGCCGTGAATGCCGCGGTACCCATCAAACCCGCGAACAGGAAGCTGCTGGTTGGAAGAATCTTGGCCACAACGCCCCATCCAATCTTGTTAGCTTTCGGGATCATCCAAGCAAAAGTGTGAGCGAGAGCCTCGCACACCACGATGCGGCCCAGCCATCGGTGGAGAAGATTCCAGGTGTCGTAGGGCACGTGGAGCATCGCGATCAGAGGGTTATTGCGTCCGGCCATAATGATCAAGGGAATCAAGTTGATGGTGGCCATGGTTCCTGTCCGATTGCGCACAATGCCCGCTAGAGTATCTTCCGTTGAGTTGTACGGAGTGGTCACGGTACACAGAACCACGTTCATCACCACAACGCTGACGACCAGGAAGCCGTGGAATCGGCTGGGGAGTGTGCCCATGTTGATCGCCGATGAGAGCTGAAATTCACGATTGTGTCGGACTCCGAAAAGGGGAGCATAGATCAAGTGCTCCTTCAGCCAGCAGAACTTGTCGTGAGCTGGTACGAAGTACTTCTGCTTGTCGTCGGTAAAGGCAGACAGACGTCGAAGATGTCCCGCAAAGCGGAAGCTCAAAGACCAAATGTAGTATGCAGCGGCCGCGCATCCCAGGGACAAGATTGTATAACGGGCCAATTTGTCATTGTAGGCTTCGTACCACAAGGAAAGCTCGCTTTCCTTGCCTTCTCGCTTCTCAATAGATTCTTGGGCGGTGCAAAGTCCCACCAGGGACAGACCCAAGATGATTGAAGACATCATCTCGAAGACGTTGGGACTTGAGATGGGATGTTGAATGCGGCAAGACCGGCTTGCAGCAACTGAGAAAATCGATCAAGATGATCGAGTAGGGCCCTTCTAGGAATTCTGTCCAGGGTCCTAAGTCGATGGGATGGTCTTGTGCAATTCGAAGCAACGCCAGGCCTGCTCCGAAAAGCTAAGATGAGAAAGACGGATGTTGCTTGCAACAGGAAGAATCAGAATATCTCGGCAAGTATGCCAGGAGATCAGTTCACTCTTCTTTTGTTTTCTTTGCGTTGCGTTCCTTCCGTGCAAGTTTGTTGGGTGCGCAGTGCAGGCGACAGGAATGAGAGAATCGATTTAATTTGATTGATCCCTGTTGCCAGTTGACGTCGTTGGGAAACGAAAGGAATGCTGGTGAACCAGTCACTAGCGGAAAGGGCAAAATGCGCAGCGTTGGGAGATCGTCCACTGCGTCAACAAAAGGATTGTTTGTGAGTATCAAATGAAAGGCAAACAACGGCAAAGTCCAAACAAAACAAGGACGACAATAGCCAGCTGTCGAGAGAAGAGACAATAGTACAAAGAATGACACAATTGAAGGAAAACAACGGGCAGCGAAGAAGAGAAACAAAAGGTATACCTTTCAGGCCCTGACGAGGAGGAAAAACCTAGTCAGGAGCCATGATAATTATCTGCCCCCTTCGAAGAGTTCGAGGGTTGCCGAGTATCCACGTACGTGCCGCATAGTGGGCAGAGTGGGGAGATTTGAGACAGGCCAAGTACCGCCACCCCGGAGCCAACTGACTCAATAGTATAGTGGAGAATGGGCGCAGTCGTTCAATCTAGTAGTGACAGAGACGCACACTGATGGATTCTGATCAAGATCTAGACTGGACCTTTCCAGCTGTGTCAGTGTTTCATAACTCTGCGGTCGGGAGGGGAGCATCGCGATGATGTTTGAAGCAACCCTCCGGGATCCGTGCCTCCATTTCATGTCCTATCAACCGACAGAGCCACACGGCACTGAAGCTTAGCTGTGACGACTTTGCCGTGAGTTTAAAACAAGGCATGTGAAAGAGATGTCGCAGAGCGCCATTCAAGGCAGAGTATCAGCCTATCATACACAAGGAGTGGCTGCATTGCGATGCTATACACCTTGATCCCGCGCCGTTGGGACGGATTGGAAGCGCATTCATGACGGAGTCAGCTCGTTCGTCGCGGGTTTATTAATGACCATCGCATCCAGAATTTGTCTATCTCCATCTGAGTGGGCCAGATACGCATCTGGAGAGTGGACAGAGAGGGTCCCGTCAACACTGATCTGAGCGATCAACTTCTAGCACCGCAGTCAGCGTTGAGAGCCCGGTTAAGATACCTGTGGAAATACCCGCAGTACTTGCAAGTTGGTGCTTTTGCCTCAGCACTGGGAGAGATGGACCAGAAGCAATCGTGGCGCGGAGAGAGTACATAGTGGCTTGTGATGAAACAGTTCTCGGACGAGTCAGGATGCAACAGCCGCCGATCAGGCGAAAATCGTATTGATGTTGTCGGTGGATAGGAACGGTAGGTAGGTACTGCACTGGACTACGGAGTAGTGAGTACTGTGGTAGCTTAAGCCAGGACACCCCGTCATGGTCCCAAATTCCCAATAACATGCGACTGGGGGTTTGAGAACTGGGCTTTGACTTTGATCGATGGGCCAATGGAGGAGGCTGAAACACTCGAGGATGGTGGGGATCAGCAGTGGATCGGAGGAGGAGAAGAGAGGAGACAGGGGGAGATCCTGCAGGGCGGATGGCCAAAGGATTTTAGAAATTGAATATCATCTTGTACCGTAGATAGAGCGGGATCTATTGTAAAGACTCTAAATTGAAGGCCCTTTTCAAAGCGTGCGATGTCGATAGTAGTATAGGTCATCATTGACGAAGTTGTTTCTTCAGGGTGGATTCGAATGAGAGGACGTTCGCGATGCCGGAGTCGGGCATCGTACTGTACATGCAACCTGGTCATGTGCTTCGGACAACGTGATCAGGGTTCAGAACTTCAGACAGACCAAGGTCCAACCCGCTACGGAACACTCAGTTATGCGATGCACATTTGGCTATAAACCCCACAGTCTCGCAGACCTGAATGAGCGTCAATATTTGATCACCCACCCCCGTTGAACCGACCTCAACGTCGCCGCGTCCGATAGATCTCACCCTCCCTGCGTTATAGTATTATCTCTCTGCTACGCCCTTTGTCGCCCAACCTCGCATATATTGCAGCATGTCTGTCTGTCCCGACATGAGATAAAACCCTCGACTTAATCTCTCACTGCGGCAATCAACCCAACTGGGGGTTTCTGCGCCGTTCCGCTCCACACACTTGCATCGAGGGGGCTTGCCAAGAGTTGTTGTAATCTATATCAGACCGTTAGACTTGGGGCCCTTCCGGGAGGATCAAAAACCGGAGCATGAGGCTTGTCAATCTTCCCAATTGACGCCCGTCCGACTGGCAGAGGCGTCATGCAAAGGAAGGAAATAAAGTTCAAAGTAAAAGGTTCCGTGAGACATTGAAGCGGAGATGGTAAATCTATCACATGGCTATTACTCGACTTATCGTCACTAGTGCATCAGGGGAAGTCTAGAATCCCGGGCATATGGATTGTGTAGTATAAACAAGTCAGGCTTGGCGTCTCAGTACTCCGCGCGACTGAAACAGGGAAGAGAACGTAGAGCACAGAAGAGGAAGGCATAAGCTTCTCCGCGGCAAGAGCATTTGGCATGGTGGATCTTCGTGCTCTGCCTGCTACTATGATGTAGGCAAAAATCTTACATGGCTCCCATCTCGTGATAGCAAAAGTATGACTTGAAGCAACAGGATCTAGTTGAAGTGCTCAATACTAATAATCCTGTATGTGGAAGCATAGCGTACACCACGGAGCGACCTTCGCATCTAAGCGAAGAACATCTGAAAAGGAATGACAAGAAAGCACGACGCTCAGACATCTGGAAGACCAGGAACAGTCTATCATACAGGAGGGTGAACGTGAAGAGTGAAAAATTAAAATGCGAGCCTGGGATCTGACCAACGGCTCCGGGTATCAAGAAAGAAAAAGTTCAAAATCAACCAGCAGAGGGGGCTATTACCCAGAGTCCGACAGTTCCATGCCTCCGGTTTACCCTCAGGCAGGTCTGAAATTCGCAATGCATGCAGCCCACAAAAGGATGAAGCTCCCAGCCTCTGGCCTCCTCTCAACAGGACAGAATCCACCACGGAATTGCTAGTTGCATGCTCCAAGAGAGCTCACTCGAGCTCGGCATTCCACGCAAAGCAGTGTAGTCGGAAATAAGAAACAAGTTGTAGGGACAATTGGGGGGTCCCGTTCTTCATCCAATAAGCGCAAACACGTCACAAAAAGCTCAGCTCATCGTCACTGTCCTCATCTGTACAAGGTATGGCCATAGACCGGCGCCGCACTACCTGGTGGGCTTGCCGGTCAGATGCAATCAAGGATTTAGACCTTGTGGACCTGCGTCGGTCCACTGCTCGACGTGGACGCTTATCGACCACCACTTCCAGGTCCGGCCCGGGGGCGAGTGTAAGGTATCTTTGCGGACGAGTACTCTCTCTTTCATGGCCGTTGTACACGACTACCTCGACCATCTCCTTCTCAGAGCGCGGCTTTGCGGCGATTGGCTCTTTCCTATTCGCGAGGCGAGAAGGCCTTTCACGTAGAACACGACATTGTGACCGAGGCGGAGATTGCTCGGTGGGTGGAAATTGAGGACCTGGGGCAGCGCGCTCGTACCCACTCCGTCTCCTGTAATTGTTCTCTGCATGATTGATGATGACGGGCGCTGCGCGTTGTCGTTTAGCGACCTGCAAGGGAGATGAATCGATGTCCTCACGCATGCGCTTCACACCTGCCGAGCACGGAGATGTAAATGAGCTAGCTGGAGTCTCCTGTATAGCTTCGGACTCACGATCGGAGTCCTGGGAGCTGCGATCTGTGAGACATGATTTGTCGACCATTTGAACCGAAGTGGGCAGGCAGGAACCACCCTTGACAACCAACGGAGGGACATTGACTTTGACAGCCGGGGTGCGGGTGATCCATTCTCCAATGCTCTCTTCCCAGCGGTAACACTCGTTTGGAAAAATCTGCTCACGTCGATTTGGTTGTGATTTCTTTTCTCCAAGTCGAGAAATAACCTTTTCCTGAATCGCAATGGCCCACACATGGTCATCTGGGTCTCCGGTGTGTTCGGCGAATTCCATGGCCGCTTCAACCGCTACTCGACCGAGCAGGGTATTCACAGCGAGCGACGAGTCTATGCTAGCAACCTGGGCGATCATTCCACGAGTCTCGCTCCCGTCTGTCTCAGCCCATCGTCCAAAACATCGAAAAACTTGTCGGCAGAACAGTGCTAGTTCCCTGATGAGCTCAGAGCGAGCTGCCAAAATCTCACAGTAGACATCCACAGCATTTGTAGTCGTTGCTCCATCGCAGGGCTTTTTGCCGAGAACGAGGTCATTACAATGCAAAATAAAGTCAGCCAGTAAGATACTTCCACGCCTCAATAGTTCACATGACGGAACACAAGAGACGTGAGAAAGTGGCTGCGTCTCTATGGCTCTATCAAGCATGACTCGAAGATAGCTCACAGTGTGCCCAAATCGAGCGCTCCCGGGGTCCTCAAAGCCGGAAGAGTGTCGGGATCGGGTAATATGCAGCCCACACATTGTCGCCAGAAGACTTAGCACCTGATTGTTCAAGGCATCCTCGACTGGCACAGGGCAGTTTCGCAGAGACTGCACTTCTCTCAACTTCGGAGAGGAATTCGAGTGTCGTGTCTGCCTCTCATGAACAGGATTGCGCCGGCGCCGCTGACTCATTTCTGCTCCTTTGTTGGACTCAGCCGCTGGAAGTATGCCGGCTGCTGACAACAAAGCTGCTTCGATCAGACGGGACGCTGATGCATGGTATTGATCCCCCATCTCGAGAGACATCGTCGCGCGATACATCCAATTAGTCCACGCATGCGTTGCCATCCACTCAGCAGGTAATGTTCCCCGTATAAGAACCTTGGCAAGCTCATGGAAGACTATTGAATCGCAACCTTCACCACGGTACATGGAGGAGTGAAGAAGTGTCAGTGGATCACCACTCCCATCCCGAGCTCCGGGACCACGACCTAGGACCGACGTGAGTGTGGTTGGGTAAGGATAAGACGTAACCGTAGAAAGAAAGACAGAGAGCAAATATTTGCCTGCATCCGGGTGAAGATCGTGATAAACCGCAATCATATTGCCCACAATGGCGTGATTTAGCCACCTGTTCCTGATCATGCTTGACACGTAAAACAGTCCCTGGGCTCTCACAGCCTGCCGGAGTGGCTTCCATCCGCGACCGTGTGGCGCGTAGAAACATTCCAGCTCAGTGAAGTAGGCGTCGCACATGTCTTCATCCGCATCATTGTCGTGCTCGTCTTGTATATCTTGCTCACGCTGGATAAACGCAGGCAGCCTACGAATCGCGGTTGCCATGAGCGATCGGGTTCCATGAGGCACATGAGGTCTGCCTGGCTCTATTTCTTCATCCAGGGTAGTGTTTCTGAGGAAATTGTTCAAGGCATGTTCGAGACTCTGTACGATGGCAGCAAACTCGGAGTCGACAGTCTCGCCAAAGGCTCGTTGTGCGAAGGCTGAGCGTAATAGACGGGCATTTTTGTGTTTCGAGACAACCGTGCTCCCACGCTTTATCTTCGACCTCGCTTCCGAGACCGGGGGATCAGCTCTCCTGCTCATCGGTGCCTCCCATCGCTTTCCGGTAATCACAGGTGTCGCAAGATTGATCGCGCCAGGCAAAACACGGTTGACCTCAGGGCTGTGTATCGAGTGACGCACTCGTCGTTTCCGCCCATCGCCTTCATTGCGAGTTGAGTACCTGTGTCGAACGCGACGCACATCGGGCTTCTTCCCGGGTATCCAGACAGGGTCATCCTCGTCTGCGTCTGACCCAAGTTCCCAATCCTCTGCCTTCAACGTGGCGCTGGTACATTGTGTCTCGGTAGACGTTTTTGCCTCGGAGTTCACTGCGCCCAAATCTGATGCAATGATCGCTAACGTTTCATGGTATTTCTCGAGTCGGCGGTAGACTGATTTCAAAGGGCGCAACATGCGATTGGCCCATCTGGCCGTTGGCTTTACATCGTCCATGGCCCTTGACTCGTTGTAGGTCTAGTGAAATATTTCGAAAGAGAAAAATCTGTGCACTGAGTATACAGTCCGAATTAGCTCAGGGTCATCGCTAGACTTGTAGTAGCTAAGGACCTACTATAAAGAGCAAAATAGGCTCATCGTTGAACGATCATGACATGCACATGGCAATCGACGCGACGCGCAACTCGGCGTTGTCTGTCACAATTGTCTTTGAACTATGTTAAATAAAAAGTCTTTCGGTATGTACTGTACGGAATCAATGCGATGTAAAAGCTGGTAATTTCAAAAGCTCAAATGGATATGGGGGAAAGATGATTCATGGCGCCGGCGTGAACGTCGAGGCAAACAAAACAAAATAAACACCGGTGGATCCAAAGAACGAACCGGCCCCCTAGGCCGAGGCCACCACTAACAAGGGACCACCCCACCCATATCAGCGCCTGGCAATCTACCCACGGTTTCTAGGACTTCTACACTACGCACACCAGCCAGCGAAGAGCCCGCTGTGAATTCTTGGCCTAACAACAACTGAACGCTTCCATCACAATTCATTTCAACTCATTTTGCGCATCTTTACCACTGACTTCGCAATTACTAAAGTGCCGCCTTGCGCACGCTGGCATACAGTTCTGACATCCGGTTGTTTCTATGTTCGCGAACCAAATGAGGAGTATAGACTTTATCGAGTCCGTTTCTTCTGAGACTACTTACTGTGATCCAAGTCACAATGCTAAATGCACATTTGTCCTCCTGACAAGGCCGTCGCGTCATTAAAGCATACCAAACGCTGGACCGCAAAGAGTACACCCAAGTCCATGAAACCTCCATGCACAGACCCATAGTAAAACCAAGAAAATCAGAAGAAAAGGAGGATCGGAGGGGAGAAGGATCTGAATAATACATATGGTTACAACCCATCAAGCCAAACCAGGTCCCGCTTTTAAAAAGGAAAGAAATCGTGAAATGTTTGGTTGTTAAAACAGTCGAGAGGCCGAGAAATATGATGAACAAATTTGAAGAGACCCCTTGGGTCTCATGAAATGTGGGGGGGGGGTCAAGGCGTCAACTGCGCCAGAACTAAGCTTTCGATTGCTTGGATCCACGAAGCTTCGGGTTAGCGGCGGTGCGCTTCTTCTGCTTCGAGCGCGATGAGCTCTGATCACTACCCTCGATGAACTTCAACAAGTCATCGATGTTGCGCGAGTCCAGACCAGAAGCGGAGGCGCTGGCAGTCCCGGAAGATTCGGGCGCCGTCTGGCCGACCTGAGGTTGGACGCGGGTGCCCATGGTCGAGACACGAGGGTTGATATTGATGCGACGCAGACGACGGGCCTGGATATCCTTGGCGTGCTTGGCAATGGAGACTGCGTTCTGAGTAAGCTGCTCAAGCCACGTCTCCGCTTCCTTGGTGTTACGATCCTCGGGACCAAGTTGAGCAAGGAAGATGTTGTAAGCTTCACGCATCTTGCCAACGGCAGCCTTGGAATCCTGATCAAGCGCCAGGGCCTGGGCCAGCTGGAAGAGAATAGTGGCCGTGTTGATCGACTGGGGACCGAACAGGTTCTCACACACAGAGAGAGAAGCCTCGAACCACTTGCGGGAATCAGCGTATTGCCTGAGATGCTGCAGCATGACAGCCGCGTTGTTCATGGTAGTGATCGAGTCAGGGTGGTTAGGACCATAGATGATCTTCCAGAGATCCATGGCGTGCTTAATGTAGACCAGGGCAGTCTTGGTGTTGCCGGAGGCATGCTCAAAGAGACTCAGGTTCAAGTAAGCCAGGATTGTGTCTGCAGAGTCGACGCCCAAAGTGCGCTCTGTGACAATAACAGCCTTGCGGGCCAGCTCCACGGCAGCCTCCTTCTCATCGGTCTGGTAATAGAGCATGGACAGCTGGTGGTACAGCTTAGCCACTTCAGGGTGGAGAATGCCGTAGATCTGCTCGTGGAGAGACAGTGACTCCAAAATAAGCTCCTGTCCCAACTGCTTCTGATTTTGCATTAGCGAGATACGGCCGGCCTCAAGGGCCTCCTCAGCCAATGCACTGCGAGGAGAGGCGTCCTTCACCAAGGGAACGATGTTCACAATGTCATCCGCAGTGAAGGTAACAGCAGCCTTAGCCTGCTCAGGTGCACGGCTGGGGGACTTGCTCTCTCCGCCCTTCTTCTTCTTCTTGTTGCTACCGTCTTCCAGACCGTTTCCATTAGTGACATTAGCCACAGGAGCCGGCTCCTTGATTTGGTCCTTGGAAAAGGCGAACTCTCGGGCTCCAAGCTGCAGACCGAGCTTGATCGAGATGTCACGCAGAAGCTGCAGATGGCGGAGGGTGCTGACCCAGCCCTCCTGGAGCGAGAAGCGATAGCGGGTGCTAACCTGCTTTTCAACCTCAACGCGGAGGGACTCAGGAGTAACCTTCTCGAAGGAAAAGTCTCCTTCAGGGTACAGATCGCGCAGAGAAGAGTCAATTTCAGCGCGGGGGGCAGCATTCACGCCTGTGCCCAAGAGGCAGTTCAGGAGGTGCGCAATGCAAGGAGCGACGAATGGAGCGGGAACGTTGCGTAGGTAGTGGTTAGCAATGTGCTTGAAAGCACGTGCAATCATCTCCTGAACCAGGAGAGTGGACAAAGCCTGCAAACGGGCACCCTTCTCCGTGGAAAGCTGCGCGAGCTTGCCAAGGTAGCGAATGTTGATACCGCGTTTGTGCAACAACTGAGTGAGAGATTGGCCATCCATGGGGAAGCCAACGTCGCCGTCGTGCAAGTCCTGAACAAGGTCGGGCATAATCTTTGAGCGCAAGTGCTCACAGGCCTCCCGAACCTCTTTCTCATCCTGGGCCCACTGGTCCTTCTCTTCTTGCGTTTGAGGGACCTGACCACTGAAGACGTCAGGGTTCAACGAGAGGTTAAATCCAGAGATGTCAACACGGTCCTGGTCATCCGTCTTTTCTTCAGTCTGCTCTTCAGCAGACTCTTGAGTCTTGGCCTCGGAGCTCTCTGAAGCCTTGGACTCTTCAGCCTTGGGCTCCTCAGCCTTGACAGCCTTACGACGCTCGACTTCAGCCTTGACATAGGCGCTCATCTTGATTCGCCAGAACGACTCAACCAGCTCAAGTCGGAGTACCGACATGCGATGGGGATAGGCATCGCTGCCATCCTCCTCCTGCCACATAGCATCAAGAGGAGCAACGCGGTACAGATCAAGAACATATTTGCGCCCGTCAGTGCCAAGCAAGCCCTTGGTCTCCACGCTCCCCTCCAGGTCGTGACGCTTGCCATCCTTGTCCCAGACAGGATGCTGCTTGATACGAAGAGCCTTGGACAGCTTCTCGAAGACGGGTTGGAAGTCGGGGTGGGTGGCCACAACCTCCTTGCCCTCAACACCACCGTAGTCAATCTGGTGCTCACCGGGCTCCCGCTGCTTGAAGATGCCGGGCACGATACTCTGTCCGACAATGCGCTTGCCCAAATAGTCGACGACCACAGTTCCAGGTGTGAAGAGACCCTGGATGTCAAGCTGATTGACAGCCTTGATACCGAGGACATCTTTCCCAACTGCCACACGAGCGGCCTCATCACCACCCTCGGAAGTGAAAGTGCCCACACCGTCGGCACCGAAAGAGTAGAAGATGTTGTTGTAGACAAAGATCTGAGCGTCACGGGCCTCGGTGGGATTGAGAGGAGCGACCTCGCCGCGGGCAACCAAGACGGCTCCACGGGCCGCAGCCTCGTTGTAATCCGCAAACAGCTTGGAGGTCAAGCGCTCCCGGAAGACACGGTCTTGGACAGTGTCCCGAGGCAGCTCCCGGGTGGTCTGGAATTCCTCATTCCAATCCCGCAGTGTTTCCGCGTTGTCCACGCCGGAGATCAAATAGCTCTCCTGAGAGCGAGTGATGTCTGCTTGGTGGGCATTCTGGCTTGGAGAGGGAACCAGCCATGGGTTATTGGGAATGGCGTTCTGGAAGGGGAAAGTGGTCAAAAGATCCTTCTGGTTGTTGGATTCCTGCAGAGCCTCAAAGGCCTCGTTGAAGGAGGGTGACAGCTGAGAGATCAAAGTGAGGAGAGAGTGGGCATTGCCCTTGACGTTTTTGGGCATGATGGTCCTCGGCGTAGGATCAAACTTGGTGCTCGAGCACTTGTTGACGTAGAAACCGGACACGTGAGCGGTGATGGGGAATTGTTCACCCTCGTTAGTGATGACCTGGAGGTAAAGCAAATGACCTCTCTGGCGGAGGTTGTAAGGCACTGGGTTCCATGCTGACAGCGAAATCGACTTTACGGTCTTCGGGAGGGGAGTCTGCTCCTTGGGGAGGATTGTGTCGAGGGAGGATTCGCCCGTCAAGTTGTACTTGGCAAGGGAGTGATCCTTGTCTGACTCGCTAGCCTGGGCGGCATCTGCGGAGATAGAGTCGTGCAACGACAGACCGGCAGAAATGCCGTGGAGGTTATCGACACGGTCCCCGGCGGCACCCACCAGCTCCCGAATGCGCACAATGTGCATGCGAGCCTCCTTCTCGGTGTAGGGATCCTCCACCAGCACGATCTCCGAGTCAGCCTTCAAGTCGGGCACTTCAGACAGCTCCACAAAGTCGTTGATACGCTTGCCGTTGAATTCCAGGTGGAAGCAGGTGTACTGGAAGGTACCGGGCAGCTCCACGATCGATTGGCGAACATCCTGCACTTGTTCTTGGCTAGAGACCTACGAGACGAGAAGGACGGAAGGGGTCAGAGATTGGCTTCGTCGACAGAGGCTCTTATAAGACGGTACCTACCATGACCTGGATCTTGTGAGGCTCATGAGGAAGCTTCACAGAGATCTGGAAGAGACCTGAGGAGTGGTTAGAACACCGTCATGTCGTGCTGCCTTGATTGATACCTACCACTTGCGTTGTCCTCCTCGGTCACACCTTCCAGCTCAGTACCATTCGTGGGCTCTTGTTGGGGTTGGGCGACCTCTGTATTTGAAACAGTCAGCACTCGACTGGGGACTCGGGAATGGCAAGCTGGGGGAACAGCGAGCTCGGATCGTGAGTCATGGTGAATGATCTCGATCAAGAACGGACCTTTCGAGTGCTCCAGCTCTCCATTGGATTGCGACATGATGTCAGAAGTGATTTGATGGGATCTGAGATCAACAAGCAAGGTCTTGAAATGAGCTCTGATGTGTAAAGTGAGGTCAAACTGAAATCGACCGAGATGTCAAGATGAAGGCGAGAGAGCACCTGCAAAGACCGATCGAGAAGAAAAGAACGAGAAGAAAGGGGATATCGGGATGATACAAAAAGGATCAGGGCAATTGAATCAATCAAGCCAATAACCCCGGACCCCAATTGTGTGTGTGTGAGAGAGAGAGAGAGAGAGAGACGCAAAAGAAAATCGAGCGATACGTAGGAGAAGCTACCACGGTGAAACGGAGGAGGGAAAATTTCGCGGATACAGCATGTCCTCGGGAGCGCTCGGGCGGTGGGCTGGACATCGGGGAAAGCACCGCGGAGACTGGGATTTTGCTCCACAATCTGATTGTGCGAGAGGTCAGGAAACAGAAAACATGTTTCGCACCACGGAAGCATCCGTTGGAGAAGCCGGGAGAAAGCTCCAAGTTACTCTGCATCAGTCAGCGGGCTTGGACTCATTCCATTGATGCAGACTTAGCAATCACAGTTATCGTTGTCAGGTAGGCACTACAATTTATCCAAGACCTAACACTTTATCTAACATGAACGAGCTGCCCGTAGCATTTCCCCGGACCATATTGATTTCACTACGAACGTTATGACATCTTGGTGTTCATACTCCATGTCTGTTGATTATGCGGTGTGTCGGGGCAGATTCTGGTACTTGTTCGAGACATTGTGTACGCGCGCGCCGACCTCTTTAGCCCAGGTAATGAGTATGTACATGCCCTACCGATCCGATCATCGCTGCGAAATGCCCTCCGCTAGGTACCTTCTAGTAGTACTCGCCTCGATAGATTGATCAACCTCTCGATACTACACGCTGTGGCTGTATATTATTAGAGCCAAGAGTACTGCAAAGTGGAAAGTGGGGGTCTTGTCTACATACGTCGTCAAATGACATAATAGCAATTGTGTTAATGGATAGCAATGCCTGTTCAATCCCTTCTTGGACTTCGACGTGCTATGAGGAGTTGATGGGACACAGCTCAGCCATTTCACGAGTTCTGGACGACCATCATCTACATACCGGACAACTTGGTAGGAAGCGCAAAATAGTAGACCGGCTGGGCTCGAAACCTAATCGCCATCAAATCACTAGCTTTGAGGTACTCACGCAAGCTAAGCAGCAGTGATGCTATTCCAATGAGAGTATTAAGCTCCCACTAGTAGAGGTGAACGAGTACCTAGATGACCTAGTTGCTAGACTCGCTCCTACAGTACTAGGTTAGTAGGTTGAGAGTTGTTTGGCTAGCTCGACGCATGGATAAATGTACTAGCCAGCAAAGAGAATGACTGTTTGCGTACCTAGTGACGACAAGTGAGTCGATACAGTGTACGGTACGAGGTCGAGACGCCAGATCCTCCATCCGAGCCTACAGTCGTGACAAAGAGCAACTTCGTCATCTTCGATCTTCACTTTGTCGATTGACTCGATTCAACCAACGATCCCGGACGACTAGGCCACTACTGCCGAGGGCCGGATGATTGGTGTTGGCAGGGATGCTGAGTTCCACCCAGACGGACTGCAGCTCCACCGCGACTGAGCCACACTTCAAAATCAAATCGTAAACAGTGTGGAGGCGTAGCAGGAACCTTCTTCAGGTTGTCCAAAACACATGGTTTTGTCCTTTGAGCGTGATCTGCCGGTTCAATCCGGTCTCTCTTCAAGGTCACCCTTTCTATCTCCTGCTTCTCTTATACTCGTTTCTTGTTGATCCTCTAACTTGGGCTTATGACCCTGTCCAATCCTTAGGACTACGTCGGATTCACTGCCCCTGTGTGGTGTGGCGCGGAGAGCCGCATCTCAGCTACAGCACCGAGTGCCTGACCTGTTCAATTGGGAAAAGAGGCCTTCTCAAAATGCTCACCCCTAGGCTGATCCGTCAGGTGTCTACGTTGCGCAGAAACGTGCGACCTTCTCGGCATATTGCTGGAGCTTTGCAATGTACCATTCGACGGTTCAATTCCTCCAATCCATCAAGTACAGGCCAATACACTCCCGACCCCACCGATCAGAATGATTCGCAAGAAGATGGCAAACGAGGTCGTCCAAACGACGAACCTAACCTGAAATCAACCATTTTGAAAATGCTTGAGACAGCCGCCACTACGGCCGCCTCAATTGCTATCTTAGGGTTGGACCACCCCTTTCCTCGCTATTGCACGTTGTCTGTCTGTGTTACTGGAGCTGAAACCCAAATTTTGAATCCTTTTTTTGAAATGCAGACTAGCAGGTTACTCCTACCATAGGTACTACAAGTACCTAATTTTGGAGAAAATGGACAATGCGTTCAAGCCAGGGGATCCCGCTCTGGAGGTCGCAGGTGTTGTTTCGGGGAAGCACCACTATCGCGATGAAGAGCATTGGGTTACGCGAGATGAACAGCCCCGGATTGACGAAATCGTCGCCGGGCGACGGGTGGGCCACTACTATCTGATTGTCGGCGAGAAGGGTACCGGCAAGACATCAATGCTACTTGAAGCTATGCGCAAGATTGATGGGAACAGCTGCGCCTTGTTCGACGCACATGCCGACCTGGAGATTTTTCGGATTCGCTTGGGAAAGGCCCTCGACTACGAGTTTCACGAGGAGTAAGACGTCATATTTTCATCTCCGTCCCTGCTTGCTCTGGAGAGACTGACGGGGAACCGGATCCGCAGTTATATCGGTAGCTTGTTCAGCATACGGGGTCCACGTGACACGACGCCGCTGCTGGACATCGAACGAGCTTTCAACAAGTTGGAGAAAGTTGCTCTGAAAAGAAGAAAGGCCGGCTCGCCCCCGCTCATCCTCATTCTCAACAGCACGCATCTTGTGCGAGACGATCATGACGGGCAAGACTTGCTTGAGATGATTCAGCAGCGCGCTGAGCAGTGGGCTGCGAGTGGGTTGGTGACGACCAGTAAGTGGGCGGAGCCTTCGAACAGTCTGGCCCTCCTTGCGCGTGCGGTCCAAGCTAACAGTGCTCGACAGTTCTCAACAGTGACGATTACTGGGTGTATGAGCGTCTCAAGCGCTATGCAACACGCATGGAGGTCATTGCAGTCTCTGATCTTCCCAAAGACAAAGCAATGGCGGCGCTGCGCAAATACCGCAAACAGTTCCGTCACGAAACTCTGCCCGACTCGGTTTTAGAAGAAGTCTACGACAAAGTTGGCGGACGCCTGTCGTTCCTGAACCGAGTTGCGAAGTCACCAGATGTCCTGAAGACATGTGATGAGATTTGTCTCGCGGAGAAGACGTGGTTTTTGAACAAATGCTGGGTTCTTGGCTCGGAAATGGACGATGATGTGATGGATCAGCAAAAATACGCGGTGAGTGCTTCCTGAACTGCACCTGAAGAAGATCTCCCGAAACCACAGCGGCATCATGCTGTTAGTACAAGGGCTCGCTGACATGGACAAAGTCTGCTGCGATGGTGCTAGCTAAAGCACTTGTCGAGGCGGAGAACGACATGGAGAAAAACTATGACCCACACAGAGGCCATATTCTCCCTGAAATCCCACTGCACAAAGCGCGGCAAGTCATGACTCGAGCGGATTTTATTCAATCCTACGACCATGACAATATCTTCACCATTGACTCCAGGGCCATGGTGCGCGCTGATTCAGTGCCTATGCAGCAGGCGTTCCGGGAAATTTGTGCCGAGGAAGGATTTGATCAGTATCTAGATGATACCTTGATACGTATCGGTGATATTGAGAGTCTCGGACGTACTCGTGAATTGACCATCAAGGATCTGTGGGATCAGGGCAAGTACCGCGTCGTGGTCAAAGACAATCACGGGCGCGAGAGCGGTACGGTGGAATTCGCCGTTGCGGAGCGCGAAGGGAACAATGACGATTGAAGTACCTAGCAAGGATATATGTTGTAAAGTTTACACTTATCGAGTCAATGAATTAGGAAAATGTGTTGATACCTTTCCACCGTTCAGTATGATTCTATATAGGAAAATGGATGACATAAATGGACCTGGCAATTTCTTAGTATGAAGTCTGCATGTCCCAGATCGAAGACCTTGAAGTATACCTACCGAGCAGCCCCAATGCTTAGCGGGGTTGTCTTCCAAAGAAATCTGCTCTCCCATTTGACATCTCGATATACAGAGTCTTATTTTCCTTTGTAGATTACGTTCGACGCTGTCAACGGAATCTGTCTCCCGCCAGACTTGCGTGCGGCTGACGACCATAGTAGGAGTAGTGTGGGTAATCTTCCTTTTCTTTCATGGCCAGGCGCGCGTCCCTGGAAGCTATCAGCAGTGACATCATCACGCGCTCACCGCCGAGCCCCAAGCTCCCAATTCTTCCCCAGCCTCGCATTGTCTTTCTAGCTCATGGTTCATTTTTCCCACTGTTCTGGGCATTCCAATCAACTCCGCATCTTCATTCGTAAGAGAGAAAATGCCGTCCTACCAGCGGTCTTCACCCAGAGTTGCCCGAGTGCAGTCAGCACCTGAAGCGAAAGCTGATCCAAAGCAGGCACTGGCGAAGGTGGTGCCCAAGTCAGGTGTTTGGCGCATTCCCTCACCGGCTCGATTTGTCCTGGTCGTTCTCGGAAGTCTTGTCCTGAGCTCAACGCTGTTCACCTTCACCTATGGCTTCACACAAGGCGATCTCGGGCTCGTGAGCAAGCACCTGGAAGAGTGGTGGGAAGTGGGGGGCTTGATCGCCTGGAGGGGGGTGGAAGTTGCTCTGGCATGGCTCGTTGGATTTGACAGTGAGTTATCGCATTGAGAGTTGCACAAACTCCGAGTGGAGGGGGTTGCGTAACGGAGCGCCCATGACCGCGAACTGTGCGCTAACAATTTTTAGGCTGGGACGTGGCTTCATTCCTCTTCCTAACTCATCTGCCTACCAACAGTTTGCTGTCGGCCTTTTACCATGTCCGCCCAACCTCGGTGTTCCTGTCATACGCAATCACCATTCTGTCGACGGTGATTCCATTTGCACTCCTTCGTCGGCCTGCGTCCGTTCACGACCTCTCCCATGCGCCTTCCGGTACAGTTGCCAATCGCGCAATTCTGCAGGACCGTCCTACCACCGTGTACACCACCCTCGTAGCCACTGCGATCTACAGCGTGTGTCTGTACGCCAGCTATGCATCCTGGCTACCTGCCAGACTCGTCGTTCACTTCGAGGGTCTGCCCGATATCAGTGTTGCGCACGCCGGTCCCGCCGGGCTGCCGGTTTTGTTTATGACATTGATTCCTGCTGGAATTGCGGCGCGTGACTTTTTGTTCGTCAGCTCCACAGGCCACTCGGTCACTAGACTGGAGAAAGCCAAAGCGGCTGCGGCTGCGGCTGCGGCTGCAGTTGACGAGGAAGAGTATCTGATCACCTCGCTGTACCGGAAAACAGTGGGTCAGCTGTCCGCCAAGACACGCATTCTTACGTCTCGCACCCTCCTTCTGGCAATTGGAGTGTTTTTGAACACGGTCACTCAGGTGGCAGGCACTGTTCGTGGGGTGTCCATCGAAGGCGCCGCTACATGGGGAGCGGTCTGGACCGTAAGCACTCTGGCGGTGGGTGCGACCTTTGGCTGGATCGAAGCTGTGGATGGTGTTTGAACGAAGGAAAAGAAGACTATACCCGATGAACACGAAATGAGACAAGAGTGGGGATAGGGCGTTGGGGAACAAGAGCGAGGAATCATCTGTTAGCGTTCTCGGAATGGCGCTCGGCGCTCGGTGCTGGTTGTATGGTTCCTGAGGAGTTCGTTGTCTGCAGGTTTGTCTTGTGGTTGATGCATGCGATAGCGCACGGACTGTTGACCAGACTACATTGATGAATGTGACATGAAAGCTTAAGCTATTTCTAGAACTGAGATAAGACAGACTATGATTCTCTAGCGTACTTTATGTTTCTCTATTGACGAGCGGACACACGGCGCGGGGATCCCAAAAGACGAAAAAGCAAGGCTGAATCATGACAGGGCACCCACGCAGAACACAGCAATATAAATCAAGTCTTCAACGGACCTGTCAATGGGAAGAAAAACAACCAAATTTCAGATTCGCATCACTCATGTCCAAGGACAGAACTCAGCTCCGCCTCCTCCCATCCATAATCCGACCGTTTCGCGGCCCCAGAACGCTTGTTATCCGGCAGGAACCATCCGGGATGAATCACATTGAACACCCCGACCGCCAAGACCATCATCACTCCATCCAGCACAATGAAGTACTTCTCATGCGTGATCAAATATCCGCTCCAGCCCTGCAACAACTCGATCGTCCGATAGATACTCCGGATATAAATGCACAGCACGGAGAAGATCATCGCGCCCAGCAACGGCACCACAGACCCGTTCAACGACTGGAGTAAGCGGCGACGCAGCGTGCGCCGGACAAAATCAGCAGCGCACGCGACGAAGACGGTGATGGAGACGAGTTGGAAGATGATACCGGCGACCATGACGTCGGTGCCGGGCTTGGTGTTGCCGCCAACTTTGCCAGCTTGGCCGGAGGCCATGCCGCCGCCGACGGCTTGGACAACGAGGGAGACGATGTCGCAGGTGCAGAAGATCCAGAGGTAGAGGCTGGGTTTGATGCTGGAGGATTCGGGCCCAAGGATTTGGATGAAGCGGCCGAGGAGAACGTAGATGCCGGCTGTGAAAAACGTGGGGGCTAATGTTGGGGTTGGAATGGGTTAGTTTGGGTCTTATCTTAGGGCTCTTGGGGGTTTGTTGCTGGTATCGTGATCATCGGGGTAAAGCTTGATAGCCGGCAACCGGCATAGATGCGGTTGATGGAAGCGTGCATTGGGTTCCGAAATGATGAGAGGAACTCACCCATGATCAATGTTGAGATTTGCATCAAGAATGCAGTGTTATTGTACGGACATTCAGCGGACCAGGTTCGACCTGCCCAGCCCAAAATCTCGACTGTAGAAATTCACGTTGATATTAGCCCATGTTCACATGTTCTTGTCGAGTTTTCCTTTCTCGCCGTAACGTACCAAGAGCACCGATAGAAAACACCACACACCACCAGGTGCGTTTCCAGCATAATTGAACCGTATGGACCACCATTGTCAAGCCGAAGAGGGAGAGAAAGGCGATTCCGGCGCCGAGTGAGGGCACATAGCCGTATGATGTGCCAACGCCTGGAATCTTTGCGTGGCAGCCCACGGACAGCATCAGCCTTTCGGACATGGTGATGTGGAGGTGTTGAGGATAGCGCTCTTCGATGGCAATGCAAGAAGGCAAGAAGTGGAGGGAGATCGGATAATGTTTGTTTAGGATTCCACCCAGTTCAATGATAAAGATACAATCTCTGGAACCGAGAGAAATGGGAAATAGGATTGGAGAACCCTGAACAGCTTCTGAGTTGAAATGATCAGGATGAGGTAAGCTGATATCGAGTCACTGCAGGAATGTTGAACTTCCGGTAATCCTCGGACCGGATGCGCTTGGGGGGTGATTATAAGAGTGGCAGAGAGAAGGCGAACAGCAGAAAATATAGGTGCGAGATGATAAGATTGTATTGCGATTGTGGATGGATGTTGGCTAGAATTTAAATGTTGACGGTGACCGGTACCATCCCCGGACTATATAGTGCTCTGGACGGAACGACAAGACAAGAAAAATAGCCTTCCATCAAGGCTGATTTCGCGCGTTTGTCAGACTCAAACCCTTCAGCACAGGCCCGACTGGGTCGTCCTTGAAATCGAGCCGGCGAGGTGGTGGACCGTCGGCGACGGATGAACACACAGCGAATCAGCGCGAATCAACTCCCCCGATAGGAACACAGCATCAACGGTGGATACAAAGGCTGCCACGTTTTTTTTGGGGGAGGGTTGCCCATCGAGGCATGTACGGTGTTGAGTGTACACACTTGGGCAGTAGTGGACCTGTGTTGCCCAAATCGGCTAATGCGCAAGGATGAAATGTGCAAAATTGAAACCCAGACTATTGTCCGAGTGTTCGGTGGTCTGGAATTCGCATCCTGATGTCGAATCATTGGGGGGCGCAGCGCAGGATGGGAGACCGTTTCTTGCGAGCGCCCTATCGATGGAAGCGAATCATGGTGGGCTCCGCATCGGGACTGTTCCACTCTGTGCTCGCAAGATCCTCACGATCGGGCTATTAGAGGCAAGACTTCCAGTCCTTTCGTTTGACTGCAGCGAAAGCCACCCTAATCCTATTCCCGGCACAGGCAGAGGGGCGGGGCCGCCGGCAGCGGGCAGCGGGACTCACAATTGCGCCTCGCCGTCGGGGGAGAATCACTGATGACGGGGAACATCATGCGATGATCGGGTTGACTCTGGTTCTCATTCGTTCGCTCTGAAGAAAGACGATGTCATGGAGTAACTTAGATCTGAACCGGTCCTTTCTTGACGACTTCTGATGGTTGTGCACCCAAGAAGAGGCCTATGGATCATAGTCAGACCTTGAACATGATTCCATGGTGTGCAATGTCAACAACCAGATCCGATCATGACATCAAGGGCCGACATCTGGCTCGAGCAGACGAATCTGTATTCGGACCGAGCTGTCTGCGACAGAGTGGAGCGTGTCACGCCTAAAGATGCCGAGTGATTCGTGCAGAAGATCGAAGAAAAGTCCGGGTCCTGATAGATCGCGCATCAGGGCTCGGGGCTCGGGGCTCGGACCTCGGGGCTCGGAGGTGACCAAATCGCAAGGTTATCCCTTTTCGGTCGCTTGATCCTCGCGGCTGTGGACCGGTGTCAACTAACAAGACAGACCCGTCAATAAACAAGTCGATGTTGACAATCGACACTGTTCAAATCACTGTACAGACCGTAGGCTACATCCATCATAGCGCAATGATGGTCATGCCTGCTGCGTAAATATAGAGCATCCTCAAAGGGTAGGAGGTATCAAGTCTACCCTGAGTGCCTCCAAGCCTCTTCTCTCTCTCACACCCACTTTCATCAGGCAGCTTTTCGGAAAGCATCCCCATTGGACTCTGGAGCACTCGTTCCCATCTTCCAGCCACAGCCTGGGACAACAACGTCCGTGCGGGAGTCGGCTTATCTGAGAGACGATGTCGACAGGCAAGTACTTTGAGGGACCGATTGGAGTCGTCACAATAAGCTGACGACGTGTCACTGCCAGCTGATCACAGCATTTACTGTTAAGTGTCATCGCATTGGTGTCAAATTGTCAATATGGACAGCAGATCAGGTGATGATTAGTCAGGGGCAGCGCGTGGGTGCCAGGGTAAGGTACTGGTGCCAAGGTGGTAGTACATTAACCCGTACTCGGCTACCATGTCACTTACCAGAGCCTTAAGGTACAAAAGTAGTATCACTCCCTTCGTCGTACTCAGCCCTTATTTTCATTTAGCCCTCTGCGATCTGTCTCTCATCTTAACCAGCTCAAGCAACATGAAACCGGGACCCCCGGTGGAGCATGGTCCAGGAGGCGCCAAAACAAAACATTCAAGTGCCGACTACAGTAGAACGGTTTTCTGACGCCAATCTCGCCCACACGGGTCTCCATCACGCTAAATCTCGTACAAGCTTACATCCCCACTGACGCCCAATTCTCGTAAAAGCCAACATTCATGGGTACACGCTGACGCTGGCGCCACAGACAAGCTCAGGCGCCACAGACAAGCTCAGAAGGGCCGTTTGAAAATTAGGTGTTGATTGTAGGCCGAAGGATGGAAAGAGCGACTCGCGGTGTCTCCGTCTCTTTCCCAGTACGGCACGTCACCGCATCGAATCATTTGCATGTGCTCCAGACGAATCTATGATGGCGGTGAGGGTCTTACCTGCAGAAGAGGTTGGGAGCTCTGTCTGCTCGTCAACTCACCCAGAGCTCTGCGCGCACGACGAAGCGCATCACATTTCATCCATCCATCGGTCCTGCTTAACGGTTACCATGAGTCGAAAGATCTTCGAGTCATCAGTGTGGCCCCGGCTTGAGCACTCAATGGTCCGAGTTCTCATAGAGCTCGTCATGGCGATTCTCTCCGCTCTATGAGATGCTACGCGCTCGCGGGGGTGGATGCAATTCGATTGCATCCACTGAAGACGTTGGAGGATCTGGACTCGTACAAGTCGAGAATTACATACTATTAAACTCTATCGGTCTATCGGACGGGGTCTGGTGCCTGACGCTGACGCCAAGCACGAGCAAGCCTGGAAAGCTGCAAGTTCTCGTCACATGGCCGCTCTAAGCCTCGTCGCCCTGCCACACTGCTTCATCCGCTTCGTTCCCCCTCTCTCACTTCAAGCTCAACAAAGTTCTACTTGAACTCAGGCATGTCATATGTGCCCTTGGGATCTGCAGTCTTTAGTCAATACACTGTCCAGACTTCCGATCGCACCGGATATTAAGGTAAGAAACAGCAAAAACGTGAAGACCGACCTTGATGATTCGCCATAATATACTTCCTCGTTTCCAAAATGTTGTGGCTCAGCTCAGACGAAAGTTCCTGTTGATGGATGCGGACCCTCTCATTGCGCTTTGCGCCTCCTTCAACTGCCGCCTGTGCAACGTGATAGCGTGATGTGTGGTTCACCAGCATCATGTCAAACGGTGTCGTGGTACTGCCTTCCTCCATGTAGCCAGCAATGGAAATCCGGTCGAGATTTGGACGGCCAAAGAGCAACCCCTGCAGATCCACCGGGTATCCGTGGTAATTGAAGTGGACGGGTCGATCTGAGGTGAATAGGTTGTCAAATGCAGCCTTGGACAACGCATGAGGATGCGAGCCCGAATTCTCGAGAATGAGCAGGTCTGTCACGTTGACGACTCGTACACGCAATGACGGCGCCCGCTCACGCAAGATAGCCGCCGCCTGAATCACCTCAAACATCACTTCGACGCCAATGCCGACTAGGACCACGTCTGGGTCGAGTCCATCATCAGTGCTGCAGAACTTCCATACCGACGCGCCGGCTCGACAGTGGTTCTCTGCTTCCTCGGCGGTAAGATAGACTGGAGTGGGCTGCTTTGAGCCGACCATCAGGTTGACGTAGTTCTTGGACTTGAGGCAGTGGTGCACGGTGGTCAGGAAAGTGTTGGCGTCAGGTGGCAGATAGACACGTGCCGCATCGGGCTTGAGCTTCAGCACCGCTCCAATGAACGATGGGTTCTGGTGCGAGAACCCATTGTGTTCCTGCCGGGCCCAGGTGCTGGTCTCAATGTAGTTAAGACTGCTGACTGCGCGGTGCCATTTGGTTTCGCGAGCCTGTATGAAAGATGATTAGCACTTGATCAACCGGCCAGCACGGCCCTGGAAGACTTGAATCGAATAGCGCACCATTTTGATAAACTTGGCGTACTGCACCATCATTGTGTGAATGATGCCCAGGAAACTTTCATAAGACGGGAAGATGCCCACTCGCCCCGTCAACGAGTATCCTTGCATGAAGCCCTGGCACATGTGCTCGCTCAGCACCTCAATCACTCGACCCCCGCGGGCATTGGCGAACTCGTCCCACTGAAAATTGCGATTGGTGTGCTCAAAGACCGCATCCAGCTTGTTGCTCTCCAGCTCATCAGGGCTGAACAGACGCACGCTATGTGGGTTCTGAACAAAAACGTCATCCAAAAGCTTTCCAATAACCTTCATGGCACTCTCTTGGGTACCCTTGGTTACGCAAAACTTCTTCCAGTCGGGCAGGTTTGGGGCTTGATAATTGTCAAACGCCTCAATGCGCTGACCAAGCTTCATATGATCCTTTTCAGGGATCACGGACTTGATATCGTCGATGATATCTCCACTCTCTGTGAAAAGCTCTCGCGGGTCGTAGTCGGTGAGCCACTTCTGCAGCATGCCCAGTTGCTCCTTGTCGGACTTGGCCTTGGCCAATGGCACTTGATGAGAACGGTATGAACCTTCGATGAATTCGCCATCCAGCTTCTTTGGACCAGACCATCCCTACGGAAGGGTTAGCATACTGCGAACTGCCGAGACTGATTGCGGTGCGCCTTACCTTTGGTGTGCGGAGAATCAACATCGGCCATCGCGGCTTGACAATCGGATTGCCCGAACGAGCAGCCTGCTGGATCTTTTGGATTTCGTCGACCGCCCACGCCATCGAGAAGTGAAGATCACTATCGATGTTCTCCAGGTCTTCCACAATACGGACTTGGTATCCGTAGCCGCTGAAGAGGCTCACGAGCTCCTTGTTATCCATGCAACCAAAGATGGTGCGCTCACTGATTTTAAAGCCGTTCACGTGAAGGATGGGCAAGACTGCGCCAGATTCCTTGGGGTCGATGTATTTGATTGCGTGCCACGAACTGAGAATGCAATATGAGCGATGGCAGCTTTTTGGAGCCAGAGCCAAAGATACTCACGTTGCTGTAGGACCAGTCTCAGCCTCTCCATCTCCGACGATGCATGGCACAATGAGATCTGGGTTGTCCATGACTGCGCCAAACGAAACTGAAAGGGCATAACCTAGCTCTCCACCCTCGTGAATGGCGCCAGGAGTCTCGGCATTTATGTGACTGCAAGACAAAGATACTTGTGAGTCCCCGGGTGGCCTTGATGGAAAAATGGTGTGGACATCTTCTTACCTGGGGAATCCCGAGGACGTGCTGAAGGTCGAAATCAGACGGTGCAAACCCTTGCTGTCGCGAGAGTATTCCGGGTAGAACCTCGCCAGCGAGTCTTCCAACCAGAGCGATGCAAGAATGGCCGGTGCACCGTGACCTGGTCCCACCACATACAGCATGTTCAGGTCTCGGGTCCGAATGATGTAGTTGAGATGTGAGTAGACCAGAATCAGACCCGGACATGTTCCCCAGTGCCCTAGTGCTCCGCACAGCGTGATAAGTATTCGATCTCGAAAGATGCCTCGCCATCACCGGAATCTGTGGGGAAGATGAGAGAGTACGTACCCAGTAGTCGGGGCTTGATGTCTTCGAAAGTCAAATCTCTTTCCAGCAGAGTGTTGTCCTGAAGGAAGATCATGGCTTGTAACGGGTTGTGTCAGCTAGGTGAACGTTCAGGCATGGAAATCCCGTGACTTGCTATTGTACATACCAGCTGCAATGTAAGATGCGGCCCTGCGAAACTTGAGTAACGCATTCGAGGTTTCCTGGTCCAACTTTTTGGAGGCCAAGTTGATGGCGAGCTGTGCCACCTCGTCTGGGAGATGGGAGGGCAAGGGCCCGGGATTAGGACGGTCGATCACTTCTCCTGGCATGGCTGCTATTGAAGCGTAATCCCAAACTTGGAGCTTCCTAAAATTTTGAGAAAGTCTTGTCGATATTTGAAGGATGAAAGGTTTCAGAGGATGTGTACTTCGAATATCCGATCCACGAGAGATACACGTGACTGGGTTAGGTTAGAGGACCCAAAGGCGACGATAGATGGACTGGGTGATCAAAAGAGGCTGGTTGCTAAATAGGTCAAGCAGCAATAACTGAATTGAAAGAACAGGCACCCTTATGATGTTATGATCCAGGTACATCTAGGTACCGACAGGTAAATTGAAGAGACGGACTTGCGACACCAGCCTGAGGACCCAGCAATGACCTAATTTCCGGGTCATATCTTCCCAGTTTTCCAGTATCAGTACTTTGGAGCCTGAGCTTGAGTCTCGCACCGCCGAGTGTCCGCAGACTCGAGAGAGTACCTTAGATAAGATATACCAAACCATGACCGAAATGTAAGGAGAACACATCCTGTAGTGGCCATGGCCAACCCAGTCCCATGTGAACGTGGGTGTTGACATTCTCCACCTACTACTGTAAGGCTGGCAGACAGCTTCCATTGGCGGTGATGCATAAAGGATGGGGCCTGTCCAGAGCCGACGTCACCCGGGGCCAGTCGGTTCCAGCCGAGCTGTCAGCTCTGACGTCACTTCCGCTTCCGCAGCTACCGGCCATCACCCCACCTCCAACAGTAAGGTAAGTGACTACTTGGTACACACTACGTACCTGTGCGACTGCGATGGACTGTGGTACTAAGGACTAAGGATACTCGGAGTGTCTCTGCCGGCTTTGACTTCCGCCGAAGCAAATCCTAAGAGCTGTGTGAGATAACCCAAGAGAAAGACAAAGTTGAACCCCAAGAGAGAACAGTCGCTGTTGACCTTTCCGCGGTTGCTCTTCCCTCTGCTCCACCATGGGCAAGTATATTCTCGCCGTGAACGCGGGCTCCTCCTCCGTCAAAGTCACCTTCTATACATGCGACAATCCTCCGCGGGCGATCGCCGATGCGCAAGTCTCAGGCATCACAGCACCACCACCCACGTTCAAGTACCAGCATGGAGAGACCAAAGTGAAGGAGGAGCTAAAGGACAAGTTGAACACCCCACAGGATGCCTTCAAGTATATCGTGGAGCGCTGCTTCAAAGATTCCGAGCTATCGGAGGTCGCCAGCGAGCGTGACGTCGCCTACATCTGTCACCGCATCGTGCACGGTGGAGAGTACCACGAGGCCGTGGAGATCAACGACGATACGCTACACCATCTAGAGAAATTGGAGGATTTGGCCCCTCTGTACGTTCACAAGAGAAGAGAATCTGTCCATTGCCACAAAAGGCTGGGAAGGAACACCTGGCTGATATGAAAAACAATCTCAGGCACAACTTTTCTGCGCTAGAGATTGTACGATTCTGCAAGAAAGAGCTCCCCAGCGTCAAGAGCATCACTTGCTTCGATTCTGCCTTCCATCAAACCCTCCCGGACTATGTCAAGACCTACCCCATTAATCAACAAATTGCCAAGGCCAATGGGCTGCGCAAATACGGATTCCATGGGATCAGTTACTCGTTCATTGTTCGTTCTGTGGCGCAGTTCCTGGGTAAGCCCCAGGAACAGACCAACATCATTGCGATGCACATTGGCAGCGGAGCTTCCATGTGTGCTATCAAGGAAGGAAAATCAGTGGATACTACGTAAGACCTTGGCCATTATGCATGAGAGAACAACGGTCGAAACTGATCGATTGGAATAGAATGGGCCTGACCCCCTTATCTGGGCTCCCTGGTGCGACACGCAGCGGCGACATTGATCCCTCGTAAGTCCTCCAGCCGTGTTCAAGGGAGCCGCTGTTGTCTGGCACGTCCGTGCTAACTTCTAGGTCAATTCCAGACTCGTGTTCCATTATACAAGCGAGGCAGGGAAGCTAAGCCCTGCAAGCACCAAGGAAATGCACATCAGCACTGTAAGTCCCCCCATCCGATGGCAATGCATAAGGACTGTAACTAAAGTTGAGCATCTCGCGTCTCTAGGCCGAAGAGATTTTGAACAAGCAGTCCGGCTGGAAAGCCCTGACCGGCACAACTGATTTTGCCCAGATCGCAGTCGACAAGTTCCCGTCCGAAGCCCACAAGCTCGCCTTCGATATTGTCATCGACCGGATGCTCGGATACATTGGCAACTACTACTTGAAGCTGGGCGGCAAGGTAGATGCGTTGGTCTTTGCCGGTGGGATTGGCGAGAAGAGCGCGCTCCTCCGACGCACACTGGTGGAAAAGAGCCAGTGTTTGGGGTTTGCCATCGATGCTAAGGCTAATGAGGATGGGCCGAGAGATGATGAGGTGGTCAAGGATATTTCTCAGTCATCCTCCCAGGGCCCGCGCGTGGTGGTTTGCCAGACTAATGAGCAGGTAAGTGTGTGCAGGAGAACTATGCAAGCGAATTGACTCCGAGGATTGTGAGCACATTTGATGGGCACTAACGGAAGCATCTACAGTTCGAAATGGCTTACACTACAATCCAGTCCCGCTCTTGAGAGCGGTCTGGAAAATACTCTGGTAATGAGAAATGGTCTCTTAGCCACGCAGAAAACGTGTGCTTTACGATCTGAACAGTGCACTTTGTACAGACTACAGTGTACACGATATGCAGTACTTGGAAATCGTACTACGGAATGAGTCATGTGATACATGCCCAGGGCCAGACTTGCAGACGTACAGTATATGAAGCGAACACCCGAAAGCAAGTAATAACACGCTGTTCATTCCTTGAAACCTCCCATGATAAATCAAGCATCGAGCGCCACGAAACGATGCATCATCTCTCATATCTGGTATATCGACCTGGCTTGAATATCACCTCCCCTAGCGCTGGAAGCTTATGTACTTTGTTACAGCACGACAGTCGTGTTCCAAGGCACTGGGAGATCTGAGCTCCTCTGAAGCCACCGCCACGCCTGATCGCTTTCAGAGAATACACGGGTGGCTGTTTTTTTTTTTCTTACCCTCTTTCCATCCGGCGGGGAAAATGACGGTCCATTACGATGAGCCTCGAACGCTGGATCGACCGACAGGCATTCGCTGTAGATGGAGCCCATCCGGACTCTCTACTATCTGGTAGTACTGTACCTTGATGTCCTGGCGGGTTGTGGTCTCGAGGACGATGGAAGTCCGTACTGGATAATGATCCCTCGTACAATCTCAGCCTAGGCCATCTGGCTTAGTCCAGCGCGGTCTACTGCCGCCTTCGATTTGCCACTTTGCACATGGAATACAATCTACATGATGAAGTGCAAGATGACATTATACGATTCTGTACGGTCTGGGCGAGTCTCCCACGGGAAGCGGAGTCCGTAAAACAGATATGTACCGTTAAACCCACGCGCCTGCGCACTCGTAGTACGTGACTATATGGTATCTCTATTGGATGCAGCCATGCAGCAGGAAATTCGGCGGCGCATGTTGTGGACATGTCAAACGTGATCGGGGACCTTGTATATTGCGTTTGTGGCGCGATCCCAATACATACTTTGTGCGTAGGGGGACCTTACCGTATAGTGGTATATCGAACGTTCCATGTAGATTTTACACAGGAGATCTATCTACTTCAGCTGTCCTGCCCTGGCCCTGGCAGTAGTCGTGTTCCAAACTTTCCCCACTCGGGAAGGGTATGCAAGGTCGGCTGTAGCCGAGATCCGACAAATTGGGTGCTACGATCTCATGTGGGTGTGCGCCGGTGTCGGAAGGGCGGTGCATGACTGGATGTACCTTTGCGTCTGAGGGATCACATCTATCTTTGCGTGTCCATGGTACAGTAGTCTACGACGCTCCAGGAGATGGGGCCTGTATGGATGTAAAATGAGGTGTATGTTATCGGGGTCGGGGACCACAATCAAAGGAGTTCCTGTAGGTGTGAGACACACCAGAATCCACGTCAAGGTAGACAGAAGTACTGTCGCGCTGATCTTGGCTGATATGAGCTAGGTTCCTTGCGGACTGGACACACCTGAGGCAGCTGTGTTGCTCATATCCTTTGAGTTGGGTGAGTAATGGCGTTGGAGTCAACTGGTGAACTTGGAACACGGCCACTGCCTAGTGCCCAGTACCTGGCTTAGTCCTAGGTACTGCCTACGCAGCGTACTGGAGTTGTTACGGGTATGATGTGTATCATGTTCAAGCCAGTAGTATGCCTTTGGATGAGGTCGTCCATATAGAGCCCGGCTGTTGATCTCTGTGGGTGCCTCTTTCACAAGGCACCAAGGCAATACATTTTGATGGACGTTTTACTTTGGCACTACTGAGTAGTGAGTAGTAGTACTGTATATGCCATGCCCATCATCATCATCTCCCAGTTCCAAGAGAGAACTAACCTAACCACCGCACGGGTACGTGTTTTGTTTGTTTTGTGCCCCAATTCTAGGGGCGAGACTCAGGACAAGACACACCAAGGATCAAATACTACTGACTACTGAGTAGTAGTACTGACTCTACTGCTGAGTACAGTAGACCTCCCCGGCCCCCATAGAGTCCCCATCACCCAGCCTCCTTTTTTCGGTCCCTACTTAGTACTCCCTATTCCTATCCCCCGGTCGATCTCCACTAGCCGAACCCAAAGTCCAGGCGACTGGGAAAACTCAAGGCTTCTGGAAGCAAGAGCCGTCGCAACCCTGACTGGTCGCGGAAGTTGGACTGGTCACCCGGAAGGCTCCAGGAGGCGTTTGGGTGAGACTCCATAATCTCGATGGTCCTTTTTTTTTTTTTTTTGGTTTTTTTGTACGGTGCTTTAATTATCCTCTTCGTGACTACGACTAGATTGGGTTGGAAGGATCCGGGAATAACAATGTTTACTTTTTGGTGTGGACGGGACGCGTCCAAAGTGGCGCTGGGGGAGACGGGGACAGTGGATAGTGGAGTGTGGACACTGGAAGTGGACACCCTATCACCCTCATAGGTAAATTCCGTATGCTGATTACCAGCATGGGGAGTCCATGGTTTGTGTTCTTTCTGTTTCTACTTTCTAGACATGAGTCAGTCTTACAGTACATGTCGATTGAACTGCGATTTGTTTCCTGGAACTTTACAGAGACATCGTCTTGTATTCACAGACCTGCATAGTGCAGGCTGCATGAGGTCGATCGTCCTAAGAGCTAATCGGGTAGCAAGGGGAGACCCGGCGCAGAGGAGGATCGCTCCCGACTCCCGAGACACTGGAGTTGGGAGTTCCAAAGCGTGTCCATCGCGAAAGGAGGAGGGGAAAACTTCAATCCCGAAAAATGCCACAACAACCATCCGACATAGTGTGGGATTGTAAATCGGTGCTCCTGATGATCTACCCTCTCTTCTTTCGTTGTTCAGGGTGTGGCAAGTTGGGACTAGCGACTGCCCTGATGACCGAATGTACTTGTGCTGTGACACTTGGCGAGGATCATTGATCGTCGCGGGAAACCAATAGCCCGCATCTCACTGTCCAGTCCAAATCGGTCAGAGTTGGGTCTGAGAGCGATAGAGAATACGCGCCATACATGGTCCCATTTGTGAATCTCCAGCTGAGTTCAATCACCTCCGAGTGGAAGGATCGGCGACTCCATGATCGACTGCCGGTCCCTGTAAGTGTACTCAAGTCACCTGATCCTGATGATTTCCAGCACACGGCATCGGGATATTCAAAGAGGGCCCCCATTTGAGGCGATCATTCCAGGAGGGACAGCAAGCAAGACGTCCTTGTTTGATTCGACTGATCTCCTCATGCAGAGTCTTATCGCTTCTAGAAGTGTCTTTGGAAGAGTTGTCTCTGTCCACTGTCTATCGGGTCGGCAGTTTCTAACTCAGCCTCTTTGCGCACCAAAGAACCCGTGTGAGGTGCTAGGTGGATTCAAAATGTGCTCGGAAGGAATCCAGCCGGCGGGACCAGGGGAGCTCTTCCGAGACGTTGTTCCACTGGGCGGTTTGTGTGAGTCTGTGAGATGCCTGTTTTGATTATTTCTGTAATGAGTGGTCTCGATGGAGACGATCAACACTCTAGGCCCGGATTGAATCTGAATCCATACCCGTGCAGTCGACAGGCACAGTTATCGGCCCGAACTCGTCAAGAGTGGCTACAGTCTACACTCTACAGCGGTTGAGTGGATTGGACGGGCATCGGGACTCCCCTTCATTCGATACAGTACAAATTGGAAAGATAGTCGGCGCTCCATAATGGGAGTGTCCACTTTGTTCCAGAAGGCTTCGTTGAGTGGAGTCAGAGTCTTCCACCGGATCTTCTTGTAACTTGTCGTCTGAGCACTAAATCACCACTGTTACTACTGTATGGTCAAACGGTATGTACATGAATCATTGATAACGAACGCTTTATATGACAGTGTTCAATCTCAATCTGCTGCTGTACTGTATATACCAGGTAAGGTCTTTGGGTATAAGATAAGGATCGACGGGCTTTACAGCGGTGAGCACTTCATCTTTCGGAGATCAGTGGAAACGTCAATGACGGGTGGTCCTCACAGGCGATGTCACAAACATGACAGATTTTGCTACGCCAGGTGTACAGCTGTACACTACTACTGTTCATATTGGCAGGTCCACCCTCCTATCGATAGCAGCCGGTGAAACTGAAACATGAAAGCAAAGGTCGTATCATCGGATCCAGCAAAGTCGCCACCAAGGGGAAATCATAGATGGAGGAACTTCCCAAGTGAGGACCACTACGTGCCTCCTGGGTCAAAGATGATCTGCTTTGCTCTGATCTGATCCATTGCGGTACGTGCAGTGGTACGTAAGTCCATCAGATACAGGACTCCAGGAGTAGTATATCACATGGGTCAAAGGTATTGTACCTCCCGTGATAAGTACCGTAAATTGCACGGCAGATCAACTGTACGTCGAGTCAGGGTCCACTGCAAGGTGTTCTTCCTGTCCTCTATCGTGACCTATATCAGACTGGGACGGATCACCCTGCCATCATCCATTCCAGTGATGCCCGCAATACACCCGACAGGCCCCCATGAGAAGGGGCTGCTGGGTCCTTACTCCGATCTTGCCACCCACTCCAATAGCCGCGCTGCAGGCCTACATGATGAGAGAGGGAAACTGGGGATGTGTAAAGGTATGACGCTCGATGTGGAATGTGCATGCCCGCTGCAGGCTTGACGCGGAACATAGGTGCAGTAGTATCTCCTGTCGGGTCCAACTGTAAGGAACATGATCGAGATCTAACGAATCGGCTCATGATTCACAATGGATGAAGCGAGCAAGATTTGCCGGAGACCGGGGTTTGGCTCCTTTCATCGCATGCTCTGGTCCAATCCTCGTCCCCTTTATTTTGTCTCTTGGTATTTTGGAACCAGTCATGATTGAGAGCTCCCGCCGAAATTGTTTGCTCATTCACCAATCAAAAGGGTCAGCCTCGTCACCACCGTCCGATGGTAACGAGGGATGTAGCTGGCCAGTGGCCACAAATGGACCAAAGGTGAAGAACCGGAGTCAAAGTACTGTGCCGTTCATGCACAGCAGCGGATTCCAGTTGAAAGTTTGGGTCGAGTGT